TTAAGTATAGCCTAAATATTACTAAGCTTAACTATAATAGTATAAAGAAGTAACTTAGTAATAGTATTACTATAGTTATTATCTTAATACCTAGGCTAACTAATAGACTTCTTTTTAGCTTCTTACTAGGCCTTAATAAGCCTAGAACTTAATATATTAAAGTATAAAGTAATAAACTTTATAGTAAAGTTACTAAAGAAGATAGAAAGAAGACTATAGAAAAAGATAACTTTAGCTTTAAACTAATTAGAAACCTACTTAAAAGTTAACTAGTAGTACTTAAGTAAAGATAAATATTACTTACTTTATAATAAGTAGTATACTACTTTTAAAAATAGTAATTATAAGACTACTTACTTTTTTTAAAGATATAGGTCTTCTTATCTTCTAGAAGATAGTAGGTGTAGCTTAAGTAGATAGGTAGCTAAAGAGGCTAGTAGCTCTTAGTAATAGAGGTAAGAGTAAAGGTAGAAATAATACTAGTAGTAATAGATAAGTAAGTAGTATAGTATAAAACTAATAAAATAAGAAGTTAGTAAAAGAAAAAGTAATTCTAATAGATTAAATAAACTTATAAGTAAAGGTAAAGCCTTTTTATTACTTTTAGTAGTAGAATAAGTTTACTTTCTTACTAGAAGCTTCTTTAGAGAGCTAGTAGCTATAGAGAAGAACTTAAAAAATAATATAAGCTTCTTAGGTAAACCTACTATTATAGTAGTAGATAAAGTAGAAGTTAAGGTAAGTAAAGTTAGTATAGCTATAGTAAAAATTACGTATAGAAGTAGGTTAATACGTTATATTATAGTAAGGTAAAAATATAAATAATTTTTACTAGGGGGGAGCTTATATAATAGGCTAGGCCTAGTAGAACCTTAGTAAGTAAAGCCTTAGAGCTTAGTAACCTTAACTACTAATACCTACCTTTAGCTAGCTTACTAGAAATAGCTAGTATACTACTAGAAGAACTATAAGTAAAGAAAAGCTAGTACTATAAATTCTTAGTAAATTTATCTAATTTATACTAGTAACTACTTATAGAGTTAGCCCCTTACATACTTTACTATATTAAATTTATATTATTATATAATTTATAAAATAATTATTATAAATATAAAATATATAGACTTATAAGATAATATACTAGATATATAAAATTTAAGTTACGGGTAGTAGAGATAGTATATTTAAAAGTAGATAGTAGTTATAGAAAGAAATAAGCTATAATTAATATAGCTATAAGTTACTATAGATTTTACAAGAAACCAAAAATAAATAAATCCTTAAGATTTATATATAGAAGATTACTAGCAATATAATACTTTTACTTATATAACCTAAAGTATAGTAATCTATAATATATAAGTAGTTCTGTTATATTTAAGTTTTAGAATATTTTTACTTTAGATCCTTCTATATATATAGCTTAGAAAAAAGTAATTAAGTAAATTATATAATTAGTTAAGCTTAGTAATTTTAAAGATTATCTATTAAACTTAAAGTATCTATTTAGAGTTTAAACTAAGAAATTCTCTATTATACTATAGAATTTTCTTAAGCTAGCTATTATAGTTACGTTAAGAACTTAAAAAAAAAGAGTTTTATTTATCTTAAATTAGCACAAAGTAAAATTAGAACCTAAGTTATAATTAGTAACTTACTAAATAATTATACTTAAAAGAGTTTTAAAAACTATAACTTCTATACTACCTATAATCTATAGACTAGATAACTTAAACTTTAAGTTAATAAGCTTAGTATAGGTATACGTATTAATAGTTTTATATTTTATATAGAATAGCAGAACTTAGCCTAAAGTATAGCTTAGAAATTAATATTTTCTAGGTATCTATTAGAGTAACTTTAGAAAGTAGGTAAATATTAGCTCTACGTTAAATTTAGAGAAACAATACAATAGTTTATTAAGATAATAATATAGAAAGAATTAGGATACTATTTCTTTTTTACTAAATAGTAATCCTACTAAGCTAGACGTGTATTAAAGTACCTAAGTATTACTTAAGATTTACCTAACTCTAGGTTTTAAACTATAGTAAGGCTAGAAACTACTTTCCGTAAATTAGTAGACTTATATATAAGGCTAAAGTAGCTCTATAAAGGATTAAAGGTATTATTCTTTATATAAAGAAGCTAATATATAGTAAACCTATTTACTTTAAAATAATTATATACTTATCTTACTTTTCTAAAAATCTAAAATAGTGTCTAGATACTTAGATTTAATTTATAGTATTTCTACTATAGATTAGTCTTATAAAGTTACTATAGTATTTAATAGGTTTTATTATATTTGCAATCTTATTATAGTAACTAAAGATTTCTATACTTTAGTTTTCTTACTTCTTACTACTATTACTACTATAAGTATTATTAATGCTATATTCTTAGAAAGAATTACTAGCTTTATTTCTAATTAGCTCTATTAAATAAGATAGAATAAGCTGTAACACTAGCCTAAACTCTCTACAGCCTACCTATTTTTATATTATTAAGATTATTATTAGCTAAAGAAGAAATCCTTCTCTATCTTTATAATATTAGTACTTTATATATATTTTTAAAACAAAAAAGTCTAATTTTTTATCTAAAGATTATATAGGAATATCTTATTATTTAAATACTATTTTTTAATTTTAACATAATCTACTCGATCTATTAAATCTTCCCTTACTATAAAGATAATAAGACTTAATATAGAATATACTATAAGTGTAAAGTACTATACTAGCTATTTTAAGTAATTTTTACTTTCTTAATTTTTAGGAGTTTCTTCTAGATACCTTTTTAAATTAATTAGAAAAATTTATTAAAATCTAGAGTACTAGTTTTTATTTACTTATAGTAATTCTAGTAGTATACTATGTATTACTAGTATATAAGTAGTAGTTCTAGATTTCTATAAAACAGAGATTAAATTGTAATCTTATAATTATATATTTTAATACGTATTCTAATTGTTTATTAGTTTTTGTTTAGCTAAGGTTTAACCTAGCTATAACTTCTTACTTCCTATTACTATTACTATTACTATTACTATTACTATATCTACTACTTCTAGCTTACTCTTTATTATATTTATAATTTCTATAATAAGGTATTATACTTTCTAGATTACTACTTTAATACTTTTTTACTTAGGTACTATATCTAGGATCTATAAAAGCTTACTTAAAGTAGCTTCTATATTTAGTTAGAGTAGTATTATTATAGTACTTAGTAGTAATCTTAAATAGTTAAAAAAGCTAGGTCTTAAAGAAAGCTTTATTATTTCTATAAACTTCTATAGAGAAAAGCTAGAGTTTTACTTTATATAGCTAGACCTTAAGTCTTTTATTAAGCTTAAAATATTCTAAAATGTTTTTTATCTTTATATAAAGAGTTCTACTATTATACTAAGTAAAAATTTTTTTTTTTTTTAATACTTAACTAGGTCTTTAGAGATCTTATTAGGAATATCTAAATTACTATACTAGTATTAGTTAATACTTATATTAATTCTTTATTTAATAATTTACTATAAGATATAGTAGAGAAACTTCTAGGCTATACTAGTAGGATTATATTATTAATTAGGCTATAACTTTAGTTAAAAAGAAAGATAAGATAGATAGATAAAACTCTTAAGGTATAAGAAAAATTTAAATATTAGCTTTTTATATAGACTATTATTACTTACGCGTTTTTTCTAGCTATATTAATATAAGTTTAGTTTTACTAGTTAATTAAAGAATTTCCTTAACTTAACTATAGTTAATTATAAAGAGCTAAGTTAAAAATTAATTACTACCTAAGCTCTTATAATTTATATTTATATTAGTATATAAAGCAGCTAGTTATTTAAAAATAAAATATAAATTAGCTTATTATTACTATTACTATATACTTATACTAATATTTACTATATAAAAAGCGGCTAGGTATTAGCTTTTATACTAAGTTAATAAATTAGATTCTTATTATAATATATTTATCTACTAAAATATTATGTAAAGATAAAGTAGAATTTTAGAATAATAAGTAGTAGTTTAGGTATTAGTAGTTAGGCCTACTAAGCTCTAAGGCTTTACTTACTAAGGTTTTACTAGGCCTAGCCTTTTACAGAATATATATTACTTAATTAGGCTTATAAAATTAGTTTAATCTATAGACTTATTTTAAACTTTAGTAGAGAGCTAATCTAAAAGGCTTATTAAAACTTATATATAGTTAGAATAGTTAAGATATTAGATTTAATAATAACTTCTAATAAAATTAACATTTCTTTAAAGCAATATAAAATAAGAAATAATAGTATAAATAATCTTTTATAGTAAATTTAATATATTTCTTCTTTTTTTATAATTAAGTAAGTTACTATCTATCTAATTAATTATAAAACAGTAGTTTAGAAAGGATACTACTTAAGTCTACTTTCTTTAGTACTATTTTCCTATACTATAAGTAAAATATACTTGAAATTTAGTAAGGAAGTTAGATACTATAATACCTAATGTATTAAGAAATAATCTTTTAAATTTTAGTTAAGTTACTCTTTGTTTAGCTTATTATTTTAGTGTTATAGATTTCTTCTGTATTAGATTCTTTGGTAATACTAATACGTACTCTGTTGCTTTTTCTTTTTTAATTATTAATCTGTTATAATTAGTGTAGCTTTAGTACTGCTCTTCTAGAAATTTTATAATTCAAAATTCAAAGATAAAAACGTGTAGCACAAATAAAAACAAGAATTATTACTTCTGTACTCATCCCCTAGTCCGCTGCAATAAATTCGCTAATCTTGGACCCGCTATTAGCCAGTTTGAACCCGTTAGCAAGTTGGTGTTATGTCCCAGGTTCGGGTTCTTTCAGTGCAAAGCTTTGATTTTGATGTTTTTTAGACCTGTCCCACACGATCTATTGGCCAAGTCCGCGGGTTTATTCCAGCGGACCATGGGATATTACAGTCTTATAATGTTAGAACAAGATATCGCTATTTTGCAGCTTCAAACCTCTCTCTGTTCCTGAGTCTTTTCCCTAGCCTCCGCACGATCAAAGGTAGAGTCTAACATAAAAGGACTCCTTGCTCGAATTTGCCGACCCTTGATTAACAGCACAACAGGAACCGCACTAAGTGCGAGCCCTATAAAACCAAGCAAGCTACCAGCCCAGCCGTAGCCGAGATTGTTGAACATGGAATACGAGGCAAACGGCAGGAATGCGCCAAAGGCATTCCGGCCAAGCGAGGCCGCTGAGAGCGCGGAACCAGCGTATTTCTCGTAAGCATCGGTGAGGTAGTTGACTACCCCCATGTAGATCGAGAAGAGACCCACACCAGCAATACAAATTCCACTCGCAGGTACAATCCAGTGTACTTCTGGTCTTGAACTCCAGCCATACATAAACAGTCCGGCTGTGAAGAGTAGCGATCCGGGAATGCTAGTGTACAGTCGAGCTTCTGGGATCGGCTTGCCAGGCATTTCAGTATTCTTGGAGGCTGTGCGCAGATATAGCCAATCCTGCAGCGGATTGAATAGAGCACCGATCAGAGCACCTATGGTAATAGCAAGCTGTACGAGTCCAGTCTGCATATCGTTCCAGCCGTAGCTATCGCCAAACGTTTGGACCACGGAAGAAAAGAAGATATAGAGAATTCCCCAAGCGAAACTGATCCATAGGGTGAAACACATAACCACGGGTTCAGTAAGCAGCATCTTTGTAGGTCTCATAAACGAAGTTTTCAGTAGCTCTGCAATCGATGGCTTGTCGAATTCGGACTCTGCGTAGATTTGTCGGCTTGATTCCTTGCGAAGCTTCTTGGCGCGTTTTTCGAGAATCACATCCCCACGTGTTTCCTTAAGAATGATGTAGAATATGGGAATCAACACCGCATTGAAAATTATCTGGACATAGTAAATCCTAGACCACGTTAGCAAGAGAAGTCTTCCTAGTAATGGAACATACCATCGCCACGGCGCCTGCAAACCACTGTTGGGCTTGTGGATCTGAACAACAGCACTGCCGATAAACGGACCAAGAGCGATCCCGGCTACGCCTGTAAACCCATAAAGCGCCATAGGCAAACTCCGCGCTTGGTGCCCTTTCCAAATATCACTAATGCTGCCTCCGGCTATGTTGCCTGCGACTGAAGATGCTCCGCCGCCAATGATTCGTGTCACAACTATGGTTGCAAAGTTCTCTGCAAAAGCTGAACCGAAAAGGGAAAGCTCAAGTACGATATAGGCAACCTTGCTCAGTATCAGCGGGTCGTTGAAAGTAGTAGCAGGCTATACGCACAAAGTAGCCGGGCATGCGACCAGAGGATTCCGTAAGCGGCACGAAGACAAGGGGAAATATCGCAGCTCCCAGGTTCCAACTACAAGTTGCCCAAGCAAGGTTAGGAAACGGCTCATTTTGAACATTGAACGTAGCAGCCATGTAATCATTTCCAGAACCGTACGAGCCGGCTGGCAGCCCTGTCAAGAGGGTTATGATGCAGACAGTGATGGTGATCAGCCACTTGTGGGTAGGAGACCAATTGAATCTGTCCTGGATAAGTCAATTATCACAAAAGTAACTGTTGAGCCGTACGGATTGTCGGGATCGTCTGGTCCATTCCAGCTATGAAGTTCGACCTCCTTGCCATCCTTGTTGGGTATCTCTGTGTTGCATTCCGAAGGTCGACGATGGTACTCGGCAGTGCTGGAAGACGAGCTTTCTGCTGCGTGTGTATGCTCTGTTGAAGGATTAATTAACAAAGTACCTAGACGCCTGAGAACGTCAGTGTCTTATACCTTTTGCTTGATTCAGGGAGACCGTTGTTGACATCATCACGTTCTCGAGCAAGAGTGATTCGAATCGAAGACAAAACTCGCAAATGGACAAGATAGCGTGGCAATGGGAAATATAAGTCTACTGAAAATTGACTAGAAATTAAGATTGATGTACAGTATGACCTCATGGCACACTAAGATGGAGGTTCAAGTGGATACAACACCCAGTGACGGTTGTGCGTAACCAACCAATTGTACCAGAAAAGGAGATCTAAGACAACGCCGTGATGTCTCATGAACCGGACACATCCGTCCGGCTTAAACTCTGGCTCTTGCGTAGAGCCTCAACTGGCCTGATCCGCGGCTAGCGCCTGCTAAGTCTCATCTCTAACTTCTTGCAGCTCAGTCTAAGATCTGAGCCAATAAGCCGACGGCATGAGATTTTCGCAAATGCGTCCGCCGCATAATTTAAGCATGCGGCTATTGATCCAGAAGCTTTAAACTTACGCTAGCGTTGAGATAGGAGTAGGAGATCGCAGGAATTTTGTGGCTTGCAAATCATGAAGCGTTATTCCTTAAGATAACGCTGTGGAGACTTACCAGGTGTAGAGAGACTTGTCGTGGCTTTCCAAATGCGGCAACGCAATGATGAATAACGTTATGTAGCCAAACCGGATGGACCTGTAGACTCATTCCAGGGGCGGCCATAACCGAAATCACAACATCGACTTGAAAGGTGGTTAGCCTCGTAAGTCCGTGCATCGATAGTGTACGTTCATACGCATCGTGTGTGCAAGCACGCGACGCAACGCGGCACGACGTGCCCTTTCTGGACTTCGGTATCCGACGTGGTGAATGTACGTTCGTGTGAACACTATCGTGCTCAAGTCGCACGTCCCTGCTGTCCAACTGATACTCGAGGGTTTGATTAGTCGGGATATTCATTGATAGATGCGGGTGCGGCTCCACCCAGTTTTGCTTGTACATGATACGCTTTTCAAAGTAGAGATAGCACTTGCTGACGCACAGACATGGACTCGGAGCACATTGTTGTTTCTTGTCGTTGAGACGTTTTTGTGCTTTGTCAGGCGGTAGGAGACTTGGAATGGTTCAGGACGGAGGGATGGAAGGTCGGAGAAGACATCGGAGGCAATGCTCGCATGCCGAGGTTCTCCCGTGGAGCTTGGGGCTCTCGATGATGTCGAGACTCGATGGCTGCTGAGCAATCCGCCCGCCACAGCAACCGCATATACACGCTCACGACGCACACGTCTGGCTGCCAATCGCACTTCCTACTACCCGGTCGAGGCAGTGCAGGCGCCCTCATCAATCCCAGCTGTGTCTATCCTCTTTCCACACAGTCAAGCATCACAGCCTGCGACAGTCGCGCCTGCCATATATACCCCCCAGCATGCTGCACGGACAAAACTTACCATGGCGGGTTGCCCTTCGCCAGGCTTCGTGTTCCAGTGCGAGGCTCGCCACATCCCGCGCCTCGTCGCGCTTTCTCCCCGCGCAATGCACTGCGTCCCGCGTAACTCGACATGCTCTCCGCTGTCCGTCGCCGCCCGCCGCACTGTTCGCCTCTCGCAGCTTCTCCACATCACTGAGCAGGCGGAAAGAACGAGACCCCAAGGCGCCGCCGCCTGAGCCGCTGGAAGAGGCGAAAGAGGGGGAGACAGACGAGTCTAAGAAGCTCAAGGAGCACGAAGGGGCTGAGGGCGTGGAGGCCAAGGTCAAGGCATCTGAGCCAGTCCCCCCAAAATCCACGTCTGGGCGGGGCAGTGCAGCAGGAGGAGATGGCTCATCAGGGTCTGGTGGGGATGGCGGTGGCAAGAAGCGCAAGGGTTCTGAACGGTCACTCGTCAAGCCTGCAATTCCAGATGTCTATCCACAGGTCATGGCCATTCCCCTCGCCAGGCGGCCGCTCTTCCCAGGCTTCTACAAGGCCATCACCATACGAGACAGGGAGGTCGGACAGGCAATCGCCGACATGGTCAAGCGAGGCCAGCCGTACATCGGTGCCTTTATGTTCAAGGACGATGCCGCCGACAAGGATGTCATCGACGATCCTAGCGAGGTCTACGACGTGGGTACCTTCTGCCAGGTCACCAGCGCGTTCCCAGTCGGCTCGGAAGACAATTTCGCCATGACGTGCGTTCTCTATCCCCATCGTCGAATCAAGATGACGGGGCTCAAGACGCCGAGTGGAGAGAAGGCCCAGATGGCCACAGTAGAGGAAGTATCAATGGCCGAGAACACTCCGGATGAGGCCGCGGTGAAAGAGGTGACAACGGACCAGGCTAAGGGAGACGTTGTGGCGAGTTTCGAGGAGAGCAGTGATGAAGCAAAAGCATCGCAAGAACACGAAGCTATGACCATTCTCAGAGATCGCAAGGTCAGCATCGCCGATGTCGAAAATCTTGTCGAAGAACCTTTTGATGTCAAGTCCAACAAGACGATCCAAGTGCTTGTCAACGAGATCGTCAACACGTTCAAGGGCGTTGCGCTGCTGAATCCCCTGTTTCGCGACCACGTGTCGACCTTCTCCGTGCACACAAACATGAATGTTAGCGAAGACCCTGTCAAGCTGGCCGATTTTGCAGCTGCAGTTGCGCAAGCCGAATCCCACGAGCTGCAGTCAGCGCTCGAGGAGATGGATGTTGAAAAGCGACTGAGCAAATCCCTGGAAGTACTCAAGAAGGAGCTCATGAGTGCCGAACTGCAAAAGAAGGTTTCTGACGACGTCAACGCAAGGGTGTCCAAGAAGCATCGCGAGTTCATTCTTATGGAGCAGATGAAGGGCATCAAACGCGAGCTTGGCATTGAATCTGATGGCAAGGATAAGCTGATCGAGAAGTTCAACGAAAAGGCCAATAAGCTCGCCATGCCTGAGCCTGTGAGGAAGGTCTTTGAGGAGGAAATGAGTAAGCTCTCTGGTCTTGAGCCCAGTGGGTCAGAGTTCAATGTAACCCGGAACTACCTTGACTGGCTGACCCAATTACCTTGGGGCTTGAGCAGCGCGGAGAACTTCGGCATCAAACACGCCCGCGATGTCTTGGATGAGGATCACTATGGACTTAAAGACGTCAAGGACAGGATTTTGGAGTTCATTGCCGTTGGCAAGCTTCGGGGCACGGTCGAAGGCAAGATCCTGTGCTTCGTTGGCCCTCCTGGTGTGGGCAAAACTTCGATTGGTAAATCTATTGCCAGAGCCCTGAACCGCCAGTACTATCGATTCAGCGTCGGTGGTATGTATGACGTGGCAGAAATCAAAGGACACCGAAGAACCTACGTGGGCGCGTTACCTGGCCGTATCATCCAGGCGCTAAAGAAGTGCCAAACAGAGAACCCGCTTGTTTTGATCGATGAGATTGATAAAATCGGGCGGAACAGCAATCACGGCGACCCCGCAGCTGCATTGCTAGAACTTCTGGACCCAGAACAGAACAACAGTTTCCTCGACCACTATCTAGACGTGCCCGTGGATTTGTCAAAGGTTCTGTTTGTTTGCACAGCCAACATGGCAGACACCATTCCTCAACCACTTCTCGACCGCATGGAGGTGATTGAGTTGTCTGGCTATGTTGCGGATGAGAAGATTGCCATCGCAGAGAAATATCTAGCGCCAGTGGCTAAAGAGATGAGTGGTCTCAAAGATGCCGACGTTGTACTCGAGAAAGACGGTATTGTAGAGTTGATCAACAAGTACTGCCGAGAGTCTGGCGTTCGCAACTTGAAGAAGCAAATCGAAAAGGTGTACCGCAAGTCGGCACTGAAGATTGTGAATGAAGTTGGCGAAGATGCTTTACCAGAGTCGGAGGCGCTCACCAGCGAGGGTAAGGCTGCACAGAAAGAATCCGAGCAGGATCATAGCGATACGAAAGAGACGCCTAGCGACATTGAGAAGCAAACGACGGAGAAACCCCGCGTGGCACTCAAGGTACCTGACCACGTGCATGTATCCATCACCAAAGACAACCTCAAGGACTACGTCGGTCCACCCATCTTCACCTCTGACAGATTATATGATGTCACACCTCCTGGTGTTGCCATGGGTCTGGCGTGGACGTCGATGGGCGGCTCTGCCCTCTACATCGAGTCTATTCTTCAAAATGCGCTGACAAGCTCTTCGCATCCCGGTCTCGAGCGCACCGGCTCATTGCGAGACGTGATGAAGGAGTCAACCGGCGTTGCCTACTCGTTTGCCAAGAGTGTTCTTGCCCGTGAATTCCCCAAGAACAAGTTCTTCGAGCATGCTAGGATACATTTGCATTGCCCCGAGGGCGCAGTACCCAAGGACGGGCCTAGTGCGGGTATCACCATGGCGTCGAGTTTGCTGGGTCTAGCACTAAACACGGAGGTCAAGGAAGGTGTGGCTATGACGGGCGAATTGACGCTCACTGGCAAAGTATTGAGGATCGGGGGTCTGAGGGAGAAGACAGTAGCGGCGAGAAGAGCAGGTGCAAAGATGGTCATTTTCCCGCACGACAATACGAGTGATTGGCTAGAGCTACCAGAGGTACGTGAGGTTGATGGACATGAGTATTGAAGTTTGCAACGCTAACTTGTGCCTAGAACATCAAAGAAGGGATCGAAGGCCGGCCTGTGGCGTGGTACCACGAAGTCTTTGATCTAGTGTTCCCGGGCCTCGACAAGGACAGTGCGAGCAAGCTATGGGACAAGGAGCTCAAGAGCAAGAAGGGGGATCGCAAAAAGAAAGAGCAAAAGAGAAAAGAGGAAGAGGAGGAAGAGTCTGGTGAAGATGATGATTGAGCGATATAGACGTGTATAGTATTTTGGTGTATACAGCGCATCTCCTGGCGTTTTTGCATTTGCAAGCTATTGCTGGTGCATGGCTGTCACGATGTTGGAATATGGATCTCGACTCTAGAGCACGTGGCATGGTGGCATTTCTGTACGTGGTGTATGTATAATAAATTCTGCCAACGTGGTGTGATTCGCTGCGCTTACCTCGCTACGGCGCGCTGAGACGAGCGTGAACGCGGTTGACGTGTCGACGCCAGGGGCGAGGACAACGCATACCATGGCCTGAGGAGGGATGATGATGCGAACACGAGGGAGCGAATGACGGCTGCAGATGAGCAGGAGGCTGGTGTTGTCCATGCAAGTAAAGATGGTTCTGTTGACGATGCAAATTAGATTGTTCAGATTGTTCGTTCGCAAGATGACATTGGCAATGTGAGTGTGGGAAGCGCTGTGTAGTGAGGCTTGTGAAGGGTGGTGGTGGATTGGGGTCAGGCTGTTCTACAGAGCGAGTTCAAGACGTCCCTGTCAACTCACGACCGACTTGGGTGTATGAAACTTGGGTCTGCTCTCGCTCGGCCACGCAGGCCTTGGCAGGTGGCCGTGCATGCTATCGTGACAGGAACGTTGTCTGTACGACGGGATGAAGCTAACGGGGGCTCTATGCGCCTGCGTACCGCGAGGTGCAGATTGTCGGTTGGAGAAGGGTTTAGCTCGCGGGTGCGCCGGGTCTACTGAATGCGGGCCCAATGGAGGGGCGCAGAGGCAAAGTCCTGGCTCGTCAAAAGTGCTGGGAATGGGGTTGGAGACGTGTTGAATGTATGGAGATTGTGCTGCAAAGGGCACGTCGGCGCCGACGATGCTGTCAGCTTGAACAGGTGTTGGCCTGCCATGCGTGGGCTTTTGTGCGACACACACCGCTTGTTCATGCTGCGCCAGCGGAGGGCAAAAGGTCTCTGTGATTCACGATTTGGTGCATGGCTGCACACGTCTGCACGTCTGTCCAATGTAAGGCGTGTCGGTTGACCGCTCTGCAGAGGGCAAGACAACCCTGGTGCGGCACTTGGGGAATTGGTCTCTCCCGCTGGCATTGTCTCTGCTCGTCTCCCTCCTTCTCCAGCCGCCTGTGTGACTCCTTTTGGTTTTTGCTGCCTGCGCTTGCTCGTTTGTTGGTGTTGGGAGCATTGCAGGGCTGTGCCGCCGCGTGATTGGACGCCGGGATTATTCGCATCACATCTCACAACGGCCGCCGCGAATTCGCCCTCGCCTCGTCGCCTGTCCGCCCGCCCTCGTTGATCAGCCTGCTGGTGTGCAGCCTGTTGAGCCTCGGTGGAATCACTGCGCGTCATTGCTAATTGTCCCGCTGCATTCTGTTGAGACTTGATTGGCACATTAGGCGGCAGGGCGCGCGCAGGGCATTGGTGCTTGGGCGTCAATAATTGTGCGGGATATCACGGGTGTAGTGGGCGAATTCGACTTTCTGGCCACGCAGAGATTCTGAAGTGCAGACTCTGTTTTTCACGCGAGAAAAGAGGCAACGGGAAAAAACATGCACACGGGCAGCGACGCGGCACACAGACTATGAGCCAGTAGATGCATCGACGCAACGAAGCCACCGTTACACGACGACGACACAGCATGACGACGGCGCCAACGCGATAGCACCAGCCCAATCACCGAGCACCGCCGCTGCAGCACGCCGTTGCTTTTGTTCGCCGTCGAGCGAGGCCGGAGGAATAAGAGGGCCGGGCTGCCAGGAGCGAGACGACACATCGCGCCGCTCGCAGCGGTGCGGGTGCGACGATTGCGAGGCCAGCCATGTCCCAGGCGCCGTTGGCCGACCACGGCGCGGCGAGTCGCGACCGGAGCCGGCAGCGCGCGCGGGCAGAGGTCAACGAGCACCGCAGCATGTGGACCCGCCTGAGCCTGCAGAAGTTTGGCCTGTGGCTGAAGCGCGACGACGACACGGCCCCGCCACACGTCAAGGCCGCGCACGGCAAGGGGACGGGCATGTGGAATGGCAGTGGGCACGGGAACGGCAAGCACGAGGCGGGTGAGTCGCCCAAAGAGAAGGAGCCCAGGGAGAAGGAGAAGGAGAAGGAGAAGGAGCCCGTGCGGCCCTTTTCCAGCGGCGGCCTGCTGTCGAGGCGAGGCAGCCGCAAGGTGGTGCCCGGCCTGCCGCGCCCGCTGACGTTCAAGCGCATGCAGAGCGAGAAGAGGGACCGCCTGCTCGAGGTGCCCGCCGAAGCAGAGCAGCGCCGCCCCTCGTCCGCCGACGACCACAAGCCGTCCATGGTGGCCAAGCGCAGCCTCTCCCCGCCGCCCATGTCGCTGCCGTCCGTGTCGGCGCCCGACGTCCTCAGTCTGTTTACCACCAACGACCAGCCGCCGAAGCAGGAGCGGGAGCAGGAGCAGACGCAGGCACAGGCACAGGCACCGACACCGACACCGGTGCACGTGCGAGATGAGAGTGACAATGACGACAATCACGCTCGGGACCACCACGACCGCCACCACGACCACCATCGCGACCAGCAGCACACGATTGGCGGCGGCCCCGACTCCAACATACCCGCGGGCGCGCGCCAGGTCGACTACGGCCCGGACGATAGCGTCGACTACCTCTCCGCCGGTGAACCCCACCCCCACCCCCTCGACATCGACATCGCCGACGCCGACGCCTACTCGGAGCCCGACTCGCACCACTCGGCCTCGCAAGTCGACGACACGCAACTGCAGGAGGAGCTGGAAGCAAAGTGGATCCTCAACCTCAGCATGCACTTCCGCGACCTGTCTGACCGCGAAAAGTTCTTCATCACCTACGCAGAGGAGCCCACCAAGTGGCGGAGAGTCACCGTATCCTGCGACTACCGCGAGCTGGAGCCCGAGTCGCTCGAGTCGGATCTCAAGTCGCTGCACTACCAACGCGACAAGAGCACCAGAATCTACGAAGCCATCCGCGATTCACTCCTAGACATACAGTTCTACGACACCGTCACCAACCTCAAGCTCCAGACCACCGACGGCCGCCTGCACGTGCACGTCACCGAAGACGTCAACGAGATCATACCCTACCCCTCCACATCCGCCATCCAACACCTCGAGTACAAGTGTTTCCGCGAGAATGAAATCTCCTTCGACTCGCACATCTCGGGCTTCGTGTACAAGGTCGCGGTTGGCGACAAAGTCTTCATCAAGAAGGAGATTCCCGGCCCGGACGCCGTCGACGAGTTCCTCTACGAGATCAACGCGCTGTTGAGCCTGCAGGACTCCCAATCAGTCATCAAGTTCGAGGGCATCATTGTAGACGAAAAGAACGAGCTGATCAAAGGCCTGTTGATCAGCTACGCCGAACAGGGCGCCCTGGTGGACATGATCTACGACTACAAACACTCCGACCAGCTGCTTTGGCATCGTCGTGAACGTTGGGCCCGTCAAATCGTCCAGGGTCTTTCGGAGATCCACGAGGCTGGATTTGTGCAGGGTGATTTCACCCTCTCCAACATTGTTATAAATCACGACGACGACGCCAAGATCATCGACATCAATCGGCGTGGATGTCCGGTTGGATGGGAGCCGCCCGAGCTGGCCAAACTCATCGAGAGTGGACAACGCATTTCGATATACATTGGAGTCAAGTCAGATTTGTACCAGCTCGGTATGGTGCTTTGGGCTCTAGCGGAGCAGCAGGATGAACCGGAGCGCCAGGAACGGCCATTCGTGAAGACGCTCATGCGACACAACACAGACATCCCCGAGTACTTTAAGGACATCATCCGAGCATGCCTAAACGACGTTCCCCGCGAGCGACTATCCGCGAAAACACTTCTAGCCAGATTCCCACATCACAACCGAGGTACAGAGTCCAGATCGGCCGCAGGTTTGAGGGATAGCGTCTCGACACACAGAAGCGACAAAGAATACATCGATCCCGCTACCGCCGTTGGCCTCGACGACATTTCGCAACACCGCCGAGACTCAAGATCCAAGTCTTCTTTCGAAAACGTCAATATGCCGTCAACAGAGTATCCCGCATCTTCAGGCTCATACATACTACCAAACAATCACAACCCACGCGGACGGTCATTAGACGCAATGAGAGGTGGCAGCACAACCGGAAGGAGCGACTTCTCCCCATACCCCGGGCACCGATCCGTTATGTCTCTGGACGACTCCGAACTGGAGAACGAACTTGCTAGTCTTCCAGCCAGTCGAGAGACAAGATGGGAGCAAATCTACGTGGATGGCGACTTCAAGCTTGTTCAAAGAGGCGGAGCCGAACTTGATGTGCACGACTTTGTGACTCAGGACTTAAAAGATGTCTGTATTACAACGCCACCAGACGACATGGAAGCCTCGTTCATGGGCATCAAAACGTCCGAAGACACGCCACTGAACCTTTCCATGGTCACTGAACTCCAGCCAGTCACGCCTCAGTACACGCAACCCAGCCTGCTGGAACCGCAACACCAGCATCCACCTGTAGGTGGGGCGAGTAAGACAACGTTCAGCGATCGCGTGCGTCAAATGGCACAATCTCCCACTCAGGCCAATCTATTACGTGAAACAAAACACGATTACGATCACGAATTTCACGTACCTCTTCCAGCTACTCTTGCCGATCTGGAGCACGAGATTGCACTCGACTCATCTGTCTCCTCGTCATGCGCCCCGTCACAGACCAGCACTAGCTTTTCCATCTTCGATCGCCCGGAACGTAGAGCGCGAGCCAGGAGCGGCTTTTCAACTCCACAGGGCTTCCACTCCCCCTTACATCAAGATTCAGGATTTGTCGAGACGAGAAGGGCGTCTTTTGACAGCGAACAAATCCGGCTTAGCCTTGACCAGAGCATCAGAGACTTGCGAGTTTCAATGGAAGAGGAAAAGATGAACGGAAGTTTATGGAATAAGAAAGATGACACAATGTTCGGTGAGCGTGAAAGACGGAAAACGCTGGAGACTTCAATCTCGGCACCAATATCGCCAATACGAGCATCGACTTTCAAATGGCCGCCAGCAACGAGCGAAGAGCGGAACAACATCGTATCTAGTCACGATATGCAGCAAAAGCCGCTGGAAGAGAAGGTATCGAACACCACGATCCGCCCTCCTGGTTTTTCGATCCCAGAATTTCTCCACGCGGTACCGAGAACCTCTGACGGCGACAACATGTCGTCCCATGAATACACTACTTCGACTATCGACCCCTATAATTATTCGCGAGCTTTCACGCATACACAAAGACATCTTGCCCCAACACCCCACAGACGCGACGATTCGAGTAAAGGGTCAGATCTTTCCGACTACCTATCTCACGAAATTGAGTGATCACGATGATTATTATCATCATTTTTATTACCCGGCGACTTGACGACCGGAAGCAATGCGAATACCAAAAATTTCTCATATGTCCGGCGTTGGGATTGAACAGGGCACTCACCCTTTTGCTACGTTCTCCGCTCATTCTTCTCAATTTCTCTTTCGAGATCTCTGTAGTTGACACGATTTCAATTGTTACTGACCTTTAACTTTCCTTGTTCTTTCTATATCCCATTTCCAAGTCTGATTGGGTTTCTAGGCTTTTCATAGCGTGGCGCATGTGATTTTTATGTGTTTCGTAGAAATCATCTAGAGGTTGCTTTTTACTGTGTTTGACAAGCGATGGTGGGATACCATTTGATAGCGACTTATTCACGTATGAGCATTGGTTCACTATATGACTTTTGTCCCAGTATTATACGTGCACGTGAGGTTTGAAACGTAGTGAAGAGAACGTCGTTGATGAGAATTGTCTCGACTCAAGCCCTTTATTAATATATCAAAATATGTCATGCAACTGCTGGGACTATAGGGCTCTTGCAAAGTGAGATACAGATTGCAGAACATGATGAAAGCATCAAAACTTCGACGTAGCTACGTCTTCTGATTGTCGTTTTACGTTCGACGCCCAATCGTCGACTACAGCTAAATCCTCCGACTCTACGATCAAAGCTCCTGACCACATCTTTGTTGCGACGAGACTATGATCTCACTGCACATCACCATTTAGCATCAACACTATCTTGTCGGTTTGCCTATGACCATCAACTTGGCTCGAGTAATGATAGATGAGGTAATATATTCGAGAGAAAGCTCATAAACCATGTTTCGAAAAGACGAACGATTGCCAGGCCCTGAGGATCATAAAAGCATACGAGGTAGCATCACGTCATTTCAGGGGACTGATGTTTCGTCGGTCAAAAAACCCATATATCGTGTATCGACGTTCCAGGCCAGGTAGGCTCTCGTTCCTTTCTACACCGCAATCAACGTGTCCCGTCTATCTCGACAGGAGGCCCAGGTATAACATTGACACTTCGAGAGTCCATCTCCGTTGGCTTCGGGGTTGCCTCTGCTTCTGCCCTCCATTTGCCACCAAGAAAGCTCTTGTGCCCCGCATTGGTATTCCCTTCCATCTCAGGTACACTTGTATGACCCTTTCGTTGCTTCCTTCTCCGAAGTAGACAGATAATGATGGCCATACCGAGTAGGACGACTCCAATCGTGACGCCTATGCCTATTCCCGCTTTCGCGCCAGTGCTTAAGCCGGGGTCTGATGGTGGGTTTGTAGACGCTGGGGATGCGGAGGAAGAAGAGGGAGCTGGAAGTAAGAGAAGAGGCGGATGATGAAGATGAAGTGATAGACACTACACCACCGAATGAAACGCCAATTTGAGACGCCAGAGATGTTGCGTAGGCTGGGGGAAATGCGGAAAGATCGTCTAGCTCCCAGAGCACGTAGATTGGTGTCGCTTGCGCTGTACCGGCCGAGAGTACAGCCGTATTTTTAATCGTCATGGTTACACTTGTTCCAACGAGCTGGTTGGAGTCACCGCTTGTCCTGGTAGTCGTTGTAGGTCGGGTGGTAGTGATGTCGAATAGATGTGCGACACGCCCCGAGGCATCTGTTGTGGTGAAAGCCACGATGGCGGTAAATGGTGTCTTGAACTTGCTCGTGCACTTCCAAGTGTCAAAGCTGACATTGATGGTATTATCACTCGCATGATGTAAGCGGATATGGGTTGATACAGATCGACGTTTGATCTCGAGACTAAGCGTACCTGTTGCAACATGCTGCCTTCCAAAGTCTTCGAACATCACCAGACCCAGAAACACCCAAGCGCGTTTCCTCGATTGCGGCAATCGTTTGGCCATCGGGACATATGCCGGGACTGTAGGTGGGCAAAGCCCTATAGGGGTAGCACTGGGGATAGTAGGTCGCATGAGTACTAACGTCGGAGCCTAGAGCTACACCACTGTATACTGTGGAGTCGCGGTCATTCGGACGAAGCCATCTGGTCGAACAGTCTGCTGGTGGGGTAAAGATAGTAGAAAGTGGAGCTAATCCTGTAATGTTCAACTCAGTCACAACGATAGTAGTGATGAAGATTTGACTCGACATGACGAGATGCAAGCACTGCAAGTCGACGAACAAAACAATCGAGAGGAAAGTAAGAGGGTTTGTAAGAGGTGAGAAGCGCGAGAAGGCTGAGAGGCAGCCAAATGCATGAGGGGCAGCCACCTGCAGGCATGATAAACGCCACTGATGATGATACTCATGGTTCGCCGGTCGCATATCTTATTAAAGCAGCAGAACAAGTGATTTGTATATTCGAAGGAATACATGTGATAATTTGAAATTAACCCAGCACAGATGATACTTCAAAAGGACAGCTTTGAAGTGAACGGACAAGAGTAGGGCTCGCGATGTATGTAACAGAACAAAGAATGATATACTGCAGCTTCATTCGATGACTAGGTTTTGTCCATGACTGATACCTAGGACTGAGAGCATCATGGTAGACGCAGTAGAATATCTAGAGTGAATTAGTTGTTGTGTATTGGAGAGTGGAGTGAATGTGGAGAGTTGTCGAATGGGTACACGCTAAGCGAGGGGTAGCGTCAGGGTTCTTGGGTGAATTTCGCGAATCTACATCATCGGTACAGTACAACACAACACGGCATGGCACCCGTCTCAATGCCCTCAGCGCTCACATTCGAGCTGCTGGGCAAGTGTTCAGTATGTGCCTACTCGTGACGCGTGTTGTGAAACCCGACTGACACGTTCAGGTCACGAAAGCACGCGCTGCAACGCTCCATCTGCCCCATGGCCCGGTACCACTTCCCATCTTCATGCCTGTCGCGACACAGGGTTCCCTGAAGGGTCTCACTCCAGACCAACTCGAGGACCAAGGCTGTCGACTATGTCTGAACAACACGTATCATCTGTATGATGGGTCCTGCCCCCACTGCCTTGACTGTTTCTGACACGCGGGAGAGGCCTCAAGCCAGGACAGGCGACACTAGACGCGATAGGTGGTGCACACAAGCTGCAGTCATGGCCACATAACATTCTCACAGGTGACTGCCCTTCCCAGCTGGATTGTAGTCGTGGTAGCAATGCTGACTGGCGTAGATAGTGGTGGGTGGGTCATGGCTCCAACTTGATGGGCGAAAGGGCCACCGCTGACGCCGACGCCAGCTTCCAAATGGTGTCGCTACTGAAGCTCGCCAGGGTGACCGAAGAGGGCGTGCGGTTCCTGAGTCCTCACGATGGCTCTCCAATGTACGGCTCGCCTAGCATCTTGTGCGCAGTCAGATGCTAACATGCGCAACCAGGCTCCTCACCCCGGAGCACTCCATCTCCCTCCAGAACTCTATCGGCTCCGACATCATCATGCAACTTGACGACGTGATTGCCACCACCTCTCCCGACAACGCGCGCATGAAGGAAGCCATGGAGCGCTCTGTTCGCTGGCTCGATCGCTGCATCCAGGCCCACAAGTACCCCGAAAGACAAAACCTTTTCTGCATCATACAGGGAGGACTCGACCTGGACCTGAGAAGAGAGTGCACCGCCGAAATGGTCGCCAGGGATACGCCGGGTATCGCTATTGGAGGGCTGTCTGGAGGCGAGGAGAAGACTGCATACTGCAAGGTCGTCGACACGTGCACAGGGCTGCTGCCAGAGAAGAAGCCGAGATACGTCATGGGAGTCGTAAGCTAGCACACACTTCTACGCCATAGACTTTCGCTAATCATGACAGGGCTATCCCGAAGATCTGGTCGTCTCGGTTGCTCTTGGCGCCGACATGTTCGACTGCGTATGGCCAACACGGACGGCTGTAAGTACTCAATGCACTTCCCATCTCCTACGACCACTGATTTGTCTCAGCGTTTCGGCAACGCCATTACCTCTCGCGGTGTTCTTAACATTCGCAACGCCATGTATTCCGAAGACTTTCGCCCTCTTGAAGAAGGCTGCAAATGCACATGTTGCAGGCCCACGCCGGAAGGTGGTCTGGGCATCACTCGGGCCTATATCTACCACATCACCGCAAAGGAGACCGCAGGGGCTCATCTACTGACCATGCACAACGTTCACTATCAACTGAACTTGATGAGACTTGCCAGGGAGGCTATCCTCGAAGACAGATATCCACAATTCATCAAAGGATTCTTTGGGACGCTCTACGACTGGAATCGTGAAAGTTTTCCTGCGTGGGCTGTCACCGCGTTAAAGGATGTTGGCGTAGATTTGCTAGCCGATTAGAAGGGTGAATTCCAAGTCGATTCTCAGACACTCAACAACGTTCTCGCTGGCTCTGCAAATGCACGATAGAACGACATAAAGACTGCCTACTGATACAAAACTTTGATGTATAGCTAAGTAGTTTTGCAACGTCGCAAGCAAGTACTCTACTAGCTTGACAATTGCGGGTCTAGCAGTACTTGCTATCGTACGTTAGCACTACCCCTATTTTGGGTCAAGCACGCCATGCCATCATCGCCTGTTCCCATTCTTTCATGTCCTATCGTACGAACGCACCACCACCACTAGCACCCACCAAGTTGCCCGTCATCCATCCGCTTTCCGGCAAACAACAAACACCAACGATCCCTGCAACTTCCTCAAGGTACCCTGGTCGTCCACCGATCTCCTTGGCCAGTTGCATCGTCTCTTTGCTGTCAACATTCTCTCTTGCTTTCGCCAGCGGAGTCAGGTTGTTCAGTGGCTTCAACGCTTCCTTGGGTTCGTCTGGCAGTCCAGCATACAAGCCTGTATCCATGGGCCCCGGCGCAACGGCATTCACTGTACAACGCTCAGCAAGCTCGCGCGCCCAGACGCGTGTTATGGCTTCCATCGCGCCCTTTGTTCCGGCGTACGACGTCTGATAGATGAGCCCCCATGTTGTGGTTGCGGAGGAGATATTCACAATGCGGCCACTACGGTCATAAGGAAGGTAAGGAAATGCGGCCTTGATGAGCAGAACGGGCGCCTTGCAGTTTAAATTGAATGTCGCATCCCACGCATCAACGTCCAATGCATCAATTGGTTGCGCGTTTACGGTTGCCGCGTTGTTGACAATAATGTCGATTTGGAAACGGCCCTTCGAGTCTGCGAAGTGTCCCTTCGCGGCGTCGACAAGCTGTTGTGGTGCAGCAGGGTTGCTGAGATCCGCGCGCACGGCTACGGCCTTGACGTTGTATTTGGCTTCAAATGATTTCGCAAGCTTTTGGGCACGCTCATCCGAGGCTTCAGTTGCGTAGTTGATCACAACGTTGGCGCCGCGAGAGGCGAAGTGTTCAGCAAGAACTGCGCCGAAGCCTGGAAGGTGTGAGTTTGTTGTGCCGACGAAGCAGAAAACTGCAGTAGTCATGTGGAAAACATACTTCGTGAGGCACCTGTGATGATCGCAAGTTTACCATCAAAAACCCTTGGAGGAGACATGTTGAATAAGTGTAGAGGTGTAAAAAGGTTTGATTGTGTAGTTCGTAAATGAGCTTGATAGTTCGTTGAAAATCGTCAAGTGAATTTCGTTATGGCAAATCCGGGGTTCATGTATTCCCTCCGGTCGATTCAGGGTCGCAGACTTCGCTACACACGTCTTCAAGAAGTTTATAGAAAGGGTAATGATAGCCGTTGAAGTTGCGGTGTACGAGTAAATACAACGACGGAACGACCCCTCCGACGTGGCGGCGGCACGGCCAGCGTCGATACGTTTGAGAGTCAGTGGATATTCGCCACACGACAGGCCTTTGGCGGTGCCGCGAAACCCGGCATGAACTTCGTCGTCTTAGCAAGCTTCAACACAACACCTACAGAAACGGGCACAACACCCCGCTACAGCGACTGCAAAGTCTAAGAAAAGGATTACGGTCTTGCAACAAATACTGGATACTTTTGCTGTTCTGCTGATTTTGTGCGGTGTTCGTCGCATTACTTCCGGGTTTCGCGAAGCAGGCATATCCTCGATGAGTTTTTTTAACATGGTTTTAATGAACGTTGGAGTGGCTGGATGTGGATCCCGCCATCCTTCGACCCACTCCGGAAGGACCCTATATTTCGGCATATCCTACAGCGGGATGTGATCATCCGTCGCCGCACATTGTCACCGGTCCGGAAGTGGCGTGTTTGCTAACGCTCGCGTACTGTAATACACTGTAGCATCCTACATAGGAGTTGTCTTTTTCACACGAAGCGGGCAAGCAAAAGCCTGCTTACATGCCACATCCAGTCTCACAGAACCCAACTTGAGGTTCAATTTGAGAATGCATCAAGTGCACAACCTCTCCAGCAATTTCCTACCAGAATCCACTTTACCTTGTCTATTGGATGCCTACGCGAGTTTGGCAAATGCGCTACGCTTCCAGACCGGGGGGGACACTTTGTAGTGTGACCTCGGAATAACTACAAGCTATTGACTGCAACGCAATTTGTGAGCATTGAATTGTGCGCTAGTCATCGAATTAGAGTAATGGCTGAGCAGATAAAGAAGGTTGTATTGTAATTCCCGAGAAAGCTTGTTTCATGGACGTTTCTTGCTTGCATAACAGGCAGTCATATCGCTTAGCCTAAACCCTGCTACTGCTGATGATCAGTGTATCTGTTTCAGACAGTTGCTCACTCCGCGGCTACATAGTACCCTCCATGGGTTATTTCCAGTCATGCTCCGCATTCGAATTCAGACGGCGAATCACGGCCTTAACGCATGGTCTGTCCGTGTCGGAAAGGGGTTCTGCGACTGTGCCTCAATCACCTGCGAGAAAATCTTACACATCATTGAACATGGAATGGGTTAAGTGCTGACCCGTCATTTTGGTACTGTGGTTAGGCAAGCTAGATCGCCTCCCTTTTTTGCATTCAACAAATCGGCCATCGAAACCAAGTCAGATTCTGAACTTCTAATTGGTTTGAACTGAACATGGATGCGAACAGCAGTGTCTTCCCTCTTGGTTCGGCCAGCGCGGTACCCTTGTCGTTAATCGGGGCTGCATACAAACCAGGTTTCATCCTTGAGACTACACTCCAAACTAGGCAATACAGGAAGCAGAAAGAGAGGAGAAATGTGGGCGAGAAAGAGTGAAAAGCATGGGACAAGCGATGGGCGGAGCAAAGTGCATAGAGTGACTCGTTCTGTTGCATTTCCTCGCCTTCCTCGGTTCCTCCTCTTCCCACTCTCTCCCCTCAGGTAGGAGCTCTGATCAATGAATCATTGCACATCGGTCTGAGCTCTGTCGATTCCTTCGCTAATTGCCGCGTTCTCGATTGTCGTCATTTATTTTTTCAACACTGGCAATAGTCTACTCCTCGTATAGCCTAGGATCCACATTTGCGAAGCAAGAACTCATGTGGTCGAACTTATAGTCTTCTCTCTAACCGTCCGGTTGTTCGTCTGCAATCAAATTTTCTTGTTACATACGTCTTCGTCCCTTGTTCTGATCGATTGAATGATACAAGAACCCTAACACCATGGCGCCAACATCCTACCCTATGGCCCTGGCCTCTCTGATCTTACTCCCCTTCGATATCATCTCTACAATCTTGCGCTTCCGGATACGCGCTCAAAGAAAGGCATGGGGAGCTGATGACTGGGCAATGCTGGTCAACATTGTAAAAACTTCCTATTTCAGACCGGGTACATGTGCAATGACTAACATCAACTAGCCGTTTTGGCTCGTGAGTACGGTAGCCACGCTTGGGATGGCATGGAGCGGCGTAGGAGCTTACGATGCCACGCTGAGTGCAGAGCAGAAAGCCAATTCAATGCTAGTAGGTCTCACATGGTCACGTCACAGACCTATGTTCTTCCCAAGGGCATATGTTCTTCAATTTAGCAGTTGCTCATAATCATCCTTAGTGGTTTTACGTCTTCCAAGAGCCGTGGTGCTTCACCCTCATTACAATCAAGTGGTCCATCGGCTTTGCACTGATCCGAATCGCGAATGGCATGAAGTGGATTGAATACGTCATCTACACGTGTCTGGCTGTTACGTTAGTTGTAATGGGAGGCACAGGGATGTATTTGTTCTTTCAGTGTATGCCTATTGAGTAAGTTTGTGAATCAACCTCGCTGCGATACATGATTCCGTTATCATGAAAAGGGCTAATCGACATATAGGAAGAACTGGCACACAGCCGTACCAGGTACTTGCCAGGATCGTAGCATCCAGACTGTTCTGTCTTATGCCGTGGCTGCTGTGTCAATATCTACGGATTGGGTCTTTGCTATCCTCCCAATCTTTCTGCTTTGGAATATCCAGCTTGACCCACGTGTCAAGGCCTCAGTCGTCGGCTTGCTTGGTTTGGGCATTTTGTAAGTGTAGACACTTTAGCAGTGATTCTCATATGAACGTATCGACTAATACTTTCTACTAAGTGCATCGATTGCCCCCATTGTTCGCCTGAAGTTCCTCATTGGAATGAATGACCAATCGCGCTTTCTGCAAAACCTCAGCTCAATCTTGGCATGGGCCACCGCCGAAATGAATGTCGGCATGCTTGTTGCAAATCTCCCCGCATGTCGTCCACTTCTCGAGCGAGCCATCCATCGCTTCTCATCTTGGACCGGCAGCGCATCACGTTCACTCCCGCATAGCGGTAAACCTGGAGCAACAGCAGGTACGGGCAGGAACTATCTTGAACTAGACGAACGCCCAGAGAGCAAGAATCTCAAGAGCTACCTGAGCAGCCATGGAACCAAGGGCGGCCCGGGAATCGAGACGAGGATATACGGCCGAGAGTTTGATGCGGACAGTAGCCTGAGTCTTGATCGAGATGAAGGGAGTCAAAAGCACATGGTCGGAAAGTCCAGTCTGGGTGGAATGCAGGTCAATGTGCAAAGAGACTTTACCATGGAGGTTAATGATGGTAACCACGATGGTGTCATGGAGGGCCAAGCGATATCAAAGACTCATGGGATAGTATAGCTTAGTACATGTAATTGAAATTTTAATTGAATACTGTTGGTTGTAACGTTCCTAGATACTGATGTGACTCCAACCGGAACTTTTCAACGCTGTACCCATGATCTGTTTCGTACTAACAACAAAGTACGGCACATCCTGTAATCTTTCCTACTCACCTTACGCGCCCCTGCCAGAAGAAATTAGGTGAACATAGTCGATATGGGGTTGAGAGCGACAACACCGGTAAGGTTAGTTTGGGGGATATCCGAAGTTGTGTACCGAAGCGCTAGACAAAGCGGGGTGGGACGGCAGTAGGGCCAGCCAATCCATACTTGTACATATCTGAAGGGATGATTACAGGAACTCCGTGCTTTCGTATTTTTTATGAGACCCGACTTGACAGATATCCATTTGTGATCGCCATACAACTCTCATCATGCAGCAAGAAGTACCAGGTCAACAAACCGGGGTAACAGTGGATTTCGATAGATACCCGAACGCTCAACAGCTTCTCAAGCGCTGTCAAGACTTCTTCGCCGAGGTTGAGAACTTGTAAGCGTATGCCCTTATCTTCTACATTCTCTCGCTAACGTTTCTAGGACTCCTGGTCGAGATCTTGAAGTGTATCTCAACGAAAACTACGGTCCAGGCAACGGAGTTTATGAGGACTTGTGCTCATTGACACGGAAAGGGGTTGAAGAAGGATGGGCAGCAGACGTCGAAATCAGCGGGCCTAACTATCGACGTTCAAAGCTTGCTGTTCCCAGTGAAGCCACACGTTTCTTTAGCATAACGACAGTCTACTTCAACTCGCAAGAAGAGTTCTCTGGGCAACACCACTCACACCCGTACGGTGAGATCAACTGTGTTGTGCAGATTGATCCAACGGCGGAGCTGAAGGGGATGCAAGGCTGGAAGACTGCGTGGACATCGCCCGGTCCAGGCACGCATCAGTATGTAGTTGTGCGGGTGCTCTGTCTTAAGTTGGAGGACTGACGCAATGCCAGTTACCCCCAATCTCGTGGAGGGGCCGTGGTTGCGCTGTTTTTCCTGCCCGCAGGTCGGATTAGCTATTCTGCAAACCCTGACGACCCTCAACCAGCTAGCCTGTGAGCAGCTAACTAAGTCTCTCACTTATTTCACCTTCTGAGCGAGGTCTGAACTCCTGGTTTTTGACTTTGTGTTCTCTGTTTCCTCTTATTACATGTTCCCCAGCAGCGGTTGTTAACTTCTTCTTGCACAAGCGATTCGCATTTCCTGCGCTGCCGTCTAAGTCTCTCATTATACCTCCGCTCTGCACCCTCTTAATCTTCCAATTTAACCTCCTACTGTTTCACTACCTCAACAATCAAAGCTTTCATTGTCAAATCCAACGCATGCCTGTCCAAGCATATCCGCGGCCCAACGCTGAAGCGCCAGAAACAGTGCCAACCAATTTTCGTGCGCTAAACGGCTCCCTCAGTCGGATCGTCGCGTTGTGCGGACTCTACACAGGAGAGCATAACTCGAACATTTGGTGCAGTGCGTCCACGACGAATCTAGATCCAACTGGTAGATTGAAGGGCCCGAGCTGGCGCTCAGTCGGATATATTTGACTGACAGAGGATGCGGCAATAGAGCGTAGATGCAGAATTGTACCGACAACCTGCATACGTATGTGAAGGAGTCTTGACATCCGTACACTCGTTCGATACTGTAACGGCGCTCTGTTGTCCGGTCTAGACTCAATCCGTAAATATGTATAGCAACCACCATGCACGCGTTGGATAGAACACATTCCTGTATAAGGAAATCCTAACATCAAACAACTAGCATATGTACCACATGTTCTTTTTAGGAATTAAGGACAACATTTTATCGAGTATCTCGATTCTTTACTTGGAAGTGAGAAGTTCTCGACTTGCACAAAAAGCCAGATGCGAGCCTATGCGAGCCTATGCGAGGAATTGTCTCGTCTCCAAATCGTTAGTGACGTTGAGATATGTTTGAGAAGAGACCTTGCTAGAAATTATTTGTCTTGTCCTGCCATCAAGACCATTTGAGTGATCTTCAATCTTCCTTGGCAGCGTATGGTGGTCCTATGTTCTGCCCAAGTTCCGACAATATGAGAGGACCGTGCGCTGTGAGATGTCCAGATCAACTATCCACACCTGTTTTTAGACAGATGTGCTAGTAGCACTGTCGCGCTTGGGGACGGGTGTGTCGAGACGAGTGTATCCACGTTACACAGGTGGCGCGGATGTACCTACGCTCAATTCTCCTGATCATCAACTATTATGTAAATCATCTATGGGCCATCAACTTGCTTTACTCTGTGCAAAGACCATTGACAGGACTCTGCTGGAAAATGTTTGCCATAGCGTCTCACTGGAACCGAGAACTGCTCAAAGCGTCATTCTTGTACCAGTGCCCTTGACGCGTACTCTCGAGTCGCGAAAAAAGCCGGAAGATCCGTGACGAACATAGCATTACTCCTGCACTGCTCCTACAACACCAGATCAAAATAATCTTGAAAAAGGAGCAGAGGCTACTGGAATTTTTGTACCCTTCAAATGTCTGCAGAATCCTGTTGTTTTGTTGTTCAATAATGTGCTGGTCGCGCTCCATCATCACGCCAGTTTCGGCTTTCATCGTGGGCGCCAGGGGCGTTGCATGTGCTCGTGCTGCCCAAACCCGATATACCTTCCATTCGACGAGCCCTACCGGCTGTCATCGTGATCTGCCACGTGTCGGCCTCTTGATCTCCATTTCTTTTACGTGATAGGCGACGATCAGGGTTCGCGTAGCTGTATTCGCTTAGCACCAAATGCGCCTTGGCTTCCTCTTTCGTCTGCGACCATGACGCAAAGCTGCTGACCACTTCGTATACACTGTAATGGTTGTGCACATCATACACATCGCGCATCCCCGGCGCCGTATTCAACGCACTGTATTGCTCTATGGGTGCACTGGTTGTCGCCATTGCCAGTTCTAGAAGCTTACCCCTTTCCCCACATTCTGATGGAGAGAAGATCGTGAGTCTATTCTTGAAAACGTTACGCAAGCCACATACAATGTCCGGTATGCTATTTGCACTAGATAGAAATTTCAATCATCATATGACCTTGACTGCTTGCCATCGGATTTCCATACTTCCCCAAACCCTCTCCTTACATACTCGTCAAGAACAATTTATCCAAGTAGAGACCGCATTCGTCATGGAACCCCTTTCAAACGAATCCCCAACCGGCACACACATCGAGACATCGCCTTCACCTCAGATCGAACACGAGACAGGAAGACCGAGAGTGAGATTCAACAGTTCTGCCAATGCTGAAATCCCTCCCCCAGAGTCAGACATCCTCAATCGTGTCAGTGAGTCAGAATCTGCACCAGTCACCGAGGATCGATACACAGCCAACGCCGGAGAGTTATTGAATGCACACGACGCTGCCTACGCCGATTTTGAAGACTTGTCGACAGAACCAGCGGACGAGACGTATGACAATTCGGAGAGCTATTCGGTGACCAGCAACGTTCGGGGTGGTGTATTCTACCATCTCCTTCAAGCCTATAAGATACCTGTACCTACACTCCAGAGGCCAACATCAGCATTGAATACGAGCGCGCCAACCTCCAGGCCCGGATCGTCCTCAGGAGCTGCTACACCGTCGCGTCGAAAATGGTATGAGCAAGAGAAGGCGGCCCAGTCGCGCGAGACATTGGCTACACTCATCGGGGCATCTGCTAAGCTTGCCAATCCGAACGAGAAGAAAGAACACGTCACAGATCAACGCCATCATAAGCGAACTAGCAGTGGCGGTCTTCTCACAAAGGTGTGGAAGGCCAAAGAGGACAAAGACGCGAAGATTAAGATCCATGTTGCAAACATCCTCAAACGACAACAGTACATCATCAGAATGTGCCGTGCGCTGATGCTGTTCGGCGCACCCACTCATCGTCTCGAAGAGTATCTCGCCACTACAGCCACGGTCCTCGAGATCAATAGCCAATTTCTCTACATCCCTGGCTGCATGATAATTTCGTTCGACGATCTATATACTCACACCACTGAAGTCAAAATCGTACGCACCGCGCAAGGTGTCAATCTCGGCAAGCTCAAAGATACACACGACGTCTACAAAGAGGTCTTACACGACGTCATCAGCCTGGACGACGCGCTCGCTCGGTTGGATGAGTTGATCCACGCAAAAGACCGCCATCCTGTCTGGCTATGCGTCCTCATGTACGGTCTCGCCAGTGCGGCCGTTTCTGTCTTTTTCAACGCCCGCCTGATCGATATGCCTATCATATTTGCCCTCGGATGCATGCTTGGTTTGATGCAGCTTGTTCTTGCTCCTATATCGAAGACATACAGCACTGTTTTCGAGATCACCGCAACGATTCTTATGAGCTTCCTTGCACGTGCCTTTGGAAGCATTAATGGAGGAAGCCTCTTCTGCTTCTCCGCTATAGCACAAAGTGCAATTGCCCTGATTCTCCCCGGATGGGTACGTATACATCTCCAGATAACCATCAGGTGGCTATTCGACAACGCGCTGACCCTTACAGCTTGTACTTAGTTCTGCTCTGGAGCTGCAATCTCGTGCTATTGTTCCAGGGTCAATCCGACTGGTGTTCGCCATCATCTATTCGCTTTTCCTTGGCTACGGCATCACAGTCGGAACAGCCATATATGGAGCTATCGATCCAAATGCCACCAACGAAACAACCTGCCGAGCTCCCATGAACCCATACTGGAATTTCCTTTTTGTCCCCTTCTACGTTTTCTTCACGACCTTCACTGTACAAGCTAAGTACAAACAGATGCCTGCCATGATAGCGATTGCCTTCGCAGGATATGTTGTCAATTTCTACGCAAATAAGAAGTTCTCATCTAGTGCTCCGATTGCCTACACATTGGGGGCGTTCACTATCGGTGTCCTCGCAAACTTGTACAGCCGATTACGCCACGGCGTTGCTGCGGCTGTTCTCTTGCCGGCTGTCTATGTTCAGGTACCCGGCAGTCTTGCATCAAGTGGTAGCATCAATTCTGCTCTCAAAACTGCGGCCGCACTTGTTAAAGGCTCTACAGCAGCAGATGTAGGTTCAGGATTTTCTTGCCCTCTTACTTATATGCATCTAAAACCTCAATGATGGGCGGTGGCTAACGCATCATAGGCATCTACCGACAGTCTGAACGCAATTGTTTTCAACGTTGCAGCCTCCATGGTTCAGATAGCCATCGGAATTACCGTTGGCTTGTTCATGGCAGCACTCCTCGTTTATCCTCTGGGTAAACGGCGCAGTGGCTTGTGGACACTCTAGAGTATATCCTATTTCTTCATTTTTAGCGGGTGCGACGTTCTGAATCGAGATAAAAGATGGGCATCTGGCAGCCCCTATTGCTAATGCCCTGTAGTATTGGAACTCCAAGTTGCTGAGAAGGTCGTATAGTGTGGTGTAGTGAGAAGGTAAGCCCCCGAGCAACAATGGGTCGCATCCATCGCAGCCATCCGAAGCGACCATGCGACCGTACCAGAAGCAGCTTCCAACTTCATATCGGCACCTTCGAATGTCTGTCGACAAATGTTTCCATCGCAACCTCTAAGCCCACAGCGATTGCATTTTCAGTACACGCCTCCACCGCCGTCAGATCCAAAGCGACCAATTAGTCGAGAGGAATCTGACCGGCTGGTTCATTGCACGTAGGCCTCGCACATGATTGAATGCGCTACTAACGAAAGATATCTCTTGTAAATTCTAGCCAAACGACTCAGAATAAGAGCTCTCATAGCTTTAGAACGAAGCTTAGCTGGCAACTTGTTGTAGGTCTTGTAGGATTCCAGCACCTAGGTCTTTGTAGGACTTTTATTTAGAGGCGTGTAGTACTTGCGTCTTTGTATACGGATGCTTCACCTTGAGTGTCTTTGAGGAGTATCTCGTGATTGTCAAGCGATGTATATTCTAGGAGTTGGCAGACGCAGGCGTACTTGCTCAATCATACTTCGAGCTTTGGTATCCATACTGATGGTTTGGCACAAACAGGTGTTTGTGAATCGCGAAAGGGTGCAAAGAGTGGAGTATAGGTGAATGCATCCTGAGCAACTGGTATTAATTATCCTATCTGAATAGATATATCTAAGAACCTTATTCTTTCGTCAGCAATTTCCTTAACATTATTGGAGTCATAAAATAACAAAATCTGGATGAGGTTGGAATGAGTTATATTGCACGTCTCGATATGCTCTGTATCTGGACGAATTGATCTGGATATTCATCCCTTGCTATTCTGTCTATATATATTGGAACCCGAAAGCTAATACCATACGAGAAAGTCGCATGCATCGAGGCCCAGATAGAACATGGCAGTTATTGCCAATAAGCCGCCCACTTGCTCTTCCCTCCCAACACGTTCACAAACTCTCTCGCAACAATCCGACTGGTCTGCTCACTGGGATGCAGCGGATCGTACCACAAGTAGCTATCCGGACTTGCCGCCAATGTGCAATTCTGACCATTCACCCCACATTGATGAACTACACCCGTGACATTGAGCGGTGCGGTGCCGTTCAAATAGTTTCCCGGGTTACTCCACACATCCGTCATCAACGCGTTGACATCGAAACTTGCAATCTGCATGCCGGGATGGGATGCAGAGACTGAGGGCGTGCGGTACTTGAACACCTCGTTTAGACTGACGACGGTTTCCTGCATGCGGTACGAGACGTCCGTGATGTTGTACCGCGTCTTATCGGGCCAGAACTGCGTGGCACTCAGTCCGCCGTTTTCGGGAGTTGCGTATTGCGGGAGCAGGTTCAGCGGCGCGAGATTTAAGAGGACAAAGTATCGTCCTCCGTTTTCGTAGAGGCTTGTGATGGTGTCGTACACGCAATCCACAAAGTCCTTTACCGTCTTGCCTTTCACTTGGCTGTTGGTCAAGAAGGCATTGTTGCCGAGATCGTTTGTACCGATCCATAGGGCATACACCGTGTTCTTTGGCTGACCGGTGAAGAATTTGCTGCCGTTTGGAGTGATGTACGAGGAATCCGCGATGAAAGCAGGAAGCTCATATCCGGCAACGTCGGGGAACGCGGGGGTGGAAGTGAGGGAGCGTGGGGTGATCGCATTAGAGCATGCAGCGCCCGAGACAGCGTAGTTGTAGAGCGTTGCGTTGGAATAAATGCTGGCATAGCGTGCCCAAGAGAGGCCGCCTGAAGCAGTTTTGAGGCCCTGGAAAAATCAGTATTGAAGCGCCAGATGAGGATTTGGTCTTGTGTATTGGGTTGGAATGCACCAGCACGCCTAGCATGCTAGGATGGGAGGGCAAATTATACGAGCTCAATATCGAAGTTTGAGGAGAGAGTTATGCGCGCTCACGCCATCGCAGTACGGATTGCGTTCAAAGCGAGAAACGAAATGTTTTACATACCAATGGCTGCTCCCATCCTACAGGTGGTGCTGATCCATTATGACTGTTAAAGTACCCCAGACGATTCTCGTCCGTGTAGCTGTCACCAAACGTCACCAATGTCTTGAACTTTCCCGTCTTCCAAGCGCTTGATGGCTTTTCTGCGAGTCCAGCAGTGAAAAGCAAGGTGGTGATAAAAAGTCCCGTCGTATGGTAAGTAGCCCACATTTTGAAAACCAAGGTGCCGACAATTCCTCAACCATCGGGAGAGCGTTCGCGGATATTTGTACCTTCATCATATTATCAATGACAGACGGAGCTCTAGGGCTTCCGCTCCACCAATAGACGAACTCTCGGTCGATTACCGTTTGATCAATTTGCGGAGCAAGAACGCGGGGAAGTCCTGGGGTACTTCTCGGCTAAGTGTGAAGGCTGAAACCATAGCGGTGTCTTGTAACAATATGACGGCTACACATACAAGGTCCGGGTAAAACATGGATGCTTAGGGTATTACAAGTAGACGCTTGATCTTCTATGCTCATGTCAGAATTTACTGATCGAGATAAGCAGAATGCAGTTCTTAAGAGAGACAGCATGTCATTTGCGGAAGCGATGCCGTTTGTGGTTGTAGTCTGGCAAAATCCATGCAGTCGATTCACACTCATATCGAACAAATCATTTCTTGAAGCTCCAACAGCGATGTTATAGATGCAGATAGCGCTATAGAGCGAACAAGATGGGCCGAAGCCATCAGCACCACCGTCAAACCACCTTATATAGCCCTACACCACCTCTCCAACCCTCTCTCTTTCTCCGCCTTCAACACGTCCCCTATCTCCTCCAAACTAACATCTGCCCTTACCATCCCAAACCCTCCTGCTTGCCCAGCAATGACCGGCATCACAAGCGCCAACTCGACCAAGCCCTCCCATTCTCTCCTCGCGACATCTTTGCCCCAGACCTTACTCACACTGCTACTAGCACTCAATCCACCCGCAGCACTCTGGATTCTGGCTTTCGAGGCCAGTGTTACGTATTCGTCATAGGCCATGTTGAAGTTGCAGGTATCGCTATCGTGGATGATGTCGAGTCGCGCGGCAGCGATGAGAAGGGAGAGAGCGAGCGTTGAGAGGTGAGGGAGGAGAGATAGTTTGGCGTCCGGCGGATGAAGAAGATTGAGTGGTTCGAAAGCGGAGGTCGGGGAGAGTAATGCGGTTGGAAGGAAGAACGTCGTCAGGACAGAAGGTACGGACTTTGTACGATAGAATGCGGGTGCTAGATGAGATTTGAGAAAAGAAGGAGAAGTGAAGAGTTTCTGTGTACGTTAGTGGTATTCTTAGCGCAGCTGATGGTGAAAGCAATCTTACTTCGATGTTCGCATTCCATCCTTCCAGAACGTTTTGCTGGGGAGCCTTGCTGCCCTTCTTCCCGGGTGTGCTCGTTGTGCCGCCCTGCAATATTCCTCTCTCTTCAAGACTCAGCTGCTCGGTCTGCACAGTCAAACATGCCTTGCAAATCTCCTGGAACGCTGTAAATGTCTTCGCGAGACTGAGGTGCACATAGCGGTGACTGAAGCGACTTTTCACTCGTTTCTCCAAGCTGTTTGTCACATCGATACGTGTGGTCAGCCCCAATACGGCGATAGGAGCCTTCCGCGACTGAGCGATGTCGAAGAGGTTGTAGAGCAGGGTTTGACGCGGATGTTGGGCGAAAAGATCGAATTCATCCATGACGAAGATGACTGCTTTGGCCACCTGTTCTGTGAGCTCGCCTGTCTGCTCAGACGGATGGGAAAGTAATGCAAGGAGAGTTGTCAGCGTGTCAGCGTAGTTCTTGCCAGGCCCACTGCCGTCTTCTTCAATGTCCATCTCTTTGCCCAGTTGCCGCCATATCTCACGCAGCGCAATCTTATCGTCTGTGTGTATTAAACCGTTCAGGCGTACAACATGGTATTCTCCGCCATTTTCCCGCGAGACCTCTGCAAGGACCTTGTTCACAAGCGCTGTTTTGCCACTTCCTCGTGCGCCAATCAACAGCATAGAGTTGCCTTCTCCAGCGGTGATGGTCTGCTCGACAAGTTGGTGAACCGATTTGTACTCTTCGTCTAGGCCGGTGAGGGGCGGCGGACGCTTGCCTGTGATGCGTTCCAGGAGTATGGTCTTGAGCAGGTCCAACTCGCGGCCTGCAGCAAGGCCTTGATATATGAGCGGGGGCAGCGGCTTTTCCTTCTTTGCTGAAGTGGGCTTGTTGAACGGACTCGGCTCGGTGGGGTCCAGCATACTGTCTAAGATGCTGTTTTCGTCCACGTCCGACGCATCCTCATCGTGGCCGTCCACTTGCTCGATACACTCCGGCGAGCTCTCGTCGGCGCGGTTGTGTGCGTGATCGGCACGGTTGTTTCGCCGTCTAGCGCTTGCTGTCTGCCTCGTGCTGCTCGGCGTGTCATGGTCGTCCTCGGACTGTAAAGCCGCCGAGGGCTTCTCTACTGGCTTGCGTTGTCTAGCCGATCTCGAGAGTATCCCGGCAGGTGCTTCCTCGTCCATCTCGGGGACGACTTCGACGTGTATGGTGCTAGCCGTTCTCTTCTTTTGCCGTAGCTTCGATGGAGACGTGCCAATCACCCCACTCTGCGGCTCGTCTGCTTCTTGGTCTTGCTCTGGTGCAGGAGCTGGTGCCTTCTTCTTTCGCCCGCTTGCTCTTGGAGCCGGCGTCTTGCGTGCTGATGCAGCCGTCGTTGTGCTGGCCTTTGTCTTCTTGGGAGTCGACACGTTTGCGACCTCGTCTGCCTCCCCATTCGCTCCGTTATTATGGCCACTGACTAAGGTGCGAGATGTGCTCTGGCTTGGGCCCACTGCCTCTTTCCTTGGTCGTCCTCTCCCACGTTTTGGTGGGGCGACAACAGGCTCGAGCACCTCGATCGTGTCTCCTGAACTCGCAATGTCTTTCTTGGGTGTGGGCGTAGGTCTGGGTCGCCGTATTGTCGGCCGGGGCGACGTCTGAATGCCTAAAGCGCCGTCGATATCATCGTATATGTCCGGGTCCTCGACGGCGGCGTGCTTGGCTAGTGGGCCATTCGTGGTGCTCTTGGGACCTCGTGCACTGCGCTTCGGCGTGGGCTCTTCTTCTTCCACGTCTGACAAGCCAGGCTCCTGTGCATACGACACGGATCGGTTGGCAACTCTTCCCGACGCCCTCTTCACCGAACTCTTGGCCAAGGGGCTCGATGCTGTGCGCTTCGGGGTGTCGAGCTTTCTGCGCTTGGACGAGCGTGGCGTGTCTTCCATGGCAGGCGACGATGCGCTCTTGAAGCTTGTTCGACGCGGGTGTGTTGCTAAGAATATCCCCTCTGTCGGCGGTGCGTGGATTCGGCGGGAACGTTACACGCGATGGAAGCTGCTTGTCGAGGCGCGTCCATGTCCAGTCGCGTCGCGCTACAACTCCGCCGCACCCTGCCAAGATCGGCGACTGCCATCTCCGCGTTCGCGCGCTCACGTTCACGCTCACGCTTTCCGCCGGCTCCTCCGCCGGCTCAACTCAACCGTCGTCCAGCAAATCAGCGCTACGAGCATTCTAGCTATGACGCTGGCCGTTGCGGTATCGCTCGTTATCCGCGGATCGCCGAACCGTGCAACACGCCCTACAATTGATTTGATCGACCAGGACCGGTCTCAAACTGACAGACTGCAACACTAACTATTTGACTCATCCTTTGAGCAAGAATAAAGTGACGAGGCGCCGCTGTCTATGTGACTGCAAGATATCAATCATCATGGCTCAAAAGCACACTCCGCAGCTCGAGCTGGCTTCGTATCCTCAGCCCAATTCTTCAGCCCTTGATATCGAACCGTTCCAAAACGACCCAAGCATTGCATCTGAACATGATGAAGGCTTCTCCCTGCCTCCCACTGATGGAGGCAAAGACGCTTGGCTGTTCCTGTTTGCCTGCTTCATGCTCGAAGCCCTGATCTGGGGTATGCTTTTCTAACAACCAGCGCGCAGTTGGAACTAGTTCAGACTGACATTGACCAAGGGTTTCCCGCTTCGTACGGTATCTTTCAAGAATACTATACTCACAATGAACCCTTTGCCGGCTCCAATAACATAGCTGTTGTTGGTACTTGCGCCATGGTAGGACCATGATATATTTCGGTCGAGTCCCTGGCTAATGCAGGCGCCAGGGCATCATGTACATGGCTCTCATCCCCGTCTTCGTTTTGCTCAAATTCTTTCCCAAGTTTCGCGCATGGGCGACTCCAGTTGGTCTGGTTATCATCTGTCTTGCCCTTGGCCTGGGATCGTTTTCAAACAACATCACGCATCTCATTCTCACCCAAGGCATCGTCTACGCAATCGGTGGTAGTCTCGCATGGACGCCAATTCTGTTCTACATTGAGGAATGGTGGGTACGTCGTAGAGGCTTGGCATTTGGAGTGACTATGGCAGGCTTTGGCATGTCCGGCGCCATCCTTCCGGTTGTCCTTGAATGGCTCCTCCATGGGTACGGCTTCAGAACAACCTTGCGGGTTTGCTCTCTCATGTTTGTCGCGCTAAACTTTCCAATCCTGTTCTTCTTCAAACCTCGACTTCCGCTTTCCCAAGCATCTCAATCCAGGAGCTTTGACATGTCGTTTTGGACATGTTCAAACTACCTGATCCTACAGTCAGGAAACATCATACAAAGTCTTGGCTTCTTTCTCCCGGCCATCTACCTGCCTACCTTTGCGCGTTCTATAGGCGCCAACAACATCCAAAGTACTGTAACAGTCATCCTCCTCAACGCCGCCGCATGTATAGGAAACCTGTGCATGGGCATGGCGGTTGACAAATACCACGTTGTCAACTGCCTCTTTGTAACATCCATCGGCTCTGCTATCGGAGTCTTCCTCCTGTGGGGATTTTCCACATCCTTGGCCCCGCTATACGTCTTCTGCGTCATTTACGGCGCTTTTGCGGGATCGCAGGCCAGCACGTGGAGTGCCATTGTCCGTGGTACGAAGGAGAAAAGAAGAGGAGCTGACTCGGGCATGGTCTTTGCATGTCTCTCGGCTGGCAAAGGCGTAGGCAATCTTTGCAGTGGACCCCTGTCCGTAGCTTTGCTGCATGCAGGAGACTGGCATGCCAAGTTCGCTTATGGAAGTGGTTATGGTGCTCTTATCGCATTTACGGGTGCGACGGCTTTGCTCAGCGGGTGGAGCTATGCTGCGAAGAGGATTGGATGGCTATGAAGGAACGAGGCTATGTGGCAAAACACTTCATGTACTTGGAATCTCCTTGTCAGTTATGCCAGCGCGTTCTTCTTGATATTTACATACATGCCTGCTCAAAACATCTCCACAATGGTACCTCACCCACTCAACAACGGTAGGAAACCCAATGGCCCAGGGATTGAGAACTATGATAGCAGTCAGAGTGGATGAGCTTGTGTCTTGCTGGAACTGTTTCTCCCAAGAATTGCCACATGCTACGGATGTGTACATCCACTTCCTCGAATGCGTATGCGTCTCACGTTCTGCACCACTTCGACTGCGTTGGGTCTGCCTGTGGGACAATAAGACCCCACAAGTGCTTCAGCTTCAGCTTCACCGCAGAATTGTCAAGATTCAGTTTGGCACCGACAGTGGTGAGCTCACTCCGTTATCGGTCAAATATGGTGCTAGCGTGGATACCTTCTGTGCACTCTGTGTTTGCCAACGACAGCCACAATAGTACCTGAAGCAATCCAGCCCGTGTATCACGCAGTGACTTCTACGCTGCGTCTCGAGCTACTGACATCATAATCAAACAAACAGCGCTGTCTAGCGCCGAGACCACTGTCACCAGACGACTGTAGTTGAATCGAACGTTGACCGCTCATTCACCAAGCTCTAGGACATGCTTGAAGAAGACGAGGTCTCGGAGCTGAGGTATTGGGTCCGCAGTACAGATTTGTATCCGCCCCTCTCTATCCTCAGTGCATGTGTAGCATTTGCCCATCTTCAGTGAGCGACCGTCTTAACACTTTTCTCCCGCTCTCCCTCGTGGGTGACTTCCTACATCTCGTCTAATGACGTTTCTAGTACGTGCGTCTCGCATGAGTATCGGACCATGGTACGATTGTTCGCTGACGAGCAACTTCCTCTGCGAGGCTGCCACTTCTCACTTCAGCGTGGACAGTCAAGTTGGAGACAGGTGATATCTAGTCCAGTGAGGAAGTCGAGTTTCGATTGTGTCAGCGAGTTCCCTTCAGGTCTCACCCTCATGGGCAACTTCTTTGCATGGTCTCTTGTTCGAAACACTACTCCCTATCATGTCACTTTGGAGTGTTTCTCAACGACGGCAAGAGCCTGAAACACTTTCATCAGTCGTGCATCCACATCGTCAGCCATGTATTCTCTATTTTCATGCCTGTTCCTAATCGTTCTATGGTGTGACGTCCGCGTTTTGCATGTGGTCCGCTTTCTCACCGCCGAGCACCTTCCCTCGCGGTTGCCATTGTTGCCTGTCTGTGCGTCAAAGTGAAGGCGGCCACTTCTCAACTGACGTCGACGTCAGAGATAAGCGTAATCGCCCTCGGTGACGCCGGTGACGTTCAGCTTTATCATCTGCCCTCAGGCTCACTATATAATCTCGCTCGTCCACTCCCACCTTTCATCTTCCCATCAACCACTCACACTTTCTCTTACCCTCCCTCATGGACGACTCGATCAAACGCAACCCTAAACGGCATGCCAATACCGTCCTGGACGTCGATTTCACCTCAGATGACGATCCAGCTTTCTCCAGCAGACCCACGAACCGCAAGCGGCGTCATGTCGCTGATACATTCACCGTCGTCAACATCGCCTCCGACGACGCTCCAACTCCAGCGGGTCTCGCCCGGGACTCCAGCAGTTCAACGGCTTCAGGTGCACCATCTCTTCCATGTCCTATGCAACGCTTTGGTTAACACGTTGTAGTACTCAAGGAGCAGCCAAGTTTGATCGACCTCCCTCAGGACGTTGAAATGGCTCTGTACCAAGACTATCCAGCTCTTCCGGCTCTTCCGGTCCCTGTGCCTGAACGACACCTCGCTGCTCGACCTCCGGCATCATCGCTTCCACAACGCTCACCTCCTCGCCGCAATCTCGCGGGTCCGCCCGTCGGTCCCCCCTCTCGTGCTTCGTGTCGTCATCATTGCAAAAAGACAATCCTCAGAGGAATCTGCACAGTCAGGGCTCACGGGAAATGCAATGACAAGTAAGTTCATTCACTCCTCTTTCACATCACACTTCTAAATATTTCAGACCGACTACGCTTGTGAGGTGCACCCGTTGTGGAGATCAACGCTGCCAGAAGTGCAATCGTCTGACGACAGACCACTCTGGCTCAAGGAAGCATGGCAAACGACCGGGACAGCCAGGCTACGAGGGTCCCTTGCCGGAGAGGATGCAGTTGATAGATGGATAGTTCACACTGATGAAGACTCTGACATGATATTGGAAGACTCCATACCATCATGATATCTGTAGCTAGAAAGTTTTCAATGAAGAAGACTCTGATATGACATCGCACACTTGTTTCTCTATCGTGTGATCTGCACTACATGTCTCCGCAAGTGTGATGGATCCTGAGTTGGTGGTTTTCAACTCTACGCGACATATATCAACCGACTTTTACAGTTATATATCTGCTCAAAACTGTAGCTCTTTCATCTTGCAGTTTTCGTTGATTACACACAATTCTCAAACGAGTTATCTGCGTTCGGAAAGCTGTGCCTTCTCCAGTGCATAAATATATAAATTCAAATTACTTGTGATCGGAAGCTGATTTCTTCATAGAATTAAAATCCCAGAAAATCGAAAATATTTACTCAGACAATTATGTGTATCAGCTCTTACCTCAAGTTGTACAAGTCAACACAACGAATTATCACAAGTAGATCTCACCGTTGTGTACGAGAAGTACCAGATAGACCACCCCACCCCACCCCAAAACACAAACAACCACCAAAGTAGAATGACTCTACTCTGAAAAGTAGATCCAAGGCTGATTGTGCACAAGACTGCAATAGGCAGACCTAACATATAAGATGCTACAAAACCCAACCAAGGGTATGTATGGCATATCGCATACGCAGGAATGCCAAGCACAATGACAGAAACTCACCATACCTCCTTGCTCAACCACAGAGCGAACAGCCGACCAGATTTATATTCGGCAACTTCTCCCTCGGGAAGGAGAGGTATCTCATAAGCGATAGCTCCTCCTGACAAATCTTTTGTTATACGGCGGCGTATCTCGGTCCCCGTCAGTGCGGATACGTCTCTGGGGTCCTCTTCCTCAGTGTTTGCAAGTTGAACCCGAATATTGTCTGCGAATTCGATGATAGCCTGATATCCATCTACGACGTCTTTGCGGCCTTGTTTCCGCATCAAAAATTTGTATCGACGCCACAAGATGAGTGAGCCAACGGTCCAGATAAGTAGGCAGACAAGCATGACAATGAGCTGGATCATGGAGAACCCCCATCGATAGGTCTAGCCGAGCAATTAGGGCGTCTGTAGATGTACTGAGAGGAAGACTCATCACGTACCTCTAGACCCTGACAAGTCCCTTCCGATTTTATCCATGCTAAGTCGTCAGTCTGATTTGACGCCTCCCAAGTTGCTTTTGATTTGTTCGCAAACAGATTTTGATTGGTCTTCGGGTCCGTCCAGTTAGAGCCGCCTAGGTCGGGTGGTAGATGGAAGGCTGATATGTTAAGCACCGGAGGCGGAAGACTGATATTCACGAATATCGAGGATCTGTTTTCAGTGCCGTAAAAGCCGTAATTTGTGACGTCTATGGAGATCGGGCTAAAAATTAACTTGAAGCTAACAGGGTGTTGCACTTACGATCTGAGACATTCCTTCTCAGTTTACAATAGGACGTTTCTTCGGCCTGTAAGTTATAAGGATGATCACAATCTTTCGCAAACACAGGATCGCCTAAGCACCACTTGTCAGGTCATTGTTAGATATTGGGACATTATCATTCCATGTACCGCTCTTGTCCTCTAACACAAGAAAGTCGCGTGTCTTGTTGATCCTATCCCCATCATGTATGATGTATCAGATGACATGGAAGCTATTGAAATCGATGAGGTTGCCATCTCTATCAGGCACAAATCGCCCTACGCTTGCGCTGTAACCAGTTATAGCACTGCCAAGGGTTGGAAATGCTAAGAAAAATAGCATTGTAGCGATCATGAAGATCATTGCTACCTTAGAATGTAAGCCATGGCGATGGGTAAAGTCACGAACAGTACGCGGGATAGCAGTAAGAAGAGTTTCGTTCTGGAGGAAGATAGTCTGATAAATGTTGAATGTTACAGGTGTGACTTCTATAGACGTCGTAATATACATGGCGAATATGCGCCATGAGATAAACGCGAGTAGAGCTTGACCGCCGCGTCCAAAGATCTGGAAAGAATTCAGCCTCACCGAAAGGATTGATGAGCGACAATAGGCGTGGAATTTATCACTCACGATGTCTCCAGCGATAACGATTGTCTTTGCTTCAGTGAAGTTCAAAGTGCCCCATCCCAGTGTAATCTGGAAGAACCCGGAGCTAGACCAATGACGATAGTTCTCTGGATCGAGCCGAAACTGGCCGTCGGGCGTGTTGGGAACAGGTCAGGGCTCGCACGCAGTTCCTACAATCGCGTCAACATCCAACGACCGATATCCACCTTGAAGATTCAATGTTGATGCTATATCCGTCGCCCCATTAGACGGCAGGAGGTACATGATCCCCGGGCCCAGGGGAAGGATTTTCAGGGAGCGTAGTGCTCTCGCGGAGTGTGCTGTGCAGAATGTCTGTAGCGCCCAAAGAGATATCGTCTGTGGGGCTCCACGGGAAATCTTTCTTAGTCGGGCTCTGTTCTGTGGAGTTGTAGTCGGGGATGGCACTGGAACTTCCCTAGAGATCTATTGCGGATCGACGGTCATTTAGTAGACGTGGGTTAGATGGTTTGTCTATAAGACTGCAGTTTGAGTCTAGTAGTAAGCTCTAGGAATTACTTTTCATTAGGGTTTTGCTTTGAGTGGATGAGAGGATTTCCTTAACCCCCTTACTATTTGGCAGAACTATGGGAACAGCCTGTGGGAGTTTTGGTTGGGATTGGTTAAAACTCTGTAGTGTATATTGGTTTCTGCAATGCTGTTCTGGATTTGTTCTAGTGAACACTCTTGGTATTTTACTTGCTGTGTAGTGTAGGGTTTACTAGTATATTTCTCTATTTACCACAACACAAAATAACCCACTTTATCCGTACCAACTAACAACACGCTCTTGTCAGTCAGTCAGTCAGTCAGTCAGTCAGTCAGTCAGTTAGTCAATTAGCTGTACATAGCATCAGCGTCAGTATCAGCATCTAGAACACAGAACCCGAAAAAACGTATATACCATATATTTTCCTCGGAACTATCATCCAAATACCACTTCATGAACCTACGTTCCCATTCTATCTCTCCAAGACTGGAGAACTCCTGCTCATCTTATCGCCTGCTTCGTTCATTTACTTTCTTCGTACTTTCGGGGATACTAAACGACATGGTGAGTGAGTGAGTGAGTGAGTGAGTGAGTGAGTAAATAGCAGGAGCTAAATAAATGTACGTTTTGGAATTCTTGATGTGGGATGGGAGGGGTTGTCACGTCGAGGAAGTAGTGTTCTGGGTGGAAGATAGAAGATGGATGGATGGATGGGTGTTTTCTCTCACTTTTCACTTTCCACAGTGTTTCACCTAGCTTTCCATGTCCACCTTTACCTTTACCTGCATTACACACTTCAATGCACTGCATCATATGGATCGCTTAATTCCTCTACTTTACTTCGCTTTGCTATACAACAAACTCCTTCCACCCATCCAACCATCCAAACCACATCAACCCCAAACCCACACGCACACACGCACCCACGCACCCACCTACAAGCCATGAAATCTCCCCTAATCCCCATCCTCACGCTCATCCTGGCCCTCCTCCCCCGCACCCTCTCAACCCCCCTCCCCGACACCCCAATCTGGGACCCCTCCTGGTGCCGCGGCCAGCGCCTAACCCTCGGCATGCTCGCCCCCCCCGAAACCGCCAATAAATACCTAACCCCCCTCCCCAGCCCGTGGGACGGCGACCTCGCCTTCGAACTGCGCACATGGGGCTACCGCGAGCTCCCCTCCCAGCGCGACGACCTGTGCGACTTCGGTCCGGGGCAGCACGAGCTGCAGACGGCTTTTGCAGCGCTGGGCATGGATACGCGGGGTGTGGGGGAGGGGGGGTCGAATCAGTGTTTTCATGTTGAGCATGCGAATGGGAGGGCGGTGGAGAGGGGGAGGGATGGCAGGGTGCCTGAGGTGGAGAGGCAGACGTATGTTGTTGGGGGGGTGCGGTATCGGGTTTGTTGTTTCCTCTCCTTCCCTTTCCTACGTGTTTTGGAATTAGTGGGTTGGGCTGGGCTAGCTGACATGTTCTGTCCTACAGGTAACGCAGTCCTACACCACCCTCGCCATCAACCCCGCAGCCGGCGCGCTCTTCTTCCTCAACCGGCTCAGCCCTGCGCACGCCGCGGCGGAGAGCTGGGGCCTCGCGGGCCCCGAGGCGGTGCGCAGGGAGTGGCTGCCCGCGCTGGCGTCCAGCTCCGACATCGCGTGGGGCTTCTGGAACCGCGCGTGTAGCGCCAACCTGCACCATATCACCAAGATCTTCAGCTGCATGATCACGAACGAGGTTACGCTCGAGCTGATTGACGAGGCGCTGCGCACGTATCCGCTTGCGCCGGGGGAGAGCAGGCCCTTAGAGGTAGAAAAGTGGCCGGGGACAACGTTTCCGGTGCGGTTTGATGCTGCGTTGGCATTGCTGGGTATGTGTTTTTCTTCTGGGGGAGTGGGTGTGGTGCTGATTTGTGGGTAGGGTCGCCGAATGGGGTTGCCGCGGGCTACTTTTTGGCGCAGCATAAGGCGCAGTTGGGGGGGAATAAGTTCATTGAGCGGGTTACGGTGTTTCGACCGGATAGGGGGTTGATGCCGTATTTGCTGTTTTGGGTCGAGGATGCGCCGGCTGGGCCTGGGGAGGCGGTGGTGGATGAGAAGATGGGCCGAGATGGAGTGGAGCCGAGGATTGTGAAGCGTAGTGTGGATGGGAAGAATGTGGAGAGGGAGCATGTCCTGAGGGCTAAGCTGTGATGGATGGGGTTGAAGGAGGGTTGAAAGAAATTTGGAAATAAAAGTATGCTTGGACAAGAATATTCGGAAATAAGAGTGAAGTAATGGATAGTTTCAAGTCAGAACTTGTCTAGTATGAAGACTGTCTGAATTGGAGATGGGTATATACGTCACACATCCTCACCACCAGCGCGCCCCGAAAATCTTAGGGGCAACCTTGTCTTTCTTCTCATCAGCCACGAGATCAATCCTTTGATGCCCCTTGACATCAACAGCTAACTCGGCATACTCATACTCGTTCTGGCTCGGCCTCTTCACAAGATGCACATTCACGACACCCTGCCCCAGCGGCCCCTCGACATAAAATCTAAAACGCAGGTGGTCGGTACCCCACTTGTCTGTGTCCTCGGTGCTAGTGATGAAGCGGTTGCGGGCGTTGCGCGAGAAGGAAGGTTCGCCGTATGCAGCGATCTGTGAACCTTCGCCGAGCAGCTTCTGACAGCGGGCGTCGTCGCGGATGCGCGTGGTGGCGCGGTTGAAGTGGGCGGTTTTGGAGTCGGGGCTGAAGACGTCGCTGAAGAGGACGTAGCCCACGCCGGCCTGGGGGTGTGAGTATATATATGAACTCGTCATTGGAGACAGGGTGGACAAACCGTCGCTACTATCCCGACGACGACCACGACCATGTTGAAGCTCTGCTGCGTCGTCCGCACCGCCTTCTCCCCCGGCGACAGCTCAGACCATCGCACCTGCCCCGTGTCGCCCGTCAAGGTGATTGATTTCCGTGGCGGGGGTGCTGACGGGGTGTTGAGCGAGCTGTGCGTGGCTGGCGCATTGCGCGATGCGGAGAAGGCTGCACGGCCGACGGGTGCTCTTCTCGGGTGGATGCGCGGGAGGAGCAGAGACGGGCGGAGCAGCGAGATGACTTCGGTGGGTCTGTATACAGCGGCCATTGCGGGTGAATTGGGCTGCACGTGCAAGATGACGGTGCAGTGAAGCATGGAAATAGATGGGCATGGGCCAAGACCGAGGCTCCGCGCCACGCAGATGTGGCGGGACGTCGTCCCGACTTTTGGATGGACAGCGCCGTTGGAGACACACGCTCAACACGCACAATTACCCTCACCTCCCTATTTCTACGCGCCCCTCGCGTCGCCGAAGCTCGACGCACCCGAGGAGACGCAGGATGGCGTCCAACAAGAAGAGCAGCCTCACGGGCTACATCCCCGACATCCTCATGGCCGCCGCCGCAGTACGTCTGCAGCTCCCCGTCCGACACGCTCCCGACTGACAAAGCCCCCCCGCCCAGCCTCTCATAGCCTACTTCGTTATCCGCAATCTCCTCGCCCGCCTCGACCCCGATGCCCAGCAGAAGGAAGAAGCTCGCGCCAAAGCCTCGGCCGCAACACGCAAACTCGACGCCATCTTGACCAGCAAGCGCCGGAAGAGCTATGGCGGAGATGACAGCGACGACGAGACCGACTCGCGGCACACGCGCGCACGCATACAAGACCTCAACCTGAGCACCTACGAGCAGACCATCGCCATGGAGGTCGTTGCGCCCGAGGAGATCCCCGTGACATTTGACGGTACGTCACGAGCGATGCTACACCACACGCGAGGATGTTATATCCCGCACGAGGAGAGAACGGGAAACAGACATTGAGACAGCACTAACGACGCCAGACATCGGCGGCCTCGACTCCATCATCGAAGACCTCAAGGAATCCGTCATCTACCCGCTCACCATGCCGCATCTATACGCACACAGCTCCTCCCTCCTCAGCGCACCCAGCGGCGTCCTGCTCTACGGCCCACCCGGCTGCGGCAAGACGATGCTGGCAAAAGCCCTCGCACACGAATCCGGCGCCTGCTTCATCAACCTGCACATCTCGACCCTGACCGAGAAATGGTACGGCGACAGCAACAAGCTCGTCAACGCGGTATTCAGTCTCGCCCGCAAACTCCAGCCTAGCATCGTCTTCATCGACGAGATCGACGCGGTGCTCGGCCAGCGAAGAAGCGGCGAGCACGAAGCAAGTGGCATGGTAAAAGCAGAGTACGTTCCCATTTCCTCAACACCCCCACATTCACATCCACGACTAACCCCCACCTCCCCAGATTCATGACCCACTGGGACGGCCTCGCCTCCTCCACCACCTCCGGCACCGCCACCCCCCAGCGCATATGCATCCTCGGCGCCACAAACCGCATCCAAGACATCGACGAAGCCATCCTCCGCCGCATGCCGAAAAAATTCCCCGTCGGCCTCCCCTCCGCCCCCCAGCGCCAAAACATCTTCTCCCTCATCCTGCGCGGCACCAAAATCGACGCCCCGAACTTCGACATCGAGTACCTCGTTCGCGTGTCCGCCGGCATGTCGGGCTCGGATATCAAGGAGGCGTGTCGCGATGCGGCGATGGGGCCTGTGCGTGAGTTTATCCGCAGGAAGAAGGCGGAGGGTACGTTGGGGAGTAGTAGGGGGGTTGCGCAGGGCGATGTGAGGGGGCTTAGGAGTGAGGATTTCTTTGGGAGGGGGAGGGGGTTGCGCGAGGTTGGTGTGGATGTTGAGAGGGGGGTGAGCGCGAGGAGGAGTACGACGACGGTGCATACCACGTCGGAGTCTGGGGGGGTTAGTAGTGGGAGTATGAGTGGGAGTGGGAGTGGGAGTAGTGAGAGTGTGGGGAGTGGGGGCGAGTCGATGTATCATGATGGTGCGGATGTGGAGGGGGTGGCGGCTAGGTGAATGGGTGGGAAATGGTATTTGAGCTGCTGGTGTACATTTGGGCGGCGTTTTGGCATGGTGTGATGAATGAGGATGAGGTCATGTGTATATGGCGTTTTCGCGCACGAATAGCTACTGTAAATGCTGGCATGGATATGAAGGCAATTCAATCATGATCTTATACGTATACATTAAGTGGCAGTGTCTTCATTGCTGATACTCCATACTGTTTTGCGGTGCTGTGAGTAAGTACAGACAGGTACGCAGACATCATATCATACCATATCATACTGTAACATCTAACTTTCCATGACATGACAAGAAAAGATGAGTGTATACGCAGAGTCTCTATGTGGATTGCGATATACTCTGCCACCTCATACTCTTTCAGAGAGAGAGAGAGAGAGAGAGAGAGAGAGAGAGAGAGAGAGAGAGAGAGAGCGTGAGACTACGACTACCTCCGAAGCACAAAACTAGGTCCCAGTCCTACTCCCAGTCCACATGAAGAAAGATAACTAAGATGGAGGGTTAACTCCACACCACAATCAGTCATTTAGGCGATGAGAACCCGTGTGCGGAATCTACTACTACCGGTTGTGCTACTTGGGGGACTACGATGTCGTGTTGTGTGTCTTGAGGTTGTTATGGTGGTGTTTGGCGTATATATTGTTCTGTTGGAGTTGTGTGTGTATGTATGTGTATGTTGTGTGTGTATGCTTCACGGTGATGCTTGGAGGGAGAGATAAACGAGTAGGGATGGAAGTGTGAGGGTAGAGTAGAAAATATATTTACCAGGGTACCTACTGGTTGTATGGGATGGGACTAGAGGGGTTATACCGTTGACTGGATAGGGTATTGACTGAGTGTTTGAAGTGAGGTAAGAGTGCAAGGAGGTAAACGTCTGAACAAGGTAAAGATCAATCAACTCTCATGCAAGGCGGGATATCTGGCGAATTGCCTCGCTAACTCCCTCAGCTTGATGTCGATGCTGGATTTTGTCCCGGCTTGTCGCAGACCGCCATTGGCTTCTGCGCGCTGGAGGAAGGTCTGCGCTTTCAGCAGTTCTTTGCGGCCGTTGGTGAGGCGGGTGAGGTCTTCGGTGCTCAGATCTGAATGACCTTCATGATTTTCGTGGTCGGCGTCCATGTCCCAGTCCTCGTCTGCATCTGCGTCGGTCTTGCCGATGATCAAGTCGCTTATCCAGAGGGCAATGTTACCCCGTAAGTGCAATAAGCTGGCCTGTTTGTCGAAAGGTGGCGATGCAACGAGCTGGTCGAGCCGGTCGGCTATCTCCATAGCTCGAGCCAGCTCTGCGACTTGGATTTCGTCCTCTTGGGCAGGAGATATCTCGTCATGTACGCCCATTACACTGTCGATGGACATATCCCTCGAGCGCGATTCAGCATGGAACTTCCTTCTTGCGCGCCTGCTCTTCTCGCAGACTTCAAAGATCCATAGCGAGAACATGGCGGGGTAGAAGGTCTTCTCATCTGCTGCATTGCGCGGGGCTCTTCTATGGGGATACTGGACAATGAGGCGCTCGTAGTACTCTCTTGCACGTTCAAAGCCTTCTTCGGAATACATGCTGTCGGGGCTTGGATCACCAGACTGTTGATCACTGTTGTCGGCCAGGGGTTCTCCACGTTTTTGGTGGAGAAGGATTTCCGCGCCGATCCCCCAACGTCCGTGGTTGCGTGCTTCGATTGGACGGCCGCCGGCTACTTCAGTCCTCAAGATCATGCCCCATGCTCTTCCTGCACGATCGTAGTCGCCTTCGAGAAGGCAGCGGTGCATGACAGCTGACAGCACATTGAGGTGCGTTGTTTTCAGGGTGGTCGACTCAGACGCTGAAATGGCATTCAGGGGTGGCTTCACAGCGTACAGACGCGAGGGCAGTCCAGCAATCTCTCTTTCCACTTTCTTGGCCCCATAGTGGTCTCTGGAGGTCCTGGCAGGGGCATGAGGAAACGGCGATGGCGGGATCTCATACTCTTCTTCAGGCAACAAGCCTGCAGTGCGCAACTGAGCTAATTCCGGTGTGATAAGAGAGGAGTACGATTGGGCGGTTGAGCTTGCCGATCGTGTTGACCGTGTCCTTGGTTGGGGCTCTGGACTGGTTGGGGGCTCTTCTTCCTCATCTTCTCCCCCCGCGTCGTGTCGTTTGTGCTGTCTCTTCCTCGCGTATTGGCTTGCGCGCAGTGAGCGGGTGGTCTGCTGCTCAGCATGCAGTTGAGTAGCAAAGTAGTGCATGCTGGTGTTTCATCCAGGACCCAGATTCATGCAGCCATCTACCTGTAACGCTGCCCAACGGTAAGCCTAACGGCAAGTCTATCGTTGCAGCACGTGAGGCGAGAGTCGGAGAAGCAAGACAGACAGGCACGACGACGTTGGACGGACAGGCTCAGCGGAGTGGTGAGATGAAGGCGTTAGCGCCGCTTAGACAGGCTCGGCGCCCTACATGGCCGTCCGCCGTCTGGCACCCGTCACTCACCACATGCACCCCGGCTTGCGACACTCCCACACTCTTTCCCTTTTCGACTATTCTCCGGGCGCGCCTTCCTCGCTGGACGGCCAAAAAGCATGGGCAACACCACGTCCAGCAACGCCGAGCCACGCAGCCGCCGAGCCCGACGGACCTCATGGGCGCCCTCGCTGATGCGCCGCTCGACGCGGCCTGAGGACAGCGACGCACCGCGGCAACGAGGCGGCGACACACGACAAGCACAAAACGGCGACATGGCCACGCTGGAGGACCTGGGGCGGCAGTCGTCATCACGGCCCATGTCGCAGCGGATCAACCCGTTCCGCCGCTTCTCCTCGTTCCACGGGCGCCAGGATGCTGGTCCATCTCCGCCCGACGACTCCCGCCCAGCGCGCCCTCGCTCGCGACTGACGCGGGCGCGCACTTCACTCGGCTCCGTGAGCGGGCTGCTCCACGGGCGGCCATCGATGAGCTCGCCCGGCGGCGAGCCCGCCCAGCTGCGGGTCGTGGCCAGGGAGCAGTCTCGCGAGCGCGTCAGCCCGTTCCTCCCGCGCCTGCACGTCCCCGAGCTCGACATGGCCGACGACTTCGACCGCCTGCTCAGCAGCACCCCGCCCGACGACCGCGACGACCCCCAGCGGCCCCGCCTGCTGCCGCCGTCCAGCCCGCGCCGCGAAGGGCGCTCCCTGTCGATGCTGCCCGCCCAGCGCCGCCTCCGCAACATGATCGGGCCCTCGCGGCGCCGGCGCTCGCTGTGGCACGACGACGAGCACCTGGAGAACATGGAGCGGCTGCGGCGGGGCGAGGACCAGGCTGACGTGCTCTCGCGCCTGCTCTCGCTTGCCGCGGCTGCCACGGCCGCGTCGCTGGTCGGCGAAGACCACCAGGCCGCCACGCGCGACGGCACCTTCGACACGTTCCTGCAGTCGCTGCAGAACGGCAGCATCGCGTCGGCGCTGCGGGGGAACGAAGGCGCCGAGGGGGGTGAGGGCGCCGGCGGCAACGCGGCGCCGCTCAACTTCTTCCGCATGTTCAGGTTCGGCACGTCGGTTGGCAACACAAGAGGCGACGGGTCTGAACGTCGCGGCAGTGCGTCTGCGTCAGAGGGCCAGGACGGCGACGAGGACGGCGAGGGCCGCATGGTGCCCATCATCATCGTAGGCATCCGCTCCATCAACCCGGGATCTGGCGCAGGCTCAGACGACGGCAACATCCCGCCCTTCATCGACGCCCTGTCCAGCTTCCCCACGCCGCCCACGTCGGCGGGCGACACCAACGAGCACATCCTCCGCCCGCCCCAGAACGGCACGCGCTTCAGCCATCGCCGGCGGGCCTCGATGGGCGGCTTCAACTTCCCCTCCAACTACGACAGCCAGCGCCACCACCGCGGGAATATGAACGAGCGCCCACGCCCGTGGTCTCCACGTACCGACTCGTCTGCAGGCCCCGTGCCTCCCCCGCCCACGCCCGCGACCATCCTGGGCCTCTCCGCCGAAGCGTCAGGGACCACCACCCCGGCTACCTCAACGTCTCCTCCGTCACCCACCACACAGTCCACCGCCCCCTCACGGCGGAGCAGCTTTGTCCGCAGACCTGCTGGCGCCACCCTGGAACCCACTGCCGAAGAGCCCCAGACACATCATCGCACGCCCCGCCAGCGCCGCATGAGCGAATCCGACTTCACGCGGTACGGCCATGGCGCACAGAGGCGGAATGGCGTCGTCGAGCCCGACAACAACCCGGGTGAGGGGTCGAGGAGCTGGATCATCTACGTCCTGGGAGGCAGCTACCCAGAGAACCACCCCATCCTGACTACCCCAAGTCTCTTCACAGACTCGCCCACGTACGAAGACATGATGCTGCTCTCGTCCATACTCGGCCCGGCGAAACCGCCCGTTGCGAGTGAAGAAGACGTTGCAGCTGCGGCTGGGTTATTCATCATCCGCACCATCGCCGGCACACTCATCGCGGAGGCCGTCGACGGGGAGGACACAATCGATCTCGCGTCTGACGCGCGCTGTCTAGTGTGCCTGTGCGATTTCGAGGCCGAAGAAGAGGCGCGCAAACTGGTCAAATGCGAACATCTGTTCCACAAGATTTGCATTGATCAGGTAAGTCGAATCCAACTCTCACCATTCAATGTGTCGCTTACTAACCCCCCCCCCCCAGTGGTTGACCACAGGCCGCAACTCATGCCCACTCTGCAGAGGTCAGGGTGTCGACGAAACACCAGCCGATCTACGCGCCGAACCGGCAGAGGTAGTTGTGTGATGACCATGCACATCTACCTCCTCCTCCCAGCCGTCTTTCCACATCTCTTCTTCGAATACCCCCATCTTTAGCTGGCTCGCGAATCTCTTCCCATGTTGACTAACTCGGACGAGGCCTTCTCGACATGATCCGCCCACATCTTTCGGCAAAAGCATATGGCACTCTCATATGTTACTCAACTCGTCTTATCAAATCTGGAGCGTTTGGCGTAGCGTGGCAGCGTGTTTTTATTTTGCATTTTTTTTTGGGGGGCCCCAAATTACAAGGGCGCAGGGGGGGTCATCTCATATCTATCTATCTATCTGGTTTTGTTTTCTTCTCTTATACTGGGCAAATGGGGCATCTTTGAACGACATTGACGAATATTTTCTTCGTGTATATGCGGGTAGCACGGATGGGTTCAGCAGGGAGGTCTTGGTACGCCCCCTTTTTTTGAGACGACGACTGCGTGGGCAGCGTGGTAGTATTTGTCTTCACCGATCACTTGGTGTGCTGTGGTAGTCTAGTGATCAAATCAGAGGAACATGCTAGTTTCAACGCTCCCACATGGATGGCTTGTCTTGGGTCGTGCTTGGGTTTGCAGAAAGTTCATGGACTTGCGAATGTCTTCCTACATGTGATGGTGGCCCACTTGCACACATACATACATACATACTCACATACATACGTGGCCGTGATTCCGTCCCTACCTGCCCACCTACCTACCGTATGACTGTGCCCGTGCCGCGCGCAAGTCATGGAGTGAAGCGCATATCCAGCCAATGCGCACCACCCCCCACCCGTATCCACACTGCCGTCACTCCCGTCGCCCTTGAGCACCACACGTCTCGTTCAGGCAACCCATCCTGAGGGATCAGCAGCAGCAGCAGCAGCGCTGTGTGATAGGCGCCACGCGCGATTGACGCCGTTGGAGTGTCGGACCGAGTTGCACCAGTAGGTGAGGTAGCTTGCCGCTGGGAAAGGACGAAGGGAAGAAAGGAAGGAAGGAATAGTCGTACGAGGGTTATGAATAGAGAGTTTGGCATCATCTTATCTAGAGTTTGGGCGGAAAATCACTGCTTGTCTTGTCGTGGTGTGCAGGTGCACGGAGTGGACGGACTCCACTGTGGAGGATGAGGATGAGGATGGAAATGGAAGGAAGGGGGTCAGCTCAGCTCAGCTCAGCCATGTTCCTCTCGTTTTGTCGGATGTTGCACAGGTGTTTCGAATCCTGGAGTCTGCACTGCTTGCATGGGTTTTGATGAACAACCTGGCCTTGTTTCCTTCCCTGCGCGCTGGGTGGGGTGGGGGAGGGGGGCAAGAGGGAAGGAGGCAAGGATGTGTGTGTATGGTCGACCTTGCCTTGTTTCTCTTTCTAGGTATTCTGACGCATAGTTTTTTTTTTCTTGCTGGGCTGCTACGATCCATATGACAATCAATGATGAGCATCCATGTGCAAAGATCGGTAGGATTTTCTGACCATTCAATCGCCACGATTACGACATCTTTTCGCGAATCATCTCCCGAGTCACGCAGCGCCCTCTGTGCAAAGATTGGTGCAAGAATTCAACACAGTGGCAGTGGCATGATGGGTGGCGCGCTGTTCATGGCGGTTGGTACTGGTTCAATGTCGGTATTTGGGGAAGGTGCTAATTATTTTTCCTCCTTCAGGCAAACGATTGCCCTGACAGTGCGTGCTTTGGACATGCCGCGCCGAACGGGAGATGAACCCGCATCTCGAAGTGTCGAGGGATATCTCTGCCGAAGTAGCCTTAGCACTAGGCCCAGCGCCGTCGGAACCAAACTTCGAGGCTCCTTGGCCCGGTCAACGAGCTTGTTCGTCAGGAACCAGATGGGGTAAGGTAGGAACCGGCACTTGGACTTTTGTCCAGCGCCCCAACCTCGGACGTTATTCGCTGCACAAGTCCAGTGTATAGAGCTGCAAGGCCCCACCTCTGGTCGGACGCGGCGCGCATCATTTCCGGGAAGGCAGTCCTCCGCTGCAAAGGCGATCCGCGTCGAGCGCTGCACAATGCACAATGCACATGGTCGACTGCGTTTCCCAAAGAGCCAAGAAGAGTCGGCGGGTCAGAGCATGGACGGTGATCCGAGTTGCGCATGCGGGGGCCTGGCACTCCTTTTGACATGGGCGTCGTGGGCCCGTTGCTCAGTTCACCGAGCGTCGATAACGCCTAGCCTAAGGCCGCAGCATGCATGTGCAGCTAATCTTTTGACAGAAGCGCGGAGTGCGGAACGGGTGCGGTGCCCAGCCACGGGGTCCGTCTCCGTCCGGCGTCCTATGCCCAACGTGCAGCAGGGAGCATCTCACACGTTGCTTTTTCCTGGCGTCAATCATTGCTTCTTCTCCCTGCGAAACGAAACAGAGGGCTCATGTCATGGCCTAGCGGCTGCCGTGCGACCTCCACAGCTGTCGTCCCAGTCCAGAGTGGCACTGCGCCCGCCTCCGTCGTCAACAGTCGTGGAGCCTGTGTCGAGACTCTGTTGCGCCTCTCTAGCCTACTTGGCCATTGACAGTAGCGCACCCACCAGCGTCTCCTGGCATTGTCCTCACCTACGGGCTCGACCACCCAACCCTGCATGTCTGCCTATGAGCTCCATCACCTTCAATCCACGCTCCACTGTTCCTGGCACCCTGCTGGAGAGCCATTGTCAAGCACGGGCGATCGTTCGTTCTCCAATCCCTGCATCTGGACCTGGATGACGTTGATCGCATTTCGGCACGCCATCCGTCACAAACACCAAGCACTTCACTACCGTGCTGTCTTTTCACAGCATCTCGAAAAAATATGTCGAGATACTACCCGCCAGGCCATGACATTCCGACCCAGTACTATGATGTCGACCCCAGCGCCCCGCCGAATCACGTTGCTCCAAGTGCCCCACCAGGGATCGCCCCGGACACTTCTTACCCTTCAGGAATAACTGAAAACCCATTCCATCCTGGAGTACAAGGCCCTTTTGTACAATATGCAGATCCACATGTGCATTCCAATTACGCAGACGAGTACGATGATGTCCCGGGGCCTCTTGGTCCTGGGCAAGGCGCATCCGCCCGCCCGCGAAGACGCCTAGGTCCGGGAGAGCAAGTCAAGCATCGTCGGACTCGGAGCGGCTGCTTTACGTGCAGACATCGCAGAGTCAAGGTAACCGCGCAGTGTCACCAATTTGAAGACATGACTGATGGACTTGTAGTGCGACGAGAGCCATCCTGTGTGTGAAAGTAAGCTTTTCCTCCTACGCCTGGGTGTGATTTAACACGGCCGATCTAACAGTTCTTGACTAGGATGCCGGAAGGGTGGCCGCGAGTGCATCTATCCCGACACTCAGGGCAGTCAGAAGCTAGTTCGTGGATTCAAGTCGGGTAAGTCTGGCTCGACAGGAAGTGTTTCGTCTCCTGAAGACCACGAAGAAGATGGCAAGGAGCGGCTGGCAGCTATTCTTGACGACGAGGACGGGGACTACGAGGAAGATGCTGGGTTCATGTCGAGGGAGCAAGACTTGCGCGATTCTTCCAACACACCAGCGTCACTCATCGACCAGAGCACTTCGCCGTCTACCGAAGCTTCCTCCACAGTCCCAACGTCTAACCAACCGAGTTTATCACGGAGAGGCAGCACGCAGGCAACCAAGATCGCACCGCCAATGAAGAGCGCTTCGACAGAAGCGCAAAGTGTCCAGTTCTATCTGAACTACTTCAAGAACCACATGTCCTCTCATCACTACTCACTCAAGCGCGACGCTCAAAATTTCATCAAAGTCGATCTTCTGGCTCAAGCCATGAAGTTTGAACCGTTGAAGTATGCGGTGGTGGGTTATGCAGCGTACTTCCACACGCTCTCTCAGCCAGACGGCCGCATCTCCACTTTCCTCCAGTTCTACAATGAATCCGTGTCGCGACTCCGGGTGGCCATTACGAAAAACAAGAAGCATGGGCTTGCGACGTTTTTGACAATCTTACAGCTCGCGAGTATAGAGGTTAGGGTATCCGCAGCCTTTGACATGTAACACGCTGATGAAGCTTGACAGGAGATGCTCGGTGACTGGGTCAACCTTATGGGCCACCAGAAGGCTGCTTTCGAGATGCTCATCCGCCTCTACACAGTGGAGACTATCACCAAGTCGCAGTTCCTACTCAAAGTCCTGCTGTGGTACATCCGGTTCGATTTGTTTGTCGGGTTCCAATCGGGCGGAGAATCAGTACTCAGCCGAGAGTGGTATGTGGCCGCTCACGATCGCTACGTGGAGCAACTCCGCGAGAACCCAAACGACCTGGACTTGCTGTACGAGGAGCGTTTTGCTTACTCGCGGCTGGTGGCGAAGGACTCGAATGATCTGTTTGCTCGGAAGGGCAAGGGACTGCTCAGCGATCAGGAGTTTATGTTACAACTGTCTGTTTTGCAAGAGAAGGTGGACAATATGGAAGACGATATCGGCCCGACTCTTTTGGATCCCAGATACAAGGTCAAGTGTATCCCGGGCGAACCTGGTCCCGACGACATTGTCAACCCGTATGAGCCGGACGTTATGTGGGGCGAGCCTCTGTGGACGTCGAACTTTCTTCTGCTGGATGTGTGGGGGATCATGATCATGCACTATGTCTCGACGGCGATGGCATTGCGCAGGCCGACTAATCCTGAACTACCTAATATGGCGTATAGGGCGGCGCAGTTGTTCGAGGCACTGTGCGCTTATCCTCATGCTCCGCTGGGGACGATCATCGAGGCGCAAATCACGCTCGCTATCTCTACGTTGTTTTTACCGAGAGACTCCAAGACAATACAGTGGTGTCGACGGACTTTTGCTAAGGTTGAGGCATCCGGGTGAGTGGCTTTTGGTTTCTTTGCGCGGTGTTTGACAGTCGAGTTTGGTCTACGGGCCGGCTTCAGATCTACATCGACAGGCACTATTTTCGCTGATATTTGCTAACCTGTGACATAGATATATCTATTCAGACGTCATGCGAACGCGTATGCTCGAGTCTTACGGACTTAGCCCCTCGGACTGGTGGCTTCCCAACGACGAAGCATGTCCGCCCATCATTCGCTCGATCAAAAACTTCATCCACGAGCGAGCAACAGCGCCCAAAGACCAAGTGTCCGACGACCTGAAAGAAATGAGGGGCATCTTTGGCTCTATGACAATCTCCGACTCTCCGGATAGTGTGACCGTCACAAGCTCTGATTACGCCGGAGGCGCGAGCGCACAGGGAAATTTCGACATGTTCACGAGAACAGACGGGTCTCCGGAATCTGTCGATTGGGGGTCGGGATATGGCGGCGACCGCAAGCAATCGATCGCGGGGTCAATGTCGCAGTACTCTGTATAGCGGACATGGAATCGACTGACGGATTGCGGCACGACAACGACCGTCAGCCAGTCGTGCAACGAACAGATAGACACACACGTCACGACCAAGTTTTCTGGACATTGGATGCATGCAGTTCGAGCAAGCTGACATCCGCAAAAAAACGCTACCTTCACGCACGCAAGCATGCAGTCAGTCCCGTTATTTCCGACTGTCGTCGCAGCTATGCTTCCGAGAGGCGTTCGGTGACACGTGGTCGACACATGAATTGGCAGCGGTATCCCCCTGCTTTCTCCTAGGGCGCACAGCAGCAGGCCGCCCGCCGTCAACGTGGAACGTCACTGCAGCGGACTTGGATCAATGCGGTGAATTTGGGCGAGGCCTGCCCCGCTATGCGATAAGTCGTTAGGTGCCCTGCCGCACGGTAGCTTTGACGTCGTCGGTGCTTGGCAGGCGATCTGCAAGGGGCTTAGGAAGGGCGAACTTGTTGTGTAAGAGGGATTGGGGGTTGCGTTTGGTACGGGGCCATGTTGGGTAAGAGAGGGAGATATCCTGGCGGGGTTTATCGAGGTATTTCGGTCATGGCGCATGGGGTGGGGTTCTCTTCTTCTCATCTTACAACATCCGACGTGCACGGGTTGGGTTGTTGGAGGAACTTGTACGATATAGGTGGATGGGTGGGTGGTTTCTTGCACATGTTTATTCTGCTGGACTCGAGTGTCCTGGTGTGTGTTTGGGCTGTTGGAGGCGGGTAATACGTGCATTGCGATGGTTGCGAGATTTTAGCATCAGCATCGGAGGAGTTTGAGTGTAATGCAAAAAGATCTTTCTTGTAGAGTACAACTATAATGAATTTGTTCTTCTCGTCGAATAAATCACTTCTTGTCTTCATGAATTACACGCACATATTTATCAGCCTTACCCTCAAATCACTCGCAGAGTTCAGAAAGCAGATAGTAGGTCCCAGACCGGGCTTAGTGTGCCTGCAGGGATCAAGGGCGGAATATCGAGGGTTCAACCACATGAAAGCCGTCTCAGCACAACCACCACGGAACGCACCCCACGTTTGGAACCACTCTTCTCCCCCAACATCTTACCCACATACGTCAGCATGGAGAACCTCGGAAAGATCTCAGCCTTCGGGAAGAACATCTCGTATGTCCCCCAAACGCTTTTGCTTGGCTTGCGCAGTCGGAGATAATGCTGACATGGCTTCCGCAGTGCTTCCTTCACACCATGGGCGGCCAGGACACAGCAGTTTGTCAAGGAGCAGGTCGGCCAGGTCGAGGATAAGGTGCGACGGCATGGTCATGCTGCTGATGCTGGTGCCAGCCGATACTGATACGACGCCTGACAGACGCAACTCCCCCCCGACTACATCGAGCTCGAGAAGCGAGTCGATGCCTTGAAGCGGGTGCACACGACCATGCTGCAGGTCACGTAAGTGGCACCCACCCTCTACCGGCGCGCAACGACGCAGTCTGACACGCCCCCGTCCCCTCCAGCTCGCAGTACGCAAACGAAGCGTACGACTACCCAGCCAACCTGCGCGAGTCCTTCAACGACCTCGGGCGCACAGTCTCGGAGAAAGTCACCCTCCTCTCCAGCGCCACTTCGCCTGCAGAAGCCCAGGCCGCCCTCTCCGCCCCGCCCTCCGCAAAGCCCCAGCCCAAAACCTTCAGCCATGCCGTCGCCCGCGCCGCACTCAACAGCTCCCACATGCTCACCGCAGAGCAGTCGAACTCCAGTGAGGACCCGCTCGCTACGGGACTCGAGAAGTACGCCATCGCTAGTGAGAAGCTGGGCGACGCGCGGTTGGCGCAGGACGCTCAGATCCAGAGCCGCTTCCTCGCCGGCTGGAGCACAACGCTCAACACCAACATCCAGTTTGCGACGCGCGCGCGCAAGGCTGTCGAGAGCTCCAGGCTCGGCCTCGATGCGACCAAGGCTAGTGCCAAGGGCGGTGCGTTTGTGCTGCCCGGCCAGGCTGGACGGGGCCATGGCATGGAGGAGGACCTGAGTGAGGAGGCGAGGGCGAAGATCGAGCAGGCTGAGGATGAGTTTGTAGGCCAGACAGAGGAGGCGGTCGGCGTCATGAAGAATGTGCGTTGTCCAACTGGCACCCACTCATATATTCACACTCAGAGACGTATGCTGACTTGTACGTGTATAGGTCCTCGACACACCCGAGCCCCTGCGCAACCTCGCCGACCTCATCGCCGCCCAACTCGAGTACCACAAGAAGGCGTACGAGATTCTGTCGGAGCTGGCTCCTGTCGTCGACCAGCTCCAGCTTGAACAAGAGGTGCGTTAGAATCATGCTTCGCAGATCTTGCTCTTTCCTTCTCTATCTGCCTACCTGCCTGCCCCTTTGTCTGATGCCGTTTTGCAGCAGAAATATCGGAGCCCTAACTGATGAGGCTTTGTGCGCGTGTTAGGCTAGCTACCGCGAGGCGAGGGATAACGCTTAGACGTGTAGGGTGAGGAGTGAGGAGTTGGGATGGAATGGGGTGGATAGATGTTTCGCGCTCTTGCACGTCGAGATGCGTCACTTGGCTTGATGGATGGATGAAAGGATGGATAAACGAGATAGCCTTGCACTCAGCATACTTAGTCCATGATTGACCGACTATCCCTTTCGCCTTTTACTTGAATACACTACACCCTTCCCCCTCTTCCCCCCCTCCTCCCCCCCCAGCAGCAACAAACCCCCTAACAACCTCCTCCACCCACCCCGCAGGCACACCAAGTCTAACAGCATCCCCCACCCCCCGATTCACCCGCCCAACATACTCCCCCCCCGCCTCCCCTACCCCCGTCCGCCGCCGGTCAATATACACAAGCATCACCCGCCGCGCCTCACCCGGCGCCCGCGTCGTATCAACCGCTTCATCGAGCGTGCTGGGCCAGAACGCGCATGGGAGGTAAGTCTTCGTGTATGCGGTTGGGACGCCTTCGTAGGCGTCGAGGAGGGACTCGTTGGAGGGGGGGAGGTGGTAGGCGAGGCCGTATACTGTACTTTCGTTGGGGTGGGAGGGAGCTGGGGAAGATAGGGGGGAGGTGGTTGACTGGGTTGTAGAGGGTTTTGGGGATTGGGATGGTGTTTTCGAGGTTTTGGAGGATGGGATTTTTGAAGTTTTTGACGATGGGGGGGAAGGAGGGACGGCAACGATGTTCGCGTATCCTCGCGTGTTGATTATCCATTTGTAGTTTTCGAGGCGTGCGATTCCGGCGTAGGTTGCTTGGGGGCAGCGGGTGGACATTTGGAGGAGGCTGAGGTTGGAGCCGTAGGCGAAGTAGAGGGTTTGCGGTTGGGGTTTGGCGAAGGGCATCTTCGGATGGGGTGGTTTGAGTGCTGCGTGTTATCCTAGGTAGCCTTTGGTTCTGAGGGGTGGGTTTTCAGGGCTTCAGGACGGCAGTGTAGAGAACAATTGACTGGCCGTTGTGCTGTGGTATTTGTACTGGGAAAGAAGTCGACGGGGGTGTCGATGATGAAACATGATCTGAGATACCAATCTAGTCTTATACGATGTGAGCATGTGAAAATACTGGGAGTCGTTAGCAATGGTGAACAAACTTCGTGAGAAGAGTATGTAATAGGCGCTCCAGCCGTTGGTAGAGGTGTCATCAGATCTCCTCGTCGGCGGTACTGAAGACCAAACTTTGTGCGGTGACTCACTTGTACTTCTCTTGATTCGCCAATGCAGTTATAAAAACTGATATGTGTTTTGGAGAAGTTGGTCCATCACACTTCCATACAGAGTCAGAATAGAAAGAACCCTCACCAAACCAAATCAATCGCAGAGAACATTAAGAGCCTACCTGCTTTAGAGCAACAACACGCAATAATAGCAAGCTGTTAGAAGCTAAGAATCTGGCTCGATATAAAGAGGAATCTGCGGCAGAGAGTTTAGGTGTGGGAAATAGACGTTCCGATTCCGAGATTCCGATTACGTCAGTGAAGTCGAAATTTGGTTCTTTAGGTTGTCCCGCTCTCGACGACTGCTGCCTAGGTTGAGTTGGATAACGTATAAGAAGTGACTGTTGTTCAGATCTATAACGAAACAATTCTTTACTCTACCTTTAAATTGCAATTTTCAGCACGAATCGAGAGGTGAAAACGGAAGAAATGCCCTATTCTCATCATAGCCACTCTGGCCAGTTCTGCGGCCATGCGAAAAATACGCTGGAAGAAGTTATTCAAGAAGCCATAGCCAAGGGCTTTCATACGTTCGCTCTTACCGAACACATACCCAGGCCTGTGATAGATTTCTACCCGGAAGAAGTATGTGTGTCGGAAAAGTCATCTTGGTAGAACGAGTAGCTGATGTGTATGTTGTAGATCAACAGCCATAACGAAGAGAGCCAGGTCAAGCTCTTTGACGACTTCATCACCGAGGCCCATCGACTAAGAGATGCATACAACGGCAAGATCCAGATTTTGATCGGATTCGAGTCTGAGTGGATTCGGCCCGCTACTCTGACTATGATTCAGAGCATCCTTGACAAGTACACCTTCGACTTCTTCATTGGTTCTGTTCACCATACCCACACCATACCCATCGATTTTGACCGGGCGATGTATGACCAGGCGCGAGATAAGGCCGATGGAACGGATGAGAAGCTGTTCGAGGACTACTTCGATTCACAATACGCCATGCTTGAAGCACTTCGACCACCCGTTGTTGGTCATTTCGATCTCATACGTCTGCTGAGCGACCATTGCGATGTCGAGTTTGAAGGCATGGGTGGTGTGTGGGAGAGGATGGAGCGCAACCTGAAATACATCGCGTCCTATGGTGGCCTGCTCGAGTTAAATTCGGCAGGCTTGCGGAAAGGTCTGGCCGAGCCGTATCCGTGTCTATCCATCTGCCAGGTATGTCACACTGACCCATTTATACAACAAGGCATCATCAGCTCACTATATCCACAGATGTTCCTGCGCATGGGCGGAGGTTTCGTCATGTCCGATGACAGCCATGGTATCGATCAAGTCGGCACCCACTACGGGGGTTTGATGGCGTTCATACAAAAAGCAGGGATCGCAGAGATATATTACTGTGATTGCGCCGGATTACGGAAGGACGACCGCTTCCCCAATGCAGGTTTCTCCAGCATCACTGTCGCTGACCTGGTACAATTGCCGTTCTGGAACAACTTACGATGAGGTAGGTCTCGAACTTGTCGTGTTTTATGACTCGGAGCCTTTTCCCGTCCAATGACATTGTGTATGCCAGTAACGGTCAACTCGCTGCAGACCCGCATATCATCTGAATGCATCTGAATGCATACCTACCCCCCTGATGCGGGCCTTGACTCTTGTCTCTGAATGTCAGCCATGAAACTGTAGTTCAGCCGCCGCAACCGCTCCAGCAGAACAGTCGGAATCGGTACATCCCAAGCCGTTGGATTCTCAGGTGGCTACTCAGGGCCTAGTGCGTCGTTTTTCACGCCGATTGGTCGGACCACGTTTGTCTGTTTATCATGACACATGGACCATTGTGAACGGGGTTGCTCCGTCTACAGCTATTTGTAAACCATGTTGAGACTTTTGTAGATCGTTGATCTGAGTATGAGGCTTGCGCTTACCGCGAAAAGCACACTGTACGCAATATGATAGTCATGTTCCTTTATTAAGCTTCGCGAACCACGTTTGAAACTGTTTCCATGTGGGTCAAGGATGGTGGGGAAACCGGATGTTGATCCGTTGTGTTCATGATTGGTACCTAGGCTGTGACCGGATCTCGGGATCCACTTCTAGAACAGCGACTAACAAATGTTCGTTGTGATTGAGGGTAACGCGGTGAAAAGATGGACCCAGGTAGAACGTTTAAAAAACCGGTTGCGCGTGGTCACCGATTTAGAAAACATTTTGATCTACATTGATAAACGAGCATGCAACCAACGGCCAACAAGCTGCAGGGTGAATCACTGTAGTGTTCGAAGATCCTTACGGCGCTAGATGAATCGCCGTTTTCCAGATAGACTTTTGACTTTAACCTTCCGTCTCACGTGGTAGTACTCGAAGGATGAAATGAGTTGGATCGCGATCGCTGAAACAACTTTGTCATGGCATTTTGCATATGTGGTGCGTCATTCGACAGAACAGGCTTGCTGTGGCTTTTTTGGGGCGCTTGGACATGAACATCATGCCATTTTGGCTTACTTATTCCCTTACGACATGCGGTTTTAAGATTTGGCGGTAACGCCACGAACTCGATGCTGTGATCCCCTTGCATACTCCAGGAATTGGGCGTTATGCTGCGTATGTACTGTTGTACCTTACCAACACACAATGGTGTATGTTGGACTACAATAAATAAGGGTACCTCCAAGTTACGGTAACATCAGGTTACTTGGGACATTATCAGGAATTTGAAACGGCCAATCAGATTCACATGCCTCTCAATTCCAACATCGGCGAGACCTTCAATATGTCGGTCGGTAGACGCGGGAAATCTGGGAACTCCTACACACCTTCACTTCAAACTAGTGGAGCTGGCACCGCGTGTCAGCTGGGATGTTGCGGATCACAGGCGAGCCTTAGTTCCAGACCTGACTGACTAGGAATAATTTTGACTTCCAACGGCCTGAGCATCGGAAAGACCCCCCCGAAAGACCGACAGCTTTCACCACCTACCAGCGGCCCTTCCAGCAAGCACCTAGGAGTGGTGTTGGGACTGCGAGTAGTGCTTGTGGCCCGTGTGCCGCGAGCACAAACAACCGTTCCTCCGCTGCGACCTAAGATTACCAGACAAAACACCTGAAAAAGACAGGTTTCGATTGGCCATCAGGCTTTCCCGGAACATACGATGGAAAATGGGCCGGTGTTATTTGACAAAGCCAATGTATTCCGTAGCATTGGGCTGCAATGGTAGCCGAACCTAAAGTGGCACCATGCTCTGGGGAATCTTTAGCATCCTCAGGGGGTTCTGAGCATATGTCTGGCTTTCCGCATTTTAAAGCTGTCTGTCTTTCCGCCTTTAGTACCCACTTGCATATTTTTCTTTTCACCTTATCAAATTACGTCTAGTAGCTACTTTCAAGACTCATAGAACAACGACTACTCATACAAGCAATACTTGAGGTTCATATCGCATTATACAATCACTCAATCGCACACTGAACACCAATTACAACAATGGGTGTCGAAAAGGTCGTCGTGAAGTCCGGAAATGGCACAGATGTCCCTAAGAAGCACGACGAAGTCTCCATGGAATACACAGGTGATACCATTCTCTTGCGTGTATAGGAAGAAACAACTAACCGACTTTAAGGCTGGCTTTACGACGATACAGCGCTGGACCAGAAGGGCACACAGTAAGTGTATACGGCGCTTCCACGCCCGTGCTGAAATAAAGAGCTGGAATGTCTGACAGTGTACATTATCAGATTCGACTCGTCGATAGGTCGCGGCGATCTCATCACACCAATTGGCGTTGGTCGCGTCATCCGAGGTACGTCCTACTTCCGCTCAGTCTCGAATCCACTGTTCGAGACATACGAACATGTCCATTGACGCTCCTATACAGGATGGGATGAGGGCATCTTGGGAAATAGCTCGAGTCAACCCATGACGTTGGGCGAGAAAGCTACATTGGTCATCTCAAGGTACGTAATTGGTTTCTTGAACCAGTGTCTCATGGACCACACTAATGCATTGTTTGATATAGTGACTACGGCTACGGCGACCGGTAAGTGACTCTGTCCAGATATCTTCGCACACCGTTCTTCCCACAAGTCATGGACAAGAGTCGTCCGAGAACCCGCACCATTCACAAACGCATGTTTTGTCTCGACGTCATGAGAAAAGCCCCGAGTCGATCTAGGGTAGACGATCTGGAAGCCTTTGTAGATATGACAGCTGACAAGTTCGCTTTCCAGAGGTTTTCCCGGGCATATCCCTGCGCATGCACGGTTGATCTTGTAGGTGCCCGAATTCTCCTTTCTACGTCCATCCTGGTAGCAGTCATTGTTGTCAACTGTTCGTTGGAGACAGCTCTGTGTGGTCGTTGGACTTAAGCGGCGTCGTTCCCTCTTATCTTTTACCGAAGCATTTCCGCTCAGTGGCCGAAACAAAGACTGTCAGTTCAGCTAGTCAGTAGCGCTAACCGTCTGACAGTGACGTTGAACTCAAATCTATCAACGGCCGGAGGGCGTAAGAAGCCTCGACTTGGCTTCTGCGAAGACCATGCTCAAGATCGATTATCCTATACCCCTAGGGCCACCCACTACCAGATAGACGATCAGCCCTACGCTTTGGGCGCTTCTCTTCAACTTTGGACTTCTTGCAATACCCTAAAGCTCTCATATCCCGGGCTTTTTTTCAGCTGCAAATCAAGCAACGATACCGCAACCGGCGCATCCGTTTACTTTGATTGGTTCGGCCCTCGACTCCAAGAGTCTAAGATTTAGTTCATGAATCTGTTCGAGTGTATTCTCCGAACGGGCGCTTGGCTAGCTTTTCTATTATTTCTTTGAGCCGAGCTCCTCGCTTGAGATACACACACTCAATATGTTTGTTCGATATTAGACGGGGTATACACTTCAGCTGTGGGGTTACAATCGTATGAATAGGCTGTTTCAAGTTTACAACGCTTTTCTCCCTTTGAATTGGCTTACAGATTATTATGATGGTATACGATTCAATCTTTCGCGATTATCCCATGTATATAGAACATGGAATATAGATGTCTTGGTAGCTTTGCTGCAGTACTTGAACACTGAAACTTTCTGCCAAGTACTGGTAGTCACCAAAATTTAAAGGCAGGCTGGCAAAACAGGTAGTTAAATCGACCCGAGACCAACGTCACTAGGCCACACATAATGCATATCTCTCACTGTTGACCGGACGGTCAGTTTACATGAGCCGCACGGCTCAAACGCTTGTACCCTCAGGTTAACCACCAGAAACGTTATTGGACCGTACTGCCGGTTGTCATCCTAGTCACTGTTTCGGCATGCCGAAAACCACCCCATGACTCAATGCAACTGATCTCGTTGGATGGCGGCAAGAGCGGTGTACATAAGTGACATACTTAGCAGTTGGTAGTTGAACTGTGATGTTGCAGCTCACTCACACACCACCATGAATGCCAATGTTCCAGAGCTATTCCCACCTATCCCCTGTCAGTGCCCTCCACATGGCGTGACTTGGCCTTGACTGTCCATCTTGGATCTCTCTTCGTAATTTGTTGGTAATATCGCGCTATACTCACCGTCTATATACAATCCGCCTCGATAATGTTTCAACCAGACGGCCCACAGCATCTAGCCAGCAGAGGATGCTCACACCTGGTAGAATCAACTGACAGATGGATTGTTAACCAGGACTGCATAAGTGTGTTACAGGCGAGGCCCGTCCCGGTCAGCGGTCACCAGCCAGTACGCCTGTTCCCTCACCGATGGCGGGCCGCGCATGTCACTATTGGGCACCTATGCCCATATCGCCGCCTAATAGTCCCTGGATAGAGCGCGGTCTAGGCAAACAACCTGAAGCTGATGGTTCTAGGCATATCGAGCGGCTGGATTGAATCGAGGACAAGTGCCTAAGAAGCAGCACATCACTCAAGGTGATAAGGTCTAGACAAAAGATCGATCGCGCGTTGTACGCTGTCAAGGTATGGCGATCCAGTATGACTTACAGCAAGCTAAACATGCAGAGTGATTGAGACAAGATCCTGGACGTTCTGAAATACGTGGGGCTGTAGGGATCTTTGTGTGGCGCCTGCGAACGGAATGGACCCATGCACTGCAATGCAGAACCACACTCCGTATAAGCATGTGCACCGTGAGCGCTTCACGCGAGAAGCGAAAAGGTCATCATTGCAACCATACGATCGGGTTTGTGAGGTTCTTCGCTTGTGTCTGAAGATAAACGGTCAACTTTTCCGACATTAACCGGCTCCAGCAATGGACACTGTCTCGAACAGGGCACTGCTGACCACCCCGACTGTTTACCATGTCGATCTTGGGTAGGCATATAATGGCCCGACATATTCCCAATCAATCTTCGGGAATATCTCGCTGTTTGGTGTCTTACTTGGAAGATTAGCCACTTTAAGCTTACCGTTCAATGCGCCAAGAAGTGGTCGATGAAGTCTGAGAGACTCAAGGTTAGGCCATTTCAGCAACAACTTCTTATTCAGCGAGGTCTAGCAAAACTTCAGTCCACTTACATTCAAGAATTTGCCAGCGGTTAACTCTATTCTTGGTTGTACGAAAAACCTTTGGACCTCCGCGGGGGGATTGCCATCCTGGTCATCTTCCCTATGCGAAATACCGGATTTGGAAGATAGGCAAATCTAGAGTGTAACCTCAGACATTTTGGTATCTGTTTGTCTCTGTGTTTGTTCGGGACTGTTGGTATGCATTGATCACGTGTAGTCACAGATGTGTCAGTGTTGTTTGCACATTATTGTTCGTTCAAGCGAGGCCTGATAGATGAGTCACATCCCCACAGTGAGCGGTATTATGGAATGCCGAATTTACAGACCAGGCATAGTCGTCCATATCCTCCCCAATTGTTGAGACCACCAATTATTCACAGCTGCTTTAAAACCCTTGCCCGACCGGTGAGGAAACCGGCAGTCACTGGACTCTGCGCAGCCTGATAGCTGGAGAATAGGCACACGTGGACACCTGAAATCTGCTAGAAACCCCTTTAAGAATAAGTGGGCTTGCAATATGGAGGAATAGGTTTTGACATGCTTAAAATGTAGCGAACCTCAACGTGAAAAGGATATCAACGGCTTATTGGCACACTGTCTGGAATGAGACCAAGGTGCTTGTTTTCCAGGGTTTGAGTAGATCGAGCGATTGTGTTGTGTAGTACGTTAAGTGTGTCTCATTTATGTCTTGTACAATATGCGTAGTTGTAAGCTCAGTGGATGATGGGTTTGGACGCGACTCCTAGAAACTTCACGCGGAACACAAACTTACGGTCTGTTCACTGTGTATTTCCGCCTTCCTCGAGATTCCTCAACATGAAAAAGCCAGATTTAGAAACCGACTTACTTCCTCGGCGACATATGTTTCAGCACTGTCGATGGGTCCTTGAATCATGTGCATCGAATTGCAGTTGTCAGTTGAAGACAGAGTGCTGAGGTCGTTTCGGGCAATATAAGCTATTTAAAGATGGGGTTCCCACTAAACTGACCATGCTCGAACCCCCCGGTCGCGTACAAGAGTCGTTGTAATATAGATTTGCAACGTTTTGATTGAGATCTACGACGTTACTCATTCTTTCCCGACGAAAAGTAACATCACTGTCACATTCTTTTACTCATACCCTCCTAATTGACACCTACATCCGGGATGGTGTGGAGGGCAAGCACATGATCAACTCAATGGTAATGTATGAGATAGATACGACGCTAGACAGCGTTATGAGTGCGACTTGGTTTGTAGGTACATTAAGAGAATAGGAACCATTTTCATACATAACGTAGTTGAGAGTACCAGTAATGCTCTCACTGTTCCGTGCGAAATCCAAATTACACTCAAACGGCCACGCACGCATTTCTTCATAAAGGACCAATAGTGTTGTTACTGGAAATAAAGGACAAGTAATGCCATACAATGAGAGACTCCGCTGCGAGACATTACCTACCGAGGTGAATGTAACAAGTAGCCAGTAGCCAGTAGCCGAAGTACAAACTCGTCAGTCATTCATGTACAGCTTGAAATAGGAGACGTCACATTGCGCGCGTTCAGTTCTTATCTCCACGCCCCGCTGCGCACTGCCTGCGCCGTGCTTTTTAGCCTTCGAGGCCCTTCGATGTTGTGCCTACGTACTCTTTCTGCGCTTACAATCACGTCTCAACCCATCGAGCGATGCTTGGGTGATAGAGATACTATGCTGCGGGAGCTTTGGTTGAAGTATATCAGTTCCCTGTAGATCTATGCCGTCGAAAGGATCACATTGGTTGACTGATAGGAGGCGGTGGACATACGGAGGCCGCGTTGGTTAGTATTGAATCATTGGAGATAGGAAAGACGAGAAATCACGTGTTCATGATAGCAAGTCTTCACGTGTATGGAATGTCACCTAATTCCCTGTCGTGAGCTTAACAACGAGCCACAACACCACTGGAAGAAGAAATGCTAAACTTAACACAGTAACGAATGACTCGCACGGGTGCTCGGCAGTTACGATCGTCGCTGTTGGCCGTTCAACGTAGCACGACAACTTGACATCCGTACATCCGTGCGGCGACGCGTCACGCCAGGCTTTGCACTCCAGGCAAGGGATATACGAATAACGCAGGCCCCTAGAGAAGGAGAGGAAAGCAGCGTTGACTGAATAGAACGTTCGTTCGCCACGTTATTGATTTCATCTCGGCAGTACTTTGGATAGACATGGTTCCGGTTGGTGGGCGTAGGAGATTACTTATGGACACGACATTGTCCCGAGTGGTCCAAGTTGCCGATACACTGCGACATTACGACAACGTACTGCGCATGTTTGCTACGCATTTCTCGTCTTTGCATGCCTTACTGCAGGACGGTATATCGAACAAGACCAAATTGTTCATATGCATCAGCCTGCCCAGCTGTTGAGAAATATCATGATTAGAAGATATATGACTGGCGAATCGGCATGTTAACCCCTGACCATTTCTTGCGCGGGCGAGTTCGTCAATTAGGGGCAGTCGCAATGCTCGCCAAGGTGCATAATCTCAAATCGTACCCTTTCAAGAACCCTGGGCATACAACAGCACTCGGGGTCTATATTCATAATTAACTGTTCACGTGGATAGTGATATGAGTTCAACAGCTGCCAGCCAAACGTCTTTGTCGTCATTGTAAACGGATACGCCGGAGAGGCTCTTCTTCAGCTGGAAATCTCTGCGCCCACAGCACCGTCGATCGCCCGTTTTCAGCAGTATTTTACTCTGTTTTCGCAGCTTACATGATGTGAATCGATCAAAATCACCACCAGTCGCATGGCAAAAACTCCTGCCGATCAGGTACATGCCTTGCCTAATTGGTTCGCCCCTTACCCAGTTCGTCGTAAGCTTCACACATTCCGGGCTATTATCCGTCTGGGCCCTGACAAGCCACAACAAAAACAAGACCACGCTACTGGTGACGATTCGTCCCATGGTGGATTGGGTCGAGTAGCTCCGGGCTGCGCATGCTAAGCGGGATTTAACCGTCTTATTTACTTCGCATCCCCCGGATGTTCTTTGAGACTCTCCATTCAAACAGGACTTTTGTCACTCACTATTCATTTTGCTGAATAACTTCACTCATTCAGGTGTTCAGCAGTCGCTCTTTCGAAAGACATTCCTCCAACCTCAAATTACTATCCTTCGTCCGATCTCAATCAGCCACGATGCAGCTCATCACAATCCTTTCCGCCGCTACGGCGATGATTGCGGGTGTTTCTGCCACCGACGAAAGGAACGCAGTCACGTTGACCGAGTCGTGCAATGAGGCCGAACCTTGGGCCAAGATCATCAATCGCTGCGATTATCCAGTATATATCTGGTCTGTTTTCAAGGGCAACGGCTGCCCCACCGACGGCATGGTGACGCTCAAGACGGGCGAAACTTACCAGGAGAATCTCGCCGATCCCAAAGGTGGTGTCACCGGTGTGTCCATCAAGATCTCAAAAGAGCAGCAGTGCAAACCCAACGATATTGTGCAATTCGAATATTTCATGGAGAGGACCAAGGGCGATGAGTACGACTTCAACTACCTGGATGTCTCTTACGTCGACTGTCTAGGCGACGATTGCCCTACAAAGTCTGAGGGATACTACCTTGTGGCCGGTAACCAGACCGGAGCAGATACGGCCTCGGCAACTAATCAGTGGTGCCCGATCCTTTCTTGCACTGATGCGGCATCGTGCGCAAAGATGTCCTACATTCTCCCAGATGATGTTCAGACCAAGACCTGTAATCTCGATCAGAACGTACACTTCTACATGTGTGGTGGGCATGCGCCTGATGGCGATTCGGACGAACCCGCACAGTCTTCCAGCTCTTCCAAGCAGGCCGCGTCATCTACATCCAAGGCTGCTTCGTCCACGTACCAGGCTGCATCATCCACGTACCAGGCTGCATCATCAACACCCATCGCCGCGTATTCGTCCTCCAAGTCGGCGCCATCATCCACGGAGACACCCGCCCCAACCTCGACCGAGACCTCAGATTCGGATGACTCATACCTCTCGGTTGAGGTCAAGGTTGCGGCTGTCTCAAGCGCACCCGCTGCATACTCACACAAGACTAAGACCGAAGTCGTATACGTCACCGCTTACGAGACAGTCAAAGCAAAGAGGCACGCCCATGACCATGCTGGCCGCCACCAGCATTTCCACGCATAAGCTGTGTCACCGTCATCGTACATGATCGCCACGTTGGCAGCCGGGGAGTTCTTGTTACCGTACACTTCACATTCATAATCAGGTTACCTACCTTGCGATATACCCAAAGGAGAGAGGAAGAGGATTGGAGAATCGTATCATCCAACGTAATGGCCAGGTAGAACGCGTCGCAAGCAAATCTATTCTTTATCTCAACGACGCGCACCAGCCTTGCTTATGTTTCTGATTCATCCTACACTCTAACTTTCACTCCTCGACTATTGGATATAATCGCGGACGGTACCTAGTTTCGGTATTCTCTTCTTGATAACACACTTATCTCACGATGTTACGACATATACCATCTTGGGTTTCTGGTCTACAGGCTAGCGGGTTTGGTTTCATCTATTCTGCTCTAAGGGGCATGCTTCTTTTACCTGGACTCGGGGTTATGTCAGTTGTCCTGGTTTGGTGTGTTAATGTACTTGATAGAATGGAAATTGGCTTCACATTGCACTCCCGAACCATATCAATCATTGCAAATTATAACTCTCAGCTCTCCACCAACATCCGAGATCCTCGTGAACTCAAGACGCTTTCCTATGAGCGTGTTGCACTGTTGGGTCTCAATGCCCAGTACTGCACCTGTTGTTCACAGTCTTGCGACCCTCACCCCACCTGCCAGTCTCAACAAAGCATTTTTTTGGTTGAGCGCCTTGGCACCCGTCATCCATCCCGACATGGACGAGCGAGCAGGACGAAGATCTTAGCCTAGAGTATTATAGCACCTCGAAATAGACATTTGTTGTGTGTGCTTGCCTTATGTGCCTCAAGGAATGTCTCATGATGCATCTTTGATCCTCTTATACAATTAAGTTTGGTTTGAAATATTGCGCGGGCTTACGTTTTGCAATAAGATGGAGCGCATATATATGTACAGCTTCATAGATTTTCGACTAGAAACTTTGTTACTTTTATGATCGAACACAGACTGCTTCTACAGCCTAATCAATGTCTTATGTTCTGCCTTTGCCATGAGCGCAGCATGCACACTTGACAGAGACGTACCTTGTTTTGAGCTCAAGACCCCCAAGTTTGGGGTTCCGCCCTCCATCACCGTAAATTTAGAATACGTTAGTATACGTAGAGTTGTTCTATAATGTTGACATAATGAATAATGAGCGACTTGTTCACTGGTTGAGTAGTCTGCTTTGAGGAGTGTTGAATCTCGTATGCATACACGTGACGATCTGCTTCCGCCGCGATCGAGACAGAGATTGGGACCAATTTTTGGTACGATCGAGTTCTCGTCTTCGTGCAGTAGCAAGAGCTTCTAGAACACCATTCACAAGTAGCGGATGATGTAAAACCCCGTTAATGTTCCCCACCTTTTCGCCCACACAAACCTTAAAAGCCCAAACTTTTCTCGGCGGGCAGCCGAAATCGATAAAGAAACAACGTCACAATTCTCGCATCCTCTCACATGCCGACCAATGACAGGGTGAATAAGTAACAAGAATTCCTTTGTTCATGGTTAGATGAAACACAGACCCCAAGACATGACGCTGGCCAAATTACTGATCTCGCACATGGCAACGTGACGAGATTCAACCTGACGACACATGCAAGGGAAGGGAGTTGTGATCCGAGACGGTTTTGGTATTACACTCACGAATTTTGTACTTGGTTAGATGCACTGTGACATGTGGAAAAACAAGACATGTTCTTAGTCGCACATGCAAAACTAGACTTGAAAGTTTCGCAAGCAGTATGTTCAACTTAGCATCGAGCAGAACAGTTTAGTTTGTCGCAAGAACAAAGCTTTTCTTCGTGATTATTGGGACATGATTACTCTCTATCCTAATATGCCATTACAACCACATTCGGTAGAACGCTCTTTTTGACATCTATGCTATCTCTTTGGGTGTGTCCACCCATTCCACGGCATTCGTACCCCCGACAACCTCAACACCCCATCTGATCTCCCCGTCTTGATCCTTGAACCATCCCAACTTTGTTTTGATGATCTCGTCTCGCTTCAGCGAAATACCTCTCTCATGAACCAGCTTCAAAAGGTTGTCGCTGCCAGCAACAAGCACCAAAATGTCTGCTATCAACTGTACATCGCGAACCATACAACTCATATACCGTCGTTGTAAACACATAACTACAGCCGTAGTACCAATCAACCAGATGAGTATAGCAATGGTTAAATACGTAGCAATAGGGTTCATGTGTAGAACTTGAACACGGTTAGAGACCCAAGCCTCGGCAGTACTATTCGTGTCAGACGTAGGGTATTGTCGAGCAGGAAGCGCAGTCCCGTTGATATCGACCAACCGTCCCAGATCTTCAAGGCTACGATCGTTGATGCCCTGATAAGCTAAGCCACCTTCCTTGAGAGACATGCCGTTTGCAACAAAATGCTGGAAGAAAGTTTGAAAGGTCCGGTCTGCATGGCGTACGAGAGTGGTGTAATCCAGGAGTGCTTTTGCGTCTTTCGCGGCTGCGGCATACATACTATACGTCATAAAGTCCATGTTGAGACCATGCTCTTGGTCATGCATGACAAAGGCATTGTCTTCAACAGGCTGCCAGTACGTAGCCAATCCTGTATTGACATCATCGGGATCTGAAGCTCTGAACATAGCATCCATGAAGAGGACGCCAAAACTGCGAAGACAGAATTAGTGATTGAACTGATAACTATACCGAGTATCAGCATACCTTGTCGTAATATTTAGCGGCCCAGTGTACTTTTGGTTATAATGTTTGTCTGTATTGGAAAGATCATGAATTCCAAAAACGTCTGACCATGCCGAATCTGCAGGCCTGGGATGTTCACTGAGCTCATAGGAGAAGACAGACGCTGTAACTTTATCAACAGTTACTATCGTGTCTGCCATCTCGATAATGGGTATACAGCGAGCAGCTTGTAACAATGGCACTTCCTTGAAGAGTAAAAGGTTTAACGCAGGAGCTACTTCTGAATCGCTCCCCAAGGGGATCTTGATTGGCTTCCCCACTATCCATTTCGTGACGAAAGGAATTGGCCACGTTTTGCTGGCATGCGGAACTTCTTGAGCATCTGTAGGCGACCAGTAGCCAATTGCAGCCTCATGTGTCGTTCCGTGAGTGTTGTTAGTACAACATTGAATCCGGTTGGTGTTCGCGAAAGCCGAGGTATTCGAAGGGGTATTGTCGAACATTGTGCTATTCAGCCAATAATAGTCCTCAACTCCCGTCGTATTGAAAGTGTCTGGAACGCCGTCCCCCTCCTTGATAGGAGCGATCCAAGACGAGACATTACTTATCTCCTGAATCGGGTCGCACTCAAGGCGCGCGCGGATTCCAGTTGTTTGAAGTGTGACATTGGTCGGATGATCAGGCAATCCTTTCACGTCGGAATCGGCAGTCTTCTGGACTGAAACGTAGTCCGGTAACTCTGATAAATCAAGGGGTACGAAGCTCCATCCGTCTGAAGTCCATGGAAGTTGAGAGCTGTTGAGAGAAAGTTGTATCGCCGCACCTGCCAACCAGTTCTTGGGAGGATCAAGATAAAGTTCATCGAGCACTGCATAGGCACGGATATTGTCCATATACCCAAACTCATAGGCGGGTTCTGTTCTGATTTTTGTTATGACTGGGTCACGTCTCAGACTGAGTGTCCGGTTAAGCCCAGTTTTTTGTGTGATATTAGCCGCTTGCCTTTCGAACAGTGCCGACATAGAGACCGTTACTGGTAAGGTCGTGTTAGTAATCCAGGCACAAGCTTGAGATAGGTAGTGGATCTTACAAACTTGACATAATACGCTTCCAGTAGCGACCATTAGAAGCACAAAGTGTCTGTTGCGAGCTGCTTTGATTGCAGCTCCGACCCATGTATTTGACCGATAGGACAATCCTGCACCTTTGGTGATCGGCGTTGGCTCTCGTGACATGGATATGAAGGGTTGGAGCACTCGGAACATCATGTCGAGCTGACCCCACCATAGTCCAATCACAATACTCACAACTGTGGGTGCGATCGAAATTGGGGCGAACGAGGGGAAGCTCAGACCCAGGCGAGACACATCGGTCTTGTAAACGAAAGCCACTTGCGAGAGGCGTGACTGAGAAGAAAACAGGCTCAAAATAAGGACAGCCACTGCAATGAGGACAAAGAAGCTGACCAAAGCAGATAGCGCTCGCACCCTAATGACGAGGGGTCGCCACTTGCGTCTAGGTTTTTCCTCTTCGGTCGAGATTGCTGGGGTTTCATGTGAGTCTAACCATCTCCATACAATGTTTAGGTAGTAACTTACTTCTGTTGACAGATTGATCCACATTGTTACCTGTCTGCAGCGTACCGTCTGATGTACAGAAAGTCGCAGTACGCAGTGTGGAGTAAAATTGCTTACTCCCTTTCTGATGCATTTTCTTGAAGGCAGAAGTCCTAGCCAGCTGTGGGTCGAGTAGCATGCTCAATCCTACCGCACTACTAGGATCGGTTTGTAGGTCGAGTGGCCGATGTGACAAACGCGAGAACCAAAAGGTCAGCAAAAGTAGAAGTGATGATAAGAAAAAAAGAGCAGCTAGTGTGATTCCGATTTCTCTGAGTACCATGACTCTTTCTTCAATGACGGTAGACTCCCCATTGATGAGTTTCGATTGCACCACCTCATTATTGGTGAGTGCATCGCGAAGACTTTCTGTGAAGAAGCGTCCTTTGACGCGAGCTGCTTGTTCGACCAGGTGAGGGTCGTCCAGCATAGCTGAGATGTTAAAAGAATACAGTGCAGCGAGTAGTGGTCCAATACCAGAGAACGAAGGGACAGCAGCTTGATAATTATACGCTGCATCCGCCTGCAGGTTCTTATCCATTGCGTTGTCTGCATCGTAGCTCATACCTACTCTGTTGAAATAGTTCTTCCAATTATCTTGCAGAGCCAACTCCTGGAACTTGGGGAGGTCAACTAGTGTGCGAGGAACTACCTCACTCACGTTGCTGGAGACGGAGGTTGTGTTTATTGTTGTTGCTTTTGTGCTGGACATGGAAGCTATCACTGATAGCTTCTCCATTGTGTACCGAGATTCACAGAGCATAGCCTTCATTCGGAAACTAGGCGATCGTTCGTATGTTTGGTTAAGTGGTAGAGCAGGACCGTGGCCCATGCTCAATTGTATAGATTTTGTCCATGGCGTGTTGGAGAAAATTATTTCGCGGTCTCTACACTGATCGGAAGTTTTCAAGCGTGCATACGGACTAGTCGAAGAGATGTTCGCCGCAAATGGGATGCGCCCAACGTACAAAGAACTGCCCCAGACAGGATAGAAAGTTGATGCGTTTGACCAAGTGGAACCTCCATTATAGGCGATGTCGGCATTTGGATGAAGCGATAGTTCATACCTACATCCATCATGTGAACTCAGTACGAACGATACCATCGGTTGAGTACCGTTGTATGGTCCTTTACCCGTGATATCATATGCTCCTGAGAAAGGTTTAGAGGTCATCTCAGCGCTCTCGAGAGTCATGTTCTGACAAGAAAGGCTGGTGTGTAATCTCGTAGTCTCCGTTTCCCAGGATCCAGCAGTAGACACGAGATTAGGGCTTAGTTGCATTTCTTCGGACGAAGGCCAAAAAGGTAGCGTTAGGGAGGAATCGGTGATCCACGCCGATGTAGATACGTTTCTCATCAAGGCACCTATAGTCCTAAAGTATGTTTCTCTGTTTGCGACGAGAGGTAATTGGACGCCGTCCCGCGGAACGATTCTGGAAAACTCTATAGTTCTCGGAATGATGACTTCTTCCGATGTAAGCAGTGCTGATGAGAGGGGCGATATGGCAAGCATAGCGAGTGTGTTGACGAATGCGGCGAATATCAAGCACCAGCTAGTCTTGCCAACCGATTTGCGCTTGAACGTGACGTCGAAAAAGACCGACATGCTCTGGTAAAGAACTGTACCAGACGCGCTTGCTCCGTCAGAAGGAGCTTTGGCCAGCCGTGCGAAAGGTTCCGTTCTTTTGACATCTTCAAAGAGAATGACAGTCATTTGGGTGTAGATGACAGCAAGCAATGTAGGAGTGAAGCGCCATCCGAAGAGAATGATTGATGAGCCATCATCTGTTCCTAATCCATAGTGACGCTGTGAGAACCACACTAAGACAAGAATCGTGGTTCCGAATGCGAGACTGGTCATGATTGGGAGAAGAAGGAAGTACCACCGGAAGGTAGACGGAAGCCAGCTCCCGTTCCGGGCCGTGGTGGACCTGGCTTAGAAATGTCAATTGAGAACATGATCACAGTTTCAGATTCCTTACCATCTGTAGATTCCAGAGACTGTGACAATGCGCTATCATGGCGTTGAAGCCGAGGAGATGGTATCTCAACTGGAGACACTGGAGATACTGGGTTTGAAAGTCGTCGGTCCATTATATTGGTTCTTGCGTGCAATCTCTCGCACCAAAGACAAACGCTTTTCCTTCGCTCTAAAGACTTGGAAGAATCGAACTACCCAAGTTTGTCCAGCAAACTCTTGCCCAAAAGAACCGTCCGCTAAAAGAAGTGACAAAAAACGAGCGTACGACATCATACCTGAGCGGGCTTGAGCCTATGTACTATCGCAAGTCGTACCTGCATTTAGCCACCTTTATTAGCATTGCGGCACAGTCGAGAGCCTCGCCTCTAGACCAGACCTCAACGTAGCTGCAACGATGTAGTGTTTTCGGGCATCCGTGCAATAAGATCGTTGGATAAGCGCTTGCATGGAGCAAGGGTCAGTGCAGCGGTTCGGATCGACAAATCGGGATGCAAGCGCCACATTTTAAGCGCCGTAGGGCACAAGCTCGAATGACACGCTGGCGGAGATAAAGGTGCAGCGAACGTGCGCTGGACTGAGAGTTAATGAAGAGTCATGAAATGCAGGTTGGATGTCCCGCAAAAGTTTGGGTGGTACGCGCCAGGATTCACTAGCGCGACTTCCAGCCATCTCTACCACGATGGTCACCTCACTTTTCGTAAAAGTTTAGTATGTAGAACACGCGAAACGAAACCATCCAGCGATCTGCAGTGAACAAAATCAAGCATAGGTTTCGAAATAACGAAATTGGCGTTGAACCCTCACACGCACAATCATTTATATCTAGCAATCCAGCGTCTTAACACGCAACCTACAATAAGAAAGTATCGAGCAGCAAAATACCAGTCAACCGATGCAAAGCTGCTCGGCCAGTAGTCCTATATATCTTACGCGACAGAAAGATACATCACATGAAATTCCAAACTATGATATATAAGTGTTGAATCCGCCATCTTGCTCACGCATCAAAAGAATGTTCTACTTCCTTGTACCCAAATTACCTCACTCAATAGACATATGATAATTCATCTTCGTCTATAGAGTTAGATCGCTAACTATCCTCTGCATAAAATTTCTGCGATATACACCCCCAGCCGTCCACTCCCTCAACACTCAAAGCACCATTTCAAGAAAGAAGAGGAAACTCTCAGAGGATCAGTATACATGCATCACCCATTACCTGCTGCTTTGAGCAATTGTAGGAAGCACCACCAAGAACAAGAGGACCAACACATAGCGCAAAAGCACGAACAACATCAACCCCCCGTATCCCCCACCCATTCCACAGCGTGAAAAAAATGAACCAGCAATGAAAGAATAGTACCATTTGATCATTCCCATACACTAAGTCTTCTTCATCATCGTAGACTAGAAAGACAAAGTCATTCACTCACATCAAGTACCAGCGTAAACATCAACCTAACCTGCCTTTTGACCTGCCCATTGAATGCAAAACGCCTACTCCTCATCCTCCTCCTCGTCATCTTCTTCCTCTTCCTCCTCTTCCTCTTCCTCCTCCTCTTCCTCCTCTTCCTGAGCAACCTCCTCCTCCGCCGCATCATCCGCCTCCTCCTCCTCCTGAATCAAAAGGTCCTTGACTGTCCCGCCTTCCCTCTCCAATCTCAGATACTCCTCCCACTCAGGAAACATCTCGTCGTCGCCCTCGCCCTCAGAAGGCGGCGCGCCCAACAGCCGCGCGACCTTGATCTTATTCTCCTTTTCAAGGCTAGCCTTCCACTGCTTGACCAGACCCGCTGTTGTGCTAGGTTTGTACGTCTGGCTGAACAGCACTGCCTCGGCAAGGCGATTCGTCTTGACAAGCAAGTCAATGCAACCCTGTGTGTCGTTAGATTGCCAGAGCGCAGAGAACGCAATGTTGTTTGCTGTTGCGGTCTCGGCAAGGGAAGCTAGTTCGCGGAGTCCATCGGTATCCGAGGTTGCGGAGTAGACGAGAAGAAGGGAGCCCAAGTCTTTCGCTTTGACGAAGCATTCCTGTGCAAGCTTGACGTCCCAGCCTGCTAGTGCTGCATCGCCGACTGTCTTCCACTTGTGCTCTGTATCCTGCTCACGCGCAATCTCGACGGCTTGTTGAAGGTCACCGAGCGAAAGAGCGAGATCAAAGCGGTGTTCAGGGTCCGTAGCAACCTTGAGAGCCATCTCCTTGTAACCTTGACCTTCCAAGAACCGGGCGATCTTATTGTTTTGATCCTTGGGTACTGAGGGTAGTGTCTCTTCGGCGGCCTCCAGGTCACCTCGAAGAATGAGGGTCTGGTACTCAACCACGGCCAGAGAAAGAGCAAACGAAACGACGTTGACATCCTTATCCGCAATGTAAATTCTCGAATCGCGGGGAAGGTATCCAAGGACGTAGTGTGGTGAATCGAAGTGTGAGATGGTGTAAGTTTGATCGCCAACAAGGTAATTCAGACGGTTTGTGCTGTTTGTGTAGATGAAGCAGTCTCCAACCCAGCATCCGGTGCGTACGCTGTGCAAAAGTTAGATTACCGTAAGACTGAAGACCGCAATGCACATACCCCTCATTGATATCACAAACAACCTCGAAAGCGGCCTCGGCGCCGTCCTCATCGACCTCCCCGTTTTGTACCGCCTCAAGGTAGCTCTCTCTTGAATAACGCAAAACGTAAAATGTGTCATCGGTAGCCAGCGTGACGAGCTCGCCGCTCTCTGACCAGTACACACTCTTCGGCTCGACCTCTATCCTTCTGACCAAAGAGCCGGAGTCCCAATCGAAGAAGCCGACACCACCTTGGCCCTTGACACCAAGCAGAACTCCGCCGCTCAGGCCGTCAGCGGAGAAGCCGACATTCAACACGCTTCGTTCTTTGAAGTTGCGGAAGATCTTTACACTTGTGGCAGATTCTCGGATAGCGTAATCCTTGTCGTGTTCTTTTGACGCCCAGCAAAAGTCGAGCGCGGAACCGAAGGCCTGATTGCGGAGGGCAAGCGCAGTGTAAATAATGTATTCGCCGTCACCGCAAACTGCGACGAATCGTCCGTTCGGCGAGTGAAGTAATGATTGAGGATATATCTCGGTTGAGCCAAGGTCCTTGGAGGGGAGTGTGAGACGCTCAGCATCTTTCAGCTGGTCGTTGCCCTTGATGACAGCAGTGAGAATCTCATTGTGTTTTGCCCAAAGGACCTTGCCACCGGCATCCATACTGACAGCGGGCTCTTCTCGACCCATGGAGATAACTACGGCACCATCATCAAAACCGAGCGCAACACCATTTTTGCTCTTCTGGTATGCTACACACCATGCTCGTTCCAGACCATAGTTGAGCGACTGCTCTAAACGGTAAGTTGAGGAATGCCAGATCTTGATCGTGCCGTCTTCAGATCCGGAGATGATGACAGGGAGTTCAGGGTGGTATACGGCGAAGCTGACGTTTGAGGTGTGACCCTCGAGCGTTGCAATGAGGGCTTTTGTTGTGTAGTCCCAGACCTTGACCGTCTTGTCATCGGATGTTGTGAGGAGGTATGGCTTGTCGGATTGAGGGTAATAGTCGATGAAGTTGACGCCCTTGGTCTCATGCGCTTCGAGGGTGAAGTTGGGCGTCGAGCTGCCCAGCGACCAGATTTTGACTGTCCTATCGAGACACGCAGATGCGAATGTGTTTGGATCTTTGGGATTGATAGCGATGCCCATAACATAGTGTTGGTGGCCGGCGAATTCCTGCACGCCTGAGAGCTGTCAGCGGAGGTGCATAGCTGTTGTGGTGGGTGCCAATGCACATACACTTCCATCCTTTATCCCAGTCCCACAGCTTTATTGTCATGTCATCCTAGAAGCGCATTAGCCAAGCTCCTGTAATGTTGTTCTAGTGTTACCCACACTGGCGGTCAAGACAAACGGCTGCGTCGGGTGCACAGCAATGGCGCGGATGTAGTCTGGGTGTGCCTCGAAAGATGTGACCTTCTCCGAGGTGTTGTAGTTGTACACGCGTAGTTGGAAGTCGTCGGAGCCTATATTCGAGCCACGTCAACCCCTCTGTCGGGCGCATGTAGAGCGGCCGTGTCCCACCTGCGACTATCCAATTCTTCCTCGCAATGAAGCGACCCGCGCGGACAGGTACATCGGTGAGCTCGAACGTCTTGACGATCGACTGCGAAATGTACGACCAGATGTGGACGTGTCCTGCCTCGGTCAGTCTTGCGCTGCCATGTCGGTGCTAGAGCTGTGCATACCGCTGTACAGGGTTGTGAGGATCCATGGCTCAGTCGGGTGGAAGTCTTGGGCGGCGTTTAGTAGTGTGTTTGTATCGCAGAGGTATAGCTCCTACCAATTCCTATCAAATGTTAGCATGGAGCTCCAGCAGGACCAACAATTGCGTTTGGCAGCCTGTAGACACTCACCCTTGACCCTCTCCGACCTCGCAAACAGTTGCCTCTATACCCAAGCCTCTATTAGCCGCTACTTCTTCCCTCCAGAGCCTCGTGTCGCCGTACCTTTACGTCCAAACGCATCTTCGCGACTCGACGTGCGTGTTGCGGAGGGGTGTGGGGGGAGACGTGGCTCTAAGTAGTCTGTCTACGCGCGCGCAGGCAGAAGCCAAAGACGGTGTGAGGACGTGGATGGGGAGGAGTTGTCCCAAGTAATCGTGAGCACCGGGATTGCGTGGTAAGCGAGAGTTGCGACGTAGAGCCGTCCACGAACATGCTCCTGTGTTCAATGTTCCATGGTGCCGCCAAGGCCTTCGAACAGGGTTCACGCTACTCTTGCCCAATGCGGCAACTTCGCAAACCATCGATTGCAGACGAATGCGCAACATCCTCTCACACCAGGCGCCTTGGGCTCTCCACAGCACAACATCCCTTGCCTGCGCCCAGAAACCATCCAAAGTATGCACGTTTCTTGCAGCAGCATGATTGAACATAAGCAAGTAAGAGCACGCAATAAAACTAAGTTGAAATACTTTTTTTAAATTCCTGTCTATGAACGACTACATACTCGAAATAGCCAGTTCCTCTCCTTCGCATACACACAAACCGTGTCACGCACATGCCAAGCCTTGCAACAACACAGGCCTGCCCATCGACAAAGACAAGACATGAAAAAAACGGTCTAGCTGGGCAGAGCGTAGACTGGTATCTAAGAAGCAAAAGGCACAAGAAAACATCTCCAAACATGTTAAAATATAGTATAAGTGGTTATAGATGGCGATCCCAAAAGAGTGTGTCCGAACATAGAAGACAATGAGATGGAAGAAAGCACATTGCGGTGGCGACTGCCTACAAGCAGATGCTAGTCAGGAACAGGGGTAGTACAGTAGGCGATAGATCCTAAGATCGAAAAAAAGATGCTGTCGAGATAGTAGCACCATGTCATGTCGACACGAACCGGTCTGTCGTACGTTGCGAATCTGACTGCGCCCGAGCTCTGAATGGTCATGCGAATCCTCGGTGAGGGGAAGAGGCCTGGGCAGTTGCTTAGTTCCAACCAAGGGAATTCTCCGCCATTACGGGGGCGGAGATGGGCAAGGTTCGAATGCTGCGCCCTTGAGTGCCACTGCTTCCTTGACTACCTCGACTGCCCGGCGTCAGGCGACCATTACGAGCTCCATGCATCCAAGCAGCAGCGCCACCTGGGATGGAACCACTCGTCATGCGGCTTGAGGTGGGAACAGAGCTGGATCGCTTGTGGGTCATGCGCTTGTTCCTGTACCTGCGGGCGACGAAGAACATGGCCGCGCCGTAGGCGATGGCACCGACAACAGCGCCGGTTGCGATACCGGCGCTTGTCGGGTTGATCTTACGACTGGCGGAGATATCACCTCCGATAGCGCTGCCATCGCTAGATCCTCCTGTCGACGTTGCGGCAGGATCGGCAGTTGCGTCGTTTGACGAGCCATCACCGGGCAATTTACCGGCCGCAAGAGGACAAGCCGTATTGATCAACCCAGTAAGCGCATTGACTGTATCGTCCTTGTTGTGCCAGAAACTATCGGCGGGATTGCGAAGCTTTGCAGCAAGCGTACTCTGTAGATCTTTGGGAATTGAGAACAAAGCCAGAGTGGTGATGAACCCTTGGTATTGTGTGGTATCGAGTGGTTTCAATCCGTAGTTGCGGACATCAGAGACCGAGATATTGAGACCGTCCGCAATGGCCTGGGGCAGGTAGTGGAAAATCTGGTTTCCACTATCCGATTTGGACACGAATGGATAGTTCAATTGCCACTTGAAGCAGACCTGGCCCATGAAGGTGTCCTGTTGAGCAGCAGCAGTCGGTACGCCACCAGGAGGAGCGATCATTCTTGGCAGTTCTGATGGTATTCCGCTTGATGTTGCGGATGGCGACGCAATGCTGGAAGGTTCTTGGATAATGCTGGAACCAACAACTAGGCTTGACGCAGAGTTTGTCGCGGTTGCGATGACAGATCTCACTGGAGTAGGCTCAGGCGTGACCGAAGGGATAGCAGGGATGGCAATAGATGCAGTGTCACCCTCTTGTGTGCTGGATGGAATTGCCGATGGTGTGGCACTTTGAGTAACCAATCCGGTAGAAATACCAGTAGCTGATGCAGTCCTGCTGGCTGTAGCCGACGATGCAAGACTTCCAGTCGCTGTGACATTTGTAGAACTGGGAGGTGCACTCGTCGCACTGCTAAGATCCCCAGACTGGACAGCCGAAGAGATGGTCTCTGAGGCTGATATGCTGATCGATCCGCTCGACGACGCAGTAGGAATAGGGAAGGCACTAGTACCAGCCGACAGACCAGAGGATGGGACGACGCCGGAGGGCAGTAACGAGCTGATGCTCTCCGTGTTGGTAGAACTTGGTGACACGCTAGTACCAGTGGGTAGACCTGATGATGGCAAGATACCAGAGGGCAGTAGCGAGCTGATAGCCTCCGCACTAGTAGGGAACGGCGAAATGACGCCACCAGATCCAGACAGCGAAGCCGATGGCAGAATTCCAGACGCAATACTTGATGACAGAGTGGGCACATCGGTTGGGAGAGAGCCCGAAGCAGTCGGGAGAACGGAACCAGAGCTAAGCGAACCAGCACTGGTAGCGGGATCCGAAGAGTTGCCTGGGACTGCGGTTTGAGACACTGGGAGGTCCGACACGACTGACGAGAGGATGCTGGAGAGATCCGTGACCGCTGATGTAACTAGAGAAGGAAGGACGGCGGGAGCAGTGGGCCCCGGCGTGGCCTCGGTAAGGCCAGAGCTGGTAATTGCACCCGTTGGAGGCAGACTGTCGGACGGCAAAACCCCACTTGTTTCGGAAACAGTTGAAGGAAGAGCAGTTGGTAGTAGGCTTCCAGATGGCACGACTCCAGTCCCCTCAGACACTACAGAAGAAAGAATCGACGGTAGAGCAGTTGGTAGTAGGCTTCCAGATGGCAAGACTCCAGTCCCCTCAGACACTGCAGAAGAAAGAATCGATGGCAGATTTAGACCGGAGCTAATGATGGTGTTGGTAGGCAGCGGCAAGATTCCCGTCCCTACAGATGCAACCGAAGACAACGTTGAGGGTTGATCGACAAGAGAACTCAGAACAACATTGGTTGAAGCCGCGCTGTTCGATGGCAAAATCACCACGAGAGGTTCAGTAGTAGAAATGAGTCCAGTCGGTAGCGGGCTGTCTACTGGCAAGAGACTGGTGAGTGTAGGAACAATGGACTGGAGGGCAGGCGTCGAGCCAGAGAGACCCTCTGAGGTAGGGATGGCGCCTGAAGGCTGAATTGAATCCGTTGGGGTTGGTGAGTTAGAGTTCCCTGTACCCAAGGCAGTAGTGATACCGACAACGCCGGAACTCAAGTCGACCTGTGGAGTAGGTGTTGCCTCGGGGCTTCCCAAGATCGGACTCAGAACTGATGTAAGCAGACCATCGGTCTGGCTAGCAGATGGAGTTGGTTGGACAACGGACTCTGGAACTCCACCGGTGGAGCCAACCTGTGGGGCGGGTGTTGCCTCAGGACTTCCCAGGACGGATGTAAGCAAGCCATCGATTAAGCTGGCGGACGAAGTTGGCTGTACAATGGTTTCAGGAACACCTCCAGTTGAGCCAATCTGAGGACTAGGCGTCGCTTCGGGGCTCCCCAAGATTGGCGTCAAGACTGGTGTGAGCAAACCATCAATCAAACTGGCAGACGAAGTTGGTTGGACAACGGACTCTGGAATTCCACCGGTGGAGCCAACCTGCGGGGTAGGTGTTACCTCAGAACTTCCCAAGATTGGCGTGAGCAGCCCATCAACAGGATTAGACGATGCAGTTGGCTGCACAATAGTCTCGGGTAATCCTCCTGTCGAACCAAGCTGAGGAATAGGGGTCACCTCAGGACTGTTCAAGGTTGATGTGAGCAATCCATCAAGAGAACCGGATGACGAAGTCGGTTGCAGAACAGTCACGGGTACACCTCCGGTTGAGCCAGGAACGATGAAGGGTCCGACGAATGCAGACGAAAGCTCGGGCGAAGCAGTGGAAGCTGAAGTAGGAAGAACAATGACGTCTGGGAACCCCCCTGTAGAGGCCACTGGCTGTTCAGAGACTACATCTGGTAAAGATGCAGACCCTGTAGGTTGCACGACAGAGGAGGGGATTCCACCCGTGGATCCAAGTAGACCGCCAACAGGCTCAAGGAGGCCGGACGAAGAAGAAGGCGATCCAGTGGGTTGAACAATAATAGAAGGGGCTACCCCAGTTGCGGGAGTATCTACGATTGCAGAAGTAGGCAGAACGATGACTTTAGGAAGACTTCCAGTGGATCCCACATTCGCTACAGGCGGTTCCGACGAACTTGACGGCTCGGGCTCGATTTGGGCAGACGAAGTTGGTTGGACGATGTTTTGTGGCACTCCACCAGTAGATCCTACACTTGCAGCAGGCAGTTCCGTTGAGCTTGACAGCTCGGGCTCGAGTTGAGCCGATGAGGTTGGTTGAACGATGCTCTCCGGTACGCCACCGGTAGACCCGACACGTGCAGCAGGAGTCGCGGACGAGCTTACCGGCTGTAGCGTAGGCTCTGCCTTTAGTTCAGACTGAGATGAGGAAGTTGGCTGGACAATGACCTCTGGAATCCCTCCTGTAGACGCAGGTGACCCGCTAAGGAGATCTCCAACAGATTGGAGAAGCTCAGACGAGGATGAAGGCACAGGCGAAGTAGTTGGCTGAACAATGACCTCTGGAACGCCCCCTGTTGATCCGGTTTGAAGAAGCTCAGACGAAGAAGAGAGCACAGGCGAGGGGACAGGCGAGGCAGTTGGCTGGACGATAACCTCTGGAATGCCACCCGTAGACCCAGACGACCCGCTGAGAAGATTTCCAACAGACTGGAGAAGATCAGGAGAAGACGAAGGCGTAGGCGATGAGGAAGGCACAGAGGATGAAGTCGGCTGAACAATGACCTCGGGGATCCCACCTGTAGACGCAGGCGACCCGCTGAGAAGATTTCCAACAGACTGCAGAAGACCGGTCGAAGGAGCAGTCGAAGTCGAAGGCTCAGGTGCAGTCGAAGGCTCAGGTGCAGTCGAAGGCTCAGGTGCAGTCGAAGGCTCAAGTACAGTCGAAGAGGTTGGCTGAACAATGGTCTCTGGAGCCTGTCCAGTAGACCCTCGTGACTCGCTGAGAAGGGTTCCAACAGATTGAAGAGTGTTGGGCGAAGGAGTAGCAGAAGACAAAGGTTCAGGCGCAGTTGAAGAAGTTGGCTGGACAACGGTCTCTGGAGCCTGGCCAGTAGATCCTTGCAACTCGCTGAGAAGGGTTCCAACAGATTCAACAAGCGTGGACGAAGGAGAAGGCTCACGAGAAAGAGAAGGCGAAGATGTAGGCGCGGGCGAAGACGCTGGTACGATTACGGACTCGGAGGAGCGGCCTGTCGAGCTGAGAACAACTGGAAGTGCACTTTCGAACGTAGGTGTGATGTTGGTTTCTTCACTCTTGGTAGGAGCATCAGCGCTAGACCTTGTGGGTATCCTCTCAACATCTGTCGAAGAAGCTAGCGCCAATGATGTCGAGGTGGGCGATGATTGGGGACCTCTCGTCCTAGTTGTAGGTTCTTCGCTATCTGACGTACCCTGGCTTGTTATCGGGATGGCAGAGACGATAGGGTCTTGGATCTCGGTTGATGTGGAGGCCGGTTCCTGTATAGTCGGGCTGACAATTACACTAGATGAGGAAGTTGGTAACGTGGAAGTCGGATGGAAAATTTCGTTGAACCTATCCATGAATCCGCTGGACTCCTTATGTTCAGGCGACGAAGTGGAAGATGTCGCGACTGCTGGCGCGGTCCCATTGACGCTTGTTTCACGCTTCACGTGTCGCGGGATGTAGTATCTGGGCCGTCCCTGGTTGTGTTGGGGCCTTGGTGCTGGCATAGCCTCTGCTGTGGTGAGCAAAGGACCTGAGCCGGAGAAGCTGGCCATGACCAGGGCGGCAGCCCATACTGTCGAAGAGCGCGGCATATTTACGATTGTCGTCTGGCACTAGATGTTTATTATGTATGTCGAGGGTAGGGTGTGGTCGAAAATCAAGAGCCTGTGTTTGTCAGCTATGGTCTTTGACAGTCGTATTTGGTAGACGTACTGTTCGGACGGGATCAAGCGAGTGTGGTTGACGTATGTCAAAAGTGGATAATGAATGTGAGCCTGTAGTCGCAGATCAGCTGTCTGCAAGTGACGAATGCGCGCGCCGAAACGACTCACTCGACTGTCGTCGCAGCTAGAATAATGGATAGTGCACCGGCTAATGCAGATGCGGCGTTGTTGCAGAATGGAGTTGTCGCGTGTAGAACTATGTTGTCATGTTTGACAGTGCTCGGTCCCAGATATTGGCGAAGACCCCTCTTGGGTAGTTGCGGGTCTACAGATGACAGACAGGTGGACTGGTTCTTGATGCGCGTCCAGACAACAGATGGCGAGCACGTTCACAAGAAAAAAGGTCCAGATGGCAGTCGCTAAGATCAACAGTTGGTGTTCTGGGCAGCTTCTTACAGCGATGACGGGTGCTGGCGATGTTTGGTCGATGGGCTGGTTTCTTTGTTCCTGGGCGGCGGGTCTGTCGTGATTGAAGCAGAAGGCTGGGGATCGGCGGCTTGAGAGAGTTCCACGGGGTTAACGAGCGACGGCGACGTTGACAAGCAACAGTCGAATTACTGCGGGCGGCAAGTGCGAAATGCAAGGGCGACGGGAAGGAGCGGTCGTGATTCAGAGAATCGTGCAAGTGAGGGTAAGCCCAAGGGCGGTCGTAAGCTGGTGAGCGTCGCGAGGAATTCCACGGGCTGCCTCGGACGGGTGATGCGCACTGGCGATGGGATATAAGACGCGCACTCCGTTGTACAATTGCCGGCGGGTAGGAGAGAGACGAGACGGCGTGAAGGGTGCGGAGTCGTGGTGGAGAGAGGGAACCGCCGCGCGACTCACGCAAGCCTCGTAGAGGTCAGCACGGAACAGGCAAGGCGTGAGAGTACGGGGCCAGCAAGCGTGTCTCCCTGCAGCTTCATCAAACCATGTCCTGCATCAGGCAAGGCCAAAGTTTCGCAGCGGTACGGTATTTGTGCAGTCAATAGTTGCAAAAATAGCTCTGGCGCACTCGTCACTGACTTGTAAACGTCACAACAGCCGCTCCTCGTCTTGCTGAGGCCAGCGTCTGGGAGAGCAGTAAAGAACCGCCTGCCCCCATGCCCCCACAAACCCGTCCATGGTGCCTTCTGCGATAAATTGCAGGCCAGGCTGTGCGGCCACATTGCTCAACAATGGCTTCATCTCGGCTCCAGCATCCCCTGCCCATAGACCGAACGGCCCGCCAAGCTGAGCACGAAGCGGCCTCTGTTTCCTGTACAGGACAATTTACCCGCATCCAGATTCAAACGCATCTAGCACCATGACCGGAACATGTTTGTCGATCTTGCTCTGGCGCTGTCTTCAGCGTTGAGCTTTGCTGATCCCAGAGACACGAGCGTGAGCGCGAGGAAAAAGGAGCAATCTCGTGAGCCCAGGCCGCCCCTGCTGCAATTTCGGAAGCAGCCAAGGACCCTGGCTCTGCAACATCGAGAAGAAACGCATCATTGCGCCTTCATCTTTCTCTGCGTGACATCCTCATATCCGGTTACTCTCATCTCCAGCAATATCGCCGGGTCGTTTTAATGGTCGTGCCGAGAGTGTGGCTGTTGCGTCTGCTGCAACCTGGCTGCACCGTGTCCACGCTGGCGACCCTTCGCTGCATGGCTCTTTATTGACAGCCTCGCGTCTTTCTCACTTGCGTTGATCCTGCGGGCAATAATTGCAAACAACTGCACCTCAATCACGCTATTGATTTTGCCATCCCAACTACGCTGTAACGGTCGATCTCCTCCATTTGTTTCTCCCGTCTAGCCGACAGGTCAAGTTTACACGGAAGTCGACGATCCGTTTCAACATCTGGTCGCCCCATGCTGGTGCTTCATCCGCCACTCGCAGCGTCGTCTCGATCCCGTTGGAATACCGTCAGCCACTTCCTACTCTGGTCTGGTCTGTTCCATTCTGGTGCGTTCTTATTGCCAAGCGAATAACTTTATCTTTTTCCCGTCTTCAAACGAGCAGTGGCTTCTCTGGTGAAACGCGGAAACCGAGCATTGCAGTCGCTGTCAGTGTCTCGATCATCCTCATGCCTCTTGTCGATTCAGAGTGCAGCTCAGAGGCCGAGGTTGACAGGTCTCACTGCAGACTCTATCCTCATTCAAACATATGTACTTGCCACTAATACTCTCCTTGGACCAGGTTGTGTCAAAGTCACCGCCAGTTTAGCATCTCGCCAGCCTGGTTACGAACTATCACCGTAACTCTTCGAGCTTCTGGCAAACCACTCACTCAAACATGACTAATCCTCTTAGCGCACTCGCATGACGTCTATGGACTCGAAGATTCAAACCGTCACAAATGAAAACATACTGCACTAGTTGCGAGTGCACATATTCAACAGTCTTTGTTGCCTCTATACATTATTTCCTGTCTCTAACAACAGCGATATATGTGTATTTGCTTCCGTCCTTTCCCCTTGTTCCATGTCATGTATCTCGATTTCCATGTCCAATTGTTCGACGCCTTGAGTTGGGCATTTACCCTCATTGGCACGGTTCATTACCAATCCGTTGAAAAATGTTCAGCCTTGTTGTATACTTGGGTCTGTCAAACCTACTTGCGTACTATCACGTCAGTGGTGCAGCCAGCCCAACGCCACGCATGATCCTGTGGGGGCCGTTTTGAAACAGACCCAGGCGAGGCCAGCTCTTGGAATGAAGTCGACTGTACCTATGCCTGACCAGCGAATCATAGCATTGGCATGCGATCCGATCAAGGCATAATAGTTCGCGTTGGAGGACCGCGACTGCAAGTTTACAATGACCGTAGTGGCGATGGCAGTTGACTTCTGTGAAGCATTGTTAGGCAATTATACATCTCTACTAGTCCTCCCATATGATGAGGCGTCAGTCCCCACCCTTAGGCAGTGCATCTTACTCGATGGACCGCATCACCCCTCTGATAACATCTTGCAGCAAACATGTGGCGGACAAGCCAAGAACGAACTGAAATCGCAGAATAGTTGAGAAGGTATATGTACCCTGAAATGTATTCCTTCGCCCTTACTTTGAATACTTCACTTACCTTCCCCCAGCTGTCATAACAGAGCTTCCCGTACTTCCAAAGACTGAGAGCACTCGAGTTGCTCTCTCGCCTTTCGGCTCACGCCGCAGAGGATGGATTCTACTACGATATCCCCAGTTCCTGGAATCTCAACGGACGCGCCGAACTTCGAGGAACTTCAACTGCTCTCTCCCTCAAGCTCTTCCAGTGGGCAGAAAGTCCTTCGTCCTGGTTCTACTCCACGTAGGAAGCGCCTGTGTACTACGAATGTATGGTGCAAGGGCCATCGCCAAGCCTGGAATGACGTTCATCCCCGAGGAAAACACGTTAGTCTCTGGTTTCTGGGGATCTCATGGATCATGACCCTCTGCGCTTTGCTAGGAGCGACTTTGCCTTTCTCTGTCCTTTCACGTGATTAGAGGTTCGCATGCACGCCCGAGTCGGAGCATGTGCGCAACTTGCCTTCTGATACCGCGGATAATCCGGCGACAGCATGTTGTTACTGTGATATGAATCAAAGCACCACAGATAATTATTTGGGGATCGAATGCGAGAGAGTCTTTGGAGTCCTGTTATGGCAAGGCATCCAGGCTGAGGGAGGATGGGGGAATTCCAAGTTCAACGCGAGTCTGTTCAACTTGACGGTTGATTACGATGTTACCGAACTTTACGGCGAATACACCGGTTTTGACACCGGTTTTGACGCTGATCTTGAAGGTGAGGGTGAGGGCAGATTTCAACAAGTCGGCCTTCTATGCATCGCAAGGGATGCGAGAGGGGCATTGTACATACTTTGCTTTTCAGCTGCAGTTATATACTCATATGCGGATCGTTTGCAGCCAAACATCGGACACGAGGTGCATGCATTTGATCAGTAAGTCGGTACCGCACGAACCTGTCTTACAGTTGCGTCTTTTGTATCGTAAAGTGACTCGTTGTTACCGTGCCTCATATTTCCTGATATCAGCAAAAGCCTCATCCATGAGGCGATCCCACTTCGCTCTGAAACTTCTCATCTTCGCGCGTCCTAGACTCATCCCAAGCCTCATCTTCTTCACTCCGCTTCTCCCGCTTCTCCTCCGCGACATTGACGCACGACCTCGGCTGCACAAAACGCGCCGCGTTGTCCCACCATCCAAGCAGTATGTCCGCATGCCGATGTAGCACTTATCTTCCGTCTCATATGGCCATTCACGCATATCCCACGGACTATCCACCGCATTACGGAACCCACCTCATAATACAAATAGGTAAGGCCAAACGTCGGTCTCCGGGAGTCCTCCATCCTCCATCCTGCGGCGTCACAGTGACATGAAATTCCAATCAAGCAAGTAAGTAAATCCGCAGATAAGACCCCCCATCGAAAGCACGAGGTGTGTTTCCAGACGCCACAGAAAGCGCAGACATGTAAAAGCGCGGAGAGAGTTTCACGAAGCGGGATCTAAGCAAGATACGAGGAGGCGTGTCGATATGGATGTGTGTGGTTCTTTGCATTCAACGCCCATCGATGTAGTACACAAAACTATTCATCCATACATAGTGATAGGAGCGACATCACCCAGATGACTCAATCTAATCACCTAACACCACCATATAATTCTCACACCCCCCACTCAACGGCGCTGCACGCCATCCCCCTCCAGCTCACTCGAAAACGGCTTCGACTCGTGAACATGCGGCTGGGCCTGCTTATACGGCGCGCCATGCTCTGCATACGGCACAGGCTGCGCATACTGCTGCTGCGGACTGACCGTGGGTGAAGGAGCGTTGTACACGGGCTGGCCACCCATCTGCGTGCCGCCCTGCTGCGGCCACTGCTGGGCCGGGGACACGGGGGCAGGCGACGGCGACGGCGCCCAGCTGTCGTGCTTCGTGACGCCGAAGGGGACCATGTTGGGTGCAGGTTGGGTCTGCTGCATCGGGGGTGGGAAGTACTGCGGGGACTGGCCGGGGACTGTGGTTTGCTGGGGGTAGGTTGCGACTGGGGCTGTGGATGTTGTTGGGGGAGCGCCGGTAGCGTGGGCTGGTTGGACTGTGGCGGCGTTCTTCTTCTTACGCTTTGCTAGGCAGAAGCCGATCAGAGCGAAAAGGAGGAGAGGCCCGATGACGACTCCTGCGATCCAGGCTTTGCTCTTCTTCTTCGTCTTTGCCTTGGTGGTGGTGGAGGAGGTGGAGGTGTTGACGGGAGTGAGGGCAGTGGTGGATCCAGAGTTGGAGGCAATGGCCGACGACGACGAGGTACCTAGTAACCATACGTTAGTATGATGAATGTATGGTCAGAAGAGATTTGGTTGTCTTACCCGCTGTCGCGGCTGCAGGTGCTACTCGGTAGTAACTGAAGTTCAGAGAGCTAATGCCGCAGTTGACATTGGTCTCGGGTTGAGAGTCCTGCTCATTTTCATACAAAAATAGTGTGTTGCAGATAGAGTAGGACTCGTGCCCTGAATTGGTGTAGGCATCGGTACTGGCAATGGTTAGCCGCCATCACCGCTGCGAGCAACAGTCTTAGAGTTGAAATCCCGAGAATACGTACCAAGCAATCGTGGCCAAGGCCCCCGATGAGCTGAGAGAATAGATCAAACTCCCACTGACGCAGGCATGCGGCATGACCTCGCATCCCGCAGCAGTCGTCGCACAGCACGCCCAGTACTCGTCTGTCTGGTAGAATGTGCCTCCCGCATTACAAGACTCGGCTCCCCATGTTCCATCGTTGGAAAGCCACCCCATAAACTGGTCACCATTCTGTCTCTTCAGAAGCTCAATCTGCGGACCCGGAGTGATGGTCGCGTCAGACGTTGAGGAGGTGGGTGTGAGCAGAGCCGCAAAGCTGGGCGAGGACAGCACTGAACCTATCAAGAGGTGCAGATACATCTTGGCTCTATGTCTACCCGAGATGGTAAGATGTTGTGTAAACTTGAAATCACAGAGTGAAGACGAGGGAACCAAATGAACTGGCTGGAATTGGAGGGCGAGCGGGCTGAGAGCCTTTCATATTGTTGACTTTCTGGAGGCGCCATAAAACCCAAGTACTATTCCTAAATGGTGTATCTCAGCCTGATCACATCCCTCCGCAATGCTAGAAGGTATTCCTATCGGTCCAATGATGCGACGGGTCTCCCCGCACGGGAGGAGACTTTGCTCAATGTAGCATGTGGTGCCTCGTATTTTGCCCAAGGCTGAGTACAAGGCAGCCCCGTGTTACTGCGTCTGGTTATGCCAACGCAGGTTACACAGGGTTAGGCGAGAGGGCGGAAGGCCTGATCGGCCAGAATTCGGAGGTCTATCCTGTTTCGTGACCGACGGCAATGCAGAGCAAAATTTGACCAAGTAGGATACTTGCTTTCCTGGATGAAGGTCGCTTGCGTAGAATTTTAGACCAGCCATGTTCACCGACACAATGGTTGTTGGCGTGCGATCAAGCTTTGTGGTCAATCTAAGCCTCGGCATTTGATTTCGCTTGCACTGGTGGCTGGAAGAGCTGAGAGTGTAGCTGAAACTGACCAGGTACCCGCCGTTAAGATACCGTTCTTGCCATTCGCACGAAACGGGACGGCAGTTAAAGCTTGTCTATGACACCGAGCATCTTTTCCAATCGTCGTCTCTCTTCTGGCGTGCTAGTACCAAGAATTGTCTGTTCGCGTTGGGAAATCCCTTGCTCCTCAATTTGGAGCTGCATAATTTTGTCAAGAATCGCGCTGCGGCGTTGAAGATCTTCGGACCTTTTGGTGAGCAATCTGTCGATCATTGACTCAGCCGCCTATAGGATGTTAGTGATGTGAGTGGGGGGTCTCCTCGGTGACCTTACTGCCGGAACAGTGTCAAAATTGCTTATTGATGCAAACAATGTAGACTCCTGCTGTTTGATGCACACGTCGGAATCCTTAAATACAGAGCCTGGCTTCATCGAGGGAACAATCGCGACAGCTGTCGCAAAGCCTCCGTCGTGGCTAATGCTGATTTCGCATAGCTGACCGTTAATGTGATGCAAGTCCCAGGATTCTGATAAAGTATTCTCCGCAGGATCTCGACCGCCGTCGGAGTCTTCAGTCTTCTGTTGGTCCTGCAGAAGGCTGTCCAGGATCAAGCCTTGAGGCGGGGAGGAGTTCTTGCTATTGTGAGCTGGTAGGACGACGGGGAGTATCACAATATGATGCAGACCCCTGCTGTTTGTGTCCAGGTGATCGCATGCTTTGCGGCAAGCCTCTTTGGCGGCAAATCTACCACATATTCAGTAAACATATTGAATAAGTAAAAGCAATGACACATACCGGCCTGCCAGAAATTGGGAAACAGCATCGAACTTTTCAGAGACGTCATCGGCAGTCCCAAATCGTTCCCAGAAATAACGACATTCAGGACGTGTGAGGATCCTGCTCAAGAATCGTTGCAAAGGCGATCTTCTTGAGCCATTGTAAGGCCGTGAAATGATCGCGCGAACACGTGAAACACTACAGATGTCAACGCCGACGCGCAAAGGATACGGGAAGGGCCGTGGCGGCATGGATGGAGTGTGATGCAGTTCACAGCCAAGCTCAAAAAGCTCACAAAGCTGACACCTTGGCAGGGCTCCGCAGAAAAAAAGTACTCCGATACAAGTCACTTGAGCCTCAGGTCTGCGGGAGCAAAAAGAGCGACGTAGGCAGGATTCGAACCTGCGCTCCCGAAGGAACAAGATTTCTAGTCTTGCGCGATAACCACTCCGCCACCACGCCGGAAACAGAACAGACGATTTCTCATTTGTTTGATGGAGTTGCCAACAATTTCAACATTCATAAACCCAGCATTTGTATTTTGTTTCCTGAGTTCTGACATCATGTGCGGGATCGCTCCATGCAGTCTCACTCACCGCATAGCTTACGTACAACCGTCATTGCCCGATACTTGCGTCGCGTCGGCGATGCAATGACAAGAACTCATGGAAGCATCTCTGACGTCTTCGCTTCCACTACCTCGTCAATATGCACATTTTCCCCGAAAGGTAGCACAGACAGTTTCAGCATCGTGGCGCAAGCCCTTTATTTGCAGCAAGCTGTTCAAAATCTTCTGTTTTGCTGTTTCTTCGTGACGGCGCCGCCTCCATCTCATGACCTCGAGCACTATGTTTTGCATATTTTGCTTCTTCTCAACTAGAGACGCAGTCCACCCTCCAAGTCAGACAAGCTCAGCATGACAAATGCATGCTATATTGCTTCTTCCTGCCACATGTGCATCCTGCATAGGAAATGACAGTGCCGATTGTATCGGTCGTGGAGTTGCGTATTGTCGCCATGCGCATTCGTGTGCTCGTTACTGAAACAAACTCCATCTCGTTATTCGGACGTTGTATTTGCGGTGCTGCAGTCATCCTCCGGCGCAACCTTCCAAGTCTCACGCTTCAACTGCCCCATTCGCTCAGTCCCTCGTTCTCGATATGACGAGCCGGATTATGGGTACTGCTGACTTACAACCCCGCAGGCGCCATCGCCAAAAGACGGTTAGCAGCGACGCACGAAGATCATCTGGTAATGTTTCAAGTGAAGGGGGCCCCTGTGCAGGACGAACACCTTGCTTGTTGCGGGTGTCGTGGTCTGTAGATAGTAACGGGACTGCAAGCCCGAACTTTGCGGTTAGTCCTTGCAGGGCGGTCATCGAAGGGTTTGATGCATTTAACTGTGGGAGCTGCCTGTAGTGGGTGGATTTACGTGGTAGCGTTTTTCTTTATTTTGGCGGTACTATTAAAACTGCTCATGCTCACAGTTCCTGTCGTGGTGTTTCAACATCTCGAGTTCTATTGTGCTTCCAATCCGAGTAGTGATTGGGCGCAATGCTCCGCCCTTCACCCCGCCTGCCGGGTGTTCCGATCCTCCTTCCAGAAGTTACAGGTTCTGAGTACACACGATGGCGACGCAGCATTCAATTCACACTCGAAACAAAAGACACTTGGGGGCATTGCGATGGTACCTGGCCTATGCCGATGCCCAAAGCTGGACCCGACTTTATCTCACCGATCGTCCCGACTACGACTTTACAGCCAAGTCTCCTCCAAGAGAGAAGAGCATGGGTACGACAGGATCGTGAGGTGAAGCTTGACATATTTTTGTCTCTAGCGGAGGAAGTTATTCAAGAGGTTTTTGAGGTTGGGCCACCGCTCCCACCTTCCAATCTGAATGCGAAGGAGATACTGGATGCCTTGGACGAGCGTTTCGCGGTGTTCAGGTTTGAGGACTATCATCATGCCTTCTGCCATTTCCTGAATCTGCACATCGACCAGTGCGCCACTCTCGAACAATTCAACGCCGAATTCCAAGCAGCTCTCCAAGACCTGATGGACTATGGACACCCATTGTCGAACACACAAGCATGCAGCGCATACTTCTCAAAACTACGATGCACACAAAACGCCTGGGTTGCAAAGAAACTAGAGTGGTGGGATACACAGGCGTCGGAACCAGAACTTCTCGATTTGATGAATGAGTCGCCATCATGGTCAATCGTCCGATCACTGGGGAACAAACCTACTACAACCACGAGAACGGCTTCAATACCGGAAGAGTGCCCTGGGAGTCCAATTCATGCCGACAACGATGAAGCAGCATCGGAAAGGTCGTCAGCTTTGACTTGGTCTACCCTGTCATTACATTCACGCCAAACTTCCAGTACCACAGAACGTTCACAGGAGATTGTTATCCACGCGTCTGAAGACATTGCATTCGACGATATCGCATCGGAAAGCATCGCAGATGTCGATATCATGGATTTCCCGAAAGTACCTACATTTCCTGTAGCTCAAAGTCAAGAACTTGATGGCGCAAGGAAGAGCTTGCTCCTGATGCAACATCCAATACCCATAGACCGAGTTCTCCCGCCCCTGCCACTGAAGGATAGTATGGGGCTATACGCAAGCGCCAGCTCACCTCGTCACTCGCCTCGTCACTCGCCTCGTCACTCACCTCATCACTCACCTGCAGTATCTCAGAACTCGTCGCAGACCAGATTGATATCACCAATGCAAAGTCCATCGCAGCCAACCTCAGCCCCACAGTCCTCCAAGCTGAGATTAGAAACCACACATCCCACCCTCCGACCCAGACTATCAACCTCCCACTCAACATCCTTCGACAAAGAGATCAACTCGCCAGAAAACACCCACCCGGCCCTCCGCTCCCCCCCACCGCACCCCTCAACCTCCTCACCCAACCTCCCCATCCCCTGGCCCTCAACCCCAAACCCCCAAGACCGCCCCCACACCTCCCTAACCTTCTTCCCCCACGACGACGACGACCAACCCCTCTTCCGCGCCGAATCAACAAACAGCAGCATAACAAGCCTCCCGCTCCAGGGCACCTGGAGCGACGCACCACACACCTACCCCCCGCCCGACACAGCGCGCGCGCACACGCGCACCCCGACGTTCGAGAGCATAGGCATACCGCGGTGTATTTCGCCGTCGGAGATGGGCACGCTGTCGCTCGAGCGCTTGCACTCCCGGTCTAGGATGTCGGCGTTTGAGAGCTTGAGGTCGCGCGCGTCGACGTTTGATGGGCTGCGGGTTCCGCGGTCGGCGTCGCCGGTGCGGGAGAGGTCGCTGGGGGGTGGGGGGAGGGTGAGGATTGGTGGGGATGGGTTGGGGGTTGGTGAGGGGGGGAGGGAGAGGAGGTTGTTGAGGAAGAGGGATCGGAAGAGGAGTTGGGGGTTTGGGGTTAATGTTATTGCGGCGTTGAAGGGGGGGAAGTAGGGAGGGCGGATGGGGATGGTGTTGTTTTGGAAGGTGGGAAATTGGTTTCGGGCGTTTGTTGTATACCCCTTTCATCGATATGTCTTACTGTGTATACGTTGATTTTTCTTTCACGTATTTGATGGCCTGTATACACTCTCCTTTTCGGTTGATTGTCAGCTCAGAGCACGCTTATAACGAAATGTACTATCGACAATCTTTGTTTTTGTCAAACATCTTCACAGTTCAAATAGTGCTCGGAGATCACGGTGACATGCGGTTGAACTCAAGATTTCACATGAGCAGACGATACAAACACAGATAGCACAATGCTCAGAACGGAAGGTTTGCAAGAATGTGGTATCTATAATGAAGCTTGATTGATTTGAAATCACACCATTAAACGTTGTCGTGTTCTCATAGCCATTACTCTTCGAGTCGATCGTTACACATCGCACTATTTGAACCTCAACAGAGGCGAGCAGATAGGGGACGCTTCGTAACCCACACGACTCCACACGCCTAATCGCTCACACATCACTGCGTCTCACGAATGACCTTGTCAACAGCCTTGGCAAAGTATTCAACGTTGTGAGTATTGAGACCGGCCATGGAGATACGTCCGTTCTTGGTCATGTAGACATGAGAATCCTCGCGGATCTTCATGACCTGCTGCTCGGTCAAGCCAGTAAAGCTGAACATGCCGATCTGGTCCGTGATGTGGTTCCACGTACCAGGCGTATCCAGCTCTTCAAGTTTGCTGCGCAGGGCTGTGCGCATCTCCTTGATGCGACCAGACATCTCCCGCAAATTCTCTTCCCACAGGGCGAAGAGCTCTGGGTCGTTCAGCACGGTCGAGGCAATACGGGCGCCATACGCAGGTGGATTCGAGATCTCAGAGCGCTGGAGGATGGCGAGCTGTGAGGCAATGCGGCCAATAGTGGATTCTGCATCAGACGAGGGTGAGGTGACGAAGTGGAAGCAGCCGGCACGCTCGCCGTACAGACCAAAGTTCTTCGCGTATGACTGGGCGACGCAGAGTTCGAAGCCCTGCTCGACAAAGTAGCGGATTGCCCAGCCGTCGCGGGCAAGGTCTCCCGAGGCAAAGCCCTGGTAGGCGGTGTCGAAGAAGGGAAAGTGCTTCTTGGTGCGCATGACGTCTGCGATCTTCTTCCACTGCTCTTGTGTAGCGTCGACGCCAGTGGGATTGTGAGCGCAGGCGTGCAGCACAATGATGCTGCCCTCCGGCGCGTCCTGGAGGGTGCCGACCATGCCATCGAAGTCGAGGCCCTTTGTCTTCTTGGAGAAGTAGGGGTATGTCTTGTATGCGAGGCCGACGTTGGAGAAGATCTGGAAGTGGTTCGCCCATGTCGGGTCGGAGAAGTACGACAGACGATCCGTCTCGGGCTTGTAGAACTTGGCAAGGAAGAGGGCGCCCAGATGCACGGCACCGGTGCCAGAGATGGTCTGCAGACTCGTGACCTGCGTGAAGTGTGAGCTCGTGTCATGCCGTCATGAGAGAAGGTGGAGTGATGCGTACCCGTTTCTCCTTGATGGCAGGACTGTCGCCGCCCAGTACCAGCTTCTGTGAGGCTGAAGTAAATTCGGGAAGACCGGCAATGGGCAGGTACTCGTGGTTGAGCTCCGGATCGCTGCGGAGGCGGTCGTCGGCCTGCGGTGAACTCTAATCAGTACAATGCTCTGCCGGATCACGAGAGAGGAAGGTGCTCTCCACTCACCTTCTTCACCACAGGCAGCACCCAGGGCTTCGCATTGTTGTCCCTGTAGGCTCCAATGCCCAAGTCGACCTTCTTGGCGTCAGTGTCGCGCCGAAAGGCAGCCATCAGCCCGAACAACGGGTCTTCTGGCGCCTGCGGGACGACATTCGCGTCGAAAGATGTAGCAGCCATGGGGACGACGTGTGAAGATATCTGAGTGAGGCGGGATTGTGAGGGATTTTGTAGGGAGGGCGAGGACGAGGGTAGCTTCGGAGTAGGTGAGTCTGGCATGACTGTAAATGTGGCGGCGAGCTCTCACGAAGCCCTTACACCGCTTGATTAGGAAGCTTCCAACAACACTAACCCCGCAGGTTCTCTTCGGCGGAGGGGATACGCGGGCTACGGGGAACCTCCGCAGAGATGGAGAAATGGATACATCAGGCCATTGCAAATGCTTCGGATAGCTTTCTATATAAGGTGGTGTGAGGATGTCACAGCTGTGCACGAGTCGCGCGTTCAGCCGAGGCTTGACTCGCAACGGGTCCAACGATGTTGACCCACTCCGTGGCGTCTCACATGCAGTGAATATCACAAGAAGAAGCTTCTGTTAGCTGGCCGTCGGCTCAGCAGGTGTTTGCAAGTAACAAATTGACAAGTGCGTATCACTTGCTATATGAATAGGTCCCACAGAACAAGTGTCGTGCAAAAGGCACACGTCGACCAAAAGACCATCCGTGCTGTGCTCCTCCGCTCCGTCGCACGTTTGAGCTCCTTGTTTCCGCTGCCGACGTTTTCCGTCGTCGAGAACGAGTCCTGTACAAGCTGGTCGACGTGCGCCGACTGGATGCTGAGGTTGTTTGCGAGCGTCGTCTGCAGCTCCGAGATCTCCGTGAGTGATTTCTCCGTTGCCCTAAGTGACTGTCAGTTGATGTCTGAGCTGCAGTGGGAGCATACATACCGGACTTTGTCGAGCTGATCCTCGTACTGCTTCAACATGTCCTGATTCTCTTGCGCGAAGAGCTGCAGCTGCTCAGGATCAAGTTGCTTCTCGACTGCTTCGCTTGTCTCTTCTTGGACGTGCGAGGTGCTCCCACGATACGCAGCAGGGCCTGTCCCAGCGTTCGTTGTGGCACTTGTTCCACCAAAGTTGCTCGTGGATGGCATAGACACTCGCGTCTTATGCAGCACGCTCTTGCTCTTCTCCACTTCCCTCATGAGTCGAATCTCCATCATCGAGCTCTGGAAGCGTCCGCAATCGACCAGCTGGTTCTCCAAGGACCATAAGACACTCTCTCTGTGCGCCTTGAGAGTATTTGCTTTGGCTTCCTCCAGTTCTTCTTCGACGCTCTTCGCCGTTATTGCGCCGCCGGCAGCCCATCGTCCCAGCGCACCAAGACCTTGCCGTGCGCGCTTCTTTAGTGCAACTTGTGTCTCCGTAGTCTGACGTATTTCTTCGGCATCGCGTAGGGTGTTGATGGCATGGTTCAGCTCGCGCAGTGATTGCTTAGCCTGGACGTCAATGTCGTTGCGCTCGGCGTCAGACAAATACTTCGAGTCCTTGTCCGCAGAGTTGCTTGCGCGCGTAAACTGTTTTCGGCGTGGTGGGGCAGCAGTCGATAGGTAGCTCTGCCGTATCGACTTGAGATCTGTGTGCAGCTTCGTGATGTGTGTTCGCTGTTGCAAAAGTTAGCTGCCATTGCTGGAGGGCGGACGGCGCGCAACGTGTCTTACAATGCGGTATGCCTCTTTTAGAAACTCGTCCAGTTCCGCTGTCTGATGGACATACGGTTCAACTGGCCGCGCATCATGCTTGGCCAACACCTGGTTGAATACGGGAGTAATGTCCATTGTGTGGTTGCAAGGTGGAATCCTGGCTTCTCAAATGACGATGAGACCCCCGCGGGAGTGTCCACTCAGCCAATGGGAGCCCCTTGCCTCCAGCTCCTGGCTTCCCCACGTTCCCACTTCAACATCGATCATAGACATGTTCGAGTCTCCTCGCGAGCTGATCTAGATTTCGCTCATATCTCACTATCCGAGTATGGCTCGCAGGAGTCGCAGAGGTAAGAGCCTTGCATCAGACGGGCTTACTTCAATACCACCCAAGAGAGGCACACAAGACTCTGTCATCCTCACGTCACATCTGTCAGAGTATGGTAGCGAGGGCCGATGTTCCTGTTCTCCCAGATTTCCTTCTGTGGCTTTTCTAGGCACTTATGCTGTGTAACCCAAAAGCATGATGGAGACCCTGGACCTCATGGCCCGCGCATTATTGAAATTGAATACGATGTCCATGTTTGGAAATCATGTCTCAACGACGCGATCAGCTCAGACAGGCAAACTGCCAAATGCCTTGGGGGAACACCACCTGATGATTAACTCGCGGACAGCTTGGCACTGCCACTTCTGTCGGTCAGCCTTCGTACCGTCATTGGTCGTACGAAATAACCTTTCATACCTTTCATAGTCAGCTTATCCAATAGATGCTCAGCCACATGGTCACCACTTGCTGACCTCGACAACTGATCACACGAGTGTTGCAATAGGATGTAGCAATCATATGCTACAAAGTTTGTCATCTTGACAATGAACGGTGGGTTGTGTAAGCTAATTTCGTGTCATTCGAGGTAGGAGCAGTCCACGCCACTTGCTAATTCTGTACACCAACTCATATTCATACTGTTCAGCTCCTGGATATATAACCAGTCCATCCAGTTGTTCTACAAATTACTTTTTCTTGCATCTCAGTCCACAGTCTCAATCCAACACCAGAACATCCTTACCACCACTCCAGCTCTTCCAACAACTTCGACCGTCAAAATGAAGTATACTACTACCATCCTCACTTTCGTCTTCTCGTCCACCATCCTCGCAGCGCCTACCGCTATCCAAGCCCGCGGCGACGAGCAGTGCACCCCGGAGTCGTATACGGTGTCTGATTATACGCTCGCTACGTCTGCCAGTTCCGCCTACGTCAGCTTCAACTTCAAGTCCAAGTTCGCCAACAGCACCGCCGTCCAAGACGTCGTCATGAACGGCGCTAACTGCCAGGCGGATGGTCCCCAACTCCCCAACTCCAACGAGTGCAATGTCGCGGACCGGAAACTGCTGTTCGATCTGAGGGGCCCACAACAGGAGGGCTACTATCAGATCACTCATACATGGTCCTGCAACGGGTAGGCACTCTTCATCTCTCTTTTTACTAGTAGTACTAATGTTCTCGGCAGCAAAACTTGGATGTCTGGGAATGCGGTCAGGATTAACTTAAGCTGCACCGAGAACCAGGGCACGCGCACATGCAGCGGTCAGACCTTGACTTTTGCGCCTCAGAATGTTCGTCAGATTTGCAGCACTCCAACCTGTTAGGTTTCTCGGGTTGGTTGAGGACTAGTTTGTGCTCAGGTGTTGAATGGAGTGTTAGAGTAATATTTGCCGGGGGTTCGCTTTTTGCTTGCTCTTGTGTGCTATTCTGTGTGCTGCGTAATCATCTACGGTCTTTAATGTCTGAGAAGGCTGCTTCGGGAATGGCAAATATCGGGTCAGAAGTAGATATCGATACTTCAGTATTGAATTATTTGAATATCATCGCTCTTGCTTGATGATTATCGGCCCTTAAGTAGCTCAGATGTGCTTGATTTTCAAATCTCGACCCTGTATGCTCCAATCCTTATGAAGGTTGCGTTTTATTGAAACCCCAATCTGACCGTGGTATGCAGTTCGAGATCTACCTGGAGTTGGAGGACGATTTCCCGAAGCCGCGGAGTCGATTACACCCTTTCAAAGGGAGCCTAAAAGCAAGAACCTAGGTGTAGCAAGATTATGCAACGGCTTGACAACTACAACCAAGATTAGTGTAGAAGCTTTGCGCCTAAATTTCTATCAGTATACGCCTTGCGTGCACTTTCATAAAATTGAGCGCAGATTGCTTTCTGCTTTTACAGTCCACCGAGAGCCCAAGGTAAAGTCTGTTGTGTTGCTTGATCTGAACTTGGAGGAACTGCACAAAACGGTTAGTAACATAACTACGCGTGGACAATGCGTATTCGAGGTGAGCAAACGCGTGGCAGAAGTGTGGACGTTGGTGTGGTGTTTGCCTCACAGAGTAAGCTAGTGACCGGAAATGGCTAGAACAAGAACTCTGAGTGTGCATCTGCATCTGCCTGGACCACCAACTCGCCTCACCGACTCTCTCTCAACTATCTTGCAACGTCATTGAATCCTGATGCCTGGCAAGATCGATTTATATCAAGCCCTATGAACCAGATCATCAAGGCAAACCTGGATCGGTCGAAAACGAAGTGGAAAGAGTCGTTGTCGAACGAGCAGGTGCACGGTTCAGGCACACACTCGACATCATGACAGTTCCTCAAACACCAATGCTCTCAAAAGAGTGGGATTCATCTTATGACGTCCCTCCAATATCAAGGTGTCACCAGATATGGGCAAGTAGTTGTCTTATCTGAGTTGGAACGCGACTGCTGACTTCACTCAAGGACACACGAACAGCTCGCTTTACACCTTGTTCTCTACCGTTCATTTCGTCAATCCCAGTCGTAGTCGGAGCGCTGATCCTTCTAACGTATTTGCTGCGAGCCTTCAACCCATACCGACCAAGATGGACGAAGCCGTTTGTAGAAGAGCCCAAAGAAATTCTGGACGAGTTGGACCAATCGAACCAACATCAAACGTTATCTGCAACCTTTGGCTTGTTGGCATTGACCTCAATTGGTTTGGTTTTACAGATCGTCGATGTCTTTTCTTCCGATTATCAAATGTCTGCAATATGTTTCACGGTCGCATGGGTATGTCTGTATACGTTTTCGTGATCCTATGCTAAGAAGTTCAGGGCATCGGAACTGCGATCGTAGTGATCGAGCGGCCTAAAACAGCACCGTCATCTCTATTTGTACTTTTTGTTACTCTCTTTCTTGCGTACTTGAGTGTGCTGTCTCAGACGCATACATCACTTGCAGGTAAAGATGCCCCTTTGGTGCTTGCGCCTGTTGCAGCCCTCGTAGGCATATTTGTCATTCTCAATATGCCTTTGAGAAGTCCGTATTTGCCGAAACAAGATATCAGCGAAGTGTTCAGCGCGCCAACGGCAAAACTAAGAACCCCCGAAGACAACTTGACTCCATGGCAGTATATGACGGTCTCGTGGATGGATCCGCTAATTCAAAAGGGTGCCACCAAGAACATGGAGGAGGATGATGTTTGGGATCTTGGCTTTGAGTTCAAACATGAACGTCTTCACGCTACTTTTCGAGAGCTATCCGGCTCTGTAACTAAACGAATTTTCGTGGCGAACGGTATGGATTTAGTACGCACAACAAGTTTGTCTCTTGTTCAACTTGCTGCAAGTAAGTTCATTCCACATCCATGTCTCTCAAACACCTGACTAACTCCAACAGCCCTTGCTTCGCCTATTTTACTACAGCGGATTCTGGCCTCGATGAATGATCCCTTGTCTCCTCGTACAGCAACTCTCACCTATGCCCTGATCGCTCTCGCGCTGCGTTGGATCTCTGCCCAATGTAATGTGTTCAACCTATGGTTCCAACGACGCAGCTATGAGCGATCACGTGGCGAAATGATTACGATGCTATACGAGAAAACCCTCAACCGCAAAATTCTAGGCGCAAAACCGGAAGTGAAAGACGAACCACAAGATGACGTTTCGAACGGCGAGCCACAAGAAGCAGCAGACGACGAATCTCTTAACGCCAGTGAACCCTCACCTCAGGGGTGGCTCGGTAGCCTCTCTTCATCAATGCGAAGCCTCTTCACGAGGCCAAAGAACGAGCCCAAGCGTGAGAAAGACGCTGCGTCCATGGGCAAGATCCTCAATATCATGCGCGGTGACGTGTACGAAGTGTCACAGCGCTTCTGGGACTTTTCTGACATTATAATCAAGCCGGTCGGAGCAATCTTCGCCATCTTGCTCATTTGGCGTATGCTGGGCTGGGCATGTTTGCTTGGGGTTTTAGCCTTGATTGCGTCACAGCTGATCAACGTAGTTGTTGCTCGATATCAAGTGTACTTCGAGCGGAAACGCAGAGCCGCTACCGACGAGAAATTACAAAGAACTACACAGTTCATTGAATCCATCCGGCACTTGCGCTGGTATGGGTGGCAAGAAGCGTGGTTATCGGATATCTCTGAGTCTAGGAAGAACGAACTTCACTATAGGGTCATTTTGATGGTGTTCTCCACATCGATGAACTTTATTTTAAGATTTGGCGCTGGGCTATTTCCAGTTGTGGCCTTCTACGCTTTCACCGCACTGGCAAAAAAACCGCTACGAGTTGATCTCATATTCCCAGCCATGGATCTATTCAATCTTTTGGGAGATTATCTTCGTGCGCTACCTAACCTCCTAACCACATTACTCAACGCTTACGTCGCTATGGGCCGTATCGAGGATTTCATGAACGAGCCAGACAAGGAGCAAGTGGATGCCGTCTCTGAGCAACGGACCGAACTTGCCTTGCATAACGCATCTTTCGCATGGCCTGGAGTCAACAAGAACATTCTTGAAGACGTCAATCTGTCTTTCCCACCAGGATTGACCGTAATTTATGGACCGGTAGCCGCCGGCAAGACCGCACTACTACAAGCTCTCCTTGGTGAGCTCGACATTAGCGCAGGCGAGGTCATCTCTTCAAACCAGGTCGTCGGCTACTGTTCTCAAACTCCCTGGCTGCAAAGTATGAGCATCCGAGATAACATTCTCTTCTCTTACCCGTTCGAAGAAGCTCGGTACATGGAGGTACTCGAAGCCTGTCAATTGAAACCCGATATGGCAGAATTCAAGCATGGCGACCTTTCAAACATTGGCGAGAATGGCATAGGCCTGTCAGGTGGGCAGAAAGCTCGAGTAGCACTTGCCCGAGCCGTGTATAGCAATGCTCAGATACTTCTACTTGACGACCCTCTCTCGGCTCTGGACTTTCAGACATCTGAAAGCATTGTTCAGCGATTACTCGCTGGTCGTCTCCTCGGCGGAAGAACGACCATACTGGTCACGCACCGAACCGAACTCTGTCATGGTATTGCCAAACAATGGGTCCAACTGGAGCGTGGAAGAGCGACACTGCACGAGCCCACTGCTGTGGAAGACAACACTCTCAAACGCGCGCACACCAACGAATCGGTCCCCGATGAGGAAACTAAGAAACGGGAAGACGAAAAAGTTGTTCCAGATAAGTTCATCGAAGAGGAGCACCGCGCAAAAGGCGGCGTAACGTGGAGTATCTATTGGCGATACATCAAGGCCGGGACTATTGGCTGGTGGACTATGTCGCTATTTGTCATGATCACGTTTCGCTGTGTCGATGTAGCGCAGACGTGGTTCATAAAAGCTTGGGGAGAAAGTTACGATACAGGCAAGCCTAAGGGAATCTTTCATTTCTTGCCTCCGGCAGCTGAGAACGTCGTACCTTGGCTGGTCACCTTTTTCTCTATCGTTACCACTATGGCCTTTCTCTTCTGGATCACGAATCTCATCATGTTTGGCGTAGGGTACCATGCCGCGAAACACATCTTCAACGAGTCGATGGAACGAGTCGCGCATGCAACATTCAGATTCTACGACGTTAATCCCGTAGGACGACTCATGAACAAACTGACAAGCGACATGGGCACCATAGACGGCGGGCTCAGTACCTTACTCACGGTTTTTGCGTGGCAGTTCGTGGGTTGGATTAGCAACATTCTGGTCATCTTGTCTTCGGCACCTGGGTTTCTGGTTTTCGGTGTAATCCTCTTTTGCGGCTTTGTATACTTCTTTCTCCGGTTTCTGCCAACTTCGCAAAGTTTACGACGCCTCGAAGTGAGTATTTGTATCAAATCACTTGGTCTGTTGAGGTACTGACGGCGTTAGATGGTCTCACTTTCCCCACTGATGTCGAACTTTGGGGCTCTAGTCGAAGGGCTTACTACTGTTCGAGCATTCAAAGCGCAGCCACGCTTCCAAGCTAGCATGATTAACGTAGTAGACAGATTTCAACGTATGGACCATTTCTACTGGTCCCTTCAAGCCTGGCTCGCTCTTCGTTTTAGCTTTATGAACGCAAGCGCCACATTCGCGATGACCTGTATTGCCTTATACACAGGGATCAGCCCCGGCTTGACAGCGTTTGTCCTGCTCACAGCAAACGCATTCGTTGTTCACACTGAATATATGTGTAAGTGCTATGGACAGCTGGAGATGGATTTCAGTAGCGTTGAACGCGTTATCGAGCTCCTGGATATCGAAACAGAAAAACCAGGGGAGCTCAACCCTCCAGCACACTGGCCTACATTCAACGGCGACGTCACATTCGAAGACGTAACCATCCGGTATGCGCCAAACCTCGATCCCGCGCTCCAAAACATCACACTTCAAATCCCAGGCGGTAGCAACACAGCGATCATCGGCCGTACTGGTTCCGGTAAATCTACTCTTGCTCTCTCCCTCCTCGCCACCATTTCTGCAGAAAGTGGCTCCATCTTCATCGACGGAGTGGACATCTCCAAAGTCAACAAACAGGCACTCCGCAGTCGCGTGACGTTTCTTGCCCAAGAACCTGTTCTCTTTCCTGGGTCGATGCGAAAGAACCTTGACCCTCTGGACGAATACTCCGATGCGGCGTGTGAGTCTGTACTTGGAAAGATCGCAGACAATCACGGTTGGACATTAACCACCCCTATCGAGGCTGGCGGCAAAGGCTTGTCTCAGGGCCAGCGACAGCTCGTCGGTCTAGCCCGTGCAATGCTGAGACGCTCACCCGTTTTGATCATGGATGAGGCCACGGCGAGCATCGATTTTGAGACTGCGCAGAAGGTGCAAGCTCTGTTGAGAGACGAGTTGAAACAGAGCACTGTCATTACGATTGCTCATCGCTTGGAGGCGGTGAAGAACGCAGACTATTGTATCGTGCTTGGAAAGGGGAAGCTCATCAAGGCGGGGAAAGCAGCGGATATGTTGAAGGAAGGAAGCGAGTTTAGCGGTATGCTGGCGTAGGGCTTGACGTTATGTCTTAGTGGGGAGTACGTTGAAAAGAAATTGTGGATTGTATGCGAGGAGAGTGGATAGAAAAAATTTGTATCTGTATACGTGGTTGTCTTCAAAGATCCTGTTTATCGTAGCCGATGGCACAGTACCGCATGTTCGTGTGCCAATTTTCTGATACGTCCGCATGCCGCTTGATCATCTTGCGTATCAGCAAAGCGACCGGGGCGTATACAAATCATATCGAAGGCCCATAAGTTCTATACAAAATTTGCATGTATTTGTCTAGCTGTTGCAAGAATTCGCTGCAGCTTGGTTCCGGGTATTTCGACTGACCAAGAGCCTATTCTGTTCTTTAAAGCTTTTCTTCTCCATATTCGCCGTCTTAGTCCACATCCCGCAGCGTGAAAGTCACCCGTCTCAGCGGTCGCTTTCTCACTATTGCTTGATAAACCCCCTTGATACCATGTATCACCTACATTCCAACTTTTTCTTCTCGGTTTCGTTCCCGCCAGTCTCGAGCAAGCGTCAGGCACCGTCCCACCCCACATACACAAGGTACGAATTAGGACATCTTTCTGCGATTACATAGTCGTTCATTTGTTGAACGTGGATATAATTGTGAGTATCCATTTTTTGAGATTCAGGAGAATACAACGTGCATTATCTTGTAATCGAAAATCATGGCAAATATGCAAGAACGTAAACCAGTAACAATGCAGTAGGCGCAGCGTTACTTGTGGTGATGGAAACCTTCGGAACGAGACTCCGCAAGATTACAGTTTTGACTTCAAACACGTCCAGTTCCGCATTTCATCAGCATAAGCAACCACGTTGTCAACATTGATATGTTCGACGCAACATGTATTTGGCAAAATGCTTTTGTTGTTCCTCTTCTTTACAATAGCACTCTGGTCAAACTAGTACCTTTGATAGGTATTTTACATACCACTCTTGGTGGGTAAGACTACAACAAGCAACTATCTCAACATTCGAGACGGTAGGAAATTGTTCTTGCAGGTAACAACTAGAATCATTGTAGTTGTCTGCCGGGGAAAATACGACCTCATGTAGTTGTTTGGTAGTATCAACTCGACATCGCATCGGCCGCTTCGAATGGTTCGGGTCCATTTGCATCCTGGCTGCACCTGTAACAGCAGAGTTTCGCCGTGCACTTTTGAAGATCTCCTGTCGTCGGTCGCTTTTCAGGCGACACGTCCAACATGTTGGAGGCTACAACCGGGAAAATCCCGTCGAGTAGTTTCATATCGAAAACCTTCTCATCAAGATCCTTGTATGCCTGATATGCATCATTACACCATTGCCGTATTGCATCGATGTTTGAATGAAACGAACTATCGGGGCCTTTCGCGCGGAGTTTCGATAAATGCTCTCGCTCGTTGTGGTCGGTGGAAGACACCAATACTGCCAAAAGCTCCATGTAGACACAACCAAGAGAGAACACATCTGCAGGGAATCCTCTTGTGTCTTGCAAGATGACTTCTGGAGCGGCGAACTTCCGTGTAAAGGACGTGGGGGAGTCGGTCTCAGAATCTGCAGCCGATTTGTATGCCCGAGCTATTCCAAAGTCGGCTATATACAATTTCCAGTCCAGAAGACCAGGTTTGTGTATGAGTATGTTTTTCGGTTTGATATCCATGTGTTTAACGTTCTTCTCGTGGATGAAGTGAAGTGCTTTGGAAAGGCATCCGAGAAATGTGGGTATGTACAGCTTGCCAAATCCGAGTAGTCCGTTGCCTTCTGTTCCAGTATCTGGTGAGTCTGGTGTCATAAGATCATCCAAGAACTCGTCAAGTTGCACTCGGCCGCGGGGTATAGCAGGATAGAGAGCTCCTTTTTGAGGGTATATGTATCAACGACTCGGACGATATGCACATGCTGTAACCGCTGCAAGTGTTCGACTTCAACTATGGCATCCTCTTTTTTCAACCGCCGATTACATCTGATCTTTTTACGCGCAAGTCTGATTCGACGGCACTTGACGCTTTGAACAATTGCCGTTGCGCTGTATCCAAGAACATCTTCAACTTGGAGCGGTATACTTCCTTCATCCTTTGGCTCGTATTCAACATGCTGTCCTCGTCCAGACCAGTCCAGTTCGTCTTTAGGGTCCAGTAATATACCTCGAGACTCCAGCAAGGTCAGCCAGTCACTGGTAAATATCTCAACAGGCTTGGAACCTCTCGAACGAAAATAGCCGTGAATGGATGATCTGGAGACAAGACCGGAGCGACTTGGTGCAGTTGTATAGCTGGCGAATGTTGGTTGAGCAGAGTTGAAGGTTCGGGGACTAGAGACGTTGAACTGACCCCTGGATGGAAGATTCTCTGCTAACATTGGACTGCCGCAGTGACTGATTGGAGTAAAATACAAAGCTCTGGGTATGACGGCAGGCATTGCGGTAATTTTCATAGCCTGGACTTCAACGAGGTTGCCGGTATCAACCTTGCATTCCTTTATTTGCTGGGTGTGGTCTTCATCAGCGCCTTGGTTGTCTTCTTTCGTCTCTTCAAGAATATTCCCCTTCTCGATCTGCCTTTTGTTGTCCATACTGTCGGCACCTTGCTTATCCATCTCGTGTGCTTCTATGTTACCTACGTCCTTGTAAGACTTGCGCCACACAGGTCCGTGCTCTGCGTGTCGGTTCTGAGTCGCCATGTCAACAGCGTTTCGTAGTGATTATTCTCGAGAAGGTTAGAATGTGACAGTTCTGCTCTCAGGTTGACTGTACAAAGCATACAGTAGCTGGAGTTGTTGTTGACCAGGCTGTACTCCAACCGACGAGATGGGCGGGTGAGGGTGGCCTGTGCATATGCCTATCGCTCAGCCACATCAACGATTCAGCCCTGCTTACAAACGTACCCGAGTGGCTGCATGATAGCATTAGCGAGATAGAGAACTGAGGTTCCGCAATATTGGTTCAAGTAAGTATTGCGTAAATGCACTAAAAGTACACATGTTTGCAAATGTGGGTATAAAAAATGCAGCTCGCCCGCACAAGACCATAGACACATCTCTACGGATGATACTCCATATGCATCATTCCACGCTCTTCGTAATCGCGTAACATCGTTAGCCCCAACATAAACGCCTTCATTTTCATAGACATCCGCCTTCTATCCCACGCATACTAACCCCTCTTCGGCCTCGGACTCCTCGATGGCCTTGGACTCCTGACAAGACCTTCGCCCTGCGTCTTCATCTTCTTCATAGCTTCCTCAACCTGGTGCTGCTTCTTCGCCACATGGAGATGGCGCTTCTCGACCTCTTGCTCGAAGTCGCGGGCGAGCTTTCGCTTTGTCTGTCTTGCCTCTTTGGTACGATTGAGGATTTCACTGAACTTTCCGATGAACCAATCACCAGCCTCTTCCCACTCGGTAGACCGTACGGAGTGGAAGAAGGTGGATTGTTTTTCAGCATCGAAATTCTCCTGCACGAACTCCAGACGATCGACGAGTGATTTCTGAAGCATGTCGTCGCTGAGGATTGATGCTTTCGCACGCGGATCTTCGTCGAAGCTTTCATTCTTCAACTGCTCATAAGTCATACCCAACAGAGCCTCACGATCATAATCAAATGGATCAGCGTGGAGCTCTTCGGCAGATGCCTGCTCTACTTGTTGTTGTTGAACAGGAGGGTTGGTCTTGGAGCGTGCTGAAGAAGGGTATTTGACGTGGGAGAAAAGATCAACGGCGTGAGGCTGAGACTGTACACGCCCAGATCCAAATATGTGTTGTGGAACAGGATGGACAAGTTGATCGGCCTGCGCATGCTTGATTTGGCGTGCAGTCGAGTGTACCGGTAGGGCAAGTGCGGTCTGGCTGTGAGTGGGCGGTTGACTCGTTGGGGGTGGGGTGGGATTACCCTGGTGGACATGTCCTCCACGCTGTGGAAGGATTGTGTTGGAACGCTGCTGGTCACGAAGAGTCGCACTGAATTGGAGCACTTTCGATGGTTTCTGCATAGCTTGGCCGAAACCAGAAGCGTTCGGTGCTTGTTGAACGGGTTGTGGTGAGGATACTTGCATCGTCGGGCCGTTTATGGAAGGGCGTTGTGGAGAAGGTGAAACTAGTAGGTTGTCGTCATAATCATCCCACGGTTCGTGGCCCCCTTCTTCATTGGGATTGCCGTCCGTGGTGGTTGGGTAGGAGTCGCCGTCGATGGTACGAAGCAGGCCCCGATGATTCTGGTAAAGGTAATCCATTTGCTCTTCGTGAGTGTAACCTTGATATCCTTTCTGTTCAAGAAGTTGAACTCCTTCCGTGCTGATCTGGTATTGTGCGTCGTACTCTCCCTCCTCATCATCATCTTCGTCCACGTCTTCGGAGCTCTGCTCTTTCACGTCCTCCGAGCCGAGATCAACAATGTGGCCGTGCTGCTGAAGCTGCGGCTGGCCATATTGACTGTCTTCGACCTGCACAACGGAATGATTCACGGTGGTGTCAAGGCTCTCTGCATCAGTATCATATGCATCGCGTTTCTGACCTTGGCCTGACTGTAGGCGCTGAAGGTTCTGCTGCGGATTCTGAAGGGAATACTGTTGAGAAAACTGCTGTAGCGCCACAGAAGTATTTTGAGCGTTCCCGGACCCACGAGCAGGAATATCCGACTGGACCTGGGGCTGCTGAGTGAGCGCCGACTTCTTGATTAGGATCTTCGCGTTCGCTGCGGCCACCTGCCGTGTAGTGTTGATGCCGCGGTCTTTGACGAAACCGTGCATGGCGAATCAAGGTAGTTGACACACACAAAATGGACCTCGAGACAACTCCTTAAAGAATCAGAGACTTTGGAGTCTTGTGGTGAGACATGAGAGGTGAGTGTTGATGCTCCATTTCGAGGGAAAGCGCGTTGGCGTCGGTCTAGCTCCATTGGGGATGGCACATCCTTATCTCCGATCTGGGGTGGTGTTTCCGTCCCTCATTTGTGACGCCATCAATGCCATTTACTACTGTATCTACTCCCAGGAGCTCTGCTTTGCAAGTCTGACTATCATGATGGCCGAGTGTTACTTGTATAGATTGCCAAACGAGGTTTGCCGTCTTGAGTGTTATCCATCCCAATCTAGCTGATCATGATAGCTCCTTCTACACATCCTCACCCCCATACCAACGCCTGAACTGCTTCCTCTAACCGTCCTTTCGCACCGAATATACACACTCATCCTACGAATCCTTCACAACCGTCTCGTCGCAGCCGCAGAATTAAACTCACACTCCCTACTTCTCGAATGCTACCACCCCTCCGCGAAGCTAACCGAGCCACCCTACTTCTGTGCATACCGCGGCACAGACGGCCTGTCATACTATGAGAACCCCTACGAAGCCGATACATACAATGCGGCAAGACTCGGTGAGATGCGCAACATGTACTCCCGCTTCCGACCCTATCGGCGCGAGCTAGAAAGTGGCGGGAGGAGAGTGCGACCCGGAGACGTGCCTGGGAGTCGGACTTTCCCTGGGACTGTGCAGGACAAACATGAAGGCGAGACTGTCAGGCAAACAATAAGTCTGGAGGCCCACGAGCTGTTTACGCAATTAGTCGCGCAGACAAACCTAGCCAAGATCGCGGCACGAAATGGCATGTTTACTTCTTTCGTTGAGGTCGAGGAGGGTGTGCTCAGAGTGTGGAGAGATTGGTTGAGCAAAATGGCCGCGAAGAGTGCGAGAGCCAGTTTGAATCCACAACAGAAGGCGTTCGAAGTAGAGGGCAAAGGGAAACAGGCTGTCAACGAGACTGCCAGCGAAAAGGTAGACCCGGATGACGAGAGAATATTATGGCTCAGTCTGGATAAGAACACCGGCATACGTTTCAATGTGAAGGAAAGAAAGTTTATCCGAGACACACCGATTCTCGTCGGCCCAGACGAGGACATACCTGTCGCCTACGAGCTAGAGTACGATGGTACGTCCCTTCCTACGCCTCACATCGGAGCGTTCAATGAACTGACCACTGCGCAGAGGTTTTCATACGGACATCCTATCTACTGCTCAAGCTCGAGAAATCAATGGTACAAGAAGACAACGCGTCTAAGACAGCAGTCGTGTTCGGGTCATTCGGTTAGCATTCAACTAGGTAAAAAAGATCAATCACAACAAGTCATCGTGAGGTGCGTGAAGCAACAGCACGAGTCATGCCCCTTGCCAGAAACCAACACACTGCCCGGCAAAAAGACAGTTCCCATCACGCTCAAGGGCAAAAACAAATGACCCCAAGCCGACTCGAACGGCTAACCTTCAGGTCTGGAATCTGACGCGCTACCATTGCGCCATAGGGCCTTGTGTTTGATGAGAGACCAGGAAATTCTATAATCTACATTGTAGATGTTTCAATGCAATCTTCACATTGAAAGAATTAAAATGATGTTGAACACTTCTAGATCATGACTCTGTATACCAGAGTGGAGTCTCCTTGCATCACAAGCTCTATCAACCCCGCTACCAAGGATTCTTGCCCCACCTGTATGCCAGTATAGACTTGGAACCACGTCCGACCGCCAACGAACATGGAGCCTTACCAATTTCGTACTTTGAACAGGATAATACATTGGAAAACTTGCTCGGCATTACCCATTCTATCATGCTGAGCACATAATCTTAACACGTCGCAGCCATCAGAATCCGTGATAGAGCCAGCGGAAGAAAGACGACTCTGTACAGCTTGCCTCACAGTAGCACACACATATAAACCTTCTGAGGACTGGAACAAGAAGACAATGGGTTGAAACCAATCGATCTTTATTTCTATAGACTCGCATTTACCACGAGATACAAACGCCTCATATCTCCCAGACAGAGCGCCTCCGACGCCCGGTGCAAAGTCAGCGATACAAACATACATAACCGAGACCGTCGTAAAAGAGTCCGTGCCATAAATTCTATCTATCCAAACGCCTGTAGTCTGCATATCTCATGCCAGTTATCTGCGCTGGTTAATCGAGTCCAGATTCGATTTCGGCGTACTCTGTCCATCGGCCGTTGACGGCTTTCTTCCAGGTGCGGATAGATGCGTCGTCGCCTGTGGAGACGAGGAGATCGCCTGTGCGGGTTTGTTAGTATTGTATTATACTTGAGTGAGTTGTGAGTGACTTGCCCATCTGTGAGAATGTGACGCGCCACACTGCTCCGTGATGGTCTGTGAGCGTGTCGGTAAGCCTGGCTCGCTGCACGATGCGTCCTGGGTTCTGCTCGTTCTCAATCGCGATGTCGGGGGCCCGCGACGCTCCAGCTAACCCGGCGCCTATTCCAGAGGGGGCGTTCTTCTGCGGTCCTGGACGAGGGGAGGCGACGGATTCGTTGGCTTTGGATGAGGATGCTGCCGCGCCCTTTTCCGGGTCGGGTGTGGAGAGTTCGTAGATGCGGATGGCGCCGTCTTTGCTGGCGGTTGCGAGGATGTCGTAGCCGCGCATGGAACCATTTGCCCAGGCCAGGTCCCGGATGATTTGTCGAGCGCCTTCTAGCTTTGCGACTTGGAAGAATCGCTTGGCTTTGTCGGTGCGGAAGACGAGGACGTCTTTCATGGCTGCTACGGCGAGCGAGAGAGATTTACGGTCAAGACCCGCCATGATGGCTGTCCAGCATGGCAACTTCTCTTTGTGGAACACAACCTTGAAGCCTACTTCGTCCTGGCGTTGAGGGGGGTCGTCACCAGAAACCCAGCGCTCTGCTATTGGGGTCCATTCGTTGAGACTGCTCTGGTCCTGGGGTTCTAAGACAGTCAAAAGGCCATCGCGCGTGATAAGAGCAAGCCACGTCTCCTGCATGATGTTCTTGAAGTCCAAAGACATGAAGGGCGCATGAGTCTGCGACGCAAGATTCGTGATCAATTGAAACCGGCTGCCAGACATGGGAACTGCTGTGGCATCCTCTTGCCAGAGCTTGCAGCGACCATCTTCACCAATGCTGCCGATGACTTCGCCCATGAAGGGACCATTCCACTTCACCTGACATGAGTTAGTAAGAACGAGGGTGGCAAATCTGCATGCAATCGCGCAGATCACGGCTCGCGGCTGAAGATTATATAATATGCAGTGTAGTAGAGTACTTACATCCACAATCTCAGCATCATGCGCCTTCCAGCTCTCGACTAGCGTCCAGACATCATCTTTTTTGTCCCAGACTTTGATGCGGTGATCCGAGCTCGCCGTCACCATGCGGGTACCGAAGTAGTTGAAATCCACGGCAAGCACGAGATCCTGATGGCCATGGGAGAAGGGCTGAAAGCTGCGTTCGGCCGCCATCTTCGCATACGCGTGATGCACGTCCAAAAAGCGTAATTCCAGGTACTCAGCGATGCGCTCGTCAACGCTGGGCGCGCTGCCGTCGGCACAAGGCTCCTGAATCAGCGGGGATACGAGGTCCGCGTGTTCGAGTGCATCCTCAAACGTGACCGCGAAGCTGAGCTGGGATTGACGATGGTGGGACGGGTTCCCAGCAGCGTGCAACCGTGCTTCGTCACGGGTGGGGCTGAGTGAAGAATCGCTTGCGGCCTGCGAGGGCAGACGTGATGGACTGAGAGTGGAAAGGAAGCCCGGGCGCACGAGGCGGCGCGTTACGGCATCGAGGTCAAGCTGGATGCTGTCTAGTTGAACGTGTTGATTAAGAGCCATGGTGTCTGCCCCCCGAAATGCATGCGACGGCTGCGCTGCTCTCGTTTTGGATTAGTAGAGAGAAGAATGTCGGCCGACAGGGCTTACGAACACCTTTCAACACCACCACTCGAAATTGACGGTGTCCACAAACACGCGCAAATTGCCGCTCGTCGTTCTTTCCTCAATCGTTGTTGTTCCTTCCGTATTCGTGGGGCGCTTGCCCGGTTTCATACACTAAACTTTGTGTACGCGTTGCAGCGCCGCGTGCATTGGCGAAGACAGATATAAAAGTCCGACTCAAATTTCAAATACTTTGTTCTTCAGTTTCACCTTTGAGCGCTTGCGTCATTGCGTACATTGCTGCCGGAGCAACTGCAAGGCGGTCACGCCTTTCACCAACACCATTGTCGAACCATCGACACGTCATCTTGGAAGTCATGTCGACTGCGTTGACATCAACCGAGACGTATTCACTGCTCTCTTTGTCGCTAGCATGTGTGGGGATTTTGGCAAACACGCTTCAAGGCGAAGGCGAACCACTCATTGCGTCCATAGCCTTTAGTGGATTGGCATTTGCAACCAGCTATGCCTTGATACGATGGCTTGGAAATGCTTTTATAAGACGTGGGTTCAAGGGGAGGGATCTGTGCAAGCTCAAGCAGACCGAGATGTAAGTGCGGTAGCTCCGGTTTGTCAGCCTAGTAAAGCTCACGTGCACAGTCCAGAGACCATGGGTGCAGTGTGCGCGGTGGTCTATCTATTCATCCTGTATGTGTTCGTTCCTTGGCCGTTCTACAAAGATATCGTCGTAGCAACATCGGGCGGAGGAAACCGAGATGTCATTATAGAACTGGAAGAGGTGGAAACAGGCAGACTGCTCCACAGATTTCCTCACAACAAACTCGCGTCGTATCTTTCAGCCATTCTCTCTCTTCAGAGCATCGTCTTGCTGGGTATAGGCGACGATCTGTTCGACATCAGATGGCGGCACAAGGTGCTGATCCCGGCCATTGCTGCTATTCCGATGCTCGTTGTGTACTTTGTGGACTTTGGCGTCACTCAGATGGTCGTTCCAGTACCTCTGAGACCCTACCTGGGTGAGCTCTTTGAACTTGGTATGTGTAGACTCGTGTAGTGATGATGGATGTGGCTAACCAACGTCAAGGCTGGTTCTACTACATTTACATGGCACTCATGTCCATCTTCTCCTCCAACAGCATCAACATTCTCGCAGGCATCAACGGCATCGAAGTCGCCCAATCGCTAGTGATAGCTGTCTTGATTGCCCTCAACGACGTTCTCTACCTCTCACCATTCACAGCCTACCCGCATCCAGCAACTGACTCGCATCTATTTTCCTTGTACCTCCTCCTCCCGTTCATCGGTGTATCACTAGCTCTGTTGATGCACAACTGGTACCCTGCCAAGGTGTTTGTAGGCGACACGTACTGCTACTTTGCCGGCATGGTGTTTGCCGTTGTCGCCATTCTGGGACACTTTAGCAAGACGCTAATCCTCCTCCTCCTTCCTCAAGGATTCAACTTTGCGTACTCGGCACCTCAACTATTCCATCTTATTCCCTGCCCCCGACATCGGCTCCCGCACTTTAATGCACGGACAGGGCTGCTGGAGCCCTCGCGCGTCGAGTTTCAGAAGCCATTGCGGAGACCGATAGCGGAGAGTCTGAAGGTACTGCACCGGCTTCGGCTGCTGGATGTTGAGATTGACGACAAAGGGCAGGTCGTGTCGTCGTCTAATTTCACATTGATCAATTTGTGGTTGGTGTGGTTTGGGCCCATGCGGGAGGATCGTTTGGCGATGGGGTTGTTGGTTTTTCAGTTTGCAGTTGGGAGTTTAGGTTTGTTTGTGAGGCATCGCATGGCGTTGCTCATCTTCACGGCAGATAACTGGTAGAGGGCGATTGTGTTTTGTAGAGCATTGGATGGCGTTGTATTGCATTTGTGGCGGATTATTTGTTGGCCTGTTCTATCGTCTGTACAATACAATGTATACCTCCATACTGGATTGATTCGATATAACGAGATCGGCCTAGACGTCCAGATCAGTCAGCCACCCGTTCATCGAACAGCGAATCGCCCAACTGCCAGACTCGCTGACTCTGCATGGCAAGGCGGGGCAGACTTGCAAGCTACTGCGGGGCAGTCGTCAGCACGTGAGCGTCGTCATGGGCAGCGGCGAGAGTGCCACATGCAGCACCTGTTCAGACGGCAAAACGCTGAACAGGCCTTGCATGGAGCACAAAGCCGAACATGACTAGTTATTGCCGTCTGCCAGATGGACTCGTACGCCGCCCAGAACCGGACGAGGCCGTCATCAGCGGCGCATTGATTCGATCGGCTCTCGGTGCGCCCCTCGACTCCGAACATCGGCATGGTAGCTTTTTGTTCGTCTTGCCTTGGGAGACATGAGTGCCACCAGCGCTTCATTTAAGCCACGGCCGGCCCAGGTTAACGTCTCCCACATTTCTTCTCCTCTTGCTCTTTTGACTTGAGTTTTATTCCCCAATTGAAGCTTTTGCACCACTCAAACACCTTCAATACACACATATCCATCCATCCACCATGCCGTCTGCTGTGAAGTCGCCGCAGACGCTGTATGACAAGGTCTTCGAGGACCACATTGTCGAGGAGAAGGAGGATGGCACAGTTCTGCTGTATATCGGTGTGTTTGTCGTAGTGGTTTTTCTATGTTTCTTGCTGACGGCGGCGCAGACAGACATCTTGTACACGAGGTGACATCACCGGTATGGCAAACATCACAATCACACGACACAGGACATGAGACTCACACACAACACAGCAAGCATTCGAGGGACTCCGAAACGCGGGCCGAAAAGTGCGGAGACCCGACTGCACCCTCGCGACAGTCGACCACGTACGTATAGGCAGTAGCAGCAGCAACACATGGCCTCCCGCAGACGTCTGACACGTGCCAGAACATCCCCACAGCATCGCGCAAGAACCTCACCACGACGGAAAAGTTCATCGACGAGGCCGACTCGCGCACACAATGCATGACGCTCGAGGACAACGTCAAGGCCTTTGACCTCACATACTTTGGCCTCGACGACAAGCGACAGGGCATTGTGCACATCATCGGCCCCGAGCAGGGCTTCACGCTGCCCGGCACCACCGTCGTCTGCGGCGACAGCCACACGTCGACCCATGGCGCGTTCGGCGCCCTGGCCTTTGGCATCGGCACGAGCGAGGTCGAGCACGTGCTGGCCACGCAGACGCTCATCACACGGCGGAGCAAGAACATGAGGGTGCAGGTCAACGGCGCCCTGGCTGCGGGCGTCAGCAGCAAGGACATCATCCTGCACGTCATTGGCATCATCGGCACTGCGGGCGGTACCGGCGCCGTCATTGAGTTCTGCGGCTCGGCCATCCGTGAGCTGAGCATGGAGGCGCGCATGTCCATCTGCAACATGTCCATCGAGGGCGGTGCGCGCGCGGGCATGGTCGCCCCGGACCAGATCACCATCGACTACCTCAAGGGCCGCCCGCTCGCCCCCAAGGTCGACAGCCCCGAGTGGAAGAAGGCCTGCAACTACTGGCTGGGCCTGCGCTCCGACGACGGCGCCAAGTACGACATTGAGGTCAACATCGACGCCAAGGACATTGCGCCGACCGTCTCGTGGGGCACGTCGCCGCAGGACGTCGTTCCCATCACCGGCGTGGTGCCCGGGCCCGACGACTTTGAGGATGAGGTCAAGAAGCAGGCCTGCGAGCGCGCCCTCAAGTACATGGGCCTGACTGCCGGCACGCCTATGCAGGAGGTCCAGGTCGACAAGGTCTTCATCGGCTCCTGCACAAACGCCCGTATCGAGGACTTGCGGGCTGCCGCACGCGTCGTCGAGGGCAAGAAGATTGCCTCCAACATCAAGCGCGCCATGATCGTTCCTGGGTCTGGTCTCGTCAAGCGACAGGCTGAGGCCGAGGGTCTCAACAAGATCTTCTCCGACGCTGGCTTTGAGTGGAGAGAGGCTGGCTGCTCCATGTGCTTGGGCATGAACCCCGACATTCTGTCCCCTGGCGAGCGCTGCGCGTCGACATCGAACCGAAACTTCGAGGGACGACAGGGTGCCGGTGGACGAACACATCTCATGTCCCCCGTCATGGCCGCCGCCGCCGCCATCGTAGGAAACCTGGCCGACGTACGAAAGCTCGCTCCTCCAACACACGCCTCCGCAAAGGGCTCGCCCAAGATCGAGCTCGACGCACATGTCCAAGATGTTGACGGCGACGACGAACTAGAGAGCATCATGGATCTCCCTGCCGACTCGCAATCTCACCCCTCGTCCACCAACACCGCCGGCGCCACAGCTGGCATGCCAAAATTCGAAACCCTCCGTGGCTACGCAGCACCCATGGACATTGCCAACATCGACACCGACGCCATCATCCCCAAGCAGTTCCTCAAGACCATCAAGCGCTCCGGTCTCGGCTCCGCGCTCTTCCACGCATGGCGCTACGAAGCCGGATCCAACGACGAGAACCCCGATTTCGTCCTCAACAAGGAGCCATGGAGACAATCCAAGACACTGATCTGCACAGGGCCGAACTTCGGCTGCGGAAGCAGCCGTGAACACGCACCCTGGGCACTCCTAGACTTCGGCATCAAGTGCATCATCGCGCCCAGCTTCGGCGACATCTTCTTCAACAACACGTTCAAAAACGGCATGCTGCCCATCCAAATCACCGACACGGCGGCCCTGCAGCGCATCGCCGCAGAGGCAAAGGCCGGCAAGGAAATCGAAGTCGATCTCGTTAACCAGGTTGTGCGCGATGCTGAGGGGAGCGAATTGGCCAAATTCGACGTCGAGCAGTTTAGGAAACATTGCCTTGTTAATGGGCTGGATGATATCGGCCTCACGATGAGTAGTGTGGATAAGATCGAGACGCATGAGAAGAAACGCACTAGTGTGTGGCCGTGGCTTGATGGCAGTGGGTATTTGGCTAGGCATGGGAAGGGCCCGGTTAAGATTGAGGCTAAGCCTGTTCCTAAGACGAATCGTGGGGAGGTTATTGGGGAGCCGTTGGAGTGGTAGATGGACGTGTAGATGTAGATGTGGGGAGGGCAAAAGTATTGTTTCGCGTTGGCGTTTTCTTGTGTTTTTTATAGGTTGGTGAGCGTATCGTAGCTTTTTTGTGCGCGGATATAAGGCTGTTGATGGATATGACGTTATGAAAGATTTTTTTGAGCTCTGAATTTGAGGGCTTTTGGTGATGTGTGTGGCCTTTGTTCTTGCTTGACTCTATCGGACTGGATTTACTTATGCGTGAAATGATGACTATGACTTGAACTTTTTACATATACTTCCCAACACCCTCTCTTCTATACACCTTTTCAATCGACGAGTAACACAGCGCCACAGACCCACCCATCCACCTCCCCCCATCCCGACGACCAAGCACACCCCCAACCTACTCCCCCACCCCCTCCAAACACGCCACCAAACTCCCCCGAAACCCCTCCTGCCCAACCCCCCTCCCAATCAACACCAACTTGGCCTCCTGCGCCCCCCCAGACCCCTCCACCTCCACCTCATTAACATCATACACATTGCGCACGCCCTGCAGCAGCAGCACCTTCCCCCCCTGCACGGGCACGCGGCCCTTAAGCCTGTGGATTTCAAACGGCTCGTGCGGCGTACCGCAAGGGAGCGTTTCGTCCCACAAGATGGTGCGCAGGAAGATGTCGAAGCGCTGGATTTGCGGGGGCGAGAGGGCGGGGAAGAGGAGTGTGGATGTTGATATGCTCTGTTTTGTTCAGTTTTGTTAGACAATGGAGAGGGGTGGTGGAAAGAAAGGGGGGCGTACAGCATCGAGATGACTATGCCCCTTTGCCGCAAACTGCAGATCTGCATCTGTCACGGCGTCGTAGGCGTGGATATCCAGCAAAAAGCCCTCTAATTGCGGGACCTGCGCCTTCGTCGTCGTTTCTATGCGCGCCAGCCCGTTTATGGCCCGGATTCGCGCGACTACATCGGCGAGGTGGGCGGGGGAAACGAGATCCGTCTTGTTGATTAGGATGACGTCCGCGTGGCTGATTTGCAGGTGTGCTGTTGTGAGGAGGGGGCCATGTGCATGCCCATCCTCCTCACTGCCGTCTTTGCGGTTCTCGTCACCGAAGCCCTCGTCCAGGCTCTTGAGCACGTTCATCGCGTCGACGAGCGTGACGATGCCGTCGAGGAAGATGGAACTGCCTAGCCCGTCGTCGAGCCAGAAGATAGGCGCGATGTTCCCTGGGTCCGCGAGCCCGGTTGTTTCGAGCAGGATGTAGTCGAAGCCGCCTTGTTGCTCCATGAGGTTTTCGATCGCGGCCACGCCGACGTCTTTCACCGAGCAGCAGATGCAGCCGTTTGCGAGGGGCACGAAGGAGACTGGTTCTGCGGAGGTGGAGGTTGGGGCTGAGACGGTGAGTTGCTTTTCGATGTCGATTGCTGGGGGGTGTTAGTTGGTTGGTGTTGGTGTGGGAGGGGGGAAGGTTCTGACAGTCGCCGAATTCGTTGAGGATTACGGCGATTTTCTTGCCGTGCTGTTCGGTCAGGATGTAGTTCAAGAGAGTGGTTTTTCCGGCGCCGAGGTACCCTGTTATGATGGTGATTGGCACTTTGGCGGCGGGAGCGTCGTCGGAGGTAGATACTAGGTCTGGGATCTCTTCGTCTTGGTTGGTTGCAAGTTGGGGGGTGGTGTCTGGCTGCACGAGGGTTGGGACCTCGTCGTCTGAGGCATCGGTGTCCATGTTGGTTCTTCTGATATGCTTGTTGTACAAAGAGAGTCCTGTGGATAGACTTTTATGCTTAAACGGGGTGTATGATCTGGACGTTGATTAGACAGGGACTTTCAAAGAAAATGAGATGGAAAGGCAGCAGGGTGAGAAAGTCGAAAGATGAGCAGTATGATGTAGTCTAGTGCTACTTGAAGATTTTGCAAGCTTGTGACCTAATATCACATACGCTGTGGGCACACCAGAGCCATATATACTCCCTCCCGAAAGACTTGTGAAGTTTCGATATGTCAAATTGAGGGAGTGGGGTCTTTATGAGGCTCATGCTGGAATAGGAAATGCTCAACTTGTAAAAATACAATGACTCGAAATCCCCATCTGCTGTGCAGAGAGTATGACCAAGTGCAGGATGGACAGAAAATCACAAGATAGAAGGTACTCAAAGAGAGAAACAAAAACTACTCACCTGCGGACAAGCTTGAAAAAGGTTGATTGTGAAGTTGCAAGACTAAAGTCTATTCGAGATATCCAGATGGATGTGTGTCCCGCACTAGCATGGCAATGTGGGGCTAAGGGAGACGCCCACCCCTGTCCCGCCCTGCATGGGAAGCCACGATGTTTGGGACCTGATGGTGGATCACGACGACGCAAACACCAACCGGCCCCTCCACGAGCACGCTTCCATCTTCCCTGTGCTGCCCAAGTGATGGCGACTCCAGCTTCGCCCCGACTGCCCAGCCCCCCGCCAATCGCCGAGGACCAGCTGTCACCGGCCGTCTCATCGGAGCAGCAGAAGCTGTTCAGCAACCTCGATCATGGCGCCGCAAGGAGGATACGGCCGGGCACGAGGGCGGAAGACATGGCAGAGGGGCCTCCGCTTGTGGAGCTAACAGAGGTGGGTGGCAGATCAAACACAATAGGATGCATGGATGCTGACGACGGTGTAGATCGACTCGGCATTCCAGCTCACCGAACACCTCAAAGCACTGCACAACTTTCTCACACACCCCATCGGGTCGAATGGCATGATACCCGTGGACAAAGACATGGCACTGAAGCTGGCACACCCACCCGATAATGTAGACAGGACGCTGTGGCTGTACGAGCTGTGCCGCTTCCTCATCCAGAAGGTCAACTCTATCATCGTTGCCCTCTTCTCCGACAGCACGCCATGCTCCTCGCTCACCTGCCCTGAGATGCGTGCCTCGGAATGGCAGTACTTGTGCGCAGTTCATGATCCCCCAAAGTCATGTTGCGCCATCGACTACTGCTGCCACACGCTGGACTGGGCTGCCAACACGCTCACATCACCAAAGCATTTCCCGTCAAGACTCGCTCTCGGCACCGATCAGTCTACCCAGCACTCCCAGACGCGACAGCTGACCAACATCTTCCGACGCGTCTACCGGATATTTGCACATGCTTGGTTTCAGCACCGCGACATGTTCTGGAAAGTCGAGGGGCGCACAGGGCTATACATTTTCTACAAGACGGTCTGCGACTTCTACGGTCTGATTCCTGATGACAACTACACCGTTCCAGCAGAGGCAGAGGGGATTGAGCATCCTCTTGAGTCGAGATCTGCTCCACCTCTGATTCTAAAGCGCGAGCCATCCGAGCCCGGGCCACAGGATTTGGACAACGTCACCGTTATCGAGGACAACTCCCTGTCCACTGCAGGCACAACGAAAAGACACCGCCACTCACCGTCTGTAGGCGCCATGTCCGTCACAACCGTCGTGGAAGAAGCAGAGGAAGAGGAGGAGCAGCCAAAAGCACAGTCACGACCGGTCACTCAGATCTTCGAGTCCTTGCCCGATGATTTTGAAACTATAGAATCAGACGAGGCGGACACAGACGCCGAACTCGCAGAAGAGCCGGTGTCTGTTGATGACGAGCCGGAAAAGCAGAGTACAAGCGACGATGAGGCGGATGCTCAACCGCAAGGGGAGAAGGAGGATGACGAGGAACCAGTTACGGACAAGGCATCTGGAATAGAAGCAGAAGCATCGGACGCGAGCGAGGGGTCCACAGAAGCAGCCAATGACCCTGTGATAAAGGAAGAGAAGGATACGTCGGAAGACACCGACCCTGCCGTGGAAAAGGCCGACGAGGATGAGAAGTCTGCGGAATGAGTATGATGGGACGAACGCTTATGGCATGATGTTTTTTCTTCTTCTGGCGTGTAATTAATAGGTCGCGCCATGGTGGTTTCGGGGTGTATGTTTAATCGAGGAAGATACCAGTGGCGAAATCGACTTCACCGTCTTAGTATGGTCTGTCCCTAAATTCTACAATGTCTCACTTGCACGTTGCAAGAAACACGGCAATGACATACCGCACAGTCTTGATTGGCTCAAACATGCCAGTCGAGCACGTCAGGTGTGCATTTGCATTGCGTACGGTGAGTGGGTGTAGTGGCGGTGATGGTGACAACATGCATCGAGTATCGAGTATCGAGTATCTAAAATCAAACATCAAGTATCGAGTAACTAAAACATACATGTCATGCCAACGCAAACAAGACCACACAACCCGGTACATCAACAAACACTTGCACTGCGCCACACGTCCACCTATCTGTGATATGTCATGTCCATGCACGGGAATCACACGGTGGTGGCGATGGGTCTGGCCATTGACAGGGGCAGATCGCATGTGGGTTTACGAAATAGTTGGTAGTCCTGGGTAGTTACCTGGTCGTGGGTACAGCAGGTGTAGACCCCCCACGCTGAGGTTTCTCCGCATTCTGCTAGGGTGGAGCGGTGGAGTGGTGGAGTGGCTGCCGCGCGGTCGGTGTGTGGTGATGAATCGTGTGGCATCGCGACGGGCCGAAGGTCGGTGGTGGACATGGTATGGTGTTTGTGCCTAATTTAGGCAGAGGTCAGGGTTGGGTTGCGTTTAGACCTGGCTTAGAGTTGGGTAGAGTTTCGATCTACATGGAGATGGTGCTGCATGTCCAGGCCGCGGTAGATGATCAAACAAGGCTTGCAAGCCTATCGCGGCTGCTGCGGGCGGCGGAGATGAGCAAGTCCCTCGGTCGGGCCATGATGGTTGATGGCGGCCCATATGCACTGCTGAGTGGACCAGGTTACCCGCGCCTCCCGTTCCTCTTCTCCTCACAGCACACGCCTCTCTTCCCCACGCTCTCGCTCACGCTCAGGGCAAGCGCTCACAACCAGTCCTCGACAAGCTTCGCCGTCGCACATGACGTCCGCACTCGCACATCATCTCCCCACCACCGTGACCGACCCAGACCCCGGCTGCAAGTCATCCATCATCGATCGCGTGGTACCCACTTCTACCTCGACGATAGAGCCCAAGCACCGCGCCTCGTCTCGTCTCGTCTCGCCCTGCGCATTGGCACCTGACCGGACCTGCCCGCGCGGGCTGCTGAGTTGACAAGCGCACCCTGCACTCGCCACTTGTTCCTGGCCGTCTGTATTCCTGGAGCGTGAACGTGAGGGTGAGAGTGAGCGTGAAGCAGCATGTACGCGACGTCCGCACAGCTTGACTAATACCAGCCTCACGTCTTGCACACACATCTCGCACGCCTGCATCTTGCACACTCGCATCTCGCACGCACACGTCTTGCACACGCGAGCAGCCCACCCTTGATCCCAGCAAATGACGGCGCAAATCTTATCGATGCATGCAGCGCACGCGTCGGACCTGGGGAAGCTGCAGACGCAGTTCCCCGACAAGATGGACACGACAGAGCCGCCCACGCCCGCCTCGCCCGACAGCGGGGAGCTGCGAGGCCGCCGCCGCGAGAGAGACGACGACGACGACGACGGCGACGGGGCGGATGGCGAGGCGACGGGCGGCTCGCGGAAGAGGAGGAGGAGCCGGAAGGGGCTGGACAAGAAGTTCGAGTGTCCGCACGAGGGCTGCGGGAAGAGCTACTCGAGGGCCGAGCATCTGTACAGACACCAGCTGAACCGTGGGTGCTCCCCGTCTTGCAGGCAGTGGGCATGTCGACGCTGACGCTGACGCTGCGCAGACAACCCAAAGCAAATCTACAACTGCGACTTCCCCGACTGCCACCGCTCCTTTGTCCGCCAGGACCTCTGCGCGCGCCACAAGGAGAGACACACGGCCCGCGGCTCGCAATTGCTGCGCAAGGACACTTTCAACATGCACAACCTCAACCCCATCGTGACGGCCGCACTGGGCGGCAAGCCCACCGTGCCCAACAAGCTGGGCATTCTGAAGAGTCCGGCTGCCCAGGTACTTGCAGCATTATGCGCACGCGCACAACAGTCTTTGCTGACCCAGTCCAGATGCAGCAGCATGGCCTGCACACGCTCGCCTCAGCCATCCCCAGTGTCGCTCCGAGCACCCAGATGTCACCGCCGAATCTCCACTCTCCCGTCTCCACCCTCTCCAGACAAGACTCGCTGCAACGGCGAGGGAGCGACGATGCCTACCGTAGTAACTCCGAGGCTAAGCCCTATGACATGCAGTCCCAGGCCACTGGGAACTTTGCACCCCCACAGCGGCCGTCCACAATGGGCAACTACAGTGGAGGTCGGACACCACTTCAACACTCCCCCCACGTAGCCGCCGCTCCCTTCCAGAGGCCTGAGTTGCGCGCGCAGACCTCCACCATGTCGTCCTCGTACGGCTCCGTGTCGCCCTACAGCACCGCCGTCACCCCTTCGCAGCAGTCGTATCCTCCTGCCGTCACACCTGCTTCTTATCAACCCCACACCCAAAACCAAAGCCAAAACAATTCTGCAAGTGGGTTCCAATCCCCAAGAAACTTCCCTCCGTTTGCATCCTTACCTCCGCCAGAATATCCACAGCAGTCGACCACTCCTACTCCGAGAGACCATGAGAACCACTTCTACAATAACACTCCTGGGAAGACCCCAATGAACGGTGTCGAGTCCACTTCGCAAATGGACTCGAGAATGAACAGCGTGACTGATGCTATAATGGAGCAGCAACCTTCCTACGCGGTGCCCATGTTTGGCGGCGAAGGGTACAGCCGATCACCATTCGCAATGGCCGATGATTTTGCTGCTTGGTTGTTCAACGACAACCAGTTCGGTCCGGGTGGGGCCTCGCCGATGAACTACCCAGCCGGAGCTAATTCCGCAACCGGCGCTGCATCTCAGATCGGACTGCAGGCAGCTTATTTCAATTACGACCCGTCTGTTGCAGGTTACCTGAATAACCCTGCACCGCCTGCGCACCCCATGGCCGTCCACAGCATCCTCGATACCACACTGCCGGAATCCGTGCTCTCCGAGGAGAAGCGTAAAGATCTGATCGATCTGATTGTGGGCCGCTTCAATGAGATTGACCACGCCCCTGTCGGGAGGCAAAAGGAGGATATTCTCGAAGGGAACAAGGACGATGATCGACACGTGTTGAGTCTGCATATGATGCAGACGTACATCAGCTCGTATTGGGTACATTTCCACCCCCAGCTGCCCATCCTCCACAAGCCCACTTTCAACCCTAGTACCTGCCCTGACCTTCTTCTGCTTGCGATAATGTGCCTTGGCGCATGCTGTTTGGAGAAGAATTACGGGCACGAACTAACACAAGCATGCTCGTCCTTGTCCAACTTCTTGGCTTGGCCGCTGCGATGGGAACTTTTCAAGGACGAGGATTTCCGACCACCGGCTAAGCTTTGGATTTTCCAAAGCCTCATCCTGCTTGAGAGTTTCGAGAAGATGTATTCCACGCGTCCGTTGCATGAACGGGCGCACATCCATCATGCGACAACGTTGACGCTGATGCGACGAGGCAGCTCGTTGATTGGGCGGTCGGCTTTGGATTCACCACCAAGCATGAAGGATGGAAAGAGCAGCTCAATGGGCGGGATAAACTCGCCTGACGAATGGTGGAACCACTGGATCACGAACGAAGCTACGCGGAGAGCAGCATTCGCGGCATTCGTCATGGATAGCATCCACGCGACTATGTTCGGCCACAGCGCGGTAATGGTCGCGCACGAGATGCGCCTCCCCTTACCCTGCGACGAAGCGTTGTGGTCGGCAACAAGCAGCTCAGAAGTAGGCCGTGTAGAAGCGAGTCTGCACTCCAATGGCGTCAAGCAGATGACCTTCTTAGACGGCTTGAAGAAGACACTCAACGGACAAAGCGTCCGAACAAACTCCTTCGGTCGCACCATCCTCATGGCAGGCCTGCTGAGCGTCTCGTGGCACATGAACCAGCGCGACCTGCAAGTCAGCTCCCTTGGTGTGACTCAAGCTCTGGGCGGCCGTGACAAATGGCGCGGTTCTCTTACCCGGGCCTTTGATTTCTGGAAGCAGGATTTCGACTCGTCGCTCGCGCGTCCAAACGACCTCGCTGCGCCAAACGCCTATGCATACTCGAACGGGCTCGACGACGAGAACGTCTTCGAGTCACGAACCGTGCTGCACCACCTCGCACACATGGCCATGCACGTCGACATAGTCGACTGCCAGATCTACGCCGGCGCAAACCGCCTACTGGGCAGAAGCATCACATCGCAAGACTACAACGGCGCGCAGCGACGCATGAAAGAAGTGTGGGCGCCAACAGCCCGCGCGCGCGACGCAACATTCTACGCCCTGCGCTTCCTGTCCAACGTCATGGTTGCCGGAGACCACAGCCTCCCCTCGCCTTCCAACTCAAACGAGCCCGTCTCGTACTCGGCCCGTGACGACGTCCTGCTCAACCGCCCCTGGGTTCTGTACTTCGCTACCCTCATCGTGTGGTCGTATGGCTTTGCGCTCGACGGGCCTATCAAGCAGCCGTATAATCTGGGTTCGTACGAAGATAAAGCTCGCGACATGATGCTTTATCTTAAACGCGTTGGCGGTGTCAGGGCGCCGGATGATCTGAGCAAAATGGCTAATCGCAATGCGTGTCTCGGCTTGCTGATCATGATGCGCGATATGTTCCGCAAGACGAGGTGGGAGTTGCTGCACGAGGCGAGCGGGCTGCTGACGAAATGCATCGAAATGCTGATTCCCGGGGCGGGGAGTTGGTGAGCGTTTGTTTTCCGTCCCCTGACATGTCTGAGCGGATGGGGCCGCGACTTGGGCTATGCCGTTTTCTACACCGGTGTCTTGCTGGTAATGTCGGGGGTTATCATGTCCTGTTCTGTTCTATTCTGTTCCATTCTGGGCCTGTTGTGGACTGGGTGCTGTGCTTTGACTTTTAGCACGGTGTAGAAGTCTATTATGGGATTGCATTGCATTGCATCGTGGGTATGTTGCGTGGGGCGGTGGTGTGTGGTGCCTGAAGGATTGCTTTATACCCCGGATTTTGGTGTCTTGGGCTCTTTTCTCCTTGTTCTTCTTCTTTTGAGCAATTTAAATGGTTCGATCTGTTCGTTTTGTAATATGATTACATGTGTGTATATGTATACATAGACGGAAGTGTTGTTTGACATGTTTCGTCACAGGTTGGTAGTCCATAGGGTAGGCGATACAATCACGTGAGTACGCGTAGGCGCGTTTCGTCCTCACACATCTCATCGTCGACAACGACGCGCGTGGCCTTGATCCAGGGTTTCTCCCCTCCACCCAGAGTCATCCCGAGAAAAAGCCAGACCCGCTCGGAATTAATAGAGTCTGGCATATTTTGCGCCTCGCTGGAGTCGTGTTCTAGTGCGGTAACTCCTTTTCCAATCGCCCGTTGGGGTTGGTGCGTCATCGATGTGCGTTGTTGTGAGTGGCGCGCCGCTTGTTGGTTTGCGTGATTGTGTTGCTTCACCACGACGTTGTTTGGAGGATGGTGGTGACTGCTGCTTCTGCGTCTGCGACTGCGTCTGCGACTGCGTCTGCGACGGACAAGGTTGTGAGGAAGAGAAAGAGGAAGAGTCGCGATGAGGAGGAGGGATTGACGACGACGGATGATACAACGGCCCCAGACGAGACGACAAGCGATGCAGCAACCACAACCATACCGACAAAAACGCAAGACGGCGGCAAAAAGCCACGCCGCGCACCAAAAGCGAAGAAACCCCCCCTCGTCCGCAACACGTCCTCGACGCTGGTAGAAACAACCATACCATGGCCAGACCACTTCACGAAGCTGCAGCAAGTGTACCGCGCGCTGAACCTCGTCTACACATTCTGCTGCACGCGCAAGCAAGTCGCCACCACGCTGGATAACCTCAAGACGACGGTCGAGGGCCACATCAAGCGCGAGCTCGTCGTCGAAGACGTGGCGCAAATCACCGCCCTGCTGCCCAAAGCCATTACCTTTGCGTACGTCGACGAGGCGATGCTGCAGATTAATCTGATGGGCTCGGAGGACAACTTCAACGGGCGCAGCACTAAGGATTTTGTCATCTTGGAGCCCGAGCCTGATACGCGCGAGCATAAGGAGGTGCTGCTGTTTGAGTTTGTGGACGGCGATTTGAAGCGCCAGGTTCGGTGTGCGAAGACGGGGGAGCCGACGAAGGCGGTGCAGAGGCTGCGGAATGAGGATCTTAAAATGCCGGTCTTCAGCCAGAAACAGATGATGAATCTGATTGAGAAGCGGAACGTGAAGTTTACCTCGGCGGTTAATGCGCTGCTGAATCTGTGTGCGGACGAGGGCGTTGATGCTGTCGAGAAGATTAAGGAGCTTTCCGTGCCTTTTGTCCCGCTGCCGTTGGAGAGTGAGTCGACACCCGGCCCTGATCGCGCGTTGCTGCCTGTGTCGATACCGACGGAGCGCAAGTTCATCCCGGAAATCGTCGATGAGATCAAGTCGCTGGAATGGTATACGGGCCAGATTGTTCCCGACGGCCACCGCGTCTTCGATCCCCAGCCTCCCATATTCGGGGATCTCAACTTCCCAATGTCGCAGAATCTCGTCAATGCGCTGTACAATACGCGGAATATCACGCAGTTGTACGCCCACCAGGCTGAGGCTATCAATAATCTGTATGATGGGCATAATGTGATTGTGTCGACGTCGACTAGCTCGGGGAAGTCGCTCATCTATCAGATTCCCGTCCTGCATCAGCTCGAGCAGGATCCGAATACGAGGGCGATGTATATTTTTCCTACCAAGGCGTTGGCGCAGGATCAGAGGAAGAGCATGAAGGAACTCCTCCGCTTTATGACGGGCTTGGAGGACGTCCTTGTGGAGACTTTCGATGGTGATACGCCTATGGCTGACCGCAATTACATTCGCGATGAGGGACGTATTGTGTTCACGAATCCGGATATGCTCCACATCACTATCCTGCCGCAAGAAGAGGCATGGCGGACTTTTCTGCAAAATCTGCGCTTCGTGGTGGTGGATGAGCTGCATGTTTACAATGGGCTGTTCGGAGCGCACATGGCGTTCATCATGCGGCGGTTGAGAAGAGTGTGCGCTGCATTGGGAAACCACCATGTCAAGTTCATTTCCTGCTCCGCGACTGTTGCGAATCCCGAGGCGCACATGAAGACCATCTTCGGCGTGGAGGAAGTCAGGCTGACGGACTTTGACGGCTCGCCCTCTGGCAGGAAAGAGTTTCTGTGCTGGAACACGCCGTTCAAGGACCCTGGCGATCCTACGTCTGGGCGCGGAAACTGCTTGGAAGAATCCGCGAAGCTTGTCTGCCAGCTCATTCTGCGCGGTGTGCGTGTCATCACTTTCTGCCGTGTCAGGAAACAGTGTGAGGCTCTGCTTGCGGCTATCAAGACTGAGCTTACGAGTCTTGAGAGGACGGAGGTCATTGCTCGCGTTATGTCGTATCGAGGTGGTTATACGCCTCAGGACCGGCGACGGATTGAGCGTGAGATGTTCGATGGGAAGCTCATTGGTATCGTCGCTACTAGTGCGTTGGAACTTGGTGTCGATATTGGTTCCTTGGATGCCGTCGTCACGGTCGGTTTCCCCTACACAGTGGCCAACCTACGTCAACAGAGCGGGCGAGCTGGTAGGAGGAATAAGGATTCACTGTCCGTTCTCGTCGGCGACTGCTTCCCTACCGACCAATACTACATGTCCAATCCCGACGAAATCTTCACGAAACCAAACTGCGAACTGCAAGTCGATCTTGAGAATTTGCTGGTTTTGGAGGGCCATGTGCAATGCGCTGCATATGAAATGCCCATCAATGTCGACGCAGATGTTACCTACTTCGGCCCCTTGTTACCGAAAATCGCACGCGAGAGAATGCGTAGAGATCCGAAGGGGTTCTATCACTGCAACGAGCGCTTCCTCCCGCAGCCAGCTCGCACCGTTGCTATTCGCGACACGGAGGAGGACCACTTTGCCATCATCGACACGACACATGGAAAGAACACAGTGTTGGAGGAGTTAGAAGCGAGCCGAGCGTTCTTCACCATCTACGAGGGCGGCATCTTCCTCCACCAAGGCAACACCTACCTCGTCAAGGAGTTCTCGCAAGAGCGCATGCTCGCCAAAGTCGAATACGTAAAAGTAGACTGGACAACCCAGCAACGCGACTACACCGACACAGACCCCATCGAAACCGAAGCCATCCGCCGCATCCCCGGCAGCGCGTCAAAAGCCTTCTTCGGCCCCATAAAAATCCAGCAAGTCGTCTACGGCTTCTTCAAGCTCGACAAAAAACGCCGCATCCTAGACGCAGTGCAAGTCGACAACCCCCCCATCATCCTCTACTCAAAGGGCCTCTGGCTCGACGTGCCCAAATCCGCCCTCGAAATCCTGACCTCGCGCCGCCTCAACATCGCCGCGGGTATCCACGCCGCAGAGCACGCCGTCCTATCTCTCATGCCCAACTTCGTCGTCAGCATGCCGGGCGACGTGCGCACGGAGTGTAAAGTCCCCCTCAAGGAACACGCCAAGAAGGAAACGACGCGTAAACGCCCGGCTAGACTGACTTTCTACGACACAAAGGGCGGCGCGTCCGGGTCTGGTATCTCCACAAAGGCGTTTGAGTTCATCGACACGCTGCTGCGCCAGGCGTGTGTGCGTCTGCAAACGTGCCACTGCCTCGAGGGCTGTCGCGAGTGCTGCTGCAGCGATACGTGTAAGCAGGCGAACCAGGTTATGAGCAAAGCGGGCGCGATGGTCATTGTTATGTGTTTGTTGGGCAGGGAGCAGGAGGTCGATGTCGATGCGCTGCCGTGGGGCGAGGAGGATGTGCTCGCGGGGGTGGAGACGGTGGCGCTTGCTGAGGAGGTTAGGATGGCGAGGGGGAAGATGGTGGATGGTGTTTTGGTTAAGGAGGAGGAGGGGGATGATGATCAGTTTATGAGGAGCGTGCATATGTATGGGGGGGAGAGGACGTTTATTGGCGTTTGTAAGTGATGGGTGGGAGGAAATAGTTGAGTTGGTATATGTTTCTTCGTTTCAGTTCATTGATTCAGTTGAAGAGTTGGAGGTATAGCTACTACTACCCCTTCCTAGCATATCCTATCCCCTCCTGCTCGACATGAGGAGCAATTCACCCCTCCACTTCAATACACTCTACTCAGCCGTCTCGCCCTCAGCACCTGGAGGCACGCTGAACTGCCTCTTCTCTGCAGTTTCACCCTCAGCACCAGGAGGTACAGCGTAACTGAATTGCCGCTTCTCGGCCGTCTCGCCCTCGGCACCGGGAGGTACAGCGTAACTGAATTGCCTCTTCTCGGCTGTCTCGCCCTCAGCGCCAGGCGGCACAGCGTAACTGAATTGCCGCTTCTCGGCTGTCTCGCCTTCGGCTCCAGGAGGCACCATGTAGGTACCGAATGATCCTCGCTTTTCGGCTGTCTCGCCCTCGGCACCAGGAGGTACAGCGTAACTGAACTGCCTCTTCTCGGCTGTCTCGCCTTCGGCGCCGGGAGGCACAGCGTAACCACCGAATTGCCGCTTCTCAGCGGCCACGGAGGCTGCTAGTTACTGTAAGCAAAGAGCAAAGACGATGGTCAAGAGAAGAACACAACGTACACAGGGGAGCCGGCTTCGCAACCGGAGCAGCAAGGCCAGCGGCCGCAAGAGCAAGAACGACAAAGTACTTCATGATGATAACGGCTTCTGGGGCTGGTTTGTCGATGTACTGTGGACTTGGATCGACTTGCTCTTATACATGACGTGACGCGACGCGGGTGGACAGTTCAACCGCCGTGTTCTTTCCAACGGCTCTTTCCTGGTCCGGCTTATCAACTACAATCTGCAGGACACCGTCATGGTTCTGCGGTTCGTTACTATACTGATCGGGGTATGTTGCACCGACAGTGCGCTATCGTACTAATCTAGTGGCGAAAACTGTCTAGATGGCTCTCGGAATATAAACCCCGGGATGCAATGAAACGTCTCTGCATGTTACACGTGTAGTGCTCCACTTCTGCAGGCGGAGAATGATGCTTGAGCAGGGGATTGATGGTCACGTTGTGGGCGTTAGGCCCTCGCCGCTACTACGACGGGCATATCCACCTTCCGGAAACTGCTGGCTCGTGTGCTGTCGATCTTTGTAGATGTGGTAGAGATGCGGGGCCTGGGGGGCCTGTTGCAAGGTATTTTAGCTCTCTGGGTCTTTTGGCTGGTACGTAATCCACACGTTGGATTGTCTCATCGATTGTTTCTGGTTTTTGATTTCCCATCGACGGCCCTCTTCGTGTTCATTGTATCAAATTCTATTTGCAACTCCTTTTTACTTCCTTTTGCTACCAGTCATGGGCTTCCTCTCAGAAACTCTCCAGCACTACAAGCCATCCAAGGAAGAAGCCGTCTATTCATCCCTCCAGGACTCCGAATCCGACCTCCTCCCTTCCTCCAAACAGCAAACACACCCTCGCTCAACCCCCCGCGCAAAACTCTACTCCTTCCTCGCCGGTCTGCTCGCCGCCCTCGCCATAACACTCATCTCCCTTGGCATTCTGCACATACTGACCCCAGTTCCCAAAACCGCCGCACAGATCGAAGCCGAGGAATGGAACTACTGCGGCCGAAGCAGCGTCGTAGCCAAAGCGCGAGGCTGCGTAATGGAGCCCCTATTCTACGGCTGGATGCCTCCACAATGCGCATGGAAAGACTTCAGCGACCAGTGGCCCGTATTCGAAGACCGGAAATGGTACATCGACGTGAACATGACTATGGAGATTCCGCCTCAGGATCTTTGGAACGGGAAACATGTTATGATATATACCAGCAAGTGAGTACTCTAGTTGATGTGTGTGAGTGAGGTGTTGGGTTTTGACGCCGTGGTAGATATCATGGCGAACATTGCTTGTTTCAGTGGAGGAAGCTGCAGTTTGCTCTTGATCAGAAGAGGGAGTTCTTGGATAATAAGACGATAAGCGCGCATCATACGGGGCATTGTGCGGACCAGCTGACGGCCGGTTGTGAGGGCCCGGGGGATTGGAGCGAGGTTGAGTTGGGGTTCTACCGTTGTAGGAAGACGATCTGGTAAGGGTAGAATTTACTTGGATAGGTAGCCTGCAAACTGAGTGATTTGGACATGTAATTTACCAGATGCTAATTGCCCCTCTTTGACCTCGCGTTGTCGACGACGACAGGAAGTAAAGTCGTATCGCTGTGCTATTACAAAATCGTTATGGCTCACCTTGTTCCCTGCATATACTCCGTGACTTTCCAGGCACTGTCGTCACATCTTGCGTCACTTCGATAGACCTCTTTGTATTCACCCGGTAGGGGGCCTGAATCTAGGGTTACAGTACTATTTTCCCATCTCTCGGACAAATCCACCTACAGCAGCATAGCTATAATCAACCTAAATTAGCATCGAGTCTATCAGCGTCAAGTCCATCACTGACCTTCCGCATTGGGCCATACTACATGATGACTTTACGACCCGTGGGTCAACACTCAAAATGGCTCGCATGGCATGCACATGTATCTGCGGCCGGCGAGTGGTGCGGAGGAGGTATCACATGGTGGGAATCTGTACAACTGAGATCCTGCAAGCTAAGGGAAATATATGTAGATATCGAACTAGTTCTTACCGTATGCGGAAGGTATGTATGTATGCACCCTGCAGTTAGGCGTCCAGTAGATATCGTCACGTTTTGGCACGACTCGCCACTTACTAGCTCATGTATCGCGACAATGAGGGTCTAGCCCTTGCCATGAGCTTTACTGCTACTTTCGCTGTGGGTTGTGTTTGGAGTGAATCTGCTTGGGCCCTAATTCAAACAAGCTATTGATTTGGGATTCAACAACACCATGAGCAGTACACCTGAGAAGTATGATTCTGACCTCAAAGACGATGGATCAACAGCCAGTCTCCTCTCTTCTGACGAAATCCTCAACTACGAAACCGGACGCAATTCGAGACGGACTTGGTCGTGGACATGGCCTCTCGCGTTCTGCATCTCACTACTTCTCACGAATATGATAACTTCCGTCGTGACCTACCGGACAACCTCCAAGAACCATCGATCCGTCGCCGAACCGCCAACCGGAGTACCTAATGTCTTTCGTGATCTTTCTCTTACGCCGAGGCCTACGCTCTTGAACGTGACGTTCTACGACCGAGACGATAGTATCTACCGCAAACGAGCATCTGCAGAAGCAGATGAAGCGTGGAAGGAGTTGGCGCAGAGCGAGGGAGGAGTTATGCTGATACCGAAGGAAGATGCAAAGCAGAGCGACATCGATCCGGAGAAGCACGCGTACTGGGATGCGCCTGAGCTGGGGCTGGAGGGATACCCAGTTGGCGTGGAGGTCTTGCACCAACTGCATTGTTTGGTGAGTACCCCCAATAAGTGCTTTGAAGTGGGTAATGTTAACGCTGTGGCAGGACATGCTGCGGCGGAATCTTTGGTTCAATATCGATTTTACCAGAGAACAAGCGAGGAAAGATTGTCCAGAATCCAAGCCTGATCTCTGTGGCGAACCCCAGGAATTCACTAATACGCATATCGGTATGTTTATCTCGTTAACTTCCGTTCTGATGCGACTTGCTTACACAAGTAGACCATTGCGTCGATTTTTTGCGTCATCGGTTGATGTGTACTTCCGATCTGGGCGTCGTTCCCTTGTTGTGGCTTGGTAGAGAAGGTCGGATGACGGGCGATATGAGCCGGATGCACACATGTCGGAACTATGATACCGTTCTACCGTTCGTATCGAAGAAAGGCGTCTCTATGCCAGAGAAGGGGGCTGTGAAACCCAAAGCTGATGATTATGTTATATGGGATTATATATGAAGAAATGCATAAACGACTCCGATTCAATATCATTGTCACTTGCTGACCATTATAGAGCGGCTTTGTTGTCAACCGAGTCAATCTGTTGAAGTCTGTTCGAGTACAGAGCTGCGTAGCGCTTCATCGCCATGTCTTTGTCGACCATGCTCGCAATTCCAAGTCGTGGCGAAGTCGAGTACATGTCCGCAGATACGTAATCAAAAACCACAAATGCGGATCGTAGGAAGGGTAGGCCCATGATTGAGTCACCAAACGTTGAAAATTCCCATGTTCGAAGATTTGCTTCGCACCTATGACAATTCATTGTCAGTAGTCTTGAGTCCTGTTTTTAGGATGAGCAACTTACATCACTGTGCCATTGATTAGTTGCCGTGAGCCCGCGAGGAGCATATCTAAAGGATCGATAAGAAACCACCTATCGTGAAATTTGAACTCCAGAAGTTGGGGCTGATCGCACTCGACATAGATTTTATCGCCATTGGGATGCGTTTCAGTGGCAGTTGCACCATGCAGGTACTCAACTATCGTGTAGAAATCTCGATTACGAAGATAGATATAGGAAGAGCCAGAATCCAAAACAGATACGTGCTGGTGATCGGAACGGAGACGACCTGGCGTGACTGATATCTCTACACTGTTGATTCGGAGACCCTCGAGGATGGTCGACCAGGCGATTGTTTCAAGATGATCGAGACGATGCTCGTTTCTAGACGCGAAGCAATAAGCACAAGCAGAATGTTCAAAGGGAACACATCGAGCATACCTTGAGAACGGAACAACATCTCGGTACGTGATATTTATAGACTGCGGAACACTCTCAATGGCTCCTAACGTCAGTCTCCCTGTATGTTGTTCCGGATCTCCATATCGTGGTGACCGAAGTGAAAATACAGGTTGTTTCAACACATTTTGGGATATCAGGGTATCAACGATTGGTAGTCTTCCATACTTGAGCCACTGCTGAGAAGTGGTGCGCAGACCAAGCCCAAGGACACCTGAGAAGGAACCGTTCTGAAACTCATCAATTGTAGCATTATTAATCAATGCTTATTGCTGAATTAGTGTGGCAGGATCATTCAACCGGGTAGACGACTCACCAGTAGTGGCGTTTTCAACATACAAACTGCCTAATGAGACAGAGATGGAAGAAAGATTTCCTATCACTCGCCCCTTCCCAAGGAAAGTGTCGAATCCGTCGCCCGAGAGAAAAGTAGTTTTGTCCTTCTCAAAGTTAATTTTCTGTCATCAAAGATGAAGCCGGACATGGTACGTTGATGTGGTATGATTTCTCCAACTGGTAGCAACCACTCGTGCGGTCGACCGTGTCGCATTCCTCCGAAGCGACAAAGTTGTCCGCTGAAGAAGTTTCCAATGTGAAAGCAAGACGTTGGCCATCGAATTGAATATCCACCTAAAGCGATTGTCAGATACGTAATAGCAAACAAGGTCTAAGGTTTTATCACATTTTGATAGGAATCGTCTGTTCTCCCTGGCGGGATGTAAACATCCAGGCTTGCTACGCCCTTGTCGCCGACATCTTTATGCGACTCGATGCCATTACCAATCAAATTTTTGACATCGCCAACACCCCACAATAGTAGGACTAATATGGTGCTGCAGACAAAGACGACGACGATTGCCGCGCGATGGGTTGCTGCATGACGACCAGATGGCGAATTCATGGCATGTTGCTATGTCAAGGTCATGTGATAGTAGTGTCAGACATTGAGTCGTGAGATGCAGAAAGAAGAGTAGTGAATGGGACATAGAAGGTATAGAGGGGTTGATCGAAGTGGGTGGCACGCCTAACAGTCAGGCATTCACCTGCCTGTTTGGGCTTTAGCACTCCAACCTGCAAGGCGAGAGAAGTCAACTCAACTTAGTTTGTAATACTACTATGGGGCTGAATGTCTGCACTTTAGGCAGTATTGGATCTCAAGTCACTGAGGACAATTTGTGGTTTGAATAGGTTATCATGCCTCTATGAGGTCCAACACTTCTATCTTCGCATGATTGACTATGCTTGCTCTTGTTCCTCGACGAAATGTCGACTCAATCCGTCTCGTAGAGACCGTCATACCGATTTTGCAAAAGTAGACAGCAGTCTCCAACATGCGTACTGGAACATGCGCTTTAAAGAACCCGCTTGAAGGTTCAAATCATGAAGTAAGACTTCAGAGACTTGCTGTCACTGTTCGTTTTTATCATTTACTAGATCGCAATTCTTGTTGACGATTTAGTGTTTGCTTGCCTTTCGAACGCTCAAGGCAATCTCTTTGTAGAATCATTCCCGATGCCGGAGATAGAATAAAGAACTTGACACAAAAGCCGAAAGACGAGCAGAGAGATACAAAGTCAACGAAATGACACATGGAAGGAACGGAACCAAACTACCTGTACCAGTGAAGAAAGAGGGCCACGTTGGATACACCGACCGGTGTAAGTTGCGGTAGCGTACATGGTGGCGGTGAGCAATCAAAGGCGAAGAAGGCGAGGCAGAGCAGAGTACCAACAGCCCATGCATCCTGTCAGCCTTAAGTCACTTATATGGAAGTACTCCAAATTAATCGCCAGGACCAATAAAATGTGATGTACTCAGGTTAACGCTGGACTGATGCTTGCATGTTGAAGTGTCACCCTGACAACCGAATCTTTGCGGGCAGTATTTGCGCTCGATGCACCGCGCGGCCCATGCACAGCCCACATCAAACAGCCCCTGCTGAAGCCATCTCAACACCTCACATCGTCTATACGAACTTTTTGGACATCTAGATACCCTCTACCTGTATCCTTTTACTCGCAATTAGAAAAAATGGTATGTAGCTCCTTCCTGCGCAACGACATGGACCCATCCCCAGTATTGCTCGTTGCTTGCCCGCGCCTGCCGTTTCTACGGAAATGGGGCAGCGACGGCGACACAAACAAGGCCTCTCGCTTTCACCTTGTATCACTGTAGTGCTCAGTTCACTTTTCGCTGCCGACAAGCAACTGGTCCACACAACTCTACAAACACAAGCACACACACAACGAGAACAGCAATGGATAACAGCAACCAGGCCTCCACCAACTACCGCGAAGCATTCCAGCTCTTCGACAAGCGCGGCAACGGGCGCGTCGACCGCGGTTCGCTCGGCGACCTGCTGCGCGCATGTGGGCAGAACCCAACGCTCGCTGAGATTGGGGATTTGGAGCGCGGCGTTGGCGCAGACTGTACGTGCCCCTCCTTTGCTCTCAACCCCGCGCAGAATAGCGCAGAGCAGTGCTGACTGGTCCACAGTCGACTTTGACACCTTCTCCAAGATTCTCAACCGCCCCGGCGGTTTCCGCGAACCCTTTGACATCGAAGAGTACATACGTGGCTTCCAAGTCTTCGATAAGGATCGCTCGGGCTTTGTGGGCAAGGGTCAGATCAAGTACATTTTGACGAACTTGGGCGAGAAAATGAGCGAGGAAGAGGTGGATGAGCTGTTCAAGAGCACGATTGATGCGAGCAACAACGAGGTCGACTACAGGGGTAAGTCACAGACAGATCCTAGAATCGCCATCAAACAGCGGCAAGAGCAGCAGAAACTGACCATTCCACAGAGTTCGTCAAGACGATTGCGGAGAACTAGATTCTTATTTAGCACTTCTTTCGACTCTCCTTCACGTTACGAATTTCTGGCACGGCGACATGCACGAAACGGGTCATATCAGGGTTTAGCATGCGATTACCGGCGTTTAGATGTTCATGTTTGGTCACGTCTCACCCGGGTCTGGGACACGGAGGAGTTATGTAGCGAGTCAGAAATGAACTGGAATGAATATGATTGCAACCTGTTTTTGGTTCCATAAGGGACGCACGCTATATATGACTGTAGGCTTTGCATGGAGCATGAGAAGCCTTGCGCGTTTGTTCGCCAGTGGGGTATCGCGTGAAATGCTGCACGTATGCATCGACCATCCTCCTCTCTCCCGTCATGTCATTCCATGACCAACCCCAAGAAACAAAGCCAGTAAACGCCCAACCCCAGAAATCATGCGCAGTGTGTATGAGTCAGATAAGAAATTCGTAATCCCCGCTTCGTAACCCCGGATTTGTGAAACAACAACGGGTGGTGGGGAGCCTACACCTTGACCTCGGTGACAGCAAGCGTTGTCGCAATGCCGCCACTGGACACGGCCCCCGTCTTCCCCATGATCATGTCGCTCGTCGTGATGAAGCCGCCCGGCAGCAAGAACACCACGTCCTCGCGTCGGCCAGCCCGGTCGGCAGAGAACTGCTGCCAGTCCAACTGGTAGCCCACGGTGAGGTTGCAGCGTCCGCAGCGCTGCAGGTAGCGCTTCTCGAAGCCCTCGTCGCTAGTGATGATCTCCGCGGCGCGCTCCTGTCGCGTAGAGAGCAGGAGCCCGTAGTGGTCGGTGCTTTGCTGCGAGTCCTTCCTAGCGTTGGGGGAGGGCGGTGGGGGGAGGGGCATCATGTGGGCCTTGTCGCGGGAATTCTGCCGTGTGGGGAGCGAGGGGAGCGGTGTGGTGGTTGCGAGCAAGAGGTGGCTGCAGAGGCAGTGGTAGGTGTAGACTGTGTTTGAGGCCTGGAGGGAGATCTTCTCCTCTGCTGTGGGAGAGGGCATGGCGAAGTAGGCGCGCGAGGATGTGGCGATATCCATGATGGCTTGTTGGGTGTTGGATTTGGTGTGCGTCGAGTTGTGGGTGAAGTTGTTGTTGGTGTGTTGGGGAAAGACGAAGGTTCTAGGTTATATATGACTCGACGGTAAGTCGAATTTCGGTACGGAAAGGTGAATTTCGGTACGGTCTAGGCTGAACCGTGGAACTTGTGTTGCTGGTTTTCGGATTGGAAATCGGCCTTTGAATTGTGGATGTGGAATGCTGTGGAAATACAAGTCCGACGAGAAAATCCGCTCTCTTGTACTCGTTTAGAGGCGATTGAAACACGTGCGTCCACTCCGATACGTTTTGCGCCGACAAGACAATTTCCAAGCGCTTAGGCAAAGATCTGTGGGATTGTCTGTCTGAGATCGACCGCCGAGACAAAAATCGCAGCCGTGTTGGGAAATACGTGTGTGGTCTTGATAGAAGCTTCGAAGGATAGTGATTGTTTGAAATGCAGTCAGTACTCGAAACTCGATACTGCGGCCAAGATATGTAGTGTGCGTGTAGTGGGCTCCAGTTATCGGATACGGAACGTCCCTCGGGAATCCTTCTGGGTCAGGGAAAGCAGAGAACTGAAAAGCGGAGCAAAAGATGTGTAAAAGGGTCCACAGCGTCCACAGAGAGATCCACAAAAGCTGGATAGAAGATAAGCTGGCGTGAGAGTAGAGGTCAGTCTTGCCCAACAGGTCCTCTGTCTGGAGGATGACGATTTATACTGGAACGTGGAATGAGGCGTAGGCCACTCATCACGCAACAACTGGATATGTTGACATCGAACAACCCCACGGTGAAGATCCCACGATAGTGACGCGAGACCAGGCAAACGAATGAATTGCGAGCGTTGAGCCACGCGCGACGAACATGTGACACCCCCATATCGGGCCGAGATTTGCATGGAAGGCTGCAGGGAAGGTTCCGCAATTGGTTTCGGGTTTTATCGTCCGGCGAATTACATGAATCCAGATCTGGTAAATCGGCCTTGGCGCCGTATCCGCCTCATTTGCAACGGTGACGATACCTGGGCGGGAGAGTCGGAGACACGAAATACGCGACATCAAACACGAGACAGGAGGTATGCCGCTGGCAAAAGATGTTGTCAAGTTTGGCACCTTTGTGGTGACGAATCAGGTTTGTAGACTCTTGCCTCAAAGTCGGTGGGCGTCACTGCTGCCTGTGACATGGCGGACGGAGACAGAGTTGACACGCTTAGGTCTTCCACCTGACGCGTCTCTCTTTCGCCGTCGTCAATCTCAAGCCACTCCTGCCGGGTCATGTACTGGTATCACCGCGTCGGGTCGTGCCGCGCTTCAACGATCTCTCAGCCGCTGAAGTCCAAGATCTGTTCCTGACTGTGCAACGAGTATCTCGCATGGTCGAGCGCGTATTCAACGCTTCATCTCTGAACATAGCCATACAAGATGGCGCAGACGCAGGCCAGAGCGTACCACACGTACATGCTCACATCATTCCCCGGAAGAAGGATGACCTTGAGGAGAAGGGAGGAACTGATGCAATTTACGAGATGATGGAGGGCGAGGAGGGTGATTTGAACAGGCAACTGAGGGCGAAAGAGAAGGCTGCAGAAGCTGATGTTGCGGAGGACCAGACGAGAGGACACTTCCCCGCAGTCGACAATGACAGTCGAAAACCGAGGAGTGATGAGGAAATGCTAAAGGAAGCAGAATGGTTGGCAGAAGAGATTGCCAAAGACGAGCAAGCGCAAGGAAGTCGTACAGAGGATAGTCAGTGAGCATTGTTCGTCGACTGCGGAAAATATTCTATTTTGATTGCATTACAACTACAGCCACTTGACCTTGCTACGGGAGCATACAAGGAATAACTTGCCTGACACTAGTTGTTGTCGCCGATGCGGCCTCAGACATTTGGTTCATGCTTATACTCGAACCAGTGAACAGAGTGGATTCCCATGACCGTCAGAATCTTCTCTTTCTAATCACGGCCTTTCCCATTGGTTCCACCATATTTTGGAACACTATTTCGTTTTGTCTTCGGTTCCCAACTATGTCTTCTCCAAGCAATAATACTTTAAACACTTCGTATAGTCTTTTCTTGTCTCCCCACAACTTGACAACTCTTTTCACCCCTGATCACTTTCACCGCGCTGAACTGCATCCAAGCCCAAGTTCAGGCCCGCCTGCTCTCCCCGATACAATTGAAGCTGAGTAGTCAAGACCAGGAGCTGAGGACAACTCAACCAACAACATGTCTACTGCCGATAAACCTATCGACTTGACCAACGCCCCCAACGAGGTCGAATTGGTAGGTAAACTAGGGAGCAGTCGTGACAAGCCAATCATTCTCGATCATGAGGAAGTTGAAGACCTCCCTCGATCATCTCCTGGACCGAGTTCTAGTCAATTCCACCGTTTTCTGGATCTTCCCGCCGAGCTTCGCATGGAAGTCTACAAGTTAATGATTCCACACGATCTGATAATATCGTTCCAACAAACAATCATAGATGAGAATGATCCGGACGGGTTCGTCATCGTAAGCGAGACAAAGAAGAGCAAGAACGGTCATCACAACAGCGTGGTTCAACCCAATCGCTGGCACTACCCGGCACAAACGCAGTTATTCCGGGTCAACAAATTCGTCTCGAACGAAGCGCAAGGTACATCTCTCCACATATACTGATACATCCTCAAACTAACATGCCCAGCAATCCTATACACCTCAAACACATACCTCTTCATCATAAACAGCCAAGCTCACTCCCCCCTCTCCCTCCGCTCCCCCCAAATCTTCGGCCTCTGGAGCCACCCCACACACCTCCCCCTCCTCCGCAACCTCCCCACCATCCACCTATCCATCTCCCTAGACCACTCCCCCGGCGTCGAGCACTGGACCGTCACCCGCCAACGCGCCCGCCTAGCCTACTTCGTCGAGATCCTGAACCAGCACGCCAACGACAAGACCCGAAAGTCCCTCCTCCAACACCTAGTCATAAACGTATCGTGCATCGCGTCCGCACGCCACAACCCTAAGACCCCGTCCCCACCGCTACCACTACCCTCCATCCCTGTGGAGAAATTCATGTTCGCCCTCGAGAGCCTAGCTGCGCTGCGTGGTGTGCAGAACGTGCAGATCACGGGCGTGCCGGACTGGTTCGCGCGGTGTTTGCAGCTGTGCATTCGGGGCAGGGGAGGGGATGTGAGGGAGGTGGTTTGGCCGGTTGTTGAAGTCGTGCGTAAGCGCGGGGTTTATAGGAAGGCGAGGACGAAATGGGTTACTACACGTAAGTGGTATCAGCCTATGTTGGATTGGAGGGAGTTTGCTCAACGCAATGGTGTTGTGATGCCGGATGGTGTTGATGCGTTGTGGGATGGGGGGCGGTGAAGAAGGGCTGGTGGCTTGTCGGTGTGGGTGGTAGGGATATCTGTCTTGGGTTCTGGTCTTTGCCATGGGGTTATCTTCTCACACGGTATTTCTTGTTGTGCTTTGAGACGATGTGGTGATGGCTTTGTGGGGACTGAGGAGATGGTTGCATATTACGGGGTTGCACTCGACGAGATCTGGATATGTCCCATGTCATGTTCAGGGAAGATCTTATATGGTTAACAACATACATATAATATCGCTTGGGTTGGTGACCGTCATCCAATCTTGCCCGATCTCATGCAATAGCTATACAAGTCCAATTCATCTCATACACTCATCTTCATCGCAATAGCCCCATGCGGTTTGTATCCTACGACTTCAAAATCCTCCGCCTTCCACCCGTCAATACTCCCCCCACTCTCCCTCCCAATCTTCAGTGTCGGGAAGTCGCGTGGTTCCCGCTGCAACTGTACGTTTAGCGCATCCACATGGTCAAGATAAACATGCGCGTCGCCCATAGTATGTGTAAAGGTGCCGGGTGTCAGATCGCACACATGGGCCAGCATGTGCGTCAACAGGGCATAACTCGCGATATTGAAAGGGACGCCGAGCCCCATGTCGCAGGATCGTTGGTAGAGCAGCGAGTGCAACACGCCCCGTGGTTTCGCAGTGGCACCCTCTGCTTGCTTGGGGAAGGAGACGTAGAACTGCGCGAACATGTGGCAGGGCGGGAGAGCCATCTGGGTAAGATCCGCGGGATTCCATGCACTCAGGATGATGCGTCGGTCATACGGTTTGTTCCTCAACTTGTCGATGACTTCGGCAAGTTGGTCTACACCTTCCCCTGTGTAATCGTGCGCATGTCCCTTGTATTCTGCGCCGAAATGTCGCCATTGGAAGCCGTACACAGGCCCCAGATCCCCCTCCTCGTGATGCGACAAGCCCACGCTATCGAGGAACGCCCGGCTGCCGTTGCCGTCCCAGATCTTGATGCCGGCGTCGGCGAGCGGTTTCGAGGATGTGCTGCCTGCGATGAACCAGAGAAGTTCGCCGACTACGGCGCGGAGGAAGACGCGTTTTGTTGTTAGGAGCGGAAGGATGAGTTCTGGTGGGCTGGTGGGGTCGGAGGGGCTGGACGGTCTGGACAGGGCGAATTTTAACTGTGGGGGCGCGAAGATGGAGGTTGTGCCGGTGCCGGTGCGGTCGGGGCGGTGCTCGCCATTTTCAAGGATATCGCGGATGAGGTTGAGGTATTGGTATTCTTCGTGGGAGGGGTCGCTGGGCGTGGTGGTGGGCTTCGAGGCGCTGGTTGTTGCGGCTTCTTTAGGGGTCGAATGGGAGATTACTGACTCGAGAACTGAGGAAGACATAGCGAGGATTTAAAGGTCCAATGTAACTGTTGTTGAAAGGTTTTTAGAAGAGCAGACTGGGAAAACTATTCCAGTCGCGAAACGCGTCAGGGCTCGGGAAGGCGCGACTGCGTAATGTGTAGTTGCCGTTTCCCGTACCGAGTCTAACCACTTCGGCTCTCACCGCAAAACATCAACCCCAACACTCAATCAACGAAATGGCGGAAGAACAGGCTGCTCATCATCTACTCAATGTTCTAGAAGAGAGATGCTTGAATGTCGATCTTGACAAGGTTCTCTTGGGCTTCGAGAACGGAGATACCAAGAACGAGGCTGCGGCATGGGTAGACGAATATTTGCATGAAGACACATTGTTGACCAAGGAGGAACTGGAATTGTATGTCTTGTTATTCGAAAATCTGAAATTGCACTGACCTGGAAGACAGGTATCAGACACTACAGAAAAAGGGACTACTACACCAATATGAGACCGATGGCGAGCCCACCCGTCCCATCTTGGATCACGACATCTCCTCAGCAATCCACTCGCTGCAAAGCTCAACAGCAGCAATTGAAGAACAGTGCAAAGTCCTTGAGGCTCAGAAAAGTGCTTTAGTGAAATTGAAAGCTCTCAACAAGCCAAATATTGATGCCGAGCACGCGAAGAACGAGCGGAGGAGGAAAGAGGGGCAAGAGAAGGCTAGGTTAGACGTTACTGTGAGTCTTGTGGTTATAATCTTGTTTGTGTTATACTAATCACCGTAGGTTGACGATGTCGTCACGACAATCACCGACCAATTGACAGACATCCAACGAGAGATTGACACGGACAAGTCTACCATGAAGAGCTACCTAACAGAACGTTTCACCTCAGATGATCAAATTCTCAGTCGCTTACCAGGAATTGTCTCTCAGGTCCTGACTGAAGTCGAAGTTAGTGAAGACGAGAAGTCGATTGAGCAGTGGTGCAAGGCCATCATTGCCTTTCGGACAGCAACAATTAAGGCTCGAGTGGGCACCGTGTACATGAACAGTCTGTCGAGTTACTCACCAAAGGACGTTCCGGATGTATCAGAAGACGAGCTTGAAGAACAAAAGACAGCGTTGCAGGCTGAGATGGACGAATTGCACTCGGAGATCGCATCGGTTGCTGAAATGGTCGTTGAGCATGAGCTGAGGAAGCCCCTGACTGAGATCAAAGAGCGAGGGGATAGAGAGAGGACGCAGGCTCGGGCAGCTTGGCTCAACTATGTATGTATCATGACACGTCACATGGAGTGTCCGCTAATATTTGTAGGTTCTGTCAACACTCAACTATATGGGGAAACGCCTCGACACAGTCACAACCCAAACCAAAGATATCGATGAGTTCCAACATGCAGTCACACATATCAACAATGAAGCCTCGAAGCGCATGCCAGATATTCATACAGAGGCGAAGACACCCACACGTAGCAGGACAGGATCCGGTCCGCTGCTGTCACTTACACCAGGCCCAAAATTTAAGCCCGCGAAGTTCCTAGAGCTCCCAGTAGCGCTACAGGACGCACTCCGCCACGCAGACATCTCATTCATCAAAAACAAGATTGAAACACTGCAAGACCTCTTGGTCAAAACGCAGAAGGAGCGTGCGAATCAATTGCAGGACCACTATACCTCCACCTCGACGTCTACGCATGAGAAGCTGGCTGAGCGGTTGAGCAAAGCAGACGGCGACTTGAGGGTCATTTTGGATGTTTTGTACAAGCACACGTCCTTCCAGCAAGTCAAGTTGTCGAATCCGGACTTGGAGGAGGAGTTGCAGCGGATGGCGGTTGAACTGGAAGAAAAGGACAGCGAGCTGTTGGAAGCTGAAGGCAGTGAGTTGAGTTTGAGCGATCCGAAGGTGAGGGCCTTTATCGCAAAGTATGGGAAGTAGACGGGCGTATGTTGCGTTCATATGTGATGGGGAAGATTCAAAATGTATCGGATGATTTTGTTGTCATGCCATCTGGCTATTATGTGATGGTAAACATGCGGGTCTTACGTAAAGAATCATGTGACATATACACGCAACAGTTATCTGTTGTTCGAAGCTGTGCGATGCATCAGGCTTCGACAAGAGTCTTTATGGAAATGTATGTATAAGAGATGTAGATCTTGTATCTCTAACTGTATTTTCCTGGATTGCTTAACGTTGCTTGTTTTTGGGTTTACCTTCCAGAGAACGTGCCTCATGGGCGCTACTTGGTCTGTTCAGTTGGACTGAATTGGCACAAGCTAGACACGAGTCGGGCAGCAAACATAGTCTGCTCAGGTAGACACAACAAACAACACAGTCGAAGGATGCAACGGTTCAGGGAAGGTGACGGCACGCTCAGGAGCAACCTCGGGCAGATTCACGAGGCGCGTTCATGCTAGAGCCGCGATTGGCCTAGCCACCAATGCAACTATCCTAGCTAGGCGCTCCCCAACCTCCTGTGTTCGACAACAAAGCAACAACCTCGTCTCCACCTCCACAGCCGACCAGACCTGTGCGGGATGCTCGTACCAGGTGTCTGCAGCTCCCCAGGCAATCACATCATCAATTGAACTCTCACCCAGGCCGCTCCTTCCAATCCTGACGCTCTTCCCCACCCGGCCGCTGCTTCACGTGTTGTTGTCAGCTCCTGACATCGCGAGCTGAGGCTGAACCACCACCCACCATGGCCAAGGGAGAAATCATCACCATCGGCAGCGCTGCCGCTGCGATCGGCGGCGCCTACAAACTCGGACAATTCTTAATGAAAGCGAAGCACCTCAAGGATGTTGGTCCCTCGAATGCTGTTTACGTGCGCCTGATCGGGCGCGTGCGCTCCGACCTCGACGAAGTGCGACGCCTGCTCTCTGTGCGCGAGGTCCACGACGCGCTCGAGTCCAACATGGACAAGTCCAAGTGGGTGTACGGCTGCATGCGCGATGTGCGCGGCGCCCTGGAAAACATCTCGCCGCACACGGAGCGCGTCGCCTCGGACATTGACGACGGCCGCCGCGTTGGAGTCCGCCACCGCGTCTACTGGCTCCTCAGCGAAAAGGAGAAGCTGGAAAACCGGGAGAAAGAGCTGTTCGTTGCGCACACGAGTCTGTGCGAAGTCATCGGTTACCTGGCCGGACTGGAGCCCGTCAAGGGCGCGCACAAGCCCGAGAAGGAGGAGAAGAAGGAGAAGAAAGAGAAACACGTCGACGTCGACGTCGAAGTCAAGCGCGACGCGCCCCATACCGTTACCGAGCGCATTGTCGACAGGGAAGTCTGGATCGAGCGGGATGCTCCACCCAGGCGTGCTGAGGAGCGCGACATGCACATGGAGCGCAACCACCAAGGCCCTCCTCGCTATGACGAACGCGACGTCCATCACGATGAGCGTGGCCCCCGCTACCACGATGAGCGTGGCCCCCGCTACCACGAGGAGCGTGGCCCCCGCTACCACGAGGAGCGTGACGTCCACATCCATCGTGGCGGCGATCCCCGTTATGAGGAGCGTGACATCCATATCCGCCGTGATGTCGAGCCCCGCTACGACGCCCAGTACGACGACCGCTACGAGCACCACGAACAGCACGAGCACCGCGCCCCCCACCCCGAGGAGAGGCAGCCCCATGGTCGTGCGCCCTTCCCGCAACCTCTGGGTCGCCATTCCGAGACTTTTGAGGACCGTGTCCCCGAGCGCGACACGTGGATGCAGAACCGCCCGCAGTACGCAGAGTACGGCGCCCCGCAACCCATCGGTGCCGCGCAGTTCCATCGTAGGTTCCATGGCGATCCTGGGTTTGGCGACGAAGCGATTATTAATCCGCAAGTAGTCCCGCCGAACCCGGACTACGCACAGCGCGAGGTGAGTCGGAAGCCCTTTTACTGAAACGGGCATTGGCAGGCAGGGAAGAAGATGGGGCTAATCGCTTCGCAGATGTGGATTGAGGAGAAGGAGGATTATCGCTTTGATCAGTATGGAAATCGTTTGCCGGATCGCTTGTTTCAGCCAATCTCTAGGCCGAATCGTACTCGTTTGTAGATGACCCCCGATTGATTGATGGATGCAAGCACGTTGGATGTAATGAGTTTTTTTGTATTTTGTATGCTATGCCCCCAATCCCCGACCATTACTTGTTTACCCAGTACCCCTTATTATAGCTTATCGAAATCTTCTTCTTGCGCAAAATCTTAATCTTGGATGCGTTGTTAATCTGCTTTATTCATATGCGTGATATTTTGAGTATTCGTCCAACCCCTACCTACATCTAACTCATTTCGTCACCACATTACGAATTGCACTGTGTAAGGCGTGCTTAGTCCCACAAGACTGGATTACAGCGCTTGTCGCTGTATTCCTCCCAATACACCTGCCTCGCTCGCAATCTTTTCTTAAACACTCACACATTCCACATCTCTGCGTTCCGCCAGCATGATCATCGCCCGGGACAAAATTAGCCATCTCGACTAGGAAACAATGCGACACGACGATAGCCGACTTAACAAAGGGGCTTTCGAGGGGAAGCGTACAATCGCCCCTCAAACCCAGACAATGGATTCGGTGCCTTTGTTACTTTTCCTCGCGCTCGTGTCCTTGTTGTCCTTTATCTACGTTGCATCTCCATGCGGTCGAGTATCACGGCTTTATTAGCTATTAGAGATGTTCACTGCAGTGGGACCTCGCATCCCTCTTTCTTCTTAGTTATTGTCTGGCCATTAATTCAGCACAGCAGAATTTGCTAATATCACTTAATCAATATGGCGGACATACAGTCAATCCCCACAGACGGGCCTTCATCCCCAATACCAACTGGTCAAACGACGGACCAGACACCAGATCAAAAGGTTGTTGAAGACTGGCTGGAGAACAAACTATACACCGAATATGCGACAATTGAGCCCAAAGCATATTCTCGCAAATTATACGCACTCAGAATGGGCCAATTTCTAGATATCCTGCGCACCGCCGGACCGAAAAGCTGGCTATATGAAGACGCTATCAACATGTCTCTCGCCCTGCTCACCAACATCCCAAGCCGTAGGGACTGCTTCTTCTTGCCTAGTTTCGATGCGCAGATGCTCTGCCAGCTGGGCCTTGGAGTCGTTGGGATTGATGGTCTTTACCCGGAGATTGGACAGAGTCTCAGGGACGCAGACAAGAGGTGGATCATCATCCCTTGCAATGATGGGATGTTGGGAAATCTGTTCGACATACCGGTAGGCGAGGACGGAAAGATTTGGGAAATGGGAAAACAGAGGCCGGCTAAGGAGGATCCACAACACCTAGGAAAACAGCGACCGACAAAAGAGGATCCGAAAAAACAAAACGCGGTGAGGAGGCCTTTGGGTGAGGGCGAGCATTGGGGCTTGATGATTATTGACAAACGCGAGGAAACAGCCCGCTGGCTCGACAGTGCCGTCAGTCTTAAAGAGCAAATCAAAAATGGGAAGAAAGTCACATCCATCTCCGAGATGTTCAACGCAGGCAGGGCTGCGGGAAAGGTGCTGCGTGGTTATGACAAGCTGCTTGGTCGCAAGCCTGGCCAGTTCACAGTAAGCACTATTAAATGGAGTGCGCATCAAACCTACGATAACACGACAGTAGGTGACCGTGGTGCGTGTGGTCCATGGATGTATGCTTGCCTGAAGCATATCTACGAGACACCTGGAGCGTTGGATGATGTTAACGCGCACTTCAAGCGGGGAAGTAGGGTATCAGGAGTATTTGGCAGGGGGGGGAAGGGCTTCAATTCGAAGAGGACGCGGGAGGATATTGTCAAGCAGATCCGTCTCAAGCAAGAAGAAAAGGAGAAGCGAGAAGAACTGGGCCTGGGGTTGAAACCAGAAATCATTAAGATTCTCGGGCTCGGCGTATCGTTGCCAGACTTGTTTGCAGCTGTCAAACGACATCAATCCGTTCAAGAGGAAGAAGTTGAGGATGAGGGTCTTGCGCTAAAACTGCAGCAAGCGCATGATAAGCTCCAAGAGTATCAACCGCAATGGCAGGCGGCACTTGCAGAGGGTGTATTCGACGGGGATCTATCGGGCTACGTAAAGATGTTGAAGGTGCAGGAACAAATACTGGGAGATGCAGAGCATAATGGGGACAGCGAGGAAACTCCGATCACATACACAAGGGTGAGTATTGGAGATGTTTTATACGTCGTCCCCAATGATGACGAACAGTTCTGGGAGACACAAGACGAAAGCTGGTCAGATGATGATATACCAGATTTTGCGCGCATGCCGAAGAAGGAGTTGCGGGAGTGGGAAGCGCTGCACCCAAAGATCGCAAAAGCAAAGGGGAAACGAGGCGAGGGACATACACATGCCACATCACGCGCTATGTTGCAAGCAAAGTTCAAGGAGACTTTCCTGAGGGAGCCGGATGCGAATTTCCGCGACGTGTGGGTTCGTGATCATACGGTCTTTGATAAACACATAACCTATACTGTCCCGCAGATCAGGTATGAGATTATGAATAAGTATGAACCCAAGACGCTCGAGCGGCTCGAGAAGTACGCACAGTCGGCCACCAGCACGGGTTCCGGGACTGTGATCAACCACGCGACGACCACGCCGCCGCCTCGAACCCATCAGAGCGCGATTATCCACCCCCACGATATCGACATGGTACCCAGAGACTTTGCCGACGAGCAAGAAGTCGACGAGCCCGCCCTCGCGAAATGGAAAGAAGCCAATGAACACCACTTTGAGGAAATGAAACTTCGTGAAGAAGGGACAGGGGACCACATTTCATTCCGAGCCGCGCTTCAAGCACTATCTGGGTCGAGTTTTACCGATGAATCTGACGCACGACTACGAACGATTTGGATCCGGGATGGATTTGCTCTGGATGAGGGGTTTAGGGCGCAGGATGTTGCGGATCTGGATTTTGCGGCGATGAGGATCAGGCTGTGGGATGTTTATGAGAGGTTCAGGTTGGACGGGTCTGAAGGGTTGCCGGATTCAGATTCAGATTCAGATGGTGACGGTGATGACAGTAATGACGATGTCGATGTCGATTCACCCGAGGAAGACAGCCCTGATGCGAACCCAAAGAAAGGAGAGGGCAGTAAAAAGCGACCGTATGAGCCCGAGGAGGGGGAAGAAGAAGATGGGCATACTACCAAGAAACAGAAACACGGTGATGAATCCGAACAGTCGCATACGAACGGACCCAAAACCAAGGAGAAGAAACGGGTGGTCGCATACCCTAAAGGCTTCACAAAGAACACACTACCCGAGCTTGCGAGCCTGCAAAGCAAACAGCTCCCAATCTTGATGACAGTCAACAAAGACTTATTTGATGGCCACTCGACGAGTTGATCCCTACTGGAAAAGCTGGGCAGTTCATGTTGGTTGGCATGTGGCGGCTATGGGAAGAAAGACAAAGACTGTACAAGTACACAAGGGGTATTGTTCTAACAAAGCAGATTTTGACGTTGGGATCAAGGCTCAAAGTAGAGCAGCATAACTTGTTCTTCAACATTACATAGTTCTAATTATACTGGTGGGGTTTCAAACATGTTCTTCTGAAGTTGTTTTATTCCTCTCCCTCTGCATTGAAGACATTAGTAATAGTTGTAGTCCTCTTGCTAAGGAGAGCAATGTAGTAGAAGATAAAAGCAACCAATTGGACATGTTCTCTTGCAGGCTAGCCCTGGAGAAACTTCGTTGTCGTTATATGTGAGACGTAGCAAGCTTGTCAAGTCGGAAGAGCTGGGCGTTAAAGAAAGCCCTGTCAGTCTTGTGGACTTGTGCACCCCAAATCTCTTGTCAAGCTCAAGGCGCCGCAAGACATCTCCATCTTCTGGGTAGAAGGCATCACTGTCGCGCCAAGTGTTACCCTCCGTTTCCTCCCACCATCTAACTAGGTCCTTAGAAATCTCACTGGAGATATCTAAAGTACTACACTAGTACTAGCGGTTACTTGCGTTAATCCTTTGCTCGTTAGTTTACTGCAAGACGCAGCGTAGGAACTCCTGGGCTGCCTTAATAGGGTCGTGTTGTCGGTTAGCCATGATATTGGTTGTGGAGAAAGATGAGATGGATGGATGGATGAAGGTTTTAACTCTTGAGAAGAGTTTTCCCGACTTAACCACGGTTCGCGACCCAAGGCTGAACTAAACTTCAATCACTGCCTAGCTCTCAAACACGCGTCTGCATTAGTACATTTAGCAACTAGTTGTTAAGAGATAGCTTATCAGCCCTCTAGTATTATTATAGTATATCCTTACTAATGTTTATTGTGTGCAAAGGGGCTGGATATCAGCTTCTACACTAAGTTACTATACTAGAGTCTTACTGTGTTGCGTCCATCTGCTTATGCAACAGGCATGAATACGCTAAAAACCCAATATAATGCCTAGATTTTAAGCTGTATACGCCTTGCGTACATCTTAACAAATTGCAATTGTATAGTTTTGCAGCTTGTAGGGGCTACAAAGAATGTAACTTACTTCCTGCTTTTGCAGTTAATTAAGAGGCAAGAAGTGTAAGAACTGGATCTGCAATTTTTTTGAAAATCATACCTAGATTTGTGCAACTAGATCTTCGAAACAAATTCAAGACCAAGAAAAGGACCATCTGATTCGCTCACTGTCCGCACAGGATGACAATTTGTCTCCAAGCACAAGTATTGCGCATTCACTACAAGTGACCAATTAATCAATAAAAGCTTTGATTTGACCGAAGCTATAAACCAGTCCAAGCAGCAGACCCCTTCGTCCAACCACGAGAACAAGAAGCAAAGATAAATTCACACCATGAGCCTCAGCATAGCACACGGCAGAAACAAGGACTCCCAGTAAACCCCCACTCTCGAACCGCGAGAGGTAACTCCATCCAGCGCCACGCCCAAAGCACAATCTAACAAGACAACTTTTCAACCCAGCACAACAAGCCTACGCATCCTGCATCGAAGCCACATGTTTCTCCTCGGCCTCACTCTGTCTCGCGACAGCAAAACTCTTGCGAACCTCCATATCCGCCCTCGTCTTCGTCATGAGCGCATCGCGAATATCCTGTTTCGAGCGGCCCTGCCAGTCCTCGAAGTTCTTCTGGCTGAGGGGCCAGATGGGCATATTGGTGGGTCTCTTCATGAAGGTGTTTGTGGTGGGGGCGGGCTGTGCGGTGATGGTGTCAATGTCCATTTCGAGTTCCTCGCAGTAGGCTTCGAGGGGGAGGTCGTTGACGTCGTTGCCGAAGGGGTTTTCGATTTCGCGCCCGATGGCTGCGAGCCCGATGATGATGTAGGCGGCGAAAATGCACCCGGGGATTGTGATCCAGCGGAGGTCGTCCCAGAGTTGGAAGGGTAGCATCATTACGTAGACCCAGGTGATTTGCGAGATGGCGATGGAGTAGGCGATGGGGAGGGGGGTTTGGAGTACGCGATCCATCCCGATGAGGACTTCGTTGAGCTGGACAATGCTGGTGACTGTGATGTGTTAGTCTGAGCAAGTGATTTATGGGAAAGTGTGGCGACTTACTGGCTTGGTTTTGGTACAGACCGATGTTGAGCGTGTCGTTGCTGATGAGGCTGTGCACATACATGGACAGATGGTTCAGGATCTCGAGAGGCAGGTTACCAAGGGGCTTCTTGGAGCGCTTGATCCTCTTGCGGGGGTTCGACTCGGCAAACGTAACACCGAGGTACTCCCCGACTGCCTTCGCCTTGCCAGACTCTTTGGGCTTGGGGATGTCGATTTCTGCTGCTTTGGCGAACGTGTCCAGGTACTCGACGCGATCATAGAGATCAGGGTAGTTGATACCAGGCTCAAAACGGACCTTGTGCTTGAGAGCGGAAGCGTATGCGTTGATCAGATTCATCGCGGACCTGCATTCCATATATTAGCAAAAGGGTCTTGATCCTGTTGAAATCAAACACTTACAGCTTAGCAAGCAGATCCTCCTTGCCCAACTCGCCATCACGCTCAGAAGCGTGAATCCAGATTGTGCGTGCCAAGTTCTGGCTGAGGAAGATCAACTGACTCCAGTATTTTCTCCCCTCGGTGTAACGCTCGTATGCGGAACTCGTGCGGAAAGAGATGGCAAGACCAACGACGAAACCCAAAACAGTGAGCAAAAGGTTGTTGACTTTGAGCTCTGTGCCGCTGAACTCCGAAATGCAGGTAATGGCCGTTGACCAAAGAGCCACGACTGTCAAGGGGACGATCATCTTGGGGAAGACGGAGCCGTGCATGCGCAAGAAGAAGGGCCATTTTGAGTGCTTAGAGATATCGCGAGGACCAACCTGCTGCTGTTAGAAGTCTGCTGTGTGGTTATATCTTGAAATGTAACATACAAAGTAGTCATGCCCTTCTAAACTCTTCACTGTGTGCCTTCGGGAGACTGGCTTGTATGTGACTGTCCGGTGTCGCCACGAACGGGGGGACAGGGGAGCATCGTCATTATCCCGGTTGCTTCCGCTGGTACTTGGGATCTCGATTTCGGGGCGAAGAGTCCGGTTGCTGGTGGTGATGGAGGACGCCATTTCGAAGTCGTCGTGTGGCATATGGGGTGAAGCAACAACTGTCCAGCAGTATGTATAGTGGTGTGACAAGTATCCGAAAACGACAGACTATTGGTAGAGGTCGGAATCGACAAGACGGGATAAGATGTGTATGTGTATATGAACTCTGAGCAGTATAACGACAGTGCGGAAAGTCAAGGAAAGAGGATGATGCCAACAGCAAACCAAACACAATCGAACAACCGATTTCACAAAGGCAGCAGGGCCCATGCTATATATGTAACGCGCGGTCCCTGGCAAGCACAGCACAAAAATTCCTCGACACATGTCCCCGGCGACTCGCTCGCGGCCCACGGGGTGTCCCGCTCGTGTCACTGATACAGATCGGGATGTGGCAGCCAAGGGTCAAACGGTGTCGTAAGCGGCCCCTGCATGCCAACCCATCTTCCCCTGAAGAGGGCGTCGCGGTCTGGCCAATTGCCGGTGGAGACGTTCAAGCCCTGCGACAAATGATGAAGGAGGCGCTTTACGAGGCGGCAAGGGCTTGCACTGCATGAAACATATGCGCGCCCCGCCAAGGCCGGGTTAGTTGTGCTCGTTGGTATAGAATTTGCTAGGTAGGAAGTATATTTAGCTGCCAACGACGTTGCTCGCCACTCTGCTAGCGAAAGCATCGGTCGCCGCGATACGGGATAGGGACCAATTTTTTGACAATTAGAGTACCAAATTTGCTGAACGAGGCGAAGCAAAGTGTGCATAAAAATGTTGAAAAACGCGTAGGCGTTGAATTAGCTGACCGATCGGTGCGGGTGGCGGCGTGTGCGTGCCGAGTCGGAGGCGGCGGCGGCGGCTGGAAATGGCTTTGTTGGCCGCGGAATTAAGCCAAGGAATATAAAAAAGGCGCGGCCTCGGGAAGGAAAACGCTTGGCTGGAGATCGTGGAGCTCTTTCGGAAGACTACCGTACCTATTTTGCGAGCGACACGTCTTTCGCCTCGGGGTCTAGAAACTGCTCGGCAAGAGAAGAACACTCGTTCGACTTCGGTAGAGAGGCCGGGGCGATCAGGGGGAGGAGTGCAGACGACCAAAACGTTCAGCGACTCTGTCCAAGACATCGATGCATGACTCGCCACACGACTTCCTCTCCAGGGGAAATGTTCGCGTGCAGCCGAGACGTTGTGGAAATGAAGCAAGGGATGGCCCTGCAGCTGTGAAAGGTAACTCGTCGCGCAAGCACCTCAGCATTCTCGATGAAACATGAAGAAAAAATACTATAACCTTCTGCTGACCGCTCATTGATTGGAGACGAAGGTGCATATATTGTCAGACTAGGATTCGCTCATGTATATTTCTCTATCAACCAGCCTCTACAGGTTTCAATCTAATCGTTTCAAGATCACCGTCTTACCTATTACATCTACGCATGTAATCTAGAAGGCGTCCCGAGGGACTGCTCATCGACAGCTGTCGATTTTTGATTAATGTCTCTTGCCAGCCTTGCTATTCGTCGCTTGGAACGAAATTCCAAGTCCATGTGGAAATTTGTCTATTCAACAGTCAACCCCGCTCAAGGCGTAGACTACATCGAGTAGTAGTTTGGGATTTTCTTCACAAGCAAAAGATGATGATGGCTTTTTGCATAACTGTTGTAGAAGCACTGTTGCTATTGCTGCTGTTGGTGTTTATTTGCAGTAGATATGCTACGCACCACTCCACACCTCGCCGCCATGTCTCACAGGCACAATCCACACAACACAATATTTACTTCAAACCTACCACCCAACCCTCGCAGCAATCCTCCTCCTCTCCGCCTGCCCCCTCTCCAACTCCCCACGAATCTCCCTCCACCTCCCCCCCTCCCCATCAACACAAACCCTCACCCTCCCAATCCGCTCAAGTAACACCCCATAGAACCCCCCCTTAAACTCATCGCCCGCCCAGATCTTATTCCACACGTCGACCAGCTCACGCGCCACAGATTGCGGATGCACCATACCCTCACCGGGGGCATTCGCAGGAAAATCTTCCTTTAGAAACTTTGCGGAACACGGCGGAATGACATTCAGCACGAGGTCGTCGATAAGAATATGTGACGTCTGCGCGGATGGCGGACACATGGTGCGATCGCGGTCGAAGAGGCGTTTCAGCGCGGCGCAAACCGCCCACGACGTGCGCTCAGGCCCGGCGTGATTGCCGAGCCACTTCGCGCTGCGGTCACCAGAGAGGCGGATGTCGATGCATAGGAGCTGGATAGTCGTTGTAGTAGCAGAACTCGGATTCGTCTTACCCAGCACTCTATGCGGGGCGGTGAGATACCTGTACCCGCCCATCATCCTATCCGTCCACGTTGGCGTCTTGCCCTCCACAGCCAAACATCGCGCTGTTTTGACCAGCGGGATGGAAAGCCACGTGAAATAGTGGAAGCTCTCGTCGTGGGCGAGGCAGTCTAGGGTAGCGGCTAGGAGGCTTTTTCTCCGTGCGCGCTCGATGGCTTGGGTCATTTCGTCGTGGACTTGTCGGCTGCTTACTAGGAAGCTTGCGCATGTGTTTGGGGCGGCACTGAGGGAGAAGGTACAGCCCCATTCGCCGCGGTGGATGCTGCTCGGCTCCCAGACACGCGTCCAGTTGGATATGGATTGCGTGTCGTGGAGTGTGGGCTTGGGCCGCGTGTTGGTGAGGAGCGCGGTGTATACCATATCCCGTAGCTCGCGGGGGAGTGAAAGGAAGCCCGGCATGCTAGATGGTGGTTGCTTGCTTTCGTGTAGAAATGCAAGACCGGTATTCCGATTTCGACAGTCTCTAAGACTATGACTTCTCGTCCGAGTAAACCGCAGAATAGTATATCGCTGTGCTCGTCAAACACATCGGTCGGTGTTGATAATGCCGCGTGACCTGGCTTGGTCTGCTTGGACCACTCCCCACCCCGAAGAAAGATTACCGCGATCTTAGATAATAGAACCGAGTCTACATACTCCTCGTCCGCTCTTCCCTTCTTTTCCTTCTCGCTCTTACGTGCCTCAACGTTACACGCAAGCGCATACGCGTCTCAAGAACCGATATCGGGAAAGCTAACAACTGCGAAAGATCATCAGAATACTACGAAGAGTGGTCAGAATGTTGGACTAAGAGTGATGATGGGAAGCTGATGGATACATGGATCCGAATGTAGTAAGCAGGACAGAAAATCGTCATGTCGTCATGCTCAACGGTCCGATCCAGTCAGTCCGATCGCGATGCGCTCGACACGTCGCATGTATCAATGAACCTTAACTGCACTCCAAAATACTTGCTTCGTCGAATGTGAACTCAATTCAAGTCCACGTGATTGTGGCATTTCTTGAAGCACTCAGTAAAAAATGGTAATAGTTGTAGAGGGGTGAAGCAACATCTGATTATATCTCACATTTCAACGCTATCATACAATTCATCTCCTCCATATGCTGTGACAGCAATCATGACATGGCGCTCCTGCCTCCTCGTGGAGGACTCGTTAATGACGACATTGAGAAAAGTCGTACATGGGTAATAAAACAAACGCTAACAGAGAAGAGAAGGCCGTAGAAGAGAGGTATAGGTACAAGATGATCAAACACATGGACAGAAAATGTACAAGTCTAGAGACTCCCAACCGAGACCATGATCGTGACCAAATGCAAGACGCCTGCTTTTTGACCAAGAAAACAAACACCAAGAGGAATAACGAAACGAAGATTCAGAGATCAAAGCATCTATGGCTTCTTCTCACCCTCCTCCTCAGGCTTGGGCTGCTCGCTCTGGTTCTGGCTCTCGTTGCGGGCCTTGTGCATCTGGTCGAAGAGGCTCAAGCTGGCGTTCTGGAGCTCGTCGGTCTTCTCCTTGATCTCAGCAGCGGTGGCGCTGCCCTCACCAGCCTGGCTCTGGGAGATGAACTCGCGCATAGCGGAGATCTTCTCCTTGATCTTCTCAGCCTCGGTCTTGTCGAGGCGGTCCTCGAACTCCTTGAGGGCCTTCTCAGTGTCGTTGACAACGCTGTCAGCGCGGTTGGCAGCCTCAATGGCGTTCTTGCGCTCCTTGTCGGACTCAGCGTACTGCTCCGAATCGCGAACCATGTTCTCAATCTCGGAATCGGAGAGACCGGAGCCGGAGGCAATGGTGATAGACTGGTCCTTGTTGGTGGACTTGTCCTTGGCGTGAACGTGGACAATGGAGTCAGCGTCAATGTCGAAGGTGACCTCGACCTGGGGAACACCACGGTGAGCAGGGGGGATGCCAACAAGCTGGAAGTTGCCTAGAAGCTTGTTGTCACGGACGAGCTCACGCTCTCCCTGGTAAACCTTGATCTCGACAGCGCTCTGGAAGTCAGCGGCAGTGGAGAAGACCTGGGACTTCTTGGTGGGGATAGTGGTGTTGCGGTTGATCAGACGGGTGAAAACACCACCGAGAGTCTCGATACCAAGGGACAGAGGAGTGACATCGAGCAGGAGGAGGTCGGTAACCTCACCAGCCAAAACAGCACCCTGGATAGCAGCACCAATAGCGACGGCCTCGTCGGGGTTAACAGACTTGGCAGGGTCACGGCCAAAGATGCTCTTGACGGACTCGGTGACCTTGGGCATACGGGTCATGCCACCAACGAGAATGACCTCGTTGATGTCCTTGGCCTGGAGGTTGGCGTCCTTGAGAGCCTTGCGGACGGGGTCGACGGTCCTGCTGATGAGCGGGTCCATCATCTTCTCGAGCTGGGAGCGGGTGAGCTTGGTGTTGATGTGCTTGGGTCCAGATGCGTCGGCAGTGATGAAGGGCAGGTTGATGTCGGTCTGGGCAGAGGAAGACAGCTCAATCTTGGCCTTCTCAGCAGCCTCACGGATACGCTGGATAGCCATGCGGTCGCTGTTTAGGTCGATGCCCTGCTCCTTCTTGAACTGCTGGACGAGGTGGCGGACGAGGGTGATGTCGAAGTCTTCTCCGCCGAGATGAGTATCACCGTTGGTGGACTTGACCTCGAAGACACCGCTCTGAATCTCGAGAATGGAGATATCGAAAGTACCACCTCCCAAATCGTAGACAGCAACAACGTTGTCGGTGGCCTTGTCAAGACCGTAGGCGAGGGCGGCGGCAGTAGGCTCGTTGACGACACGGAGGACGTTCAGACCGGCGATTTGACCGGCGTCCTTGGTGGCCTGACGCTGAGAGTCGTTGAAGTAGGCGGGGACAGTGACGACGGCGTTCTTGACGCTCTTGCCCATGAAGGACTCGGCGGTCTCCTTCATCTTGCCGAGGACGAAGCCACCGACCTGCGAGGGCGAGTACTTCTGGCCCTGGGCCTCGAGCCAGGCATCGCCGTTGGTGTGCTGGACGATCTTGTAGGGCACCTGCTGGATGTCCTTCTGGACCTCACTGTCGGTGAACTTGCGGCCGATGAGACGCTTGGTCGCGAAGAGCGTGTTTTCGGGGTTGACGACGGCCTGGCGCTTGGCGGCAATACCGACAAGGCGCTCGCCTTCTTTTGTGAAGCCAACGACGGATGGTGTTGTGCGGCCACCTGGGGGTGGTGTTAGCATAGGCGTCTGGTGGGGGGATGGACGGTGCACGTACCCTCGGAGTTCTCAATGATGCGCGGTGTCTTGCCCTCCATGACGGCGACGGCCGAGTTGGTTGTACCCAAATCGATACCGATGACGGAGCCCTGGACCTTCTCGTCGGCGTATCCTCGCACGAGCTTGGAGGCCATGGCGGGCCTGAAGGCGGGCGCACGCTGGGCAGCTGAAGCCGCACGCGGCAACTGATGACGGAATTAGTTTTTGGTCGAGTAGGTCTTGAATGTGCACAACTCACAGCGCGTGATAATCTTGAGGACAGCATTGTCAATGTGTGTTAGGTGCTGCTGAGGGAGATGGAGCAACAGGCAAAAAGACTGGGGAGGCAATTGATGGGAGGGAGGATGGTTATATGATGGCGATGAACGGAGCTTTGACAAAAGAGAAATTTTGGGAGAAACTTCTAGCAACCAGGCTTGGCGGACCAGTCCAGAGTCGCCGCCCGAGGTCCCGCGAGCCGAGTCTGTGCTTATACACGGAGGGGCAATGGACGATGCAATGCGGCTCGCTGCTGCAGACAGGGAGGCGATTTTGAATCTGCTACCGAATGCCTGGATGACGCGTTGATGGTTGTGACAGAGGGCCGTTGCGGAAATGGCCTTGGCAGACGCATTGCCTGGAGCTTGCGTGTGGGGAAATGCTCAGAGCATCTTGAAGCTGTGCCACGACGCTGCTGTCCCTGCCCACCTGTTCGCCTCGCCGTTGCTCCCCTCGTAGAAGAAGACGCGCTTTACCCGTTGACAACTGTCTTTCCACCGTGTTGGCCCACTATTCGCCTCCAACCTAGGATTCAAGCATCAGATTGGACCCTCGTGACGTCGCATAGCCTCACGCACTGCACCACCACGCAGAGACATGCACATCTGGCCGACCTGATCGCAAACCATGGCCGTCGACGACTTTCTGTTTGCGCCCCTGTTGGAACATGTCGCCATGCACAGACTGACTTGAGCAGGAGTCGAGACACGGACGCCCTTGTGTTGCCTTCCAAGTCGTACTATCCCACCAAGATCCCTATCGCGTGAGACTCTCGCCGTAAAGTGCTTCTGGATGGTGTGCTGACAGACGCAGACACTACCAGCTACGCCACTTCATCAGCTCCCCCGAGCCCGACCTCGTCTACTATGCAAGCGGCGCCGACATCTACTGCCTCAATGCAGCCACACGGACACAGGCGCACGTAACGACTCTGCCTTGGGAGGCGCGCTGCACTGCGTCAGGTCACGGCTATGTGTGTGTTGGCGGGGCAGACCACGGCAACTTTGCCGCCATCAAGCTCACTGGCTATCCTCCCACCGACTCGGCTGACGTCGACGCTTCGCTGCCTCTGGACTTTGAACACCGTCTGCCTCGACCGCCCGTGCTAGGCGCTGCACATCGCATACGCCTCGAGAAGATTGGCGAAGACATTGTCAACTCCATAACAATACACAAGTTCTCCACCGACGACTATGGCCGTGATGAAGTGGTGGCTGTCCTCACCAACAACGACAAGACCGTGCGTGTATACTCTTTGATCCAGAACCTGGAGTTGACCGTGCTGGATCTACCCTTTGCCATGAACCATGCCTCGATCTCCCCCGATGGACAGTATCTGGTTGCCGTGGGCGACTCCCCCGCGGGCTTCTTCTACGAACGGACCAAAACACAGCAGAGGTCCAGCAGCGCGAAGATGCCAGAAGGGCCAACTCAATACACACCCCCAGAGTGGCAACTGCTTGAGCAGATAAGCCTCTACCGCCCGGCGAACACGACCTGTGACGGTTACTTCACAACAGCATGGTCGCCCGCAGGCCGTCTTTGCGCGTTGGGATCCGAGTGTGGGTACATCACCGTCTTTGACATGGATCTGCTGAGACTGGTCGAGTATGGCGAAGATGCAATTGTACAGCTGATCAGCTCGACAAGGCCAGATGTGCTGGCCGGCGCTGGTGCAGTGAGGACCATGTATTTCTCACCAGCTCCTTGGGATCTCCTCGTCTGGAGCGAGGACCAAGGTAGAGTATGTGTAGCTGATCTCCGTTCGGGGTTGAAAGTGAAGCAAGTCCTCGGTCTGGACCCGAAAGAGGAGGGTATAGAGAAAGTTGAAATAGCCGACTTTGAGTTGACACTCAGTCCAGAGATGCATGAGCTGCGTAGGGAAGCAGACTTCATCCGCAGATATCGTCGTGCTCTGGACTCGGAAGGCACTGCGGCGGCCGTGAATGCTGCTAATGAGTACTTCGAGGCCGACACTGAGCGGCAAAGAGCCCATCGCCGGTTAGGAGTAGTTGAATCAGACAACGACCCACATGGCTTGACAGCCCACGAACGACAGGTCCTCGAGGCGCTGCGGACAACTAGACAACGCGAGGAAGCCTACGAGCAGGGCGTCACACCCCGCAGTATCAACTACACTACTTCGCGGTATAGCGATTCTACACGGTATGACACTTGGTTCCGGTTGACTTGCAGCGTCATGCTGACAACTATTTAGAGAAGCCAATCGTCGCGACCTTCCCCCTTCTATGCAGACATCCGATTACCACATGTCGGATCGATTCCGCCAACTAAACCGTTCCATCGCAGAAAGAACGGCACCACGTCGGCAGGCATCCATCGTTGTCTCTATCAACGAAGGCACAGTCAACGCCCCAAGCAACTTCCAAACAAACATCACCGATGCCGTCACCACACGCTCGCCAAACACCATCCCCGTGCACGCCCGTCGGGTGGCTAATGAGATCATGACGTCCACAGACGACGCCTGGCGCACCATTGAGGAAGCCCTGGCCAACCAAACGCGAATCAGCAACACCGCCCGCACCGCCACGTCTAACACCAACAACGCCACAAGCAGCAGCAGCAGTAACCCCACCGCTCCAGAGCTTCGCACTGAGCTTCGCCGTCTCCGCCAACTAACACAGATGCGCGAGCGTCTGAGGAGCGCGCGTGCAAGCCAGCCTCTAACTGAAACGTACGAGTTCAATCTTGGTCTGGGGCGGCCGAGTCGCACAATGCACCATGATCCAAGCCAGGGTGTGCGTACGGCGGGGCTCGCGATGAGCCAGGATGGGCGGACGCTGTATTGTGGGACGGAGGAAGGAATCTTTGAGTTCAAGATCAATATGCACGCCAGGAAGGGGTGTCCTGCTATCACGCTGAGATGAGATGGGGCAGCCTTAGGGAGGACTTTGGGTCAGATTGGGGGTGTTCTCTTCGATGTTGTGTTTGTACGACTACTTGATTCATGCCTCTGGGTTGCGTGTAACGGCGTCTGTGTTAGCGAGCATGTCGGCGTATTGTGGGTTGGGACTGGTACATCAAAATAGGGTAATGTTTCTAGTATAGGGACGGTGGCATACCCAAATATTTGGTATTCAAATCGATCATAGGAAATGGAAAAGTCTGTTTAATTAGGTGGTGTTGTTTCCTTGTCACAGCGCACCTGTGTTTGGATGGTTTGGGTGAATCTGGGGTAAAGGAACATAGCCGAGAACCAGGGCCGTTTGCCCATGCCGATGGTCGGAAGGCTGAGGCAAAAGTGCCGAATCAGAGTGTTTGAATATGGCGTAATTGCGGCCGTGACTCCCCACGTCAGGACTAACATGTCCAGATCTTCTTCACTTTTGTATTTCTTCTCCCACCTCCATTCTCGAACGTGATTTGCATCTATTCTTTGTTCGACTGCCTTGTTCAACCACCCACCACCTGCTCATCCACCCACCCTCACATTGGTGAATCGGATTTGCCCCAACGCCACCCACGACAAAGACCGCAAGCCGGACGCACAGCAACACAATGGCGGCAGAAAGCTCCAAGAAGGCGCCTCTCCCTCTCGACCTCGACGGCCACAACCTCCCGCCATCGCCCGCGCCGAGCACGCCCCGCAATGGCAGGAAGTACGCCCTCATGACGGAGCTCGTCTACACGGAGAGTACCGACCAGTACAATGCCAGCTCGGTGCCCATCTACCAGTCGGCCACGTTCAAGCAGGAGTCGGCCACGGGCGGCGGCGGCGAGTACGACTACACACGCTCGGGCAACCCCACACGCACACACCTTGAGCGCCATCTGGCCAAGATCATGAACGCTTCCCGCGCGCTTGTCGTCTCGTCAGGTATGGGCGCTCTCGACGTCATCACACGGCTGCTGCGCCCAGGCGACGAGGTGGTCACGGGCGACGACCTGTACGGCGGCTCCAACCGCCTGCTCAAGTACCTGTCGACGCACGGCGGGATTATCGTGCACCACGTCGACACGACGAACCCGGAGGCGGTGCGCGCCATCGTCAACAACAAGACGGCATTGGTGCTGCTTGAGACGCCGACAAACCCCCTCATCAAGATCTGCGACATTCCCGCCCTGGCCGCCATCGCCCACGCCGCGAACCCCACCGCCGTCGTCGCTGTAGACAACACCATGATGTCGCCTATGCTGCTCAACCCGCTGGACCTCGGCGCAGATGTCGTCTACGAGTCCGGGACGAAGTATCTCTCTGGCCACCACGACCTGATGGCTGGTGTTATCGCCGTCAACGACTCTGCCCTCGGCGACAGACTCTACTTCACCATCAACGCCTCTGGGTGCGGCCTCTCGCCATTCGACTCCTGGCTCCTCCTCCGCGGCATCAAGACTCTGGGTGTTCGCATGGAGAAGCAGCAGGCAAACGCAATGCGCGTGGCCTCCTTCCTCGAATCCCACGGCTTCAAGGTGCGCTACCCGGGTCTGAAATCACACCCTCAGTACGACCTGCACTGGAGCATGGCGCGTGGCGCAGGCGCCGTGCTGTCCTTTGAAACAGGAGATGTGCTAGTCAGCGAACGCATCGTAGAGAGTGCGCGACTGTGGGGGATCAGCGTGAGCTTCGGGTGTGTAAACTCGCTGATCAGCATGCCCTGCCGGATGAGCCACGCCAGCATCGACGAGAAGACGAGGAGGGAGAGGAACATGCCCGAGGACATCATCAGGCTGTGTGTCGGTATCGAAGACCCGGAGGATCTCGTGGATGACTTGAGTCGTGCTGTGAGTTTACCTTTTGTTACTATCTCTGAAGTGCCTGCTAACACGCATCCCAGCTCGTACAAGCCGGCGCCGTGAACATCACACGCGAGGGTTTCCAAGCTCTAAGCTCGCAGGAGGGCCAGACGCTCGACGCGCCCTCCACGACCGCTGAGTAAATTCCCGCCAGTGCGAAAAACACAAAATAGTCACCTCTGTTCCGGCTACTGCCGGATTAACGTGATCTCCTCTTTCATGCCTCACGACCGAAAAGAAAACTGCCTTTTTTCTCTTCTTCTTCTTCACAACTCTCTCTGACCCAGTCACCTCTGTCGCTGTCTAGAAAATGGTGGTAACGTGATACTTTGTCCGGTTAGCTTTGTTGGTGCGGGTTGCATACATGTATCTGTATAGATAGCGAGTCGGCGTTTTCAGCGCTGCGTTGGAGAATATGAATTACTATTGACATTATCCCTTCATTCTGGATAAACGCTGTGTGATGAACTTAGCCGCCCATATTCGAGGTTAGTCGGAGTATGAGGAATTAAGGTGCGGTGATATCGTGTAATAGCTTGACTATTACAACGGTGTTTTGTGTGGACATTTTGTGGTTAGGGATGTAACTGTATGCGCCTTACAGATATATTTTTTAATTTTACGCGTGTAGTTTTGCAGCTTACTTCCCGCTTGAACAGCTAACCAAAAGGCTGCCTACACACACATCGCTTGTAACCCAGACAGAACGCAGTTTAGCTAAATAACGAAAAAAAAAATATGAAAAAAATCTAAAAAAAAAAAACTTTTTACAGAACTCGCTGAAACGAAAATTCCCCAAAAATCGAGGTGATAGTCATCAAACTGGCAATAGACCCCCATCCAAGGTTATCCAAAAGATAACATACTCCCCTTGGTGTAGTTGGTTCATCACGTTCGACTGTAATTGCATATACTTGTAATCGAAAGGTCCCTGGTTCGATTCCGGGAGGGGAGATGAACTGTTCTTTTTTTGCGTTTGAATCCTTTGGAATGGGGCAAGGCGCCCGACGTAACGGCGGGGGGAGGCAATAGGGGGTTCTGTTACTTGGTCGAAATACCTGGGACTTGGAATTAAGCTGCAGTGAGTGAGGGAGGGTTTGCAATGGTTTGATGACTACATATATGTAAAGGATGGTGTGGAAGTTGTGGGACTTGGGTAGTTATTTGTATATGTCTGCCAGTGTGTTTTGTTATAGTAGTGTTTGGTTTTGCAGTGCGGGTTTGGGGGTTTCCTGCAAAGGGATGGAGCTTGATTCTGGGTATGTCGATTAATCGAGAGTGGGGATTGGTTGGTTGGTCGGTGGTTAGATCGTTTTTTTGTCTAGAGTTGTAGTTAGACTTGTGTTGTAATGATTTGGTGTGTTTTCTGGTTGTGCATTATGATGGATTTGTTGCTTTGCAAAGAATTGTACTTTTAATTGGTTATACTGTTTCGATGTTTCCTGCAATTGACCATAGGACAAAAATCAACTGCTCTGGTGGCGAGTCCAATGCAGACGCCAAAGAAACGCGACATGCTCTTGGCGCGACTGACCAGTGCACGCTAAACTTCGCATCCACGAAGCTCAAGCTCGAGTTCAAACAACCATCTCACCACCCCTCGACACGTGCCTCACGCGCCCACACCTCACAACATGGCCGCCCAAGCCGAAGCCGCCGACCCTCTCTGCAACCTGCGCCTCGCGATAAAAGCCAGCAACGACCCCATCCTCACCACCAGCGACAACGCCCCAGCCGCCTCGCTCGCCCACGCAACTCACATATCCTTCAACTTTGGCGATGCGCACCGCAGCTTCGATCTCACGGCGCCGACGCGCTTCGCCCCGGACAGCAAGCCCGTCGACCTGCGCAGCTGCTACTTTGCCTGGCTGAACAAAGACGCTGCCGTCCCGGACTACCTGGCAGCCGTCCAGCTGCTCAATGAGGAACTCCCCGGCGGCGCGGGTGGTAGCGTGCAGAACCTCACGTTTGCGCAGAAGATTGAGCTGGTTGCGTGGCTGAACGGCGAGACGGAGAGCAGTGATAGTATCGCTGCGATTGATGCTGGCGCGGCGAGCGCAGCAGCGGGGGACGCGGCGGCTATCGCAGGCGGGAAGGGCGTGCCTGTTGATCGCGATGGGGGGAAGATGGTGGACGGGCGGCTGCTGCAGATCTACGACGGGGAGCGGCGCATGGGCGACCACAACTCGGTGCTGCGAGGGACAAAGGCCATTGTAAGTCCAGCACGCGAAACACGGCGCAAAACCCACCTACTAACCCGTCGCAGGACTTCTCCCCCTACCGCCGCACAGCCCAGCAATTCCTCCGCTCCCGCCCCTCCTCCACATCGAAGCCCATCCCCGCCGCGCCCCTGACCACAACCCTCACCAAGCGGCCCGCCAAACGCCTCGAGCCCATCATCCTGCTCTCGCCCTCGGCCTCCTCCCTCCTGCGCACCAGCAACATAAAATCTTTCCTTGACGAGGGCGTCTTCGTGCCCGCCGACGCAGCCAACACCGCCTCGAACATGGTGCGCATCCAGCGCGTGCTGCCCAGCATCTCCTCGGCGCCCATCACCTTCATCCTCGTCGACTCGACCACGTCCTTCAAGCCCACGTACTGGTCGCGCGTCGTCGCCATCTTCACCACCGGCCAGACGTGGCAGTTCAAGGACTACAAGTACACGAACCCTGCTGAGCTGTTTGCGCACTATCCCGGTGTATATGTCGGGTGGCAGGGCGAGGAGCCCCCTGAGAATGTGGGGAATTTGGGCAGAGGCGTGCTGAGTGCTAAGGTGGATAAGTGGACGGGCAGCGAGAAGGGGAGGTGGAGGGATAGGGAGGTTGTGGAGAGGATTTGGGGGAGGGTTGAGGAGGGTATGCGGAGGGGCGCGTGGACGAAGGATGGGCCTGGGTTGGCGGGGCGGTAGAGATGTGTTTTAATAGAATGGGCGTTTGGGCGCTGCTGGGTTTCCGTCTCTTTGAGCTGTAGAGGAATTGAGGTGAGTTGAGAGGAAATCATGACTTTGTAAAAGCGTCAAGTCAGGAGCTGAATATTTGGACTAGCAAGCAATCATTCATAATCGTTGTATGATGTTGAGTGAGGCAAATCATCTATGTCACTCTTCTAGCAAACAAGGAACACCAAAGCACTCTCATGAGTTGAGTTGTATATTAAACATAAAAGAGTTTCTTGAAACTATGTATAGAAGTCTATCGTTATCGTCATCATATCCGTAAAAGGGTAATTACCATCCTTTCCAAAAAAAAAACCATTATCATCATCCGTAAATGCTGCCATGCCATGGCATGCAAGCAATGCAAACCCATATCGTCGTTAAATCGTCAAAACATATGCAAGAAAACGAAGAAGAACAAACCCGCTACACCCCAAACAAAAGCCGCCGCCCCAGGCACCAGAAGAAAAAAGGCGTATCAGGCAGGCCACCACCACCAACCCCCTAAACACCAATCGTACGCTGCACCCTCGCATCAAAAGGCGCCAACTCAACACCGCCATCCTCCGGCGCCTCATCACCATCACTCCGCACCAGCAAGCCCGCAGCCTCACACCCACTCTGCGCAAACGGCCTCACCAACCGATTCGCCACATCCGACGCATAGCACGGCGTGGGCCCAACGCCCAAATCCCCACCCTCAACATGCCCGCCGTTGTAAATCCGCGCCGCCCTATACCACACACCATCATCCTGGGTACCAACACCAGCACCAGCATCCTTAACACAGCTCTCCAGCGTCGTCCCCAGCCCGCTCGACGTACTAGTCCCCTCATGAATCATACGCGCAATCGTCTCCTCGGGGCACGGCACAACAGGCTCGCCATCGACGTTGCACGACGCGCGCCCCATGGCCGTCTGCATGAGTCCCGGGTTCGCGTGCTGCCAGAGGGTTGTCGGGGCGCGCACGCAGCCGCTGGACTCCTGCATGAGGATTGCGAGGATGAATTCCGCGGGGATGAGCGATGAGGCTGCTTCGTGGGCGATGCTGGATTTTATGGCGGCGGTTTCGCTGGCGTCGTTGTTGGGCCCGGAGGCGAGGGCTGTGCAGGAGTTTTGGATCGTGGGGAGGGAGGCGGTCCTAGGGGTGGTGGTGGTTAGTGGGTGGGTGGTGGGTGGGAAGGGGGAAGGGGGAGTGCGTACCAGGCTTCTTCGAAGGTTAGCCATTGGGTGCGGGTTGGCCAGCCGGCGGCGGGGGAGCCGTCGCCGCGGTAGGTGATGTAGGTGTTTTGTGCTGCTGGGGAGCGGGGGCGGATGGGGAGAGGAGCGGTTGAGGCGAGCGTGAAAATGCTGATCACAGCGAAGGCGAAGGTGGTGCAGATCATGGTTGTTCTGCTTGAGCTTGTGTGAGGGGTTCGACTATGATCTCCCTGGCGAGAGGTGAGGTGGATAGACTGATAAGTGAGGGAGAACTGATGGATAGTACACAGGCGACGAGTCTTGAGGCGAGAACTACTGATCTACAGACTGATCTCTTATGAGATTGTTGGATAGTAGTAAAAGGTAAGCGACTGATTATGATGTAAAGAAGGTCCTGCCTATCCGTCTTTATACAACAGCAACCACAGTCAAGGTAGGGATCTTTCCAGCGAAGCATCCGCACCGTCTTTGGGGCGAGAAACGCACCGACCCTTCAGTGTGGAGAGGACGAAACCGAGATACGCATGTGTTAGATCCGATCTGTACCAGTGGCTGTCCGTAATCCGTGCCGAGTTGCAGTGGCAAGCTGTATTAGGTGAACAGTCACTAACAAGGGCGGTATTTCTCCCACTAGTCCTTCGCTATAGCTAGCAAATGCTGAAAAGCAATGTAGTTGAGCATGGCGTAGTCATCCGGATCATGCTCAAGCGAAGCCGTTTTGGAAGCGTTCCTAGTACGTGTCTCGTATAGAAAGCTGGTTAATATGGTTGACCGCGCGTACCTGCAGGACTACTACCATAACGATAGGAGCCAAGCTTGTAGTCGAAGTTCACGGATGTTAGATTTGTAAGACATGTCAGTGCCCGGAAGCAGTATTGTCAGTAGGTCCACATGCCTGACAGGTTCGGAAAAAAGACATCACACCAGAATTTACGACCTGATGTAGAGAAAGTAGTTTTGAACGTGTGGACATGGATGCTTGGGAATACAGTCAGGTAGATGGGAGAGCAGATACTGTTCACTGAGTCTGATTGGTCGCAATGACGAGTTACTGGCTATCGAGAACATTTGAAAAGCATAACTATCATAACCCGTTAGTTACGTTTCTGAGATCTTACCCACAGCCTTCTCGATCAAGCCAATTTGTTCAGGTAGTCTCTGCTGCCTAAATTTTGACCAGAAGATCCGGTATGAGCATGACCGCGATGGCTGGTCCTATCACGAGTCTTGCCTCGGTGTTGAGCAGAAGATGAGATGGCTGGCGATATCGATAGTTCTGAGGTTCATGGAGTGGTTGGTGAGGTGGTTGGGAAGATATAGCCGGTATATGTATAGTTCCAGAAAACTAGGATGTTCTTTTTCCCCTTCCTTTTTGCTATTTTTTGCCGTTCTTTTTTCGTAGACTCTGTTGAAGTCGTGTTCCATCTCTTGGTATATTCAATAGTCTCTTTGACCTTTTCAGTTCGGAGTTTCTTGCCCGACAGTCTCCTGATATATTGTGTCCTCGGTGAGTGAGTATATTACATGTTTGTTCGGATATGTGACGTCCCATCATAGCTGAACGCCAAATCTGCGGATAAGCATGAAAAACGTTGATGTTAGCAAGGTATCCCCATCGAGCCGAACGTATCACCGATTGCCGTGCTCTTTGAGTGTAGGATAACGCGATGGCTGGGGTATAGTGTGGCCAAGTGTGATTTTGGCCATCTCGTATCTATATATAAGCGGCCAGAGTCCGATACTGCCACATGCGATTGTAGTCATATGACCCTTTGAAATGCCTTCGTCTCCTTTCACTACAATAGGTCTTGCAACGAATCTGCAGACCGCGTCAGTGAATATAGCTAATCAATATAGATTTATTGTCCCCAAATACCAACATATTACTATGATTGTCATTAATGATACTTTACAGTAACACCTATCAAACAAGCTCCCACCAAACAAAACCCAACGTCAACTAAACGTAATCTCGTCCATTCTCTTACGATACAGCCACTTCGGTTTCGCCACCCAACGCAATTTACTTGAACTCTGCAAATGCAAGCTCGTATGCCAACCCGAGGGTCAACTTCGCATGTTGAAGCATGTGGTCGAAGCTAAGATACTCGATCTTGTCTTCCGTCGTGTGAATCTTGTTATCCGAGTACTTGAAGTCAGACTCAATGACAAAAGCTGAAGGGTATCCGGCCTTGGAAGCGCTGGCGTGGTCGGAGCAGGCATAACCGCACTTGGTCAAAATGTACGGGATGTCGCAGTACTCGGTGATGACCTCTTTGATAAACTCGGTGAGGCCAGGGTCGACAAAGTCAGTGATGACGCCTACAGATTCTGGCTCGCCTGCGTCAAGTGTCTTCTGTACGTAGCCGGTCATGTCCTGCTGCAGCATTGCCTTCACATCTCGACCCTCCTTCTGGTATGTTTGGAAAATGGCCTGCGAGCCAAGAAGACCACCTTCTTCTGCAGAATACCAGTGGAACTCGACTGTGTTGGACGCCTCGCCCTCAAGAATGTCCTTGCTCTGAAGAAGTACGCGCAGGGCTTCAAGGATAGTGACGGTTCCACTTCCGTCGTCGTCTGCGCCTGGCGCAGCCAGGATGGAAGGGAGGAAGAGGTTGATGCTGTCCTGATGAGCACCGATGACAACCGTCTTCTCACTCTTGCCTGGAATCGTGGCAATAATGGATGCCTGTCCCCAGGGATGTGGGAATGCCTTCACAGACGCGTTGACAGCACCTGCGTCCGAAAGCGTACTTCTGACCTGCTCAAGAAGCCACGCTGAAGATTCCACTCCGTATTTGGACTTGTAGTATCGAGTGTGGAAAGCAGTAAACACCTCGAGGTGCTTGCGCATGTTCTCCTTCTCAAGCTTCTTGATGAGAGGGAAGACAGTTTCGTTGTGTGCAGTCTTCGAGGGGAAAGTCACTTTCTTGGCGCTGATCTCTGCGCTGAGAGTGCTCAAGTCTTCACTGTGAGTGATGTCGAAGAAGTTGATGTCTTGCTACAACAAGTCAGAAGTCTGCTTTCAACAGGCCTTCGCGCACTTAGGCGCGTCTTATCCAAGTACTAGATGGATACATACACGACGAAGCGCCCACTTCTCATCCTCAGTCACCCAACGCGTCTCACCCGGAGACAACTCAATGAGGTACTCATCGGGTTCATCGATAGTAACTTGTGGGTTCTGAAGCACCACCTGCGGGTTCTTCGGATGCGCGATAGCAGCAGCAAAAGATGCAGTGTAAAGCGATAGCAACAATGAGGACTTCATGACTGTTGATGGTGTTGGTGTAACTGTCGCAAGCTGAGTGGTATCGACGCGGTCGTCGGAGCTGGGCGTGAGCTACCCGAATCGAGACAGGCGCATATCGTCAACATCGTCATCGATCACGCGCAAGCACGCGTCGCGCCCGCCTCATTCCATCAGTATGCTAGACGTCTTGGGCCCCCAAGACTCCTGGGTGTCTTACTCAGCTGATTATTCTAATCCCCTTCTAACGTATAGCCCATGCTCTCCTTCATACTACCAAAGTTTTTAAATGTCTTGAAATGTGCAAGGAGACGACATATGTTTTGAACTTGGGAAGATCACTACAATACAACAGGACATGCAAAGAAATCCGAGAGATCGAAAATACGAAACCAATCCGCCAGAACCAAACTAAGCTCCTCCAGCTAACGTGACACGTACATTCCTACACAGAATCCGACGCAGAGTACGACCAATATCCACGGGTTCATCCAGACTCTGGCCGGACAGACGGGTCTGGATACACGCAGGACATGGACAACTGAATACTGTTTCGACTCATCCCTCTCCGCGTCACCTCTTTGCACTGACTCTTCGTGCACAGATTCACAGCGCGTGCTACTACCTGTGGAACGCTGCTCTCTCACATGTTGCTCCGGAAGCAAGAGCGAAGATGTGCCTGGCCACGTTAGCTCTCGTGTTGGTGCCGACATGACTTGCGTGGGTTTAACAGGATTAATCTCACGTCTAGTATGTCTTGTCACATCTTTCTCTACTCTTCGGAAGACCTCTCGTGGTCTTTGTTGTTTCATTTTGATCCAGTCGATCTGACGTATAGGCATGTTCGCTTCCTTGCAGGCTTTGACCAGTTCCTGGGCAAATTTCTCAATCTGATTTTTCGACAGTTCAGATTCTCGTAACGAGAATCGAAGCTTAATCCCGGCTTGTTCACGTGGCCGTGATAGAAGTGTTTTGTCCTCTGCGGCTGTCCGTTCCCCTAAAGGTGCCAGCTGCACGTGGCGTCCGTTATGATTGTCCAGACGATCATACAATTCTGAAGAGATCTCGCCTGGCTTGTTTATTTCGTTCTTGAGCTTGGTTGTTAGGAAATGCAGGCCCTTTCCATTGGCCAGTAACCCCTCCAATGAGTCTAATAAACGGGTTGTGAAGGAATCTGGCCCCGGTGCTCTGGTGGTTCCATCTCTTGGACAAGCAGCTAACAACTCATAGGTCCTGCGATCATCGGTTGTACTCTTATGAGAATTGCCAGCAAAACAACAATCGAGCAACACCAAAACGTCGGCTTCGGTTGATGGATCCAGGAGTGGTCGTTCAGCAAGATCCCAATATGCTGTAGCAGAGTATTGGCCATTTGTTGCCCTGTGAGCATTGGAAGTCCTGCACCGTAGTAAGCGCAGCGAACGCGGTAGATTTATCGATAATTTACGCTGATAACTCCAATCTCCCATTTCCATTCACAGGGCCTCTCAACAGGCCATGTCCAGTATAGTAAACAACTAAAAGATTGTTTTGACCATCGTGCTTGTCCATATGGCTGGCAATGGCTGAATTGAGAGTATTTTGAGGATTTTTAGTCGTTCCCAACCGTACTTCTGGACTAACTTCGAAGCGAAAATCATCCTGAAGTACTCTTCTCAGCCTTCTGATCTGTAAACTGTTAATACTAGATGTGGAGCTAAGCCTGTGAGAAAGCAGTTGTACATAACAAGCACGACGACAGAGAAATTCTACCAACCTCTTTATCATGGCCTTCCTTAAAGTCGTCAATCTCATCATCCCATCTAATGATCAACACGACTACCTTTGCATAACCGTTGGGTATGTCTAATTCGGCCTTCACAACGTTTTCGAAGCAGGTTGCGTACTCCGCCTCCTTCTCTTTCTCTCTCCCAACGTCATATGCCACGGTGACACAAGGCTCGGACATATCAACCTCTAAAGGTGACCCAAAATTGGGCTGTGTAAGGATGATCTTGCAAGCGTCTGCAGTGATCGCAAGACTCGGCTTTTCGATTTGCGTAACCATAGCTGAGGATACATGATAGGACACGCCCAGATATCTGGCCTTGCGCCTTCTTATAGCTCGAGGTACGCTTCAAGGCGTTTGCGAGCACGCAGATTGGAGGACTATGACGGCTGTGACTCTGTAGGCAGAATCACAGATTCGTTCTGCTTGACGCTGCAGGAAAGTATTGTCAGCCTCGTTGCCTGCTTTTGAGTGTAACACCCCATAAACGCCACCCGTATTGATTAGTAACTTGGCGAAGACCATTCACCCATTACAACCAATCAAATTCGAGTGTCACACACCCTCTTCACTGCAACTGTATATATGATCGAACGTATAAGTGGCGAGGTGAGGCTCAACTAATTCATGCCTTGTGGTTTTTAAGGCAACTGAAAGCAAAGTGCTCACCCGGCACAGGGCCACAATCACCAAGGCAACAGTCAAGTTACAAGGCTCAGCAAAAGTGTGCCTTACTTCCCCTGTCAGTAATCGCTATCATCACTTACAACACGAACTCTCGAGGCGTATCATCGATTTCTCCCAAGAAAAGATAGTGTAATGGCAGAAGAGGTAGGACGCCAACTTGCTCCTGGGCATTCGACTCATCCGAGGTACTCGTATTGACCAGATGGTTCAGTATCCAGACTACGAAGACAACACCAAGTCAGGATATGATTTTGGTATCAGCTCACGGCCGGTAAGTCCAGCTGAAGCCTTCATCATTCTCACTGGCGCTCACAATTCTCATCAGAGGGTTGCGCAATTCGAAATAGACGATGAGGTTAAGATGAAAGTTACATATAAAGATGATGACAGTGAAGAGATTACAGTGTGCAGACACTTTAAGATCCGAGCAAGTCAGCGGAATGCTCGTGGCCATTGGGAATACCAGCTGAACGACAGATTCACCGGTGCGCATTACAAAAGTAATGACTGGTTTTCAGAGTCTCACCTGGGATTGTTGTAGTAGAACTTGGCATACATGTTTGGCCTTGTGAGCAATGCCCTCGACAGCCTTGTACAATAAGGCTGTATAAATGTGCGGTCATGGCGAGAAATAAAAGAAGGCTTATCAAGAACCGCGAAAGTCCTCAGACCGATACATCCAATTCTTTTACTTTAGAGACGATTTGACTTTCACTACAATGGTTCCTGTAGCTACCCTGTCAGCGAACAGAAACAATGACGACCTCGAGAAACAACTGTCAAATAATAGACCAACTGCTTTGACAAACTCTACATTGGAGTGTACGATACTTGTTCAACTTGTGCCATAACTACTAACCTCGCCAGGTTTGGAGACTACATCGACCTTGACAAAAGAACAAAAGAAGATGGCCGCACTCGAGGCTGCAGAAGAAATCAACCACACGATAACTATACCTCGTAAGACACACACCCATCGACTAGAACCTGGATTGTCACTAAATCAACGTTCAGTGCAAGACTACCCCGTCGGGTATCCCCTTCAAGCAGCATTCCAATCCAGCGAACCCGGATTTTCCATCTACCGAGCATTCGACTACCTCCACTCGCGTGTGATCCTCGAAATGCAAGACGAGCTCCGTTGTCTAGAGGATAACCTCTCTCAACTGGACGCCGAGGACAACAACTCCCGACGTAACAAGTGCCTGATGTCCCGGGCGTCGGACGAAAAGCAAGCGAAGCGTGATAATAAACCATGCAGCGATCGTACAACGCTGCTATCCACGATCCGCGACAAACTCGTAAGCTACGACGAGGTGCTGATGAAAGCCAGAGAATTAAACGCCTTCCAACGCCCGAGCAAGAGGGACTACCGTAGCCTGAGACGTTGGTTCCGTAGTAAGGCGCCGTTGAACTACGAGCGCGAGGAGGAGTTCATCAAGAGGAAGGAGGACCTGATCACACTGAGACAGGGGCGGGAGTGGGCGGGGTTTGACGGCTGGATCGAAGAGTGCATTAACAAGCTGCCCAGTCGATTGTCAAAGGTGAACATCACACACCACACATCACTACAAAGTACCACACTGATTCTTTGACAGTACCTTTTCACTACCCCTGAGCTCCGCAAGAAGTCAGACGACCCCCTCATGTCATTCTACTCAATCTCTCGCATCGAGAAGCTCGCAAGTCTCATAATCACCTCTGTGATCTTCATCTTGCTCGTTTTGCCGGTCGTCGCTATGTATAAACCGACTTCTGTCGGCGGCCGTAACTCGACTTTCGATGCTGTTGGCATTCTTGTCGTCTTTACACTGTTGTTCTCGGCGGCCATGTCGCTGTTGACTATGGCTAAGAGGCACGAACTTTTTGCTGCCAGCGCGGCGTACTGTGCAGTTTTGGTCGTTTTCATCAGTAACTTCAGCAATGAAGGGGGAAAAGGATAGGTGCTCTCGATCAGTCGGAATACCCGGAACTAAGTAGGCTGCAGCGAGATCTTGCAACAGTTTGACAACTACATGTAAAACGACCGCAAAATTTCTGCGCCTTACGCGTTGTTTGCATACGTCTACTAGCATGTTTGTATTTGTAGTGCTTTTAGTCTTGTAATTTAGGATTGTTGTGTTGCTGCAAAAAACGGACCTTGATTCCGGGTATTTCGACTAACCGAGAGAGCTGGTAGAGACATTAACTGGGCTGGAAGAGGCTATCTTTGTCGTTAGTCTAGATTTAGGCTTTTATAGAATGGAGGGTATCTGTTTGTTCGTTCTAGAAAAAATAACTTGGTTCATACAGCTAAACCAACGTCTTGTTCCCCCTTCTCCTTAGCCCATGGTGTAACTATCATGGCTATGTTCAACCCTTGAAAGACATCCAGCCCTTGATATCGTTCAGATTCAGGACATATGGATCATTGAACACCTGTTTCAGCAGCTCCAGACTATTCCACTTTCCTCCATCGATGTATTCACCTGTCCAAATCATAAAGTACGCCCAGTCTGCCTGATACGCCTTCAGTTGTGCGGGTTGCATCATTGATCCAATCTCCGCTGCGGCAATAATTTTCGTGTCATTGGTGAGGGTGAGAAGGTTGTTGTACGTCGCAGATTGAGGCTGTATACGTCAGTAAGCAACACAGAGACAAGATGTGGAAAGGGGGAACTTACACCGTGGTCGCCTTCGGCATATGTATCAGCCGATACTATGTCAACTACGTCGTTTCCAGGATACCACGTCGGTGCGATCGAGTTCCAGACCCAAACCAAATTGTTCAGGCCATGCTTGACCGTCAACCTCTCATACATAATACGATACAGCTTCTTGGCCGGCTCTGGTCCCTGCGCCCCCCACCAAAACCACTTTCCCTCTGCTTCGTGAAGCGGTCGCCACAGTACGGTTACGCCCGAGGTCTGCAGTTTCTTTAGCTGCATAGCAATGGTGTCGATATCCTTCATCAGGAGTGTGTAGTTTGCGTTCGTCGTATCTTTCAAAGCGGTCGCGATATTGAAGTCTGAGGCATACGTGTAGAAACCCGAATACCATGGGGCCGTCTCGTTATCGTACAGACCCGCCGGTGCATTCCAATGCCAGGAGAACGTGACGATACCACCGCGTTTGTGGTGGGCGAGTGCCTTGAAGGTTTCATTGGAAGACGCACCATGGGCAATGCGGCCTTCAGTGTAGTCCATGAAATCGAGACCTAGGATCGCAGGCGTTTTGTTGACGTTGGCTTCTACCCACTCGAGACTGGTTTGGTCTTGTTGGCCACTGAGAATGTGCTTGCCGTAGATACTCCCTAGGTACCCCAACAGCGCCTTCGTAGTTGCTGACGCTTTTGAATTGACGGGCTTAGTTGTGATTTTGTGCGGACCGCGCGGTGTCGCTGGCACAAGGGTGATGGCATCGACAAGGTACCAGCCCCAGTTGCTCTGGATCTCAATGGTATTTGATCCCGCGTTCAGTAGGACTTGGCCTGCGCTGACTGTTGTCCAGTTTGTGGTTGCGGGGAGCGCAACTTGGGAGCCGCCAGCGCCATTGAGGACAACGAGGGTTTGTTTGTCGCCGTTGGGGCCGTTGTAGATAATATTCAAGTTATGGAGTTTTGCTTCTGTGGAGTTGACGGTAAAAGTGATTTTGTCGGTAGTATCAGAGAAACCCTCGACGTAACCAGAACCTGTTCATCACATATAAGTGTTTTATACAGAGACAAGGACCATGTATCTAGTACTGACCAGTGTATCCCGAAACGGCAGTAGCAGTAGTGACTCCGGAAAGGGCTGCTGACTCAGCCTGGAGCGTCACCGTTTGGGCGGCTGCCAAGCCGAAGCAAGCTGCAACAGTCAATACTCTTGCAAACATGATGGTAACGATTTGGAGAAAAAACTTCTACAAGTAAGGTGGTGTTGCGTCGATTTAAACCAAAAATATTTCAGGCCCATCAAACTCAAACCTCGGAACGAGAAGCCGTCCTTCCACAGTGCTCGAATGAAGGATATTTCACTAGGCGATCATACATCTTGGGAGACAAAACCATACTCTGGAGAACGATCCTACCGGGTATGCAGGTAGCGATGTGCAATATAAACAAATGAAGGGGATGCTATTAGCAGGGATGTCCACGGCCCCAATCGTGAAACTCATTATGTAAACACCCATGTGCTTAAGACAATATCCATTTTTGACATGTCTGAAGTGTGTCAATTGTTTCATAACGTGTACCTTGGCCATTCGGTTGTAGTCGAATGCCATCATCACCGGCTCTACTACTCCAAACAGTCCGGAACGTCTCACCTGGCGATCGAGGTCCGTACCAATTTAGGTTTTAGTGATCTGAGTAGAAAACGACCGGTAGCGACCTCAATACACTTTCACATGACTTCAAAAAACATCGTGCCATGGCTTGGCCGCCAAGTGAGGCAGTCCGATCGGCTTGGTACGGCAGAAGCCTTCCGCTTCTTCAAAGTCGCATTTAGCCCGACTTTACCAATTTCACAATATCATCGACTTCCTTTGGCGTCGGTGTAAGATTTTCAGATCCCTCTTCCGTGACCAGAATGTTATCTGCGGCACGTTAGCCTACATCACAACTTTTCAATAAGCAAAGAGAAACTCACCCTCAATTCTCACACCGCCAACGCTCCAATACTTCTCCAAAACCTTCTCGTCGATGAATTTCTTCTGCTCTTCATTCTTCAAATATGGCTCGATGATGAACCGACAGAAGTAGATCCCGGGCTCAACTGTAATCACACTCCTCGCAGGAAGCGTGCCCCTCACTCTCAGGTACCGGAACATGTTGTCCTTGTCCGCGTAATTCGCGTTACCGCCGGTATCGTGCGTGTCCATGCCCAGATAGTGACCGAGTCCATGAGGGAAAAAGGCCACACTCGTCCGTGCCTTGAACATCTCCTCTGCATCACCTCTCAAGATACCGAGTTTCAGAAGTCCTTGGATGGCGATCTTGTGAGCGAGTTCGTGAATCGAGTCCCAAACAACATCCGCCTTCAGTGCGTCTATGCACTGCTTCTGCATATCAAGGACGATGTTGTAAATTGCCAGACTCTCTTCTGTGAACGATCCCTTGATGGGAAATGTCCGCGTAATGTCAGAGGCGTAGCAGTCAACCTCGCATCCAGCGTCCAAAAGAAGTAGGTTTTGGTCCGCGATCGACGCGGCGTTATTGACATAGTGCAGTGTGGCTCCATTCTCGCCTGCTGCGACGATCGAGTGGTAGGCCTGGTTCTTTGCGTTGCGCTCCACACAGGACTTGAGGAAGACAGCTTCGAGTTCGCACTCATTCTTTGCTTTGGCAGCAGCTTTCATGACATTGACGTGTGCGTTTGTTGAGATGACGTTGGCCTTACGAATGAGTGCAATCTCGTAGTCAGACTTTGTAACTCGACAGTACTCGATGGCAGGCTTCAGTTCTTTGAGGTCTTTGTTCTTGTATGAGAGGAAGGTGATGTGATCCGAGATCTGCTCTGGGATGGCATAGATGGTCGACTGTGCTGATTCAGAGGAGCTGGCGATATGAGAGGCCACATCGTTGGTTGTCTTGCACTCGTCAATATCGTACTTAGCTTTTGCTTCCTCGACACTCATTGGCAGTCCGGACCAGATGACTTCATCAGGCTCAACCGGAGGAATGAAGAGAGTCAGTTTGTCACTGGCAATTTCATACGTAAGGTATGAATCCGGAAGCTCGCAGCCGCTAAGGTAGAAGAAGTAACGTCGCTGCCTGTTCAACCAGTGTCAACCATCATGCTCGAAACTGTGTTGAATCTGCATAGCCTCTTACCGGAAAGGTGCTTCACCATCATTATCCTGCAAAATCGTCAGCTTCAACTTGCATTTCCATGTCCTGCAGCCCATAGATATCGCATACTTCATTAAGCTTCAACTTCTGTGCCTCCAAGTAGATTGTCCCCTTCTCATCTCCTCCTTTTTCAATAATCCACTTCGCAACTTTCTTTGCGTGTGTCCTGGCAGGATACTTGCCCTTGAGCACATCTTCGTAGTTCTCCGCAATCGCCATTGTAGAACAAGTCACAGGAGATATTACTTCGTGAGGTAGCTTGCGGGTTGAGTACCGTCTAATGTGCTGGAGACTGTGAGGTAACCTGTGGCGCAAGCTTCTTTGGCCTAGTGACGCGTTGGTGTTACAAGAAGGTTGACAAAAGACGGAAGAAAGTGAGACGGTTCGCGGGATTAGCGGGAACACGCGTGAGAGCTTTGAGAAGCTGCACATGTGTTTGTTTGGTAGACACAAGACAGGCAGGTGGGGTCATGGTGGGGGTGGATTGTGACGTCGGCGGGTAGTCGCGGGTTTACGGTTCACGGTTCACGTATGAGGAAGGTGCATCCCAATGCTACACCTCCTTGAAGAAAAAGATCATTTCTGCTTGAGAACAGTCTCAAGTTGTGATTCACAAGTCATACATTAACCAGAGCTATGAATGCTATACAATATCAAGCCTCGACGTCGCATCACGACACCTCTGAAGTCTAAAATCAGACTTCCTGAAGATACATCAAGCCCCAAGCGCCTTCTATCTCGTCCAGCGAGACAACCTGCTCCATGTATACGCAATAACGACCCTTTGGACTGTCGCTCGTGACAAAGATCGAATAACAACCTTAGATGCAGATATCTAATCCTTCCAACGCGCAAGGAACTTTGCCATGTCGTCGGTCGCATGAGACGCTGCAGAGGCCTAGCAACAAAGTTAGCATGGACATACAATGACTAAGAACAGCATCCCCGCGAGGCCAACATACATCGTTCACCTTACTGCTAAAAGAAGCTGTCTGACTCATTGTGACTGTAGTTTGCACACTCGGAATCGGGAGCCTTGTCTTCGCAATAACAACGCTACTGGTAGGATACAACGGCTTCGTATTCTTCGCGGTGACCGTCTTGGGGGGTACAGGCTGCATAGGTGCATATCTCGTTGCACCCGTCTGCATAGTGTACTCGACGTCGAAGTTGCTGTCCGCAACAGCACTAGACACCGTGTTGTCGTCAGAGCTCACGGTGTTGTCTGTCGTCGCGGGACCAGAGGTGCCAGACACATCTTTCAGGGCAGTCTCAACTGCAGAAGTCCAGGTGCCGGTCATGCCTGAGTAGGAGAAGCGGTCCGAGTATGTAGTCAGTTCGCCGCCGAGTTTTCCGACTGCGATCATTTTAACGAAGCTGTTGCGCTTGGATTAGCTGAGTTGTTTTGCGAGAATACAGAAAGTCGTACTATGCATTGTCCGTGTCCTCTCCGACAGTTTTTGGAATCAGGACTGAAGCTTTGTTGCCGCCTACTGCGAAATTGCCAGCTGTCGTGATAGGGTACGTGACCTATGTTTGCAGATCAGCACTCTATCATCTTGATCTCATCCTCCCGTGTCCGGACTATGCCCTGCTCGTAGATCCCCCCAGGCTCTCACTCACCTGCACATCAGCTGTGTCTCCTCCCGCGCAGAGAAACAGCTGATAAGTCAACAGATTGGCGATAGTAGGCCCGGTGCCACCTTCTTCCCACTCCACTGAAATCGAGGTGCCCGCTGTCAACTTTGCGCTAGCTGCCGGAGTCTTGAACTTGATACCTGCGCTCACGAGTGGCAGCAAAGACGCGAAAGTAGCGAACGGGAGTAACAGGCGCACCATGGTGGCTAGTAGGTGAACGAGCGATTACGAAGCGGCGCGAAGGAGCGCGATGCGCGTGGACAACAGGTCTTGCGAAAAGATCAGTTCAGGCGTAAGAACAGCTCGTGGGATTATGCGGGGGCAGGTCGTAGTCGTGAGGGGCGTGAGGTCGTAGAGTTCGTTGAGTTGCGTTTGTTTGGTGATGCAAGCTTTCGAAGATCGCGCGAACGGATGTGGCGCCAGGGGCACGATCATCACTTCCGCATCCAAGTGACATGGGTGAAGGTTCACCGCAATTGCTTGCGAGTTGTATCGCATTGAATCGCAGCTTGGATGACTTGAGATTATTCCCTCAACTGGTGAGATAAACAATGATTCTTAGCCAATGAAAAAGCATGATAAAACATCATTCAAGAATACGGTTATCCACCGCAAAACATCAGCGCGCTCTGAACGTTGACGCGTCGACTCTATCTGATTGGCGAACCGTCCGCACAACACTCCAGGGCTTATACCTTCAGGCGAAAGGATGAAACCACCTACTTGCATGCAAACATGGGAACTGCGGATTGTAGGAATTTCAGAATGAACCCGTAACATAGTCAATTTTGGGTGTAGCATTTGTTCGGAAGCGCTCCATGCAGCTCCTTAGCTAACGACCCTGCTATCATTATACATGTGTTGTTGCACCGCCAACGCAAATGGGTATGCTACCCAAACACCTTTGGATGCTCAATGGATATCCCGCTTAAACCAAGCAAACAAAGACCAACGAAAAAATATCAGACGCTTTTATGCAACAAGCCCTGTCCGCATCTTCGGCTTCGCCAACTTAAGATGAAAATTCGACGGCAACCGGCTCGACATGGTAGCTGCCTGTCCTGCCTTTTGTAGCCTGACGGTCAGGTCCTTGAGCTTCTCTGGCGTGAAAATTTGAACGTCAAAGGAAAGCAGAAACTCAACGCAAAGCTCCAGTCGGCTGAGCGATGCCTCGTCCACGCCCCCAACAGCAGCAAAACGTTTTTGTGGCCACCTGTGGTCTTCTAGCGATTTCATGGCCACCAGTGCACAGGCGAGAATGAGTCGGTGCATCGTGCGGTAAGTGAGTGGGACGCTCTTGTCGATGACGCACAATCTCAAAATGTAGGAGCCAGCGGCGAGCCATACAGCAGTCGAGAGTGGACAGTATTTTTGAATACGGTTCATGTACTCTTCAACGCCCACCTTGGGAATTGATTTGGAAAAGAATTTTCGCGCCATGTTCGCCCGTTGTAAATACTCCGGTATTGCTCCGGCGCCAATATCGGTCCCAATCGTGGGCTCGTCATGACATGCTTCTGCCGATTCGAGTTCAGTGGGCTGATGCTGCTCTTTCTCTGCTGGAATGGGTGTCGCAGGCCTGGATGCCGTGCGTCTATGGCCTTTGAGATGAGGAAAATTCTCCTTCCCAGATGGGGTACCGGGACGTGAGAGCGGTGGTGTAGCAGGAACCTCACCCGCTGCATTTGCAATGGATATTATGGAGCGGGCAATCAATTTCATTGCGGTTTCTCGTGACATGGTAAGGACGTCCATGTCAACGTCATTCGCTGGTGGCGAAGGCGCATCCTGAATAGTGAGGTTTCCGAACTCTGGTAGTACGCCCGCATCTCCAGCTGGGTTTGGCGCCGAAGGAGGCTCCATTCTGGTCACAAGTGTGATAATCCGTGGATGCACGGTTTTAAGAGGAGGTGCCGAGTAACAGACTTGAATCATTTGGAGGCGTGTGAAGGGCTGGCCGAGACTGTCCGATACGCGTCAGGTGGAGAGTGGACAGCAGTTGATTGAGATGAAGTTTTCAAGTGACAACAGCCTATAGTCGAATCCTCTTTCTACTTGTTCATCTGTTGATGATGCGTTGAAGTTCGACTTTGTTCCGGGTGAAGCGACAATATGAGTTGATATGAATGAGTTAGGTGGGCTGGACGATCAGGGTTTGGTATAGGATTGATGGCAGAGGTTGATAATTTGTGATGGACCTTGTTGCTCAATGCGAGGCAGTAGATGGGGTTTATGAAGAGATACTCTAAGGTCGGAAATGACTGCCGAGCAAGAGGTATTTGATAGCGCAACCAAAGGAATCTCCCGTCTGCCTCAAAGGTCAAGTGACGCTAGGCAATTTGCTGTCTTTGCTCGAAGAACGCTCGTTTCCACGCGCGGTGGATCCACAGCTAGGGTACGTGCTGCTGTATTCGAGGCCACGCGGTAGCGTATTGGCGCTCAGAGAGCTGCTAGAGTGTTTGTAGCGCGATCCAGTGGGCGGGTTGGCGAGTCACAGGAATGGTACGTGGAGGATTGGTGGGTTTCGCAAGATCGAGGTGAGGCCCAAGGCGGGTCTCGTGGCAGAGGCTACTGCAAGACTTGCTGGCTCGACGGCCCGTGAGCAAGGCCAGGGCGGCAACTCAGGCTGCAAACGCAGATGTGCTCAACACAAACAACTCACTATGAAGTCGCGAAAGAAAGAGGATGGAACACACTAGAAGCCGTGATTGGCGGTTCACTAAGTAGGTCGACAAGCCCCTTGAGATGAGCACATCATGCGTCAACCTTGGCGGAAGAAGGTCCGGTCAAGTCGTGATGTGCATGCGGGGTGGACTGCATGCAGGGTCCAATACCCTGGGAAAAACACAGGAAGAACACCTGGTGGGCAGCTGGTCGAACCATGCGAAAGGTAGATCATGGTGGTGCCTGGTCTAGAAGTCGATCGTTAGTCTCTCCTGACAATGGCTCCAGTCGTTCGGCTTGCAAGTATGCTCTCGCCGTCTTTGACACCAAACACCGACCTCCATACACAGGCATCTTCTTCTCCATCATCGTGACACTACCGTACGGGACATCTACGCAAATAGCTGCATGCCAATACAGCCAATGCGCTCCTGACCAAACCAGGAAAGCCTATCAACCAGCCGCAATTTGCAGCGGCACACCCTCCCGCGGGACTCCCAAACCACAGACATGCATCGCGGGGTAGGGACGAGGTTGTGCAACCTCAGTGATCGCCCGTTTGGCAGCCAATCGTGATTACTTGATGCCAGATGATGGCTCCCGTCCTGCGGGACGCACCTCGTATTGTTCACGCAGCGCCGAGAGACTGCAACTTCCAATTCTCGTCACAAAGTACTTGTCAAAAGTCGGACCGAAGTGGTCTTGCGGAGAAATGATGAAAGTCACTACGAACTGACAGATGTCTTCGACTCCCGTCCCGCCTTGAACATCGAGATGCCACCCGCGACCAGTCCCGAGACTACGGAGAATCTCAAATAAGACAAGCACCTGACCAGATTAAGTCCAGGGACCGTTGCTTGTCAAAATAGATCATCAGCCACCGTCGATGGGGCCGTTAAAGTCTATCAGGCAGATATCCCGTACCTACTCCCCGAGCAAAGCCTGCCACGAGCTTTTGCCAGCCGAATATCCGTGGTCCAGTCTGAACGAGTCGATCTCCCGCCAGCCTCACATTCTATCTGTTGTCGTTCCCAACACTCACCACGTACTCGCAGACTTGACATGCTGTCCATACATCAAGACTTGGCTTGTGTAGCAGATCACGCGAATCTGACGCATCGCCTCTTTGACGTGGACTAAAACCTGCTTGTCTACTGTGGTCCCCTCCCAGAAGTTTAAGCCATTCGCCACGTAACGTTAGTGTAGAGATGCACTGTAAGCGAAAGTGGCGAATGGCTTAAACTTCTAGGGACCACAGTACGCGTGGAAGGCTTTCTGCGTCTACAACTAACCACTCGACGCATGATGCCCTCATCACCCGGAAAGCCGCTGGTCTAACAAAAGAGGGCAACTTTTGCTGCAGCGTCTTCTCAACAATACGCTCGTACCCCTGTAGCGCGATATCGTGATCGCACGTTCCTGCATGGGACATTGTACAGTACAGTACTCACGGCTCGACGTCACCGTCATGTCCGCATCACTATCAACCATGAATAGCAGCGAGATAATGTGATGCGGAACGTCGATCTGGCCAAGTTCTCTACTAATAAGGAGATGCACTATTCAGTAAAGCTTGTCAATGCTTCTTTGTCTATGCATGGTCTAGGTGCCGTTACATCCACGACAGAAGGTCGGCCCACACAAGCAGGTCAAGCGATGACTGTTTTAACTGGAATCGAGTTGACAGCATTCCGCAACGTGTCTGAACGATGTCCACCATATGCCACGACTCGATTGCAATTCCCACCATAATGCAGGGCAACGATCCGAGCGAGCCGAGTACTGGACGCGTTGCTCGGAAAACTTACCACACGATGAATGACCTGTACTGGTTTGACGACAGTTGTAGGAAAATACCTTTTCCAGGACTCAACCGAACGATCACAGGCACAAGCATCGTGCCATAGTTGCCCTCTCAAGGACAGTTTCGACGACTAAGAACTCAACTTCGGTTGGCATCGTTCTTCATACCGACGATCTTCTCCAGCATTTATCGAGTAGTCCTACTTGCCTTGAACGTCGTTTCATTGACTCTGATAAAAGACCTTCCTTCTCGCCCCGCCTTACAGACTCAAATCCTCCTAGTAAGATCCAGGGACCAAGAGCCTAGAAGGTTGGTCTTAGTCCTACCCCGAAAGGCTAAGAAAGCAACGAAGGTCTCGTATATGTTTTCCAGGACAAAGTCTCACCTAGCACTCTCATCACACATCAGAGACGTGTCAGCAGCAGCTGGCACAGCAATAACTCTTCAAATGGATTCACTTTGCACATACCCCAGCCCCAACCTACAGTAAAGGATAACGAGAAGCCTCTCAACAGTAGCTACTGCACATGATATAATGTTACATCTGGACAAATATTCACCCAAGCACCAAGATAGACAGGCGACACCGCTGTAACCTTGTCGTAGATAGCCAAAGCAGAGAAACCGAATCGCAAGGACAGCCCTAGGAAAGACATCCGTGCAGCGCCGAGTACCGCCTCTTGTCGAGCACGCCGGATTATGTTACAAATCCTGGCTATCCGCTCGCTGGACGCGGACCTCAACCTGCGAGTGTGGCTACAAAGATACTATCAGAACGTAGCCCTCCAAATGAGGCATAAGAAAGGAAAGAAAACCAAGCGCAAGGCAAAGCAAAGCAAAGAGCAAGACCAAGCATATGAATGCAGAAATTCTTTTCTTCCTCTCAACCACCTAGACTTGACTCACCCTAGCCCTCTTCCTAGTACTCCCAGGGACAACCGAAGGCCCGCTCCGAGTCGGATGCTCGTCGCCGCCGCGCCGGCTCTTCTCCTGCTGATCAAGCACCAACTGCAGCACGTCGTATGCGAAGCGGGGGAACTCGAGACACATGGAGCGGAACTCTGGCTCGGCGTCGTGGCGCAGCGAGTAGGAGCGCGTAGCCCAGAAAGCCGCGACGGGCTTGCGGATGGTCGCGTCCTCGGGGTTGGATTCCTTGTAGACGTAGCGTGCGTAGGCGAGCTCGCCCTTTGCCGTCGAGGCTGTGCGGTGGATCTTGGAGTGCGCGAGCGATTTCAGCTCGGGGAGCTGCAGGCGCTCGGCCAGTGTGTAGACGCGGGCGTGGACGAGGAGACCGAGGCCGTTGTCGTCGGTGGTGGGCTGGCGCGGGTCCTTCTCCAGGGGTGCGTCGCGCGCAGCGGAGGTCTTCTTGGGGAAGTACTCGCTGGTGTAGAGGTACTCGATGACGGAGCCCATGGCGTCGACATCGCAGTCAGTAAAGATAATCTGGCGAGCCTATCACGCGTCAACTAATGCGCTCAGTGACCAGACGCCGTTCTGCACATACTCCTCCAGGTGCGAATTGCTCAACCTGCTTGGCAAACTCGGGCGATTTGACAAGAACAGCCTCGTGCGCGGAGTAGGTGGTCTTGCTCTCTCCACTGCCAACAAGCACCTCAACGATCGGGCTCTTCATCAAGCTGGAGTCTGGTAAGCTGCATGTCCAACCCAGTACTCCCGCGATCCCAGTGAGATTGCTACCGCTCAATTGCGCCTCAGCGACGCCAATTGCGCGACGCGCATTCACAACTCCACACAGCCTGACCTCCAAACACAAGAAAAATCATCCACTCACTCAGCAAACAACACCAGCTTCGGCGCCTCGGGCTCAATCTCCGGCAACCCAGTCTCCTCCTCAGCCGCGCCCGCCGTCGCATCGCCCGCCCCGTCCCCCATCTCCACATCATCGACCGGCGTCTCCGCCACAGGCGTCTGGTTTCCCGTGTCCGCCATAATGATTGCGCGGTAGTCGTAGTCGTAGTCGTACGTAGTATTAGCGATAGCGGTGCTAAAGAAAGCGCGTAAAGCTATGCAAGTATATCGAAGCCTCACAAGCAGCCCAGCTAGCTAGCTAGCTACGCGACGCGATGAGCTTGAAACGCGGGGACTAGGGTGAACCACGCGGGAAGAGAGAGAAACGACAGTAGCAATTGATGCGCAATTCGCGTGCTGGCAGTTTTGCCTTGTTGGTGGACGAACAGATAGATGGCGTGGTGGTAGGTAGGTAGTGAGAGGTCGGGGGAGCTTGAGCTTTGAGCTTGAGCCACGCGCCCGCGTTTCTGCATGAACGAGGGTTCTCGGCTACCTAGATCTCGCGCTAGCTTTTCTCACGTGTGGAACGCGCGCCGCGCGGGCATGGAGAGTCGAGTACGAGGGAAAGGACATGCATATACATTGCAGAAGCTCAGTAGAAAAGATTGCGTAGCCACAGTAATATTTCGTGATTATACTCGATAAGTCAAATAGGTGGAGCGCTCCAGCCAACAAATGCCAAATTGGTATCCTGCATCCGCAACAACAGCAACAGCAACAGCAACGACAACGACAACAACGCCGATCCGAAGACGACCCCTCGCCTATTATGCCGCAATATCTAGAAGAAGAAGCAAAAGTAGTTATCCATCCCAGCGTAACAACATGCCCAAAAGCAATCCCTCTATTCCAACTCAGTGGATAACAAAAACGCCATATCGAGCCTCGCCACACCACAAACTACAACCGTCCGCCCTTCTCATGGAAGCGATCGCCCGTCGAAGGCGTCGGCTTCTCCGCCCTAATGACAAACAGCAGCAAGTCCTCGAGCGGGATGAAGACGTAGAAGATCTTATTGCATGCAAAGGAAAGTAAAACAAAGCACGTCGCGACCAGAGCGTCCATGAAGTAGTGGTTCGCCGTTGCTACGATGACGGTCAGGATGAAGGCGGGGTAGCCAATGCCGATGACCAGGTAGAAGATCTTCCAGAAAGCGTTTTTGCGCACTTCGCCGCGCTCCAGTGTGCGGCGGAAGAGGCCCGAGTGGTAGATTAGCGTCATGCCGATGATGAAGGAGTAGCCAAAGTGCATCGATGGCATCGCTGCGAGCTGGTTGACGTATTTGCCGCTCATCCACACGCTTTGCGCGTCGTCGTGGCGTACTGTGTCGAGGAACCCGTATTCGGTGGGGAGGAGGCGGGGCGGCATGCATGGGTAGAAGATGAATGTGACAAAGGCGCAGAAGTTGGTGAGTGTCAGTGTTCGACGGGCGACGGAAAAGGTGTCGAACGAGGGCGCGACGTAGTAGTACCAGCAAATGAAGCCTACTGTGCCGGGGATGTGAACCAGCGCATAGCACTTATTCAGCACCGTAAGCGCATCCTGATGGCCATGCATAAACCACTGCTGAATATCGACCTCGCGGACCGGAAAGAGAAAGCTCAGCAAGCCGTTTGCCTCAGCATCCAAGACCGCGATACCGTGATCTTGCGAAACATCCCAGATGCCTCGGCCTGCGAAGAGTCTGCTAGAGAGCACCGAAGTCATGCGGTAGAAGGCGTAGTTGATGATCCAGTAAAACATCTCAATCAGGAACGGAAAGCGCTGCAGTATGCGACTGTGTATGTGGTTGCGAAAGCGCGAAGTGTTTGGCATTGCGACCCTCCAGCAACATAGCTTGCGTCTCTTGGGCGGGTTTTTCGACGTTGTGATGCTATCGACTTCGCTGTCGCCGTCGGAGCTGTGCGGGAGGAGATGGTCCGTAGACCCTTCCGAGTCGGTGTTGAGGTAACCGGCCTGTTGGGATGACTTGTCGAAGATGCGGAAGTTCCGACGTCGTGTTATGAACATGCCGAAGAAGAGGATCGAACTAATCATCTGGAGGCATGTTAGGTTTCTGGGTTTCACCGCTTTTGCGCATTTACCTACAACAGGCTCAGCCCAGCCGGGCAGCTTCCACGCAGGCTTGCTGCTCCATTCTGGTGTAGCTGCCGCCATCTGATGTTGCTCGAGACGAAAAAGGATTGGCTACGGATAGAATCGTGGTGTCGCGTGTCCAACCTAGTACAACGGTACAAAAGTCCAAGAAGGCGGATTCCCGTTTCACAAGGCTTGTTTTCGGGGTATACGAGCAGACCCAGGACTAGTTATTAAGTATGGGAAATCCTGGGGAATAAGCCGGTCTATTATGTAGCGTGGCTGTGAAAGAGCTTCGATTCGACGAGCTGACGTGGATGCACACGACTGCAAAGATGGGGGGGAGGGAGGGCACGCGACGTCTCAAAAGAGTGTGGAGAAAGAGCCAAAAGAAGGGAAGAGACAGTTGAAAACCAACTACCTCGGACAAGCAAAAGAACGAACGAACAATCCCTCTCCAAGGCTGTTGCCTGGTTTGTTTTGCGGTTCTTGCGAAAAAGTGCGAGATCTCGAAAAGGGATGCTGCGGCAGACCTAACTTGGCGCCTTCCAGATGGCGCCCCACTTATTCTATTTCCCTCGCTGTCAATCCTCCGCTTACCGCTGCTGAAACGGCCTTGCAAGATTTGACTCGAGTATTTTTCAGGAGATTTCTTCGCCTTGCCCGAGCATCATGTTTCTCGACATCGTTGTGTTTACTTGCCGCTGTAGCCTTCTTCCCGCTCTCTCCTCCAAAGCTTACTATCACGCGACCAGGTTGCAGACGATCTCGAGGAGCCTGACGTCAAGTTGATGGCTTGGCAGTGCGATGTGCAGCATTAATCTCCGTTTCAGACCATGTGAAAGACGGCTCGGGTAAGGTTTGCCGCCCGTGATTGCCTGGTATCCAGCTGCGGTCAGGCTGAGTTTCGGTAGTGCTCGCGACGACTGCTTACGTCTCAGCCTATTGCAATAATATCCTTCGCAGCCGACCAATTGCATGTCTATTCCTGGTCAATCCACGGCATTTCCCATGTATAATAAACTCTGACTGCATTACCTGCCAATAAGTACTTCATTTAGAAGAAAATGTAAAGTCTATCGCCCAAGTCGGCTCGCTGGTAAGAAAACATGAACCGAAGATGAATTCGAGTGAGCATCAGTTGTGGCATGCAACAACATATCTGATTCCTACTTCCATATGTACATCCCAGTCACCTACCCCCTACCCCAATTACCCACTCTCTACCTCCGCCAATGCCGTCCAATCCCCCTCCAACCCACGTGCCTCATCCACCCCTCACTTCCACTGACTCAACCCCGCCCAATGATCATTCTGTCCCTGCTGTCCCTGCCTCCCATATGCTCCTCCGTACCCGTACTCATGATTCTGATTCTGATTCTGATTCTGACTAGGTGGCGGCCCCGGCGGTGGCGGCGGAGGAACGTATCCCTGCGGCAATCCCTGGCCCCACTGATTTTGTTGCTGTGGGGGTTGCCCCCACTGCTGTTGCTGATGCTGTTGCTGCGCCGGCGGTGGTGAGAAGAACTGCTGGTGTGGCGGGGGTGAAACAGGATTGTACTGATGTTGCGCTGGATTGTATGTCGCCTGCTGTGAAGAGGGGTGTTGGTGTTGATGTTGAGGGTACTGATTATACGAGTCGCGTCGCGGGGGTTGTGGGGGGGCGTTGAACGCACTCGGTGGCCCGCCGTAGGATTGCTGGGGGGACATGAAGGGTTGTTGCTGTGTGGTTACGGGAGGGTATCGTGGTGTTACGGGGGGTGAGGCGGCGGGGTTGTATGCTGGGAGGCCTGATGTGGACCCGTAGCCAGGTACTGATGACAGCGGGGGCGGTATGCTCTTTTTCCTCCCACCACTTCCTGCCGACACGGGTGAACCCGAAGGTTCCATGGACATACGTTCCATCAGATCTTTCAAACGTTGCTGTTCCTGATCTGCGCCTTGAGATTTGCTTTGCTCGATTCGCGAGAGAAGTTGCCCGCCTTCTGAGCGTCTGTTGTTAACAAAAGTCTCAACATTCTTGTGCAAACTTGACACCGTTTCTTTCATCTCCGAGTAGAAGCCTTGGGCGCGCATTAGGCCGGCAATTAGGTCGTTGAAACTCTGATACACTCTTCGGTACTTGGTCATGACAGAGTTTCTTTGTCGCGAGAACGCTTCATATTTGTTCTGTTCAGACCGTACTCGCTTATCCTTGAGCAAATCCGAGTATGTCCGTGTGAGTTCCTTGAGAAGAGAAGATTGTTTGTGATTAGCTTGCAGTATACGATTTTGGTGTGGTCGGAATTTCTCGAGTTCAGCCTTGAATAGTTGAGATTCCTGGTTGGCGATAGCTTTCTTGTTGAGAATAAGGACATTAGATATGTCGTCGGAGTGAACCTGATCAAGTTAGCAAGTTATACCCTATACACAGGCACTTTCTCCGACATACCTTCTCTTTGAGATCCTTCAACACCTGTGTCCTCTCCTTCTTGACGAGATTGAGTTTCCGCAGTAAATCCTCAACAGCTCCAATCTGATCCGCAACACTCGGTCCATCGTCAAAATCGTCGTCGATGAGGTTGCCTTCTGCAGGTCTCGGACTCTTCCCTTTCGTCGCACCGGCCTTGACCATGGCTCTCGAGTACAAGACATCCGCTTCGTCCGTCTCACCAGCTGACCGCATTTCGTCAAAGTCCGCCTCACATTGTCGGAAGGTATTATACAACTGTGCATCACTCGTGCTTGCCTCATCAACCGCGTTTCGGTAGTTTCGAACATCACTTCGTAGTGTGGCGGTGAGGCGTGAACTGGGCTGCTGTGTCCACTCTGGTCCGTACTTGGAGCGCATCTTCTCGCATACACTCTCCTCCATATCCAACTGTTTCATGCTCGCCTCGAGCATGGTGGTAATTTCGGCTTTGTCGGTGTTGAGTTGGTTGAAAGCTGACGTAAAAGGTTGGTGTCCCGCCAGTTCCTCACACCATTGCCGGAAGTCCTGATCGACCATCATATCCTGATCCATACCCCCTCTCAGCACGTTAAGGCTATCGGGAAGTTTCAAGTAGTCCAGGCTTGCCGCCATCTCGTCGTTTGCAACTTCAACCCTTTCACTCTCCGCCCGTATCAGTTTTGCCTTCTCTTCGTCGTACAGACTTGCCGACTCGGTCACTGCCAGGGGCACAATCTTCTGGAAGATATCCGGACCGATAATTCTCTGTATGTCCTGTCCTTGATACAATTCGCTAACGGGTATCGCTTTCGCTGCTGGTGATTTCGGGATGGGAGACAGGGATGCCTCGTTGGGTATCCCTTGATGATAGATGAAATCGTTGTCCTTGGAGAATTCAGCAAGTTTCTCCTGTACATTCGCAAGGTGCTTCTTGGTCATCTCCGCCAGCACGCTTCCAGTCTCCGAGGCCAGGTTCGAGTTTGCTGGAGCGGATGAGGGAAACCCGTTCGCTGCTCGATTCGCGTCTTTGGCATGTGTTTCTGCGACCTGTAGTCTGCAGATGGATACGCCATGCGAGTTCGCGTCGTCGTCTGCCAGCGCCTGGTAGTATTGTGCTACCGAAGCCATATAGTGTGATTTGATCTGCCGCCATTTAGCCCATATCCCAAACAAAAGTATCTGCGGTACCCACCTGGCAAATCTGTAACCACACCTTCTCAAACACAGCATTTGTGACATTTTCCTGCGCGCCCTCGGTCGCTTGTGTGTACAAAAATGCCGCCTGGCTAGCCAACTTGGCCATTAGTCCGACCTTCTTGCCATCCGCGATCTGCTTCTCCAAAAACACTTCTTGAGCCTGTGCCAGCATAATCGCTATCAGCGTCTTCACCGTCTCTCTGCTCAGGTCCGTCGACGGGGCGTGTAGAAAGTTCTCATTGATGTATGTAAACATGCCAGCAGAAGCCTGGAACGAATGATACGCCGTCTTGAGCCCGACATCCTCGTGGCGATTTTGATGCGCAGCGTGACATGACAGGACGGCGGAGATGTTGAAGATGATGGACGCTTTCTCGTAGGCGAGCGAGTACTGTGCGGTGGGTTTGTGTGTGAAGGCGTCGAACCTGGGCTCGTTAGTCCTGTTTGATTCCTCGATTTCTTTCCCCCCTGACTCTCCTCTCGCGACGCTCACTCAGCCCCCGCCAGGATCTGGAACACGTACCAAGTAAAGCTGATCTTGATATGGTTTTCATCCACAGGGAACCTGAGATCTAGCAACTCCAATTGCCCATAGTATCTATACAACAGATCCCTCCCTGCGGCACTATCCTTCCCCGCGCCCCGCATGTCCTGCCGCAGCCGATTCAGCGTGGCGCATTCTTCCGCATAGCGCTCCGGATCGTCGCCGTACGTGGAGCGTATGTAGCCCTTGAGCGGCGCGACCCAGTCGATCTCGTTTGTCTGCTTGAGCGGCACGGATATCATGGGGATCTGCGTCGTCATTGTGGCGATTGCGGGGGGGTCGAGGTGGGGTGGTTGGGGCGGTAGGGGCGGTCAGCAGGCAGCTGGCGGAGCTGTGGTTGGTGTCTGCGGAAGAGCGGCGAGCTGCCCGGGTCGTGTGCAGCGAGCGTGGATCGAACTCGCGGGGTGGTGAAGATGGAGAGCCGTCACGCCCGTGTCGAAGGCATCGATGTAGTATGCACGGACGAGGGTCGGAAGCGGGATGACGTTGGGCGTTTGCTGGCGGTACTCGTGGCTCTTTCACCGGCTCACACGCGTCTCGGGAAGCTGCATGGGTTCACGTATCAACCAGACACTCGGTATGCGGCGCAGCACCGCTTGTGGGAATGTCGTGGTGGAGGGGAGACGTCGATGGAGCTGACGGTGTTACGCTGTAGGTAGATAGACAGATATGGTCGGGCGGGGCAACCTCGACAGGCCGTCTGAACTCACCTCATATGCAAGGCACACCATGCATGAGCGTGCATAGACTCGTTCTGCATTCACCAATCCAGCAGTGCACGCGTGATGGAATTCAAACAACCGATCACCACCGAGTCTATGCAGCGCAGTCACACACTCGTCGGTGTTGACACTCGACCAGTCAAGTGCCCAGAACACCTCGATATCGCATCGGTTAAGCGCTGCAACCGACATGGGAGTATATCGATAGTTCCAGGGTCAACACCACGGAGATCTGGAAGCGAAAATCGATAGAACGGTTGGTGCTAGTAGGCGCCAAAAAGCGGAGCGTTTTCAGGGAGCTGAAGTGTTAAGGGGACCACATCGCGGTTCAACAAAAGCGGACTAAGTCTCTTATCGTCAACGACACAAAGCGAACGAGATAATATACAAGCCTGAGTCGAGAGGCCCAACAACTATCGTACTACACGTTTTCCATCTCCAACATCTAATCGTAACCCAACTCCAATGCTAAACGACACCAAAAATGCTACCAAATGGCCTTCTGGCAGACATGCTGCCGCCAATTACGCCAGTCTAGTTAATGTACACATGAATCATTCACCTCCTCACTTCGATCCAGATCCCTTCTTCGGGTCCTCGTCCTTCCCATCTGTTCTCGGTGTCCCGTCCTCATTCCTCAAGTTTTTGTGCTGTCCTGTGATGTTGTGCCACGCACTCTTCAGAAATCCCTCGTTCCTATGGTCTTCCTCTGTCTGTGCCTGTGTCTTGCCGTCGTTCATACCCCCCAAGTTCATCATTCGCTTCGCATGCTTGTCCCCCATCTCATCGGCTAACATCTCCAAAATCGTCCTCTGATTGACGCTCAGGTACTTCGGCATGTTGACCTTGAATTCCACTTTCAAATCGCCCTTGCCCCCTCGTCGCCCAGCGGACAGGACCTTCATACCCATGCCCGATAGCGTGACGCGGTCGCCTGTCCCTGAGCCGGTGGGCACCTTGACCATAACCTCCCCATCCAGAGTTGGAATCTTGATTTCGCCGCCCAGCACAGCGGTGGTGAGGGGAATGGTCGCCGTGTGCAGAATGTCACTCCCATTGCGCGTGAACTTGGGATCATTGGCGACCCGAATAAGGACATAGAGATCTCCTTTCTGGCCGTGTACATTACCAGACGACATGGCTTGGCCTGTGAGCGGCGCATCGCCCTCGCCAGTGACACGGAGCCGCATGCCATCTTCAACGCCGCCGGGGATGTCGATGGAAATTTTCTTGCGCTCATGGACAGCACCATTGCCGCTACATGTACCGCACGAGGAGCCACGAGGAATGGCGGATCCACTGCCACCGCAGGCGGCGCATGTCGCGCTCATATGGAAGCCGCCCATGCTAGTTACGCGTGACCCTGTTCCGCCACAGGATTTGCACTCGGAGCGCTTGGCGCCCTGCTTCATGCCGTTGCCGTTGCAAGTCCCGCATTCGACCAGTGGGTTGATGTGGATTTCCTTCTTGACGCCTTTCGCAGCGTCGAGGAAGGAAATGTTGGTTTGGACTTCGATATTGTCGCCGACCAAGATTTCTTCCTGGAACGGGGCCTGTCGTCCGCCTCCACCCCCACCGCGTCCTCTCCGTCCTCCAGCGAATGCGCCGAACAGGTCTTCGAAGTTAATGTTTCCGAAGCCCGCCGCGCCCTGCGCGCCTCCGAATCCGCCAAAGCCTCCGCCAAAGCCTCCACCAAAAGGACTGCCACCTGGCCCTGCGCTGCCTGCGCCTGGGTTGAATCCGCCATTTTGGTCAAATGCTGCCGAGCCGTACGAGTCGTATGCTTTTTTCTTGTCGGCGTCCGACAGAATTTCGTATGCGGATTGGGCGGCCGAGAATCTATCTTTTGCGGTGGGCTCTTTGTTCGTATCTGGGTGGTACTTCTTCGCTAGACCGTAGTAGGCCTTCTTGATGTCTGCGGGGGAGGCATTCTTGTCGACGCCGAGGGTTTTGTAGGGGTCGGATACCGCCAGTGCGGGGCGTGTAGCATGGAAGAACTGCACATGTGATGTTAGTAATTGCTGCGGGGCATCGCAGTACCGCTTTGAGATGTGCACTCACTCGTGTTGACGACACATGTTGTTGCTGCTGGTTCCGCGCTGCGATGCTAGGTCTCTTCGACTGCGCTCGGGAGGACTGCGATATGTTTCTTCGTTGGCACTGCCGGGTGGCAGACACGATGCGCGCTGGGGCCGCAGCCTTGAACGACAGCGGGGCAACCAAACTCATGTTGGAAGATCAGAAGCAAGGCTGCAAATGAGTGTGATGGCTCGACGCTGCGCAAGTGTTGCTTTCTGGCGTTGACGAGGAAGTCGCGGAAACTTTTTGGATACTGCCGGTCAATGCACCAATGACGCGCCAACGGCCTCGGTAAAAGCTTCTGGCATCTTCGAGATGCATGTCGTTCTGGCTTAGCGGTCAAGAGCAGCTCCCGTTTAAAGTTTGATGCATGCAAAGGGCAATGTCATCGATAAGTCAAGACAAACGTTGACCAGAAAGGGTGGCTTTGATTCCATGTCCGAATGTATTCCGAGGCCTGCTGGACCCAAACACATCGAACTGCACGATGAGCATCGACATGTCAAACATGGCCCAATTACAATACCAATATGTATTGTATAACTATTTTCTATGCCTGATTCCGTGGCATATCCTTGTCCGTGTAGTGCAGGGCCGCTCGACTCTCTATCGCCGAGCGCCCATAGTGTAAACACCCTCATGTTATGCACACCGTACCCATCGGTGTACACACCAACCCAGTATATCAAGACGCCTTCCAAATGCCCATTTTCATTACGTGTAGTGGTGGTTGACAGTTGTGTCAGACCGGGGTATCGATAAAAAACTCCGAAAGTGCAGCGAAGTGTGTGTATGCGCCAGAAGACTGACTCGAGGTCATTTCCGTTGCGGTGCGAAGCGCACGCGAAACTCTTTGTCTATGCCACACGTCAGTACGTAGTTCCCCCCAGCCTCAGCGTCGAGCTGCCCACCTTGATGTTTCGATTTGTACAGCCAGTCGACGATGACGTCGGCCTCGGAGACACCCAACGCGTTGAAGTTCTTCCTCACTGCGAGGGCCAGCTGGTCCTTGTGCACTCTTCGCTTCGGCTTCGGCCGTGCCATTGTGGGTGAGAAGCGGCCAATGCCCTGACTCAGGACGACGTGGCTGAGAGGATTCTTGAAGGTCGATGGCGTCTCGAGGCGGTAGGCTCGTCGGTAGCTTTGGAGGACAGCGGCATCTTGTGAGGCCCACTTCATCTGCAGAGGGGAAGGCACATTAGCCGGTGGAGCGTGGTAGAGCTGGGGCGCGCAACAATGGCATAGTTTACATTGGACGAGCTGGCCTCGGTCGAAGTGTGGCCACTGTTGGTCGACGCATTGTCTACCTCCTTCAGGCTGCTGCCGTTCGTCGTCACGATGCCACCATTGCGACGGCCACGCGCATTCGTGCCCTGGAGCGAGTGCAGCTTCTCCTTGAGCTGCTGGGCGTCTTCGTGGACACGCTTCGCAGGCGGCATGTTATAAGCAGGAAACCAGTGTGACGGAAAGAAGAAAAAAAGCCGTGGGCCTCATGCGAGATGTGAGTGATGTCTGCGTATGCGAACAACGCCTGATAGCACCTGCACGGGTAGCCTGATACGGTGAAGAGGAGCAAATTGGCAGAGCCAAAGCGCGCTAGATGACGTCTCGCTCCCTCGCGCTTTCCGCGTCGAATCCAGGGTCCAACTTAGCGTTCCTCGTCAGCCTTGCTGCACTCAACCCCTTTCCGCCTTCTCACCACGCCCTCACAACATCGAGTGTCGGACTCCTTATCTGTGCATATTCCTCCTACCAAAACACTCAGCCACCTCAGTGTTACACTTGGTCGCGTGTCTCGAGTCCGTGCTCTCCCGTCTTGACGCGTCGTCGAGCGCCATGACACGTTACCTCCTCGCATGGCCGTGGACGCCAAGTGATTGGATGGGTTGTATGGCTTCGCCAGGACTTCCTGCTTGGATATTTGACGCGTAGCATCTGGTCAGATTCTTCCCGCTGGCTCACAATGCCCTTGATTGTCTTTATGGAGTGACTACTGGCATTAGCGTGGATCGTGAGAGGAAAAGATGGGACAAAACTCGCTGATAGCAATTCTGCGACCGAAGCAGTGAAAGAGCGAAAGTCGGGGTCTGCAAGTTGATCAAGAAACCTTTGTCGGAACAATCGGGAAAGTTATAGTCTCATCTTTCCCAGCCAGCTTCCGCCTGAGGATACTCGAAGCCTAGGAGATGATTTCTTGACCTTCCTATCTGTCGACGTGCAGGAAACGTCAAAATAACGGCATCAAGACACGTTTTGCGTATTGATTGCACGTTGTTGTCCACCTGAACTGACTTGTGAACATCCTTCACACATTGTTCCAGAAGAACCATCTCAGGATTGATTAGAGAAGAATGTTAACAACCCAAGTTCAATTGTCAAATTTGCGGAACACACCAATCCTAATACCACTCGATGTTGAGTCTTTATCATTGCTGAGGCTTGTTCCAGCGTTTTCTTCGGGAACTATACGTCTAGCTAGACCACTTGGACGTTCCTTCAGTTTGCTTCAGCCCAAGTCGCTTTTACCTGTCGTCAAATCCTCTGTGAAGGTCATTAAGGCATTTCAGTTACTCTCACCTCAGTCAATACCAAACACCGCCGCTCACCGCTACGGGCTCACGAGAGGGAACCCCTACACTTCGTCTATATAATCCCGTTCATTCACACCTCACCTCCATCCATTTTCCTTTCTTCTACTCAAGCTTCTTACCACAGCATCTCAAATACACCTCCACTTCGCAAGATCTCTACAGCCTGCTACAATATCAACTCAACAGCAACATATACGATCACTTTAGCTGCTAGTCTAGCTCTCGATTTCCATACGGCTGCCCTCTGTCGCCTTAACCGGCTTACCTTGCAACTTTGCCTGTGGACCTCTCTCACTTGAGATCCCGCATTGACAGTCGTAGGCAGCAACCATCTTTAGGTACTTAACCTGCCTCAGCCCTTGCCATCCTTCCTTTTTCAATCTCTTCCTTCCGTTTGTCCTCACCGGCTGACTTACTGAAGTTTATAACTTTCTCAGATCAGTGGCGTTGATTCACTCTCGTCGACACCAGCTTCTGGTGGCAAAACAGCGATCGTATCTGAACACACACGCTTACTCAACATGAACGGATCAGCACGCTCATTTCATCCTACTACCAATTATCCTCCACCCACAGGAACCGCCAACGGCCACTACCAGAACAACACAACGCCCAGCCAGGTGAGAGCTCCTCCCTCCTCTCCATATCTCGAGGCTCGGCTCCTCAACCTGGAAGAGGAGCATTGTTCCTTGCGTTCCGACGTCAACATCTTGAATGAGCTATGTCACAGTCTCCACGACTCAGTCAACACGCTGAAGAAAGGTGGCTGGCCGGTGCATGTTGGCCCTTTTCAGGAATGTGATGCCATCGAGTCGCACCAGAGCGCTCTGCGGTTCAAGGAAGAGCTCGACCAGATTACTAACGAGGTGTGTAAGTCACATGATAGCGATGCTAACAAGAAGAAGAACGGTATAGGCGTTTCGAAACACAGCGGCAGCATGCCATCTAATCTGAAGACTACAAGCGCCACCAGCAACGGAGCGAGCCCAAAGTCCGTTCCGCCACACTTGCGAGGCGCCAAGAAGACCGAGAGCAAAGCTGTCAATGGGTCAGTCATACAACAGTCCAAGAACTTCACTGTACTGTACGGTTGCTAAACAATGTCGCAGTGCTTCAGGACCTTTTTCGGACAAGACCAAGGACAAGTATGAGCCCCTCATCACCGATGGTCCGATCGATACCTCTATCGTTGAGCGGCGAGCCCCAGCCTTGAGTCCTTCCTCGTCGACCACAACAGCCGTCCAGGGAGTCGTTCCAACCAAGAACATCGAGAACATGTCCTTAGACAAAGACTGGCAGCCTTACTACCTGACCACACTGAAACCTCTTTCTCCAGATATTCTGTCGAAGGTCCCTTCCAAAGACATGATCACATTCCATCCAGAATTCATCAAGAATCATCTTGGAGGTGTCATCTGGTCTCCGGGCCTCCGTTTCGTCGACACCGATGGACCATGTATCTTGAAGAACCGTACTTACTACGAGCTGGATCCCAACATTGATCCCTACCTCCCGATGGCTCCGGGCGGACATGGTGCCAAGCTCACCGCGTTCTTCAACCAGTCCCCAGAAGAGACCCATGGCGACCTTTTCGCAGAAAACACCAATACCTACGAGAATGTTCCGATGTTCGTCGAGCAGAACAATGCCAAGGGTCAGATTCGCTACATTTACTTCGGGAACTATTCGCAGACCCGCTGGTCCGACAAGCTAGACTACGACACATTGAAGACCAAGGTGCCTCAGCACGTTAAGGAGTATCACGCCAGGGAGTTGACTGACACCGTGGCCCGCGAGGAGTGGGTCACCGAGGCACTCAAGAAGCACTTCTTCCCGAAACCGGAGTACGAAGGACGCATCTATGCTGCTTCCACAGACGCTACCACCCACGACATCGAGGATGAGGTGAAACATAACGAGAGGATGATCAAGGACGTGAAGAGCTACGTCAAAAGCCTTCGCGATTGGGAGCGTGATGCCAGTATGAAGACTGCCCACATCAAGAAGCAGGCAATCCTTGCTGCATTCGATGCTGTGAGAGGTCCCCATATTGTTTCAAGGTGTTCAATACTGACTCAGAACAGGCTGATGTTGATGATCCGCCCGCCCTTCGCCTATGGTGGGAATACCTCGAGTGCGTCGACTGGAACCAGGACTTCTACAACTTGCTTGTCACTCTCCAGTCCCGCAACAAGGAAAGTTACTTTGCCTAAGTAGGCTAACCATGGCGACTCAAAATCAATGAGCGAGTTATGAGGGAAGGTTATGTCTAAGGAAATTGGCGTATAATTGCGAAATTGCACAACTCTGGATCACTTGCAGTCCTCGGGCACATGCTTTCAACATCTGGATGACCAACCAAACGCAGAATTGTCGACATGGTGGTGCTTTTGCACTACCAGGTAGAAAAGTTAGGCCAAGGTGCCAGGACGTGGAAATTTGTTTTCTTCTTTTCTTCCGATCTCATCCATCATTGCTTTTTTTATATTCATTTCACATATACCATTTACTCAACTGGATTTCTACTCGTTCCCAGTAATCATTCCATGCTTTTCGGTCTTCTCAAATTCCTAATGGAGGAGGAGGAGTAGTTAGACAAAAATATATCTTTTTCTCTATCAACGCGAACGGGTGCTAGAACATGTCACTAGGATGTGCGAAAACCGATACTAAACACTTGAATGTCACCCAGCTCTAGCAAGTGCAATCACTCCGAGATCGTCGTGTTTGTCGCCATTGTGTTGGTGGTCTTGAAGTATCTTCCATGCAAGGATGCGTTTATATGGCGGCGCCACATCGACGTTAGACAGATTGCAAACAAGTGATAAGTTACACGTTCAGAGCGAAACATCAAATATCGTACAGGTCCGAGTCCTATCAAACCGACACTAGGGAGCTTCTTCAACATATGTTCTCTTCCGATGTTGGAACGACATGCACGCTAGCCGAACAACGCACTAGTGCGACAACGGACTGGTGAATGAATCACACATAAATCGCAACACCAAGCAGCATCTCCGACTTGAATACCCACACCATCACCTCTATATAACAGAAAGAAAAACGCAAAACTCACACACAATGGCAACCCCCGAACGTCCAAAAATCGGCGTAGGCGTCATCATCCACGACTCAGCCGGGAACATCATCATGGGCGAGCGCGCGGGCAGCCACGGCGCTGGTACGTACACTTTCCCGCCCTCCCTCCCCCTTCAAACACACCTTTTTCCCCTTCGCACATTGACGCGTTCCCAGGCACAATGCAGTGTCCCGGCGGCCATCTCGAGTACGGCGAGTCCTTCGCGGAGACGGCGGCGCGCGAAGTGCTCGAGGAAACGGGTCTTGAAGTGGGGAACATTACATTTCTGACTGCGACGAATGATGTGTTTGGCGAGGGGAAGCATTATGTGACGGTTTATGTGACGTGTGTTATTACGGGGGAGGAGAGGGTGCCGAGGGTGAGTTGCTTGGTGTATTTTTTGTTTCTTGTTGTGGGCGCTTTGGTGGTGGAGGTGCACATGGAGATGGGTAGAGGGCTGACGCTGGATAGCCGATGGAACCGCACAAGTGCGCGAAGTGGGAGTGGGTGCCGTGGAGTCAGATGTGGGCGTGGGCGGGGGAGCAGGCGAGGGCGGAGGATGAGGGGAGGGAGGTGCAGAAGAAGATGTTTTTGCCGTTGGTTAATCTGTGGAGGACGTATCCTGAGTTGGAGAACTGTTTGGTGGGGAGGTAAAGGTATGCAAATGTTCATGTTTTCCATCCTCATCATAGCGACTCTGACCCTTACAAAAGAGATAGTGCTAAGGCACAAACACTACTAGATGTTTTTGGCCGAGTCTGGTGTTGGGGATGTGCAGTTGTAGGACGCGATTACGCGGAACTAGAATCGATGACGTGACGCGTGCCTCGGTTCATCTAACGACGACCCTTCATCCCACTTCCTTCAATCTACTACGCCGATACAACGGGAGTGTGCACTCAAATAGTCACCTTCTGTTGCAGGTCCAAAGAGTAGCAATCTGCAGTATCTTGTCGCGATCTTCGTAGCAAAAGATATCAACGGTTACAAAAGCATCCTTATCTATATTGATTGCCTTACAACTTCCCTATCTGTGTGGTTTGAAGCGTTGGCGCATATATTAGACTTTCAACCTTCGGTCTGTATTGAGATCTCCTAGTGAGTACATAATTGACGTTTGTAAGTGCATGCTTCCGTTGATTCCGTGTGCCTCCATACCATTACACTTCACTTCACTTCACGTTCTCCCACCCCACCATATCAACCCATCTAGTTCCCGTCTAACAATCCCAGTAGCTCCATCTGATAACAGTCCAACCCAAACCTCACCACAGACAATGGACGCCGCACTAAAAATCTTCTTCTCGTCCCCCCGCTTCGCAGTCGCAGGCGCATCTTCCGACCCCCAAAAGTTCGGATACAAAGGTTCTTACTGTCCTCTCCCACCATCCCGACCTACTCCACAACCCAATCAGCAGAACAACAGCTAACATCTCACACAGTATTCGCATGGTACCTCCAGCACTCTCTCCCCGCAACACCCATAAACCCGCGCAGCCCCAGCGTCTCAATCCTCCGACGTGACCACCCCACCGTGCCCTCTCCGTCCGCGCTCTCAGACCCCCCAGCATCCTCGTACTCCCTCTCCGTCATCACGCCGCCGGCCGTTACAAAGAAACTGCTGCAGGAAGCGAAAGAAGCAGGCGTGCCGGCTGTGTGGTTGCAGCCTGGGAGCTTCGACAGAGACGTGTTGGAGTACGCGCGGGCGAACTTCAAGGCTGCGATTGCGGGGGATGGTGCGTGCGTGCTTGTTGATGGGGAAGAGGGGCTGAGGCTTGCGGAGAGGGAGTGGTCGAGGCTTTGAGGAAAAGAAGGGCCATAGATCAGTGGCGGGGTTCTGGAGTTGAGGAATGGTATATCAAATCAACAGGGGAGTTCGAAGGGCATGGAAAACAAGTCCCGTAATGCACGAATCAAAGAGGCTACACCCGGAGTCCATGCGGCATACTCACGTTCAAAAATCAACTGGTTTGGTTGACATGTGTCTTGCCCCATTCGTGGAGAAGATCTAGATTTACCCAACCATCCCCTCGCTTCTTCAGTCGTCGTGTCCATGAAAGGTCATGTGAGCCTCGATCCGCTTGCTCTTTAGGCATATGCCGCACGGACCGCATATCCACATTTGCGCATGGAAAATTTTGGAGGAGCAAAAAAACACAGACAAAAACATACAACAGCGGGAATTCGCTAGTAGTCTCCTGCCCAGCTACTAATCCGCCGGTACACTGCTTAAATAGGGCTGAGCGAACGGGAAGCCTTGCTCTCAGTGTCCTATGGTCGTATGTGGAGAATTGACCCATAGCAATGCTACATGTCTCGATGGCGGTGCCCCAAATAACCCATGTTGTTGTAGTATGGATGGTTTTACTGTTCAGGAAAGAATTGCCCCAAGAAATTGCACTGGATATGATACACTACTGCGGATTGAAGGTACTATGTTATTAGATTGCTTGGTCCGGGACAGTTCAGGGTTGCGGGGAAAATGATTGCATGGTGGAGACTCTCGAGTATTATTAGAGGGGCCGTCGTTTGGGCGAGGCAAAAAAAGGCTGAAGAAGACCTTTGAGGTGAGTACACAAACGTCGAAGCTCAGACGAGGGCACAGCTCAGCCAACCATGCGGAGAGCTCGGCCAAAGATCCTTTTGCCAAACCAACCATCAAAAAGCTTGTGTAAGTATACAAAAGTACATATATCCTAAAGTAGTACTTATTCACCTATGAGCAGGTTGCACGCCAGAGTAGAGATTTCAACGATTTGAGTTCTCATGGATATGATCGACTCAGGGGAGTTTGAGTATGAATTACCAGCACGCCAGCACGTTGCTTAGACAGGGCTGAGTGAGTGAGTATCCTCGTTTTCAATGTCTCGTGACTGCACGTGAAAGACAATGGCTGAGAAATGGTATATGACCTTGTGGCAACACATCATATAATCTATGCTGTCTGTCGATGATGAATGTGTTGTCTACTCGATTGTGGCGTATTTAAGTATTCGATAGACCGACATGTTAAGCAAGATGAAAATCAGTGAACAAGAAATGTCAGATAGTCACTGGCACTGTCCTGTACATTCCGCTTAACCCAATTCGGCTCTACATCTCTGTGTTCTTGCCTTATCGCATTTTCACACCACTTGCGAGTGTATCAAACTTAGGCTGTACCTACTCCCGTATGCACTCTGCTCATTTAACTTTCATCCCACCTTGCGCTATGTTGGAGAAATGGATTTGTTTGATCTATTGGTGTCCGACCTCACGTTTTGACATGGGAGTTGAGCTTTGCATGCAGCATGTTTAGATCCGTTTGCTCATGTTTCATTGGTTGGAGAAGTAGGCAAATTGGCTGAAGACGGTATGAAAGAGCCGTAGTATCTCAAGACTCGTTGCTTCCAAATCTTTGACAGTGCAATATATTCTAGAAGTTCAGGTAGTGTTATTTCCCATTAAGAGTGCAGTTCATCGTCATGTTTTGTCTATTCCAAGGCTAGAAGTATGTTCACACAAGGCTGAAGTTCGCCTAGCATCATCATCTAGTGGAGGCTGAGCTGGAGGCTTAGCTTCGGCGCTAAATCTACTGTGATGTGCCTTAAGCTGGAGAACAGCGTTTCATTCCGTTCTCATCTTTTCGCGCCGCATTCTTATCCCATTATTAAGCATGGATCCGTTAAGTGTTACAGCGTCGATCATTGGAATCCTTGCTGCAGCAGGCAAGCTCTACGAGCTCCTCGATTCGATCATCTCCACCACCAAAGATGCCCCGCAAGTCCTGACTGCGCTTGCCCGTGAGACCCACGAGGTTGAGGCAGTGGTCCTCTCTCTCCAGAACGTTCTGAAGGACCTCTCGGTTACGCCACCTCATCGAACTGCCTTAATACAGCTGGATCAGCTGATAATTACGCTGACAGATTCTGTGCTGGCTGTTGATGAGTTGAAAGACGCAATCGCTCCGTTCATCGCAGTCGGAGGGCAGAAGATCCCATTTAAAGTTCGATTGAAATGGACACGGGCGGAGGCTAGCTGTATGAGAATTGTTGATCGAATGCAGATGCAGAAGACATCAATCTTACTAATGCTCAACATTCTCCAATGGTACGCCAATCGCATATTGCTTGATTTATGCTTGACATTAGCTAAGAATTTCGTAGCTCATCAGATTTGGAAGCCAGCCAGTCCCAGGCATCGTTAGCACTGACGATGGAGCAACTTGTACAGACTAACAGAGAATTGTGCAGGCGCCTCAGAAATCTCGAAGACAGGTTCGACGCAACAAGTGTTGTTACAGAGAAGTTTAGGGGTTCAAATACCTTGCTGCAAGGAGACGATGAAACAATTAGAGCAGTCCAACCGTCAACCAGTAAACACGTATCTATCCTCGAGGCGGTAAAGATACATTTTGCATTTGACGACGATCTGCAATCGTCACGTGTTTATCAAATGACAAGAAGTAGTGTTTGCGACCACTCCTTTGTTAGCTCGGCAGTTAGAACGAACGCTTGGTCAATTTTCTCTGGACTGTCCTTGGCAGATATATCCATCATCTCTGTAGTGGCGTTGCCACTCTATTCTGGCGATATCAATAACCACGAGCACTACTCTTTTGGGGACATTGAACGATCTCAATCAAGAGAGACCACCGCTGTTCAGAAGATTTGGTCAAACAGCCCGCCATTGATCGAGATGCAAAATCCGCTATTATCCAGTCCATCTGATCAACTTATCACTGCAGGAACCAGTGAACAAGCACAACAATTTGGAGAGCGAGATATAAGCGTAGAACCGCAACAGACGTCAATCATCGTGTCTCCTTTACCTTCCGCTCTACCAAGCACAGAACATGCCATTTCTTCGTTCCGAGACGAAATTGAGCTCGCCCTGTCGCACTCGGATTGGTTTCATGGAAATACTCCCAGGCGTAACGATACACCTATTTCTGCAATAGTAACAGACAGGCGGAGCAAGGACAGTGGGAGTGATCATTCCTCCCTAGGGAAAACTTCCAGTCATCGTGTTGATGACAATCTGGAAGAAGATGACAGTCTGGAAGAAGACGACGTCGTTTACGACTGTAGGGGTTGTGGAGAGGTGCTTAAAGAAGGAAAAGCTTTTGAGCTAGGTGAGTAACCAGTACAGATCATGTTAGAAGATACTGATGAGAGTGTAGCTGGACACCGTTACCACATGAACTGCTTCCGATGCAATACATGTGGCACCCTCCTCGACTCGGATGCGAACCTACTGCTCCTTGGAGACGGCTCGCTGATGTGCAACAACTGCACCTACAGCTGCAACCACTGCGGCAATAAGATTGAAGACCTAGCTATCCTTACAGGAGACCAGGCCTTCTGTGTAAATTGCTTTATATGCAGGAACTGCAAACGCAAAATTGCAAACCTGCGTTATGCACGCACCTCACAGGGCATCTTCTGTATGACCTGTCATGAATCGTTCATGGCTCGGCGGCGCAAGAAAACGAAGAAACCACCAGTCCCAGCGGCGCCAAAAGAGGAAAAGTCCCTGCCCGCATTGGCTGACCAGCCCCCGCAGCATACCACCCTTACTCCTAATATAGGAATACGATCGGACATATACTTGGAACCTACAACGACAAATGGTGTAGGAAGGGGATAGGCAAACGCAAAGAGGAACAGAGAAGAAACGCGTTGAAACCCTTCTTGTTGAAAGAAAGCAAGACATGAAGGACCGAGCAGGAGACATATTGATAATAGCAACCCTATTACTATTGACAGAACCTTGTATGAATGTCATCAAGATGTCGATACCAAAACTACCCGTCTACGCAGACTTTGGCAAAGATTTCCTTGTTATGGAAACCTTATTCTTCACCTGTTGAACTTACGACATGTTTGTACCCGCACAATGACAGGTGCATTTAATAAAGCGTGTCAAGCATCTAATGGACTAACTTGTCTATTGCATCTCGCATGTCAGACTATGTTTACAGTAGTGTGGTGGATGTTCATCGAGAGCCAAGTGTGCCAAACTCTCCAAGTCAAACTGTCGATCAGATCAAACTATCGATCAGACTCAAAAGTCTTATAGCTCGACACAGAAGTGTGCAGGAATGGGGTTGCCAGGCTGCCTGTGATGTAGATTGGGTGTCTATAATTGTTTTCAATAAGAAATTGCTTCAATCCTAAACCTGTAATGTTAAGATTATGGCTAGTATTATCTCGTCCGTTCTCAGCGCAGCTACGCACTTGATGTCTTTCTATATAACTTTGTCTATCAAGTCTACCGAGTCTATCAATCCCACAAAAACGCCACGATCCGTTTCCAGCCAGTTGCTTTAGGTTCCGGGGGCTCTGGATATCTGGCAACCTCATCCAATGCTTCACGGAGGGGTATGTCTGCTAAGGATACAAACTTCGTCCCCTTGATGAACTTCCAGAGGAGGAAAGCAGCAATAACGAGAGGTATGTCTCTGGTCAAGTTGTTAGTCGTGATTTCATTCCTCTTCGAAGAGGTAAACTTACAGATATGCAGAGACAAAGTCGCTAGCTGACCAATTCCCCTTTGTGAACGTGGAAAAGCCGCCAGTGAACAGAATGGTCAAACACATGACTAGCGCAACAGGAGACGAGTACGGCGTCCAGCGGTTGCAGAAAGGTAGCTCAGTCCGTGAGATACCCTGCTTTTTCATCGCCATGTTTAGGCGAATGTGGTTGAGCAAAATCGATGACCATGACACGAGAACGCCGGCGGCAGTCAGGTCGACCAACCACCAGAAGACAGTCGTGGCACTATTCGACAGTGCCATAAAAGCCAAGAACATGAAGCAAGTGTTGAAGCATACGCAAACGTATGGAACGCCCCATGATGTTGTGCGGAGGAAGATCTTCGGTGCTTGGCCTTTAATGGCAAGAGCGTAGAGTACACGAGTGCCGGAGAGAAGTGCTTGATTGGATGAGGACCAGGCGGATGTGATGACGACGGCATTAACTACAGATGGAATGGCCTTGATGCCGGCTGCTGATGCGACAATCACGAAAGGGCTCATTGTTGCATCTCCGGTATAGTTGTTGAGTCTAGGGTCATCACTGGAGACAATCATGCCGACAACAAGCACTAGAATTGAGTCTTAGCCACATTACAATCTTCTGGCCAACTGAAGTACTCACCTGCAAGGACGTAGAAGAGGAGAACTCTGGCAAAAACCTTTTTACACGCTTTGGGGATGTTTCTCCGCGGATTCTGCGTCTCGGCAGCAGCCATGGCTAGGCTCTCTACGCCTGCAAAACTGAAGACTGCGTTGGTCATGACGCTCCAGTATCCGAGAAATTGACCCCAACGACCAGTTGCGATGTGTTCAACGAAAGGACCTGGAGATTTCCAGTACCTAAAACCACTGCATCATGTCAGCACGTTTAAGTTTTGGAGAATACCAGAGCACATACATGCGTTCTTGTCCAGGGATACCGCCAAGATCGATAACAAGACCAAAGATGATCAAAAATATGATTAAGAGTATCTTCAAGGAGGCAAAGAAGAACTCGACTTCTCCATAGATCGAGACGAACGAGATGCCAACTATAAAAGTGAGGGCGATGAATATGCAAATCCAGACTACTGGGGTTAAATCTGTCCAGAACTGGAACAGAACGCAGATGGCTGATATTTCTGCTGGAACGGACAGCAGATTTCCGTAAACGATGTTAAGTCCAATGGCAAATCCGAAAGCAGGATCGACAAGAAACTCCGCATGCCTGACGAAAGAACCAGTAACGGGCAAAAGGGCGGCAACCTCACCCAGGGCGAATTGAACAGCGCAGACGATAAGCCCGACGGTGGTGTAACCCAGCAGAGCGCCAAGGGGACCTGCAGTTTGAATACTACCTCCGAGTCCTAGAAACAGCCCTGTGCCTATCGCGCCGGCAATGGCTATCATCTGGATGTGCCGTTGGCGGAGTCCTCGAGTGAGATTGTTGTTTTCGAGCTGCGTAACAAAATCGGAGGCTTCTAGGTCTTCGCCATGCCCAGCAGCAGCGTCAACACCGATGTTGACATCCTTCTTGTTCATGTTGCTGGCTTGCTCCATGATCGCAGAAATGGTGCTGGATTCTTGCTGACTGCTGGTGTTCGGAGAATTGGCTGTTGTTGAGAAGGTATTGTACTGATTCTGTGCCGTCGATGCATCAATCAGATGATCGTTCTCATCACGGTTCTGGGTTTTGCGAGGCTGTCGTCGAAAGCCACCCGTCAACGGCATGATGAAGGGATTTATGTGTTGACCTCGTATCAATGTCGAGTAACGCCGAAAATGGCGTGCTTGTTATCGCGAATGACCACGCGTTAGCGACGAGGCAACGCAAGCAGCGAGTCAACTCTGTCGGCTACAAGGCTGAACAGGCTAGAGCGATGCCACAAAAAGCTTCATCCCCGTGCTTGTGTGCGACAAGCATCGAACGAAGATGGTGATGGTATCGGAGGAAGAGCCGGGAAGAACGCGAGGTGACGCGCCAGAGTCTAGACCAATTGCCCGACCACCACGGTAGATACATGTGTGTGTCTAAACAATCAGCCCTTCTTCAAAAACTTCCAAATGAAAGTACCAAGTAAACTTTTTATACGAACAGCCCAAACATTGAAGGTGAACTTGCCACAAGAGGTAGAATTTACAAGTGGGGTCCTTTCAGCCAATAGCATGGCTTGAGTGACATACTGCTGCTGTACTTAGCAGTCACATCTTAACGTTCTGTATCATTGACTATCCATTCGACAACATCTGAGGCGAGACTTTACAATCAGTCTCAACGTGTTACTTCACAATATCCAGTTTCTACGTCTCGTCAAGAACTCCCATCTGATCCTACAAAACTAAGGCCAATTTATGCTTCTTCTGCGTTCAATACGGCAAGCACGTCTTTGTAGACCTGTCGCATATCTTACTTTTCAAACACCCAGACTATCAGCGGCCAGACACATGACGACCACAATGACGAACGGCGACTTGAACAATACAGCAGCGGAACGTGTCCGAACAGAAATCACTATAGATCCAACATATCACAACCGCTCCCTAGCCATCCCTGCCAGTGAAGACGACCCTACAATTCGAAAAAGCTATCGGCCATTCATTCTCGACGATGAGACAACATCATCCGACTGGGTCTCCCAGGTCGAACTCAGCACGGCATTGAAGATGGTGGAGGCGCAAATCCTGAACAGTGGCGATGAGCGGTTGAAGGTTCTCGTGCTCCATGGGAGCATGCGGTCACGGTCCTACTCACGTCTACTGGCATTCGAGGCTAGTCGAATTTTGTTCCGCCTAGGCTGTGACGTACGCATGTACGATCCTACTGGGCTGCCAATGAAGGACGACGTTCAGCACGCGCACGAGAAAGTCGTTGAACTACGGGAGCTCTCGAAATGGTCAGATGGACACATCTGGATCAGTCCGGAACAGCATGGGAATCTGGTTAGTATCCTTTATTTGAGTCAGGTTTACATAGCTAACAACATCACCTTAGACTGCCGTCTTCAAGAATCAGATCGATTGGGTCCCACTATCAACAGGCTCAGTCCGACCAACCCAAGGACGCACCTTGGCCATCGCGCAAGTTTCCGGGGGCTCTCAATCGTTCAACACAGTCAACTCGTTACGGATCCTTGGGCGGTGGATGCGTATGTTTGCCATCCCAAACCAGAGCAGTATCCCGATGGCGTACAAGCAATTCACAGAAGAAGATGACGTCGAAGGGGGGAGTAGACTTATGCCGAGTGGCAACAGAGACAGACTCGTTGACGTGTTGGAGGAGTTTGTAAAGTACACGATTGTCATGCGGCCACATTTCGATCTTTTCGGGGATAGGTTTAGTGAAAGGGAAGAGAAGCGGGCAAAGGACGAGAAGGCGAGGCTTGCAAAGGCTGGGAACTCCGATAAGATGTAATTCACTTGAATCAATGCTCGATCGAATGCGGATCTATTGGGCCACGCAACAAATATTTCCTGTCCATTTGACAAAAAGAATACCAGATGATGACGAAGAAGACATCATCACCCCAACGCTAACCACCCCAATCTCCGCATCATCTCCGAGCACCTCCCAATCTATCTCCACCCTCCCAACCCACCCCCCCAAACAACCCCCATCACCACCCAACCAACCATGTCCAAAAACGTCCGTCCCAACCATCCCACACACCGCACCTTCCCACCCCCCCAAACCTCCAAGCTAAGTCCCCCACCAGAGCAAAGATGACCTCACCCGCATCCGCGACAACCAGCGCCGCTCGCGCACCCGGCGCAAGGAGTTAGTCCAAGACCTGCAAGCGCGCGTGCACGCATTCGAAGCGAGAGGCGTAGCGGCGACGCAGGAGATGCAGAGAGCTGCGCGGAAAGTCGCGGTGGAGAATGGGCGGTTGAGGGAGTTGCTTGCGCGGCGGGGGGTGGGGAGGGGGGAGGTTGAGGGGTATTTGCGGGGGTGTGAGGGGGTGGGGGAAGGGGGGGAAGGTGGCAAGGGGAGGGTTTTGGGTGATGAAGGGAGAGCGGAGGAGATGGCGAGTCCGGGAGATGGTCACGTGTACCTCCATCAACACCCGCAACCGCAACAACCAGACGACACGCTTGATCCTCAGCTGAGCCAGTACGTCCAGGAAACGCAATCATCAAATACGGCAGAAACAAGTGGGCCTCCGTATACCGACGCACAACCCACCACTTCAATCCCCCCTCTAACACCGACCGACACCGTCGACGACCTGGGCTGCCCCAACACAGCAGATTGTTTCTGCCCCCCGTCCCTCCCACCCACCAACCAACCGCTTAGCTCCGCCGCGCTGGAAATCTCCTGCGAAACGGCGGCTACGATTATTGCGCAGATGCGCGGGGATGGGGATCGAGAGTCGGCGCGTGCGGCGCTGGGGTGTGGGCGGGGGGAGGTGTGTAGTGTGAAGAATTCTGTGATTATGCAGATTATGGATGAGGGGTAGGTGGGTTGGGTGTGAAGGAGAGCAAGCTTTTGTAGGGGCTTGGGGAGTGGGGGGGGGGGGAGGGGTGTGAGAGCGAGTATTGGGGTTTGCGGTTAGTAGGATTATAATCTTACATGTGTGTGTATATGATGTATGAATTATCTTGACCGTATTGTCCTCATCTGTCAGCTGTCAAAAGCCAAAACCCCAAGGCTGATGAACCTTCCCCCCTCCCTTCAGCGATATCCATCTCCCCCAACTCCACAGCCTATCAACGCGTGTCATTGTCAACTCCCATCTTCACCACCATCCCCTCACACCCCCTTCTTCGAAACCGGCACCAACCCCCTCTGCCCCGCAATCCACCGATCAAGCCTCGCATAGCAATCCAGCGTCATAAAAACCCCTACACACCCACTATTAGCCCACACCCCCCTCTCCAAAAAAAACAGAGAACGAAAACAACAACTCACCAACCCCCAAATACGCGCCATACATCCCGCCCAACCCGCCCACCCCCCTCTGCCCCGCACTAAGTTCCCCCCAACTCAACATCTCCGCCAAACAAACCAGCGTACTAACACTCGTCTCGAGGCCAAAGACCAGCAGCGCGAGCGGGACGCGCGGGTCGTTGCGCAGGAGGGCGGGGATGGCCCAGAGGGTTAAGGGCACGTGGAGGGTTAGCTCGAGGAATTGGAGGGCGGGGAAGTAGGCGCTGCGTGGTGTTAGTGTATATGGGGGGATGGTTTTTTTTGGGGGGGGGGGGAAGGACAAACGGTGGGTTGTAGAAAAAGCGATCGCCGTGTGTGGTTATGTACCATGTTCGGAGGGTGGTCATCCATTCGGGTTTTAGGGAGAGGGGGTAGTAGGATGTTAGGTCGAAGGCTGGGGGGGGGAAGTGTTAGTGTGTATTGGTTGGTGTTTGTTAGAGTTGAGGGTGGGTTGTGGTGTTTGATATGTTGCGAAATGAAATGGGGAAGATATTCGGTCTTGCACTCCGCATCCCTTTTCCTCCCTTCTCTTGACATTGACATTCACATAACGCGAGGTTTCTGACCAGAAGAGAAACCGCGGTGTTAAAAGAGTTCGAGTTCGATAAAACTAAACGAACACAACATACCGAGCATAACAGGCAGATGCACGATGAAAAACACAAGGTAGACCAGATCGCGCTTACGCGACCAGATCGACGTCGCCATATTGCTAGTTTTCAAGAGTCGAGATGTGTGGTGATGAAAATGAGGTGGAGCGAGGTCGAGGTCGAGGTCGAGGTTTGTCGGGAAGTTGTACCTAGACGAATGGTGCGTGCACGGGGGCAACGTTTCTCACTCACGGCATTTGTACATAATTTTTCCATTTGGGGTTTTACATGTATATAGGCCGACGAGGAGGGGGATTTTATTACAAGGCATGTTTGTTGTATGGCAAGCGTATGTAAATACTTTTGATTGCAAAAGAGACAGAAGATATAGACATGCCTCCGAGACTTTGTGAATCCCTCTCTCCTGATAAAAAGTGATCATAGTGAAAATTGAAAATAAATCATGTCCAGACATCCAGCCGTAAATTCGTCAATCCAAGTCACCAACGCCAAACAACCCGTCCTGTCATAAGCCCAGCCCAGCCCAGTCCAGCCCACCCATTTCCGTCCCCTTCCAGCCCACAAGACCGCAAATCCACTCCCTTCATCGCACCCTCAAGACAGCGTCCCCATCATAGCAGCAACAAGCTTCGGGTTCGGGCGGTCCTTGACCCTCCTCACTAGTCCAAATCATCAGCCCCCAAACTAATGAGCCGAGCGAACAAGGGCCAACCTACCCTTCCTATCCCGATCCACTCTCATAACCTCTCGCTTGGGATCGCGGCGTTCCAGAACCACCAACTCGGTATCACGCTCATCACGCTCGTACTTGAGCATGCGGCGCTCTTCCTCCAGCGAGCGGATCTCCGAGCGGATGTCGCGCTCAGAGCGGCGGTGGCGCACGAGTTGTCGTTGTTCCGGCAGGAAAGCAGTTGCCGGTCCATGCATGGCGTTGGAGCGCTCAAAGTGCACGTATTCCTCACGCTCGTGCTCGCGCTCGTGTTCGTGCCTGGGGGGAGGAGAGGGTTCACGGACAGACTTGGCGTAGTGCGATTCTGCGTAGTGGGATTGCGCGTATTGTGGTGGTGCTGGGGGAGGATGTACTGACGGGGCGTAGTGTGATGGAGGCGGGGGTGGGGCATGTACGGAGTGAGCCGGTGGCGGAACTGCGTATATCACAGCAGGGGGAGGAGGCGGCGCGTGCATCGATGGGGGAGGAGGTGGGGCATATACCGAAGCTGGCGGAGGCGGTGCATAGATTGAGGCTGGTGGAGGCGGTGCATAGACTGAAGCTGGTGGAGGTGGTGCGTATACCGAGGCCGGTGGGGGAGGGGCGTATACCGAAGCTGGTCGCGGAGGAGGATCGTAAACTGAAGCTGGTCGAGGGGGAGCATCATAGACTGAAGCAGGTGGTGGCGGGTGGTCCTCGATCTTCTCCTCGTACACGTATGTCGTCTTCTCCACTGCAAGACGTGAGTATAGAAACCATATCAGCCCAGATACTACGTACCCTCTTTGTAGCCCTCGCTCGTCTTGATCACTTCATCGATATGCTCCTTCTCGAGTGCTCGAGTGATGACGAGGAAGTCGTCCTATCTCAGTCAGAAACATTCTATTTCAGAGACGTGCTGCTTACCTCTTCTTCGAACGGGTAGCCGAGCTCAATGATGGCCTCCCTCTTGACCAGCCGTTTTGGCAGCCGCGTGCGACCCTTCTTGCCCCAGGTGGCACGTTCAGGCTGGGCTTCCTCGAAGCTGGAGGCGGACGAGCTGCGCGTCGACTTTGCCACGCTTTTGCTTCTGCGGACCTTGCTCTTCTCTCTGTGAATCTCGACCTCGCGGTAGTCATCACGCTCTTGTCCTCTTCCGGATCGTTCGACGAACCTAAAGTCTTCAAACTCGTCCTCGTCGCGGTCGCGGTCGTCGCGGAATCGACGGGGAGGCGAGGCCTGGCGTGAGCGGACAGGGAGCGGGATGGGCACGTTGGCAGGTGGTCGATACTCGTCCCTCTCAATGTCTCCATACCGTGGCAGAGGCCGGCGATCGAACGTGTCGAGGGAAGACTGTCGACGCATGAACTGCGGTCGGGCAGGTCGCCGTCTCGAGGCGACATCGAGCTCGAGGTTCTTGCTGATGTTGATATCCCTGTCGATGACAGAGGCACGACGGTATGGCGCAAGAGCCATGTTGGCTATCTCGGAAGGCGTCTGCTCGTCGAAGATCTCGTTCCGGCGACGTACGGGTCGCTCGAAGCGTGAGTCCTCGTGGATGCGCTCCCTCTCGAGCACACGAGTGCCACGGCGGTCGCGGTCTTCGTGGATATCGACGTCACGGCGACCTCCAGGGAAGCGGTCGTGCTCCTGGAAGCGGTAGTGGTCGTGGTCGCCGCCGCGTACACTTCCGCCGCGCACGCTCTCTTCGCCGCGGACACTTCCCTCGCCGCGGACAGTCCCGCCTCGCATGCGCTCGAACCTGTCACGATCCCACCGACCGCCGCCGCCGCCTCCTCCTCCGCCTCGAGGCGGCTCATCGTCGAAGCGGTCCAGGGCTCCTGTCGAGGAACGATACATGGCTGGGTGTGGGGGTGGTGGATAGCCCGATCCGAGGGTTGATGTGATTATGCGGGGTCCCAGATCCTGGCCCGATATGTGCGATATGGGAGGGCGGGCGTCTCTGCTGGTAGACGGTTCTTCTGCGATGGTTGAGTGACAGTGCAAAGGGCGGACGGTGACGGAATATATGTCGCAAGGCTCTCGGGAGAGTTGGTGGGTGAGTGGGCGCAACCAAGTCCAGTGAGACAGACTTGCGTCATAGCCGCCCGTGTCCCCTGCATCCCACCAAGGCGCAAACTGCGCCCAGAGTGGGCCCCGGGGTCGAGTCTTCGGCCGTTCTGTTCATCGCTTCAACTGCGATCCAATCTGCTTGGGCGCTGCTATTTTCATGTTGGGCACGCTTGTCCTTTGCGACTTTCCTACGACACCCAGACGGCTTGTTGGGCCATATTCGACCAGCAGTGGCTTTTCGCTATGCAGCCCTCACCCTCCGGCGCTAGACCATCCCACTTGCATGTGCCTTACTTTTCTTTTCGTCACACGGATATGCGGATGAAAGTAGTGCGCAGTGCATGTCGACGTTGAACGAGTATTTGAACATGACGTCACAATAGACTCGTCTTTGGTTGTACAGCAAGACTGCTTTTCAGGACGAGCGTCGCTTTAGAAGAGCACGTTTATTCAGTCGCTGGCTCGTTCGCAGCTGTCAACATCCTGCAGGTACCGCCTGTTGCCGCTGTCACACATGCAAGTGGGCAGCAATGCTGGTCAAGTCTGGTTCATGCCCAAAGGGTGTAGTTGACAAGATTTGCATGGAGTACCTTGCATTGGTGTTACTTGCCCCTCCCCTCGTAAGGCTTGGTTTTGTGGAGTATGGACTCCTGCCTAGATCGATGGAACTCTTGGAAGTTTATCGTAGTATTCATTGCCCACTGGAGGCATGCTAACTTTTATGTACCCCGTGTAGACGCCATCTAAGTGTATCTACGTACAATAATATACAACACTCATCTTACACTCTCTTTTCGATCTACTCCCATCTCACTTTCATAACACGTTACTTCTTTTATACCACTTCACTTCTTCCCCACCAACTCCTGAATCTTGCTCGTCACATACTCGACATCGTGAGGCCTCCCCTTCAATGCCCCCATGACCTTCCCCATGATACTGCCAAACGTCCTCTTGCCCTCCTCCAACTGTGCAGCTATATCCCCAATAATAATGTCCAGCTCGCCCGCCTCCACTGTCGGTATCTCCCCCGCATATTTCCTCAGTACATCCAACTGCCCTTGCTCCTTCTCCACCAAATCATCCCTCTTCGCTGCCTGGAACTCCTCGATCGCTGTGCTCGACGCCTTGATCTGCTTCTGGATGAGGGCGTAGAGGGCGCCGTCGGTTGTGATGGGCTTTGCTGTCTTGGAGGCGTTTATTATCTCAGCTTGCAAGGCGCGGATTACGTTTAGTGTGGGCTTGTTTTTTGCGCGGAGGGCGAGCTTGAGGTCGTTTTGCAGGCGGGGGAGGATGGTGGGCTCGGTGGTGGAAGAGGAGAAGCGGATGGAGCGGGTGATGGGACGGGGAATGGCGAGGAGGTTTGCTCGCAGGAGGGAGGAGCGCAGGAGAGACATGGTGGGTGGGTGGGTGGTGGTGGAGTTTTGGATTGTCTTTAAAATCGGCGGTGAAGCGTAGCGGTAGATGTCGATGAGAAAGAGCGAGCGTATCAGGAAAGAGCGATGCAACAAGCAGAAACAATGACTACCAGCACGGCCTCTGGATCTCCCGACTGACCTCCGACTGATAATTCCACTGTTGGAGATCGCCAAACATGTTGGATGACATAATTCCAGACGCGCGCTGGAGCTGATCCCTGCCGTGCTGACTTAGCAAGCTCCCGACATGCAAAGTTCACAAACAACAAAAGAACGGGAGCTCCATTACCATCGCAATTGCGCCCGGCTGCCCTTTTGCTCTCTCGTTCCCGGCGCTTCTCTTTCTTCCCTAGTGTCCTCCCATTTGCGCGCGATTAATGTTTATGTTCGGCCACCGGCGCGTGCTCCCAACCTCCACCTGAACACGCTCCCACGAGGCTCGCGACCGCCATCGACACCCTCGCTGCACATCCCACCATGGCCTTCCAGGGACCGCCCGCGACGCCGCAGCGCCCTACCCCCGGCGCGTTCGTGAACACCCCGGCCCCCAACCGACCGGGCTTTGGGCGACGGGCCTCGATGGCGCAACCACAGCCGCTGCCCCAGTCGCGCTCGGCACAGGCGCTGCCTGCACCGCCGGCAGAGAGCGCCATCGACCGCGCCGCGCGCACAATCAACAGCATGCTGGACCGGGACAACAGGTTTCCCGCGTTGGAGACGTACATCGGGCGTGAGTAGCGCCGACGCCGGCCGTAGACGGGGTCAGAGATGCTAACCAAGCACTGCAGAGGGCGTGTCCGGCGAGTACGAGCTGCCGTCCAACCCGGCCTGGTCGCCGTTCCAGAAGCTGCGCACCTACCGCCTGCCCGAGGCCGTCTTCGAGCAGGTCGACCACACGCAGATGTCGACCAAGATGGGCCTGTTCGCCGAGATCAACCACGCCTGGGTCACCGTCGACAACCAGGTCTACCTGTGGGACTACACCCACCCGAACCCCGAGCTCGTCGGCTTCGAGGAGCAGCCCCACAACATCACCTGCGTCAAGCTGCTGCGCCCGCGCGCCCACGTCTTCGTCGCCACCATCGACTACCTGCTCGTCGTCGCGACCACGACCGACATCTTCCTCATCGCCGTCGAGTGCCAGCGCGGGCCCGAGGGCGTCCACGGCATCACCCTATACCGCACGGGGCTGTCGACATCGGTCAGGAAGATCAACGTCACGGCCATCGAGGGCTCGGCCAAGACGGGACGCATCTTCTTCGGCGACGGGGGCTCCGAAGACGTCTACGAGCTCAACTACCAGCAGGAGGACAGGTGGTTCTCGAGCAAGTGCAGCAGGACCAACCACGTCTCGACAGCAGTCGGGCTCCCAGCACTGCCCTTCTACGGCGTCTCGAAGCAGGTCGGGACGCAGCAGATGGTCATCGACGACACGCGGAACCTGCTGTACACGCTCTCCACAAACGGCACCATCAAGGTCTACTACATGCGCTCCCCCACGACGTTGGAATGCGTCATCACCCGCACGCTCGCAAACATCCAGACCATGTGCAGCCACATCGTCCGGCAGGGGGCCGCGCTCGACAAGATGGTTCTTGTCAGCCTGAGTCCAATCACTGGCACCGAAGCCGACCATCTTTCCCTGATGGCGACCACGTCCTCAGGCTGCAGACTGTACCTAAGCACTACCTCGGGTGGCTGGAGCAGCGACAACACAAGCGCGCCAAACAGCATGCAGCTACGGCATATACGGTTCCCCCCCTACGACGGTCCGGCTACGCAGCAGAGCAATTCGACCCAAATACAACCATATGCCGGTGGCACTCCACTGGGGCTCGACTCCAAAGCCCTGCGAGACACAAAATACGGAAATCGATACGCGCCAGGGTCGTTCTTCTCCTTCGTCCTGAGGGCCGAGAACGACGCCAACCAGACACTCTTCATCACGGCTCCACATTCTGGGCTGCTGAGCCAACGGGAGACGTCTGAACCACCGCGATACACCGAGACAGGCCTAACGCTGGAGCTCGTCGGCAGGATTTTGGATATGGGCCAGGTCTCAGAGCCTTTTTCTGCCAGGAACGAGCCTCTAGGATTCGGCAATGAGCTGTCAACCCAGTTCGACAAACCCCTTTCTGAATTCGCGATTATCACATCATTCGGTATCGAGACCGTCCGAAGGAGAAGGCTAGTCGACGTCTTTGCCGCAATCATCAAGTACGGCAACGGGCAGGAGGGCGCAGAGAACGATATCCGCAAACTTGCAAAACAGTACGGTCTTGCGGAGACAGCTGCTACCGCTCTGGCTGTAGCGTGCGGTCAAGGATCAGACGTGGGCCCCGATTCTCGAATCGCCAAAATCACAGATCCGGACGTGCTTGATTTTGCGCGCAGGGTCTTCATCGAGTTTGGCGGCAAGGCACATTTGACGGAGAGCGCGACAGTCGAAGGTCTCAGCGTGGAGAACGTCCGTCCTTCAGCCCGTCACGATGGCATTGCAATGTATGTCGCTCGCCTTGTGCGCTCAATCTGGAACTCGCCTGTCATCGTGGAGGTTCTTGCACCGACTGGTCCTATTCTGGCGTCTGCGCAGAACGTGGCCAAACTGCAGGACATACAACGCGCGCTTATGCAGCTGCAAGAATTTCTGGAGTCAAACAAGTCTTTCATAGATGGCTTGGCTGGACCGGAGGCGTTGGGGCGAGTGTCTTCGCGACAGGAAGAGGTTGAGCTTCAAGGCGAGAACCGCGCTCTGACCAGTCTGCTACAGCTGGTAAACAACATCATCGAAGGCATCTCTTTCGCGCTCGTCCTGTTCGAGGAGCGTCTCGAAGATATTCTGGTATTGCTTCCGAGCCCAGAGTTGCAGATTAGGGTCCGTCGCCTCACCTTCCAGGGTCTGTTCTCTGTCAAGGAGGGAAAAGAGCTTGCGCGTGAGCTGGTCAAGGCGATCGTCAACCGCAACATCGCCAAGGGCTCTAATGTGGAAACAGTTGCGGAGGCATTGCGCAGGAAGTGCGGAAGCTTCTGCAGCGCAGATGACGTTATCATCTTCAAGGCTCAAGAGAACTTGAAGAAGGCAGCTGACATGGGCGTGAATGCCGACCGCGGACGTACCTTGCTCAACGATAGTTTGATGTTGTTCGAGCAAGTGGCAAAGAGCTTGAGCTTCGAGAATCTGACGACTACAGTCAACAAGTACATCGAGCTCGAGTTCTACGCAGGTAAGCTTTGTTAGCGCTCTTCATTTGACTTCAGCTAATCAATCTTTTAGGCGCTATCCAACTTGCTCTCAAGGTCGCTCAAGAATGGGACCGGGGGAATAAGGCTCTGTCTTGGATAAGAGAGAGAGATGACCCTAACATCGACCCGAACGATGTTCGGAGACAATATTACGACGAGCGCGCTGCGTGCTACAACCTAGCTTTCGGTGTCATCGAAGCCGTTGATTTCGCCAACAACAACCAAGGCTTCGTTGCAGATGGTGTCACATCCCAAATCACGCTTCGCAAACAGGAAGCATATAATGTGATCAACGACTCCGACGACGAGGTTTTCCAAAACTACCTCTACGATTGGTACATGTCGAAGGGTTGGTCTGAACGCCTGCTGCAAATCAACTCTCCGTTTGTGGTAGAATATCTGCGACAGAGTGCTGAGAAGGACATTGCTCATGCAGACCTCCTGTGGCGCTATTACGCCCATTACAACGATTTCTTGAGCGCTGCGGAGACGCAGTTTCAACTCGCAAAGAGTGCGCTCAATCTGTCGTTGGAGAAGCGGATAGAGTACCTCTCACGAGCGAAAGCGAATGCTTCAACACGCATGACCGGTTTCTCCGACACTGGGGTGCGCAACAGGCAGTCGAGACAAGAGCTCCTACGAAATATCAGCGACCACCTCGACGTCGCTAACATTCAAGACGATGTCCTGCAGAAGATCAAGGCCGACGAACGCCTCACTGGCAAGCGGAGAGAAGAAGTCATTCTACGTCTCGACGGCGAAATTCAATCCGTCGAACGAGTGAGTCACTCCTCCCTACTCACACAAAACCATATGCTAACACATCTCAGTTGTACAATGACTATGCCGACCAAGCCGGCTACTACGACATCTGCCTCCTCATCTACCACGCCGCCGACCACCGCAGCATCCCAGACATCCGCCACACATGGACCAACCTCATCGACCAAGTGCACCGCATCGCGCTCAAGGACCGCCAATCCGCGCCCTGGGAGTCGGTCGCCCTGAAAGTCGAAGACATCGGCCGTCGCGTCAATCTCAACGAGAACGTCTTCCCCGTCAACATCGTCTTCCAACTCCTCCTACAGTACGACCTTGGCTTCTACGCACACGACGCACAGAGCGCCACCGGGACCCTGGCCCTCAATTCAAACCTGACCTGGCCCATCGACGTGCTGCTCAAACTCAACGCGCCGTTTGAGATCCTAGTCGCCACGCTGGAATCACTCTGGTACGGCCAGGAACAGCCCTTTGCGGGCCGCAACCGCAAGCTGCTCGTCAAGTGGCTTGTGTATCTCGTCGAGCAGTGGAACGTAGTGAGCCGGCGGACGGGCGCGCACTTTGGCGGCGTCGAGAACGCGATCGGATTGTCTGATTTGCTGCGCGTTGTGCTGGGTAGTGAGGTTTTGGGGCGCGAGGATAGGGAGTGGGCGGATCGGGCGAGGGATGTTAAGGCTATTGTTGATGAGGCTGCGCGGTGAGGTGGGGGGCATGTAGAGTTGGAAATCAAGGGAATTGGAATGGAATGGAATGGAAAGATAGTAGGAGGGGAGCATGTGACGATATGAGAGAGCTCTTTGTTTTTCTTCGCAACCTGGGCTTTTGTGTATTCTTTCCCAGCGGCGTGGCGTTTTCTTTTTTGTCTAGGGTATCGGCGTCAAAAGCATATTGGTCTTGTAGGATGGATGGATGGATTGTTTCTAACTGGAAAGCGGGTTTTGAAGACGGTCATTTTTGGAGGTAGAGATCTTTAACCTCTTTTTTGTTATCTTTTTGAATCTCAGTAATGATATGAAAAACTCGACTGTTGATGTCTTTACTTGTGCGTTGAAGACGTTGTAACAACAGGTTGAACGAAACGTGAACGCTTATGCACTTGACGCTAACCCTAATCCAGTCTTATATCCATCCATCTGTTCAACAACAACCTCTCTCCCTCCTAAACCCATACCCCCATACACCCATAGACCCCTCTCATCTCTTTCCCCTTTCCCCCATCCTCCTAACCCCCAATTTCCCCAAAACTAAACCCAAATGCCGATATGCATCCACTGCCGCTCCCCCGTCAAAACGCTCTACACAACCTACTCCAAAGCCGACGACCGCGCGCTGGGCAAAGGCGTGCGGCTGACGCAGTGTCCGCGGTGCAAGGCGTTTGCGGATAAATACGTCGAGCATGATTTCGTCGTGCTGTTTATTGATTTGGTGTTGATTAAACCGCAGGTATGTTTTTCTTGCTAAGAGAAGGCATGGAGGGGGGGTTTGAAAGGGATGAATGTAAGGCTGATGAGAAGGTTGTGCATGTAGGTGTATCGACATTTACTGTTCAACCGTCTGGGGCGCGATGATGGGAAGTTCGATGTGAGTGTGCCGTGTTTATATCCCAGCTAAGACAGTTGGTGCTAATAACATCCGCCCACAAACAGCGCTCGATCCTCCGTCTAGGAATCCTCCTCCTCCTCTTCGACGTCTACCTAACATGGGCGCGGATCGAAAAACTCGCCCTTCCCACCCCAGCAGCAGCACCCCCATCCCCCCTCAACCCATCCAGCAACGCCACATCAGCAACGCAAGCGGAAACAAACGCCTCCCTCCTCCAAGCCCAACCCCTCATCCTACAGTACCTCTTCTTCCTCCTCCTCGTCACCCTCAGCACCCTCGCCTTCCACTTCCCAATCCGCCTCCTCTGCTCACTGCGCGCACCCCGCCCGCTCCGCAGCCTGCTGCCGTACTACCCGCACCCCGCGCCGCTGTCCACGGCGCTACTCGTGTCCTCCTGCACGAAGCTGTTCCCTATTCTGCTCATCATATGGGACTACGATCTGCCGTCTAGCGCTACGGCGGTGAGTTGGGCGGTTATTGTGAATAATGTTGCTGCGTTGGAGATTCTTATGGATTGTGGGTATGTGCGGGCTGGGGGGTTGGTTGCGGTGGGCGCGGGGTGTCGGTGGGTTGTTGGTGGGGCGGTGTTGAGGGCTGCGGGGTTGGGGACGGGGTGGGAGGGGGGTGGGCTGGTGGAGGGGGTTAGGGGGATGACGGGGTTTTGAGGGGGGGTTGTGTTATTGTGGGATGGTTGAAGGTTGTTGGGCGAGTGGGTTGGGGAATGATATTGTGATACCCGGTTCTTATGATCGAAAATAGATGGTTTGTTGAGCTGGATGGTTGGCATTCTACAGGATAGGACGCTAGAGGGAAGAGATGGGGTCTGCTATTGCTGGTGTTTTCTGGACATGGATTACACTGAGTAATAAGGGAGAGCATATGTCATGTCCGAAATGATGTTTATACAATCCTACAGCTCCTCCCTTGGAAACGCCCAGCCAGATTTACAATGCGCTCAAACTTCAAATGTACAGCCTTAATTAAGCACGCTCCGCCTCTTCTCGACTACCACCTAACGCACATGTGTCTCAGTATCGGCAAGACTATCGCCTGGCAAAGACAACTCCCTACACGTTCATGCGCTTCCCCTATATCGTCTTCGGTTTCTTCGTCTGTGCCTCCTTTCCTTGTCCAACCTCGCGGAGAAGAACACTAGCGCCCAGTGTTCAGCTCCGGGCGAAGACCTTTCCGTACCGGCGTGATGAGAGGGTGCAGTTGCGCGAGGAACGTTATCGCCCACATGATGTACATTGCTGAGGCTGAGAGCACGAGTGTGGATCGCCAGACACTGTAGTTGCGTTAGCCTTTGATCTTTCTAGCTGTACGCGTGTCTGCTCCTTGATAGAACATGCTGCATCGATGAACATGGGTGTAGATGAAGCAGTGGATGAGCTTGATCGGATGCGATGACGCGATGGAGGTGCTTGCGGCAACGTGATGACTTCGATAGAGAGATGTAAACATACGTCTGGTTCTCGCCCTTGGGTGCAAGGATCCAAGCGGCGAGGCAGAATACGACGACGACTACGAAGCCGATAAATGGTGCCCAACTATCACGATTAGCTTGCTTCTGCTTCCAGTTCTGTTGCGCCATCTCACCCGTTTGCCATTGTGTTTCTGAAGCTACGGGAGCGTTGTCTCGGGGGTAAAAGAAGTTGCTGGTGGTTCGCAGAGTATTTGGTAAGCGTGCTGTGCTTCTAGAACGACTTTGCGGGGTGGAGACGAGCTGTTTATCCGACGATGCGTGCAACGTGCAGACGTGAGCTCTTCCTGGAGGTTCGCGACAATGACGCCTCGCGAGCTTGGCACGGATGGTCGCGCTAACCAACTAATCTTATGGCCCGTGCACTATCACTGGTCTTCTTGACTTCTCCCGCATTCGGTTCATCACCATAAAATCGGACAGATTGATAGAGATATTATGTCTCAATCTGAATACCAATACCTAAACTCTATTTTCTCGGATCTCGCCTGTTGCTTCTATCTTGAGCCTCGTAGATCTTCTTCTCCTTGGGTGCAGGCAATCATATATCGCCTCACTCTACTTCATATCTATCATGAGACGTCCAACGCTGAATGCCTTGCCCGAGGTTTATGATAAGGCATCCCATCGGTGGCCCCCCGCTTTTCAATATTAAATCCCAGATCCCTTCCTATACTCCTCTTTCATAAGCTTTCCCTTTGACATCTTGACTTGAATGTACATACTCGTTGCTCGACCTCTCTTCGACATATCCAATTACGAACTCGACATCTCGCATGGTATGAAGTACCCAAGAGCTGGAACTATAGGTACCTAGAGCTCGTTGGCCGCCCTGGATTCAAGAGATCTTCATTACTTCCAGGATCTGGGGCGAGCGCGAAGCCCTACCACTTATCTGCCGGTTATCTATGTCGCTGTCTTGGACGAACACTTTTCCACGGTGTCTGTTTACGGTGCGGCGAAGAGATCTCAGGAGACAATTTCCGGTCAGCATACACTCACGTGACCCTTCATATCAGCCACTCTCGCTTGGCATGCAGGTACAGGCTTTGTCCCAGATTATTGCTCCCGACTTCAAAGTAGTTTTGATTCCTGCTGACTGACTGTCAACAGAACAACATCTGAGGAAGTTTGAACCTTAATCTGGGTCGATCCTTGCATGTAACTACTGCAGAGATTCACAAATCTGTGGCTGCATTTCACCGCCCTAGTATGACTAGACATATCCACGCTCCATCTCGTTTATCTCGCGGGATCTATAAAACTGAGTCTCAAGCAAAGGAAAGGAAACCGGAAGACCCCTTCATTGCTTCTTCTCAAGGCTCAACGCTGGAATGCTCTCAATTGCCTGGAGATGGCGTTGGTTAGCACACCGCTCTTCGGCAACAGTAGACCATGCATGCGGAACAATGCATCACATGCCTGATTTCGACATAGTTTCAGGTCCTTCCCGTAACACGTATGGGAAATGCAAGTTGACCGATCCAATACCGCCGGGCGTTCCATCTGCAGGTCTTTTGCTTATGCTAGGGTTCAGATACCTGCAGTGCACAAGTCCCAAGCTCAGACGACGCATAACCCGGTTAAACTTAAATCTAGCTAAGGTTTGACGAGCAACGACGCAAACAACTTCAAGGTCTGTCGGCAGATGGAGCATGATGCGACTTCTGTCTCCCAATACCATCTACACAAAACAGCTTCCTAGCTATGAGCTGTAATCGTTCGACCCAATAACAATCGTACGCCTCACTGTTCATACTGATAGATTTCTGGCATTCCGGTGATCTCAGCCATGACGCTTGTACACGTCTCAAGTCTGGGCGCCTCGCGAGTAGACGTGTCTCTCCAGGATGTGTGACGCTGTACGTCGCCAGCCTTCCGCACTTGGAACTAAGGAAGCCTGCTGATAACCTTTGTCAAAGGTATGACAGTGGCAGGTTGCATACAGCTCAACGGACCACTTTCCGCTTCTTCCAATACGAACAGTAGCCCCAAGGGCCCCGTTGACGTGTCTAGGTGTAGGTGTCTAGGGTATTTTATGTGTAGCCTCGATCGTCCTCCACGTAAGGTGGGATGAATCATATACAGCAAAAATGCTGACGTTGACTCCAATCGTAGTTCTACAACGCGGGGAGGCGTAGATGAAAACGTTATCCGTCAAAGACGGAGCTGAGCGGCATTTCCAGAGGCAAAACTTGCAGATCATAGCTCGTCCAATGGTGCATACACAGTATATCGCTTGTGTTCAAGGGTTTGCTTCATCATTGATAACACGATCTGATTGATCGCACTGCTTTTATAGCTTGAAAGACGCGTCGTGACACAAAGCCTCATACGGTTAATTCATACTACAGGCTCGCCAGGGATGTTATTACCTCCCTAATCAAGTCATCAACTCCCACCATCAAGATCACTGCACATCTAAATTCATCCAAGATACCTCATTTGTTTCTAGTTGTTAGCATTCCAACATCACCCGCTCAAATGGATTTTGTCTTTATAGACAGTGGTCCTTCTATGAGCGACGTATCATCCGGAGAAGAAGATTTGCCGCCTTGTCGAGAACGCCAGGGGGGAACACCTACGAAGGACGACCCCATGGAAGCTATAACTCCCAGTACTCCGATAACCCCAGTGCACCGTTGCTCGCACCGCTGTGGAGACTATGAAGACCAACATGCGGAACTAGGATTCAGTGGTCCTTCCACTTGCGGTTTTCAACGCCCTCGAAAGGATTCAAATGAACACTTGTTTCTTGACCATTACTCCCAATCGAAACCGAAGCGAAACGAACAGTATGGACACGAGTGGAAGCTGCTACAGTTGCAAGACCGGACGATTCGAGGCTACCATAATCCCCAAACCCAGATGTGTGCTGCCCCGCCACCGCCACCACCTCCTGTAAGTCACGATAACTTCTGGCTACTCAACAGATCACTTACGTTTGAATAGCCCCCTCCGCCACCTGTAAGTCTCCGAGAACTGTTGAATTCGAAGCTTATCATCCCAGCCCCCTCCACCACCACCACCTCCACCGGCACCATATAGCCTACCTCGTTTACCGAAATTTCAGGGAGCGCCCCCTCCTCCGCCGCCGGTATGATACCTTGTGTTGTGTAATCCATCATTTCTGACATGACTGAAAGCCTCCTCCTCCCCCGCCCCCCTCCTTTCCTCCTTTTCCTCCTGGAGCAACCAACATTCCGATAAACCCCGACGACGAAGTATCCACGCCCGATGCGTTCATCCCCGTGCACTACTCCAATGATCGCGTCATGGATATCAGCCGTGTGATTCGCATTACAACATCTAGACGTAATGTCTTCATGACTCTTCACCGTGCCAAAGCCACAGACCTTAGAGGGTTCAGATGGCTGATCCAGTACGGCAGCACGGAGTTCTGGTACGAGAAGCCAACTCGTGCTCTTTTGAAGCACTTCCATTCGCTGGAAGCGTCTGGTTGCGAGACTCAAGACCTACTCCCGCTATTCAACGCTCGACCGATTGGCCTTGAGACACCACGGGTGTGGGCATCCGCTGCACTTACGACCCCAACTGATGATGACGTGGAGACTTGCACAGCTGGACATGCAGCTGATGCTAGAATCTCTGAGTCATGCCAACAGTGCGTGAATGACAGGGCTGAAGCATTGGACAACACGTCACTTGTGTATTGCCTAGTACTTTCTACCTGCCAGGCTAGCGACCCATACGTCCACGGTGCCCACTTCAACGGCAGGCAAATCTACAAGCTCGTCAAGTGTGGTAGCCGTGAAGCTGCCGTTGCGGAAGCTTTCTACGCAGCTGGAGTCAACGGGTGGAGTGTTGTGTTCAGCTGTGTGATGAGATTTGGCGAAGATGTCTTCTCTACGACTGGGACTACGGAGAAAGTGGACGAATTATGGACACTAACAAAGGACAACGAGATTGGTGTTGCGGATGGATCTGTCCGGATTTTCTACTAACAAAAACGCAAAAACAGCATAAAAAACACAATGAGCTTTTGCTACTGGCTTCATCGGGCGGCATCTTTTCAACTCTTCGGCACAGTACTTCCGCCTTCCCGCTTCCAGTGAATACAACGGCAGTCGGGTTCTGCGATATCACATCGCGGGCACCTCAATTACTGTGGAACTCGGTCTGTACGATATTCGCTTCAACCTGCATCCGCCATGCTCTGCGTGCAGTCTGACGAAAACGTGCTGACCGATGGACACACCAATGCCCTGTGGACTCGACCGGCACCATCCTTCCCTCACGCTCAAAGATCTCCATCTCTTTGGTTCCGGGCATCTTGTCCTTTCGATTCGACGTTGCCCTCCCAGATTGGCGTTATGCTGTGCATACAACAAAGTCCAATAAGCGCGGAACACGCAGGCGTAACGCATGCAATTGGGCTTAGATTCGTGTGTTACCTTCCACTCCTTTCGTTTTGTTATTTCTTTTGTGGGTCTGCTTTATCGGCGTTAGGATATACGTTGTGAATGGCGTTGGTGGCTTCATTACGACCGGAATGGTGGGAAACAGGGCGTTGGATTTTTGTATTACGTTTACTTGATGTTGTATGATATTGGCTGAGGGATTGTGGTCCGGGGGCGTCTGGGGCGTCGAGCGTGTGGCATGAATGGGTTTGTTGGGATGCACGTCGAGTGTTAATGGTTTCAATGTTCTTACGTGTGCTTTTAACGCAGTGGATTAGTATCAGATGTCGTATGACGTGGCGTGCAGCCTTTTGGGGCAGTAGGCAGTGACCATAATCTTCGGGCACAGGCACTAACATGACTGGATCGGCCAAGAAGCTTAGAATCGCCAACTTGCATGGATGTTTTATCGTTGAGCAGCTGATGATGCTGCTCTCCTCCACTTCTCTCAAACTATGCAATCATACCATAGATCCAACAATACAAAGCAGAATAGCGTTAAAGAGTATCTCTAAGAGCAAGGTTTACGAATAGAAGAACATGTCCTGGTTGTATGATTCTTTTACTTCTTGCTGAACCAATGCTCTACTGCGTCCAACACATACGGCAACACAATGTAAGAATACCGCATATGTTGATCGGAAGAACAAACAGGTACAGATGAGTGAGAAGGATAAGATTCCATCATTAGGCTGAATGGGACTCTTAGAGTATTTACCAGATAAAGAATTTGGAGCGTTGTTTGAAGTCACTTTCACGAACGGATCGTATCCCCACCTTAGACCAATATTTGTAGAGAGCGCCCGGTTGAGCACAAGAGAAACTGTCCCAAGAAACAGTGTTGCTCTTGTGTTTGCTGGAACAGATCTCAAAGCAGGAGCTGGGTATTAGTATGCGTTTGGTACCTGAATACTGGAACAAAGAACCAACTATTCAGAGAGTTTGTGCAGAGAAGTTTCACTGGATGGTGACTGTGGCTCATTTGTATATGCACGGAAATTGATGGGCGCTTTTTCATTACAAAGGGCAACAATTCAAAATGAGAGATTATGGTCAGTCATTGATTGTTGGACAGAGAACCAGGAGTTGGGGCTTGCCAGAAGAGCACAGCAACATAATGTCTCGGTACAAAAACTTTCTAGGAAACTGACTACATATATACACACAGTTGATTAGACATTATGTCCACTACACATGGCTCTAGGTTAAGGTAATGATCAAAGTTCCTTTTAATTCTCGGTATGAGTGTCATGGATATTTTGAAAATCTTAGAATTGCGAACTCTCAGTAGGGGTTACTATAGAGTACTCGCCGACCAACAGGTCAACCACATAATTCGTTCATTACCTGATTTCTTGTTGCTCAGATTTTAACATGAAGCTAAAATCTTTAGAATTGCGACAAAATACTCTCATCGGGGTTCCAGGCGATGTTTTCTGGACAGTTTTAAAATCCAACATCACTCTGGCAGACGAGACTTTCGGATAGTCTTATGTTGGAGACAGAGAAAGTGCAGAGAATCGTAACGCCATAACAGACTTTATGGTCTTTCAAATAGATGTCGCTATGATTGGTCTATGGATGTTATTGTTTTAGGAGTTTCGCCATCTCAATGACAGTATTATCGAGATTCTGGGCGAAAAAGCCCAACCCGAAATCTTCAAAGAATCGTTGGTAACGTACGGTTGTTGATGATATTCTTGGATCCAGCCAAAACATATCAGCATACAGCGCATGTTGATATACCTCAAGTGTGCAACTCCCCGAGCGAATTGGAATAACATCTTCGGAATGGTAAAAGTGTATGTTGTGCGGGTAGGCTATACGGTTTCAAGTGACAAGTCACTCTCCAAAGCGCAGGACATGGGCCGACATGTTGTTCTATTTTGTAGAGACAGTCTTCTTTGCAGAGAAGAATGCCAAAAAAAAAGATTTGACGGACGAGTAAAGAGTCCTGAGAGAAGAGTTTAGATAGAAACAGACCAAGAAACCTCATAGTTATGTATGGCTTTGCTTCTTGAATTCTAGAAGACAACGATTATACTTATAAGAACTGTATTTACAATCTAGATGTTCCGAAGTAAGTGAAAATTGAGTAGCAAGGCGACAGAGAAGAAAAAAGCCGAGGACACTACTACAAGCATCACTGCAAGTCGCTGTGTAAACAAAATATACACAGCAAACAGACATAGAGCAGCTATGTGTCTTTTTGAATGCTCTTGGGTATTCTCCACTTCACTAGAGCTCCAATGAAGTTTTCGATTGCTGTACGAGCTCCTCATGCCATAGTGTCTTCTCAAGTTTTTGTAAAAGTGGAAGCAGGTAAAAGGCCTCATGAAGCAAGTTATAGGGCTTTTCGCCGACGCGAGACACCGAATGTTCGCGGTCTGGTGCTTTTCTTTCCAAGTTCGAGAACAGTCAGGTCCTAACAGGACATGAAACGATCGGACGAACGACTTTCGAACTTTTCATGTCTAAATCGCTATTGCAACAAAACCTGATAAAAACGACAGACGTGAATAGCTCAGCAGACATTCTGTGCGGTCCACACCCAGTCTTGAAATCTCCAGATCTTTTGGTTTAGAAGAAGGCTGCAACATCGAAAATTCTCATCCAAGTTTTAGTACCGCAAAGATTATTTTGAGGATAAGAAAATCGGAGGTTCAAGTTCAGATACCAGTAGTGGTTAGAAATGAAGGCGAAAGCGGAGAAGAGCAAGAAACTAGAAATGAGGTTGGATTTAATAACATTATGCCTTCTTCATTTCATTTTGCTCCCCGGAAGACATCGTCACATTGCTTTCGTATTTTGACTACATGTAGATTTTCCTTTGCCTTTGTTCGTATACACAGCTCACAATCTCAGTGTACGACCATTGGTCGTCTTCTGAGTACTTTTCGTTGCTGCTTAGCATCATACACCATGTCCCTCTTTTTCTATCCAATTTCATACGTCTTATGTTGCTGATCATGCAATCTCCATGTATGCTCTCAAGTATTGTCCTCTCTCGGATCTCCACGAGCACCCTCGTGCGCCATTCCGGCTTTATGCCAGACTCCCTCCATGATCTCGTCTACCCATTGTTTTTGACTACACCATCACATATCACATTTCTTTTGATTGTTTGTATCCCACCCTCACGCATCAACCCTGTATGAAGTCCTTTTCGTTCAGCGACTCCACAGCTCCACTCATAGAGTTGTCCTCGATGTCTTTGCAAAAAGAACATTGGTGCATGTAAGACTGTAACACAAGATGTCTGATTCTATCCATCCCTTTGTCAGCATCAGCATTGTGAATGGCGGTGTAGATCGTTTGCGTTGTACATGCTGCTTGGTCGAAGCAGCGTAACAGATCAATAGCAATCAGCAGGGATCTTACGGAAGCTTCCAAGTAATTGCAGTCGAGTACGTTTCTCTGAATTATGGTTAGCTTGCATCACTGATAGTGGCTTTGACACAAGAAAAGTGGTATGACGCAGGTGCGATGCGATCCAGACATAACTGACAGCAAAAATAGCAAGGTTAAAGAGGAACAGGCGATATCAGTGATCAAAGCAATGCACAATTATCAAGAGAGGACAGCATAATGTTCATCAATCGTGTCTCATTTCGTTATACAGACACATACCCGCCAGTGTCACAAATCATGATAACCTCCCAGATGTAGCTATTACTAAAACCACTTTTCTACTGCCGACGTTTCCGTCACGTAATTTCATATACTGTTCTCCACTGGCCATGACACCCAGAAGCTCTTACAAAGAAGCGCTGGTCTGAACCTTCTGGACGATCGGGACGATGCTCTTGAAGAGCGGGTGGTCCTTCTCAAGGCCGTTGACCTTGGTGACGACCTCCTCGGCAGAGTTCTCCTTGAGGATCTTGGCAAGCTCAAAGGACTCGTCGTCACCCTCGACGTTCTGGAAGCGGTAAGCCATTTCAATGGAGCCAAGAAGTGCGTCGAACTTCTCGCCGCGCTCAGCGAGCTGAGCAGCGGGGCCGACGAAACGCTCCTTGCGGGAGAGCTTGCGGAGAGGGGCACGGCCGACACGCTCGACGTTGTCCTTGAGCTCGGGGTTGGAGATACGTGCAACGATGGAGTCGACGTAGTCATCCTGCTCCTTGGCGGAGATGCCGTGCTTGTTGACGATCAAGTGAGCAGTCTCCTTGACGGCGTCACGGACGATGTCGTGAAGCTCCTTGTTTTGGAGCACCTCGTGGATGTATGGGATCTTCTTCTGGTGCCCGTAGTAGGCAGCAGTGGCATGCGAAGTGTTGACGGTGAAGAGCTTGCGCTCGATGTAAGGCTCAAGGTCATCGACGTAGTGGACACCCTCAATCGCGGGCTTCTTGCCGCCGTTGTCAAAGGGCTTCTGCTCAACGCACCACTCGAAGAACTTCTCGATCTTGACGTTCAGACCAGCGTTGGCCTCCTGTTGTGGCACAATTCGGTCAATGGCCGAGTTAGCGAAACGGGCCTTCTTGTCGATGCTGCTCTTGGTGTCCTCGCTCAGCTTGCCCTCGATGAAACCCCTCCATGTGGTTGTGGCGTTGATGGCGTTCTCGCAAGCAATGACAGCAATGGGGTAGTCGAGGGTACGGGCCTCAATGGCCTTGGCGACAGGCTCAGCGACGAACTTGAGGATGTTGGGCCCGACAGCGCAGGTAACAACGTCAGCGGAGGCAATCTCCTTGACGACCTTGTCCATCTCGTGCTTGGAGTTGATGGCACGGTAGTGGTCAATGGTGAAGGTACGCTCGCCATCCTCACCAATCTCGGTGACAGTGTACGAAGGTGTCTTTTGGAGCTGCTCGATGATCGAGTCCATGACATCGACGAACACGACCTCGTAGCCAGAGTTGTGAAGGAACTCGGCGACGAAGCCACGGCCGATGTTGCCACCACCGAAGTGGACTGCCTTCTTCTCGTAAGACATGGTGATGTGGGGTAGGCTTGAAGTAGCTTGGGTGAGATCTGAGTAAGGAAAGTCAGAAGTTGAGCGGTGTTCGAGTGTGTGGAGAAGGAGAGTTGGATGAGTTGGAGGGGAGAAGAGTGCTTGTTGTCTTTAATAAAGAAGGAAAGAGTGTGGTGGGGTATTTATTGAGAGAGGCAAGAGCTAGGACAAACAGAGGACAGAACTCAGAGTGACACCGTGTTGTGCATGGACTTACCTGGCCAGAAGCTTCTTTGAATGCAGCGGTGTGCACGAACAGTAGATAAGTCAGTTCAAACGCGACGGCAAGTGAAGGTTTATGTTGCGGGCACGATATCGAGCTGTGAGCTGGCGCAACGAACTCCTCTAAATAAGCGGTGACGATTTTAGTGGAGCACCCGATTGGACGCGGCGCGACTAAAGGTGGGAGGGAGGAACGAGGGGTCCACTTTCTCAGGGCGTGCGAGAAGCAATAGTCTGGGAGACGCGGGGGATCTGACAGATTTGATCCAGATCAGATGTAAAGTTTCCGACTCTCTAGCCGAGAATTTGCAAGGTATATATTACTAATGCTGCACTCATGATGCCCAACACTGCCCACGCTCGTGGACAGCACGAATGTACTTGCTGTGTCTCAACGACACGATTAACTTTAGATGCTCTTTTCCATCAAAACAAATTACTAATGGGTTTGGCTACGTCATGGAGCAGCGAACTATAGGTTGTCTCCCGTTCCCGCCATGAGCACGTGCCAAGCCGGCAGGGCAGATTTTTCAGCAAGGACACCCTCGCACCCCACATATGCGATCGATTTCTGCCAGAGTGTTCGTCATCGGTCTCAAAATCGAAGCTTTACTGTGAAAACCACTCCCGACACAGGTACCAACTCAGGCATGAATCGCTGTCTGAACGTGAGGATACACCGCGATCATTCGGTGATACAGATCGGGATGTTCGCGCATCAAGACCTCAGGGTCCCAAGCCATTGCAACGAAGAGTGTGTCGATACCGCTGCTCAAGGGTGTGGTGAAGATATTACAGATCTGCAGACCGATAAGGAAGGCGAAAGCAACCACTACAGGTGTGTATGATCCATCTGAATTGTAAGCTGGCGACGTGAAGACGAGGTAGAGGTATGCAAGCAGCGCGCATGCGTAGGCGATGAAGGTTGCGCCCATCGAAAGCACTGGACCTATGAGACACTCGTTTACGAGAGCATCGATGCCGCGATCCTTGATCATTCTGCGCAATATTAGCGCTCAATTCAAGAGACGAGAGCAGTGTTGATGAAGTTTTCGAAGGGGAAACTCACTTCCACGTATCCTTGGCAGCCGCAATATACGACTTGCCGTACAAAGCAATATAGCTGAACGCGTAACGATTCAAAAACTCCACCGCCCAGTTCAGCAGTCCGATGAGACATCCGAGGACACAGAACAGTATGGAGCCGACAATGTTACCGTCGCTAGAAGCGCTGCGCTGAGCAGCCGAGCAGATTTGTCGCAGAAACTGGATGATGGCTACGAGCAAGCTCCCAAGACTGATGCTTCCGAAACTGTACGTGATAGCTCGTTTGAATGCGCCTCGGGTGGCACCCTTGGGCATATGGTTGGGGGAAACTGAAGAAAACGGTACAGTCAGCATAGTATCAAGAGTCTCCAACGCGGCTCTAACCATCGCAGAGCGATTTTACTTACAGTACCAAGAGCCATATACGCCAGAGATGGTTGTGTGGATTGTGTTCTTGAGCCACCTGAGCACTGGTTAGCTGATATCGCAAAAGTAGAGCTTGATAACGTACTCGGAGATCCAATACATTGCAAATGTCACAAAGACAAGCAGACCAATGACCTTGGCATTACTGCAGCCTCCTGTCCCATTGCTACATGCTGGATTGTTAGTACTCGGGGTAAACTGAACGTAGATCGATACAAGTGTGACCGAGTACCACGCGCCGAGCACTGCTGCCAGCAATCCGCCAATAAGCGATACCACGTAAGTGTGCCCGTAGGTCTTTGAGACATCAATCGCAGTCTGCAGCATGAGCACGCTGAAGGGAATGCGAGGGATCCAAGATATGAAGCAGATCACGAAGAAGATGTTGAAGATCAGGAAAACGATGCCACCGGACCAGTATTTGCGCGAGAGCATGTAGATGGCTGTCGCAAAGCCGAAAACTATGTTCAGGATGCCTGTGATCCAGATGAACTGCTTCGTGAAGGTGCGCGCCGCCCACATGTACGCGAAGCTGAAGATTGTGGCCATGCCTAGGACGAATGCGAAGAGGATGATGGTGTTCGAGTCGAGACCGAAGTCGTTCTGGGAACCGTAGATACCGCCATTGAAGCTGATATTTTTAGCTGCAGAGGGTCAGTGAATACTATTCCGTGATTGCGTACACGCGCTTACAGTATCCATGAATCGAGATCCCAGAAACCACGATATAGCCCAAGAAGACGGCGATGAACAACAAGCCCGCCCACAGATCGTTGAACTTTGGCTTTTCGATCTTGAAGGTCTGGTCGAAACTCGGTTTATCGCCATAGTTCTGTTGCGCGTAACCATTCTGCTGCTGTGGTGGAGGTCCTTGTGGAGGCGCGTAATTCTGTCCGTATTGCGCTTGCGCCGGATCTTGCTGGTACGTTAGAGGCACATCTTGCTGTCGCGTGTCGTTGGCGTAGTAATTCGCTGCCTCTCCCTGGTGCGCCATTTTGCGGCAGGTTTTCTACCAAAGAGACGATGACAACAATTGAGTTGGGAGCGAAAGGAAGGGGTTTCGTATCAATAAAACTCTAGGCACAATGATATCACCTAAGTGCTACTAGAGCCATTTGAGCTGTGACAAAAACCTGCGATTCGATAGTAGCGAGCGCCGGCGCATCGACCGTCATTAAAGCTGGCCAGATCTTTCCCGAAAGGGTATGATAATCTCACTAGACAATGCTTATTTGCGCCAGGAGCTTATCAACGTTCATCGCGTTACAACCTCGGTCGTGTTTACGATTGCAGAGCTTACGAAAGATTTACACCCCGCGGTTCGACTTTGACTGGACTCCATACCTTCATACCTCGAACTATTCGAATTGCAGAGCAGCTCAACGTCTACGCTTGTCATTTCCCAGAGATCTGGTATTCCGCTTTCCCGACTTGGACAGCGGCTTCTTGATGGCGCCAACAGACCAGCCAGGAACTGATATTCGTTACGAGTAGTTGGCGATGATAGACATGTGATTATCGATGGCGTCAACGGAGATGCAAAAATCGACGAATTTGTTTGCACTCCTGCCTGCACTTAGCAAGCTACAACATGATGGGATCTCTATGTTGTCTGGTAACCTTGAAAGTTTACTATACACCACAATGTTGTCTGTCGAGCAAGAGATTAAAGTTCCACAACGCCGTCTAGTACGATAGCCGGTAATCCGCGGAGAACCTGCGCTTTGGATGCTCAACTCGAACAAGCCAAAATTCGACAAAAGAACATTTAGTGACGGCGCGATGTTAAGTAGTGAAACAACAGTTTGGCAGTATAAGTCCTGCCTCGTGACACGAGAGATTGAAACTGTTCCGACGTGGCTATGTACGGTGTCGTCTTCTTCTTCATGTGTCTAATATGAGCCTATGATCTGATTTGAGCCAACACGATTGGGAACTGGGTTTGCTAAGAGCACTCTGCACAAGTCCAGGACAGGAGAACGAAGTATCGGAAGGCCTTCTTTGGATTCGGTCAATGTATACGCCCCTCCCAAGCTCTTTCTCGCTGGTTGACATGTAAATAGTGATTTCACTACACACAATGCCATGAATACCTTGACGTTGATCCACAATGTCAACATGTGTCCCTCACACACAATGTCATATATTCTATTTCACCTTATATGCGCCGTCTGGAGAGTACTGAGAAACACTAAGTCTATTGACCTACGCCAACATCGTGAAATAGATTTTCCACTCGTAGGATTTACACTCGCATCATGAAAGTATCCAGCTGCCACGCTTCATTCATATACAGGGGCGGCTTGAAACCAGTCAGTCAGAAGAATCTTGACCCACACAACCAGTTTTGCTACATCTGCTACCATACATACGACGTCTCTACTACGACCCTTAGCGATCACGAACTCCCTGTTCAGCTTCCCTGTCGCCATGTTTTCGGAACAAACTGCATCTTGAAGTGGCTCTCCACGAAGAATACATGCCCACTCTGCAGGACAAAGCTTTTTCAAAGAGAAATTGTTAACTTTAGCGATAGCCCACTATACGCATACGATGAGTTTGACTTACCTCCCGAAGTATCTGCGGTATCGCCAGGGTATCTTCGTTTTCAATTTGAGCGCACATGGGATCATGTTTGGGAGAATCCCATGGACTTCGATATATGTCCGCTTCCTATGCTTGTCTCGGACACGGGCTTTAACTTATACACGGGGTCTTTTACAGACCTATTGCGAGACATTGGGGAGTTGCCTAGTCAGTACAGTGCATTGGAACGCGGTCGTAAGCGTTATAGAGCTCTCGGGCCTAGCTGTGGAAATAATGCTTGGAGTACATACACTGCATCAGCACGACGTCGTAGTCGCCTCGGAACTTACGTCTTTCCTTGTGAAGACGATATCTGGATGACGGCATTCTGATACGAGTGTCTTGAATGCATAGCGAGCGGGTATTAAAAGGTATGTGAGGTGTCGAAACTATTATATCAACATTCACCTTGAACACTAGCTGCACACATAGAATTCGTACAACCACACTACAACTCTTACAACAAGTAAATAACCCATCTATCAAAACACCCGTGCGAAAAGGGAAATCTCGTCAAGTCATCATATCCAGACCACACTCTCCCAGAAAATCCAGAATGCCATCCCTCCATCTCACAACTCCCAGTTCAAAAACGCCTCACTGGCCCTTGTGCTCCGTCTTTCCGACCACATACCCACACCGTCCTTTCTCTTGCTCTTCCGGAACCAGCTACCCATCATCTTCTTCACGCTATGTCTCAGTTCCGCCGCATGTCTCCCACACAACCGACTCCCGCGATCAGAGCAGCGAACACGCTCGCTACAAGATTCATGTGTGCAGTGCTGAACGCCCGGCGTGATGGGAAAGGACGAATGTGGCGCTGCTGTCGATACGGAAATAGTAGGTGTTGAGAGGTTGAGGGAGAGGGAGGGTTTATTCCATATCGACTTGGACGTGAGCGGCAGAGGGGGCACGTTCCATATTGACTTCACGCTCGAAGTTGTCGAATTGAAGGTCGGGTTTGTACGGTACTTCACGCCCCAGGCGGAGATCTGATGCGTCATGGCGGGATTGCGTGTCGGTATGGGGAGGAGGAAGGCCGTGCATTGCGGACAAGTGCAGGATATGTTTAGACCGGGGGCGAGCATTTTCGATTATTCTGTGTAGGGCATTGTTGAGATTTGGGAGGAGGGGTATAAATCAATGGGTGAGATAATGGCTTCCAGGCTACTTGAAATATCTCGAGATATAGATTGTTTGTATGAGACCATGAAACAAGCCACTCACATTCCAGACAAAGACTGCGAGCTGTAGTTCCTGTGTTGATACAGTCGTTTGGTGTCTTGAGTCACACTTACTGTACACCAGCCTTCTTTCGTGTTGTGAACAAAGCCATTGAGTATTTTCGTCCTGTTTTGGATTCCAGTATCCTGGCTATAGGGTATATTTCGGGCCATCTTATGATGATATCCCTTTACTACCGGATTGTCTGATTTTGTAGCTTATGTGTAGCGTCAGACTCCAAGGGCACCCTTGTGGCGTCGCTGTTTGCATCAGGGCTTTTGACTTTTTGAAACGTTTCCTGCACTGAAACGTCATCTTCTGAGATCCCAGGATTCGGGTTTCGATTTGTCGAGACGAGTTGACGTGTTCGTGGCGGCGCGGTTCGTGATCTGAGACCTGGAATCTGACTCTGTGGTACCTCTATTTTCTTAAGATTCCACGTTTTCTATTTGAAACGTTCTGCCATTGTTGACCAAGTGTCGCAACTCTTTTTTTGATTCCTCACCTTGTTGTGGCGTAGTCTATGATTCGTTCAGTCCTATGCGAAGATAATCATTTCTTGATTATGGTTGTCGCGCTGTCTCTGATCATGACCTTCAGGCCCTGTCGCAGTCAAGGTTTTCCTACACTTGTGAGGGCGAGTACATTGGAGTGACTGGACGCGTTATCGCAAAGTATCAGGCTGCTGCTGCGACCATTGTTGCGATCTTTTGGATAAAAAGTTGGTTAGAATACTGTTAACGTAGAAGAAGTTATGTTGTGCTGTTCAGATGACGAGAATATAAATGAGCTGAAAAGTGTATTGACTCGTATTTTTCTACGTGGATACACTGCCCAACATGAATTCTGGCGGACTCTTGCGAGACGATTCAAAGTGCAGTCAAAAGTCGAGTCGTGCTGTGACCAAGGGAGTTGACGGTTTATGGTGACCAGACAATCGCCCAATGGTTTTTGTACGGTTCTACTTACGTGCAATGCTCATTCGTCGGCGTGGGAAGGTTGGATGAGGATCACTCAGATGTACTACTTTTCCTCGGATTATGGCTTAAAGAATATTTCGCGAGCTGGCAGGCTCTGTACATGATCCTCCAGAGTCTACTCAAAACCTTCACAAAGAGGTTGGCCATACTGAAAAGCGACCTGCTTCATTTGGCTGTGTGTATGATCTAACGCCGTCTTGTAATGAATGATGTTTTGCTTGTCTGATCATATATTGACGGTAATTTGGTTCGAATGCCATAAGGCCATTAGCTTGGTATTGAACGCGGATTCCTAGATTGGAAGACGCAGCTAAGTGACTGTCGGTCGTATGGGAATATCCAAGGGTGCGTCCGTTTCTAGTGGCGGTACGCCTTTTTGCCATCGATGAAACACATTGATCAAACCATGGTCTCCAACACCAACGCACCACTCGCCATTGTCGCTCCACGCAAACTGGCGAAATGAGAATTCTACGTACTTGGGTACCACGACAGTCTTGTGCGGTTTAATCGAAAAGAAAGGATCGCTTATACCTTTGTCGCGATATTGTGATGTCGTCTTCTTCCGTTTCGTTTTCGAAGCACCTGAACCAGCGCTCGCAGCAGATGGAGCATCAGAAGCGGAACTTTCGTCGCGAATGTGATGTGCCAGGCCAACGGGTAACTTCAACATTTCTTCACCTATGTCGGACTTCTCGAGGCGTTGAAGATCCCAAAATGAAACCTTGCTCTTTGCATCGCCAGCAACCAGAACTGGATGGCGACCTAGTCCACTAAACACAGAGAAGCGCATGTAGAATTCTGGAGTGTTTGGTAAATCGAACTGGAGAAGCCTCTGGAAGCGTCCTCCCCATGCTGAGCGCGTGTTCGATGTGTGGTTTTTAGGAATCGTGACTGTTGTCTTGCTTTTGACGGCACTTGATGTTGGGATCGGAGCCGGAGGAACTATGTCAGTCTCTGATGTAAACCCGTCTATCTTCCAGAGAATTATTTTGCCTTCTCGGGCAGCTTTGCTGAAAATCAAGTCGCCCGACCATCGAAGACTGGAAGTGGTTAGCCACCAAGAAATTAAGAAACTCTTGAAAGGTGATACTACCAATCTACCATATCAGTGTGCACTTCCGTAGTGGCAAAGTGAGGATAATGGATTATGGCGGGCTTGTCTGTCCCCATGTAGTCCTTGATGTTTTTGGGTACAGTCCACTGGACGTGTCAGTCATATAACCTACGCACCGTGCATGCCATCTCACCATGTTGATCTTAGTGTCCATGCTGGCAGTCAAGATGTAGCGACCTTTGCGGTGATAGGCCTGGGCGAGTTAGGCCTTGTCTACTCACGAGCTTCTAAGCAGCCTACAAGTGTAAGGATTTCCTCTCTATGGCCTTGTCCATGGCATATTGCTGCAAGCGGTTGTTCTCTGTGAGTAGGGTCGAGACTCCATAACCGAACGCTTTGATCTCTACTGCAAGATGCCAAGATGGTAGGGTCTGTTGGTGATATCGCAAGGTCATTTATATCCTTCAACTGTAAGAGACCGTCTTGAACATGCAGTCTTGGGTCTACTCACGTGCCCATGTCCTGCCAGTGTCTGTGTATGTCAGCTGAAGTGACACAAGTTCGACAGCTGGAAACATACTGTCACAAGCTCGCCTGTTTCGACGTTCAGGACCTTGATCTCAGACATGTTACCAGTCACGCAAATTAGCGGGTTCCCATTTTCAGCTTGCGACCATGCAACACTGTTGTATAGGAGTGGCTGCGAGTAAGGCCAACAAGGTCAGTTGATGCTCAACTAACGGTACACTGACCATACCTTGTCGGCTGGTGTCCTATCGTCTTCGTCTTCCATCCACCGTAAGATCTCGATTGTATGGTTCTTTTCCAGTACACATCGGCAGATGATGACCTGGTTCAGTCAGCAATATTGTGAACCAAACACTCGGTGGTACATGCGTGAGTGCCTCCGCATATTGCAAATACGGGGTCTACGCCGGGAGGTGCATACGGGTAGAACTTGACATCGAAAATTTGGACTAGGACTGTTAACAGAGCAACGCAGAGTACTTGGTCAAACTAGCCTGCATTGAGCTTGCTGGAATTTTTTTGACCCTGGAAAACAGGTCAGCAACGAAGGCCTGCACGAAGCCCTGATGCACGTACTCCAAGCCGGATGGTTCCCCGAAGGGACGGCAGCTCCCCGTTCCCATTCATGGCGTCACAACGGCTATGCACGAATTGTCGGTATAGGATACAGCTAGGAAAGGCGGTGTCCAATTGAGGCACGACTGGTGAGGCCGGAAAGTGGAGGAAGGAGCAGGAGAATGGCTGTACTAGCGCCGTGTCGAATCGTCGATGACAGGCCAGTGTGACAAGTCGGTGATAGCAGATCGTTCGTCGAGCTGCTGCTCTTGGACCGACTCGTCGTTGTTTGGATCGGGAATACCGGAGCACCGCGCGCGTACTTGCTCGTACTTGCTCGCACACGCGAGTGGTCGGAACTCTTTAGCGAATGCTCGAGTGCAGGCCACCAAACACTCTCACTCTCCAGTGCAGTAGCGCCAAAGTTAGCTGGTCGGTTAACGCCGCCAAGATGCATATCACTCGGCCAGCGTCATTCAGTCCTCCTGTACCGTGGTGGCCTTGTACGCCAGCATCAGCTTCAGAACTGCCACAGACACAGTTGCGTTATTGCCTCGGCCTTGTGCTGAACCTGTCATCTTCGTTCGCGCAATTGCCGCTCGCGCCAACAGACAGTGCTTGCGCGTCGATCCCACCCCTTGCTTCATTGAGTGCTCGCTTGCTTCGCGAGTGCAACGCATCCACCTCCTTGGCGTCACTGTGTATTGCCATTTCCGCCGACGTGCGCAAGGGTCTGAATGTGTGAACCTGTCTGAACCTGTCTGTGTGCGTCGTGGCGGCCCTCGTCCCGTGCGATCCTTGACGCGCTTCGTGACCCACGAGGCCTAGTTCAACGGCGTTCGGTTGCTCTCACTGCGCTGCTCCCTGCTGATGTTCGCAACTGCTGTGAGCCAGTCCAGTCTCATGGAATCACGAACAACGGGCCTCATATAATCCTCTCCCCCATCCCCAAAGCCCAGCGCCACCGTCGTTGCCGCTGTGGGATAGTCTCTGCGTCGCCATTACATCACACTTGTGACTAGCTCGTACTCTAGAGGCCCTCCCCGGCTACCTGTCGCTACAACGACCTCAGGCGTTACCGCAACCCTATCCAGACGTCTGACACGTCCCTTTGGCGAAACCTGGGGACCGTCTACTTTAACCTGCTCTTGTTTCCTAACTGAAGAGCAAGCATTCATCTGCGGCTTCGCCTCCCACGGCGGATTGTCCTACTCGCCATCGTCCGGACCGCCAATAGTAGACGAAGGACCCTTACCACGTCGTAGTCCGCCAACATGGACACTACCTTCATCACCATCCATGGTAGGTTGGAACTAGCGTCCCAATACGAGTAGCGGCTTACCATCTCGACAGACCTCACCGACGACGCCAACATCCTTTACTCTTCTGACTCTATCGTTGACATTCTCGGTCACACACCTGACGAGGTTGTTAATAGATCAGTATGGCAATTCTTTCACCCCGATGAGCTGCCCCTTGCGAAAGCGAAGCACGGTCGAGGGGTGAGACTCGACAAAGCAGCTGTTTTATCCTACTGCCGCCTCAAAAATCGACAGGGCGATTGGGTAGGGTGCGAGTGTTGCTTCTCTATTGTCTACGACGTCATGGTCTGTTGCATTAGTATCTATAGACATGGCATGCAGAGTCAGAGTAAGATTACTGTATTGATCTCGACTCGCAAATACAATGGCTGACATACCTAGAACGAGCGGTCGAAGCTCCTATCGTACGCAAGCTGTTTGCCTCGTCTCCAGAGGATCCGCGTTATCACATGTTGTCACACCTTTCCAGCAAGTTTGGTCTCGGACCTCAAGAGCAGACCCACGAGCCTCGTGCGGCCCTCTTTCTCAACAGGTTCACACGAACCTTGACTGTCATGTACGCCACGAGTGGCATCGAGCAGATACTTGGTATATCTGGAGAAGCCATGAAAGGACGTAGCTTTTACTACTGCATTGCGTCAAACTGCCTTGACGACGCTGTGCGTTGTCTGGAATCTGCCAAAGGCAATGATTCTATCGCTTACATGCGTTTCTTCTTCCGCGATCCCCGCCTTGACGACACTCCCGAAACTCCTACTTCTGACAGCGACGACGAAATCATGACAGACGTTACAGGCTCCGATGATGAATCCGAGGACGCGTCTGTAGACGGACATCATCTCACAGACTCAAGAAACACATCCCATTCTTCCAACGATACCTCGAGCAGCCACAAGCCACCTCACCCGCGTACGGATTCTGGTGAAAGCCTGAACCCGGCAGACAGTCACCACACCATTTTCGGCGAGCATTCCGCGACCCGCTCATCATCATCGTCTTCACTACCAGGTGACTCACCGCGTTCAGAGTTCCACGATGACCCCATTGAACTCGAAGCTGTCATCTCTTGCACCTCGGACGGGCTCGTTGTCTGTCTGCGCCGTGCCCGTCCGCTACTACCAGGAATGATGCCAGTTACACAACCTGCGCAATACAATGGTATCTATGCAGCGCCCTGGGCAACGCAGCCTGTCTTCCATCCGGCCCCGCCACAAATGCCTGCCTATCCTCTGGGCGCTCAACATCCTACCATGTTGCAGGCTGGACCGTCACTGCAATTTCAAAATGCATTCATGCAGAGTATTCGCGACGTCGCTGTTTTTGCTTGGGCGCTCACGGGTATCAACGGCAGTTTGGCAGATTATGCTCGTGGTAATCCAGTCGGCGAGAGCCAACCACCTGAGGGCTTTCCTATCTGGAACCCACTCCCCGATCCAGTATCCTTTGGCAAACAATCCACTACGCCTTCTGGATATGTTTCTGGATCTATGAGCTCTTCGAGCAACGATCGATTTGGGTTCGGCGACCCCGGGCTCAGTTGAGCACATGTCGTCGCAATTTGCACAACAGGCGCATTTCCATGAGAATACCAATAAGCAGGTGTTGAAATAATATATCCTATCGCGACGGGTTTCCAGCCTAACCAGACGCTGGGACTCGTAGGCGGGCGGTGATGCCCGAGGATTTCAATGTTGATCATGCATCAAGACGAGAAGGAACGATGTCTTCATGCAAAGCAGAAGGACGTGTTATACCAAACGGATTCTGATCGACGATCATGACGACAATGTACTTTAAAGATTACACTTTCCTTTGTTAAGTTTCTTCTCTCTATGTAGCAAACAAAAACACTCGAATACTCTTTATACTCTGTGCTTGAATCTCCTGTAGACTGTCTTGTCTACATTTCTCGGTGATCGCACTCGACATGCAAAGTCGTTTGGCATGTGCGTTGCATCAATATGGAGAGTACTTTAAGATATTCTGATGGCTAGTGCTTACGCTTTCGCTAACCATCCCTTGCTGTTCATATCTTGGAAGTCGTGAGTTCCGCTACCCCCACCTGTGTACACACACCGTAACACACAATTTTGGAAATTAGACGTTCACCAGAAGCGCTTCAGGATACGTGTCGAACATTACAATCCTCTGCACTTTATAGCGACTTGCAAAGCAACTACCAAGGGATTTGTGTTTATGCTTTGGCGCACAGGCTATACCACCACACCTAAGGTTGAACATCACCAAGGATGAACAACAAGGCTGAACAACTGAGCACGACCAAGACCCAGAACTGAACACAGCCAAGATCTAAAACCGAACGAACACGAGCTCCTTCGTAGCTATGACATGCTTGTGCCTTTGTCCTTCCTCCCACAGCCACTCCCGGACGTCCCAGGTGACCAGCCCCTTCGTCTCGTCAGGGTGGGAACTACCATCACCCTGCGATGGCAAATAGAAGCAATTCTTGTACGCCACTATCTTGGTTCATTCGTGTTGGCATACCCTTTGTGTTGATTCGGATTGCCAGTGGAATGAAGGCTGACACCTCCTACCTGGAGCATGCCCATGCTCGCCTTCTTCATCTTCTCTCTGTTCGGTTTGGTCTTCGTGCTATCCTTTGAGCGACGGTTTCCGCAACGTCACGCGCGTATCTCTCAGTGCAATTTACGAGAGTTGTGAACATCGACATGGTACGACCAGTATCCAGTATGCCGTACTGGCAAGGCCTCATCGTCACTGTTCTATCTGTCTCGCAGCTCGCCACCTTCGGTTTTGCGCAAGATGCTGCTTCGTCCACACCAGTTGTGACTTCTTCACCGTCCATCACCTCGGCGAACACACCGAGTTCCACCAGTTCAGCACCGCCCCAGATACACACAATCCAAGTCGGACTGGCAGACCACAAGATGAAGCCTGAAGTCACCGTCGCGAATGTTGGGGATGTATGTTTTCTAATTCATACACGTCGTATCATCTTCTTGTTCGTTCAAGTTCTATGGTCCAAATCGGCGTTGATGACTTGAGTTTGTTCAAGTCGCAACGGTCATGAGCCATCTCGGAGGAAAACATGCGCGCTGACATATCCTCAGATCGTAGAGTTCCGTTTCTACCCTCTAAACCACAGCGTCGTACGCGCAGAATTTGAATATCCGTGCATCCCGTACGAGATGACGGGGTCAAGCAAAAAGGGCTTCCACTCGGGTTTCTTCCCAGTAGACAAAGTCCTCCCCAATGTAAACCCCTCCCTCTCTTTGCTATCTCCATGTCCTCCATGCATACATCCTACACCTGACAGTTCACAATTAACATCATCCCAGCCACCAATGTACAGCATAGACATAAACGACACGCTCCCCATATTCTTCTACTGCTCCGCCCCCGGCTCCTGCATAACCTACGGCATGGTCGGCGTCATCAACCCCCCAGCCAACAACAGCATCGACCGCCAACGCCAACTCGCGCTCGACAGCAGCTACATGCTCCAACCAGGCGAGCCCTTCCCCGCCGAATCCCCCTTACCGTCAAACCTCCCCCCATCCATACCCTCCTCCCTGCCCACCACCACCAGCAACCAAGGCGAAAAAGCCTCAAAGCACGGCCTAGCAGCCGGCGCCATCGCCGGCATCGTCGTAGGAAGCGTCGCTCTCCTACTCCTCGGCGCCCTGCTATTCTACTTCTGGGGCCGCAATAAAGCGCTCAAAGACGAGGTGGACCGCACGCAATCCACTATACACCGACGCATGAGTCCCGTCCCCACGGCTGGGTTTCCCATCCATCACCATCACCAGCAACAAATGCAGAGTAGTCAAAGCGCGCCGCTCAATGCGCAGAACCCGTCTTCAACGGTCTACCAGCACTACACCCCTCAGAAATACACAAACGCTTCCGTGGCTCAAACGCCTACCCCCCCTCCCCCTCCGTCTTCGCTAGCCCACCCGTCTTACCCACATATGCATACACACTCACCCTCCCCCCCACCAGGCATGCACTTCATCCCGCCTCCCCCCCACCACCTCCAACACACGCCCACGCACACGCGGGACCAAAGCCTAGAAATAAGTCCCATGATGGGGTACCACGACACGCACAGCCACAACGCGTCGCACTCGCGGACGCCGACGCTGGAGAGCGGTGCCCCGTGGTCGGCGGCGCCGACGTATGTGCATTACGGCGAGGGCGTTGTGCCGGCGCCGGCGTACGAGGAGAATGCGCATGCGGCGGCGCTGGCGCAGGAGCCGGTGGAGATGGATGGGGAGGGGCGGGCGGTGGGGGGGAGGGAGAGGGGGGGCGAGGAGGCGGGGAAGAGGGATTCGTTTGGGAGGGGGTGAGGGGGTGGTTGGGTGGGTTTGTTGATGTTGACGGTGATGACGATGATGGGGGTGGATGAGTTGTTTGATCTGTTTTCCAGAGTTTCGGTGTCGAGTGTCTAGATTGTATAATGGAAAAGTTGCACACTTGTCATTCACTTTCACTTGACTTCTTGTACACTTGATAGTGTCAACATGGGAGTAGAAAAGCTTTTTTTACTTTGGAGTTTCTCATCATCAGTAATATTCCCAATCAGCAGCGGTTCGGAAGCTTGCCAGCTCGTATTTCCCCACCGACCCGTTCCATTGCATTCCACATCCCATCCCATCGCATCCTATCGTATAACGCCTCGCGGCGAGCCGTAACAAAAGGCGTTTGGTGTAGCATGACCATGCCATCCACATCCACATCATCCTCAACCCCAACCACAAACGCCTGCCAGCCTGCCATCCAGCCTACCCACCAAAAAAAGAAGAAGCCCACACAAACGAGGAGGAAAACTCGACATTTTGCAAAAAATATCTTTTTTGGAAGAACAGAAGAAGAAAGAAAAGGAAAAGTTCCTCCCAACCGAACATCTCATAACAAAACGACCGAACGCTTCGAGTCGTAAATGAAAGGGAAAAAATGTGAGCAAAAGGAAACAAAGAAGGGATTTCGCCCAGCACGATTACATGTTATACATTTGCCGCAACAGAAGGGAAAAAAACAAGAGAAGAATGAAGCAGGGTCGCGCTGCGCCCCTTACCTCCCTTCGAAACGGCCACACATGTCCAAACGAACAAAGCAAGACTGAGCTGGGTGTTGTAAATCATACCCGTCATGTTACCGTAGGCGTGGAGGTAGTGGCTGTCGATTGGATGGGCTTCGATTCTTCTGTGACTGTCGACAGCTGTAGCTCGATGCTCTTGCCTGGCGGTGAACCGTTGTTGTTAGGCAGGCTCGCTGTCGACAAGGTTGGGGAGGTTGTTGACTGCGATTGCGCGAGTGATGGTGCCGAACCAGAGCTGACAGACTGCGCAAGCCTCGCCCTCCTGCTGGTATAGTCGCTCAAGCTAAGTTTCTTGCGCGCTGGTATGGGATTGATTGCGTTGTTGACGGCAGGTGAGAAAGGCGACGCAGCTGTGAAAGTGCTCGGAGACTGCGCAATGCTACTCCCTGCAACAAGTGCTGTGGTGGATCCGGGAGTGGCCATCGAATAGGTGGTGGCAGATGGATCAGCAGGGTCGAATTTTGGAGGCATTTGAACATGGAAATCGACATGTCTTTTCGGCGAATTCACAGTAGATGTCGGCGACTGCTGAGAAGGTGGTGATACTGGCCATGGTGGCGCCGGTGGATTTATCGGGGGGTGTGGTGTCCCGGATGAAGCTTCCATGACCGGTGCGTCTGCCATTTCTTCGACTTTGGGCTCCACAGCTTGTGGCACAGCAATTGTTTCAGCGTCATTCATGTCGACGTCTGGTTCAGGTGCGGGTGTCGGTTCCTTGGCTGGAATAGGTTCTCTAGATCTGGCATCGCTTGTTGAGTCGGTTGATAGATCCATGGCTGAGGATTCGTCCATTGGAGGTGATGGTGGCAACGGCGAAGGCTTATTCGGGGACACTTCCTTTAGAGCGGGCGACTTGATCTCCATCTTCACTGACGTAGAACGCATCCGCTCGCGTTGCAACTTGTCCTCTCGAGCCTGCTGCAGAAGCTTGCGTTTGAATGACATTGGAGGCTTCATGTCCCGCAGCTGGGCAGGAGAATGACGACTGTGTGCACCGTTGCCATTGTCATTCGTCTGTGTGGATGCGTCTTGGTAGACAGGTTTTGGCTTCGGTGCGCTGCGGCCGTTCGTCTTCGTCGAGCTACCCGACGTCTTGCGCGCCACGCCATGACTGTGTTCGCGGTGACGAGGAGTAGGTGAGAGTTCTGAAAATCCAAGGCGCTTCTGTGAACATAATTAGCCTCCATCGGCGTAGGTGGCGAGGGGTGTCTTACGGAAGTCATGAGGCCGGGCGTGTTGAGAGTAGATCCAGCACTGTTCCTCTTTCCTTTCTTGCTCTTGTGTTGCTCGTCAATCTCCAGTTTCTCGAACAAGCTTTCCTGCTGTTGTAGCTTCCTCTTCTCACGATTGGACATTTTTGAATCACCCTCGAGCGAGAAGTGGGTGGCCGGTGTGATGTCGCGACTGCTGGATTTGTGTGAGCCGGAAGTCGATCGACTGTCCATGTTTTCGTCGTCGGCAGCAGCGTCGCGATCGCGATGCAGCGTCTCACTGCCTGCGCGGCTGTTGGTGGCATAGCCTGTGCTAAGAGGAGAGACCTGCAGTTTCTTCGACTTCCTGCCTTTAGCCTTGTGTTGCAGTGCCGACTCAGTAACGGTGGTACGGCGAGCGCGTTCGAGGAGGCACTCATGACCTGCTGAGGTGTCGCAAGCACAGCCACCGAAGTTAGCGAGGACGCAAGACACCCATGGCTGTATCCTCTTGAAGCCTTCCTTAGCACCGTTTGTGACAACCTTGGCCAATTGCTTCTGGATTTCAGAGTCAATGTCCCAGCCGACAGTGAGCTCTTCGCCAGGGTCAATCCCTCTTGTCGGGAGGAAGCAGAAATGATAGTCGTTACTAGGTTCAATGAGGATTTTGATAGCCATGTTGGGGACACAACTTCTTCTTGCGAATCGTAAGATGTTGCCTTCTTGCCGGGTGTCGATGTATATTGGTAGGTAAGGATGGAAGAAGACAAAAGGCTCTGGGTGTCGTAGTAGGTCCCACCGGTTCGAGGCGTCCGAGAAGTAATCCTCTTTGCGTCCGACAAGACCTTTCAGCTCGCCAATGTATCCGTTTTCGGGAACGAACGTCTCGACTGTGAGGTAGTGCCATTTCGGATGGAGGCCGTGGGCGACTATGCTGGGGTTGTCTTCCGTCTGCTTGAAGATGGTAGGCGCCGATACTTCAATGCCTTCGATGGTGTCTTCTATGCGTGAGAAAAGGTCCTGGGGCCGCTTACCTCCGCTGACCTCAGCGAGAGCATCTGGATCCTTAAGCCACGTGGCGATGTCGTTGGCCACGGCGATGCTGGTGTACGAGTTGCCGGTAGTCGATGGGGGGTCGGGTTGCTGGCAGAGATGCATGAACTCGGAGGAGAAGTCTTCTATGGGAGCGTCGAGGTTGGTGAGAAACTTGGCGGGACTGTGGCCGTTGACTGCAAGCGAGCTACCCCGTTTGCGCGACGTTGGAGCGAGGGCAGGGGCTTGGCTCACAGATCCCGAGCTGCGATGGCTGGTCTTGGGGCGTTTGTTTGGCGGCGGTTGGTCTCGCGGGCTACCGCTTTTCCGTTCCGAGTTGTATTGCAGGTCGTTGTTGGGGTGGGCGGCCCAGCCATTGGGCTGAACAGCTCCAAGCGGGTCCTTTGTTCGCTTCTTGGGGTTCTTCGTCGTCGACTTGGGTCTGCCCTTTCGCTCGCCAAGGGCCTGCAGCTGCTCCCTGCGCAGGCGCTGTTTCTCGGAGGCGCTTCTCGAGTCGACAGGTCTGGGGAGGCAGTCTGTACACTCGTGCACGTCGGGTACATGGTGGGCAGACTCGTAGTAGCATACAATGTGCTGCCACGTGTCGCACTTCTCGCACAGGACGGTGTTGCCGTCGTCGTCGGAGAAGCCGCAGATGCACTTGATTGTGGACGACTCGTCGTCGTCGAGCGTGCCATGGAGCGGAGGCGAGCCGTTGAGATAGGCAGGCGCGGGCGGGCCAGCGTAGAAGGCGACGGAAGCCGGCTGAGTGTCAGCATGCGCCTTGGCCGACGAGACGTCTGTCATAATCCGGCAGGCGGGCTGGGATGCGGAGGTGGTGGTGTTGTGGTAGCTGGCTCAGGCTGCGTGTGCTCTGGATCGCATGACGCCCAACGCGCAGACGATCAAAGCACGACTGGCAGCGGCGGCTCGAGACGGACGCGGCGGGCGGTGTCGAGGGCCGTCTGCGCTGTGGGGCGGGCCAGGCGACTACGCGAGAGAGGTGGCCGCGCAGAGGAGGCGGTCCTGCGAGGGAGCGGCGTGGGCACGTGTGGGCAACGGCGTCGCTGGGGGCACGGCGACGACACTGACAGGGCCGTGTCGACGGGCTAGCATGAGCGAGCAGCGTTGGCTTCAGCAGCAGCGGTGGCAGGCAATGCGCCCGTAGGAAAGGAGAAGCGAGGACGGCGGCAGGGCGGCTGGTGCGAGGCGTCTGGCTGCGGGCCCCAACAAAGGAAAGCGGCGCGCGCGCTGGAGGGCGGCACCGGCGGCAGGCGGAGCGCTGGACGGCGGGCACACGGAGGTCGTCGTCGTGGGCGCGGGCGACGTGGTGCGGTGTGGGAGTCAGAACAGGACAGGACGGGCAGGGTGGAGGGTAGAGTCTGAGAGGAGAACGAGAAAGGCCAGTGGCCGACGCACGCAGACTAGCGTCCCAGGCCGTCCGTGCGCAACGAGCATTCGGAATCGGGCCAGCAGCAGAACGCTACCAGATTAGTCGCGAGGGAGCAGCAAAGTTGGCATCAAACCTTACCGGCCTGTGTGGCGGGCGTCGGCCGAGACAGCAGCAGCAGCCCGTGGCCCCTTGGCCGCGCCCTGGCCCCGGCCCCAGAGGGGTGAGGCTCCGGCGCTGGCGTCGAGAGATGAGAGAGGCAACAGACTCGGGGTTTGGCTGCCTGTGTGATGAGACGAGCAGTAACAGCGTGGCTGCTGCTGCACACGCTGCGCCCAATCAGCGGCCGGACGCTGCGGCCTAGCGTGCTCATGCGTGCGACTTGGCCGATCAAGCCCACGGTTGCACACGGGGACGAGGCCACTCACGTCGCCTGGCGAGAGGTCAATCGCCGCCTGGCTCCTTGACCTTCACGGCTGCGACGCGCAAAAGGGAAGCGACGACGCGACGTCGCGGCAGGAGCAGCACCGCGGCGACGATAAGGGAGCGCTGCAAGCCCCGCCCAACACTCCTGAAACACCGTATTACGGGCCATGAGGTCATCCAGGCGCGTCCCACACAAACACTGTTGATGATGAGCGTTACTCCTCACACCCTGGAGACTACCCAAACCACAACCCTACTCTTGGCTAGTCGAAATGCCCAGAACCACGCCGCAGTGAGCTTTTGCAACAGCTTGACGACTCCATGCAAAACATGGTGACACTCACACGCCTTGAGTATCGTTGGTATGCGCCTCCCTGTGGGTTGTCCTTGCAGTATTCGATCTTGTAGTTTAGGGTCGTCATTCTATTGAAAACAACGTAGCTCAATTCCGGGTATCCGACTAACCAAGAGCCTTACTCGCGCCTTGCAACAGACCTGGGAACCTGATGCGTCGACTGCATGCACCCCAGAGCCTGCTAGTGCCAACCAGACCACTTCGCGTCCCGAGCAGCGTTCGTCGTCGTCGTCCTCTGCACGCAACAAACGACAGGTACCGCCACTCGCATACCCTTGTTCTGTCTTGTCTGGGTACCCCATTGCGAAGCGCAGAGCCACAATACATCACCACCATGAGCCGCCAGAGCCTAGAATCTCGACAAATTTATCCGCGTAGCAAAAGGAAACCATGGCACGTCAGTATTCGAGGCAATCTGAACCACAAATGTGATCGTAAAGAATTGGAATTGGTACAGTTCCACACCGTAGTGTGAAGACAAAGAGTAAAGAGGGTATACTAGAAATCGCTCAAAGCCTCAAATCATCAATCATGACTCCACTCTTTTCCACCACCACTCCTCATTCTTACACGCTCATCAATCTGTCTCGTGGTAAAGGATATCTCGCTCTTTCCGCTTCACTCTCACTGATGCTTGCTCGAAGCCCCGACGGTCTCCTCATCACTCCCCTTCTTCTGGATGCGCCTCCATTCCGCCTCGTCGGCAGGGGTATCAATCTCATTTGCTGTCAACTCTGGCGTCTCCTCATCCTCAATTTCCTCGGGCAAAATAAGGTTCAAGATCACGGTGACGAAAGCAACGACGGCGAACCCAGTCTCCATGACAAGAACGATGGCGTTGTAGAAGCCGAGAAGTGCCCTGTTGGGGCCCGAGTAGGTAAAGACAAAGGCGAACCAGCTGCGAGATGATTAGTACGGGCTCGGAAGAAAAATGGCAATATGGAAGACTTACGTAGGAACCATGGTAGCACCAAATCCGAGTGAGAATCCAGCAGTCAAGATAAAACGATTGCGGCGCGTAAAGGGCATAGTGCTGATAATTCTGATACCACTGACAGCCACGGCAGAGAACAAAAACGTCGTCATCCCGCCCAGCACTGCGCCCGGAATCGCCACCAAGGCCGCTGAAAACTTTGCGAAAACGCCCATGACAATGAGCCAGAAGCAGCACGCGTACCCTGCCTTCCTGTTTGCACAACGTGTGAGCGCAATCACGCCGTTGTTCTGTGCAAATGTCGACATGGGCGTAATGGTGCAGAGACCGGCGATAATGCCGTTGAGTCCATCGGCGAGAACACCGCCCTGGATGCGGGAATCGTACGTCTCGCCATCAACCTCTAGGCGCGACACGTCGCACGTGGCGGTGATGTCGCCGATGGTTTCCATGGCAAGCACCATGTACACTGCTAGTAACGGTAGAACTATAGGTCCGTAGACGGAGAGCTTGAATGTGTGCACCCAGACAAAGCTTGCGACAGGCGAGGCCTTAATGCCGCTGGCGTCAAAGTAGCCAGTTGCACCAGCGATGATGCACCCCACAAGCAGACCCAGAACGACGGCCGTTGACTTCATGATCGGCGCGCCAAAACGTTCCATGAAGATGATAGTGATGAAGACGCTGAAGCCAAGTCCAATGAACTCTGCGCTGCCCCAGGGAAGCGCATGCGGGGCGTTGATAGTAGGACATAGACGGTAGATACCTGTTGTCGGGCGCGACGAGCATCCACCGTTACCCCCGGCCCAGTTTTCAAAGCCTGTCGTGATGAGGTTCACGCCGATGAGCATGACTGTCGGACCAGTGACCAGGGGCGGGAAAACTTTTTTCAAGATCCGAGGAGGTGTAAAGGCCATGAGAACTTCGAGCAGAGCGCAGCAACACTGCGTTCCCAGAATTGCGCCATAACCATCGGGACAAGGCAGCTTCGTGCCATCCGCAGCCGTGGGACAGAATCCAGTCTGGTACATTTGGTTGAGTGCACCAGTGGCGACAGGAATGGTAGCAAAGGAACAACCGACGACGGAGATGAGACCGGTTCCAATATAGTAGGGCGTCTTGTAGATGTGGAAACGAGTAATCTGAATAGAAGAGAGGAAACCACAGACGATAAGCGAAGTCGACACAAGGTACCGTTGCTGGTCAGGGGTCAAGTTTGCCGCGCTTGAGAGGATGATGGGGGGCGAGATGACACCAGCCAACATAGCTAAAGCGTGTTGGAATCCCAGAAGAAGAGCGAGGAAGACTGGCATCCGATCGTTCAGGCCGAAGAAAGGTGCTGCTCGGCGCTCCTTCTTCACAAAGGGAAGGTTTGGTTTGAACAAAAAGGCATAATCGTAGTCTCCAATAAGTCCCTTTCTGCACTTTGTTAGCTTTCAAGGTCACAACTGTGTCGCGAGATCGCGAGACAACAAACATACTTGGTAGTAAAGGCCTTTATAAGACGTCTACCCTGCTCACCGAAGCTGCGCTTCGGCGTCGTATCAGGGCCAATGCGGTCTGCCATTGTGGGGATTGGCGATCACGTTTATGGGGAAAGATCCTGCCCCTGTCGAAAGTTCTAGGAAGAAATTTGGTAGAATCGTAGTCTCCTCAGGGATGTATTTAACTGTCAGGCGATGTACCAATGGATCTGACGTAGATACCGCGATAAGAGAGGCGATTCGAAAGTTTTGATAAGATCCACGAGTCTTGATGATCAATGGCAAATGGCTGATGGCTTGAAGTTACGACCAGTGAATTGTCTCCGAGTTCGCTAAAGTAATGTGTCGCGTGCACTAGCGGTGCCAGAGTGCGGGATGTTTCTTCGATCTTGTAGATGGGTTTTCGATCTTGCGGGGCGACAAATAGTTGGTAGTGAGATCTTCAGAGATCGTGGGTTCGGGTGGATGAGTGATGTGATGCTGAACCAGTGGGACAAGTCTACCTTTGATCTTATACAACCCCAGTTATCTTCCTACTAACCCTTACGATATACAATTGCTTCTCTATAGGTACTTAGTCAAGGCCTAGTGCCACTCGATACGACAGCCTTGCTGGAGCTGGCCGAAGCGCATCGTGGCCCGCCGGGAACGTAGTGAGTTTCCACGGAACAGTTCGTCGGGGTGGGAGTTCGCGAGCCCTAGGCGATTTCTACTGATAGCAGCGCGACCTATGATTGGCTAGAAGCACGTGATTATCGGTAGCCCCCGATGGCGATATGCCAATCGTCGTAAGCAGAGAGCTTTATGTACCTCATCGCACAAGGTGGTGAGGAGAAAATCTGTCTGGGCATGTTGCTGAACGCCTCAGAGATGCCTTCTCGCCGGAAGCCGTCTTGAAGCACACGGTGCTATGCGAGGAAATGTTTGAAGAGGAATTGCCTACCTGCTTTCAACTGCCTCGCCATCTACCGGAGCGAATTTCTCAATCATCGAGGTGCAGTCTACAGGTCGCAGTGCTGGACTTTTGAGATGGTCGCCAACCGCTCTGCTCCAACTCTCTCACATCGAGTCCCCATCTCGAACCGACAGCAACATCTACCGCGCCCATCAACACGACCTGACCAAGTCTAGGGCATCGCTTCCAAGGGCGCACATCTTGTGTACACATTTATCCAGAGGCCGTTGCGACGTTGTGGAATGTGCTGATTTACTTTTTTGGCGAGATGAGGAGAGCGCGGAGTCGACTTCAACACACGGCTTCAGCGCTACGTTTGCAAGTCCCTACCCATATGGGACATTGGATCATCAGTATCGGGACGACATTCGAATCATCCCACAAAGGTCGTGTCGAGATCCAAAAAGTTGGTGGATTCAACTAATTTGGTTTGCGACCTGGACATGTACTACGCCCTTGAGCTATACAAACTAATATATGTAAGTGTTCCATCATTGTGAACGTCATGATCTCAATGGCGGTGCTGAACAAATTGACGTGTTAGTCGCCAAGTTTGCGAGCTAATATCATCATCGACAAGCAGACCGCGTTGTGATCCGCGCGATGTTGCATGCGAGAAGCCGTTGACGCCAACAGCCTTACCCGTCTACTGACAACCATTGTTGAGTCTTTAGACATGTCTATCCGCAATGCACGTAACATCTGATACGACAACAGATACCCCGCAGACGTTTCAGCGGACCGTAGGATCAGTTGAGCCTTGGTTGCGAAGTGGCATCGCCCATCGATAATGTCGACGAGCATCTGTATGGAAGAAGAAACGGGCTGGATAACGAAACATGGTGTTGAGAGGCAGCTGTCCCAAAAAGGGTTAGGGTTGCGAGACGTGCCACAAATCAGGGTCTCTGCGAACTCTGTCAACCACCTCGGCGGAATTTCGTCCCGCCTGCCTTGGAGGCATCTTGCTCGACGTGCGTCAAGTTCATGGTGGGACTGAGGCCCTTGAGGTTGTGTCTGATTATTCCGCGTTATCTGGTACCGACCTGTCAGGCTGGTCTCTGGTGATGCGTGACTGCAAACATACGTAAGGCTGCATGACAAAGATATCAACAGCAGTTCGGGCAAGTATCCTGGAAAGGGCATCGTTCTCTGATTTGCTAGACCCCACCCATCATCTGTAACGTCGTTGAGCGGGGCGCGAGATCGAAAGAGATGTATGCTTGCGATGACGAACTAAATAGTGGCATCACCACGGCGTGAGGTCTGCCATGCCGGGTCAGGCACTTTGCTGGCCGGGGTGCTTGGGAACAGACCAACAGACCGCTTTTTGGCTCCTCTCCACCAGAGTGGCCAGGAGCAATGCGATGGTGCAATTGATGGCGCCGACGTTGATCTTGTAGAATCTGGGGAATGTTCGAGACGTATCAAAGTCACGGACCGGCGCAAAGACGGCCACTCAAAGCGTCGTCAGGCCCGAGATCAGCGGAGCTTCCACGGCAAAGATCCGCTGGGGCACGAAGTCTTTTCGCGACAGTCGCTGCATGGGCCGCACGCCTATCTGTGCGGGGCCCTGAGCCAGCGAATAACGCGTGGCGACAAGCGTGCTATGACAAAAGTTGCGGCGATTGCTGGCCTCGACGGGCTCATGGACACTCTATGCAGGTCCGGTTTATTCGCTTAGCTGGCAGAATTGTTGGGGTTCCGCCTCTCCTGTCATCCGAGCCCTGTATTAAAGTGCATGCTGCCCGTTTGCTCTTCTCCCGCTATCCTCTCTTGCTCCTTCCCTCCCCCTCTCGCCTTAGTCACACAGTGACGTGGTATTCCATTCTTTGCTGGAGCTTTGACAGTCGCGCGAAGACTGGTGCTTAGTTTTGCTGAGCCACTGGTGTCTCCTTCGCCAACCCTCGCTTCTTCCTCGACACCTCATCGCCACCTCACCATGCCTTCCCACCAGGCCGTCTCTGGCGATCTCGCCATTGACCCCAAGTTTGTGTCGCAGCCCTCTCCCATGGCTAGCACCTCGGAGCCCAACCGCGACCCCAAGTACGACCCTAAGAAGCCACACATCGCCGACACGCCCCTCACAAGGGCCAACTGGCACCAGCACGTCAACTGGTTCAATGTACGTCTCAATTACACCCCCCACGTAATGACATGCACTAATTGTTTGTCAAGGTCTTCGCTATCATTGGCATCCCTATGGCTGGTTGCGTCGCTGCCCTCTGGACACCTCTACAATGGAAGACAGCCGCATGGGCCGTCATCTACTACTTCTGGACCGGTCTCGGAATCACCGCTGGTTACCATCGTCTCTGGGCACACAAGTCGTACAACGCCTCCTTGCCATTGAGCATTTTCCTCGCTGCCGTTGGCGGTGGTGCCGTCGAGGGCTCCATCCGCTGGTGGAGCCGTGACCACCGTGCCCATCACCGTTACACCGACACCCCCAAGGACCCGTACAGTGTCCGCAAGGGCCTTCTCTACAGCCACATTGGATGGATGGTCATGAAGCAGAACCCCAAGGCTATCGGCCGCACCGACATTACCGATCTGAACGAAGACCCCGTTGTCGTCTGGCAGCACAAGCACTACGTCAAGGTCCTCCTCACCATGGGCCTTGTCTTCCCTATGGCTGTTGCTGGACTTGGTTGGGGTGACTGGCAAGGTGGTTTCATCTACGCTGGTATCCTGCGCATCTTCTTCGTTCAACAAGCTACCTTCTGCGTCAACTCTCTCGCTCATTGGCTCGGCGACCAGCCATTCGACGACCGCAACAGCCCCAGGGATCACGTCATCACCGCCCTTGTCACCCTTGGCGAGGGATACCATAACTTCCACCACGAGTTCCCCTCCGACTACCGCAACGCCATCGAGTGGCACCAGTATGACCCTACCAAGTGGTCCATCTGGCTCTGGAGCAAGCTCGGCCTCGCCTCCAACCTCAAGCAGTTCCGCGCCAACGAGATCGAGAAGGGTCGTGTTCAACAACTCCAGAAGAAGATTGACCAGAAGCGCTCCAAGCTCGACTGGGGTGTTCCTCTTGACCAGCTTCCTGTCATCGAGTGGGACGACTACGTCGAGCAGGCCAAGAACGGACGTGGTTTGGTCGCTGTTGCTGGTGTTGTCCACGACGTTACCGACTTCATCGCTGAGCACCCTGGTGGCAAGACTCTCATCAAGAGCGGTATCGGAAAGGATGCTACTGCCATGTTCAACGGTGGTGTGTACTTCCACTCGAACGCTGCCCACAACCTTCTCTCCACAATGAGAGTAGGTGTCATTCGCGGTGGTTGCGAAGTTGAGATCTGGAAGCGCGCCCAACGGGAGAACAAGGACGTCAACATCGCCAAGGACGATGCTGGCAACGCCATCATCCGGGCAGGTAACCAGATCACCAAGGTCCAGCAACCCGTCGCCAGTGCCAGTGCGGCATAGAGTCATTGTCATCTGCGTTTTTTAGCGATTTTAGGTGTTTGGGATGCTTTTCGACCTTGGAAAGGCATAATAGTTCTAGCTTTCGTTACATCATCACGACCATGATTCTTTCCCAAAATTTAGACGGGGCACATCTGCAGCCTCAATAGGCTTGTCCAATTCTCGCTCATCGAGATGGACCAAGAATGCATTATTCACACCTAATGTCTTGACTTTGTTTTTGCTTATGATGTTGTGCTTCAATCGCTCTTTCCATTCATCACTTACTCAAGTCCGTGCGTTACCATCAGTGCCAACTTCGTTTGCTTGCATCTCACCTTCACTCACCATCTGTATCTCGATTGCGTGAGAATGGTGTCAGACAACTACAGCAACCCATTGCCCAAGCGGCGTAAACTTGCCGATCTACCAGACGAGGTAGCCCCCACCGGTCCCCCAGAATCAATCTCCGGCACGTCCAAAAGCCTCGAAAGACCCATCAGTCCGCCGCTCCGTAGACGAAAAAGCCCTGCATTGCTGCTCGGCGCTGATGACGTAGCACCACAAGCTTCGCCACTGCCATTCAGAGCCCTGGATTCTGCAAGAGCGTTCGAACAGGAAACAGCAAAGCATGGACATGAGAGGTTCATCTCTTCACCTGTTCAACTCACTAGGATTCAGGACCTTGCACCGTGGCAGAATGTTGATACGGTAGGGTTGGGCGATTTGCTGGGGGATCCGATGATTAGGGAGTGTTGGTGTTTTAACTATTTGTTTGATTTGGGGTTTGTTATGTGAGTCTTCTTTTTGTGTCGAAATAGGTGGTGGGGAGACAAGGAAGGGCGGTGCTGATGGGACTTAGGAAGCATTTCGACCATGATACGAGGGATATTGTCAAGGTCAAGATCGTCCATGGGTTTTGGAAGAGAGATGATGAGAGGAGGATTGCTTTAATGGTGGGTCTTGTCATGTCGATTCCTTTCGAAACCGCATCTATCACTATTACTCTGCAGCCCGAGTTGCCATTTTTCACATCAGTATAACTGACAATCAACTAGGAGACGGCAGAACAATTTCCAAACATGGAAATCCTGAGTGCCTACATCCCCGATCCCTTCGGCACCCACCACTCGAAAATGCTTATTCTCTTCCGCCACGATGGCCTCGCACAGGTCATCATACACACCGCAAACATGATCCCCAAGGATTGGACCAACATGACGCAGGCAGTGTGGCGGTCGCCTCTTCTTCCACTGCTCCCTCAATTGCCAACATCCAGTTCAGCGGACATCCACTACCCGATAGGCAGCGGCGAGCGCTTTAAAGTCGACCTCCTGCGCTATCTCAACAAGTACGAAAAGCGTGTATCAGGACTACCAAAGCAACTCGCCGACTATGACTTCCACGCTGTGAGGGCAGCGTTCGTTGGAAGTGCGCCGTCACGGCAGGATCCTAGTACCACACAGCCTGAGAGGCATACATCGTTTGGCTGGCTTGGGCTACAAGAGATCTTGTCTGAAGTGCCTGTATCGAGCGAGGGGAAGGCGCCACATATCGTAACCCAAATCTCGTCCATAGCAACGCTGGGTGCGGCCCCAACATGGCTGACCAACTTCCATTCTGTTCTCAGCCGGCACAGTGCTGTACAGAATGGACCTGAAGTAGGCTCTACAAGTACATCTCCGGATGCAAAGTTCAGTGTCGTCTTCCCTACCCCAGAGGAAATACGCACTTCCCTCGACGGCTACAAATCCGGCGGGTCGATACACATGAAGCTTCAATCTACGCAGCAGCAGAAACAACTCGAATATCTCAAACCATTGCTCTGTCATTGGAAACACTCGCCAACAACCACACCCACCAGCTCCCATTCCTCCACTTCCGAGTCTTCTCACGACGTCGACTCTCCTCCCTTTGGTCGGGCACTTCGCGGCCCTGCGGCCCCGCATATCAAGACATATATGCGCTTTAGTAATGACGAGCACAAGACGATCGACTGGGCGATGCTAACAAGTGCAAATCTGAGTAAGCAGGCATGGGGCGACGTAGTGAATAAGAAAGGAGAGGTCTGGGTGCAGAGTTGGGAGACGGGTGTTGTTATTTGGCCTGCACTATTCGCCGAGGACGCGGTTATGGTGCCGACATTTGGACAGGATATGCCGACGCAGCAGGAAAAAATAGACAAGGGAGAGCATGCTGAAGAGTCGAGCGAGGCACGACATGCCAGCAAGAACAAGACAGTCGTGGGGTTCCGCATGCCGTACGATCTTCCTCTCAGCCCTTACGCAGCAGAGGATATGCCTTGGTGCGCTACAATGCAGTACCAAGACCTGGACTGGAAGGGTTGTGCGTGGGGCGGGTGGTAGAATCGTAATACATATCCTTGCGCCTTCACCGCACGATGCCAATATGTACCACGAACCCGCTTCCCTCTCTCAACCCCTCGCTGAGAAGACGGTCCGGAATCTGCCAGACGTAAAATTTCTCATGGAAGCTCTTCAGCCACGCCTCGAAGACGTCTGGGGAGCGCAGCTGCTGCGCAATTATGCACAGCGTCGGGTTCTGTGCATCGTCGTCTTGTAGTGAGCGGAGGCGACATACAGATGCACACGTGCTATTCAGCGGCTCGATCAGAGACTCGTTGTAGATGCAGTCACATGCAATCAGCACATCTACGTCTCCAACGGAAGAAACGTCGTCTGTCTCCCAATCCAGAGCGCGGGCTTGTATGCGCTCATTCACGCTGTTTGGCTGGCGCGTGTTCTGTCTGCCGTTTTTCCTCTGGGTGCGCGGCAGCACGACGTCGAGGTTCTCGGCGATGTTTTGCTTGAGCAGTTTCAGCACGTAGGGCTGGTCGGTTGCGGTGTATCTGGCTATCTTCGGACCGAGGCTGAGGGCCACGATGCCGGATACGCCGGCGCCGAGCTCGAGTGCGGTTGAGGTGTTGGTGAGGAGGTTGTTTGCGAAGAGGAAGTTTGTGGGCGATGAGATCCAGGAGGAGAAGAGGGGAGTGACTTTCCATACGACTAGTTGGGGGGAACATGTCAGTGTGCGACATTCTATTCATGTAGAATTTGATATTGTGACTATCATAAGATATGAGGTTCAAGATACACACATGTGCACTCAAACCCCTAACATATTCATCTTCACTTCGGAATTATGCAAGGTATGTAGAGACGCGACAACAGAACGAGTCTGTGCTTTAGTTCACCAATCCCAGCCAAGACGGTGAGATCCTGGGGCAGTGCACAGTGCATAGAGCGAACATGAATATGAACACACGTACCTGCACCCGTGGTACCTGTCTTACGGTCCGAAGTCAGCAGACCTCTAGACTGATGGATGGTCAGATCGCAGCCTGCGATCGTGACGTCGAGCGTGGCGACCTGGGAGTCTATGAAGCCGAGCGATTGTGAAGGGATGTCTTGCGAGAAGACGACAAAGGCCTCTGTTCTGGATGCATGAGCCTCATGTCTGGATCGGGGAATACTTGAGAAAAGCGAGGGGGTTGGGCTGGCGAATCGGATCCCCAGAACCATGCGATGAGCCGAGGGCGACGGAGGTGTTGGACGAACGAACCTTCCTCGGGGTCGGTCACGGGCGCCGTGTCTAGGATGCGTGTAAGATGCATGGCGCAGGGTCGCTGCTTTGGCTGTGTCTGGTGCAGAGTCTCGGGCGTTTTCTTATGCTTGGCTTGGAGGCTGGATGTCGGCCGAAGGGAATTTGCTTCACGTGCAGTCTGGATAGTGGTGCAGGCAAGGGCAGAGGACACAAGTCATGGCATGCTGTGTGCAGCCATCACACGTTCGTATGCGTGGTTGAACGCGTTGGATGCAACGGCCAGGGCATCTGACTCGAAGCGGCGACGTGCGTCATTGTTGCTCAGAGCTCCTGCTTTTACAGCTCCAGAAGATCCAAGCTCGCCCAACAACTAGCCGCCGTTTATCTCGTCGTCACACCCGCAGTCTCCGCCCGCAGCACACACACTGCTCCACCCACCATATTCCTCCTTACGAGACCCTGCTGAGACAGCCGTATCCCTCACACACCCGCCACGATGCCGGAAAACCTCAAGAAGCTCAAGCCGCAGGCGCAGATGACAAGGCGGGGCCCGTTCACAACCGAAGTCCCCGGCGCACAGAAGGTCGAAGGCGAGACGATACCACGTCGCAACAACGCCGCCAAAGATGGCCTCCAGGCACTGCCTTCGATCCCCGGCGTCGAGACGCTCTACGATCTGCTGCGCTACTCGGCCGCCAAGTATGGAAACGCAAAGGCCGTCGGCGCGCGTCGCATAGTCAACATCCACGAGGAGACGAAGAAGGTGAAGAAGATGGTCGACGGCGCCGAGCAGGAGGTGGACAAGAAGTGGAGCTACTTTGAGCTCAGCCCTTACACGTACAAGAGCTTCGTCGAGTTCGAGAAGATGTCGCTGTCTGTGGGCTCGGCGCTGAAGTCGCTGGGCCTGGAGCCCAAGGACCGAATGCATCTGTTTGCGGGCACCAGCATGCAGTGGCTTTCCTCGGCGCATGGTAAGAGCGAGTCGAGATCGTGATAGCAGACAGACACTGACGTTGTGGTTGCAGGTGCCATGTCCCAGTCGCTGGCGATTGTCACGGCTTACGACACACTTGGAGAGGAGGGCCTCAGGCACTCGATGCTGCAGACCAAGGCGAAGATCATGTTCACAGACCCAGAACTGCTGCCCAGGCTTGTGAACCCGTTCAAGGACGCCAAGGATATCCAGACAGTCATCTACAGCACCAAGAACGACCCAAAACAAAAGGACATTGACGCCCTCACAAGCGCACACCCTCACCTCAGAGTCATAAGCTTCGACGAGCTGATCAGGATGGGTGAGGAGAACCCTGCGGAGCCCATCCCCCCCAAGGCTGATGACCTCGCCTGCATCATGTACACGTCTGGATCCACAGGCACGCCCAAGGGTGTCATGATTGAGCACCGCAACGTTATTGCTGCGAGTAAGTCACTGTCCTCATTTATTAGAAAATAAGGTTACTAACCAGCACAGTTGCTGGCGTTGACGTCATCGTTGGCAAGTATCTCGGTCCTGGCGACGTTCTCATCGCATATCTCCCGGCTGCGCATATCCTCGAGTTCGTCTTCGAGAACGCGACTATCTACTGGGGTGGAACTCTTGGCTATGGCACAATCAGGACCCTGTCCGATACTTCTGTGCGCAACTGCGCTGGTGACATCCGCGAACTGAAGCCTACGGTTATGGTTGGTGTGCCCCAGGTCTGGGAAACGGTCAAGAAGGGTATCATCGGCAAGGTCGAGGCAGGTGGCGCGGTCACGTCAAACCTCTTCTGGGGCGCCTTTGCTGCCAAGGGCTTCCTCCTCAACTCCGGACTGCCTGGTAGCGGTCTGATCGACTCGATCGTGTTCAACAAGGTCAAGGAGGCTACAGGAGGCAAGCTACGTATCTGCCTGAACGGTGGAGGTCCCATCTCCAAGGAAACGCAACGCTTCATCTCCATCGCCATCACCCCCATGATCGGCGGCTACGGCCTCACCGAGACATGCGCTATGGGCGCAGTCATGGATCCTCGCGCGTGGACCGAAAACGCCCTGGGAGAAATCCCAGCATCGGTTGAAATCAAGCTCGTCGACTTTGCCGACGCCGGCTACTTCTCCACCAGCAACCCTCCCCAAGGTGAGATCTGGATCCGTGGTGGCGCCGTGGTTTCAGGCTATCTCGACATGCCCGAGGAAACCGCCGAGGCCTTCACCGAGGACGGTTGGTTCAAGACGGGCGACATTGGCGAATTCGATTCCGACGGCCATCTCCGCATCATCGACCGCAAGAAGAATCTCGTCAAGACAATGGCAGGCGAGTACATTGCGCTTGAGAAACTCGAATCCGTGTACCGCAGCGCGTCGATCGTCGCGAACATTTGTGTTTACGCCGCTGAGGACCGTCAGAAGCCTATTGCTATTATCGTCCCTGCGGAGCCGGCGCTCAAGAAACTCGCCGCTGATGCGGGCGTGAAGGGCAGCGGGCTGGAGGATTTGGTCCAGGACAAGAAGGTCAATAGCGCTGTGTTGAAGCAGCTACAGACCGCTGGACAGAAGAGCGGGCTTGCGGGCTTTGAGATTATCGAGGGTGTTGTCTTGGCTGATGAGGAGTGGACGCCGCAGAATGTGAGTTTTTTTCCCCCCAGCCCATCTTTCCTCCTTTTCTCGACTGTCTTGTGGGTGTGCGAGAGAAAAGGGAAGAAGGGAAGAAAGAAAAGAAGAACAACTGTTTGCTAACTTTGCGATCCCTAGGGTCTTACGACTGCCGCGCAGAAACTCAATCGTAAGGATATTCTGAAGAAGTATCAGAAGGATGTTGATCGTGCGTATGGCCGGTCGTAGGTGTGCTATATAGTGGTTTGCTTGCTTGCTTGCATGTATGATTGGTAGGTAGGTAGATGGATAGGTAAGTAGGGATGGTGAGTCCGTTGGTTTTATATGGAAGATGTCCTTTCTTCTCCTCGGGATAGAGTGAGAAAGAAAGAGAAAGAAGGAAAGAAGGAAAGAAAAGGTTCCACGAATTTGTCCTCAGCGATTGAAGGGTTGAAATTGGGTGTATGTAGCGTTTCCAATATCCATTTGTTTTTTTCTCCCGAGCATACATATGCATGCACTGTTGTGGTAGTATGTACCCGTCCATGGATTTGCCCTTCGTCCTATGTCGAAAAAGTAGAGATTGGGGAATGTGTGTATTGTCCATTCATTTATTCATTCATTCGTGCGTTTGTTTATTCCGCATATTCTGCCCTCTTGGAACATCCTCATGTATGTATCCCTCCCCATGCCCAGCCTAGTTGTTGTGCTTGGCAAGCAATTGCTGGCCCAACTCAATGTACTTGTCCTCGGCCTGCTTCTTCGTGAGGCCGTCCTCGACAACATCCTTCCACTTGTTGTACTTTGCCTTTGCCTGTTTTGCGCGTTAGTCCTGCTACACACCCAAACCCCCACCCCCAAACCGATCTCATCCCTTCCCCTCCCCACCCACCCAAAACTCAAGAAAAAGGCAGAGTAAAACATACCGCCAAATTAAACATCCCCGGCTTCTCCGCAGCAGCAAAGTCCTTGCCCTCCGCCACCTTGGCGTACGCGTACAACTGTTATTCTCCATGTCAGCGACAGCGCTCCGTCTATCTCTCCTTCCCCATAGATGAGGCGAAAACACATACGTGCAGCTGCTCATCATTGCTGGGCCCCTGCTTCCCAGCCGCCTTGAGCTTCTCGCCCATGGCGCTGATCTTCTTGTAGGTTTCTGTGTATTTTGCGGATGGCATTTTGGTGTGGTTGGTCTGTGTGGGGTGTTAGGGTGGACTGGAAGTGTGGGTGGGTGGGTGTGTGGGGAAGGAAGGATGGGACTTACGGGTGTTGCGTTGTTGTGGTGTTATTGTGGTGTGGTGTGGTGGTGAGCTATGTTGAGATGTGTTGTGTTGTGTTGTGTTGTTGGGGATGGACGGGCGGGTGAGACGATGACGAGATAGTGGGGTAGCTGGGACGTAGAACAGGCCGAGGTGGTGGGGCACGACATGACATGGGGATGCTATGCTGTTTGGGGGTTAGGCTGGGGTGGTTTTACGAAATATGATTAACGGTTTGATGGTTTGAGTGAGGGTGATACGATGGATGGCTAGTTGATGGGAGTTTATTGTAGTCCTGTGAATCAAATGGATTGTCTGTGGAAATAACTTCTAGAACATTATCATGCTGTGGTTGGGTGATGCTTTGACCTCTTTCTCTCCACGCCCCCCTCCTCTCCAGTACACGCTGGGTATCGTTTCCGCATACAGGCCTGCCCTTTCCGCTGCTACACCAATGCTAATCTCGCCAAACCGTCGACGTCGAAGTGAAGTTGTTCAGAAGCCAGTTTCAGCCTCCCATCTCAGACGCGACTTTACGCTTCGTGATGACCATTCACCCCATTCACGCCGTTCGCCCCATTTGCCCCATTTGCCCCATTCGTATAAGGTTTGTCAGTCAGCTTCTTGCGGTACAACTCGCCGCCACAGCCTCGCAAGCGCTCTGCAGCCTGCTCAGGCGTAATGTCACGCTGCGGCTCAGCTAGCATCTCGTAGCCGACCTGGAACTTGCGGACCGTAGCACTGCGAAGCAGCGGCGGGTAGAAGTGGATATGGAAATGGCTGGATTCGAATTCTTCCGGTGTGCCCTGGAGCGGAGCCTGGTGGACACCCATGCCTGAAACGTGTCAGGTTTTTTTGAACGCGTAAGGGTATTGCAGGGGTGATACTTACTGTACGGAAACTGCGTTTCAAACAGATTATCATACCGCCTTGTAATCTCTGCGATGCATTCTGCTAGCTGTGCTCGCTCTTCCTTTGTGAAATCGACTAGCGATCGCTTGTGCTGCTTGCTGATGAGGAGGATCTCGTATGGCCAGACCCCCCAGTATGGGATCCCGGCCCAGAACCCCTCGTTCTCGAACACGGTTCGCACCTTCTCTTTCGACTCGAGCTCCGCGTAGTCGACGAGCAGATGGCAGCCGCCTTGTTCGCGGCGGTATTTTGTCATTTCCTGGAGCTCGATGGCAGGCTCTTCGGGGAGTGATGTTGTAGTCCAGACCTGGCCGTGGGGATGGGGATTCGAGCAGCCCATGGCAGAGCCCTTGTTCTCGAATATTTGCATGTACCTGTACTGGGCGTTTGGTTTGGTTAGGTCGCCTTGGGATAGTGGTGGTATTGTCGTGGCAGCAGCGAGCTTGGCAAGCGGTGACTTTGGATCCAGATGGGCTGAGTATATGTTGGTCCAGGTTTCCAGGATAGGCACGATCTGGGCTGGTGTCATATCCGCGAGAGTCAAATTGTGAGATGGCGAGAAGCAAATGACATAGCATTTTCCGGTTACGGATTCGGCGAGGAGTAGTCGAGAAGCCAGGGAGCCGTCCTTTTTGGTGGAGTGATACTCTTCCTGCTGTTCCATGACGGCGCTGTAGTCGTTGACAAAGACGTAAGTGTTGTCGAATTTGGGATTGTGCTCGCCATTTGCGCGCGTGTTTCCAGGACATAGGTAGCACTTGGATATGTCAATATCAAGTAACCATTGAAGCGCTATGTAGGCACAACTCACTTTCTCGTCGTATTCAGGGAGAGTAGTCAAGGATGGCGACTCCTGCATGCCTCTGTCGGCTGTTTAGTATGCGACCACGACACGTACATGTGCATGTTCAAGTGGACTCACTGCCATGGCCGCTTGGTGCGGTGGGGGGAGACGAGTATCCAACTTCCCCGCAAGAGGTTGAAGCGCCTGTGGGAGATGTCGTTCAAGATGGGGTCGGTCATGGTGCAGGGCAATAAGCAATTGTGTCTCAAGTTTTTAAAGGGCACGATGAGACGCGTATATATACCGCAGAAGCTGGAGCTAGCATCTGGAGCAAAAGCAGTGAAGCGACGGCCGACGTTGGCCCATGGGTTCGCGCGTAAGCTTTCCCCCCGTGAGCGGCGGAACCGGAACACTAACCGGATGCAGTACTGCACCCAGGCCGCGAAAGCTCCAGGCTGGCTTCACCGTTGACAGAGCCTCAACCTCGAGCAGTGCTGCCGACGCCAGCCCGTTGCAGAAATAACCCGCGCCCACCTTCGCCGGACTTTTGATTATGGCGGCCATGATGCCGAGTGCAGCGACGTCGAGCAACCCATACGACCACGACGCGGTGGAGCGGGACCTGATTGACCCCGACGATGGTACATAGCACCTGCCCCCGGCTGGCTAGCTCTGCGTGGCCTGACAGGATTTGACAAATGTACAGCGACCCTCGACGATCTAGACGACCCGCTGCAAGGCACGTCGGACCGCGCGCCGTTGACGGGCAACATCAACGCGCAGTCGTACCTGACGTCGAGCATCCCCGGCGAGGACCGGCGCGCGCCCACCAACACCATCGACGAGACGGTGTGGGAGACGCTGTCACGCGACCTGTTTGGCATCCTGGAGAAGATGAAGCAGGTGCTGTATCCCAAGTACCTGCTGGGCGGCATGATGCAGCGCGGCGAGGGCATGGGTGCAGCCGAGCGCGGCGAGGCAGAGGGCTTCGCCGGCGGCATCAGGAACCTGGCGGGCAGATGGCCCGACGCCGACGCGCTGCTGCAGAACGGCATGAGCGAGGGCCTGCGCGACTGGGACCTCTGGGGCCCGCTCATCTTCTGCCTGCTGCTGAGCCTGTTCCTCTCGCGCGGCGCAAAGGACTCGCAGAAGGACCTCGTCTTCTCGGGCGTCTTCGCCATGGTGTGGGTGGGCGAGGCCGTGGTGACGCTGCAGATCAAGCTGCTGGGCGGGAACATGTATGTTTGCGCTTTTTATACTCTACACTCTCTATACCTGACGTGGACATGAACTACGACTAACCCCCGCCAGCGCCTTCTTCCAGTCCGTCTCCATCATCGGTTACACGCTCTTCCCGCTCGTCATCGCCGCGCTGCTCAGTGCACTGGGCATACCGACGATTGTCAGGATCCCCGTGTACCTCGTCCTCATAGCGTGGTCGCTCGCAGCCGGCGTGAGCATCATGGGCGGGTCGGGGGTGGTCAGGAACCGGGTGGGCATTGCCGTGTATCCTCTGTTTGTCTTCTACATAGCACTGGGCTGCATCTGTTTCATCAGCTAGCGCGGGATTTCGCTGGCCTTGTAAGAGTAGTGGGGTGTGTGGTAACAGGCGTTTTCCAATAAATCGATAGTTGAATTCTTTGTTACCTCAACAGTCGATGGTTCAAGATTCAAGTCTATAGTTGAACGTTGAAAGTGAAATATCACCAGACCAATAGTTGATAGTTCAGAGCTGGTAGTCCGAGCACAGCTAGCCGTGTGGTTCCCCACTCCGTCATTGGCCTTGTCGTTTGCCAGCACGCAGCTCCATGGCCAGAAGCGCCAGCAGTCTGCACGTCAACGCCCACTCACCGCCCGTCGCACTCCCTCCCTCCTGCCGGCGGCTCTTCTACGCGTTCTGCCCTCGTGTGTAATTTCACGTCCCGTGTCGAGAGTGGTGCAGTGTTAGATTGTGTTAAATTGTGTCGACTGCGCTTGGACCGACGGCACCAGACGACAAACCACGAACCCTTCGCAGCCAGCACTCGACTTTTCTGCCCGCGCCCTTTGACACTAGACAGCTTGCACAGAGCCCTTGGAACATCGCACCCTCGCACCCTCGCCCACGCAGCGCAACACAGCGCAGAAGCCAGCCCGTCCCACTCGGTCAGCCCGCCCAAGCACCACGTCCGCCGTCACTGTCCGCCGTGGCTGGCCTGTCCCCGGCTACGGCACTTGCACTGCTGCTGTTTGCCCCAAGCACACTGTTTCCACGTCGGCACGGCACACTACCGCCCTGACAGCCTCTACCCGCCGGCCAGCCCCCAACACACACCCGCGCCTCTCCACGCAGCGCCGGCACCCATCGCCCCGCACACCCGAACAAGACACATGACCACCATGACGCCTCCGTCAGAAGCGCCAGACACGGCCATGCCCGCCACACACCCCGCTGCAGAGACACAGAACGGCGCAAAGGCCGAGCCCACGTCCCCCGCCCGCAGCGACAAGAGCAGCGACAGCGAGGGCAAGCCGGTGCGGGACAAGCTGAAGGAGACACGCATCGATGCGCAGACCACCTCCGACCCCGTCTCCACTTCAGACCAGCCCATGAACGACGTCCCGAACGGCAGCGCCCCGGCAGTCGACCAGGGCGCCTCGGGCTCAGACTCGGAGCGCGGACGGTTACGGAAGAAGCGCAGTCGCGAAGACTTTGAGGAAGACAACGAGGCGGACAAGCACTCGGAGAAGACGGAGCGACATCGGCGTAAGAAGTCGAGAGACATTTCCAAGGATCTCGAGGATGGCCGTCTCGCAAAGCCTGCACCCACCTCGGTCCCCAGAATCGAAGAGAACGACGGCGACGAGCACATGACCTCGCCCGACAGGCAAAAGTCGTCCGCGCCCAAAGACGCGCCGCTCGACTCGGGCATCAAGAACAAGCGCACACGCGACCAGGTCGAAGAGGCCGCCGTGGCTGGCGCAGAGAACCCAGCGAGCACATCTGCAGACGCCAAGACCACATCGCCTGCGAAAGACGAGCGCGAATCGAAACGGCCCAAAGACGAAGTGCCGTCTGCCACGGGTGCAGCCAAGTCGCAGACCAAGGTATGCATTGTGATCGTTCTCTAATCCAGCCAGACAGCTAATAACCCATGCAGACACCCATAGGAAGTGGCTTCTCCAACACGTCCGCCGCCTCTCCCTTTGCCGCTATGGCCTCCAAGCCTCCAACCTCGAAACCCGCCGACACCCCCACTACTTCTGACGACAAGTTCAAAGCCTCCGCTTTCGGCAGCTTCTCCACCTCGACAGCTTCTCCCTTTGGCGGGCTTGCGAGCCTCGCCCCCGCTTCGCCCTTCTCCGCAGCGAGCGGTTCCAAGCTGTCCTCCTTTGCCGGATCTGCTGCTCCAGCACCAGCTACTGGAGGCGGATTCGGCGCTCTCGGCGGCTCGACCAAGTCAGCGTTCGGTGGAAGCTCGTTTGGCTCTTCATTAGGAGGTGGCTTCTCAAGTCTAGGCAGTGGCAAGCCATCCTGGGGGACGACGACTGGCTCATTGAGTATCACAGGTCTCGACACCAAGGCGGAGAGAGCCTTTGGCGCGCCTGGTGACAAGACCGCGGACAACGAAGATTCCGACGACGACAACGAGGACGACGATGAAGCGGAAAAGGATATTACGGACGAGGAGCGCCGTTCAAGCAGCCATCTCCTCTCGCAACGTAAGCCATCGCCTGCAACCACGCATATCTCAACTAACACCCCCACAGCCACCGAAACCGGCGAAGAAGGCGAAAACACCGTCTGGGCCGGCCGCGCAAAGCTCTACACCATGGACGGCAAAGGCACAGAACGATCGTGGAAAGAGCGCGGCGCCGGAACCTTCAAGTTCAACATCACCATCGACGAGCCGAAGAAAGCCCGCTTCGTCCTGCGCGCAGACGGGACCCACCGCTTGCTGCTAAACGCCGCTGTCACCCCGCAGATGGTATTCGGCGGCGATTCCCACGGCGCGAAGCCAAAGGATGTGCGGTTGCTGTTCAATTCGCCCACGGCTGATGGCGAGCTGGAAATGCACTTGCTCAAGGTATGTTGTGAGGGTGGCAGTTATCGCGATGGAAATACTAACCCCATGCCAGATGAAGGCGGAAAACGCAGTCAGGCTCTGGGAGGTCGTTACTCGTGTTCAGGACACGGAGTTGTAGGCCCCTCCTCGTCCTCGATACGGCTGTGTTCGCGCTGTTTCCCTGCCTTGTGGCCCGTTGACGCAGGTACGCCGCGTCCGCCAACGTCGGTGAATGGAGCGTCATGGGTTGTCATGGGCTGGGGTTTCCTCATTTCTCACACCCCCCGGGCTGCGCTTCTCGCATCTGCTTCTTGGTACGCGGCGTTTGGTCGGTCTAGATGGGTTTCTGACTGGGAATGACACGCAGCTTTGATGATCAAAATATCACGTTGGGGTTGGGTTTCGGTTTGGTACGAGGGGATTCATTGCATTATCGGCTGGGATTGGGGGTCTGTAGGTAGGTGTCTCGGTCGTTGCATTGTGGATACACGTGGTGTTTGGCGTGTGGCGTGGAGTTGAGTTGAGGAGTGTGAGTGAGAGGGAGAGAAATTATTACGTGCTCTGTTTGGACGACTATGTCGCTGGGTGTTTGTGTGTGTTCGCCGAGCCTGGTATTCATGTTCATATCTCACTTTGACATATACATTATTTTGGTGACTAGCTATTTCATACCAACATAGTACGGCTGGAACCATCGTTGTAACCTTTGTTCACGTAACTCAATCATGACTTCCTACTTCTCGGTTTCCAACGACCACCACGTGCCAACCCGTTCAAGTGCTTATTGCTTCTTCGCGTCTCTCTCTGCTTTCCTAAGCGCGCGCTTGCGAATATCTTCGTGCATACCCCTGTTCACCTTGACAACGAGGTTAGACCTCTCGCCCAAGAATCGCGAAAGAAACCACTGCATCAGCCCATGACTCCAGTACGGGGTGCTCGTGAAAGCGACATTCTGCGCGCCTCCAGACCGGCCGATCTTGCCCAGCGTGGCCTTGACAAACTGCTTCGGGTTGGGCACCAGCGCAGACGGTTTGCGGATCTTGGACATGGCCGTGGTGATGAGATGCGACTGGACGCACTGAACGTGGACGCCGTGGCGCTGGAGCTCGGAGCCGAGCGCGGTGGACCATTGCTGCAGGAAGGCTTTGCTGCCGCAGTAAGTCGCGAGAAGCGGTGTTGGGAAGAAACCGCCAAATGAAGCCATGGTGAGGACGAGGCCTCTCTTGCGGGAGATCATGCCGGGGGTGACGAGCTGGGTGACTCTCAACGTGGCCATGCAGTTGATCATGATGATGTCGTTCAACTCCTGTTTTGGTGTCTCGACGAAGGGTACGGGGATGCTGTGGCTTAGGCCGACGTTGTTGACGAGGATGCTTACGTCGAGTCCGTCGATGAGCTTCTTCAGGCTGGTGTAGTCTGTATCTTTGTTCTGGGCGAAGTCCATGGCCAGAGTTTTGGTGGAGACCTTGGGGCCATATTTGGTGGAGATGTCGGCAGCGAGGGTGTCGAGCTTAGATTGCGTGCGCGAGACAAGGACGAGGTTGTAGCCTTTTGCTGCGAGGGATAGGGCGAACTCTTTGCCAAGGCCATCAGAGGCGCCGGTTATGAGGGCCCAGGTGCCGCGGGGGCCATAGGTGGTGAGCTGGTGGGGTATCAGAAGACATGAAATGAAGTTTAAGCCGTTTAGGCATTGAAAAGACACGAGATAGAGTTCTCAGGACGTACAGATTTACCCGGCAGAACAAACAAGCTGAGCAACACCCTGATGGTGCTGATAACAGGAGCCGCAAATGCAGCTATGCCAGCGACCAGGAAAACATAGACTGCAGCTTGAATGAGGGAGTTGCTGGCGTCAATGCGCACACCAAAAGACTCGGTGGTCTTCGCAAGCAAATCCATGGCCGTTTCACGAAGATGCAATAGTATTCGTCGGAGAAGACAGAGTTTAGTAGAGCAAAGCTGTGATTGATGTCACGCACATGTAGACAGCATCACGCCAAGATTTATGTCACATGACGAGGGAAGAGGCCAATAGCGAAAGACACTAATTAAGCGAGAATCGAACACATCAATTCTCACCTCACGATCTCCAGCCACGAGACCGACAATACAACCAGATCGCAACCATGGCTACCGAGCTCACGTACGTGCTGCGCTCCCGCAAAACGCTGCAACAATTGCTGACGGCGAAATAGTGTCCAGTCCGAGCGCGCTTTCCAGAAGCAGGTACTACGAGCCCTCTCAATGCAGCTCCAGGCCAGGGCCTTCACGCACGATGCTAATGCGCTGCAATAGCCTCACATCTTCCTGAACCACAAGGTCGGTGGACCGCGCAAGAACACCCGCAGCAGGAGATGGTATAAGGATGTTGGTCTGGGTTTCCGTACCCCCAAGACCGCCATCGAGGGCACCTACATCGACAAGAAATGCCCCTTCACCGGCATGGTCTCGATCCGTGGACGTATCCTCACCGGAACCGTCATGTCGACCAAGATGCACCGTATGTCGCACCCTTTCACAATTTCGCATTCAACAAGGACTACTTTGGATTCGCAATATTGAAATAAGGCTTGGCGGCTTGTGTACTAACGAGGGAACAGGCACCTTGATCATCCGTCGTGAATACCTCCACTTTGTCCCCAAGTACTCCCGTTACGAGAAGCGCCACAAGAACCTCGCCGCCCACGTCTCGCCCGCTTTCCGTGTCGAGCCCGGTGACAGCGTCGTTGTCGGCCAGTGCAGGCCCCTCTCCAAGACCGTCCGTTTCAACGTCCTCCGTGTCCTCCCCCGAAGCGGAAAGGCTGCCAAGCAGTTCTCCAAGTTCTAAGCGTATGGGTTGGAGTCACGGATCATGATGAGCAACGGAAGAAGCGTGGCCGGGGCGGAGCGTGATGGTTTTCAATATGGTCAAAACTCGGCATATGGGTTGAGGAATCGGAGTCCAATGGGCCATGTATGTTTCTCCAGCTACGATCAATGAAAGCCCTCGGATGGTAAACAAAAGCCACTGAGGCAGGTCAAAAGTCCAGTCTCGTTCGCAATGGAGTCTTGGTGCACATTGGAACTGACAGTGTTATGAATATCAACGTCGTCGTTCTCATCAAGAGGGGTGTATACGTTGATTTGTGTTCCCGAGAGAATGAACCGGTGCAAGCCAACATTAACGGAAGCTCGTCTCAAACTGCGTCCAGAGAATCTAACACCCACAATTCATGTATGCAGATGTTCATACGTGATTTATACAACAACAACAGCCTCACCCTACCCCTTGACATAATTCCCCCACTGTAATGCCATCCACGCCAGACTCGTCGTACTCACCACCAACGGCCCCGCAAGCGGCTTCCCTAACCTCGTCGTGCCAAACACAAGCCACTCGCTCACAAAATGCGCAAACGCAACCCCAAACGTCCACATACCCAATTGATAAAAGGCCGGATGCGTGATGTTATACGCTGCATACAGTCTCACCAAGGCCGTCAAAACCGTCCAGGTCCCAAACGTGCGGGACGAAAGGGCAGTGACGTGTGCGGGGGTCTTCAGCGGCGGGTCCGAGGACGTCGGGTTGTAGATGCGTGACGTGTAGTAGAGTGTTGTGTAGGATTGGACTGAGTTGCCAATGGAGATTACTGCGACCTGAAGGGTGTGTTAGGGGAGGGATAGTAAGAGTATGTGGTTGGGCGAGCGTACGAGGAAAAGCCATTTTGGGAGGAGGCCTTCTGTTTGGGGGAGGTAGGATAGGATTGCAGACGCCATTTTGGGGGGTTGTGGTGGTGGGAAGTTGTTGGGATGTTGGGAGGGTGAGTCGTGTTGGAGCGCGTTATGGGGTCGAATGATTTGGAGGGAGATGGTCAGGCATAATGTGGTCCGTGCTGGTAGACAGAATGGTGCTTTGAGAACGCCAGAGTATATTCACTATTACGTTCGAAGGTTGTGACATCACTTGTATACAAGTACCAGGAGAATGTTCATATCATTTGCTTGTTACACTACTGACCCTTCCAAGTTGGGTTGTAAAGAAACCGGAGCCATACATGATATTTGAACTTACCAGAAGAGCAACTATATGTTGAACGCTTTTTGTGTTCCGAGTAGCTCAGTGATCAATGTACATACATGTTTATATACACCAACAAGATTACAAGGCGTTTAAACCTCAAACAAAGCGCTATTGTCTGCACCGTCTATGGCCTGATCGACATACTTCGAATAATGGGAGAACTCGTTATCCGGAGGCACGGTGTGCTCAATTGATTCCATTCGAGAGATGACACCGTGACCCATATCATTTTCTGGATAGCCCTCCGGGTGGAGTAGTGTCTCATGTGGAGATTGGAAGTCTTCGCCATAGATTACATCGTCTCCCCCCTCGACATAGTCTCCGAGGTGTACGGTCCCCGCCTCATCCTTTTCTTCTTGTTTCATCACCGGCTCGTCGTTGCTTTGGGCTTCATTGTCTTGTTCGGAAGAGATCGAGATTCGTCTGGGCTCATCAAAGTTGTCTTCAGTGTCGCCCGCAATATGCGTTCCAACCTCGCCATCTTCCAGTGCGTTCTCGTCAGCCTGCTCGTCCCCTTTTTCGTAGGAACCATCAGTTGCATCATCGTCGGCCGGTCGAAGGATTTTGTTGAACATGTCTGGAGTCATCCCACACTTGACGCTTCGATCTCTACACTCTCCACAATAGGTCCCCAGCGCCCTCCCCACGTTTTTCAACCCGGGATGATATACCATGCAGGCAGTCCCCCTCCTGCGACAATTGTCGCAACTCTCTGGAGCTATAACTCCGTATTTAGAATTGATCAGCTTTGCATGTGCGATCCTCACTTTGACGCCAGGGTTTGCCTTCGCCCACTGGGCAATTGGACGGTGTCCGAATGCTCCAGACGACGCATTGTTGCTCACAGCAGCGTTGAAGTCAGTGGAGTATTCGTCATTTGAAGGCGGCGGAGGGAGTGTGATCCTGTTCTTTTGCAAAACAGCTTCGAGGATTTGAGCGTGTATGGATTCTGGGTGTGTCAGTCGAACGTGTCGACGGAAGTTGTCGCCTCTGGAGAAGCCTCCGGCGGAAGGACTTTGACAATCTTGGATGGGACAAACGAAGGTGCCCGCTCCCTTTGAACTGCGCTGATGAACAGTGGCTTGTGGTGTCGGTGCATTGAGGGCACGCTGGCTTGGAATACTGACGCGTTCTCGCATGTTTAGTCGTGTTTCGTCGTATTCTGGATGTGCAGAACGAACATGGCGTAAGAAATTTGGTTTATGAGTAAACGGTTCTGTTCGTCGAGTACATGTGATGACAGGACAGTAATCGAAGAACTTTTTACTCCCATCGCTGTTCTGTAATGGAAGGTTCAGAGGAAGCTCGGATGCTCTCCCATTTTGCGTCGAAGATTGACCCGACACGTTCATGTCACATATGTTGGCGGCTGCAAGACATTCGCCACATTCGCGAGTTGTCTTCAAACCTAGATGATATGTGCGGCAAACTAGACCTCTCTGCTCACAGCGCGTGCAAGGTGATGGTGATGGACAACCATGTGTACCCTTTATCAACCTGGCATGAGCAAGTCTGTGCTTGTGTTCGTCTGCAAGCAACTCCCAGTCTTTCTTGTGTCCATACTTTCCACATGGGGCGTTTGTTGTAATTGCAGTACTGAAATCGACAGCGTGTTGCATTGCCTTCCCATTAGATTGAGGTTGCTTTTGCGTTACGTTTGAACCTGGCTGGGGTACAGCAGTATAGTCGTCTTCTTCCTCTTCGTCCTCATCGCTATCTCTTCCACGGTCACTTGCACTGAGAATGAACTGGGTTTCACCGGAGCCTTCGGAGTCTGAGTCTGACAAATCGTGAACATTGGCGCGCTTTCGTTTCTGCGGGATAGATATGATGGACCTTGGGTGTACCGGCGGGTACTGTCGAGGAGACAAGGGTAGGTCAACTTCACCCAGCGTAGTCATAGGACTGGATTGAGTGACCCTGCGTGAAGATACGTTCGTGGTGATTCTGCTGGATGGTGCCGTGCTTGAAGTCCGAGTCTGCGAAGCGAGAATTCTCACGTCCTTCCTCACGAAGTGTGCATACAAATGCAGTTTTCCGCCCTTCAGGCAATCATTATCGAAATAAGCCCCGTTATCCCATAACAGACGTAGTGCTTTGCCCTCACATACGTCATCTTCAAGGTGGAAATGGACGTTCCATTCGGTCGCATTCCTTGACAGTATGCCAAATGTAAGGGACTCTAGTTGCTGTAGGTGTGAGTGAGCATTGTGTCAGTGTCGATAGGAATCCTGCGCATACTTTGTATGTCTGGGCGAGCTTCCCCGGAATCCAATCGCTTATGGTAGCCGTCTGGAACTCGCGTAACAGTATCGTTGGCAACGCCATATTGACGCGGGCCTCAGCGGCCTATCGCGATAGGTGCGGTCTTACAGCTGATATCTCATGTGTTGTATCTCGTTTCCAACACAACAGTGTAAACAGTGAATGAGAAAAATCGTGGGGTGATGATGAATTGTGGATGGACTTGGAGGAGATGTTGCTAGCGCGATGTATGCACAGACCTACGACGACGACGTCAACTCAGTAGAGGTGGCCCTAGGAATACACTCTCATTCTTTGTAATTTTGAAGCTGGACGAACATTGCATATGCGACAAAGGGTCATGTTGCTTGCTGGCGGGCTTTCTTCCAGAAACACGGAGGACCGACAAAGCTTGAGTAAGCACGCTGTGCCCTATCAGTCATGTCACTGTTCAGCTTCTGGCATGGACAAGACTATCTTTCCACCAAGTTCATTGTGCGTTTGCATGGTATGGTCAATTAGATACCATTACACCAATGATATTCGATCATTTTCTAGATGTAAATAGTCAGTTGTATGAGGGACTTTGACAAACAGGTAAACTTAGCAAACCAGATTGGTGACAGGTCAGATCACAGCCGAAAGCAACAGCTCATGCTACATTCGTTTTGGGAGACTACGCAACAACCTGTCGTTGCTCCCAGGTTTCTAGATTAAGATTAAGGCAAATTACGCCAGTACAGAACCTTCAGCTCTACAACGGTAAAACCAAGCAAAGATCAAAAAACACGTTTGGTCAAGTGAATACAATCAGGCATCAGCTGCGGTGCAGCCCGTTTGCACGCCTATCGATAAGTGGTCGTCGCGCAACATGAATACTCACCATACCACCATTACTCCTGCATCCTTCAACCTCCAACCACAGATTTTGAATGTCGTTCTGATAATGTGCGTATTCGCTAATTCCGAGATGCAGGTCTGAACCTGGCATAACTGACTGGCTGCATCACAGGGCGCCAAGGAAAAGGATCAAGGTTGTGGAGAGCAAGACGCTGGCTGTGAAACGATCCGCAAACAACCAAAAGACCAGGTCGTCGCCAAAGCGCCAAAAGTTTGAGCCACAACCAGTCGTCGCGTCCAACCAACAGACAGACAAGCCATTCGAACGGACTGGAATTTTCAAGTTCCTTGAGCTATCAGGAGGTTAGTAGCACCCACGTCCTGCTATAAGTTGGCGCCTGATGAGCTAAACACTATATAGAGCTCCGAAATCATATATACGAATATGCTGCGGAATGGACTTATCGGTGTTTTCCTGTCATTTGCCAGGCTCAAAAGCCTACGCGCAGACGTTCGAGAACATCCACCGAAGAACCCGAGAAACCAGAGTCGAAACCCATCCCGTATGCTGGCCTGACACAAGTCTGCAGTCAGATACGTTCAGAATTTCGCCCGCTCTGGCTTTCTGGACACAAGATCCCTGTTCACGCTCTTGAGAGGTACTTCAAGATCTTCTTACCTCCTCCACCGGCAAGGGACCGGGAGCGTTTCGACTCTTACTACAACCCTGCTGGCAAGCTACGCATTTGGGTTCGCAAAAACGAATTGCTTGACTATGACGCCCTCAAATTCGTGAAGGTCCAACGTCGGCTCCCAAACTACACTTTTGTTTTTCAATCAGTCTCTCATACTTCGCATTTGTTGATGGAGGGCTTGATGCGAATACTGGACAACAGGAACCCAACTTGGGTGAAGTGGATTCGCAGTCATGTTGTCAGCCAGATTCGCCTATCCCCAGATTATCGTAGCCCGAATGTTCATTCAGTACACATTGTTGTCAAGGAACGATATGCTACATCATGGATGAAGGTGGCTATGCAGATGGACGCAGATATCCCCAGCGGTTACCTTGCGAGTATTGGGTTGGATGGACTTAAGGGCTGGAGGGTTAGCTTTGGGGTAGACTATACTTGACAGGTTAGTCCGTCGTTTGGTCTTCATGCTCCTTTCAAGTGGGCATTTTGGGGCAGACGATAGTTGGAAAGCATGGCTGTGGTCGTCAGTACAAAAACTGATTGTCTGCATTAAGGGATTCGAAGTGGTTTAGAGCAGCTGATAGATGGAACCTTTACGATCATGGCGATAGTCTATATCACTTTCACACTGTTTCAAGCCTGATATCATGCACTGAAGACTTTCTGGCATGTCACATACGGGCTCCCACTCACGGTCTGGGTCTAGGGCGAGAACAGCCATGTATCTTTGCAACATGAATTACTCTTCCGAAGCCATCGTTGCCACGACACTCTTGTCCAAGCACCTTCAACGTAGTAACCCTTATCGTCCGGGTAGTTTGAGTTGTTGTGGATATCGAGAGCTCACATGTTGGTCAATGCGAAATGCGAGTGCGTATCCTGGAGGAGAATTTGGATGCAATCAGACGCGTCACTTTCTACGCGTTCATGACTGGTTGTGAGCGAGTCATGATGAACGTGATACAACCTCAAGCTCGTTGAAGTGACACGGACGCATGGGGAAATCGCGTCGCGCCATCACATGCCAACGCGCCCTGCTTAGTAAGAGGCTCCCCGCTGAAACACAGACGGAGACACAACAAACACAGCAGTCGACAACAACAGCACATGCAGCCACCATGAGGATTATCGAACTAGTCATAGATGTGAGAATAGTCCCGGTATCTTGCGACACCCTTTGACGAGTTTCTAGGGCTACAAATCGTACGCCGTCCGTACAGTCATTTCTGGCTGGTATGTCGATCCCTCGATCGCATGGCTCGGAGCTCACAACGACTAGGGACGACAGCTTCAACTCAATCACGGGTCTGAACGGCTCCGGGAAGTCGAATATCTTAGATGCGATATGTTTTGTACTGGGTATAAACAATTTGACAGTGGTTCGGGCGCAGAACCTGCAGGTGGGCGGAATCAAGAGCGTCGGGTAGCACAGGCGCTGACAGTGCCATAGGATTTGATATACAAACGCGGTCAGGCAGGCGTCACAAAAGCCAGCGTCACCATCGTGTTCGACAACCGCGACAAATCGACCAGCCCTGTGGGCTTCGACGAACATGCCCAGATCTCAGTGACTAGACAGATCGTACTTGGTGGAGCAAGCAAGTACCTCATCAACGGGCACCGTGCGCAACAGCAGACTATCCAGAATCTCTTTCAGTCCGTACAGCTCAATATCAACAACCCCAACTTTCTCATCATGCAGGGACGGGTCACGAAAGTGTTGAACATGAAACCCGTGGAGATTCTGGCGATGCTTGAAGAGGCTGCAGGAACACGCATGTTCGAGGACAGACGAGACAAGGCGCACAAGACTATGGCCAAGAAAGAGACGAAGGTGCAAGAACTTGCCGAACTCCTGCGAGACGAGATCGATCCCAAGCTCGAAAAGCTACGATCAGAAAAGCGCGCGTTCTTGGAGTTCCAGCAAACACAGAGCGATCTCGAGCGCTTGACGAAGCTAGTTGTAGCGCACGACTACGTACGATATAACGAGATGTTACAGCAATCTGCCGATGATCTCGAGGCCAAGAAACAGAGGACAAAGGATATTGAGGTGTCAGCGGTGCGCATGAAAAAGGAGATCGAGTTTTTGCAAGAAGATATCAAGAAGGTCAAGGCTTCAAGAGACAGTGAACTGCGCAAAGGCGGCCTGTTTCAAGGACTCGAAGACAGAGTCAAGAAACACTCACACGACATTGTACGATTGACAACGGTGCTTGACCTCAAGAACACCAGTATGGCCGAAGAGTCCGACCGAAAGAAGGGCATTGAGAAGAGCGTCAAGGAACTGGAAAAACAGCTGCAAGAGAAGACCAAGATCTACGGGAAGCTGCAGGAAAAGTATCAAACAGCCCACGACGATTTGGCAAAACAAACAGAGGAGGTTGACAAGAAGGAAGAGTTGCTGCAAACGCTGCAAACGGGCGTCGCTTCGAGAGAAGGCCAAGAAAGCGGCTATCAGGGTCAGTTGCAGGATGCGAGGAATCGCGCGAGCGCTGCTGCGACCCAGCAAGAACAAGCCAAACTCAGGATATCACATTTCGAGAAACAGATCAAAGAGGACGAACCGAAAGCCAAAAAGGCGAAAGAACAGAATTCTGGTTTCATCAAAGACCTAGAAGCATTAAAGTCCCAGGCCAAGAAACTCGAGGCGGATCTGGTCAAGCTGGGCTTCAACGAGGAACAAGAGACCGACATGTACCAAAAAGAGTCGCATTTGCAAGCTCGGATCCGGGAGCTGAAACAACAAGCAGACGAACTCAGAAGGAGAGTTTCCAACATCGATTTTGCTTACAGTGATCCGTCTCCCAACTTCGACAGATCTCGTGTCAAGGGCCTTGTCGCCCAGCTTTTCACACTGGATAAGCAGCACACTCAGGCTGGCACTGCTTTAGAGATTTGTGCTGGCGGAAGACTTTACAACGTTGTTGTCGACTCTGCTGCCACCGGCAAACAGCTCCTCGAAAATGGCAGGCTCAAGAAGAGAGTTACAATCATTCCCCTCAATAAGATTGCGGCTTTCCGAGCGTCTGCGCAAAAGATCGGAGCTGCGCAAAACATTGCTCCTGGGAAGGTCGATTTGGCGCTTTCATTAATAGGTTACGACAACGAGGTTACCGCAGCCATGGAGTACGTGTTTGGCTCGACGCTTGTGTGCAATGATGCCGAAACCGCTAAACGTGTGACATTCGATCCTGATGTACGAATGAAGAGTGTCACCCTGCAAGGCGACACATACGATCCCGCTGGTGTCTTGTCTGGTGGCAGTGCTCCACAATCTAGTGGAGTTCTGATCACTATGCAGAAACTCAACGAGCTTACGACAGAACTCAAGTCACACGAATCACAACTTGCGTCGCTCCAGGCTACTATTGCTAGGGAAAAGAAAAAATTGGATGCTGCACGCAAGACCAAGCAAGACCTCGACCTTAAAAAGCATGAAATCAAGCTTGCTGAGGAGCAGATCGGCGGTAACTCGTCATCATCTGTAAGTCGATATCTAATCCGGTACGAATGCAACTGACAATCTCAAAGATCATCCAAGCTATTGAGGAAATGAAGCAAAGCATTGTCCAGCTTCGGGAGGATATTAAAGATGCAAAGGCACGGCAAGACGAGGCGAACAAAGACATCAAGCGTATCGAGCGTGATATGAGCGAGTTCAACAGCAACAAGGGTAGTAAGCTAGCTGAGTTACAATCTTCTCTAGACAAGTTGAAGAAGGCCTTGAGTAAGAACACGGCATCCATCAAACCGCTTCAATCCGAGATGAGGGAGGCTATGGTGGATTCCGAACAGTGCGGCAGCGACCTTGCAGCAGCACAGGAACAACTCGAGGACGTTCAAACAACACTCAACACACAACAAGAGGAGATTGATGAATTGTTAGCGGAACAGGCTCAAGCTAAGGTAAGCTCCTGCGCTTGTAGTGATAACTCCTACTGATGTTGCGAAGGATGCACATGACCTAGCTCAGGCCAACTTGGCCGACGAGCAAGCGAAGCTGAGTGGCTTTGACGAAGAACTTCACGCTCTTGAAGACGCGATACGCTCGAAGAACTCGTCGATCACAGAAGGAGGTCTTGAAAAGCAAAGGATTGGTCATGAGATCGAGAAATTTCACAAGGAGCAAGAAGGTGCATCGGCTCACATACAGAGACTCGAAAAGGAACATGAATTCATCGCTAGCGACTCTGAACTCTTTGGACGACCCGGCACAGTGTATGATTTTGGCGGTGCGAATATCGCGGATTGCAAGTCGAGAGAAAAGGCAGCGAAAGAGCAAGTCCAGCAGAAGAAAAACAAGATCAACCCCAAGGTCATGGCCATGATTGACAATGTTGAGAAGAAGGAAGCCAGTCTCAAGAAGAACATGCAAACCGTCGTCCGGGACAAGAAGAAGATCGAGGAGACCATTGTCAAGCTTGATGAATACAAGAAGGAAGCACTACATAAGACTTGGACCAAGGTCAATGGTGACTTTGGAAACATATTTAACGAGCTTTTACCGGGCAGCTTTGCGAAACTGGATCCTCCCGAAGGAAAGGCCATCTCCGATGGTCTCGAAGTCAAGGTCATGTTGGGCAAGGTGTGGAAGCAGTCTCTGACCGAGCTTAGTGGTGGACAACGGTATATACACCCCATCTCGTCCTTGTGGCCTGTCCTAACTGTTCTTAGCTCCCTAATCGCCCTCTCACTCATCATGGCGCTACTGCAGTTCAAACCTGCTCCGATGTATATTCTGGACGAAGTTGACGCTGCGCTTGACTTGTCTCATACGCAAAACATCGGTCGCCTCATTAAAACAAGGTTTAAGGGCTCGCAGTTCATCGTCGTGAGTCTCAAAGACGGCATGTTCCAAAACGCGAACCGAATCTTTCGCACTCGCTTTGTCGACGGTACTAGCGTTGTTCAGGCCCTGACAGCTGCTGATTTGAGGTAACGAAGGTGTGTGACGTTTCATGAGCTATGGTTTGGGTATGTGGTGTCTACGGAGTACATGAGTTGGATCGGTCTGGATACTAGATATGACGATTGCATAGCTCGGCGTTAGTGCTCAGGTGGGTACTCGTTGTCTACGGCGCTAATGTCAGGTTTGGAAGTTGCGAATGTACATCTACAGTGTAAGTGGTCGCTGCTTGATTAAGACCTCTTGTCGTGTATAGCGCCTTCCTGATTGGGAAAGTCAAATCCCAAGCTTCCTGAACCCTTCTCGTCTGCAACAACACCACCTCTCTTTCTTCACAAAGTACTACCTAGATCTCCAGCTGAAACGCTGTCCGTTACACCTATCAATATCCTTGCTCCTTCGAGCCGACCACTCACCACATCCTCACTCACATTTATGCTGGCGCATACGGAAGCGGGCGCCCATTATCTGGACCCACGATCAACGTTTGCGGCTCGCACATGTCGTCGGAGATATCGACTTCGACAATCTCACTTGACACGAAGGCACGGCGCTCTCTTATCACTCCGGATGATTCGAATCCAACCATACCTTTCGCGATCGACGGCGGGAATAACATTCAGCAATCAAAACCGCGAGCAGGAATTACTAGGCACTACACATCGCTCCAAGAACATGCCGATCAAATGCGAATCGATGGTGAATATCAGGGAGAACGTAGATTAACCCCTCGACATGACTACAGACGTGAGAGTACTAGCTGGGGCCCGGGTCCAATATCCGATGATCGACATAGAGGAACCGGAAACCCATTACCTCCAGAGCAACCACGTACTGAAACACCTCCGCTTCTTGAAGAGTTAATTCGTAGACTTGCGAAAGAAAATACGATTGGCAAAAGAGTCCCAACCTTCACCAGTGATGACACCATCGGCTCTGAGACATCCACTGGAACCGGATCAACTCTAGACACAAATTCGAACAGCAATACCAGAAAATCTTCGATCGCAGATTTTCTGGCTCGTCACGTCCCAGATATGAGGATGTTTGCGTCTGAGAACACATCCGAACGTAAGCCAGAGGCCAAAAATTCAAAGTCACAGAATGAGAGTACAGGTGAAAGCCTCCCTACATCCATCAAGAAAGAACGCAAGCTCTCTTTTGCGCTTCCCCCAATGTTGAAGTCGAAAGACACGCGCGAGAGGATGACAAAACCAACTCTGGCTGTTGGAGAGCCTCCAAGTGAATCTCCGAGCAAGCCACTGACTCCCCAGTCATCAGCGCAACGCGGACTCAAGGATCGAAGAAAGATCAAGATGGACCTCACACTTCCTCTTGAGATGCCTAATTTACCTACACGAAGCCGTCTACCCATCGCTCACCTAAACATCATTACCCCATCCCGCCCTCGTAGTCCCAGAACACCTTGGATCCGAGATGAACAGCCGAGGCGGCATCAAGATACTGGGTCCAAGACAGTGACCACTATTGAGGAAAGCTCTGTGGAACGAGACTATATCCATGGCAATATGGGCGGCTCAAATCTTTTGCCAGGGGACGATCATCTTTTCTCATCCCAATCTCCTGTGTTTGAGCGCCCTCCTACGAAGGTCCGCGACCGCTGTTACGTTTCCCGTCCTGTGTTTGGTAGAAGCCGAAGCGGACGTAGCGGTACGAGCGAGTCCACACTGGCACGCACACCGGACAGCAACTGGACGTTGTCTGATTCCCAGGTCCTGCAAGAGCATCAAACACGCACGAAGGAAGAACTTCGACAACTAGGTCAAAGTAACAAAGCTGTACGTGGTCGCCGCTGGGGCTGGGGCGGTCGATGGATCTCCACTGGCAGCGACTCACCCGCTCAATCACCAGACTCAGACCCTATTCGCCGCTTCTCCGTCAACATCTTCAAGCGCTCTGGTCACTTCTCTGATCCACCCGACAAGAAACAAAAGCAGCAGTCCCCCTATAACCGTCCCTGGTGGCGGAAAAACTCTATTCCCGCCTCAAGGAGTCCTCCTAGCAACCTAGCCCACATGCCCCTTCCACCACCATTTGTCCCTCCAGGGCTCCACCGTGTCCCCACGCCGCCCATGTTCGACGTTAATGGCGAAGTCAAAGGCAAACTGGCAGATTTCTTCTTCGATATCCATGGCGCTCCAGGCCGCAAACGACCATCCAAGAGCCCAGGTAGTATTTGGGATTCCGACGCACTGTTGATGAGCCTGCAGACGAACCTAGACGACGATGACGACGACGATGACGAGGAAGAAGGCCCCAAGGGGCGCGCAAGCAAGACTTCTTTGCCGATGAACTTCAAGCCAGACTATGACACGCCGGGGCTGATGCCCGGTCTCGATGAATACCCCATAGGCAAAGAAGGAAACCCAGGGTATCGCGTGTCGTCTCCAGGACTCCCTGACTCATGGTTCCGCATGCAGCGCGGAGACACGTCTAATGAACAGGCACTTACTACTTCTGCGCTAAAAAAGTCTGATGAGCGGAGGAAGTTCGAATGGCTCGTTCCGGAACACTTGCCCAATAGTCCCCTTTGCCCACTCCATGCAAAGTACCGCGGGCCGAGTATCGGCGTGTGTTACTGGCATGGTGCGCCATCGGCAGAGAAGAAGAAGAAGAAGAGCGGAGAGAGGGAGAGGGCCGGAAAACAGGACATGCAGGAGGAGGTTGCAAGGCCTGTGGTGATGAGGCAGGAGAGTAGGGGGCTGTATGATTCGCCTTACGCCGACTCCAAGAAGAGGCGTTTGGAGAGTTTGTCGAGCCCCTGATGTTTTCACATGGTGTTTTGGAGGTGTTTGGCATTTGGCGTTTGCGTTTTGGCAGACTGATTGATACCCGCATCCGGTTTTGGTAGGAATGTTCAACGAAGATATGCATAATGAGTTTATAGCACGATACCCCCTAATCTACATCTCGGTTACTCTCCTCACGAAAACCTGCGCGATAGACGTGAACGTGAATTCCCGTGTCTCGAATTGTTATCAAATGGATATATCGTAAAGCGTGTATACAACATAAACTCCGTCCCGCTAGGCAACAATCTACTTTTTAATCTAAAACCGTACATAATGTAGAACACATCGATCAATACACGCCCTTCGTAGCTCCCGCCCGTCGACTAGGACTATCCTTCCACGCCATAGTAAACCCCTCCCCATCCTCCTCATCCTCGGACCGATCCACATCCGCCAGATCAATGCCCGTAACCTCTCCCTCAAACTCGTCGTCGTCGAACTCGCCCAATCGTCTGTCGACATCCCCATCCCCCGTCGGGCTAAAAATCGGCGACGTAGCAATCCTGGGCCGACTCTTAAACACGCGATCATAGTCGACCTCGTCGCTAAACAGGGTCTCCTTCGGCGTCTTCTCGCTACTCTTGCTCTGCTCCATGAGCTCGAAGCTCCGCCTGGTGCGCGGTGTATCGAACTGGTTCACAGGGAAAAGCGAGTCGCGGGATCTAGACTTGCTTGTATCTTTTGCGAGTGTGTTTGCAGCGAGGGAGGCGCGGGGGCGGGTTGCCATTGTGAGGCGTGTGCGTTCGACGAGGGAGATTGTGCGGTCGACGTCTGCATCTGCGTCTGCGTCTGATTCTGGGGCTGAGATGGTTGGCAGGGAGAGGTCGGGGGACTCTGGAACGGGGTAGGGGTCGAAGGAAGGCGTGCGGGATAGCGTCATGCGGGTGCGTTCCATGAGCGACATTGACATTCGGGGTTGGGGCTTTTTGACGGGGGAGGGCGTGGCGTTGCCCATTGCATCTATGATTTGCTCGGCGAGGGCTTCCTCGGGGTCGAGGGATGGCGGCTCGAACATTGGGGTTGGGGGTTGGAGGGCGTATGTGGGTGCGGGGTCTCGGGAGGGAGAAGGTGTTTTATCGGTTGCAGGCAGTGGGCTTGAGGCAGGACTAGGAGTCTTCGCATCGTGTGCCTCTGGTGCTGGGGACTCTTGCTTCGTTGGAAGAGCTTTAGGAGAGACCGAAACAGGTGCCGCAGTTGAATTCGTTGAAGACAAGATTGGGCGCACGAGCTTGGGCGGTATTGGCGGAGGCTTTTTCTTGGGAAGAATGGATGTCGTAGGGAGGGCTGGTTTTGCCGGTAACTTAGGTTTCGAGCCCACGTCTAGATTAGTCTCGCTTTTGACAAGTGTTTGCGAGGCGTTGAATGATGATGAGGTGCCCTTTGCCAATCGAGTAATAGTAGGACGTTTGGGCTTAGCAGTAACGACGCGAGACAACTCGTGATCCATATCAAGCAAGATATCCTGATACGCGGGCCGCAGAGCTTGTCGCTGGACAGGCCTATCACCGATCTGCTTGGAGGAAGGCAGTTGATGGCCTAGATGGCTGTCGAACTTGAACTGTTTGGGGGCAGCGGGAGCCTTTGCGCTTGTGGAAGAGGCTTCCATGTTATCTTCACGTAGCTCATCGTGGAAGTCCTTCCACTTCTGCAGCCTAGTCTGCTGTTCTTGCACCCTTGACTGCAGGTTCTCGAGCAACCCAGCCTCAGGAGCGGCATCTTCCAGCTTCTGACCAGTCTCGACCATTTGCCAGACCTTTTCGAAACGATTGTTTAGGAACGCATCCTCTGGTTGTACGTCGTCGCCATGCAGCATGATGTCCAGCCACTTCTGGTTGCCAATCCAGTTGTCCTTCAACTGCTTCTTAGCAGCCTCCGCCTCTTTTGGTGGTACCGCAGGCCTTTGGGCTTGTGGTGTGTCCTTGGACTTTTGTGTCCTGCTATTGACATCGTCCAACTTGGTGTTCAGCAGTCGCTCGAATTCCAAGAGCCGTAGCCGCTTCTCTTCCTTGTGCCTGAGGATATTGATGAGAGCTCCTCTGTGCGCGATGGCGAGTGGCAGTAGGGACTGCTGCTTCTCAGGCGATAGCGTCGATGCAATGGCCAATTCCCGTGCAACTGCCGCATCCGTAGGTTTTCCTTTGCGCGCAGCAAGGACCTTCTTCAGGACTGTGTTGGAGAACAGAGACAGAACCTCGTAGAACTTCTCGCCCTTGCATTCGTCCAGCATAGTTTTTCGTAGTATAAACTCTCGTCCCGGCACACCGGTCTTCTTCAGCTCGTTCAGACATCGGTACAGCGCGGCTCGGAGGTTCAGCGATTGTAGGGGTTCAAGGGGAGGAAAGAAGGGCTGGAGCTTCTACAGTGACGGTTAGATGTGTCGTTGTTGGACGTGCCTTGCTGACATACCTGGGCAGTCTCATTGGGGTCCCATATCTGGAACAGGTGGAAGAGGGCCCACTCAGTCGCGCTAATGCGTTGCTTCTGGTCCGCATTTTTGGCTGAGAATGTTTGCACGGTAATGTCGGGCCAATCGTCGCGTAAATCGAGCTGGAGCAGGCGCAGGTTGGTCACAAACAGGCGCACATCGGAGACGGGGATTGGATTCAGGGTCGGAATCTTGGAGCTTGTCTTGACAGACATGGTACGCGAGACGACATTGGTGGTGGCCGAGGACGACTGTGAGATGGGACGAGACATGGTCTAGCTGTGAGAAGAGACATGTGCGTGGTTCGACGTGATATAGCGCCGAGAAGGCGCCCTGCGGGTTTTGTTGGACATGCATGGTGCTGTACAACAACGCATGCCAAGCCGGGTACTAGCGTTATCGCCGGTGGTTTTGTTTGGGAGCGTCACCGATTGACCACCTACTCTCACCGTACAAACACCCGCCTCTTGCATATCACTCACCCTTTGACACACCGTCCCCGCCGTTTCTCTCTCCTCAATTCTATTTCCCCCACACGCATCATTCACCATGGCGGTCGACGAAGCCACCCAGACGAACGGCAACCCAGCGCCCACCGCGGGACAACTGGACGCAAAAGACGCGAAAGAGAGTGCCTGGTCGGTCGAGAGCGGTATGTCATGAAGACGGCGCGTCGTCCGTATGCGACACTTTCCTTTACCCCATATATCACCCCCACACGCCTCAAACTAACTACCCACCACCAGTCCTCGCCGAAATTACCCCCCGCTACGCTGAAAACACCGATTCTCCCGTCCCCTTCTTCCACCTCCTAGAGCGCCTGAAGACGACCCCACGTGCAGGATGGCGCCGCTTTGGCATCGACAAGTGCGAGAGCATCTCCGACCACATGTACCGCATGAGCATCATCACCATGATGGCGCCCGCGTCTCTCACCAGCAAACTCGACATCCTCAAGTGCTGCCGCATGGCGCTCATTCACGACATGGCCGAATCGCTGGTCGGCGACATCACGCCTGTAGACCCAGTGTCCAAAGAGGAGAAATCGCGCCGCGAGAGTGAGACCATGGACTACATCTGCACCACACTGCTCGGCAAGTTCAACGGCGGGTTGAACGGGAAAGATGTCAGGGCGATATGGCAGGAGTACGAGGATAGCGAGACACCAGATAGTCTATTCGTGCACGACGTCGACAAGATTGAGCTGCTATTGCAAATGATCGAGTACGAGAGGGCGCATAAATGCGAGTTGGATCTGGGAGAGTTCACTTGGGTTTCGCAGAAGATTCAGAGTGACGAGGTCAAGGGGTGGGCTGAGCAAGTGTTCCGCGAGAGGCAAGACATGTGGAAGGCCGCGGGCAAGACACCGACTTGGAGGGCAAACACCGAACCAAAGGAGAAGGCATAGTCGTGGATAGCATATACATGTGTGGGCACTTCGTTGGGCGTCTGGAAGATGGCATAGACCGGTGAGTCCCGGACCTCCTTATGCAACATCATGAATGCATCCCAAAACATGTCTTACTATACACTTCTCCTGCGCCTCTCTCTTGCCATTATGTTCATTGAAGATCGATACTCCACTATCTCGTGTTGTTTGTTGAAGTCATCTCACGAGTGTAACCAGCCACAAATGAGACGCAAGTATATCTGCACGTGCGCCACCATCATACGGAAAGAATGGCAAACAGCTGTGGGAAGCATTCTAGAGGGATGATTAACCTGTGGGCTTGGAGACAAACATCAGTAGAGATACGAGGAACGCATCAGCTAAGTGATGCGCCAGCCTATTTGGTTGCTGCACGTGAGAGCACAATCTCGCGCATGGCTTGCTAGATGGTCATTTGAATCCGATGCGTGGAGCTTGTAGGATGTGCCAAACAGCGAGTGAGCGGTTCAGAGACGAAGGTGACCGTTGTAGGAGGATGAGCGTGAGGAGACGAAGCAAGCAGCATTGGGAACCAGAGTGTATAAGTATTGGGAGAACCTATGCTTTGAACGATATCAACTCAAGTTCAGTTGGCTTTCTCATCAAGGTAACTGCCTTACCATACATTTGCCTTCTCTTTCTACTGAGTGTCTTTCACTTCGAAGAAGCCACGACAATGACGCAGAGTCGATCTGACAAGACTGTTTCCGACAAGTTCATGAACGCTGCCCATGAATTCCTGATCACTTGGGGTACCAAGCTCAAAAACGAGCAGGCCAAGGAAGCGAGACGCAAAAATCTAACTGACCCTGGAACGTCCTTCGCAGCACCTCAGCAAGTCGTACAGCCTTGGGTACCCAAGTCCAGGACAGCTATTGGACGACTCAGCTACCAACTTACGAAGCTACCCGACCTTGTCGTTATCAAGGTTGAAGTCTATTACAATGACACTGACAACACATGGCAGCGAGTCACCAGCCGATCATTCCGAGAGAAGGCGTTGCAGTGGTATCTCAAAGACAAGGCTAGTTCCGTTGATAACATCATAACCATCAACACTCGGGCAGGCCACCTCGTAGACCACGTAGTTGTCCCTCTCAGTGGGCTCGACGAAACGCGGCTGCGAGACGTACTCGACACGTTCGTACCATCCACGATTCCACTGACGAATGGACCGAAAATCTCAGTCAAAGGAAAGAACAACAAACATACCGACAGACTCGTACAGTGCAAGATCACGGCAGTTCGGCATCTGGCTGAATCCGACATGAATGACAAACTGTACGTTCAGAGTCTTACAGATCTGATTCGTGATCGCGCCGACACCAGAGAAGGGATGAAGGAAAGCTGCAATCTTCCTCATACGTTCTTCTTGGGGATCCCTCTCGCAATCGAGAAGCAAGCGAAGCAAACCCCTACGATGATGACTATGATCCAAGGCTACGAGTCCCAAACCTCACTTCACTCGACCGAGTATCCTATCTTGCTGCGCAATCAGCTTTCGTTCGACAGAAAGCAGAAACAACTTCACCTTGACTTCGACCTCGTTGCAAAGGTTCCAGGAGCGTCGGATTCGCCTGGAAGAAAACCAGTGACGGAACTTCTATCTGACATTTTCGGTCACAACATGAACAGCGGGAACATCACTCAACTCCTCCCATCCATCAAGCAGCTCCTCACTGGCCTCGAAGTATGTCGCTCTTACCCTCGGGTTTCCAAATCAACTCAGACTACCGACACCTGGGACCGCCCTCTCAAGATCATCACGCTCCAGTTGGCCGGACCGGGGACAAACCTGAAAGACGGCCGCACAGTCTACGAGTACTTCAAGCAAGGTAAGCACCTCTTTTGCGGATCTAGAGCAGAAACGACTGACGACAGAAACACAGAGTACAACCTAACCTTCGAGAGCGGGTACCTTCCACTCGCAGGCACGCAGGGCCGATCCAAGGACGGCAAGCCACAGATCTCCTGGTTTCCCCTCGAGTGTCTTTCGCTGCCCGAGAACCAGATCCTCGCTGACTGCGACATCCTCGTTCCTGCTCTCAAGCAAAAGATCAAGGACTTTAAGTTCATTGGTCAGAATGGTAAGGCTATGGTTATGGAGGTAGGAAAACAGCTCTTCGATGAAACTATGGCTGCGCGAAAGCTTTGTGCGGAGGTATGTTTCTCGTCGTTCTACCATCGATGGTACCGCTGCTGACTTTTGGCAGGAACAGAGTCCGCGAGAGAGTGGTCCGTTGTGTCTGGCCGAGGAGCTGGATGGTGAAGTCAAGGTGGACAACCCAAGGTTTGAGCGTATCGATCCTATCGCATACGCTATTTCTTGAGTGTTTCTTTCGTTCTCCACAACTGCGTGGACGTCGTTTCTCTCTCTTGCTGCAGCCGTATTTCCATCTCATTCCCCTCCTTGCGTTTCATTGCTTCTCCCGGTCTCATTGTTCGTGCTTTCTTCATCAGCTCTACTCTACGTCCATAGATCTTTTTATTTCCTCTTCGTAAGACATGACCGAGTCTAGCTCTTGAGTCTCTTTCCTACCTTTCATCTTCTAGATTTTTTTCATTCCATAGACGATGGAAATTCCGTATCACTCATCTAAGTGTGACTGTCATGTACTTTCTCAGGGGTTTGGCTTTTACATCTCGTTGGCATATTTTGGTTCTCAGATAGACTCGCGCAATACACACATTTACGAACCTTGATCGTGCCTCTGCCCTACGTGACACAGTGATGCACTGGTAGTTCTAGCACACATATACTTTCGCTTGTGCGATCAGAGGAGAGGTGAAACAACGAAAGCGACTGGAGATTCGAGAGGCCCTAACAGATGGTGAACGTACTAAGCCAACTTCGGCATGGTTCATTGCGTAAGTAATCGAATACTCACGCCTTGACGTACCCATGCACAACACATGCGAATGTCAATAATCTGCACCCGAAAACAAACCCAATGCAGATGTTATGTATGAATCCATTGATTGCCACCGCCGAATCACACGCCGCGTAGGAGCCAACACACCACATCGGCACCAACGACCTCCGACCCCAGGCACCACCGGGCGCGTACAACGTCGAAAAGCAAGGTCATGATGTAATCGGCAAAACCGCGACTTGGCCTGCGCCGGGTAACAACCACGCAGGTGTGGGGAACCGAATACCGAGCCAACGACGGGACGATCGCGAACGGACAGACATGTGGATCAACTCGCTCTAACGTTGCGCTAGGGCAGGCGTCTCGGTCGGCGGGTGGAGATGCGTTGAGATCGATAGCTGCGAACGCGGATGCCGATGTTGTTTATGTTTTGGAGGGCGGGGTCTTGAAAGTTCGAAGTACGCGCTGGCATTTTTTGTTTTTTTTAGTTTCATCCTTTCATACGCGCAGTTCGATTGTAACTTTTTTTCTCCATCTTACACACATCTCAGTAATAAGAGCAAGAAGAAGAAGAAGAAGAAGAAGACGCTGCGAGAAACCATCATCATCATGTCGGACAACATCATCGTCAAGGGTATCGCGGGGACTTGCATCACCTTCTCGTTCATCCTGGCTGGTAAACACTCCCTCCCCCAGATACACACACACACATAGCCCAAACATGCAGAAACTCACACACCCGCCCAGGAAACGCAATCACGCAGTCCTTCATGACCGTCCCCGCCCTCCTAGTCGACTTCCCCGCCGCAAACTCCCCCTCGCACAAAGACCGCGCCCGCCTCCTCGGCCGCCAATGGCCTCTCTGCTGGACCGTAGGAAACCAGTTCTTCCGGCCCATCTCCACGCTCGGATTCCTGGGCTACGCGTACTCGGGCTACGCGGTGTACAGTGAGGGCGCTCTTGCGCGGAGCGACTGGAAGCTGTTTGGCGTTGCGGCGATTATGCATTTGACTACTATTCTGCATTCGGCGCTGAATATGCAGCCGCTGAACGATAAGTTGGAGGCACTTGCGGGGAGGGCAAATGATAAGGAGCTGGTTGAGGCGGAGACTGTGGCGAGGAAATGGGCGAGCTGGAATAGGCTGAGGTTGGTTACGCCGACGATTGCTGGGGGGTTGGCGCTGTGGAATTTGCTGTCTTTGTAGATGTTTGGTGTTGGATCGGCTGGGTGTTGGTGTGCATTTCTAGAGAGGGTATTCCATGCGATGGTTGAGGTTGGGTAGTAGCACTATTTACAATGGACAATACGTCTTACCTTTACCTTTGATCTTTTTGTTGTGATATTAAGTCTATATTTACATTCGAAGAAGGACAATGTCACTATTACTATACCATCATGTCTTTTGATAACGAATGCCAAACATGATGGTTGGAAGAACCAGAAAACTTTGAATTATAGACAACTTATCAACTCCATAGACTCACGAGTTACACCTCAGACTCCAGCGTTGAAGTACCTACTTTGCGATTGCTTGCGCCTTCCATCCACTCCTCTCCCTCAGCCATGTCTCGAAGTCGCACAGCCGTGGCTCCTCTTTCTTCAGGCGCCCAATATCAACACCATAGCCATCTGTAGCAAACCAAGTTATCATGATGCTCATCTCTGTAACCGCCCACTTGAGCACAGAGCCAAAAACACCGTACGTCGCCGGCGCAGGGAACCCAAGCACCCGCTCGAAGCACCCACTCATCTCGTCAAACGTGAGTTCACTACCAGCCAGCCCTTCAGTGCGCGCAGTCCACTCCTCGTGTTCCGCAAATGCCGTCGCACCAAAAAGGCCAATGTCTTCAGTCGAAACCCACTGCAGCGGCTTGCCCTGCAGTGTGTCTCTCAACGCAGCAAGGAAGACTTTGGTGGGAACCCCAGGTGCCAAGTTGTCCATGAAAGCCACGGGCCGCAGAATCGTCCAGCCCATGTTCTCCCCTTCCTTCCCGGCCTTCTCAAGCAAGTGCTGCTCGATTGTGTGCTTGCTCTGGAAATGCGGGATCGGTGTCCCGGTCTCGAAACTGCGCTCGTTGCCACCACGGTCGACACTCGAGTATACAAATTGAGTGACGCCTTCTTTGAGCGACTCGTCGATGAGCTGCGTGCCTTGTTTGACTTCGCTCTCGACGGTGACGCCGGGCCCCATGGAGATTTGCACAGAGTATACACCCCAGATCTGCTCGCTTTTGCCGGCTTCTTTCAGAGCTGTTTTGGCGGCTGCAAACAGGGCAGGAACATCGTTCAAGTCACCTTGAACGAGGATAACGCCGGGATGGTTCTCTGTGATGCGTTGTGCAGAGGCAGCTGAAGCATTGCGCGTGACAGCGAGGAGAGTGAACTGAGAGCTCGAAGGATGTGTTGCGAGTTGCTTGAGAACGGAGCCACCCTGCTTGCCTGTGGCACCGGTGATGAGAATGGATTTTGTGGTGGCCATGGTGTATTGCTGGCGATTATTGGATATGTCTTTGCCGGGTATTAGAAGGTCTGTCCTTTGATAGATAAATGCTTGATCAAAACCACCCGTAACTAAAATCAACGAGGTGTCTTAGATTTATGTTGTACGGAAAGTCACAATCAACTTGTACTCAACAAGAAGCCAGATGGAGTAGCAGCAGACACGGCCCCGCAATTTGGAGATCAGTACTATTTTCGTCAATCTTGTACGACCCACATGTGAGTGACGCTTGCACTGAATGGTCTACAACTGGTCGGCATGTCGATAAAGCACTGAAGCAAGGTCGGGGTTGAGGGCGCCGGCAGGAAATGGCGTAAACAAACTTCACGTTCCGGGTGGTGATGTTACGGTCCACCGACGCTGAGAGGTTGAACGGCACTCCCTTAGCGGCGGCAATTATTTGTTCTTCCCACCGACTAACGATGACGTTATGATTCGGACATCCACCTGCGTTCTTACAACGCATCAAACTGATGCTCACACAGAAACAAGGCTGTACCGTCAAGCAATAGGTGAGATGCTGTTTAACGCGTCTCACAGGTGTCTTTCCATTACAAACTTCCCCCCATCAATCACTCAAAACCCCACTCAACCGCTTCTGCAGCTCCTCTGCCTTGGCGCTATTTACAAACTCCCTAACCTCCAAAATCTTCGTCCCATCCTTGCTCATCTTCACAAATAAAACACATTCAGTCCACCACTCAGTAATCCCGCTCGCAATCAGCTTCCTCCCCATCTCGCTCTCCCCGTTCACCTTCCCGCCCATCTTGCAATGTGCAACCACTGTGTCTGTCTCCTTGCTGAAGTGCACTGCCTCCTGCGTCCTGTTTGGCTGCGGGATCATGTCAAAGGCGGCGAAAAGCGAGAAGATCATGCCTGCATGTTGCTGAAAGGGTTGTAGCGTGCGTGGTGGAAGATTGAGTGACGCAGGGAGGACCGCATGCTTGAAGTCTCGGGATGCATTCGCTGTCAGGGCTTGTGGTCGCAGTGTCGAGTAACTTTTGAGAAACTTGTTGAAGGTCCTGACATGTTCGGTTGACTCTTGCTTCTGTGATGGGTAGAGGAAGTACAATGCAGGGAGAAGGGCCATGACGGCTGCGAGTGTTGCAGTCGCGAGGCGGATCTCCGAGGGACTGAACTGAAGGTCGGACATCTTGGATAGATTGGAGATAGGATGGTTCGGCGCCTATGTTTGTGTTTGGATAGGCAGATGGTTGAATGTTGGAAGGAATAGATTCAACTGTAGAATGTCGAACATGCGATATCACGTGTGCATGCCCTACTGGTGCCAAACGTGGCGCTTCGAGATGCGATCATCAAGTCCGTTCCTACCGATGCACAAACCCGTTAATCGATGCAGAAGCGGACATTCAATCCATCGTGTTCCGAGTCCCAACATCAATTCGGATTAAAACACGTAAACGCTAATTGTGTGTAGAGTACCGGTACCTTAGAGCGCCATGATGTTCCATGTAAGGTTAGCGCGGTTTGGAACCGTCATCGACTTCCAACGCCCGTAAGACGTCGGACCGACGAATTGCATCCTCAGTTTCAGAATGCCGTTGGAGAGCCGTAGGAGTGTTGGTTCTAGCCGGCAAGTCTAGTGCACGGTACCCAATGCACCGGTTCCAGATGCATGGTAGACGGCGAGTCGGAGACTGCAACTGCGATGAGAGATAAGGTGTGCTTTATGAGTATTGCCGAAAATCCTCATGCTGGCAGACGAAACGATAATGGCTTGCAGGAAGGCGAATGAGATAAGATGGATCCTTGTATCGTTCCTGTGTTTTCTCTGCCATACCCGGTGTGTAGTCGTGAACTCAGTAATCCTGTCAGAAAACTTCACAGCAATATGCTTAGTCTCTGATCTCACAATATAACACTATGAACTCTACCATCGCTAGAAAGCCTAGATGATGTTGCATGCATGCCCTCATCAAATGCTCGACACTTAGATATCGAGATTTGGTGTCAGCGCTTTGTTATGCAGCCCAATTTGAGAAGACGCAGGGGATGGCGACAGGCTGAACTGAACGGAACGCCTCGCGTCGGTCCGATGAACTGGTGGCCAGATCGACAAAGATGCATCCGGAAATCAACGACGAGGCTGGGGCGCTAGCATCGTATGGTACATCCCGTATATGGAGCCGACATGTTTGCTTATCGGAAAGTCCATAGACAGGAAACAAGGTATTAGGAAAGGATCTTGTGAATGAGTTGTCGAGCTTGGGCACATAATTGCAGTAGAAACCTCGTGTACTGATCAAGTCATATTCGCTCGCTAATTAACCTATCTTAGAACTGCAGAAAACGTCAAGCCAGTCAAACTCCAATATCGCTATGCTGTTCGTCAAACATTTACTCCCAGTCTCCAGGCCCCAAGTCAATTGGCTTGCCTGCCCTCATATCCTCCATAACCTTCTCGATGCTCCAGGGCTCATACTTGTATCCCCTGGGATAGTTGGGCTCAAAGCTTGTCTCATCCTCCATCTTGATGCCCTTCTTCATGCTCTCAGCAGACTTCGTGTAGTTCTCGTATGCGTATGCCTCTGGGTCGTGACTCCAAACCCACTTTGGTAGCTTGGGTGCTGCGCGACGCGGGTCGAGCTTCACCTTGTCCCAATCGGTATCTTGTAGCAACTCAGCGTTGGAGAAACCAAGCTTCTGAGCGCAAGAATTGCGGATGAAACTAAGATTGTTAGTTCGAAGTGCGCACTGTGAAATGATAGGAGTAACTTACCGGAAACGGATGTGAACGCGCACTGATTGTGGAATGTTCTCTTTGCCGCCGATCTGCAGGCATGAAGCTAGTGATATGGCATCTTCGATAGCTTGTGTAGCACCGTTTCCAGACGCTGGGAGGTAGGAGTGTGCTGAGTCACCAATCTGGATGACACGCGCGAGGGGAGATGTCCAGCTCGGTTGCGGGTTACGCCAAAGAAGTTCGAAGTTGACAATGGTGTTTGGAGGAGTGACGTCGACCAACTCTTTGAAGATGGGCGCCCACTTGTGCTTCTCCATTCCTGGCATTTCGTCCATGCCTTTGAGAACTTCCTCCTTTTCGATGGTGTTGTTCCAGCTTTCCTTCTCGGTTCCGGTGACCTGTGATGTTAGTTTTAATCACATCTCGGGAATTCGATTACTTACGTCGTGGTTCATGATCCACACCATGACGTCTTCGCGAGTCAGTGTGAGAGCATACGTGGAAGGACTGGAAAATGTTAGTACTGCTTCAAATTCTCCAAGTTCCGAACTTTAACATACCCTAGCCATGTGCGCACGATTGACTCGTTGCCTGGCATGATCTTGAAGAACTCCTTGACTTTGGGGTTCTTGTCAAGGTGCTCGATCGGGAACGCAGCGCGCCACATAGCCCTTCCGGATGGTCTTGCGCGAACTTGTCCACCGACCAACTTCTGGCTCTTGGAGCCGACACCATCAGCGGCAATAACAACGTCCGCCTCGTACCGCTTCCCGTCCTCAGTTACGCACCCGCCCTTGCCTGTTTCCTCATCCTCGAAGTAATCAACAATCTTGCAGTTGAATTCAACCGACACACCAAGCTCCTCAACAGCGCTCACGAACATCTTATAGACGAGGGGACGCATTTGGAACTCGCCAGGTGGTGTATCTGGATCTAATCCCTGAGCTCGTAGACGGTCTGCGACCTTCTTTGGTGGAATGACGACCTCGCCAGAGTGCTTGAACGTTTCGATCCAGGCATTGTGGAGTGAGATTCTCTTGTATTCCTTGAGCAGCTCGGGCCAGTGCTTCAAGAAACGTGTGGCACTCAAACCCATGAAGTACATATCACCTGTTATCTCGAATCAGCATGGTGTCATTCCAAGAGCAAGAGGTTACTGACCTGCAGTGTTGATATCGGCATTTCGTTCCAAAACGCGTACGTTGTGTCCTTTGCGCGTGCATTCCAATGCAGCAACAAGACCTGCAAGACCAGTGCCCACGATAAGGACGTCGATGCCGGTGCTCGGGTAAGACCCAAGTGGCTTCGACTCCATCGTCGAGTCACGGGAAGTGAGTGCGTGAGGCATGATGTTCTAGTGTGTCCTTTCGTTGTACTGTGTGAGTGTAGAGAATCAATGGACTTCAAGCTCCAGACATGTACTCCATTTATCATACAACGTGCCGACACAACTCGGAACTGGGGAATTCAGATGACGAAGCCACTGAAAGTCCGTGATGCCGACGTGCCTCGCAGCCGTACTGTTTGGCTTCCCGCATGGACCTAGGGTAGCAAGCCGAGCATGATCGGTAAGAATATCTTACGATTGCCAGGCACACGGCTCGTTTGGGTATGGAATGATGTCGATGACACTACCAGGGCCCGTCGACTAGCCCCGCGCTATGGATCCCCACAACTCCGTCGAGCCAAGACTACGGCACGCTAGATCAGGCCGTTTGAGATCTGGGCTGTAGATTCTAGCTTGAAATTGTCATTTCCGATCTTGGCACATATGCAAGATGCAGCAAGTGATTGTGACATGGTCAACTGGCGTTCAACGATACCCACTGTCAGATTCGTGGTTTCGTTGAGTTTCTCGTAACACAAGGCGCCGCTACCCCTGTTTTTCCATGACACTTATATTTACTTCTGTCGGAGGAAGTTCGCACAAGACACCGAGCGTGACTAATATGATGAACTTCCCAGGCCATTGTCTTGGGAACGATTGAACGAATGGAAAAGCAAAGTTCTGTCCCCAGGCGCTTCTTTGGGTGTGGAATGATCTGCAGAGCATGTACACGGATGCTACAGTTCCAAGATACTGTGCCCAGAGTTCTGAATGCCCATTAGTCCTATCAAAGGAACATTACTGGGTGGAGAAATCGTCAGCAAGAGGATTTGTCTTGGTCATGATAAAGCCCTCGCGTCGACAGACTTCTTACCAGCATTACGGTGTACCGAACGCTGGGATAGGACATGGTGGTTGATCAGAATGCTTGCTGTTGTCCCTAGCGCAATATAATTTCGAATTCGTCTCATGGACGGACTTGGAGGCCTACCAATCATCTCTGTCCCGAATGGTAGTTTCTACTAGGAAACAGTGTTGACTATCGTTATGCATCGTCGGCGTTACGCTGCCGTTCAGCAGATCCAATATGTCATGATCGGCTCCAGTTAGTACCGACCAGCTCTTAGACGGCGCTGAACCCATACGACACGCCTCGAGCTTTGGTAGGCTTGTCCCAGTTCGCGTTGGTCGATGGTCGTAGCATTGATACGCCTTTGATGTGTTCTATCATTGGTGAAGTTGGCATGGCCGTCGACCTAAATCGCCCCCTGGGGACCTGTCATCCATGCTGATCCAGCAAAGCCTGGTAATAAACTCATGAAGCCGAAATTGACCCTGTCCACTTGTGCATAAGACCAAGGCTAGGAGGGTTCGTTGAGGCGTTGGCCGCCCACCAGCATCTCGGTGTGATATCTAGCTGGCTCCCCACGTTGGTGACTCCTCATCCATATCACTCTCCCCCCGAGTCGGTAGTATCTTCGATTCTTTCGACTGCTGGTACACGATATACCATCTGGAAGGATGCATCCTCTCACACTATACGTCGCCGGCGTAGCAGTACTTGGCTTTGCCATATACGCTTTGCTTGACGCCGTCTCGAAGTACAATGCCAAATACAATCCTCGCGGACTCCCTGGGCCAACTCTGGTACCGTGGCTAGGACGGGTCCATGACTTGCCTATCCAGTATATGTGGTTGAAGTTCAAAGAGTGGGCCGATATCTATGGACCCATATACCGAACAAAAATGCTGGGCGACAACTTCGTTATCATAACCGACGAGTCGATAGCCGAGGAGATTCTCATCAAGCGGGCGAAGGTATATTCTGATCGTCCTGAGATCAAGTCGTTATTCGATGCGAAGAGCACGCATGGTTCAATGGAGTATCTGCCTCTTATGGGCAAAAACAGTAAGTATTCCAGCCCAAAACTCGATGTATACCCAGCTAACTGTATGGTAGAATACTGGGCCCGTCAGCGAAAGTTTACTCACTCCTATCTCACCGAGGCAACCAACAACCAGTATTACGGAATTATGGAATTTGAGGCAAAAAGATTGCTCTATAGGCTTATTGAGAGGCCCGATAACTTCTTCGCCGACGTTGAGGATATGTGCTCCAAAGTCATGTGCACGCTATCATGGGACGATCCCACAATCAGCACAACCCTTTCCCCAAGTGCTTGGGGTCTCCTCACACAGATGTCACCTGCTGGGCCAATCACCAATGTGTTGACACCTCTTTGGGATTACATTCCGCAATCAATCAACCCATGGAAGATCAGGGAACGCGAACGACATGACACACAGCAAGCCTTTTTCATGAAATGTCTCCAGGACACCCGGCGACTGGTGGAGAAGGGCAAGCAGCGACCATGCTTCACCCGATCGTATCTGGAAACTGCGGAGAAGTCAATGATCAGCGGAGATTACGAAGCATCTTGCGTTATCGGAATGATGGGTCTTGTCGGTATCTTCACGGTGACGGGACCTCTCTACTACTTCTTGATATCAATGGTCCACCACCCAGAATGGCAGCGCAAGTGTCAAGACGAAATCGATCGGGTTTGCCAAGGTCGATGCCCGGTTCTCGCTGACATGCCAAACCTCCCGATCCTTCGTGCGTGTATCAAAGAGACGATGAGGTGGAAGCCAACGGTACCAACTGGTAAGTCTGCATTAAGTATCAACTCGGAAAGATGCTAATACATAATCTTAGGCGTTGCTCACGAGTGTGAAGCCGACGATTGGTACGAGGGATACTTCATTCCCAAGGGCACGCGCATCCTGCCTCTCGACTGGGCATTCCTTCGCAATCCTGTCAAGTACCCAGACCCGGAATCGTATCGACCAGAAAGATGGCTGGAGTCAGGCTGGCCGACATTCCAGGAGCCACTCACAAAGTTTCCCTCGGTGAAAGGAATGACATCCTTCGGTTGGGGTCAGCGTCAATGTCTTGGGATGTCCATTACTCAGGATGAGACTGTTGTCGGTTGCGGTGCTCTAGCATGGGCTTTCAATTTGAAGAGAAAGGTCGACCCAACGACTGGAACCGAGATTGAAGTACCGCTGAACAAGTCGAACTCGCTTCTCATTCTCACCCCAGATAAATTTGAGATGGCCTTCGAGCCACGGAGCCCTGCACGGAAAGAGGCGATCATCAAGCAATGGAAAGAAGCTGAGGCGAAAGACATGGAGGAAAGGGCGGCATTCCTGAGGGAGGCAGAGCGGAAGAGTCAATTGTGAGCAGTGTGATCGTGACCGTCAGGCGTTGGTGGTGGATGTCGCGCGTTTCCTTCTATGAGTTGTGGCAGTTCTATATCCTAGTTAATACCAAGTCGTCTCATACAATGGTGAAGGTCCCAAGTTGCCCGAGAGACTCTGACACCCTGAATCCCGAAAGGCTGGGGTTGGAGCTGCTCGGTGTTACGCCACGCGTAATCCGAGGCGGCGTCATGCTGTATCGAGCTTAGCGTCGGTACGGTCGGCGGCAACGAAAACGTCGCTCAACCTTCTAGGTCGAGGAACTCGGTTGTAGCGTCATGTTCCGAGAGTGATGCAAGACCAACACACACCCGGTATTGTGGAGATTTCTTGTTTGTCAATGGTGTTCTTATCACCTTTTGTTGGCATTCCTACGCCTGGTTGAGCAGCACGAAGGATGGCATAATCACCTCATTCCTTCAATACCTGGGGAGCGGTGACCACTATGACTTCTTTTAGCAGTGACAGGCCAATGATGCAAGGGGACCCCACATGGTGGGCAAATCTCGAGCAGCTGTTGCCCTGACGGCAGTACATAAGCTACCCCTCCATCACCCCTCATCGTCCCTCTTCTCAACGACAACAACACCATCATACAATCTCCCTCACCACACCCAACATCAACATGTCGAACCCCAAGGTCTTTTTCGATGTCACCATTGGTGGCCAGAACGCTGGCAGGATCGTGATGGAGCTTTACGCCGACCAGGTCCCCAAGGTACATTTTCTTTTCCTATCTACCCCGCCATCAGATTCTGCCACCTTTCGCAATTGAACGTTTGCTGACAATTACCGTGCAGACCGCAGAGAACTTCCGCGCTCTTTGCACTGGCGAGAAGGGAACCGGCAGGAGCGGCAAGCCCCTCCACTACAAGGGCTCCTCTTTCCACCGCGTCATTCCCCAGTTCATGCTCCAGGGTGGTGACTTCACCCGCGGCAACGTAAGACATAAACCGCCCTTTACTATGGGCGCATCGAAAAATGCAACAATCGGCTGACATACAGCAGGGTACCGGTGGTGAGAGCATCTACGGCGAGAAGTTCGAGGACGAGAACTTCAACTTGAAGCACACTGGCCCCGGTGTTCTTTCCATGGCCAACGCTGGTCCCGGAACGTGGGTTGAATCGAGACCCTAGCTATGATCCAGCGCTAACACAACTCAGCAACGGCTCCCAGTTCTTCATCTGCACTGTCAAGACCTCGTAAGTTTGGCACACGTCTTTCGCGATTGACCCAGCGCTGACATTTGTTACACAGATGGCTCGATGGCAAGCACGTTGTTTTCGGACAGGTCGTCGAGGGCCTCGACATCGTCCAGAACATCGAGAAGGTCGGCTCCTCCAGCGGCAAGACCCAGACCACCGTCACCATTGTCAACTCTGGCCAGTTGTAAGCTATTTACAGCTGATGGAGGAATGGAAGGTAGACACGCATTCGGCTGTGATGCCGTCGATCAATGCACAAAAGGCGAGAAGGCGATGAAAGAAGGGAAACCTAGATCATGATGATGGTCTTTACGATCAATGAATGACACTGATGAACTTCCAAAATCAGCATTGGCATGCATATATCGTTCAAGTGACTAATGATTGGCAAAGAAAATGTCGCAACATAAGAGCTGAGACCAATTGACACCAAGAAACTATTTCCACAATCATCGAGTACATACAAAAGAACTGCCAAGTTACATTACTCTTCCAGCTCCAGTATTCGTCCGCGAACTGCCGCATCATCCCGACCCGTTATATGCCAAGCCGGGTACGAGTCTTGAATACCCTATGCACAATGCATAGTGGCGTCAACAGCATCACTATTGCGAAATGGTTTCTCACATGAGTATACATTGAATCAAGCCGATGCAGTGCAGTTCCATAATGCCGACGGGGAGTCCAAGGCGCATATCATTGGTCGAGCATTCGGAATTGAGGACGATTTTGAAAAAAATCTTGCCGTCTCCCATACCAGGGTTGTTTCTGGATTTCCAGTCAACCAAGTATATACGGATTCGGCCTCAATCTTGCAATCTGTTGATATCGAACTGTGAGGGTTGTGATTATGACGTGAACGTTCTGCTGTTACTAGTTCAGCCAATGGAATTCATTCACATATGTAAGGTCAGGCGGTTATTGGCTTAGTCAGGCTATAGTTATACTGCAAAGAATATCATGGTATATCCCATGATCCGCTGCGAGGTGACCTGGAGCACGGGCCGACTGTCGACTAATCAGAACAAGACTCAGCATCGGTAAGTCGGTGTTTTAGTTACGAATCTTGAATTTGAAGTTCGTGAGGCAGGGCTTAACGCCGATATGCCGACACAACAACGCAATTTGATTGACTTAAATCTTGGCCCGTGCTTCCAGGTCACCTCGCAGCGGATCATGGGATAGGCTGTGTCAAATCTACGACTACGAGTAACGAGTTGAGCGTAGGTAGTTAATGCGATAGGGAGAATCTCGCTTGTAGAAACGTGAGGTAGAGACAGACAATGTCGTATAGAGGTACTCAACAAGATGGAGATCGTGCTTATGTCTGCTATGAGGTTCGCCTGACGGCTGTAAATCAGTATGGCCTAGTTGGGGGTTGTGCTTTGAAACTTGAGGGTAAAGTGTAGAGTAGGAACTTGAGCCTAGAACTTGACTACAGGCCATGAGATTTACTAGAATCATGTCGTTCGATTGTAGATCGGCATCCTGTCGGGTCTTCGGTTTGGATCAAGCGAAGGAAGAACATGCATGTGAAGAGGTAAGGCCGCGACGCAGAAGCATATACTCTTACCACTGGGCCTGTGACAGCAACGCCTACTCACTGGCTCTAGTGACTGTACGGTTGAATCCCCGCTGTAGATCTCAACCAGTGTGAGTATGCACAGTAGTGCACCTCCGCCATTGACCGGCTTGTGCGTCGTATGCACACTGCGCACACTCGAGGCCTAGAACCACAACAGAAGTGAGCGTAGCATTCGCTTGGCCAGGTTCAGTAGACCGAAAAGAGCTGCTGAGGACATTGCCACCTGCACCGGAGCCTGGAGGAACGAGGGAGCGTGGGGCAACGAGTGAGCAGACGAAATCGAGTAACGAGATGGTCCTCCAGTAGGCAAATACATGGCCATGTGTAACACAATCATGCAGCCCTGTATGGTCGAAACGGGGCAGCAAGTGTATTGGTGAGTGTGTCCGTCCAGGATCTTGTCCATCAGCACTGCGAGAGAATCTTGGTAAAATTTGTCCGCCGTCGCTAAACCAGGTTGCCTTAGTGTTAGATTCAGCGAGCCATTCCATGTCAGGGAGGCCAGCAGCGCAGGACTCGATGCGAGTGTACGATCCGAACAAATTGGATGATGGCAATAACGGTGAGGTGACGAGGCCACGCTTGTCTACTCTTGAACATAAGCTCGACGAAAACAGATGAAGTTCTCAAGACGATGCAGGACAGTGCGCCAGGTATGTCGTGGTTGCCGTTTGAGGCAAACACGTACCTGCCATCGATTGGCTGGGGAAGGCGCATATGAGGGAAATTTTCGAGGCTTGCAGAGACGGAATGATTCGAGAAGACGCAAGAGAAGCTGAGGGATCGGCCAGCTCTACATACATGTGCGTGTTGTGTGTTCATGTTGACGCAGAGTTCATGTTGCACAATCACGTGGGTGGTTGGGGTGTGTAGCACCTTCCAGCCGTGGACGCTGTGGACCTGCTGATCGAGCGGAGCTATGGTGCTGAAGATACGGCGGATTTCCGCGGGTGACCAGTAACATGGGCATGGTCATGGGGATCGAGCGGTACGGAGAAGCGTTTAGCGTCCACTAGGCACGGCAATTCTTGCAAAGCCAACACTGTCGACAGCCCTGTCCAGACTGAGCATCCGAGCAAGTCATCGGTGCACAACAGATGGAGGCTGACATGCACTCCACGATTGCACACAGTACCCGAGATTCTCAGCGCAAAGGCGTCGTCTGCAACATATGACGTCGATGTGGAATGTCGCTCTCCCCACCGTCTTTGTGCAGCAGGGTAAGCCCTTCGAGTGTCGCGGCGGCAGCACGTGGATTTGATCGCCGTGCAGCGTATCGTCCCGCTGCTTGCGCGCATCGAGTCGACCAGCGCTGAGGGGTGAGACAGGGAGGCCTGCGCTCCAGGCGGTGTGGTTGCTCACTGAAACATTGCAGGGCTGAGTGAGCGCTTGCTACCCACACGCAACATGCGTGCTTGGCCGAGAAACCGCAAACGAAGCTCATTCCCAAGGGCCATCGAACAGGTGCCGCGAGCGTTGCACAGCTGACGGGATGGTGGTGCTGATGGGTGCTTGCAAAGCGTGGGTGACGCGCTCTTGATTGGTGGGGGTGTGTGATACGGCGCCCGCCTGTAGCGACGGCGGCGTGGAACGACGTTTATTCGTCGATGACGAAGCCAAGTGTGCAGTCGCTGCAGTAGGGTGGCAAGCATATTCGCTGGCAGCGATCAAAGGACCTCGCATCGAGATTCCAGGCCCGCGCGAGTCGTCAAATGCTGCGCAACTTTAGGCAGAAGACTGTACGAGATCCCACGCCATGACCTGCGCCTTTTGCTGTTCGTGCCTACGCAAAGTTCAGAGTGGCTGTTGATATACTCCATCCTTGCGACTTCCCGCCCCCTCGTGCCAGGTCACCCTTTCATGTGCTGTTTCTAATCGCCTGCATCGTTGCGCCTGCTTCACTTGCCCGCTTGTTATACTTATACGTCGGCGGTACTTGGCTGCGCGTTCAATAGACGACCTTCTACACATTCTTACGCGTCAACCCACCACAATCAATACCATTCAGTAATAACACACAACACTGCATCATGTCGCAACACCCACATTGGCGCCAGTATCAATCGAGCAAGAGTACTCACTCCCGCAGCGGCAGTAGCGGCTCATACGACACGGCCCCAACAGAGTACAGTGACCGTCGACCCTCGCTGGTGCACAGCGAAACATGTCATGCTCGCATAGAAGGACGGCACCGGGACGACTTTGCGCCGGCGAACGACTGCAATCGATACGCAGTCCAACCCGCCCACGCCTCAGTCGAGACGTACGCCTCGACCTCAGAAGAAGATGTCGGCGATGACTTTGACGATGTGCCAGAGTACGAGGTCCCGCAGTACCATCTTGAGCCGCGTTCTACCGTCGAAGCCATCCCCACCACACCCCGCGACTTTGGCGACCTTTTCCCCACCGCAAAACGCATATCGATACGCCACGACGATGCCACAATAGATGGCAACATGAACCTGAGGGTCGACACGCAGGTTGAGGAGCGAAATCACAAAATACAAAACTACACCCTCTTCCATCTCCGCATGAAGGACCTGCGCACTCGAGAGTTCTCTCTCCGTCGGTACTGCAGAGAATCTGGCCGTGAGGTTTGCCATTCAATACGCAAGTACCAAAAGCCACCCTCAGAACAACGCCCGATTCTGCAGCGCGCAAGCACAGCGCTTGCAAGCTTGGTGCACAAGCCTGAGTCACGTCCCTCCACTTCAGCAGGCCTCAAGCGCTCAGATTCTGGCTACGAGTCGATGCAGAGTGGCCTTGACGCACTGGGAGCGGAAGAGTTTGAGTCACATCCCAAGTCCGTAGGCTATTCCAAAGGGCGAGCGCTGATGCCTACCAACACGATCAAACTTGAGTTCTCAAACTACGCCCATCTCGACGTTAAACGTAGAGGCACCAAGTCCAACAAACGGTACGCCTTTGAGTACTGGGGCAATGATTACTCTTGGAAACGTATCGTGAAGAAGGAGCATGATCAAGAAATCGTGTCTTACTATCTCATCCGCAACGACAACGAGAAGGAGCCACTAGCCCATATCTGCCCTGTCCGCCTCTCTGCAGATGAGGCACGTGAGGAAACTGCGAGGGGAGGCTGGATTCCACCATCATATATGCGCATTACCGACGAGGAGATTTTGTGCGCTGAATCCGACATTTCTGAGTAAGTAGCATCCTGTCATATGCCATACATGGAAACTGATCTTAGTCCCAGCGTCGTTATTGCGACAGGGCTCATGGCTCTGGCAGATGACTGCATCAAGCGCCGCTTTCACTCCAAGCAGAGCACGCAACTGCACATCCCGCTTCTCCGAAATGGTTCTTTCATGATGAACATGGAGTATGTTGGGCCCAAGCGGCTGATCGATGAAATGTTCAACCGAACTGGCGGGAGCCCGAAGAAACATCATTCTCCGTACTCGGAGTCTTTTATAGAAACTTAATGTCTTACTAGGAGTTATTTTAATGGGAGAGTTGTCAAGGTTGCAAGGTTGAGTGCATTAGCCGTCAGAAACGCAGTGGCTAGACTGTGGCGATCTTTTGACTCATATTGTTGTTGTTTTCAATTTTCCACAACGAAGTCATGTGTTCATCATTCTCGTTCTTGTTATTACTGTTGCGTTGATCTTAGCGTTTCTTCGGATCAGGGCGTGCATACTTGCATGTATGGTGGTTCGGTTGGCTGAGCAGATTGTTTGCTGCATTTGTTGTTGAGTTGTCTTCCTGCAGGACGAAACTCTCGCACCCTTCCGTCTCCCCGGCTGGTCTCGATAGCTGTTGTACACGTCTTGGATTTGGCATACACTTCGCTTCCATATCGGATGAATTACGGCCTCAGAGCTACCTGCTCGGTTTTGAATCTTATTGGATTTTGGTTTCAGACGGTGCCATAACACCGTTTGAAGGCTTCCCAACCCTTCATTGAGTGTATTATGGGAGATATATGTTTCGTACTACATCGTCGCGACAATAGCAGCAGAATTGTTGCTCGGGTTGAATCACCGCACCGTCCTACTGGTATTGGTACTGAAGCTATGCTAGCGCCAGCCTTATGATTGCTCCACGAGGCGGGTCGCGGCATGTTGCACAGTGCAACGTGTACGCAAACTTTTGTCTGCCATCATTTGTTGAACTTGAAACGAATTGTTTGAAGTTCGGAGCGTACCTAAGCATCCATGGAGTCTGTGTAGACAATTCTAACATCTCCCAGTATACATTAATTGAAGTCGTCGATCCGAGGGCTCGAACGAGACGTTGGGCATCAATGAGGTAGGTTTGCTTGCTCTCCACAATCTTTCGCTTCACGATACGTACCTGGGTTCTTCTGGGCTGTTATCGAACCTGTTGAATTTGCAATCACACAAACACTCAGCAGGCACCCGACGCAGTCACAGCTGACCATGTGACGGCCTGAATGCGTCTTATCATTCTAGCTCAGACTGCAAATGGTCTCCACTGCACAGTCAAGCGAGATTCTTTCGCCTCACCATGTACACACCCTTTTTTCGCTTCACGATTACGTCGAGTGCAACAGCTATTCAATGTATAGACGACAGAATTGTAGCACGAAGACATCGTGTATAGAGTCGGGGCATCATAGGTAAGTATGATGAGCTACTCCTGCGTGGTGAGCTGGCTCGCTTCCCACTAGATGGTGTCTAGCATGCAAACAGGGTGGGCACGGCAAACGGCAAACGTCTTTGCGCGGAAGTTTCTAGTTCATCGAGCTGCAGGTCGAAGGATTTGCAGCGACAGATCGAATAGAACATGATACTAATTTCTTAGGCCGCCATTAACCCCTCCTTCTATCATCTTGGTCGTTTCGTTCTTCGTTGCGTTCAACGGTCCTTAACGTTGGATCCAGGCCTTCGTTCGGCCCGCTGGACCCAGCGATGTAACATGTAGTTCCGGCAGCGCAAAATGTATAATTGCGCAGGCGGGACCTCACAGGCGTGACGGGTTCCAACGTCCATTCGCATGTCAATTAGAAGGGATCATGACTTCTTGTTCGGATTCTCGCATCTGTATCGTTGCTCGTCCTTCGTATCATCTGCTTTCCTTCAAGTGAGGCGATCTTGCGGTTTTGTATAAGTAGCTGGTGGATTCCCGAGAGGGATTCGGCATCAATCATCATCATCTATCTTTCCCCAGCCAGTGACAGCGATCACACAAGTCTTCGAAGAGCTGAATTTCAGACTTAAGAGCTTAAAGATACCCAATTCCCACTATGACAAACCGCGAGCCTTGGACGCAACGTCTTAGAGGTATGTTTTCTATGCGCCTGAATCCAAGTCTCAGTCCTAAGGTATCTAACAATGAGCAGACCATTGCATGGTCCGACGTCTTGGAGAACCGGCTTATCAGGATGTATCTGATCGTCGAGGTAATCACTTACCTTTTCCGCCCAACTTCTATCATACTGATGGGTCTCAGGCGGGCGCACAGCTTGGTCTACTGTCGCTGTAATCAACGGCACCCAATATTCAGCCCGCTTTTGGTACGATGGTAATTATATAGACCAAGCCAAAGAGGATGCTGCCGAGATTGCTTTGCGGAAACTCACTGGTTATGTCGATCCTACTACCCAGCCTCCACCGGCGAGTCACTATCGAATTGCTATTGCCGCTTGAGCGTGGGACTCCAAGAGGAGTAGGCCGAAGGAAATGCGTGCTATGGGTACTCTGCTTCGATTCACTCTTTCAATATTGTTTCTGGGAGGGATTGCGGGCGTTGGAAAACAGGGGTCATGGGAAAGGTGGAGGGCGGTCGTCTCGTAGTTTTGCACGCTTTGTACCTTCAATGTCCGGTTTATCGGGCTTTGTACTCTCCCAATCCCTCTGCTGGATTTTGTGTAGCGGAGCTGTCACTTCCACGTTGGGAGAAGAAATCCTGCTAAGGACTAGCGTACCAAAGTTCGAATTGAAGATTCTCACCCACACACCATGTCTCTTCACATCCTCATCACGCTCCCAACACACTTATTCTTCTTACATTGTCGCTATCGGATTGTCGCTTGTGGTGCAATGGGCTGATTCTGACTCGCCGTCCAGTTCGCGTGTTGATACAAGCATCTCAGCCCGAGGTCTTCGCAAAGACCTCATCATTTTCTCACAAATGATGATCTCCCAACATGGAGAATGTGTGTGGAGCGTTCGCCACTTACTAGCTTTGTATGGCAGGCGGGTTACACGCCCCGGAGGCGAGGTCTTTCCGGCGAGCCTGTCCATGCCTCTTGTCAATCCATGGCGTGCACCTGGCCGATGCCAGTCTTTGGGAAATCGCAAGCATTGGACAACTGGAAAGTTACGGACCGGTAGTATCAGGCATCCAAGGCAGTCGTATCTTTTCGGCCTGTAAAGCGAGCTTTTCTGTCTACGGGTGAGGGACGGGAGGGGTTTCTGCCTGCAAGCTCGGGTATCACTCCTGCTTTTGGATCACTCTACCTATGGAGCCATGCGCTGAGTGGGTGGACGAGATGTCCCGCGTGGCGCGGGCCATTGTTCGACTCTCCAGATGTGGATTCGCTAGAGCTCAGGGATACAACACACTGGCCTACTTCCGAGAGAGCTTTCGTCCGTGCCGACTTCCAAAGCGGGTTTGAGTATATACTTACAAGCACGCCATTTCAGAGGGACGGCGGAAAGGTAGATGCTCACGCTTCATGTACACCAACAGCTGCTGGTTGACGAGATCTTGTAGCTATTTCTCCTTATACTCTGACAGTACACAAACATGATTGGAATCGACGCTGCTACGACTCTCAGACGAAGTAGAGATCGATCTCGCTTCTCGGGACCATACCCGCACGCATGCTTTCCTTCCAGGATTAGGTTTTCGAGGACGTTGAAGCGATTTTCCTCACTGGAAGCCCACGGTCAGTGTGGCTGGATTTGTGGGGTGGCCGACCTCGCAAGTACGAAAGAGACTTGGCTGGGACTAGTATCGCAAATTGGACGAGAAGGTCCACTCTCTGGACATTCCCGTAGTGCTCGTTATCAGCATGTCAATTCGTTAGTGCCGCCTTGGGATCGGGCAAGCCGACCACAATATTCAGTGCAGATTTGTTGCGTATTGCGCGTGGCCAGACAAAATCCATCCTTCTCGCGATCACTTCGATCTCGACATGTGGCTAATGCCGCAGTCAATTCTGGGGTGCTGCGGTCTTCTTGGAGATCGCCAGTGCTGTCTCGGAGGGATGCATGTTGGCTGATTTGGCAGTGGAAATCCCACAATATCGATCAACATGAGCGACATACGGTTTCAACCAGACTTTCCAGCATCATTGGTTGGGAAAGGCAGCAGAAGGCAGAACTTTCATACGCGTGCCGGCACTCTAAACCCTTTTCTCAGCAGAGCCTCGGTTTTGAACATTGTTCACAGAAGTGTGCGCTGAACCCATGAACATCTCTCAATATTCCCGCTCACCCGAGACGCTGCATCCACTCTCACACGATCTGCCGAGCTCACACGTTCATTCGCCGTAGCAAGTGTCGGAACTCTCCAGCGAAAACAATCGTTCGCGCTTTTGAGGTATCACACAATACATGAACAAACATTAGCCGACAGTATTTCAGTCAGTACACGTCTAAATAGATATGGTTGAACTGCAAGCTCTCCTGGGGCTCACAGTGGGTGAACACCAAGCTAGACCCACATCGCTCAGTCCTTCTCTGCCTATGTGCCCAACCCTGGGACACGAAGTTATGGAAACCGAACAGCGAGAAAGACTTTCATGCTTCAGAAACACTGGTACTAAGTAAGTCCTTGTGCGATGGTGCTGGGTGTGTCCTTGAGATCTATCTACACTCCTAGTGACGAGACATGGAGGCCGATCTGCCGAGGTGGCTCCACTCTGTTAGGCACAGTGTCCCCTGGATCCTTTTCTACGTTTCCTATCTCGCGCTTCACCAACCTAGCGATCGGAGAGAACTACTTACAACAAGGCCTTGAGGACGCAGGCGCTTCGACTCACCACTCGTTTTGTGGACTCACGATCGAAGCTCGTGTTTTGATTACCTGTCCAGACCTTTCGAGCGACCAAGCCTCACAATCATCACAATGTACACCATACTGTCCTTGAGCTTCAAGCTCAAGTTAACCTCATGGTCGGTCACACACATACGAAGGCATCGCCTTCAGGAGACTCGTATCGACGCACCGAACGTCCTGCTCTCCCACCACAACACAACCGTACCAAACAACGGCGGAGCTAGCATTGCTTGTTCCATCTTCACGAGGATAGCACGTCACTCTTGTGCGGACCCAGTACGATGAAGCGCCCGTCAACGACCAGCCGCGCCGCACCGCACCCGTTCCGACGACGCTGGAACACAATCTGTCCCGGCCAACCCGAACAATATACCACAATAGAGGCGGTCTCTGCGGAGTATTCATACTATCGCATACGCCCTCAGGGTACAGCATCTGAAAGCTGAGTATTGAAGGCGACGATCGATTCGCCGTTTCCACTATCTCGTGTACCACGATGTGTCACATTGGTATATAACTACCGCCTCCGATGCCGTTTCGTTCGACCGAGGACACTTCTTCCTCTGAGCTCGCCGAGTTCGAGCGTATTCTGTTGACACGTAGTTCTTGACAGTCATCGCACAGCAGAACATCGCAGAGCTGCGTCGGATGACCTCCCATAGTAGAACTTGTTAGTTATGTGGCGCCTCTCCGAATGATGAGGAGGCATGCTGAACTCACCAAACAGCCACTGACGCACAGATAGTCACCTTGTACCTTCTTACCGTTGCTTCTGACAATCTAGCTTCGGACTCGCGCGTTGGCCAAAGTCCTTCCTTTCGGTGTCGCCGAGACAGTACGTAGAGTCGGCAAGGAATGCGAACATTTATCGAGACATAACACGGTAAGATGCGGAGACTGAACCTTCTTCAAGCCGGCTGGAATTCCGATCTATTAGACTATGCCATGTTTAGAGTGTGGGCCGACAAGCAACTATACACACTTGTCACTGATGAATAGAGGGAAATAGGGTGCGGGCTACTGCAAAGCGGACACACGGAAACACGGTATCACGAGTATATCTGTTAGTTGGTTGTTTAAACAATTAATTGTGGGTGCTTGATTGGTAGAGGAGTCCTGCATGTCCGGTTTGCAATGGGCACCCTTGCAGGCGCCATACCTCCATAAGGTCACGCGCGCAATATCCACGCTATTTCTTCGGAGCCACGATATGCCTCTAGAAGAACCCGGATCCATAAGAACAACTATAAACGGATAAGAGTTTATCAACAACCAAAACAGAAGAACCTGGGGTCTTGTGCGCAGAATCATAGCCAACAATCTTGTACCCCCACGGCTCTTCTTGACAATGGACGATTCTTAGTGTGCGTTAGTATGCCTCACTACCGGTCTGCAATGACCAGGAAGTATAATCACGGGATGGAAGCGGGTAAAACCCGGCCCGACCGAATGAAAGCCGTCGGGCTTCGCAGATCTCATGCGAAACTTATGCTTCTATCTTCGTTACGCCATTCGATATACTCATCCTTCCGGATCGAATTTCCGCAGACGCCCCGGGTCTGGCGAAGGCTAAAATCGTTTCCCAGCGTTGACAAACTGCATCATATCTTCCATTAGTCAAGAGATTCATGAAATAAACTCTAAGCTGCATGACACGCGCAGCGGCGTCAGGGAAAGGCCTCGGCCCGTCCCGACTATAGAAATCCAGACCCTCATCGAACTTCATCATGACCCGGCTGCGAGAAATCCAGGACGCTTGTGCTAACATATGCCGCCTTGCTGCGCGTTGGTCTTCTATGCCATGGCCATACCGGTAGCTATGCATCCAGATATGCCGCTCGATATCATGTCATGATCGACGAGTCATGGTACAGAGGTGCGCAATCTACCGTACCCATCGAACCCCCTATTTCTAGGCGTGAAAAACCTAGTAAAGGATTGCCATTACCTAATATAATGCACTACGTCTTTAACATAGCGAGCAAATTTTCTTCTTATACGTTGGCGACTCATTGAGTATAGCTAGTTGACTCATGGATCAATTGGGACAAAATACCCCAAAACGAGTAAAAGATTTTGAACTTATCCTTCGTGGTCCAGCACCAGAGCTTAGACTTAGTCTCGGTGCATGCTTTGTGCAAATACAACCTCGCATCGTCTGCGGTATACTAAGCAACGTCGTTGTTTATGTCACAACATCTGTATCTGCATCAACATTCATATCCTCACCTACGACTATGCCAGCAAAGTGTGATTTCTATGTTCAATTATCACTCCTTGTCATCCGCACTCGCTAAGTCTAACACCAGAGATAGTTAGCAAACCTCACGGGTCTCGGAAGACCATTCCACGTTTCCATATCCACGTCATCTCCTCAGAACCCTATTCTTGTTGGAGCTGTCATGATTAGTTCAGCCCACGTCGTATGCAGATGTACTTTTCAGCCTATATATTTCACTGCGCTCGATCAAAATGCCAGATACATCGTATGCGCAGAGTATTGGTAGTAGACCTGGATGTGGGACATCGGGTATGTACTGCTTCGCAACCTGGTGGATCAAACTCAGGAACGGAGGTGAGGAGACACTTTCCGAAGAAAAAGCAGCCTTTTGGTCTTGTTGTATGGCAGCCCTCGCTCGTCGATAATACCCAGGAGGAACTATCTCTTACGTTGCTAAACTCTGAGCTCGGGATATCCGCACCTCCAACAATTCATAAAGAGTAAGGAACCTTATTTTCTATTCAAGTAAATGGTCAAACTCGTCGAAAAAAAGTCCTCGATGAATTCTTTTCTATCTTCCAGTTAACTCGTACAAACGACTGTTTGCGCTCTCCTTTCCTCTAAATTGAAAATTGTTCTTGCACACAACTTACTTCCATGTCATATTTCCGTTCTTTCAGTCTTCCATGAGATGTCTATCCCACATCTTTGTGGGCAAACCCTTTGCTACTCGCACCTACACGCGAACTCCAACACGTATCACAGATGCTCGACTTACAGCCAAACTTCAGTAAATGTCTTCATACTGGACTCAATATCAACAGCCAGCCCCTTTTTATCTTACTCATACGCGCCTGGCTGTTTTAATACTGTATCGCTGACCTTGATTGGTTGCTGCACGATTGCGGCGCGGGTGCTAACATCTTCGGTCCCAAACTTCGAAGCTGCTGCGCTGACTCGAACGTGCGGGGATCCGCTATCCCGGGCACGTCACGACGACGACAACTGTTGTATCGCGACTGGAGAGCCCTGGCTGGGCACACTCTCCTATCGGGCGTCGTATCGAATTGAGCGCCTGCGATTGCCACGCATACTTCTATCTGTTCGTCGGTCGTGGGATTCGGGTTGATTGCCGTTCGGGTGCGAGACGATTTCGAGTGTCTAGCACGTATCGATTTTCGAGTGTGCGCGTACAGTTTGCATGCTCAATAGTGGCGATACGACGCTATCATCACAGTCAAGTTAGAAATTGTCAGAGGTTGGCACGTCATGGGGTCAGAGATGATGCTAAGTGCGCTGAGAGTGTGGAAATCAAGTCTATTGGGTGAGTCTATCTAAGAAAAAGCACGCAAAATCTAAAAGGCGTCGCACAAGAGTAAGAGGAAACCTCTAAAATGCACCGTAGCAATTGAAAACCCAATGCATATCTCCAAAGCGAAACGCTGAAGTAGGAACGCAGAACCAGATTGCAATATGAGGGTAGTCTACTTGTGGCGCGGGAACTCGAATCGCGAGATAGCAGTCGAATCTAAGAAGAAAAAAGGTAGAACATCTATGAGAAAACTCAGACTAACGAAACTCATGAGGGCAGACTGTGGAACAGGTTCGAGCGCGGTAAGCGCAAGACGAAATGAGAAAGAAAATGGATGACAACTTGACAGGAAAAATTCTCGAGATCAACATCCCGAGTCTCCTAGAGGAAGGCATGTTCGACAGGGTTGATGAATTCGAACTCGGCATCTCCGACTGTCTCGAAAAGGTCTGCCCCGTTGCTATTCTGCTAAGAACTAGTTAGATATCATTATATAAAAAGAGAGGTATATCGAAACTCACAGTCTTCTGGACAATGACACGCGCCAGAAAATCAGCACCTGACTTCCGGATCTTCTTCTCTCCCTCGTGTTCATCATCGAGTAGATACATGCCCTTGCTCTTCAGTTCCGGAACGAGGTATGTGAGCCGATCAGAAGTCTGAGGATCGTCGTTGAATAGCATCTCGAGCGGGTACCAGTGGCCCCGGCCATCTGATACAACTGGTAGCCAGGGATATGCAAGCTCTTTGACATCTGAATGTAATGTTAGTCGTGACATACCCAATCTCGTTCGTGGATGAAACTTGCACTCTTGGAAATATGACTCGACGCTGTAGTCTTTGACCTTGTCTTTGACGTTGAAGTGAGGTAGTTCGGTTGGCATCTTGATCTCCTTGATCTGGAATTGGCGACCACGGTCGGTAGCCTCCGCATTGAGAATCTCAGCTTTCTTGCCATTTCCCTTGTTGGGCGCGATGTATCCACAGCGAACACGCATACCCTTGAGGAAGCGCTTGGTGATCGTGAGTATATTCACCCAGTCATTCTCGTCGATCGAGTCTACGCCAAAGAAATCGAAGAGCGTGATGTGAAGTGGTTGTTGAGGGACGTTTACTACAACATCGTAGTTCAAGTGAAGGACCTTGCGCGCTTCATCGACAGACAACTTGTTGCGTAGCAGGACATCATACTTTGTGTCGGTCTTAGCGTGACAGGATGGTGCAATCTTTGCATGATCTCCGTCCAGAGGCCAGGCTTCAAGGAACTCGTGATTGATCCCGCTCTTTGTGGTCGGAGTGGTGGTTGCGCGCTTGCGAATGAGAACTGCAAGACTCTTCCAGTACAAGGTGGATAGCGTGTTCTCTGTGCAAGTTCGACCTTCCATGATCATACAACTGATGTCTCCAGGAACAGGCTCATTGTCCGGACTGTTCTCAGCCATGAAAAATTTCTTTGTTCGTTCGAGCTTCACGGTCTTTGCCCCTAGAGCATGCTTGATGGCTTTGATAGACTCCGGGCTCTGACCATGGAGTGGGACGATTATGTGATCAGTGAACTGCCCTGCCGATGCGTTGAAAGCCATGACTTCAGTAACGATATCTGGAACGTTGGAGTCAGTGGACAGCTTTTCGGAAAGCTCGCGCAATGCTTCAATTCTGAGCCTGCGGCTTCGGACCTGCTCCCAATCCGGTTTGGTGATGTGAGTCTGGCTGTCATTGTCTCCTTGGGGCATCGATCGAGCCTGAGAGACATCAGAGAAGGTTTCCACCTCTGCAACATACAAGCTAGGCAAATTTCTCAAGTGGTATGTAAGTCGAGCAAAGGCTGTCTTCGAGTGTGGAGACTCTTGACCAATCTTCTCCATGGAACTTGCGAAGCTGCGGTCAGATCTTGGACTTAAGCTCTTTGAAGAGTTTGAACCGCCCTTGGAAGTCCACTCTATACCACCAAAAGCTTTTGCCGATTTGGCCATGTTTGAGGAACCCTATCGTTGACGTCTGGAAGGACTGATTCACGGTAGTAAAGCAACCTTGATCAGAGAAAGAACTTGGCTGAATTTGATACTTGCAAGAGTACGAATCAAGCATATACTTATGCGTCTCAAACCCGCAATTCCGCTTGCTGCCGCTATCACGCTGTCGTTCATCTGATAAAGCATAGATTCTAAGACTGATACCTTCACGTGCTATTTGCGATACTCTACGAGCTCTATACCATCAAACTAAGTGATGAAGCAAGTGTATCGCTGGACATGACATCTTCAACCGGCTAGTTGGCTCTGAGATGGTTGTTTCGAGTGGAAGCAAAACTTGGTGTAGACTCTCCCGTGAGGATGACGATGTGGTGTGGAAGATTTGGACGTAGGAACGAGTCGTTGATATAATTTTGCCTGATGTCTGTATCTAGATGTCCTGAATACACCTTTGCGTATGATACTCCACAAGCTTACTCACCCAAACTTTGAGGCAGAATACTGCCAGATATCATTATGGATGCACCATAGGAAAAGACTTTTGTCGGCTGGGAGTAGGTGTGGGATTCGACATGGTAGAGATATGTTTGACTAAAAGTTTGCAATGATGCTGTTAACAGCATGTTGAAGTCATTCAAAAGGCGTCCCTTATCGACGACGTCACAACTTCGGATTTTCGTTTAGTAGTAGAGTTCAATATATATCTCGATAAGTATACATAGCACCTTCTCGTAAGAAGTGACGGCTTCATGTTTCGTGGGCTGAAGTGGATATATCGTGCTGGAAAGCTCTAAGCGCATACAAACCCACACATATCAATCGACAGAAAGTGGTGCGTTTGGTGGAAGGCAACAGTACTTTCATGCCAAAAAAGCTGAGCCACCGTGGGACACGATTATTGCACATGTTCAACATCGTACCGACGCAGGTTCACAACGCAATAGAATTAGCGAGGTGCTTCAAGGTTGCCGTAAACGCTTGTGATATAAGCAGAGTCGTTTCATGAGAACAATTCATTGGAAACAGGGATCCCAACCGGGAACTCTGTCGCTTCTCAGCAAGATCCAGGCTGAAAGTGATGAGTGCTGGAGCAAAATCACCGCCGATAGCAGGGGCAAGCCAAAGACCCTGAACAATGAACATGAGGCTCGCTCTACCCCTCCATACAGAACAACGCAAAGGCCGGCGCACATGTTGACGATCGATGACTCGATGACGCCACCGCCAGAAACGTGTCCGACACAGTCTCGCCACAGCTCAGGGGCCGTAACCCTAATCGTAGAATTCTCCGGCCCTAGATGTGTAGTGAGCAGGTCAGCGCCGGTTTGATACCACTACAGCGACCGAACAACTGTCAGTGATCCCACTGGCCTTACTCGATTACCAGGATTTGCACTCGAGAAAGTTCAATGACACAAGAACTAAGCTTATGCGGTCATCTCATATTCGTGACTGGAGGGCCAAGAGATTCCTGGACACTCATCACCGTGTGGCGCGTGCTGGACCGTTTGACGGGCCGGACTATCATAAACGAATCTCCGCGTTGTGGTAGCGGCCGGTTCTCGATCAGTATGACAAGATCTTGCAGATGTTATGGTAGCCAGAACGCGAGCGCCCGAACTTTCAGGCTACGAATCTGAGAACAACTAGTAAGAAAGCACATAAGATATTATTAGGTGTGAGCGACGCACACATGATATGCTAATTCGAGGAGCTAACAAGTTGAGAAGGCAAAATATCCAGCATTACGTGATCATCGAAGAGATTGGAGCCAACGAAGGAGCTTTCCATTGAAACGAAGAGGACGAAGGTCAAGGGAAACCCTACTGGTATAGTTGCTTGGCAGCCACGACATCAAAGAATCATATTGGGATTTGAAACATGGGCGAACGACAGTTTACCAGCTGCATCTGATAAACGTTGCCAACCACTTTGCCCACATGGGATGTCTCAGAGGCGCGAAGTCGGCGACTCAGTCTGAACAAGACAGAAGAGGGTTGAGACAACTCACTTAAGCTGTCCATCTAGTGCCGGATGTCGTGTTCAGTGGATACAGTACACAACTAGTCTATATCATTCAGGGGCAGTGGTGTTCTCGGGATCGCTAGAGGAAATGGTTGGGCGCCAAAAGAAACCGAAAACTGGTATTATGATCAGCGCACTGTCTCCGATATAAAGTGATATATTGGATGGATGCAGATATTAACCGATAAGTCTTCACTGCCCAAGCAAAACCCAGTATCTGTCTTAGGCTAGGAGTTGCGCTATAAAATCACTACGGCATTAAACATGCTGCGGCACTGTGGCACTATTGACTGCCTGTCCCCGGATTATGTTCTGCGGTCCGTTGACGCTTCAAACGGCAATGGACGCACCTTGTGACGATGCCCGTGCTGTGCGCCCGCTAGTAGAACGCCTTGGGCTTAGACATGGGTTCACGAATGTGATTGAGGCCATCTTAAGCAACCAGAAAATCTCCCTTACTGACGTCTTCCTGATCCAGTAAGTTAGATGCGGTACTTCCCAACGGTTGTGTGGTTTGCTTCCACTGCATCTGCACAGGCCAATCGTTCATGAGCTGATCTGAGGGGTTGATGGTCATACAACGGCTCCATTGTACTCGTAATCTTCGGAGACTGGCCGAGAACGTATCTCAAAGGCTGTCCGCATATCAGCATCCGCCTGCAAGACTACCATGATGCTCTGTGACCCCTGAGTCGTAGGAGGACAAGAGCTTTGTTAAGATGGGAACCTGATGAATTGGAATGAACAGTTTGTTCCAGCAGTACGGGTTCGCTCAGTCGCCCATAAATCTTACATACGAGTGACGGAGGTGGACATCAAGCTCCAGGGGCAGTTGCCGTTTGCCAAGCTCGAATAGAGACTCGCGACCAAAGAAGCTTGGCTTAATCATCCTCGTGCTCTTCTTGATTGGCTGTACTTGAGATGGGATACGTCTCGAACCACCGTCTGGAAGTCGTTGTTGCCTCGGTGGATGCTATCGGCCGCGCCGTACAGCGCCAACGTCTCGCTACCAAGTTGTGAAAACACCTTAGGGCGAACTGCCAACTCGTGAACATGGATGACAAGTACCTACGTGAAGCGTGTTTCTGGGAATTGTGGTAGTTTCTTCGTGTGAGTATCCGAGGTACCAAACATGTTACCGGGTGTTGATCCACAGTCCCATAGAACGTTGGTCAGCCGTGTTGATGTTGGCATGCCAGCCAGCATAATACCCAAATCCAAGCCATAGCACCAGCGGATGTTGTCTCGAGCACGTCCGTGATTCCGATGTAATGTGGGGTCGAATGATTCAACAGTTCCACGAAACTCATTATGCAAGTCGTGGCATCGTAAATGACAGGACATACACGTACCTAACTAGACCTCCGATCAATATGGGCTACATGTGATCTCGAAGCTCCTGACTTGCAAAACCCAGTGGAAAGGAATATCTCTTAGATCGACGTTTTCACGCTTGCAGGTTTTTGTAATGCTTCGCGCTAGTTTATCAGACGACTCAATGAGGACTGTTTTCCGTTTACTAAAACAAGGTCTCTATAACAAAGAGATGGGCATTTCCACGTGAGCTGGGCGATTATGTTGAGAGACACACCAGACATTAAAGCTTGTGAGGTCTAAAGCCGGATAACCGGGTTTGGGTGATTGCGAGCTGAGCCTGTCTATCGAGCCGCATATGGGCGATTTTGAATTTCGTGATACGGCAACGCTGGATTGTGGACAAAGCCAACTGTCAAGAAACTGGACTTTGAGAGTTACATCGGCCAGAGAGCTAACACACTCAAAACGATATCCCGAAAAACTGAATAAGATCGAACAACTAAGAAGTTCTTTGCCAATAACATCTCAAGCCGCTGATGGTGGAAGACACCGGAATAGAGCATTGCATCATGTCAGCTCTCCTTGACCGTAACTTAGTCAGAGAGCCAGAAATGATCAATGCCAGTGCAACGACGCGTACGCAATCGGGTGAGGACGTTGTAGTCACGGGAGATCTTGTCTCTTTCAGTCTGGTCTGAGTCGGCTGAGACATAACAACACGCACCAAGACATCTCCTATTTTTGTCCCGACGGTGCATTCGAGTTCCTGCAGCTCGCCATGATGCTATCAGACAATGGCAGCTGGTTGGATGCCAAGCCTCTGTCACGGGGTGGGGGCGGGAGGCTGCAGGACGATGTGCCTCGACGGTGGACACTCCGATGTGAATCTAGGTGTTTTGTGATCCCATGGTAAGCTTGAACTTCCTGTTCAAGCCGTGATCTCCTGAGATGCACTCAGCCACCATCTTAATCTGCACTTCAACGGCTGTCGTGCGTTGGTGCAGTGAGAAGTCTGGCTTAGACCGAATGACTAAGGGTGGTGCTAGTGGTGCGGTGAGGCACTCGGAGAGCGAGCGACAGCCCTGCTACTGCGTTCTCTGGCGAGTTACGTCAGATGATTGACCATGCCTGGGTGTGGTAAGAGAGCGCTCGGGTCGGGCTCATGTTGGCTGCTGCAGCAAGCCCTCCTACGGCATACGTTGTTCGCTGGCAGATGCTGATTGCTCACTGGCAGTTGGGCCAATCTCCGGTGAGCTTTGAGCAAGGGTCGCAAGGCGAAGATGAGAGAACTCGTCGCTGCTCAGCTCCCGGCGCTGAAAGGGTACGCGACACACATGCACTGTGGGTAAGATGTGTACATAAGACGCTACTTCGTCCACGCAAACCTTCACTGGACCAGTGATGGGATCAGCATACTCTCGTGATGCTTAATTCAACCCTCCCCACGCGCTATGTCGAGAGTTGGGAGGTTGAGGAGAGCATGCTGCACAGCGGAAGCAGCCAAGGCCGCTAGGCACCTAAAGCGGGAAGGCGTGTCCGGGCGGGGAAGTAGCGACTGTGGACTGCGGGCCATCAGGTTCACGATTCCCTGCACGGCCACCCCATGTATCGATTTCAATCAATCCCGACTGTCGAGAAAGTCGGCGCCCCGTTCTTCTTGTTTCCCTTGCCGCCCACACCCCGGCGCTGGATATGCCGCTCGCCGCGCGCATCTCGTCACGCCGTCTTGGATAAGAGCCGCTGAGCGGTGGCGACTGGCCGGCAAAGGCTGGCTCTGCCTTTTTTCGGAGCGTTGTGCAGTCTTCCGCACTGCCGGGTCACGGTGTGTTTGGAATGAAGGAAACCCGGATCATGGCGTAGTGAATGCTCCAACCAACAATTTCCAGGCGATGCAACCTCGAGCGTCACTCTGCGCGTTTGCCTCAACGAGCTGGCGGCGCTTGTGTGCGGGTGGCTTTCTTCCCACTAAATTCGCACATCTGGACTGTTTCTATCAAGCCAAGTAGACTCGCCGCTATGGTCTTCGTGACAGGTAACGGCCTCCGAGGATTTCCTTCTAAGCCCTAGTTGGCCTTCATTCCTCAATTCATCCGCGGGTTGATCTGTCGTCTGCCAGCGGCTACCGGCCCGTGGCGCTCACAACCCCAGCCCACCCTTGGCCCGCCTTTGATCCACTGCTGACTGAACGCCGCGGAGAGCGAGCGTCCAATCCAGGGCAGCTGTAGGTAGCAGAGCAAACACTCTGATCATCTGTTCGCTTCATGGGTTATTCATGGACGGCTGGTTGAGCTGAAACATTGCTGTCCCAAGTATCTGGTCCGTATCCTGCCGTGTCGAGTCGGCCTCCCATTTGAGAGTGGCGTCGTGGCCAATGTTCTTGCATCGCTGCACGGGACTGTGATGCCTTTGCCTGACGCGCCAAAGCTCAACATGGGCAGGCAACCGCTTGAGAAGATGCGAGCCTAGGCACTGGGGCAGATCAATGCTCCTTGACCTCTCGGAGATATAGAGAAACCATTTTTGGAAAGGTTCACTGCTGCAGCTTGTCAATGCTACCGTGGTGCTAGAAAACGGTCATGGTCTGAGCAGGGCAACACGGATCATTTGCTTTGGGGCTGAGGTCCTGATCCATCATCCTAAACGATGCTTTCAAGCTATACTTGCCTAGTAGACAGCTCCTTTCAGCCAAACTACCCGACATGATCCCCAGTCCATTCTACCCTGTATTCGGCTAGGTATAGCGTTTTTGGTCTGCCAACTACTGTTACTGACCCCTTCTGTATGCTGGCTCTCATTCGAGCATCTCTCCTGCATCCTTTGTTCTCATCATCTACATCCTCGATACCTATTCGTTTCCCTTGTATCGACCCCGATCTCTCATTTCTACGCCGTCCAGTCCACTTCATTGTCTTGTCCTGTAAACCTCGGTACCCTATCAGACAGTCTCGAAGTCAACGATTACGGGATTTCCAGATCCTGCTAAGCTTGTGCAACACGTCCGAAAGCAAGACGTTAAATGGGATCCAAGGCACCGTGCATATATCTACGACCCTGCGCACTGCTAAAGTCAACTTCGATATAATCGGGTCAAACAACTCGAAAGACTATCTGAGTACCTGCACACTATTACGTGCGCCAATTCTCAATGTTGGCATCGTCTCAATATCACCAGTCCTAGGCAGCAGACGACCTCTTTCCACGAGATCTGCATATCCGATAACCGTGCGGATCGCTGAAGACTCAACGACAGGTCAGCATCCTCGTCAGAACAGCCACGATCGGGAATCATTCAACGCCACATCTTTTCTTTTGGAAGTCTGCAGAACAACCTTGTAAGATCCACCTTCATTGCGACATAGTCCCTTGTAGGCGAAAGACTGACAGGTCACAGTGCAGCGACTACATACACACCGCCTGCGTCGCAGTGAGGATATCCAGGGATCGAGCGTCAGGGCTATCACCGTACCTGTCTGTGCTCGACATTCGAGATTTGTGGGGACTGCGGGAAGAAGCAAAGTGCAGTCGGTCTTCCATTCCGCCGTGACGAGCCGTTTGGCCTCAGGGTTTAAGGCGTCGCGTAGCTGCAACAGGTGACATCAACGCACGTTGCGTTATAGCTCCTCCAAAATCTCACTTGTTAGTCTACTCGCCCTACGTTGTCACTTCAACGGTTCACTAACCAATCATTGCAATAGACTCTTTTGTGGGAGTGTACGCGCATTGAAGACCAAATCTTGAGAACGGATCCATAAGGTAAGCATGGCTAAAAGCTACTCCTCATCACCACTAACAAGTGGCAGCCACCAACAGCTCGCGGCGGCAGCTAATCGAGGATCGTGCCCCTGTGCCGGCTAAACCGTACAGATTACTGAAGCGAGCCAACAACAGCGATAGACGAGTCCTTCCCCCGTTCTTTTTACTCATTCGGCTCGAGCCGACACGCCATCAGAACGGCTCCCACAAGACGCTGACTCGCCTGCTGACTCGCTCGCTGAATCAATCTGTCGAGTATCAACGTCAGGTACTCGTGGAGAGCGAGAATTTGTTTGCGACGCGCACACTTGTCACTTTCATCGTTATCAATCGGTTGCCTGAGCATCGGACTCACAGTGCAAAAGTGCGACCTCAGTTTTCGTCTCTCGAAGCGGTCGTAATATTCGCAGGCGCTATTCCAGGCGACCTCAGAGGAGTATTATTGCAACTGTCGCGACAATGATGAATCACAGTAAGTTGATCTCCAATGTTTTTGTATACCCATGTCCAGCGACAACACAACCCCAACCCCCAATCATACGCTTTCAGGCGCTGCACACTCGACCCATCTGGCGCTTTGCTCCGCATTCTTCTAAAACCAACAATCCTCCCGCATTTCTTCTTACATCATCCCACACACAACCAGTGCACTTATTGCCTTTCTTTCTCTATCGACTGCTATACACTGTAGGCCCGTTAGTTTCTCTTTCTGCAACTTCTCTGGACGGCTCTTGCGCGTTCGTTCTGCGGTTTGATCGTGGAGCCACTTGTGCGACCACGTCTCACGCGCGCCTGTTTTCCTTCTCTCCATCGCTCACCAGTGCATCTTCCCTGTTTTTGTCACACATACTGCTCGAAAATGCACTACACATCTTAGGTTGATTGGGCTGACGCACAGGATGAGTAGTACTTCAACCTCCTCTGCCGTTGGCATCGGATAACCCCTTCTCGGAGCAGGAATGCATCGATCACCTTAGTACTCATGCGCACCATAACTCCTATGCAGCTGGTGTACCCGACCAGCTAAGGCGCGACGGGGCCCTGGCCCATACAGCGGGTAGTATGCCCTTGACCTCCATTACAAGCCGTTACGGTGCACCTCGTCCCGACGCTGCGTAAGTACCCCTCTCATTGGCCCTTGTTATTCTCGCCGGGCATTGCTGGCTCCGTAGTGCTGCTTGGTCTTGTGGGACCCACCTGCATCCCTCGACGCCTCTTTGCCTTGGTGCTCTCCTCTCCTATCGCTGAAACAAACACGTCGTCGGCGTCCTCTATCATACCTGTTGTCGCACATATTTCGGATGCATGGCGCATCTGGTTGTCCCAGCAGGCCGGTCTGTCACATTGATCACACGACAAGCCTGGTCGGCATGCCGTACCGTCGATTGACAACATATACCGTGCCACCCTACTCCTTGCTACACATCACTGCTGTTGGCTCACATTGGCTGATTAGCATTGTATTTCTGGATTGACTAACTCGCGGCTATAGTTACCAGTCCGACTCTGGGCCTGGATCTATCTCCACCTCGCCCAGCTCCAACGCTTCATCTGCGTTAGCTTATTCCTACTCGTCTTTCTCGCCGACCCTGGCGACAACATACTCAAATCATTACCCAGTAGCAAACAACTACAGCAACTTCCCGTGTGCATACGGGAACATGTCTTCGACTCGTCGAATATCGTCCATGTAGGTAGCCATTGTGGCGTATTTCGTACGTGTAGAACTTGAAATATGTGCATGACAGCTGACTGCTACGACATAGAACTGATGCTTCGTCGTCAGTGATGTTACCTCCGACACGATCACCAGGGCTGGGCAACCCTGTATCACCAGCCATGGGTCTGTCTGCAAGAGATAATTATACGACAGCAACGCCTGGCTTGCACAGACATCCTCACGCCTTGTCACCTCGACATTCCGAACTGTCTCGTTACAACTCACTGCCCGACACGCCCAGGAGTGTTCTACCTACTGCTATGCCTCTACCGACATACAATGGTTACCAGACTGGTGGCAGCTATACGACACATAGCCAAACAGAAACTCCGCCATTCAATACGCAAGAGACAATTGCCACGATCACCTGTGAAGGTGCAACAGTGGTACCAACGATCGAGGCCAAGATCGAGAAAGGATTTTTTTTCTCCACCGATCGCGTATGGACATGTTACCGGAGAAACTACTTCGCTGTTAACGTATCTTTTGGGCTTTCTCCATGGATTCCGAATGCCCGGTTGTATCTCGACCAGGGAAACGGCAAGCAAGCCGACCAAATCCAATCAATGGCTGTTTCACTCGCCGCTGCCGTCGATGGTACGGGAGGTAAAAGCATTGAGCTGATACAGCATACTCCAAAACGCGACAAAGGGCCTCAGTTAGCCATGAAGAAGGAATTGCTTTCGCCGATGCCCCCGGGAAAGAGTCATGAGCATGGTGGTTATGGTATTAGTAGCTTCCATCAGCCCTCGAGTGTAGCAGGACCACAACTTCCTCTGCAGAATGATGGCGACTCCGTGTCACAACAATACTCTCCAACCACGCATGCGAGTAGTAGCTATCAGCATGGATTCGAGCGCATACAATTCAAGTCTGCGACTGCCAACAACGGCAAACGTCGAGCCCAACAACAGTACTACCATCTTATTGTTGAACTCTGGGCGAACATTCAGAATCCTCGTGACAACGAGCCAAAATGGGTCAAGGTTGCTGCTCGATCATCACATCAGGTCGTGGTTCGTGGCAGGTCGCCCAGCCACTACTCAAGTGAGACTCCTCACAATGCAGGAACCTCAAGAGGTTCTGGAGGCTCTGGACTTGGAGGCTCTGGCCATCACGGTCTTGGCTCCAACGCAAGACCATCCTACCCGAGTTACAGCAACGGCTTCTCCAGCAGTAGTGCTTCAGGTATGGGCGGGAGCATGTACAGAGGGAACACATATTCACTCGACCCAAGTCCTGTCGGAAGTCATTCTGTTAGCTCTGCCAGCTCAATGAGCGGAGGACCTGTCGAAGGCCTTGACCAGCACATGGTGGATGACAACGACGCCAAGATGACTGATGCTCCGCAACAGTACCAATACTTCCCGGCAACCATCTACGAAAGCATACATCCGAAGAACGAGTATGCCCTTCCATTGCCGGGGCGCAGGATCAAAGAAGAGTACTCTGGCCCCGCAGCCATGACCGGTGGCTGGCAAGTCGGAGGATGCGGCAGATTTCAGGGTATGGAAACCAGTCGTGGATATTATCCAGACGTACATGCCCATGCAGGGTACTGAGCCCGCCTGTATACTCCCCATTGTTCATCGGAACAGTTGACCGGTTCAACAAGATGGGTCGTACGCCCTGGACGTTCCAGGACGAGACGACAAGACTGTCCAAAAAGAATGGACAGAACCCCCTTCAACATCATCATCATCATCATCACGCTTTCGATTATTCTTTCGGTTCTTTGGCGGCTCTATTCACCTTACGACATCTTAATTTCTTATCTTACCAAACTTGGTCCCGCATCCTCACGAGCAGACGACGCACAAATTACAGCATCACAGCATCTCAACAGAGGGGTCGACTGGTGCGACAAGCACGTACCAGAAGGCAATACCATCGATTGTTGTGCAACGTTTTAGCGTCTTACCAGATTCGGAGTGCACTTCCTCAGCATCCAGTCTCGTGGAACCATGCATCACACGTCGGCATCCTCCCTGCTGTGAAGCATGACGATGCGGTGTCCCGCGTTTGTTTTCTCCCATCTGGCCTCACTTTTTCCTTTTATCATCCCTAGCATATTTAATCCTGCACAAGCGTCTCATTATGTCATGACTGTATGACCTGCATGAACGACTTTTTCCTTCTGTAATCTTCTGTCTCATCTCGGGCGTTTGGTATCTCATGTGTCTTGTTTCACGACCGTGTCTTCAGGCATGGCTGGGTACGAAAACGGTGTTGGATCACGGCAAAAACATAACGATTCATGGGTGCATGGTGCATGTCGGTAAAAGGTATCGGCGAACGAGTTCATCATACCCTTTTTTCTTAGGCTACATGGTGTAGCAAGCCCCAGGCCATGGTCGCTTGAGTAACGGGCCATGGCTGCGGGGGGTTTCGGTCTCTCCAAGTTGGCGGGTTTAGAAGAGGGAGGGAGGGAGAAAGAGGCAGAGCATGCACAGAGAAGAGGTGGACGTTGGATGGTGTGATTGACGATGGTGGCCCTTGTCTATTGTATGATTATATAATCCCGAAAACCCGTAGGTAGTTGCGAAATGCAGGCGGCCCTTCTTGTTTACTCGACGTCCATCCTTGAGCTCACTGCGATGACGCGCGCGCCAGGCTGCTGGAGTCGGCCCCAACTTGATTGCAGCAGTCATCGGTATACGAGGCAGCAAAACCTTGAACGCGTAATGTCAGATGGCCATGGCAATGTGTCAAAGAGACGATAGTGAGGTGAGGTGGAAGCAAGCTTGCATGTTCCCGCCTAGCGCATCCTCGCTCCGTCTTCCCCGCGCTGGCGCATCGGTCAGAGCTTCGAACACTTGTCACGTCATGGCCAAAATATCATCCGACTCACGACGCGATCCCAACACGCGTTTCAACATCCCACCCTGGTCTTCTTTCTTGGGGTAGATCTTCACTATATCTCCGCCCCAACGTCACATATATTGCACCCACTCGAGCAGGGTAAAGATGGCGTGGTACGACGAGGATAGCTGGCTCACGGCCGCCCTGTCGCCAAACTTGTCGACAATTTTCATCAGTCTTCTCGTTGCCATCGTATTACCGATCCTACTGCACACTTTCCTCTACAGAAAGGTGACGCCGACGAATCTACCCACGTTCCTGCTGGTGGGTCCGAGTGGGAGTGGAAAGACGGCCTTTACGACTCTCGTAAGTCCAGCCCCCCCCCCCCCTTCATGCACTGTAGAAAAAAAGCAGGGTCGCATCGTGGTCAAGCTGGAGAAGCGCAAGGTCGCACAACATATGTGCTGACGTACCCCAAAGACCGAGCGCAATACCGTGACCCAGACACACACATCCACCGCGCCCCTCACCGTTGAAGCCCTGCTTCCCAGCCCCCACGTTCCAGCGTCGTCGCACTACCGCTCCGCCGGTGACCCAGCTTACGAGCGCTCGCGCCGCTTCCTCCTGCTCGACACGCCTGGACATGGCAAACTACGTCACTTTGCGACCGCGCAGCTCGCAAACCCAGCGCACGTCAAGGGCATCATCTTTGTTGTTGACGCGGCTGCCATCGCTGAGGAAGCCGGGCTCAACGAAGCTGCCAGCTATCTACACGACGTGCTGCTGAGCCTGCAGAAGCGGTACACAGAAAGCAAGACGAGCAAGGGCCCAAAGGAGATACCCGTCCTCGTGGCGGCGAACAAAATGGACCTGTTCACTGCGCTCCCGGCTAGTCTGGTCAAGGTGCAGCTCGAAAAGGCAATTAGCGAGGTGAGGAACAGTCGCGCGAAGGCGCTGAGGGATGCGGGGGCAGCGCTTAGTGGCGGCGAGGACGAGGTGGATGAGGAAAAGGAGTGGCTTGGGGAAGGGGGTGAGGGCGCGTTTGAGTTTGAGCAGATGCGGGAGATTGGCACGAATGTGGGTGTTTTGGGGGGCAATGTGGTTAGTGGGAAGGAGGGCGGTGACGTGAATGCGTGGTGGGCGTGGGTTGGCGAGCAACTTTGATTGCGAGGTTGTGAGTTAGTGTGAGTTGGGGGTTGAGAATGGAATGAGTTGATTTCGAAGTTGGTCTGAGTGATGCTTGATCAAAGTACTTACTAACCATTGCATGCATGTCGGATGCGCACGCATTCGTTTCAAGAAAGAGGACGTAGGATGATGGTTCCTTCACAACATGCGGACGTGAACATGCCCGGCGATGCGATGGTTCTCACACGAAACATACGACTGCCTCACATCAGGCACCTCTGGGCTTGCTCTCCCTCACGTAGTAAGTAGCCGATGGAAACATCGTACTCAACCACCAGGTTGCCTTTCATTCTGGTATATATACGATTGCTTTAGGATTCGATTCGTCTTTGTAACAAAAGGGGATGGTGTGCCACGGTAGTGGTCTTTTTCAGCTCTCGTTTCTTCGCCTTGGGTTCTGTGGTGGATGTGGAGTTGTACTTTTGTCTTGCTATCTGTGATATAGGTATGGGTTTGGATGAATATTGCACTTGATACGTATGTTTATCTGATGTTGGTTGGCGTACTGTGAGACTTTTGGTGTCTGAAACGGACTGCGATATTCTGATCCTGTTCGGACGTGTGAACATGTCTCACCAGGTAGATCGTGCTCATCACTCTCTGTAGTGATGTTCAATACTTCCCCACAGCAGAGTCATACATTGTCAGATAAATCTGAATCATGTGTTTGCATATTCTCCAGTCTAGTATGGTGTGGGGTTGTTAGTCTGGTAAGGCTGAGCTCAAAATAGAAGGTGGATGGAACAGGGGACCGAGGCCAGGTTAGTAACGGTGCGGGCGGCTAATGGCGGGTTAGCGGTGGTGACATGTTCCCAGGGAAAAAGATCACGATATTCTTTCTGCAAGTTGCGTGCGTTTCCTTTCTTCCCTCGCTGTTCCTGGTAGTTCTGTCTACACAATTTCCACATACTAAACTTCACCATAGATTTTTATTTTCCTTTACCCAGTACGAGCACATCATGTCGACGACAACGCGCCCCGCCATCCCCCCAGTGGTCATGGACAGCATAATCCAGCAGATCGGCAACACGCCCCTCGTCCGACTGAACAAGATCCCGCAATCCCTCGGCATCCGCGCAACCGTCTACGTAAAAGTCGAGGCCTTCAACGCGGGCGGCTCGGTCAAAGACCGCATCGCCCTGCGCATGATCGAAGCCGCCGAGAAGTCCGGGCGCATAAAGCCCGGCGACACGCTCATCGAGCCCACGTCGGGCAACACGGGGATCGGGCTTGCGCTCGTCGGTGCCGTAAAGGGCTACAAGACCATCATCACGCTGCCCGAGAAGATGAGCCCGGAGAAAGTCGCCGTGTTGAAGGCGCTGGGCGCGGAGATCATTCGCACACCGACGAGCGCCGCGTGGGATAGCCCGGAGAGCCATATTGGCGTCGCGAGACGCCTGGTTAAGGAGCTGCCCAATGCGCATATTCTCGATCAGTACTCCAACCCTGATAACCCGCTGGCGCACGAGTTCGGCACCGCGGAGGAGGTGTGGACGCAGACGGACGGCAAGGTGACGTGCCTTGTTGCCGGCGCAGGGACGGGCGGGACTATCACCGGTCTGGCGCGGGGTCTCAGGAAACACAACAAGGACGTCAAGATCGTGGCGGCGGATCCGCAGGGCAGTATTCTGGCTCTGCCTGAGTCTCTCAACCAGGGGCGTGTCAACGAGTCGTATAAGGTTGAGGGCATCGGCTACGACTTCATCCCTGAGGTGCTCGTGCAGAAGGAGGTGGACAAGTGGTACAAGACGGACGACCGCACGTCGTTCCAGTACGCGAGACGGCTCATCTCCGAGGAGGGTATCCTGTGCGGCGGCTCGTCTGGAAGCGCAATGGCCGCTATGGTCGAAGCTGCCCGGGACCTCAATCTAGGCGAGCACGACGTGATCGTCGTCATCCTGCCGGACAGCATTCGCAGTTACCTCAGCAAAGTACACCCCCTTCCCCATCATCCCCCCTATATCACCAGCTATACTAACTTCCCCCTAAGTTCGTAGACGACGACTGGCTCGCAGCCAACGACCTGCTCCCCGACTCCCCCCCAGCAACCCCCACCACAGACGTCGTATCCGCCCTCTCCCACCGCCGCACCACAAGCAGCAAAACCACCGACCCCTTCCACGGCGCCACCATCGCCTCCCTGCGCCTAAAACCCGTAACCACAATCCCCACAACCTCCCCCTGCAGCGAAGCCATAGAAACCATGCGCGAGAAAGGCTTCGACCAACTCCCCGTCAGCACATACTCCTCGGGCGGAAAAGCACGCCTCGTCGGCCTCGTCACGCTAGGCAACCTGCTCTCGTACATCGCATCCGGGCGCGCTACGCCCCGCAGCGCTGTTGAGTCCGTCATGTTTGATTTCCGCAGGCTGAATGAGGTTGTTAAGGATTTGGGGCGCTTGACGCTTGATAGTAAGGATGGGACGAAGAGTGGCGGCGGGCGAAGGGACTTTGTGGAGATTACGCGCGAGACGAAACTTGCGGATTTGAATCGGTTTTTTGAGTGGAATAGTGCGGCGGTTGTTACCGAGCGGGTTGAGGGCGAGCCTAGGGCTGTGGCGGTTGTTACGAAGGTTGATTTGCTGACGTGGATGGTTAGGCAGGGGGGGGTGAATGGGGCGAAGTAGATCGCTGCCGTGGTGGTGGGAAGGAGAAGGGTGTGTGTGGGGGGGTTTTGGGGAATGGCGTTTTGGTGCATTGGCATGGGGGGAGACGGTAGATGTTTCCCTTTCCTTTTTCCTATTCGTCTTTTTTTTTGGCCCAGACTTTGGAGGGGAAGCATTCATCTGGCTCGAGGACAGCATGTAGTACAGTAGATAGGGATTCCACAAGACCTCAACGTCTAGATGGAATCTTTACAACAACATATTTATCAACTTTCCCATGTCTCCTCTCGTTGTTAGTGCGTTCTTTGATCACGATACTCCGCCTGGGGAAGCTTGGCTGGTGCTTCTCTTTTCTAGTCTGAAGGGAGGGTGTATTTTGGGTCGATGGTTGGGTGTGAGGAAGAGTGTTATTTGGGGGCTGTGCGGGGGATGACAGATGTGTAGGTAAACGATGAGAAGAAGGGCGACATCGAAAGTGAGTATGAGAGTAAGAACATGAAATGGACTGTGAGAGAAGAGACACATACAAGGAGACCGAGAAAGAGCATGTATAGGTGATCATAACGCGTTAGGGGAAAGAGACCAAGACAGACAGGCAAAGGGGAAATGCCTACTACTCACTACAGTCAACATCCATCCTCACCAAGAACTTGTTACAATCGTCACTTGCACACATGCAGCTTTCACTATCATCAATCAGACCAGTAAGCAAATCAAGCAGAGCAAAAGGTCCGCAGAATTTTTCATTCGCAACGAGGGTCAGTAGACCCAGACGTGCACCTCATGACAGAAGCACGCCCAAAGCAGCACTACAACCAGTAGATGCAGTCAGCCCAAGGGGAGGGTTCCGCTGCAACCAGCAACCTTCAAGAAGGGAAGACATGCTACATCTGTCCCGCCATAGCAGGGCTGCCATGCCGTTGATCCAGATGATCGTAGTTGAGCTCGAACTCTCTCTGCATGTGAGTTAGCATCTGGCCGTCAGACCTGGATGTAAAATACATACCCTCTCCCTCCTCCAATTTGTGACGTCGAAGAATAGATACCACCCGCGCTCCTCTTTTGGCGACAAACGGATCGGTGCTGGGAGATCCGGGTCCTTCATCATCCACTGCTGGAGCTTGATGTGCCACCGCCAGTCGCGGTTGTACAGCTCCTGTGCCGCAATCTCTTGCAGGATGTCTCTCGGGAATTGGTAGAAGATTGCGAGGAGCGTCTCGGCGGAGAAACTGGTCATCTTGGAGTGGAGTGGCGGAACATTGGTCACTGTGTAGGCTGCTGGTAATGTGAAGTCTGGTGGTATCACAGGCTTGACATTTGATTCCACAAACGGCGACCCAAATGTTGGATGCAGAGGCGAATTACTACACTGTTAGCATGGATCGCACAGGAAAAACATGAGGACGCCTTACTCTGGTCGACTCAGATCCAGACCCAGTACGGTGAGATCTTGACCCATTGCGAGCGAAGAATAATCGGGGCTTTCAAGGGGTATCATGGAGAGTAATCCAGGCAGCCCATATCGTTCCGACTCTGACATTTCTGCAAGCTTCTTATGCAACGATGTTTGTGTGTTTGGTGAGCCGGTTGAATCAGGGCCAAACGCCTGCTCGAACTGGCTCCGCTGAGGCTGTTGACCCATAGCCGCAATATCACCTGCACGCATCCCTAATTGAGGACCAAGGAAAGAGAGACCACCGGGAGTTTGTCCTGTTCGCTGGGTACCCTTGAAATCACATTAGCTCAAACTGGAGGCTTACACGATGGAAATTGACGTACCTCTGGCAATGTGGGCGTCGCTCGCGCATTATCAAAGGGCGTCCGTGACACTGGTTTGGTGAGCCAGAGTCTCCTTACTGAAATCATAGATACACACCCGCACCAGGCAGACCTCTGCCACCTACTGTGGGATTTATCGTCCGCTCTGGTTGACTGTCGACTGGACTCGAGAGGCCGTTGCGCGTTTGTCCCAGCCCCGGGAAGGCGCCTGCATTCGCGTTGGCACTGAAAGCCGCAGCATTTTGTATCAACCCCGCTCTTCGATCCGGCCCAATTTCTCCATTGGCACCGCCTAATGGCGGGAATTCCTCGATGTTGCCTGTCTGTGGTTGGGTACCGCCCGACAGCAGTCCAACTCCTGACTGCCCGCCAAACCGGTAGTCGTCAGCAGCTCCGGGGAACTGGTTTTGTGCTGCATCCTCGAGCCCCTGAGTTTGTATTTGTTGATTCGCTGCCGGAGCAGTTTGACCTTGCTGTGGCGCCTGGCCTTGCGGTCTTTGGATTGTCGAGTGCTGCTGCTGCTGCTGTTGTTGCTGTTGCTGCGCCTGCTGTTGCTGTTGTTGCTGCTGGGCCTGTTGCTGTTGCTGTTGTTGTTGTTGCTGCTGCTGTTGCTGCTGCTGTGCCTGTTGTTGCTGCGCCTGTTGCTGCTGTTGCTGCTGAAGTTGTTGTTGCTGCTGCTGCTGTTGTGGCGTTCGTATATTCGGATTCGCCCACATCTGCTGCGCGGGGGTATTTTGCTGCGCCTGAGGCGCGCCAGAAAGCGACGGAAACTCCCTATCATCGCAAATGTTCAGCTGAATATCCACGCAGTCTGAGAAGCAGCCAGAGTCGCGCTGCGGCCTAGCTTTACCAACCCGTTGCCTATTCCTCGCCATAGCTGCTGTGCGGTGACTTACTCAAGATTGAGAGACGTGTGGGGTTGCGAGCTGCTCATTGCTTGCGCAAAGCTTGACATGGCTCCGTTTGTTCGTGGTTGCGTGTTTGATAGCCCCGGTGCACCGCCCATAGGACCTCCAAACGCCCACTGAGACGCGTTTCCTGCAACACATACTCCCGTCAGCTACACGTCCCATGGCACATTCCAGGAGCGCCCTCACCCAGTTTGCCGTTCTGAAGTCTGTTCGAGCCCAGCGGGGCACCACGGGGTGGATTTTGTTGCGATTGGAACATGTTGGAAGGGAGATTCCGCAGTGTCTGGGCGCCCGGTCCTATTTTCGACAAAGGTTAACATGCTTGAACTGTATGCGCGATTGCAGGCAGCGACAACATGAAAGAAGGTGGGCAGCGGTACGGCCTCGAGCTTGTGAGCGCTTGGGCATGCGAGTATACCATGTTGGTGGCTGAAAGGACCTCGCGGAGGGACGAAGAAAACGAACCTGGACGATTCATGCTGGAGACTCACGTGAAAACCAAGGGTGAAGGTTCTGGTCGTACTTCGGTTGCTGAGAGGGCAATACAAATCGTGTCGCGATCGCTGGTCCCTTGCGTGCACATGCGAGGTCGATGCGAGACGGCCAAGCCGCCTGCCTATATTGGTGCTAGCAGAGTGATCTGTGGGGAAGTAGCAAACGATGGCCGTGCGCTTGCCTCTTTTGCACTCGCAGCCTGATAGCCAAGTCCTCTCGATACTGTCAGCAGTACCGCACTGAAAGGATGCATGCAAAGAGCCGTCAGAAAATGTTAAGGTCGCACGGTCGCCATCATGCACAGTGAGCACCGAGTCGATATCAAACATGGTTCCTTGCCGATCCAGCCCACCGAGCATCATGAGATGTCGAAATCACTCCAAGACGATCACCCTTCCGTCCCAACCAATCAACCCCCGTGTACAAAATCCTTCTCAATGTGCTAGAACCAGAATCAGCACGCTCCAGTTCCCATCTCAAGGCAAGAGACTCATTGATGGCTAAACGTCGATCATTGGTTATAATACACAGAACATGATGACGGACTGAAAAGAGTAAAAGTCAAGAAATGCTTTTTTCGCTGAACTAAAACAACAGACAGTCGAAGACGTTTTTGGAAACCAGCCAATTGACATCGTAACACCTTTCTAACGTCGCGATCCAAACGCGTATTCCACAAGAATCCAACACCAAGGGCAATAAGAATTTTCATGCCATGCAACCGTCCTACCAAACCGCGCTAAATGATTACAATTATTTTTTGGGAATCGAGTGATGCAACAAGACCTATGTAAGGATGGACTTTGACAATACAACACCTGAGAACATTACGAAGGCCCTTGGTGAAAGAGATGCGACATGTCGGCTTCGCCATTGATACCGAAGAAATTGAACCTATCAGTACGTTAGTCGACATGTTCAATTTGACCATAGACACTGAAGGTCTCAGCGTATCAACTTGCCAGTCATCCACGTTCAAACTCATAGGTACAATCGGGTTACGCTGTCCTTTCGAACTGTTACTCCACGTATCGTCTTGAGCACTATGCTGTTGTTGGTTGTGCGCCATCATCTCCATCTGCTGTTGCCAGGCCTGCGGATTGTTATGTTCGAACCCAGGCATGCCCATCCCCGGTTGCTGGTTCTGCATCGGTTGTTGGCTTCCGGGCATTTGCTGCTGAGGTTGCATGTCGCCAGAAGCCTGTTGGTGTACCGGTACACTCTGTGGTTGACTCAAGGCAGGATCTACAAGGTTATGCTGTTGTGGAGATACCTGAGGAAAGTTGATGTGTGTATCTGCAGGGAATAACTGGTCTGGTTGGAAGTTTTGCCATACTTCTTGACTGATATTGGGTGTATCACGGGTGACGAGGAACAAATCAGGAGGTGTTCCAGGGTAGGAATACGAAGGATTAAAAGGTGTGGTTGGGCGAGTACCAGACCGTGAAGGTCCCATAAAAGCATCGTGGTTCTGGCGGCTCATCTGCGGTGATCCAGTTGTCATGTGAGGTATCTGCTGCTGTGGAGGCGGCAATTCGCGAGATGGTGTGACTGCGGGGGTTTGTGGTCTAGATCGCTCGTACGAGACTTGATGCGCCGGGTGGCCGTTGGTGGCAGGGAAGCCCAGATCCATGTCGTCGAATTTCCGTTTGGGAGCTTCTTGTGCGGGCTTGGGCGCAGGCGGCGGCGGAGCAGCAGTGTGTTTGTTTTTCTTGTGGTTCCTGCCGGCAGCTTTCTGAAGGCGTTCCTCGAGATGTTTATTGCCGAGGATGGATTCGAAGAGCGTATGTACCATCTTCGCAACGAGCCACACCTTGGAAACCTCCTTCAGCGCGTCCAAGCATATCTGCAGTCGCTGCTCCGTTGCTGAAACAATCGACTTGTTCGAAGACTTCATCTGATAGACGTGCATGATGAGGGCAGAGAATAGACTATATACAATAAACGCGGGCGTGTATCGAATTTCGTCATGAGCTCGTAGATTCTCGATGATGGATGTGATCATGGCGGCGGCCTGGTATGCGATGTTTCGCGACGGATATGCGTGTTCTTCTCCCCCAAAAGCGTCTAGATTGGTGGCTTTGGGCGAACCTGCCGGTGGCATGTGTGCTCGATGAAGGAGGCACAAAGTGGTACTGCAGATGTCAGCACAACCCATAACCAAGGCAGTCAAGGACTTACTAGTAGTTGGCGTGCAGCAGAGCCGCCCAGAAGTGATGGCGGGTTCTATCCCATTGAACCTCGGGTGGGCAATGTTGCAGCCAATCGGCAAGAGCCATATCACTGTGAGTGAGGTCTATGGCATTTGCCCTGCGGTGCTTTGAAGCTACTGAGTATTGCTGGGATAATACTAGCCCCATGATCTCGCTCAACTTGACGTAGTTGATGAAGAACTGGACATGCACTGGGTCGGGCGGGTGCTCTAGAGGGCGGTCGGACTCGTCGTCGATGAAGTCGTCCTCGCAAACCATCTCAACGTCGGAGTCTTCTGGGTCAATGGCAACCGGTCTGCCGAGCGCGACGGCTACTGAACGGTCTCGGCTGTATAGTGTCCACCAGATTCTTTTCCACAAGCGCTTGTCTGAGCGACTTAACTGTGAACCCTCGACGCTGTCCCCGTCAGCAAAGTCCAGCAAATGTACGGTGGTGAGGATTTTACCTCCTATGCATGCCTGAGCCCTGGGCCACCACAATGGCCACTCTTGTCCAGTAGAAGACATTCTTGGTGACGTCTGGAAGTGATTAGTTGCTTTGTCAGGGGGTTGGCACTTGCAGCAGAACTCACCTTCTGGTCCCTCCCAGTACCACCCCATCAGGATGAGCGCTTGGACAATCGTCACCCGATCGTCTTCGAAGTTTGCATCATACAGTGCTTTGGCGCGCTTGTAGAACGTCATGGCGGCGGGCGTGGTCGATCCGTTGGCGTCCATGAGTTGGGCATTGTTGCAAACGCGCGAGCCTGCGAGGAGCACCGCCTGGAGAAGGAGCAGCGACGGGGGGCTCTTTGGGTCCCGGTAGTGGCGCATGAAGCGGGTGCGGTTGATGACGGGCACGACGGGAGCCACCCACTTGAAAAAGGCCTCGACCAACTCGTCGCACAGGGCCCTGGGTGGGAGCAGGAACGCGCCCCGCTGGTGCAGGATCTCGACCTCCATGTTGTCCATCTCGTTGACGCGGGCTTTGGCGCCGCGCACGTTCTCGGGCAGCGGGTAGTGGACGACGTCGGTGGTTCCGTAGCGGTCGTGGACGAGCAGCGACAGGTTGGACGACTCGCCGAGGTAGGCGACGCGGCCGGCTTCCTTGATCGGGGCGCGGGCAAACTTGGGCTTCATGAAGTGCACATAGGTGCCGTTGTGGGCCGTCTGCTGGGCCAGGTAGGCGCTGGAGACCTGCGTCGAGGGCGTGCCGTCCTCGGAGCTCTGGAAGAAGGCCGACTGCTCGCGCGGCTCAATCGAGGCGCTCGCCGGGGAGCGGTCGTCGCTCTCGCCCCGGTCGCTGTCGACATCCTTTGTCCGGGCCGTCTGCGTCTTCTTCCGCTTGGGCGCGGGGATGCGGCACTCGATGGAGAAGGCGGTGCAGTTTGTGCAGGGCACTGTCGCGCGTCAGGTCATGTGCTTGCGCGGGAATCGAGTGCGGTGCTCACCTCCCAGCGATGCCGCGTCGCAGCGCACTTTTCGGGCGTGGCAGGCTGGCGTGTTGTGGTTAGCATTCGTCGTCCAGCATTCGTCGTCCAGCGTGGCCTCGGTGCCGAGGCACTCGCGCGCCCCAGGAGCGCGAGACACGCTGCAGCGCAGAGTCCCACGTCTCCACCCCGATGCGCAAGAAGAAGGTGGCCGACTTACTTTCGCAGGCTCTGCTCGCGCGCTGCCGTCTGAACGAGGGATGGCCCGGCGGCACCGATTGCGCGCCGGCTGGCGGACTGCGTCTTGTGAGCCAGGCGCTCTCTCCGACTCTCCATGCTGCTCTGCGCAAAGGCACCTACGATTCGTTGCCCGGCTGCGCGGCCAGAGCTGGCGGTGCAGCAGGCGCCGCGTTGGCCATGAAGCTGTGCTCGCCGGCAGACATGATGGCGAGGCCTGCGGTCGCGTAGTCGTCGAGGTACGGAGTCGCGATGCGATCGAGCTGTGTGCTCGAGCATGCCCTCGCCAAGTCTAGATGAGCAGACGCGAGTGGGGCCGCCATTGATCAGCACATGCATATGTGACAGAGGCTTTGAGAATTGCTCTTTGAGAATTGCTCTTTTTCTTTTGCTCCCTGACTCTCCCTACAATTGTCACGGCCACAAGATGCAGTCCTGCGGCAGCAGTTTCAACCACTGCTCCCCTGCGAGCGACTCGTCTGCCCATCTAGTCCCCGTCGCGTGACATTCCAGACGTCCACCATCGGGACCTGCTTCCGCTGCGTGTAGGCTAGTCATTCACCCTCTCCGTTGTTCCCGTCAACAGCCCGTCTCCCATTGGCGGGAAGCACCGAGGATCTCACCAGCCTGCACATCATCCATGGATCTTGCTGATGCTCTACTGCGCCTCTATCACTTCAGTCAGTCAAATAGCCACCACTGCAGCGCCTGCATAAAAGAGGACACCTTGGGGGTCACGCTGCAGAAAGGGGTTGTATCCAAGTCCACTCTGAGTTTCACATGCTAGCGAGGCTCATCTTCATCTCGCTCACTGCCCCACCTGTCCGAGGCATCCCAACCTTGTGTTTGGACACGAGGTCATAGCTGGTTATGGAAGAAGAAACTAAGTCACATTCAAATATTCCGACACCTTGTCAACTACATTCAAGATTAGCATTAGTATAGAACTTATGTGCCTCTCTACTACTGGTGAGTATGTTTGTAGCATATAATCTCAGTGTTTGCTGCACCTTTTGAGCTACGGAGAACAGCAGCATACTTCCAGCTATCCCGACTAACCAAGAGATGAGGACTGAAGCGTTGCACAAAGGTATACTCACTTTGGCAACGCTTCCTGCCGCAATCTGAACGCCTCCAGCTTGATCTCTTTACTTGGCTGCGGCATATACACCATCTTGAGATCGCCCACGCAATTGTTGACAACATCCTCTTCAGACGCAAACAGGTGAGCCTGATGCTCAATCGGATCCAAGACAAGGGCATCCATACTCTGGACCTCCATCTCAAAAATCGTCTTCAGCCACCACTGCTCGGGACCATGTCTCCCTCTGTCCGAAAACTCAGACTCTCCTACTTTTCTCAGTATACGTGTCGCTTTCAGGCCGGTTTCTTCCTTCAGTTCTCGGACAGCAGCATGCAGGATCGATTCGTCTGTGTCGTCGACTTTCCCTCCTGGCACCTCCTGCGTTGTGTTAATGCTGTTTGGTTATATCAAAAATACGGGTGAGGACATCATAAAGGCGTAGGTATAACCTTGCAGCATCGTATGTTGTGAATTCGTCAGGATCAACTTACCCAGGCGTTGGGGAATGCTTTCTCATCCGCAGCTCGCTGGACAAGGAGCAACTTGCCATTCTCGTGGAAGACAACTATGCCTGTGCATAGAACAGAGTATCTGGGATGCTGGCGCAGGAACTCTTTCTCGTGTACCGCATATTCCTGCAGAGAAGGATCATAGTCAAAGGAAGGGGTTGAGGTGCTCATTTTGTTGGAACGCAAAGAGGTTTGTAGTTTGCAAAGGCAGTTGGAGTGTTACAAGGCAAGGCGATACGAACGTTGGTTTATATGCGACCAATGCAGTTGCCTGGAGTCGCAAATGCGCCTTGCACAACCTTATAGGAGCTATCATAGTATACAGACGATCAGCTTAGTTGTTAGAGCCTACAATATTTTTTAATTCATCAACAGACGCAAGACTCACAACAGAGTCTGCTTGAGTCCATCTACCCAAAAAGTAACGTTCCCAGTAGGGCGGTTGTAAGTGGAGCTGGCCGTCCGTGGGGCTGGACTTAGCGTGAATGTCTATTCCGTCACAACATCTGACTACGCGCATCGCAGCGTCATCAACTACTTCTCTCTATCACCGTCGACAGCACCGAATCGCTTCAATTCACGCTTATTCAGTCGCGACACAGCAAACACCCATACCCGCTCATCACGCGCAACCGCTTGCGACAATGCCACGACCACCGAGAAGCAAAGTCGCGTCCACGACGACACGAACTACACGCGTCGCGAAAAAGCCCGCGCCACCCAAACAACCCGCAAAACTATCTGCAGCGCAGACCAGAAAGGCGAATGCAGCACTCAATAGCTTCAGCGAAGATAGCGATGGGCTCGTCACGAAGTCTACGTCAACGCGCCCAAGGAGGGGAATGCCATGGGAAAAGACGCCGGAGCCTGTAGATGAGGCAGATCTAGTCATGACTGGCGCGCTTCCAGCTGAGGAAGACGTCCCTTTGCCTTCGACTAAGAAACGCACACCTGCACCACGTGCAAAGACGACGCGAGCTACAAGGGGTAGTGCTAGAACGGCTGCGAGGAAGAGCTCACCACCGGCGACCGTACGCTCTCTTGTTGAAGCAGCGCAGGAGGATGCACCCCAGGAAGAGGAGAATAGCGGCTATGGCGATTTGACGTTCTCTTCTCTAGCTTCAGAGTCGCCAGCACATGGCACGCGTCCCCCATCTGCCATCAAAGTCGGCGCGACGCCAGCACATGAAACTTCTATTCTGGCTTTGACAAATTTCAAGAGACGAGCACGACAACCGAGTTTGTTGCGCATGGTGCAGCAGACCACTGATGTCGAAGATAATGATCAAGACACCTTGGATGACACAGACAACTTCGACTTCGACGATTTTGTTCCGCATGACGAATCTACGCCGCTCAACGTGCGAAAGAATGCGCCGGAGGATGGGGTACGAAATGATAGCGGCACTCAGGTCTCCAGCTCCGGTACACGGGGCACAAAGCGCACGCTATCCCCTGTCATCCAAGTGCCCCGTTCGTCACCACCGTTCGACATGCAGTCCAGCCCAGCTTTAGAGTCTCCAAGATCACCCTCTCCAAGCCTGCCAGATGTCACCCCATCGCACGAAATAGTCGTAGAGCAAACTCAAGAAGATTCAGAGCCTATGAGTGAGACACTCGCCCCTCCAAAATCCAGCAGTCCTGTCCGCGCGGTCTCAGAGATTCCATCATCTCCAGCGCAGACGCGTGTTGGTGGGCGAGGGAGGCAAGCCCGGAAAGCAACAAACTACAATGACGAATCTGAGGGAGAGGAGACGGAGACACCAGCCAAAGCAAAGAAGGGTGCCAAGACAAAGGCGCAGCAGAACATATCCACCGCGCAACTGAAGGGCCTCCTTCCTCGCCGGCGAACCCGCATGCGTCTGGATCGCGATGAGTTTGATCTTGAATCTTCAGACGTGGATGTCGAGATGGACTCTGATCAAGACGAGCTGCAGATGCCCGCTCGACGCAGTCACCAACGGAAACCACCATCACCCAAGGTTACGAAGAAGACAGCTCGTGGGAAGAAGACTGCAGCGTCCACGAAAGCAGCACAAAAGACGAGCAGGACGTATGGGCGCCGAATATCGTCGGACAAGGAAAACGCAGCCCAGGAGAAGGAGGTAGAGGAGACAACAGAACCTTCGATTGTCGAGCAATCAGAGAAACTCGCCGCCATTCGGAAGAAGTTCGAAGAGGTGGATGCATTCGAGCTAGAGTTCGAGAATGTCGATGTGACAGCGAGCTCGAGTCCGTTTCGATGAGTATTCGGCAGTTATGTTGGATAGAAGGCGTTTATTTCTTGTATCAGGACGGGTAGCTCTACATGCTTCGATCCTGGAGCGGTAATGAATGATGACAACAGTGGTTTTTGTATGTGAGCATGGCGTTCTTTGTTCTGGCTATGATATCTCGAAACAGGAGATGAGGCCACATGTAGTCAAACATAGTTTGCATGAATTATACTTGACTCAACTGTTATATCGCGCTGCCTGGCTTATGTGTGCAAGTCAACGATGAAGAGCGAACTTTGCGGTGAAGGTCGTTATCTGTCCTTATCACCGGCGTCCACCAAGGTAGCGGGGAATCATGTCACAGCGGAATCACAAGCGCTCGGCTTTCCACAAGAGCTGACATACTAAGCGTAATATAATAAAGAAAGTCTCTTCCGAAATTTGTCGATCTTGGCTTGGTGTCACGTCTACTCTCTTGCCGCAATCCGGCGCACGGTTGTGATGTTACGTATGTGGTACCATGGAACGCTTCCCCAGAAAGCTCTCCGACTGACCGACAAGCTCGCTCTCCACGTACCTCGTCGATTGTCACCCACAATGCTCCACTGACTTGATGCGATGCTGCGTCTTCCCGACCATAACAATCACCTGACCTATGCAGCACCACCTTCTCCAACACCGCCCGGCGCTCGCAGGTCATGAAACCCTCCAATGCATCCTCGCTGTCCACAAACTCGACGCTGCGCCCCAGAACACGGAGATTGATCAGTGTCGAGGACGATGCCTATGCGACAGACGGGAGTGAGAGTAGGCGTAGCAGAGGAGGCTCGAGGACTGCATCGCCTGCTACAACTTCAACTGGGGCCACTTCGTCGTCGCGCCTCAACGCCACGCCTGGCCCCTCGTCCTTGTTTGTGAGGTCTGCGGGCGCGCAGACTTCAAAAGCCACGCGAGACACGTCGAAAGCGCTGACTGGGCTGTGGGGAAACTCGTGGTCGGCGATCCAAGGCCTGGCAGCGAACGTGTTGGGCAATGAGGGGGGCACGCCAGAGCCAAGTGATACTCGAAAACGAAGATCGCAACATGGACGACGTACGTCCACCAGCGCACCTCCGCCAAAGCAATGGGGGCCTGCAGGCACAGGCTCGCATGTTGGTGCTGGGCTGCAGGAAGAGCGCGAGGCCATGGTCCGGGCAATGAAGCGCAAGGACTTGTTGACCGCCAACGACCACCTGATGTCGGACTCGATTGGCCGCATAAAGCGCAGAAATTCGGATGAGCTTCACAGTGCCTCTGCACCGCCTGGCGACAACGACGATCGAGACGCCCTCGTATACGTACACCATGTCCGGCCGCAGGACACGCTGGCGGGACTCAGCATCAAGTACAACTGTGAGCAGGCTGTATTATGCAAGTCAAACCGCATGTGGCCAAACGACAGCATACAGACGAAGAAGACGATAGTACTTCCCGTAGATGCTTGCGGAGTAAAGGGACGTCCAGTACCGGGACCGGACGTTCTCCCAGATCAAGATCTACTACTGGGTGAATATGGTGATAGTACAAGCAATAAGGGCCAGAAACCAGATACCAATGGTCTACCCAATGGCTGGACCACCCCACGACGCAGAGACACGGAAACAAACTCCACCCTTTCATCGAGCGCAGACGCAGAACCACCCTGGAAGCACGATTCCTGGGTCCTTCTCCCCAATGACAAAACACCCACACCCATCGGTCGCATGCCCCGTAAAGCACTCGGCTTCTTCCCACCCGCACGACGGAAATCCCTTGCCTTCTCAGAATCATCGACGCCCCGACCATCCGTCGACTTTCCCCGCTCCTCCACCTCTACGAACTCACCATCGCAACCCACACGGCCCCGTGCATCGAGCAATCTGTCCTCTATGTCAGCACACAGCCGTCAGCGCAGTACATCGGGCAAAGCGTGGGGCCTCCAAGGACCCGGAGGTGTCGGTACGCTGGGTAGAAACGTGAGGAGTCCAGGACCCGCACAGGATGGTTTGAACAAGATGTTCGCTGCGCATCTACCCAACATGGCGCCACCACCCGGACAGGAGTATTTCACACCCTGGGCACCGAGCTTGCTAGACGCTGGGCCGGGCACTTCCAGTCAGTATGGAGGTTCAGGGGCCGTCACACCACTTGGCGGTCCAGGTCTGGATCTTCAGGAGATTGGCGGTGCAATAGAAGGGTGGGTTCGGAAAGTTGGCTCCCAGGCGCAGAAATTGCTAAGTGAGCCGGGTACGCCTGGTCAGGGGAAGAGATCTGCTGTCCCTGTTATTGGGGCTGTTGGTGGGGATCTGAGCGATCTGATTGAACTCAGAGATGATGCGTTTGAGATTGGGGACGATGAGAGTGACCGGGGGAGGACACCGACAAGTGAGCGGCCGAGGGAGACGATGGAGCAGTATCAGAGTGCGAGGCCGAATATCAATCTTGTGCTGCGGGAGAGGGGACGCAAGGGAGATGGAGGGAAGGATGATTGATCTCGGCATTGGGCGTTTTGGACTGGGACGTGTTGAAGGCATGGCAGCTTTGGAGCGTTTCTGATATACCGCTCTTGTTATGTGTTTGCGAAAAGACAACTGCATATGTCAACCCCGAATAGGCAATTGAACGTATCTGCATATTAGTACGATGTGTCATGTCGCTCCACCACACTTACATGTGTAGGGTTGATAAAAGATGCTCTCGCCGGATCAAGATGTCATTTGCCCGTGCACCTCCACGCCTTCAAACCACATACAAACCCTAAAACACATCAATTCACCACATGACCTTCCAGGCCCACAATGCGAGTCCTCACAGCCGTCCCGACTCGCGCGTTCTCGTCGGCAAACGGTGGATACGGAAGGTCCTTGTTGTCACTGCAGCGGGTTGGGTCGGCACATCCCAGCCACGACCTCCGATCACGTCTCACCACGCTGTCGTGTGGCCCCGCGTCTCTCCCACGCCGCTCACAACACTTCTCTGCATCGTCCCGGCGGAGAACGTTACTCATGACCCGCAACGTTCCTACGAAAGCTACTGCGTCGGCGTTCTCGACTACTACCACCGCTATGGCGAATAGAGCGAAGGCGGATGGGGACGTGCAGATCAATATGCCTAGGGACCCGAATACGCTTTCTAATTATCAAAATTATGTTACGAGGCATACGAGTGTGGACTTTGAAATTGATTTTCTGGCGAAGAGGGTGGTGGGGGGTGTGGTGTTGACGTTGGAGAGCTTGACGGGGGAGGAGGTGGGGAGCGTGGTGTTGGATAGTAGGTATGTGTGTGTGCATGGGTGTGAGGATGAAAAGGAGGATGAAGTTGAGATTAGAGTTTAGAGACTGACGGCATCGAATGATTGTATGATGGCTGACATTTTGACAGTTTCCTGGATATCTCCGAAGTCAAAGTCGACGGCAAGAGTGTCAAGTTCAACGTTGGTGATCGTGTAGAGCCCTACGGTGCTCCGCTGACTATTCCGCTTTCTGGAGCTATTCCCAAGGGCCAGACTTTCACTGTTGAGATCAAGGTTTCGACGACTGACAAGTGCACTGCTCTCCAATGGCTGACACCTGCTCAAACATCAAACAAGAAACACCCGTACATGTTCAGCCAGTGCCAGGCTATCCACGCTCGCTCCGTGTTCCCTTGCCAGGATACGCCCGATGTCAAGTCAACGTTCAGCTTCGCTCTCCGCTCACCACTGCCAGTCCTCGCTTCAGGTCTGCCCACAGGGGCAAGCGAGTACCAGGCGCCCAAGAAAGATGGAGAGCAGGGAACACTCAAGTACACGTTCGAGCAGAAAGTCCCCATGACAGTCTACCTCTTTGCCATTGCCAGTGGCGATCTAGCAAGTGCAAGCATTGGACCCCGGAGCACGGTTTGGTCTGGACCTGAGGAACTCCTAGACTGCCAGCGCGAACTTGAGGGCGAGATCGAACCCTTCATGAAGGCTATCGAAGGCATTGTGTCTCCTACGTACCAATGGACGCAATACAATGTGCTCATCCTGCCCCCCTCGTTCCCTTACGGCGGTATGGAGAACCCGGTCTGGACATATGCCACGCCGTCTATCATCTCGGGCGACAAGCAAAACATCGATGTCATTGCTCACGAGCTGAGCCATTCGTGGTCGGGTAACCTCGTTAGCGCGGCCAGCTGGGAGCATTTCTGGCTCAACGAAGGTTGGACGACATATCTCGAGCGTAGAATCCAAGCTGCAGTCCACGGAGAGCCGTATCGTCATTTCTCCGCAATCATCGGTTGGAAGGCGCTGGAAGAGAGTATCAAGAACTACGGTGAAGATCATCCGTACACGAAACTCGTTCTGGAACTCAAGGGCCAGGATCCTGATGATGCCTTCTCGAGTATTCCGTACGAGAAGGGGTTCCACGCGTTGTACCAGTTTGAACTCCTACTGGGAAAGAGCACATGGGATTCTTTTATCCCGCACTACTTCGAAACATTCAAGTTCAAGTCTGTGGATTCCTACGACTTCAAGTCCTGCCTGATCGATTTCTTCGCCAAGGACAAGGAGGCGAGCAAAAAGCTGGACGAGTTTGACTGGGACAAGCTCTTCTACGCGCCTGGATTCCCGCCCAAACCGGAGTTCGACGACACACTGGTGAAGACCTGCTATGAGCTGGCCGACAAATGGCAAGCCCGCCTCTCTTCCTCGGCAGAATTCACGCCCAAATCTTCAGACATCGACGGCTGGGTTTCCAACCAATCCGTCGTCTTCCTCGAGCGTCTGCAGTCCTTCGCTGGGAAATTCTCCCCCGAGCATGTCCATCTCCTCGGCGAGACGTACGCGTACAACAAAACCCAGAACATCGAGGTCCTGTCGAGATATCTGAGCATCGGGCTCATGGCTAAAGTGGAAGAGACGTATCAGCCGTCTGCGGATCTGCTGGGCAGGATTGGCCGCATGAAATTTGTGAGGCCCATGTACAAGCTGCTGAATGCGGCGGATCGGGATTTGGCTGTTGAGACGTTTGAGAAGAACAAGGACTTTTATCATCCGATTTGCAGGTATGTGTTTTTCGAGGGGATGGGTGTGAGATTCTGGGTTGAACGGTTGCTAATGTGCTGGGTAGACAAATGGTTGAGAAAGATCTTTTTGGTGACGAGAAGAAGTGAGCAGTATATACACCATGATGAGAAGCGCGAGGTGAACTGGGAGGGATTTGATAGTACGGGTTTCGACAAGGACATCAGGTTTGAATACCAACAGTACATAACATTACTTACCTTGATAGGTACCGCGACAGGGGCCTTTGGAGGTTTGGGGAGCCGATACGGAAGCAATTACTATTTACAAAAATTGAATATCATGATCCTCCCCAAAGTATGCTTCCATCCTCTTGTTATTTATGAATACGCACGACACATGTTCATGGTCATTATGATTGATCGTCATTATCTCGTTGGGGATATCGCATTTCATCAATGTTGAACTGTCATACTACATTCTTCTCGTACCAACCCCAATTGTGTCCGTCGTCATTGCAACATAATCGCATAAAGATTTATATATCTAACCGAAGTACATCGGCAAGCAAACCGACTCATCGGCCCTGACCCCGACGCCCCAAGCTGGCCCTGCCCCACCGGCATACCCAAACCAGCCGATCTCCGCTCTCCCCGCATTCTCCTGCATCAACCACTCCCTCACACCCACCCGACGCCATCACGCGCCCGTATATGAACCAGCAGCAGCCCGATCCCCGTATCCACAATGACACCCCCAAAGCGCGCCCTCTTCTCGCTAAACCTCGATTCCGACATCGACCACCTCCGGCAGCGAATCGAAGAGCGCAATCTAGACGGCAGCGAGAAGCCCAAGATCATCGAAACGAGAGGGCACTCGGATCTGAGTTTCGTAGGGAAGCCGATTGAGAATATCGTGAACAAGGCCGTGGATAGCGTGGTTGACGGGACGGGCAAGACGGTTCGCTCGGTCGACGGTGACATCACGTATTCGCATAGTGAGACGCGGAATAGCAACGGCAAGGCGGTCAAGGTCTCGAGCAGCAACTCGAAGAAAGGGAGGAGCATCTGGGAGAAATACGATACCTCGGAGCTTTAGAGGCGCGCGGGGAACTATACTCGAATCACGTTGACCCGACTCGACTCGACTTCACAATGCCTTCCGACCCCTCCCCCCTTCGCATAGCAATCGGGTGCGACGACGCGGGCATCTCGTACAAAAACGCCATCAAAGCCGACCTCGAGGCCTCGGCGCTCGTCTCCAGCATAACAGACGTCGGCGTCGTCGAATCGTCTGACAAAACAGCATACCCGCACGTGGCCGTCGACGCGGCGAAACTCGTCGCAGACGGCAAGGCGGACAGGGCGCTGCTGATCTGCGGCACGGGGCTGGGCGTCGCCATCTCCGCGAACAAAGTGCCTGGTATCCGGGCCGTGACGGCGCATGATAGTTTCAGCGTGGAGAGGGCGGTGCTGAGCAATGATGCGCAGGTGCTGTGTATGGGCGAGAGGGTTGTGGGGATTGAGTTGGCGAGACGGTTGGTTAAGGAGTGGTTGGGGTATCGGTTTGATAAGGGGGGCGCGAGTGCGAAGAAGGTGGATGCTATTATGGAGCTGGAGAGGGCTAATTATGAGGGTTTGAGTCGCGAGAAGGAGGGCGCGAGGTGTTAGGGCGTGTAGTTGTTGGATGATAGGGAGAAAAGTCCATGTTTCGTAATCGTGATTGATGTTATGGATTGTATGGCTTTTGTTCCACGTTTGTGTAGTCGTGTCCATTGCTGCGTAACAAAGTGTAGATATCGTCGTTATAAACCACATCACCCACTTCCCCTCGTCCCCCACCCCCACCCTCCTCACTCCCAAAGATCCTTCTGAAACCCCTCCGTCAACCGCTCATCCTCCCCATACTTCTCCTGCCACTCCCCAAACCCACCCCTCAGCACCAGCACCTTCTGCTCCTTACCCTCCTTCCCCTCCCCACCACCACCAATTAGCCTCTCCCTCTCCCTCAAGTACCTCAACGCCGCACTCGGCCCCCGCTGCTGACTCAACGCGCAGTGAAAAACCACAACCTCCTTGTCGCGCAACGTGCGAATCAGATCCGGCGTCTTGTAGTCCAGCTGGCTGCTGGGCACCCACGTCGAGCCGCGGATATGCCCGCCGATGTGGTCGCCGTCGCGCACGTCGATTACGGCTGTGTTGGCGGGCAGGGGCGTGGTGGGCGAGGCTTTTATTGCGGCGGCGAGGTCGTCGCGCGAGATGTAGGTTAGGTTTGCGAGGGTGAGGGACGACATTGCTCGGTTGGTGAGGGGTGGTGGAGTGTGTGTTTGGACTTGGACTTGGGGCTTGGGTCTTGGTGGTGGGGTACGCGTGGAGGGGTTGTTGTTGCGCGAGGGCACGTGGGGACGGGTTGTGTGGGTATTTTGAACGGAGTGCGTAGCGTGAGTGGTATCTTTGGTAGGGTATGTAGAAAAGGTCATGATGTCTCATGTGCATGTCTATTGCGCCGCGCTATTTACGAGTATAGGAAATGATGTACAAGAAAGCAAAACCCCATAAACATGATGCGTTTACGCCACGTCAACGCCGTTGTCAAGCCGTTTCTCGTTTAGTCGTGTTTCGAGAGCCCATTGTTGCTCACGCCCAACAACCCTTCCTTTTCTCCTACTTGGAAGAAAGCTCCGGTATTACCAAACACCCTCCTCCTTGTCCTCGACCTGCCGAACAAGGTCGCAGCCACGATAAATACAATCATCATACCCACGGCCACGATCGGATGACCGCCGCAGAAACGGCGGACGGACAAGTAGAAGCTCTGGAAGGTGCCTGCCGTCGATTTGGAAGGGATCTTGGGCGGGTTGGCAGTGACTTTGTTGATGGTTTCGAGGATGGAGGATCGACTTGGGCGGATGGGTTCGCCGGATATGGTGACGTCCCAGTAGCGGCGGTTCTATCAAAGTCAATATCATACATGAAGGCAGTACGGACACACTTACATCTTCATCATTGATGATGACCTTCTCGCCGTCCTTCACATCAACGCCATACGTGGTCCTTACCCAGCGTTCCCAGAAAACGCCATCGACCCAGGCAAATCCAACCTGCCTACGCTCAATCTCATTCATGTCGATGCGAATACTCTTTGCGTTCCTGAGTGATCTCTCATCATCCTTGTCTTCTGCCTCTTCAATACGCAACTGCTTTGCGTCGCGCAGTTCTTGTCGTTCAAGTTGGAACATGTTGTCTTGTCTCTCGATCCATTCAAGCGCCGCGCTCTTCATCTCTCGCTTGGAGAGAATGAATTCGTCAGATCGATCTCTACTTAGGATACCTAGCACGACAAGTTTGCCGGCCATGATCTCATGCGCGTTGGAAGATGTCATCTCAGGAACAATGGGCAGCCAGACGGACTTCATCCAGGTGAGCACCTTTTTGGAGTCGCGCATCTCGTTGGGAGTGATAGGTGGGTAGTATGTAGGCTTTCCGTCCCGCGCCACCATCAATCGGGGCCAGGTTGAGATCTTGAAGCGCTCGGACATGGCTTTGTCGTCCGTCTTGACCAATTTGGCGTGGCCGACCATGCTGAGGGTCAACCGTTCCAGCGCCTGGAAATCCTCAGACGTGGTCGCAACGTCGTAGAAGTAGACAAAAATAACTTCTTCTGTCTCTTCCATTTTCTTGAAACTCGCAAGATCCACCTCAGGTACGCCTGAGCCGATCTCGGTTGCCTTGTCAGCATAGTCGAGCAGGTCACCAAGTCCTCGCAAGCCGTGGTACTCGATGCGCTCACCGCCGCGGAAAAACAGCATTGTGGGATACCCCTTGACGCCTGCATCCTTGCAAAGCCTCTTCTCGACGTCGCAGTTGACCTCTCCCACGTTGAGCTTTCCTTGCATATGACGAGCCATGTTCGACCAGGTTGGTGCTAGATCCTGGCAATGATGGCACCATGGCGCGTAGAACTTGATGAACCAAGGATCAAGCGTGTTGGTGACGACCTTTTGGAATTTCTCGGCGGTAAGCGCTTCTACGATGCCAGATGGGTTCGCAGACGACATGGGCTTCGCAGGCGTGGGCTTGGCTACCGCCTTGGATGGCACACTCTTGAGCGTTGTGCTGGATATTGCGCTGGATGTCGGCTTGACTTCAGCCTTATCTGTCTTGGCACCGCTCTCTTTCTCCTTGACTGCTTGTTCAGTCTCTGGGCCAACCTCGACAGATTTATCCCCAGCCTTGGGAAGTTTTGGGCCTCCCTCCTTGCGCGAGCCAGGTCGGATCGACTCTAAAAGCCCCTCGACCCACTTGCTCATTTCTTCCATGCTTTTTGCCCCCTTTTCCCTTTCCGTCTCTTTTCCGTCCACAAAGTATACCATGGTAGGGAAGTTGGCGATATCATGCGCCTTGCACACGTCCGCAAAGGCTACACAGTCGACCTTTGCAAACTTGAAATCGTAGTATCGCGTGAACGAGTTGAGGGAGTCGCCTTCGATGTCGCCCTTGGAGGCTAGGGGCTTCGACGTGTAGTAGAACTCGTATGCTGTCTGGTATGTAGGCTTGAAGTGCATGCAGTGCGGGCAGAATGGGGAGTAAAACTCCACGATCCTGTTCATCGTGTCAGTGCGGAAAAGGACCAGTTTGCGACAGTGCCGTACCAGTTTCCATGGCTGATACTCTTATCCAAGTCCTTTATCGTGAGCTGTGCCATGGGCGGTACTGTCTGGCCATTGAAGATGGTATCGGGTTCCTTGTCGTCCCAGTCATCGTCTGCATCTGCCTTCTTGGGGGTTGGCGTCTTTGCTGCAAGAGTGGATGCAATAGTCGCCAGCGACAGGAGAGAATAGAATATGGAGCGCATTGCGACGGGGCGGCGAGTTGCCCAGCAAGATGTGTTATGGGTACGATTAATCCAGCGAGAGGTAAGGAACGATCATCGGTGGTTTCTTGGAGTGTCGACGTGTTCCCAAGGCTGGCGTTGGTTAAGAGAGAGTGTGTGATATTGCTTCTGCGATGACCAAAAGATGCATATGTTGTCCCTGACTCCTGTGGCCACAGGGATCTGCGTCTAGCGCCAACTGGCTGGCGCAACCACAATTGATGGCATCACCACGCCGCCCACCCATTGCGCCGCAACCCCCCACTCACCACTCCCGCAACCATGAGGGCAGCTGTACGGCTTCTCGCCAGCATCAAGCCAGGCCAATTCCTCGAGCGCGGCGCTCCGACCGGCCTGACGGGCCTCCTCACACACCCGTCGCCGCGCTCGACGCTGCTCTACCACTACAACTCGACGCTCGACAAACTCAAGCAGATCCCCGAGTCCTCCGTCTACCGCCAGTCCGTTGAGGGGCTGACCAAGCACCGCCTTCAAGTTATCGAGTCTACGAAGCCGAAGGGATGGGACGACTGGCAGGAGAAGATTCAGATGCAGGTCGACAACGACCCGGAGGCATTCCAGAGCATCAGCACTTCGGGAGGAAACACCATTGTCCTACCAAAGAACAATGAAGTCGACCCCAGGACACGTGCGGCTGAGTGGGACGGCGAGATCCCAAGTACATTCCCAGAGGGCATCAGGTCGGAGAAATCGCGCTCCAAGTTCATTCCTAAAATGAAGGGTGATGTCAACTACACACCAGAGCGGTCAATCACCAAAATCAAGTTTGACCCGGAGCCGCAATACACTGCTGAAGCGTACGTCATCTACTTCTGAAGGTATATTGGCACGTGTGACTGATCAACGCAGCATCTCGGACTTGGAGAGCAGAATGGGTGCCGGTTTGATCGAAGAGGTCATCCAGGTCGCCGAAGGTGAGCACATGCTCGTAGACGAGATGGTTAAGAACAAAGTGTAGGCAATCCCCGAATTTCCTCCCATGATATGAGTTAACATCACACAGCTGGGAGCCGCTTGAAGAGCAGGCGCCAGAGGGCCAGTGGGCATACAATGAGCGTTCTTCCCACACTGGCACTACTCAAAAGCCATAGAGGAGATACGCTTGAATTTGTGTGTAAATAGCAGAATGAACATTTCCACAACACCCAACCTTTGCAATTCCGTCCCTACTTTTGACATGTCATGTTACATTGACTTACTCCACCCCGCCTTGGCTGTTGAGAACTCCCCACAACCCAAGCTCTACACTTGAAACACTTTCACACTAGAAATAGCACATCCCAGTTCCCTGACCATCCCATATTCCCGCTTCCTAATTCCCGCCAGCCTAACGCTGGAGTCTTCCCCTCATCTTTGAACCTCATTTCTCCACACCCCCTACCTCGCCTTCCCCTCTCAATCCCTCTAGCCTTAACATGTTCCTCTTCCCCAGAATCCTCACCGTATTGCTCCTCTCAATATCCGCCATGCTCTCCCAATTCGCGATCCTCGACAGCGTCCCATCGCGATTGACTACTAGTGGGCCCAGGTGATCCAGTTTGACGCCTTGCCCGTTGACGTTGAGCTTGTGGGTCGCCGTGCTGGGTTCTGGGAGGGTTAGGGGTGCTGTCGTGTCTGGGTCTGTGGTTGGGGGAGCGGTTTGTTGCGGTTGGGTTTGGGGCTGGGAGGAGGGCGTGCTGGGCGACGCTTTGTTTGAGGGTGTGGACATTTTGCGCAGGAGGGGTGTAAGGTGGGTGTGTGGGCGGGTGAGTTGCTTGCGCAGGAGGCTTGAGGGGATCATGAGTGTGTATTTAGTGAGATGAATATGTTGTCGCGTTTGTGGTAAATGGGTGAGTGTAATGGCGCATGGAAACTTCTTTTCTTCTAGAAAGCTCTACGGCCGTCTACGTTGGAGTGTTGGCTTGAATGTCCACATAATGCCATGTCAACCTCTCTGAGAAGACGACTACAGCATGAGATGATGTTTTGACTTGAAACCCAAATCAATGTTGTTGTGGACGATAGCTAAAATTGGGTGCATTTCAAACTTTGCTTTGAGTCGCCAGATCGCAGTCACACGATGTCGACATCAGGTAACACGTCTTGTTTCACATTCTACAGCCTACCTCAGCATCGCTTTAATATAAAAACTTTCGCAGCTTCACTAGCCATGCGACAATGTCCTAAAGGGCAACCAAAATGCGAAACAACGTCCGGTTCTTCCATCGGACAAGACAGATCCCCAGCCACTCATGCCACTCACTCGCTTACACTCGGCCAAAATGTATGGAAGGCGCAACAAGCGCAATCTCACCGCTTGACGGCCGGACTCTTCAAAAAAATGGTGTACGTGATGCCAATCAAGTTTATCACGCCACCTGCTGCACGACATCGCTGGCCTCGCCGCACCTTCTGCGTTGGCTTGTCCCCTGCTGCGTGATGGCGGGAATGCGTGTCAAAAGAGGGGCATTCTACCCAGCCGAAATCTTGCTGGGCCCCCAATTCGGCTGCGTAACCGTGGTGGGACTGAGCTTATTCTGACTTCCATGATCAGCTCGTCGGTGGTCTTTGAGCTTTTTCATTTGCGCAAAAGCCTCAAGTCAGGCGCGGAAGGTTTTGTGACGTGTCCTAAACACAGTCCAGCTTCGGGAGGTATTTGCGACACGGCATTTGGGTGCTCGACGCTGCGTGTAAAGAGAAAGCTCCGAGACGTGCATTGTGCACGGCGGAGTGGAGCGGAAAACACGTGGAATCTTGGGGGCTCCTGCACGCTATTATGTGCGCGGTGCTTGCGTCCATTCATGGCAGTCCTTCATCACCGAGTGCAGGTCATGCCTCGAAGAAATTTTCGATGCATCATCTGGTCGGGGACGCTTCCTCTTCGGACGGCTTGCCGCGGCCATTGATAGTCGACAAGACGGATGTTACTCGACAATCGCCAAGCCAGACTGCAACCCAAGTACAGTCGATGTGCAATCAGGATGAGAGCCATGGATGAGGATGCACTCGCTTATGCGCAAAAGCCGAAAGCAAGCTGCAGGGAAATCTTGCAACATCTTGACAGCTACATGTAGGGTTAGTGTAAGGGTTGTGTGTCTTTAACTGTTACAAGCATGCGCTCACACAGTGTGGCATTGAGTCAGCAATGTAGCCGGCATGCCGTATCTGGATTCCCTCAATGTCAGCGCCTGTGGCTGGAAAGAATCACACTAGTCAGTTCCTTATGCCCGGCGATGAAACCGAGCGCACGTCCGGTGAGCACTTTGTTTAATTTCATCTACAGCCTCATTTGCACTATGTTTCCGGATATGTTCATCACGGCGTCGCAGACTCGGTGAGTCTTGCCAGCGAGTCCTATCTATTTAGTATCGGCTGGAAAGGTCAACCTTGGTTGGACTAGACGTGACGTAGGATGTCGAAATCAGCCGACAGGGGACCCCTGCTCAATAGCAACGGTACTCCGTTTAATCTTCGGCTCTGATCCTATGGGTTCATCCCTCGAATAAGGTTATTGAATTGCAGACTGGAGATGTTGTGCTGTCAAGCCGGGACAGCACCCGTCGCAGAGCACAAAAGAGATAGGGTGAATGCGCAATACGATGGACGTGCCAACGATGGCATTGTTGAATTCTAGCTCATCCACTTGGCTTAGGTAGGGCCTTCTTGTGGATGAGACCCTGGCAAGCCACAACCGCCAGCGCTGGCCTCACGCACGACGACGCTCGGATGAGTTGCTCATAGCCGCTGCTCTTCCGATCGGATGCAAATATGCAAATTCTGTGCTGCTTGCATAAGACGGCCAGGCACAAGTTGGCGTGCTGAAAGCACGAAAAACAGGAGGTGGTCCGGCAATGCTGTGCTCGCAGAAGTGATGATGGAGGGGCGTTATGAGTGATGAGGCTCTTTCCTTATCGATTACTTTGGTGCACCCTAGACTAAGATGCCTAAGATGCCGCTCTGAAACCGCGTGCACGGTGAGGCATCGCTTGACAGATGGCCGAATCTCAACGGATGTGCTGGAGCTGATCTGGCCGTGACTCGAGAGCGCAAGCAGCGCGTATGTCTGAATTAATGCTGAGCGATGGTGTGAACAAACGGGCAGTGTGCAGGTGCTAGTGAACCAAACTGGCTCTCGGCGGAAAAAAAGCACTACGAGAGAGCAGCTTCACGTGTTGGTCGTCATTCCGAGTTCCCGTCCGTGGCTTTCCCTCCTGCCCTCACCTCCCCCAGCATAACTAGGTAAGTCAGCCCAGCACGCACGACCGACAAATCCTGCGAGCCACTCGCCTCACCCCCGTCGACCAGCCTCTCATCTTCGTCACGCTATTCCTACAGGTAACATCTGCTCCGACAAAACCTCCGGCAAACTCCGGCGTCAAGCAGGGCGGAAACAAGAATTGCGTGTGCGGACATCGGGCGCGCTGGTGCTGCAACGCAGTCGCTCAATTTTTCGCCGCGTCTAAGATCTGATCTCGACCCCTCCTCACACGCTGCTCCAAATACCAAACAACTTTTGCTCGTGGGTCTCCTGTACCTGCCTCGTGCTTCGACTCTCCACTTGGGCTTTCCGCACTTTACCGCCTGAGGCTGAAGGTTGTGTGGGCCTCGATCTGCAGCAGTCCCTGGTCCCCTCGCGTGAAGTGCCGCGCCAGCCAACAGTCGTCGTCGACGGTAGCGCGACGAGAGTCTCTCATCGCATCACTGTTCGTTTCTCCGTACGCTCAGGCTGCCTCTGTCCCACCCTCCCCTCCTCTCTTCCCGCTGTGGGCACCTCGATTCTCCTCATCGAGTCGCTGTTGTTCACCGCGCACCGACTGCCCACCTCCGTCCCCCGCCCGGCTCCACAGACTTTCTTCGTGGGTCCCCGTTGCCCCGTCTCGACCCTCGTTGTGCTGCCCACCCAGCGCATTAGAAGCTGTCACGCGTCACTCGAACCTTGGGTTCGTCGAATGATATCGTCAACCGCAACATCAATTGGTCGCGCCTTCCTCACCACTACCTTCTGTGATATCGACAAAGCGGACGCCCAGACATGGACTCTTCGGACCGCTTCCGCCAGCCCGGACTGCAGCAGTACCAGTCGCTGAGCCAGAGCTACCAGAGCCAGCAGAACCAGCTCCCCACGCTGCCACCTCTCCAGCACAATGGCAGCCAGTTTCCTTCCATGTACGGTCACAACAGCAACCCACAGACGCCCCAGCCACACACGCCTGTGACGTCTGGCTCGAGTACCACGATCCCCTCGCTGCAACACCCACCGCTCCGGCCTATCCAGCCGTCGCCCTCCTCGTATCTGCCTATGACGTCGGCGTACTCACAGGCGCCGCTGCTTCCCACGGCGGCAGCCCACGCCAACGGTCACCAGCTCGGTCACCCGTCAGGCATGGGTCTGTCCCACGCTTCACTATACCCTCACCCCCCTGTTCTCGCCAACCAGGAGCCCGAGCCGGTGCATGTCGTCGGCCAACAGGGTCGTCGCGGCGTCCTGCCCACGCACCCTGGTCGGCCAGCTCCTGCTGTAGGCAAGACACCCACCACAGCTACCAAGAACGCCGAGGGCAAATATGAATGTCCCCACTGTAACAAAACATATCTGCACCTGAAGCACCTGAAGCGCCATCTTCTGCGACGTAAGTATTCCGTCTGCTACATGATGCCCACCTACTGACATTCGCAGACACGGGTGAGCGACCGTATCAATGCCATCTTTGCAAAGACACGTTCAGCCGAAGCGATATCCTGAAGCGTCACTTCCAAAAGTGTTCCATACGAAGGGGTAACCCGACTGGAGCAAACCATCTACAGCATGCGCAGGTGCATCTGCAGAAGAACAGGCCCCCAAGTGGCGCAGAGACCAACTCGTACCTGAACCACATTGGCGGCACTTCTATGCCATACCCTGCTCCGGCAAACTACGCTCTTGGTATGGCGCAGATGCCTACTGTGGGAGCTGACCAGTTCGGCAACGAACTGCCTTCCATGGCCAATCATCAGTCCCACCAATCGATGTCTGCGCGGACTTCGCGCTCGAACAGCTTGATCCGCCCTGGTAGTGGCATGGACGAGAACCGAAGGAGCATATCTGGAATGGACTTTGCAAGCTCAAGGGTGAACTTCAACGACTTCCGACCAAACGGCGTCCCCAATGGGTACGCACCGCAGCAGGATCAGAATGGTCCAGGCGCTACGAACCACTACAGCTACGATCAAGGCGCTGCAAATTCCGCTATGGCGCAAAACGGCATGCCGATCAAATCGGAGGGTGCTGATACGGCTTCCTATGGCGACTCGAACTTGCCCAACGTGGATGGAATCTCTAATGGCCAGGACAACTCATTGTGGCGGAATGGAGCGTTCAACGGAGATTCGAACTTTATGAATAACAGTACGGCAGGTCCTCCTTATCAACCCAAGGCTGGCGGCGTTCTGACTGTTCCTTCCATTTAGAACAACACAGATGATACACCAAATGATACCTTGTTCGCGCTGTATTCGAACACTTCCGGCTTCGTCGACACTTCCCCAATATCTAATAACTGGTTGCTCGGCCAATCTTCACCTGATCCCCTGCAACACAAAGCCGAGGCGCTTGTGACATTCTGCTTCCCTAACGCGCCCATGATTACTCCCGGATCGAACGAGGCTTTTGCTTGCGAAGCGCTCAAAAACATCATTACTGGAGACAACATGAAAACCTTTCTGCACCAATACAAGCACTTCCATTCCCACTGGCCACTCATTCACACTCCGACATTCGATCCCCTTTCTGCGAACGACGGACTTGTTTTATCTATGTGCTGCGTCGGCGCTGTTTATTCCAATAGGCTAGGCCCCAAGGAGGTCCGTTGGCTGATGGAGCTCGTCCGCTCGTCTGTTTTAAGAACATCGCAAGTCTACAAGCTGGTTACTCAAAATCAAATCGTCGATTCCAACCGTTTCTCACCAAGCGACATCGAAGAGCTCCAGGCGCTCTCACTTCTTACCAGTCTCTTTTTGTGGCACGGCGATCAAAGGCAGCGACAAAAGGGCCGGGAAGAGTTTTGGGCTCTCGCGAACATTGCACGACGTACCGGTCTGCTGCAGCCTCTTCCTCTAGAAAACCCTCAATCTAGCGCCTTCCACCAGCCCGGTCCTATCACTGCAGAGGGTGTTAACTCTTGGAATTGGATGTCTTGGGTTGACAACGAGAAACGGGCGAGGGTCATGTCATACATCTTCCTTATTGACGCTTGCTCTGTCATCTTCTTCAACGAGCAACCACAATTCGATGTCAACGAAATCAAGTCCACGCTACCTGCTGACGACGCAGCCTGGGATGCCAAGTCTGAGGAAGAGTGTGCGGGCGCTCTCGGCCTGAGAGGAGAAGCAGCGCAGGCAATGAATGCATCAGGAAGCAGACGACCAAAGCAGATGGGCATGGCGGAGGCTCTGGAATTCATGTTTGTGGGTGGACGTGGACGGTTCCCTGACCGCGGGACCAATGTGTTCGGAAAGTTCAGTAAGTGCAAATCTCGTGTCCGAACATTCATCGCAGGGCTAACATTCCCGTCCAGTCCTCATACATGCCATCCATGTTCAAATCTACAACGTCCAGCGCCAGATTCTGCAGCGAGTCTGTTCAAGCGGTACAAGCACACCTAAATCTCAGGGTGACGGCCCTGCTACTCCACCAAGCGGCATCAACGAGAAAGTTCAGCTATTGCTTCGACAGACTGTTACCGCTCTTGAACTATGGAAGACCTGCTGGGACATCGATCTTGCGCTTCAGTTCCCTCAAAACGAGCGTCGATTAGGTTTCTGCAGAGACGGTGTTCATTTCTACTTCCTTGCCCGCGTTTTTCTCCGGAATTCAAGACGGGAAGAGTGGGCAGCACCTGCAGATCTCCGTTGCCGGCATGTCTTCAATTTCCTGAAGCAGATCAGAGCCCATGTTGCTTCTGAATCCGCGCAGAAAGGCATTGATCTTGGATCGGTCACTACCATTGCCGACGATTACGGGATAGCCGACCTTACGCTTGACATGAAGTACTTGTTCACGCCTCTCCAGGACCCTTGAAGCCATCATCACCCAAACCAGCCTTTTCAACCAACCCCCCATCGTTACGGGATCGTATCAACACGCGATTCACGGATGCGATTCGTACTCAGCGCCATAACAAGGTATCATCAATGTATCATCTACCAACAATTCTAGAATTGCAACTTTTCTTTCTTCAGCCCAGCAGTTGCTGTGGCTCGCATTACAAAACGGAGTCCTTGGAGTTTATCAAAAATCAGAAAATTTTACAGCGGTCAAGTGTCCTGGACCAATGACAAAAGTATTCGGCGATGGTGTTCGTCGCTGTTTCGTGTGGCCTCAAATTCCTATCCGAAACAATCAGCATTAGACGTTTTTTCAACTTCACGGCGTGCATTGGCCCGGCGCAACAAATCTCACCCATTTTCGCGGTGTTGCGAACCATTAGATGGCGGCAAAGCATCACGGGTCCCATCGGCTGCTTCTTTCATCGTGGGAGCAGCGCAGATTAGAGTGTTCAGGGGAAAGTTTGGCTTGAGGTTCGGGTGTATGTGTACTCTGTTTTTCCTGTCATTGCATGGTGGCGTACATTTTGATTTGAGCAATTAGAATAGAAGATAGTCATAGGTGCTGGTGGAGTTGTGCTGCATGGAAGCCGCTCCTGCTAAAAGAAAACGTGAATAGTATTTTATTTGCTTTGCTAAGTGTTTTCTGTTGTCGAGTTGGTGATGTTGGAGACGATTGTGTTGAAGTGATGATAGTCTTTCGAAGCTGAAGAGTATTTGTGAATAGGGAGGGCGGCGCGACATGGGTGGATAGGTTGTATATTTTTCTATGGCAATTTGGAGATTCAGTAGGTAGTGTCTTTTATGATAAAGAATATCTTGATTCGCTCGTGGGGCATTGATTTTCTGACCCCATCCCATTCTTTCGGCTCCCTGTCTGTTAGCAGTTCCGTTGCCTCGATGCAATCTGGAAACACACTAATAGCATGAGTGAATGGTAGGCAGGTTACCATGATAGACACAGAGACAGCTTGCAAGGTGGAAATGAGCCTTTCTGGTTTCAGCCACCAGCCTGACCGGTCCGAGCTGTTTTTGGCCCCCATCTGCCCCCTTGGCATCTAATTCACCCACTGCCGTCCATGCGCATTTCAGCCTTGTCCGACGGTGGTAATTGTAGTGACAACAGTGGTGGCTGAGCTCCAGCCCGAGCGCGCGAGATGGGAATAACATAGATCATGGTGCGAAGAGATTCAGTCCTCTATCCCAACACACTCGTTTCAATTTGTCCAAATGGCCTTGGATGTCGCTGCTTCCATCATTGGAATCCTAGCAGCTGCGGGGAAGATTGCCGAAACGCTGGGACCTGTCATCTCTACCTTTCGGGACAGCACCAAACACGCCGCTATCATTTTCTCCGAAATCGATAACTCCAGGGCGATCTTGGGGGCGCTTCAGACGTTGTTTGTTGATTTGGATACCACGCCGAGGAGACGCAGGGCACTGATTCACGTCGATCAGTTGGTTGCCGCGCTCACTGATGGCGTACTCTTATTCTCCGAACTGGAGGCCCTTGTTGTCCGTCTAGATCATCCTGCTAAGAAGCTCATGGGTCGGTTACAGTGGGCATGGAATGACAAAGAGTTTGTAACGCTTGTGTCCAGGATACAATGCTTCAAGACTTCGATAAGCACCATGCTCAATATACTTCAGTGGTGAGTGTTCATTGGAGGCGTCCGCTACTAGAGAGGTATTGATACATGCCAGTGAATCCGACGCGGAAGCAAAGCGTGGCCAACAAGAACTTTTGGCCATCACTTCGGCCTTGTTGAGCAGTAACCTCGAGCTGTCAAGACGGATGGCACATCTTGAAACCTGCGTTGATGGAGGTGAGTCTACACTGGCAGTTCCGTCAGCCATGATCAGACCCGTCACACACGACAACGTGAGCATGAAATCAGAGAATACAGTCAAGAGGGTCCCAAAGATCCTATTCGATTCCGCCCGAGTATTCCAATTCGAGAACGACCTCAAAACCTCCAGGGTATATCGCAACGCGAACAGGAACACCGTAGACTTTTCATTCCGCAGTTCCATCGCACCGTCGCAAGCAAGGTCTGGTCTTTCTGACGTCAGTCTCTCTGATATCTCCGCGGTGGTTGTAATCGCTCTCCCGGTATCTTTTGGAGACGTCACCAACGTGCAGCACTATACTTTCGATCATTCCGTTGTTGGAAGAGCGAATCCCCACACATCGGAACAGGCATCCAGATGTGACCAGGATCCTCAGAAACGTACCTCAGGTTTGGCGGATTCCGTGGCGTTAACCTCCAAGGGATCGCGCAATCCACAGGTCATCGACAATCGGCCAAATAACAAATTCAGGAGAAGAATCAAGAGGACAACGGACGTCAATACCAACACAAAAGTAGGTGGTCTCAAACAATATGTGTCCATCCCATTCACACAAACTAACACTTTTGCAGTTCTCTCGAACAAGTACCCAGTATTCAGACGTCCAGACCAAGATCATATACGAGAACTTATGCTGGTAGACACGGCACAAATCCGCGGCGGAGTATTTTCATGAGAAAGATGATATTTTCAGGAACGGCCAGTTCAGTTCAGTCCAGTCCAGCGACATATGTTCCGGTAAAGTTAGATTTGGGGACCGCTCCATTCCATCCCGTGGGCATACGAATATCGCTTTTCATATAAAAAAAAGCCGACATGCCAAGCAGCGTGAAGGAGTGAGAATAGGGTTTGTAAAACGTTCTGGGCTTTTTGTGCATGGAGAGAACAACACGGAAGTGGTATTGCCGGGTTTTGCAGTGCTTTCAGGTCCCACATAAGCGTTCTTGCGCTTTTCTTTTTGTCTTCTCGGAACAGAACATGCACTACATGTGGGATCGCTTTTGTTTTCTGGTCGCAGGCACGCACTCCTCTCATAGTTGGCAGCCATACTGATTTATGATTTGGTGCGGGTATTCGAATCCATGAGTTCTGCGCCGAGCATTTTAAAAAATGAAGAAATTAGATGAACGAACAACACATGTTTTCTGAGTAAAACAATTTCGACTCTCCACAGCACATTAAACACCCGAGTGTAACTTTCAGTCCCAGAGACGCGCCTCACATATTCTTTTGGTGGTAGATTTTTGGCCGCCGACTCCACACATCCGTCAGAATTGAAGGGTTTTTGAGTAGAAGAAAAGAAGGTTGAAGGTGTAGAATGGGAGGAGGATGAGGTGGGAGAAGGATTGAACGTTTTATATGCAGAATCTACGGTGGGGCGTTTGTGTTGACGAATCAAAGTTCTAGTCGTGACCTATGTAATGGGTCAAACAAATCAAACTCAAAAATTCGCATCACGAGTGAAGAACATAGCGGTTTTGAGTAAAAGATTGCCGATATATGACGCTCAGGGCAGCCAGGCCCAAGTCACAAGCACTCTACCTAGATCCTCATTCGCCACCTTCTTGAACATAGCCGGGCTGACGTCTAAATCAGTGGGCGCGCATCCAGTGCCTGTTGAAGGGTTAGCGGTTCCTCTTTACGCATGACTTTAAAGTTAGAAGGAATACTTACACCTATCCACTACAGTTACATCAATGCTAACCGACTTGCCAGTCTGTTCATTCACTCTCGTCGCCCTGATCTTGCGCCCACACAGTGGATTCTGGTTCGGATCACTTCCCGCTTGCACTGCGTCGAATGTGTAGTGCGAGATAGAGACTATTGCGTCGTTATCTGTCGAGTCCACACCACATGCTCCAAGGCCAGGGCCGTAGTATGTTAGATCACCGGTGTAAGTCTCTGCGCCATTGGGTAGGGGAAGGTTCTGAGTCCTAAATATAGCAGTCAGTATAGAATCACGAAGCGCTAGTGTGGAAGAAGTACTTTGACTTTCCTGACAGGCCGACGGCAAGTCCAATGATGAGCGCCAAAAGACAGAGGAACACAGCAACAGCAATGATTAGGAAAGTACGACGACTGCGACCCAGGTAGCGTTTGTGCGGCGGAAGAACGCGATCGAAGCGATCTGACATGGCCCATCTTGTCGCACTTGCGCCGACGCCCAATTGGACTGGCTTCCTTTTCGTGTGCGCTCCGTCTGGAATGTCCCAGCCCGAGCCCGGTACGCTGCTCTGCGTCTCCATCTCTTGCGTGTACGCTGGAGGTGGTCCTGCCACTTCCTTCCGGTGTATATCTGGCGCGCTCATGGTTGCATGTACTTGGGCGCGTAAAGTGACAAGCTGATTGTATGTATGTACGGGTATCACAAAAACAAAAGGGTATCAGAGCATTATAGAGTACAGAAACCAAAGAGTGGCAGCCTGAGCAGTCAGATATCCGGCATTATCGTCGTATGCCGTGTGTCGCAGAGAGTGGTTGTGGATGTGGAGACTGAACCAGTGGGGATCAAGCAGAGCAGAGTGATAGTCAGGAAAGGGTCCAAACTAGCCTATCCCTAGCGTGATTCGGAGATATAACGCATCAACAAAAGGTAACGTAATGTCAACCATCTTCTCGCTCTCTTCGTATCCTCACTCGCGTTGCGCAGCGCAAAAACGGACTCGCACGTATCTCCCGCCGAGGGACAGCTTTCATCTTGCCCAAGACTCCAACTAAGCTCGAAAACCTCTTCGCCATATCTCGGAACTCTTCCGAGCCCTCACCTCCACACAATCCGCCACCATGGCAGAGCAAAGCATAAACATACCGCAAGTGCTAGTCTTTATTGTTGTCACCTTTCTCGCCGTACGATGGTACTTTAGCAAGCCATCGACTGCGGGCACACAACCGGTCGCCCACCGCCCCGCCGTGCGCATAAACCCAGCGCAGATAGACCAGGTCGCGCAGATGTTCCCGCAGCTGAGCAGGAGGGATATTGCCTGGGACTTGCAGAGGAACGGCGGGAATGCGGCGGCGACGACAGAGAGGGTGTTAGGGGGACGGGGGCTGGATACTGTAAGTACTCCAAGTAGGAATCTCTGTACAATTTGGCTGATCTGTTCCAGGCACCGCCATCATTCAACCTCCCTGCGCCAAGATCGACTGCTGCGCCAGCGCGAACAGTAACAGCCGCTGCGAAGCCTGGACATCCTGATCTCATAACGCGGTACAATCTATCAACCAAGGTGGGACAGCCCTCGGCGCCTGTGGAGGATGAAGAAAAGCCCAAGACGAAGGCGTGGAGTCAGGACAGAGACGAGAGACAGGCGAACTTGCGAAGAAGGAGAGAAGAGATGATCCTGGCGGCGAGACGGAAGCTGGAAGAGAAGGAGAAGGCTTCGGGTGCTGCTGTCGCCTGAGGAGGCTATGTAGAGCATCTTCGAGCGGTACAGTGAGCTTATACATTAACATATTCTAAATCGCCGAAGCAATTCATACGCATACCAATAATCTTAGCACCTGCGTCAATTGACATGTGCATCTCGTATCATGTAATTCTACCTGAGCAAAAGTCACAACACCCATACTTCGTGACTAGCTTGGAATACCCGAAAGGGTCCCATTCCAGGCAACTCTCATCCTGCACTTAATACTCGGCCCCTACCGGCTCGCAAGCTCAGGATTTGGAAAATCCGGCCGTGCAGAGCACAGCCCTCCTAGCTTAACAATAATTACAACCTTAACAATTTTAAAACTTACACATTATACTATTATTATAATAATGCTATATTTTTTATTTCTAAATAAGCTAAATTACTATAAATATACATTATATTTTATCTAAAACCTTAAATTATACTACTATAGTAGTAACTATTAATAAAGCTATTATTACGCTTTTTTAAATAAATAACCTAAATATTAAGAACTATTATAAAGCCTATAAACTACTATATTAATATATTTTATAGGCCTATTAAGGTAGTAATAACTACTTTATAAGATCTATAGTTAACTAATAAAAGCTATTAAAGAAGTAAAACCTTACTTTTAAATACTTTCTTAATACTATTAATACTATTAGTTTTAATATATACTATAGCTTTATTACTACCTAGGCTAATACTCTTCTTAATAAGGCCTATAGTAGTATTAATAAATACGCTCTTACTATTAGTAAAAACTAAGTAATATACTAGCTTAAAAAGTACCTAAAGTATAAGTATATTAAAGTAATACTAATAGAAATAAAGTATAAGCTTACCTAGTAGCCTAAAAGCCTTTAGTAATAGTTTATAATACTTTATAATATTATTAATAGTAAAGCTATTATACCTAAGAATATATAAAATATAAATAAAACTAGCTACTATATTAGTATTACTAAGAACTAGTATATTTATATATATAACTATAAGTAAATTATTATCTTTTATACTAATAACTATAAGCTTATTACCCTTATAAAGGCTATCTCTACTACTAGAAATATAATAAAGCCTATAGTTATTATTAAGGCTATAACGCTACTTAAGTACTAGGTATAAAACTTACTTAATAGGTACCTTATTACTATTACTAAAAGTAGTTATAGTAATAATAATATAAGCCTCTAGTAGCTTTAGTACTTTAATAAAATAATATACCTATACTAGTAAAGTAAGTAGCTACTTTTTATCCTTAATAGCTATAGCTTTTACTATACCTATAAGTTTATAAACTATACTACTACTTATAAGATTTAGCTATTTACGCTTTTTCTATACCTAATATATATTCTTTAGCTACTTAATATAGGCTACTTTTAACCTTTTAAATAGTACTATAACTATATCCTAGACTATACTACTTATACTAGTACTATAAATATTAATAAAGTAAATTTTTTCTTTATAATAGTAGGCGTATAGTATAATATATTTAAAATAGAAATAATTTAAAGTAGCTAGTAGTATACTAGTTTATACTTATAAAATCTTAATATAGTAATAGTATAGCTTAAGTAGTATAAAAATATTAGTAGTAATAAAAAAAAGCTTAATAGTAAGCCTATCTACTATAGCTAGCCTACTATACTTAACTTAAAACTAGTAAAGGTTAAAATAAAGCTAACTCTAAGTAAGTTAAGTACTTATAAGTCTTATAACTAGGTATATATACTACTACTATAGGCTTAAGTTAAGCCTAGTAAAGCTTTAAAAATACTTTTATAAAATACTTTACTACTAAAGCTATTTTAAGTTAAGCCTTATACTATTTAATAAGTAAAAGAGTAGTACTCTATAGTTAAGTACTTACTATACTAGTACCTTTACTTTACTACTATTATACCTATTCTATACTATATAAAAAGCTTAGGTACTTTAGTATATATTATAAAAGGCTTAAAGTATAAGCTATTAACTACTAAAGTTACTAAGTATACCTATAATAAGCGCTACTAGTATAAATATTAAATAATTAATATTAAAAAGAGTTTTATTTATATAAAAGACTACTAAGTAATAATATAAAAGTATACTAAAAATATACTACTAGTAAAGAAGTAATAGTAGCTAGCTAAATAATAGTATAAGTTAGCTAAAATAGTTAATACTTTATACTCTAAGTACTCTACCTTATATAGTACTATATATAAGAGAAATAACTAGCTTAAATAATTAAACTATAAGGTATAACTATTTAATAGCTATAACTAATACCTACCTAAAAAGTTCTTTACCTACTATAAGCTATCTTAAGCTTACTTAAAGTATACTATAGCTATACTAATAATAACGTAATTAGTAGCTATTTAGGTAAATATAAATAAGCTAAATACTACCTAAGTTATACTTAATTTCTAGCGTAAAATAGACTTATATATACTTTACTATTAATAGAAGCCTTTAATAGCTTTTTAAGATTTAGCTAATTTAGTAATTAAAGAAGGCTATATACTAAATTTAAAAAAAAGCGTTCCTTAAGTAATAGTTAAGAAAAAAACCTAAGAAACTTAGCCTATATAGAAAACTATAATACAGCTAGTATAGTACCTTTATATAGTAGGTAGTAGCTTAAGCTTATCTAATAATTTAGACGTTAATAATATATTTAGGCAAGTTTCTAATTTTAAAATAAGTAAAGAATTACCTAATAAACTTACATAATTATTATCTACCTATAAATTACTATAAATTAGCAATAATATAGCTATTATATAAATTTATATAGTAGAGTACATTTTATTAAGTAAAATTATTAAGATAATAATTATTATTAAGCTAGGAGGGCTGTGCTCTGCACAGCTAAGTTCTTGAACTTTTTCAACGAAACCAGAAGGGGCCGAGTATCAGTCGAGGCTCAGTCGGTCGTTCGACTCGGATTCTCGGAAGTCTTGGCACTTCCGAACCAATGTTCATGACGCGTCACGCGGATATCAGAACACGGCTCTGTGTAGCTGCCCTCACTTCACTCTTCTTCTCCGTTTTTTCCCCCGGTAACCGATTGTAATGTCTAGTTTCACTTCTCACGTGTTGGCGTCCTAATATCCAGAGGCTTTGGTGCAAGTCTTGAATGCAACATCCTAGTGCTAGACGCTCACCAACCTTATGGCTGCTGTCTTCTCCTCTCTCGTACGACCGGCGAAACCCCGACGTGCTTCGTCAAGCAAAGACCAGGCGACAAGCTCTCCCCCATCTTTCAGTCGGGTCGACAGCGACGAACCCGATCTTCGCGACCTCAATGTCTCTCTCCAGGCCCTAACCGACATCTTTCCAGATGTACAACCAGAGGTCTTCCGTGAGATGCTGTCCTCGTTTAGTGAGGACAGCAGGCTGCAGGTCATAACGGAGACGCTGCTGAAGCATGGGCACAAGTGGGTGCGGGGCCGGTACAGGATGCCCGCCGAGCAGGAAGAGCAGCGGGAGACGGCGCAGAAGTACAAGTACCGGAAGGTTGATGATCCGAAAGATACACGGGGCGTACCACTCGCACTCGAGGACAAGTTCCGCTCCAAGCGGTACAAGGATGCGGCAAAGGAGGCGTTGTACCAGGAGTTCAAAGGCCTAAGCCATTCCACAGTCAAGGCGGTGCTGGCTGAATATAACTGGAGCTATACGCAGGCAAGACCTACACTGCTGGGACTTTCAAGTAAGAGTTGGAGGTCCAGCATCACAAACTTCCTGATGCGGCGAAAGGCACCGAGCACAAAAGACCACCCACTGCTTGTATGGACACCCGCCGATCTAAAGTCATACCGTCGAAGAACACCGCTGCTCCTCAAGACCAAATGCGATGAGCTGAACAAGGAGCTGTACGAGAGTCTTGTTGTGCCGGAGCTGGAGAAACAACGCCAAGAGCAGATGCAGCAGGACTTTGAGCTGGCGTTGAAGTGCAACGAGGAGCAGGCTGAAGAGGATGGCGAGATGTACGACTGCGAATGCTGTTTCATTCCAAACACGCTCCAGCAGATGTCAACGTGCGACATCGACGGGCACTACATCTGCTTCCGCTGCATACGACATGCCATCAACGCGGCGCTGTACGACCAAGGTTGGGCGCGCAACATCGACACGGAGCTCTGCACGTTGAAATGCATAGCCCCTGTGGCTGACGGTCTGGACAACTGCTCAGGATGTCTCCCACTCAGCTTTGTCAAGCGCGCACTCTTAGAGGAGCAAGACGGCGCAGACAACTTCACAAAACTCAACGAGCGATTCGCGAGCGACGCACTCATAAAGTCCCAACTCCCCCTCGTCCGCTGCCCCTTCTGCCCCTACGCCGAACTCGACGACCTAGCCCTCCCCTGCACAAACCTCTTCGCAAACCTCCGCCTCAAGCCCCGCCCCATAATCTACGCCTCCCTAGCCTTCGTCCCCTTCCTCGAACTACTCTGCCACAAAGCCACGCAAGCCTTCTTCTTCGCCGCAATCTTCCTCTACACCACCCTCGCCATCCTCTTCCGCTTCCCCATCCTCTCCCCCTTCCAATCCGCCCTCCGCCGCATCCACCTCAAACGCCGCGGCCTGCGCTTCCAATGCCTCTCCCCGACGTGCACACGTACCTCCTGCCTCGCCTGCGCAGCCCCCTGGCACGACCCACACACCTGCTTCTCCAGCCAGCTCACCTCGCTGCGCCTGACGCTCGAGCGCGCCACCACCGACGCAGTAAAGCGCACCTGTCCGCAGTGCAACCTCGGCTTCGTCAAAGCCGAGGGCTGCAACAAGCTCGTGTGTCTGTGCGGGTATTCCATGTGCTATGTTTGTCGCCAGGGGCTGGCTGAGGAGGGGTACCAGCATTTCTGCCAGCATTTTCGTGAGCGCCCTGGTGAAGTGTGTCGCGAGTGTAGGAAGTGCGATTTGTATCGCGTTGAGGATGAGGAGAGGGTGTTGCGGAGGGCGAAGGAGAGCGCGGAGGCGGAGTGGTGGGAGGGTCAGGGTGAGGGCGCGGGGGTGGGGTTGAAGGTTGAGGTTGGGAAGGGGAGGGGTGGTGGGAAGTGGAGGGATTGGGAGGGGTGGGTTGAGCGGGTGCTTGATTCTGTGCTGGTCTGATGGGATTGATTACTTGGGTTTTCGGGCGTTTTGGTTGGGATGGGATGGGGTTGGAGTTGGGATTGGGAATGCGAGGATAAGATGATATACCCCCCGACTCGCAGCACTCTGCTTACTCTATATTTACGCTGTTGTTATTCTACTCAATTCTTCATTGACGGTACCTGATTCACTTCAAACAATGGTTGTAGATTGAGATTCAGATTCAGATTCAGATTCTTGTGCAAAGCAATCTACCATATCCAACACCAACACCAACACCATCCCATCCCACCATATCAAACCCAAAAGAAAAGCGCAAAATTGTAGCCTTGCCTTGCCGTTGCCAGGCCGGTAGTACGGGTATAACCAAGCACGCCCTCGCAAAAAACGCCAAAAGCCCTCGTTACGAAAAAGATTATAAACACCACGTGTCTGAGTTTCGTGTGTACCAAAAAAAGAAGACTAAAAGAAAAGAAAAGAAAAGAAACAGATGGGAAGATATCCGGACAAAAGGGGGGCAAAGAAACAACTGAAGCATTGCACACAAGCAAGCAAGCCTCAAGAAAACATAAAAGCGCCACTACTCGGGCGCTCAAAGTCCATATCCTCATCATCAAGATCGATATCGATTTTACTGCCCAGCGCCTCCCTCGCCTCGCGCAGCATGGCGCTCATCTGGCTGCTCATCCTGCGCATTCTCGCATCGTCCTCGAGTTCCTCCTGTCTGACCTTGCTGATCAAGCGCTGGCTCTCGACGGGCAGGGGGCTCTTCGGCTTGATATCGATGGTGGGAGGCGAGGAGCCGAGGCTGAGACGGCTGTGGGCGCGCTGTCTGATGTCTGCTGTCTTGGGGGATGCGTGGAAGGGCTTGCGGTCTATGGTTGAGCGGCGGGAGACGGGGATGAGGGAGGGGCGTTTGGAGACTGTGCTGGGGCGGGACGTCGGGCGGGGGATTTGCGAGGGCGTGTGCGAGGCGCTGGGGAGGCGGCGTTCGGCGACGCGCGGTGTGGAGGGGCGGGACTCGGTGTCGCCGTTGGGGTTCACGACGACCCATGTGTCGCCTGTTCGGAGGCGTTTGATTGTCCGCGGGCGTTCGTTGTCGAGGGAGTCTACGGATTGGACGCCGTAGTTGTCGTTGTAGGAGGGTGTGGGGGTGGGTTGCTGGACTGGGGTGGCTGTCTGGTGGAGAGACGGGTCGTCGTGGAGCCCTAGTTTCGCGGCGATCTCGTCCTGTGCGTCGAAGCCGTACCGCTGTCCGCCTCCTGCTTGGAATCCGCGGAAAGGTACGGTGACGAATTGGAAGAGCTTGCCGGCCACGCCTCCAAAGATGCTCATGAGCGAGTTGACCATGCCCCCATTGGCTGTTGACATGTCATCGTCGTCGTCGTCGATAACGACACGCTGATTCGGCATGCCGGCCTGAGGCGTAGGTGGCACCGACCACATATCGCGCTGCTTCTGGAGTTGGAAGTAGTCGTCGTAGTCTCCAGCCTGACGGGAGAATCTGTCCGTCCCTCCTACGTCACCCCCAGCGAGCTCGTAGCGGTCGTGGGCAAGCGGAGGAGGGCTCTTTGTGGTGAAGCGAGCGTCGTAGTCGCCCCAGAGGTGTGTTGTAAAGGAGTGTGTAGCGGACGGGTCGCCATAGCGAGAGTGAGAACGCTTGCGGGTCTCGTGGCTATCCGAGTCGATCACCTGGCGCCCCGTGGTTTCAGGCGCAAACGAGAAGCGACGGACTTGGTCCAGATAGTCCCGCGGATGGGACGGCGACGAAGAATACAATCCAGGCATGTCGGATGGATACCGAGTTGTAGTCGTTGTGCGGAGCGGAGCGTCTGGCTGCTCAGGGATACCCTCAGGAAAAGCACAGTGATGGGCTAGCGAATGGAGGAGTACAAGTGATGTCACGGCATTCGCCAGCTGAAACCTGAGGCTTCAGCGAGCTTTCAGAGTTCCCAAGCGTCCAACAAGGGGGCTAGAAATGCATGCTGGAGCGTCGGGCAGTTTAATTGCACGAGAGTGGAGACGCGGAAGTGACGTCCCCTGTAACCGCACCGCTGTGTTTAGTGTCACGGAACCTGGGGCAGCCAATCACCACGTCTCAACATCAATTACACGTTTGGACATGCATCCAAGACTCCAACTCACTGTACGTCAAGAGGCTAAATTCAGCAACCCCGCTTTAAAGACAGAGTCTACGAGCGTACAACACCACCCAAAGCCGCTCCCAATCCGGGTATCCACACGAACCTGAAACGCCAGTCCAACACCCCTTTTTAAGGCTTCTACGCCCGTGCAATCCACCCGCTATGCACGAAAAAATCAAACAGCTGCGTCGACTTGTTTGCGTCAATCTTGCAGATTTCTCTCGCAGTCTTCTTCTTCAGACTACCGCTGTTGTTAAGCGCCGCACGAACTACCATCTCTTTAAGGGCCAGGTAGGGCTTTGGCATGATGCGGAGCACGCTGCACAGCTCGCGCTCTTCTTTCGTTAGCAACTGGAGATCGGCCGCTGATTCCTTCCCAAACTTCAGTGGTACAGTGTTGGGTAATTGCTTGGGAACAAACTTTGTCTTCGAGTGTTGTGGTGTTGGGACGCCGTTTGTGCCGTTGGGTGCACCATCTGGCGGTGGTGTGGTGAGACCACTCTTTTCCTTGATGTGCAGAGGTAGGTCAGAGCTCAGCAGAGCCGTTGCTGCCGACGGTTGCTCGAATGGTGGAATAGGTTTGCCAATCCGACTAGAGGCTAGACGATCGAACTGACCAAGTGGAGGAGCCCTCGACTGGCGCTGCTGCTTCTCTGATTCGTATTTCTCGCCAGCTCGCAGATTCGTGATTTGCATATTTCTCCACTCTTGCAACTGGGATATGGCTTGCCGCAGATTGTGCTCGTATTCGAGACCCTTGCAGAACGTGTCGAAGTCTTCATGCTGCATCATTCTGGCGAAGGGCTTCGCCTTGTTAAGGAGATCCTTTTCTTCTTTCGTCTTCTTCTTGTCGGCTAGTTGGTTCTTCCGATATTCAAGGAGTTGATGCTCGAATATAATCTTCTTTCGCTCCACACGAGCGTCCAACCGCGAGTTGTAAATTTCCATGATGGTCATCTTCAGTTCCATTTCCGGTTCCACCTCCTTGGTCCGCGGGTTGATGCCATCGCCAGGATCAAACTGCATGTGCTGAACAGCCTCCTCTGCCTCGTTGAAATATTCCGTCTCGAACTCCAGTCGCCCTGGCATGTATCCTTGGACTTCATGACAGGAGGGAACACTGGCTGTGGGCTTCTGTTTCGGTGTTGCGGGCTCTGCCTTTGCGGCAGCTTCCTTCCTCTTCTCAATCCGTTGCTTCTTACGGGATTGGAACTGTTCCCGGGGAATTCGGTCGCTCAGGCCGGTGTCGTCCGGACTACAATGCTTCGGCAGAGGAAACCTGGAGCTGTTGACGTACGTGTCGATGTAGTGGTCTCGAACCTCGTCCCTTTCCCTGAAGCCGCCAATGTGGTCTGCAATGTCTGCCCATGACCCCAGACCATATGTCTCTGCGCCCTCTAGCAGGGCAAGCTCTTCATCCGCGCCCCAGTCTTCGGTGTATATGGGGATAGAATGCTGTTCTATGACCTTGAATGGATGTGTAGCAGGGTTGTGGTCTCGCGAGCACTTGCCGTCGGAGAAACACGGTACGCAGAGGTCATACTCGTGGCAGGTGTCATTGGCGCAGCGTATGCGGACCTAGGATTATATCAATGCGTTGTTTTGATTGATATGCACGCGCGGATCCTACCGTTGATGTGATGTCAGACGAACACACGTCGCAGATGTACTTGATGCCGCCCTCGGTGCCCCGCGTGCCCGTCTTCTTCTTGATGACACCCATGATGGCCCTCTATGCGCGTGCAGGCGGTGAAAGAGGCTCGTCACGCGACGCGGAGCAAACAATTTGGGCTGTGCAGGCAAACAACGGTTCGTGCAGATGCGAGAGCCCAACTGAGTCAAGCAGGGGGGGACAGCGCTCTAGGCGAGAGAGGCTATGTGGTTGAGTGTCTCCTAACGCTGTGGTTGTGTGTGACTCTAAGGTCGTGGTCGAGGTGCAGGTCGCGATGGACGGAAGGCGCAGCCGAGGCGTTCAAGGCAGGAGCGATACTGTGGGCTGTCGCGTCCAACGTGCATCACCAGCATCGGCAGCCCAGCACAGCACCTAGGTATTCTCCCCTGAGCCTCAAACGCTGGACACGGGGCGTGGCAGGTTGGCGTTGCTTCTGCGGGAGCCAGCAATGCGCCGAGTGCACAGGGTTAGGTCGTCCCCTGTATGGACTACCCCTCAAATGAACGAATGAACAAATGAACGCGATACAAACCGTGCGCGCTGAGCATTCGCATTGAACGTCGCCTCGCCACTAACCGTCTGCGCTCCTATACCCTCTCCGTCCCTCCTTTGCTCTCCTGCCACCTCGTCCGACGGCCGCGCTCCCACCGCTCCCCGCACTCGCCATACACCGCCGCGCTCCTGACCGCCCACCTGCCCATTCCCCTACACCTGGACCGCCTGCATCCCACGACCGTCGAGCCGTCGCAGTCGCAGCCATGTCTTGGAAGCTTACCAAGAGTGCGTCTACCCGCCCGTGGCCTGCTGCTTACGCTAACCCGCCGTGCAGAGCTCAAGGAGACGCATCTCGCGCCGCTGGCGAACACATTCAGCCGCTCGTCGTCGCAGTCCACAATAGTCAACGACGCCAAGTCGTCCAGCTCCGCGAGCAGCGGCACTACCCTCACAGACGCGAAAGACGCCAATGGCATCGGTACGCTTCCTGCTAGCCCCCCGTCGACTACTATTGACTCTTGCAGCCGCCTCAGAAGCGAACGCAGCCCCGCCTCCACCGCCTCTGCGACCCGGTATCCTGATCGTCACGCTGCATGAAGGCAAGGGCTTCTCTCTGCCGCCCGGCGCTGAAGCGGCTTTCAACGCTCCCGGCGGACACCACCAGGGTTCTCTCTCACAGGGTGGCGGACTCTCGGTCGCAGGATCAGTACGGCCGGGCTCGTCATCGCGAAACCCTGGTGTGGGTTCCTACACCGCCCGACCGCAGTCCGCCGCTGGCAGCATCAACGCCGCGCCCACCATCCACGGTCGTTACTCCTCGAAACACCTCCCCTATGCCTTGTGCGACTTCGACAAGCAGCAGGTCTTCATTAATGCCGTGTCCGGTACACCCGAGAGCCCCATGTGGGCAGGCGGCAACACCCAATACAAGTTTGATGTGTCTCGTACCACCGACCTTACCGTCTCGCTTTACATTCGCAACCCCAATGCGCCTCTCAACGCTGGCCGAAACGAGGACATTTTCATTGGAACGCTCAAGATTAGCCCCCGGTTCGAGGAAGCGCAGGTGCTCGACGACAAGACCGGCAAGAAGTCAGAGAAGACTGGCGCTGGCCAGACTGGTGCTGAGTGGGTCACTGTGCAATTCGGCACTGGTGAAATGAGAATTGGCGTCAACTTTGTGGAGAACCGTCAAGACCGCCTTGCCATTGACGATTTTGACCTTCTCAAGGTAGTCGGCAAGGGCAGCTTTGGAAAAGTCATGCAGGTGCAGTAGGTGTATTCTCTCTTTAGGGTCGAAACACCAACGCTAACAATCTATAGGAAGAAGGACACACACCGAATCTACGCGCTCAAGACCATCCGTAAAGCCCACATCATCTCCCGTTCTGAGGTTGCGCATACCCTTGCTGAGCGATCCGTACTCGCTCAGATCAACAACCCGTTCATCGTGCCTCTCAAGTTCTCTTTCCAGTCGCCCGAGAAGCTCTACTTGGTCCTGGCTTTTGTCAACGGCGGCGAACTTTTCCACCATCTGCAGAAGGAGCAGCGTTTTGACATCAACCGCGCGCGCTTCTACGCGGCAGAGCTGCTTTGCGCGCTCGAGTGCTTGCACGGATTCAACGTCATTTACCGTGATTTGAAGCCCGAGAACATTCTGCTTGACTACACTGGACATATCGCTCTTTGCGATTTCGGTCTCTGCAAGCTGGACATGAAGGACGAGGATCGGACCAACAGTAAGTTGAACATTATCTTCTTTGCGTGAGCCATTGCTGATGCGCTTCTAGCTTTCTGTGGAACACCGGAATACCTTGCTCCTGAACTTCTTACCGGCGGCGGATACACAAAGTCTGTCGATTGGTGGACACTGGGTGTTCTCCTCTACGAGATGTTGACTGGTCTGCCGCCTTTCTACGACGAGAACACGAACGACATGTACCGCAAGATTCTCACTGAGCCACTGCACTTCCCTGGCCCAGAGATTGTTCCACCTGCTGCGCGAGACCTCCTGACTCGTCTGTTGGACCGCAACGCCGACAAGCGACTTGGAGCCAAGGGTGCAGCTGAGATCAAGGCACACTACTTCTTCCACAGCATTGACTGGCGAAAGTTGCTCGAGAGGAAGTACGAGCCCAGCTTCAAGCCTAGCGTGGTACGTATAGTTTGTTTGATCGATAAAACGCTTGACGCTGATTGTTACCCAGGTTGACGCCAAGGATACTGCCAACTTTGACCGCGAATTCACATCTGAAGCTCCCACTGACTCGTTCGTGGACGGCCCGATGCTGTCTCAGACGATGCAGCAGCAATTCGCCGGTTGGTCATACAATCGCCCAGTTGCTGGTCTCGGTGATGCTGGAGGTTCCGTAAAGGACCCTTCCTTTGAGGACGTGAACCAAAGATAAGGTGCTTTGTACTCCAGCCTCGGAAACTGCCTTGCATCGGGCGCTTTTCCGGAACTCGGTCGACGCGCCGAGTGTTCGCGTAGTTCTTAGGCCGGCGCCAACTCAGCCTCAGTTGCTGTCGGCTTCTGGATGCATAGATAGATGATTTTGTGATTGGTGGGATCTCCCAGCGCTTTTTGTTCCTTTGGACGGGTTCTAGCAACGGCATCGGCGCATGGGGCAGCATTTGTGCGAGGGAAGTCCGAGTTAGGCAAATCAAGACGATATCCCAAGTAAGAAAATTTCCGAGGTGCATGGGACTGAAAGTGAGACATGAACGCGACGGTGGTCAAAGCCTCACCTGAGCATTAGTGAGCAGATGTCGTGCTTCGCAAGCCAATTGAAGTTCTAGATGTCACTCGTGGCGGGACATGCCCCTCCACTTCTATCAGAGCTCTGACGCAACCTAGTGGGGTCCTGGCCGCCGCGCCTTCCACTTTCTTCTACAACATCTCCGCCAGACTAACAACTTCATATCTACTCAAGCTCACTTGAATCGATTGCAATCCGCTCTCGATATCTCTCTCATCTCCAATTGACCAACTTCAACTGTACGCATCCTCGTCACACCAAACCTCTTCATCATACTAACTGCACAAGCTCTATAGCACAACATGCCCGGCTTCGCGCAGGCGTCTGACCTCAATGCCTGGTCGGCTCTCCAGGACCACCACGAGAAGCTCGGAAAGGACATCGTCTTGAAAGAGTACTTCAAGAAGGACCCCAAGGTGAGGATGGAAGGTTTGATGAGAAACGCACAACTAAGCCATTGCAGCGATTCGAGAAGTTCAGCCGTACCTTCAAGAACGACGCGGAAGACTCAGAAATCCTGTTCGATTTCTCCAAGAACTTCATCACCGATGACACACTGAAGCTCCTAGTTGAGCTGGCCAAGGAGGCTGGTCTCGAGAAGCTTCGCGATGACATGTTCGCCGGCGAGAAGATCAACTTCACCGAGGACCGTGCTGTCTACCATGTCGCTCTCCGCAACACTTCGAACAAGAAGATGGAGGTCGCTGGCAAGAGCGTCGTCGAGGGCGTCGACGACGTGCTGGACCACATGAAGGAGTTCACCGAGCAGGTGCGCAGCGGCGAGTGGAAGGGCTACACCGGCAAGAAGATTGACACTATCATCAACATCGGTATTGGTGGTTCCGATCTGTACGTGTTCATTTCACTCGTCTTGAAGAAGATGCTTACTGATACCCTGTAGTGGCCCAGTCATGGTCTCCGAGGCTCTCAAGCCTTACTCCGACCGCAGCCTCAAGATCCACTTCGTCTCCAACATCGACGGAACCCACATCGCCGAGGCGCTGAAGGACTCCAACCCCGAGACTTCTCTCTTCCTCATTGCCTCCAAGACCTTCACCACAGCTGAGACATGCACCAACGCCAACACTGCGAAGACATGGTTCTTGAAGAGCGCCAAGGAGGAGGACATCGCCAAGCACTTTGTGGCTCTGTCGACCAACGAGGCCGAAGTCACCAAGTTTGGTATTGACAAGAAGAACATGTTCGGTTTCTCCGACTGGGTTGGTGGACGTTACAGCGTCTGGAGTGCCATTGGTTTGAGCGTTGCTCTTTACATTGGCTTCGAGAACTTCCACCAGTTCCTGGCTGGTGCACACTCCATGGACAAGCACTTCCAGGAGACTCCTCTGGAGCAGAACATTCCCGTTCTTGGTGGTCTGCTTAGCGTGTGGTATTCGGACTTCTTCGGTGCCCAGACACACCTTGTTTCGCCGTAAGTTGGCCATCTGAGTTTGTGAACGTGTCTAACTTTCTACCAGCTTCGACCAGTACCTCCACAGGTTCCCTGCTTACCTCCAGCAACTGTCTATGGAGTCGAACGGAAAGGCCATCACTCGCAGCGGCGACTACGTAAAGTACACCACCGGCCCAATCCTCTTCGGCGAGCCGGCCACCAACGCACAGCACTCTTTCTACCAGCTGCTCCACCAGGGAACCAAGCTGATCCCCACCGACTTCATCATGGCTGCCCAGAGCCACAACCCAGTTGACAACAACAAGCACCAGAAGTGAGTTTAGCTGTCGTCATGTTCAAGAAACCAACTGACCCATTTAGGATGCTTGCTTCCAACTTCTTCGCACAAGCCGAGGCCCTCATGGTCGGCAAGACGCCTGATGAGGTCAAGGCTGAGGGTGCTCCCGACAACCTTGTTTCCCACAAGACCTTCTTGGGCAACCGACCTACGACATCCATCTTGGCCGACAAGATCACGCCCGCCACTCTTGGTGCGCTGATTGTCTACTACGAGCACCTCACCTTCACCGAGGGCGCCATCTGGAACATCAACAGCTTCGACCAGTGGGGTGTGGAGTTGGGCAAGTCCCTGGCCAAGAAGATCCAGGCTGAGCTTGACGACAGTGCCGAGTCTACGTCGCACGATGCCAGCACAAGCGGCCTCATCAACGCATTCAAGAAGAAGGCGTCTTTGTAGATGATGAAAATGGCGTGCGAGAGCGACAGCTGTAATGGCTGATGAATTGACGACTTTGGAAAATGAACTATATCATAAGGATCCTGAATGAGATGGACAATTGAATCATACATCAACGTGTTGATTGTGCCTGTGATTATGAAGTTGACGTCTAAATCGTAGCTACGACTGTTCATCCACCACACCCCTTCAATCCTTCTTCCCAATCCCACCACCATACCCATATCCCCCACTCAGTCCATACCCACTCCCCCGTCCATTCGCAACCGGCAGCCCATACCCCACACTCCCCCCTCCCCCACCACCACCAAACCTCGCCCCCCCACCATTCATCCTATCCGTCGCATACCGCTTCAACCGTCTCGGCAGCTCCACGCCCCTAAAATACGCCACACAAATCGCCGCACTAGCCCCAGCACTCAGTATGCAGTAAATAAACGTACTCGTATAAACATGCCCGCCATACCCCGCCCACCCCCTCGGCAACGTCGTGCTCGGATACCACCTCACGCTAAAACTCAGCGGCAGCGGGTCCCCAATCGTGATCTTCGTGCTGCGCGTGTGCGCCGCTACGCTGTAGGCTGTTGCTGCGTCGACGGCGCCTGGGGTGGTCCCCGCGTGGAGGAGCAGGTTTAGGTTGTTTCCTACGTGCAGGTGCGAGAGTTGGAGGGTTCCCGCGAGCGCGATTATCAACGGGGTGTAGAGCGTTGAGGAGGTTCCTAGGGCGCCTTCTTGGGAGTGCTCGTCCGTTAGTTGGGTTGAGAGGAGAGCCGAGGCGGGGAGGGGGCGTGAGGGGATCCGGCAGGATAGCGGGGCGTCGTTGTGGATGTAGAATTCTAGGACTAGGCGGGGGTTAGTGGGTTGGTTGGGGTGGGGATATAAGGGGGGGGATGGTACGGTGGAAGAACTCATCCGTGACAAAGTCGAGTGTGCAGTTTATGTCTTTTTCTACGCCGAAGAAGAGTTCTAGGGGGCGGTTTGTTTCGTTGCAGGTTGGGAAGGGTATGTATTGGAGATGCCCGTTTATATCTGTGATCTGTTTTTTTACCTGTTAGCACGCGTGTCTTCTCCCTTTCTAACCCCCCTTACGCGCCGTGTGCTATGCTATGCAATGCAACAACCGCGTAAAACAAGACGTACATGTTCCCCCGTATCTCTGCACGCGCCGTCAGCCTGCCATCCATCCATATACTTTTTCGCTAAAATGTAGACTCACATCGTCCTGTTCAAGCACGACACGGGAATCGGTTCCCCGGGATTATACCCCCGCGCGTTGTCGTCGGCGCCGTGGAGCGGGACCTGGCCCTGGCTGCTGCTGCTGAGCGCGGTTGCGCAGAGGGAGGACAGGGCTAGGAGGTGCCAGGGGGAAGGGGCGCGGTGGAGGAGGTGCATTGTGGGCGGTGTGTGCGTGTGCGCGGGTATTAATGTGGGTTAATGATTGAGTGGGTGGGTGGTTTTGGGGAGGCTATGGTGTGGACATTGTTGTGTGGGATTTGGTTGTGATGGGATGGGCTGGGATGGGGGATGCGCGGAGATCTGGCGCGGTTGGCTTGAGTCGTGTGTGCCAAGCGTTGGTTCCGCGGTCGGTGGGTGGAGAGGATTGTGTGGATTGGATTGGATTGGATTGGAGTGTATGGTATGGAGAAGGAAGAATAGTGTGTTCTCTTTGATCTGGTGTGGGTATTCCAACATGCAAAGCTGGATTGTATTTCTATATTGTACACATATACACATGAATACATTCAGAATCGTACATTCCATGTCGACGTCCGATCATATCTACAGTTCAATTCACACTTCAATCCTCCATGTCTCGATACACCCAGTCAGATGTTTACCATCCCTTCCTGGTCAGCTCACTCACCCTTGCGGTGACGGCCACAAAGCCCTTCTTGAACCTCGCCCTCCACCTCTCACTCAACAACCGCTTCCTCTTCAACCCCCCGCGCTCGTGGAACTTCTGCTTGGAGACGTCCTTCCTGATGTGATTCCTGGCCACCAAACTCCCCAGCATGCCAATCCCCCGCACAATGTCTCTCCCACGACTCGCATCCAAGTCGACGGTCCTCCCGTACGTGGGGTTCAGACGCGGGTAGTTGGCAAACGTCTCCTCCTGCTGCTGGGCAAGCGATGTGTCGACGGGCTTGTTGGCCAGGGTGGGGTTGGCCAGCTCGTCGGGCATAGTCATGTCATCGAAGTTTAGGCCGGGGGGCCTGCGGGAGCGGCCGCGGCCCGGCGAGCTGAACTCGCTGCCGAAGATGTGCGAGGCGCGGGCGGCGCGGAGTTGATCGCTGGAGGCTGTCTGCGGGGGGCGGGGGCGGGTATCAGGCAGGCCTGAGAAGAGCGAGTCGATTGCTTGCGAGGTTTCGGCGTTGGAGGCACGGCGGGGGCGTCGTGGAGCGTCATCGTCGGCCTCTTGCTCTTGCACTTTGAGGGCAGGCTGGGGGGCGGGCGGCCTGGATGTGTTGGAGAGGCTGCGGGCTGTCCATGACGGGGCAATGGTCTGGCGTGGTGTCGAGATGGCCCGGCGTGGTAGTGGTGAGATGCGGGCCAGGGTGGAGGGGCGGAGCAGCAGCTCGCCGAGGCAGCGGGAGCCCATTGTTGCGAGTGAAGCAGCGTGCTATGTCATGCGTGTCTGGCTGGTGGTGCAGTGGGAGCCGTGGGGTGGAGCCGTGGAGCCGTGAAGCCGTGGTTTTGCCCAAGTCCAAGTCCCTCACGTCGCGACTGCCAATTTTGTCGGCCGCGTGGTCCGAGCGCTAAATCTCGTCCAAAGCTCCTGCCTGTCGACGTCCACACGCGACATCAGCCGTCTTTGCATTTGTGTTTTCCCCAGTCGACTCCCACACGCGACTGAAGTTCTGGCCAACATGTACAACTATCCAGGTGCGTCCCTCGAGCTTTGCGACTCGTTCCCAGCTAACGCGCCCAGGTGCTCCAGGGTACAATCGCCCGCCGGGCTTTGCAGGCGCGCCGCCGGGCATGGCGCCGCCAGGAATGGGTCAGTACGAGTGTCTCAGGATACACGGCTGCATCACGCGAATCTGCAGACTAACAAGCTCTCACAGGAGCCCCAGGCAGCGCCGCAGCTCCCCCCGGTGTAGCTCCCCCAGGCGTCGCCCTGAACCAAGGCCCGCCACAACTCGGAGGCCCGCGCCCTCTGCCGCCCAACTGGCAAGCGCCCGCCAACATGCCCAACTTCAACTTCAATGCGCCCGTCATCCGTCTGGGAACCCAGTCTGGGCGCGGTGGAGCTTCCGACAGCCCAGTGGGACGAAAGGACACGGCTATGCCTGCTCGTCGAGGTCTGGGCATGGACCGCGACGGCGACCGTAGGGATGGTCCTGCGCAGGTCATCCCACCCTCGCGCGAAGAGATCGCTCGTACCATCTTCGTCGGCAACATCCCAGACGGCGTAGGGGGCGACGATGGCATGGAGCGCATTCTGGAGACGGCAGGGAAGTTGGTGCGCTGGACAAGGGCCACCGACGCCAACAACAAGCCCCAGACGTTTGGCTTTGCCGAGTTTGCAGACGCGCAGAGCTTGGAGACGGCCGCCGACATCTTCAAGGACGTGCGCGTTCCTACCAAGCGCCAGAAACCAGGACACGTCAAGGGTGAGGATGACGAGGAAGAGGTCGAGACAACCAAACTGCAGGTCATGGTGGACGATGCCTCGATCAAATACGCAGAGGAGTGGAGCAAGACGCGCAACGAGGACGAGAACACCGTTCAGTTTCGACTCGATACTGCAAAGGAAGCCCTGTCTCAAGTCCTCGCAAGCTTCTTCAGCCCGCCCAACATGCCGCAGATGGAGTACGGAGGCGACACAATGATGCAGGATGCGCCAGTACACGACGGGGATGTTGAAGTCGCTTTCGTCAACCTTACAGGAGCCGACGACGAGCTTGCAGACATCCCGGTTGAAATGCGCGAGATAGTCGCTGCCGAGATCGCTGCCTTCCGCGACCGCTCCAACCAACGCGATCGAGAACGCCTTCGCCGGGAAGAGGAACTGGAAGCCGAGGAACGTCGTCGGAGCGGCAGGCGCGCGTCCCCCCCTCCTTCAGCGCCGACTGGGCCTGGAGGCGCCAATGGAGTTCCGCTTGGGCCCAAAGCGGATCGCGGCGTGCAAGGAGCTCCCAGTGGACCTAAAGGGTCTCAGTTCCCCCGCGACTACCAAGGAGGCGTCAACTTCATCAACGGAGGAGCAATCAACAACGGCGTCTACATCAACCGCGATGACGACGACGACTCGGCCAGTGACTCAGAAATCGAACGCCGTCGCAAGAAGAAGCGAGACGATGAGTTTGAGGAGGCCTACAGAAAACAACTCGCTCGATGGACAAAGCACGAGGAACGAACCATGGGCTCGCTGGACCGCACCAGTGCTCACGTAAAAGATGTAGAAGCCAAACAGCAAGCAGTCCGCGACGCACAGGCTAAGCAGCTTAAAGAGTTTGACGACGACAACGAGGCAACTGGACGACGTCATCTGTACTACCGCGATCACGGCGAATACATGCGTGAGCGCGAGAAGGTGCGCGAGCGGGAATCAAGGGAAGATGGCATCGACCGTGCCCAGGAACAGCGCGAGTTGGCCTCCCAGCAGAAGCAGCGAGATCATGCCCGCGGAGAGGCCGACGCCTTCCTCGACCAGCAAGCCGACGAGCTCATGCGCGTCCAGGAACAACGCGAGCCACAGCACTTCAAAATCTCCCTGGGCGCCGCTGCAAAGAAGCTCGAGCAAACTGCCGCCCCCCGCCGCACAGCCGCCGACGTCGAAAACCTACTCGAAGACGAAGAAATCACCGACCAGCCCGGCTCCAAGAAGCGCACCCTCATTCCCATCAACTTCGACGCCGCTGTCCGTGCCAACCTCACACAAGAAGAGATCGAGGAAGCGCAGAGACAGCTTGCTCGCGATATTCCAAACGACACGGCGGGGCTCTGGAGCTGGAAAATCTCCTGGGAGCATTTGCCCGAGAAGAATATTGACAAGGACATCAAAGACTGGGCCGCCAACAAGGTTCTCGAGATTATGGGTTTGCAGGAGGACATGCTTGTCGATGCTATAGTGGATCATTTGAAGAACCATGGGGGTCCCGAGGCGTTGGTGGCCAATTTGGAAGTGGTGAGTGCTTTTATTGCCTATATGGAGACGGGATATTATGCTGACACTAATGACAGGCCCTCGACGACGAAGCGGAGTCTCTGGTCAAGAAGCTGTGGCGTATGGTCATATACTACAGTGAGACGGAGAAGAGGGGTATCAAGTGAGTGTCTTAATGATTTGGAGCAGCAGGGCGAAGAGTTGGATGCGTGTTCACGCTTGGTCCCGAGTCATCTTTCAGCGCGGTATGGTGAATCCGACGGCGGACAAACCAAAAAAGGCTACGGGTGCGCTTCGAGATCACCGGCGCGTGCTCCACGTCGGCGAATGTACATAGTAAAAGGACGCACTGGAGAGCCGCCTCGAGGCCTGTTCCTCCGACTACCGTTCATGTACCAGTTCGCACTCTCCCCTTCCCATTCCTCCAAGGAGTATTTCTTCCACATTCCGCGGCCCTCCCACTGGGTCGTCCAACCCAAGCTTTCCGGCCGGGAACGAAGCTTTCAGAGCCTCACATGCATCCTAGCTGCACTGCATTGTTGACTTGACTTGCCCTGCAGACACGGCACACGTGCCCCGTTCATGAACGCTGCCGGCACCCGCTCGGATTGGGGGTTCCAGCTGCCCCGACGTTTCTCCACGGGTGTGCATTTCTCCACCTATCACGACGGCCATGGTGGGGGCGCTCGGAGCGGCTGGTCAGGGATGTGCCTCCCACGCGTCGCAACGCGTTGCGGGGTGGGGTTTTTCCCTTGAGTACAGATGGCTGTATATAACGTCTAGACCCCGCTGGTGGGATTGCTGTATATAACACGTTGCGTCTGACTGCTTTGACCTTCCTTCCTACCTCTTTCTTCCTTTTGACGAGAGTTGATTCCCCAATTCTAAACTTCAGCCTTCATCTTGCTTCTGCGGGGTAGCTTTCGGAATCTCGGAATCACAAACGACACATCACATTGCACGACAGACGGCAAGATGGTGACTATTACGCACACTGAGACGAAGGATGTTCGGTTCCCGGTATGTTGCATTGAACGGAGTGGTCGTGGTTGGTGGTCTGAGGCATCTTGACTAACGTGAATAGACATCTCTCGACAAGACGGGTTCCGATGCCATGAATGCGGCGGGTGACTACTCATCTGCATACTGCATTCTTCACACAGACTCCGAGTTCAAGGGTCACGGAATGGTGAGTTGAAGAATATTTCCTGTCCCGTCGTGTATGAATTGTGATGCATCCACTCTCAATACACGCCCTCATCTCTCGAGTAAACCCCCCTCCTAACCCTCGCCCAGACCTTCACAATCGGCCGCGGCAACGAAATAGTATGCACAGCCATTGCCCATCTCGCAGACCGCATCAAGGGCCGCACGCTCGAGTCACTGGTCGAGAACTGGGGCAAGACATGGCGCCACCTAGTCAACGACAGCCAACTGCGCTGGATCGGCCCGGAGAAGGGCGTGATCCACCTCGCGCTAGGCGCCGTCGTAAACGCCATCTGGGACCTCTGGGCCAAGACGCTCGGCAAGCCCGTGTGGCGCATCGTAGCCGACATGTCCCCCCAGCAGATCGTCGACCTAATCGACTTCCGCTACATCACCGACGCCCTGACGCCGGAGGAAGCGCTCCAGATCCTGCAAAAAGCCGAGCAGGGCAAGAAGGAGCGCCTGCAGGAGGCGCTCGAGAGCAAGGCTGTCCCCGCCTACACGACGTCCGCTGGCTGGCTCGGCTACGGCGAGGACAAGATGAAGGGCCTGCTGCAGGAGACGCTTAGCAAGGGGTACCGCCACTTCAAGCTCAAGGTCGGCAGCGACCTGAAGCAGGATAAACATCGTCTTACTATTGCGAGAGAGGTTATCGGGTATGATAAGGGGAATGTGCTCATGGTTGATGCGAATCAAGTCTGGAGTGTGCCGGAGGCGATCGCGTATATGAAGGAGCTGAAGGAGTTTAAGCCGTGGTTTATTGAGGAACCGACTTCGCCTGATGACGGTATGTTTCCCCCCTTCCCTTCCATCTTCAACCCATATACTAACATCCCCCCCCCCTTAGTCCTCGGCCACAAAGCCATCCGCGAAGCCCTAAAGCCCTACTCCATCGGCGTCGCCACAGGAGAAATGTGCCAAAACCGCGTAATGTTCAAGCAATTCCTCGCCTCAGGCGCCATCGACATCTGCCAAATCGACGCCTGCCGCCTGGGCGGCGTCAACGAAGTCATCGCCGTCCTCCTCATGGCCGCGAAATTCAACGTCCCCATCGTGCCGCACAGCGGCGGCGTCGGCCTGCCTGAATACACGCAACATCTGTCCACCATTGACTATGTTGTTGTGAGCGGAAAGAAGAGCGTCCTTGAATATGTGGATCATTTGCATGAGCACTTTTTTAGCCCGAGTAAAATTGAGGATGGGTATTATGTTACGCCTACTAGTCCTGGGTATAGCGTTGAGATGCGGCCTGAGAGTATGGAGAAGTTCTCGTTTCCGGGTGGGGAGAAGGGGTGGTGGAAGAGTGAGGAGGCGAGGGGGATATTGGAGGGGGAGAAGATTTAGAGTGGGTTGGGAGGGTTAGATCGAGCTTTGTTTTGTGGAATAAAAAGATTACTTTGCATTGTTTTGTTTTGCTTTGCTTTGGTGTGTGTATGTGTGTGTGGAATCGAGTGGGATTGGTTGTCCACACATCTAAGGTAGGCGCGGGGAATATGTACCTCTCTCTCTACCTACACCACAACGAACGTGAATCTGGGTTATCTAATGTAGCCACTCAAGGATTCGGTCTGCCATACTCATTGCACAAGACATCCACACCCACACCCACTCCACGTTCATCCAGCATAAGCCCGTCCTTCCTCTCACCCCAACATCCTCGAAAACCCCCCCGTGCTGACGCTCAGACTCAGACTGAGTTTCAAGCCCTTGGCCTGCGCAGTGAACTGCTGCGTATGATCGCTCCACTCGCGCCTCATCTGCGCCCGCTCCTGCAACACGCTGGGCCGTTTCTGCACGCCCTCGCCCTCTTCCCTCTTCTTCTTCATCTCCTTCCTCCCCCCGCGGTCTCGCATCCCCCAATCCAACGCCTTGGTATCCTGCAAAACAGGCTCGATCATACCCTGCATCCCCGCAAGCTCATGCAATGGCAAATTCTCAAAAACCAGCGTCCCGTTGCGCGACATGCACACCGCGGCCCCGTAGCGATACGCATGCAGCACCACACCGCGCACATCGCGGATACCGCGGTCCTGCAGGCGCGAGTACTCGAGCAGCTTAGCCATAGTGGGATAGTGATCCAGCGCCCAGACAGCAGCGTGGTTCTCCGTGATGAGCACGAAGTCGGCGTCAGCGCCCAGGGCGACGACGCGCGGCCGGTCCGTCCATTTCCCGTCTCGAATCCGCGATTGCAGCGCGGGAATGAGGAGGGGGGGCAGGTTCATCCATACACAGGCCGAGCCGTCTTGGGCGAAGAAAGACGTATTGCTGGGTCCGAGGGTGCAGCGCAGCGTGGGGATGGAGCGGGCGGGTTTGCCCTGCGGGGTGCGGGCGTACAGGAAGTCGAGTAACTCTGACGGTAGGCCGGCGGAGTTGATGCGGTCTTGGCCGCTGGCGTCACGCCATGTGAGGAGGAAGCTGTTTTCGAATCCTAGGGCGATGTGGTGGACTAGTTGGAGTTGCGAGGATGAGAGGAGAGTTGTGAGTTTTTGTGGGAGACGCGTGCTGGGGGCTTGGGTTAGTTGGGGTTGAGGGGTGGGGGTTCGAGGCGTGGGGCTTGCGTACTGGTCTTGATGTGATGGGCATTGGAAGAAGTGACTTCCGCGCTGACCAAAGGTGAATATGGCGTCGCACATGGTGCTGGGACTTTGGCGCACAGAAATGACGGCTAGATGGGGAAAAGCGACGATAAGAGATGGGGTATGGAAACTTGGACGTTGACTTGGAAAACTGGAAAGTCTACAACACAACAAAGAGAGATAGAGATGGAGTGGATGTTGGATACCATACCATACCTTACCTCCGCCAAGCCGATCGTTCCCAGGATCAAACAAGAAAGTAGTTCATGGCCCTCACGCGACATCTACAAAGGCGCTTGGGGACGTTCATGTATACATACTCACACCAAAGCGGGACGTCTTTTCGTGCTCAATGGGAACTCGATTACTGGTAGCAGCAGAAGAAGAAGAACGCGCAGCTGGAGGTCTGACGAAAGAGAATTCGGTTTGGATTGATTCCTGCTCGTGACGTCATATTCATCATCCATCCATCCAATAGCATCTCATTCCCAGCATGAGTGGTACTTCAAGCAACACATCGTTCTTCTCCTTCGGCCCGCACGACAGCTTCATCTCGAAGAGTTTTCAAGGGCTGAAATCGTGCGTACAATCCTTCCCACAATATCAAGCCCCATCTAACGCCAGCAGACGAAACCTCTCTCCGGATCTGCACAAGCTCATCCTTCGCAAATCTGCGTTGGACGTCCACTGGGCGGTCTTGGGAACAGTGACCGATTCCTGGATTCTCAGCTTCAAAGACTCTTCGGGTAAGGATGCGCTGAGATGGGGTTCTGCTACGCCAAAACGTCTGCAAACTATCCTTGCTAAAACATGGCATTCTCACCTTCTCCGTGCGTTTCTCGGCCCGGAGGACTCGTTCATCGTCTGGCATCCCGAGTTGATTCGTTGGGCAAACCTCCCTGCTGCGCTCGAAGATACCATTCAGTCATGGCTTACACCTTCCGGGTGGAGGGTCGGACCGCCGCGGATGGTAACGTGGGGACCTGAGGGCGCCTTCTTCGCTATGAGCGAGTACGGGGAGGTAGCATACGAATTCGGCGACGGCGACGACGAGTGGGAGATCTACCGAGAGACGGTGGAAGAATGGACGGCGGAAAGGGGGTTCTCATGGAACGACCTGGCGTTCATGGCCCTCGATCCTACGTCCTGGGATCAGTTCGTTGCGATCCGAAATGATGGGACGTGGGCTGGGTCGATTGACGACGTGAATGAAGACGCCCTGGAATCCTTTGCGCTGAACTGCTTTGCAAGAGCGAGACCGAAACAAAAAGAGAATCCTCAAGCGGACGAGCAATCGTCGAATGGGATTTCCAGTACGAAGCCAGACGCAGCCACCCAAGCGCTATACGAGCAATGGTCAGCAGAAACAAGCGCGAAGTTCACGTCCGCACTAATCGCCATCGCCAACTCGCAACCCAAGAAACTATCCCAATCGTCCCTCCACTCAGTCACGCTCTCCATCAACCCCGAGCCACCCGCCCCGCCATCAGCCCAACTCCTAACCGCCTTTCCCTACCTACCCCCCTCGATCACAACCTGCGCCCTCCCCGCATGCGTCGTTGTCAAATCCAACCCAGACGACATCAAGGCCTGCAAGCACGACGTCGAATCGCTCCTGAGGGCAAGTGGGCTGTACAGCTATGAGTGGCTGCGCCAGGAGCGGTTGAGCTGGCACCCTGACCGGTTTGGACGGTTGTGCGAGGAGAGTTGGAGAGAGATGGGTAGGAAGATGGCGGAGGAGATGTTCAAGATTATCGATGCGCTGATGGAGGAATTGCGGGGTGCGGAAGGGTAGTATGAGAAGGGGGACGTAGATCAGGAGACGAAGTTGGTTGATTCAAATGCTGCGTTAGAGAGAATAAAGTAGGTTAGATGTGTATCTGTGATATATACGAAAGGCACACGAATCTTTCCACTAATCTTTCGTTCGGTGTCAAGCTGTGGCGGGACTTTCGCTGCAGTTTGCTTCTGGCATTCATGCTCAATACAGGGTTTTTGCGGTTCTCGAACGTGGTGTTTGCATTGTTTTCTGCGTCCTTCCTAGGTCCCTATCTAGAGAGTGCGGGCTGATGTCTGGGTTTGGCGAGACGGTGTCGTCTGATGTATGTTCTCTGCACGGATGTTGGTTTGATCATGGAAGATCCGAGAAACACTCTAGTCGAAGATGGCCATGCTGGGTATTGGATAATTTCAGATGCGAAGACTATCGATTTAAGTAGACTTTAATGTCTGTCGACGTGGATTTCTTTCTTCGTCTGGCACGGGGAATATTTGCTCGATATCAGAGGGAATGACGCGCTGAACCAATTAGCAGGACATCTCTCTTGAGATATGAGAAGACCAACTGTCGTTTCTCCAACGTAGACATTCATCCACCCCAATTATCATTCAACTTTCACATGATGTAGCAGCCAGCTCAAACTCTCTATCGGTCCCCTTTCTCGACAGTCGTGATCTTCGGCAGCGCATTTCGCAAATCTTCCTTGTCCTTTTCAGTCGGCACAAGCCCAAACTTCTCTTCCGCTTTGTCAGACAGGAACAAGCCCACGCCCGCGTACGCCATGATGCCGACTCCGATGATCACCCGCGTCTTGGGCGTGATGCCCTTGTACCACCTGCAGCATGTCAGACTGAAGATATCGACAGCAATTCAACATGCACGTACTGCCAGACGGCCATGTTGAGGAGGCTACTGAGTGTTGAACAGGGGGGAGTTGGAAGAAGTCGAGATGGAGCCATGCCAAGAACGACACTCTCGCGCATGAGATGCGCTTAGATGCGAACACGACACCAAACCGCCCAACAAGAATTCATGATTTGTGCGTGCGCTTGCAGTATTGCCTCTTTTCCGAGCCTCCCAACCCACGCACGCACCATCCGTTCCCAGAGACATGACATAGCGCTGCGCAAGAGTTTTTGTTCGACCGCACACACGACCTGCCCTGGGTGAACCGATGCCGCCGCCATTGCTACCGACTTGAGGCCCCCACACTCCCATACACGCCTCCCAATATGCCCAGCTTCCGGCGCTGGGGCAAATCGAAATTCGAGGCCAATCCTGAATCGACGTTCAAGCTCCTGGCCGCCGTTCTCGTTATAACTCTCTACTTGCTCATCAAGGAGTTCTCCAACCCTATACTCGGCAACAAGGCGACGCCTGCGTCTGGCGCTCAGATACAGTATGCAGAGTGGAATGGCACGGGCAAGGCGCAGGAGGGGCGGGCGGACAAGGTGCGGAGTGCCATGCAGTACACGTTTTGGAAGTACAGGGAGCATGCGTGGGGTCGCGACGACATCCTGCCTGTGTCGGGCGGGAACTCGTCGACGAGGAATGGCTGGGGCGGCTTTATTGTCGACTCGGCGAGCACGCTGGCGCTGATGGGCTTGTGGGACGAGTTGGAGCTCTCGGTCGAGCATATTCTGGGCATCGACTTCACCGTCACAGACGACCTTGTGGACCCTTTCGAGACGACTACTCGCTATCTGGGCGGACTGCTCTCGTTGGTAGACCTCTATGATGCGGGCTTGATACCGGAACAGGTCATGGATGACGATGCGCGAGACCTTATCCTCGAGCATGCTGTTACTCTGGCGGTGAAGCTTGGCCCCGCGTACGATACACCGACTGGCATGCCCTGGCCACGAGTCGACTTCAACACCAACCAAGGGGTCCCCGAACCTCTATCAATCTTCACCGAGAACCCAGGAAAACAAAAATACGACCATCCTGCCACCAGCCCTGCACAAACCGGCTCCTCCATCCTCGAGAACCGCGTCCTGACCAGACTGACTGGTGACTCTATCTACGCAAAGAACTCGACTCTGGCATGGGCCCCCCTCGTCTGGTCCAAATGGACAACACCCTGGCCCGGCATGGTCGACTCCCCCATCGACATCGTGACAGGCGCTCCACTCGGCCGTGCTCGACACTGGGACGACGAACACGCCTCATACTACGAGTACCTCCTCAAGATGACGCTGCTCGCCCCACCAGCCGACCCCTACCTCGACGTATACAAGCAGCGCTTCCTCGCCTCGGCCTACTCCCTGCGCAAGCGCCTCAGCTCGCGCTCCGCCTCGGCCCCCAACCACACAATGCAGCACCTCTTCCTCGGCCGCCACATCGCCTCGCACTACGAAAACCAGCAATCCCACACCTCCTGCGCCGCGCCAGGCACCCTGCTCCTCGCCGCAAAACACCTCAACCAGCCCTACCTGCGCTCCTTCGCCCTCGCCCTCCTCGAAGCCTGCCGCCACACATACACGTCCACGCCCTCGAACATCGGCCCGGAGGCCTGGTCCTGGACCCCGAAGTTCAGCTACACTACCCCCTTTCGCGCGCCGGCGTCCACCCGCGAGACCGAGGAGTGGGCCGCCTCGGGCTTCTGGAGCGAGGACCCCGCGTTCAAGGGCGGCCCGCAGTACGTCGCGTCGCTGTTCTACGCGTGGCGCGTCACGGGCCAGCTGCGTTATCGCGAGTGGGCGTGGGAAGCGTTTTCGGCCATGGAGGAGTACTGCAAGGCGCCGTATGGGTACGCGCAGCTCGCGGATGTGTATAGGGTGCAGCGCGCTGAGTGGAGCAGCGATGGCGATGGGCGGTGGATCGATGTACAAGGCAGGTCGTGGGCGCAGACGCTCAAGTACTTGTGGCTTACGTTTGGGGATAGCGAGACTGCGAGTCTGGATAATTGGGTGTTTAGCACGGGGGGGCATGTGTTTCGCATGATTCGCTGAGGGGGGGTCAAGTCGTGCATGGGTGAAAAGGAGAGAAATACACTACAGTTGATATGGTTGTGGGAGAATGTAGTGTGTGGAATGATACCCGCTTGTTCTGGTTTTTGACTACGTTGATTCCGCTTGGTCTCATCCTCCTCCGTCCTCACTATACTACCCCCTGATGTTCCAGAACTAGAGTACCTCCCACCCTGTCGCGGTAATCGAGACTCTGCATCCCCAGATGGTGTCCGCCCAGCTGGACTTGCCTGCGAATTGGCTGAACCAGCAGCCTAGATTCTCATTTCGAATGGGAAATGTAAGGATGGGTTGTGTTGAGCATTTCTAGATGTTGTGCTTCGAGGACGGAGGGTGGAGTTATGATGGGCTTGCTTGCTTGTTTGTTTAGTGCACTGCCTGCCGTGATGCGAGATGCAAGATGTGAGGTGAGATGCAGGAGAAGGTATCTTCGAGGGGTACCAGGGTATGATTCTTTTGTCTACATGGGTGTAGATAAATCTACACGTGGGGGTATCTGGAAAATTGGCAGAGAGCCACATGGAAGAAGAAAACATGATTCTTGTCTCGCGTCGAGCAGAAACGGGAGGATCAAATCAGGGCCTGCCTTGGGGAATACATCTTCCGAGGTGGTTGTCTGTTCAACTCCGGTCATGGAGGTAGTTGTAACAGCTCGGAGCGTGCATGTCTCAGTGTCCGTTGTAGACCATATATCTCGTTGGCCAACAGGTGCGGTTTGTTCCAGATTGAGGAAGCGCAGATAGCTCTTGGATATCCCATCAACCGTGCAATCCGAAATCAGGCAGTCCACTATGCATTCTCTGCAACTCGAAGAGGTGTACCAGTATCTCCCTTCATACAGTACCCATCAAGAACTTCCAGGGGAAGTCGGTGTGGTTGATGTTAAATGAAGGACTTTTCCACAGGGTTGGAAGCTTTTCAATTCCGTTAGTCGATGCACCGGGCTTCGGCAAGGGAATATCCTGCAACAGCGACACAGTTCGTCCGGTACATGTAGCAAGCTCGAAAGTGCTTCCACTAGGGCTACATCTGCCGCTCGAATTGCGCAGAGCTGTCTTCATGATCGCTGTCACGCGACGAAATCTCTCAAATACGTCTTCGCTGTTCTCGTGGGGGTCGCGGACACGTGGCATTCGCGATGCGAGCTGATCCCGGAAATATTCGAACGATTTTGCAATCTGGAGCTCGGCGGGGTCCCAGCCAGGCGTGGGCGAAGATTGTAATGCGAGCTTGCTCAGGTTGGTCATGGCTGAGATCATATTGAGCCAGTCGACTATTGAGATGTATTCGAATTGAGTTGACGAAAGCTTTGCGCTGTTGTCGAGATACTGTTCGACAGAACGCAGGGACGTAACGCGCAATGAGAGCTGGAAGCCTGAAGCCCATGGAGTGCTTTCTCGGTCCGTGAGGTCGACAGACGCGGCGGCCCTATACAAGTGTATTCGTGCGGCGAGTTGTATCCATTGCAAAGTCTCTAAACAATAGTAAGCACAGATTCTGCTACCGTACGTAAAGAGTCCATACCAAAATCAGTGGCTTGCAGCTTCGATGCCTGTCGAATGTGTTCCCACTTGTCGTTCAAGCGTTTCACTTGAGATCGAGTGACCAATGCTTGTCCAGACTGTTCGCGAAAGGTTTCCTCAATGTCCTCCATGAATTGACACACATCAATCAGGATAGGGAGTACTGCATCCGATTTGTGCTCCCAGATAGAAGCGAGCTCAGAAGCATAGTTGCGAAGCGTACTTGAGTAAGACAAGCAGCGCGCTTTGTTAGGTTCCATCAGTCCAACGTTGGAAACCAAGTAGTAGCATCCCAGATATGCTCTCTTTGCTTCCCTGTCTCGAGGATCTTCTCTTTGCAACGGGCTCCTGGCAATATTCGATATATTGTCGAGACCCAGATCGCATGCTATGCCAACGCATATCTGGATCAGCATGGGGATGGACACGGCCTGGGAGTCCATGTAGTGATGATGCCACGCTATAAAGACCAACAAGCCTTGCAGAAGATCCAGACTCTTCTCCCCGTTCATAATTTTCACCATGATGACTTTGCGAAACTCGCGACTCAGTTTTAACTGCAGCAGCACAGAGTCGTGAGACGCCACGGTAAGAACTGCAAACATCAACATTGGTCGATGTTGTATCAGGTCTTTGCATGAACAGTCGTTGGGTAATGATACAAAGGGGAAGTAGTCGACCATGGTTCTGTACGTGTCGAGTAGCATTTGCATGTGAACTACGCTGATCGATCGAAGGATGGGATCTATCCGTCCAAGAGACGACAGAGTATCATTGATAGACTCCCAAAACATTAAGGAGCTCTCAGAGATGCTTGCAGGCCTAGGAGCCGGGAAGACAGGAGGCTTTTGGACTGATGGGGCAGATGTTGGTGGTACTGTGGGATGTGGTGGTGAAGGAGTGCGCTGAGCCGTTTCAGGTACTTGAGAAGGCAGGATAGCTACCGACGGTAGGGTAGATTGAGGCGTGGAGTTTGGCGTAGAATTTTGCGTAGAATTTGGCGCCATAGTTGCGACGATGGCAGATATCTTGTCCAGCTTCTTGTCAAGGTCGCGCATCTTGTTAGGTGCATGACTGTCCACCCTAGGTTTTGCTGGTCGTCGACGCGCAACATGCTCGATACATTCCACCCGAGCTTTTTGGCACCTAGGTAACGGTTATCCCGAGAGTGGAGGGACATGCACATGTACGAGAAACAACATACCTTTGGCAGATACTTGCAATGTCTGATGGAACACATCGGACTTTGTGCTTGCGACAGCGCTCGCAGGCGAATGAATTTCCGATTCTTCCCTCTCTTGCATCCATGGTGAAGATGAAGATCGAAGGTTCGGGGGATTCGACGGTGGCCTCGGCCTGGAGTATGTGGGGAAATTGGGGAAGTCCGACCATTTGCCAAGAGCTCGGGACAAGCGTTAGGTGAATGAAGCCGACGGCACAACACGGTGATCTCAAACGGGCGGAGGACTAGCTGAACTTGGATCAGGGTCTCCGGTGACTGGACAGGATGCACGGAATGCTGCAATGTGTTGTCACGGGTTGGATCCTACATGTCTCGCCCGGGTATGCACCGCTTTCTGTTGTTTTAGCGTCAGATTCTCTCCACGCGTCGGGTAAATCAGAGCCGACCGAGCACCAGTTGTAGTCTGGGGATTAGGCAATTCCGCATGCTGGCAACCGTCAAAGCCGCCTAGAGGGCTGACTGCTCCGACATATAGACTAGGGCAGAATGCTACCCGACACTTTGGCAATACTGCGCGTGCAGCTTGTCGAAGGTGTTGGGGACGTTTGGCAGCCCTAGAAACATGAGTGAACGGGCAGCCTTCCGTTGTGATTCGCGACGTACCTCTCTACACACACTTTCGAAAAAATGCCCTCCAAGGACCACGGCGACCACGACAACTACGTCAGATCGGGCTTCGCGGGGAAGATAGGATGGGGAAGCAGGCCCGCGCTGCTGCTTATTGACGTCTGCAATGCTTACTGGAAGAAAGATTCGCCGTTGGATACCAGCTCAAATCCAGCCTCGGCAGCCGCACCTGCCTCGATCGCGAAGCTTGTCGCTGCTGCACGTGAAGGAAAGGTACCGTTGGTCTGGACTCGCGTCGAATACACCGAGCCAGACATGTCGGATGCAGGTGTCTTCTTCTGCAAGGCGCCTCTCTTGACAGTGTTCCAAAAGGGCAACGAGACAGGACTCGAGAGTTGGGTTCCAGGATTAGAGCCACAAGAAGGAGAGGTCATTATCACCAAGCGCTATCCCAGCGCTTTCTTTGCCACAGACCTCAACACCCGGCTCCAACTTAAAGGCATTGACACGCTGGTCATCTGCGGTGTCAGTACGAGTGGATGTGTGCGTGCGAGCACTTTGGACGCCTTGTGCTTAGGCTATCGGCCGATGGTGAGATTGGTCTTGGCATTCCATGCGTCTTGCTCCACATCACTAACCTCCGCCTCAGATCGTTGGCGAGGCATGTGGTGACCGATCGCCTGCTGTACACGACGCGAATATGTTTGACATGAACGCGAAGATGGCTGACGTAGTGTCAGAAAGCGAAGCAATTAGCAAACTGAAGGCTGGATGGGCATGAGCGGCGCATGTGTTGACAATCAGCAGATTCTATCAACACTTAGTATCAAGTCGTATTTACTAAAAGTTTGAGTTTGAGTTGATACATTTGGGTCGCCTTCTGAACTTCTTCCAACCTCTTTCATGCTAAGCCCTCGATCTCTTATTGGTTGTACAACTGTTCTATCTCTCTTTCGTACATCTCTTCACTTCGTTTCCTTATCACACCACCTTTCACGTTCCGCGGTAGTCTTTTCTCGGTTGTCGCAAATAGAATCATATCTTTCAGGATCGTTACACCGCCGCTCACCATGCCTTCGTTGACCCGCTCAATCTCGGGCCACAGCTGCTCGAGTTTGGTTATGTCTTCGCCTTCGTTGTTTGCCCACTCAATAATCACAAATGGACGCGACCTGCCTTGTCCACCGACTACAATCCCGTTGACGCTCGGATGGGAAGCCAAACTCATCTCAACGGTTTGGGCGTTGAGCTTCATCGAATTTTCGAACACGAGCAGATCATCAGTCCGGCCAGTGACTTTCCACGCTCCAGGTCTCGTCTTTGACTCGACCCAGAGGTCCCCCGAGTGGAACTCTTCGAGTTCGGGATATATGTAGAACACCGGCTGCCACTTTTCCAGCTCTGGTCTGCGAACCCAAACAAGCTCATGCAAGTCACCCTCCGTATGCACAAACTTAATACCGTGAGATTCTCGAAATGAAAGATACTCCCAGTTTTCCTCGTTCTCCCGTCGGACGCAGAGGGGCCAACCTGCCTCGGTCGACCCGTATCCTGAATACAGCCGTGTGTGAGCCATCAGCTTCTCGGCCGTCGACTTTCGCATGGCTGCACCAGCGAAGTACACCATGTCGAGCTTTCCCAGAGCCTCAAGACCAACTGTACTATTGACAAGCGCTTCTATGAAAACTGGTGGCGCCATATATACTTCGCAATTGCCATAGCGGAGAACATCGATCACCTGGGCGATGTTGTCAGGCGTGGTGTTCGTAGTGGGACCAAAGACTGGAACGGTCCCTAAGATAATGGGGAACAAAATCGACAGAAAGATGCCAACCGCCTACAATGCATTAGTGATTGCTTTTCAAGGATCATAGGACTTACATGGAGGGCCGGGAGTGGACTATAGCACCTCATTTCTTTGAGATTGTTCTCCGTGCAGTCGCCCCCATATTCCGGCATCAACTGCGAAGCATCTTGTGCTACCAAAGTTGCATGATTATAAACAACCGGCTTTGGCGGACCAGTGGTGCCGGATGTGTGAACTACGAGACACGGTATCAACCTAGCATCTTCCCACGATTTGCTCCATTCATACGGGGCAGCCCTCTCTTTCGTGAGCCACACGTCCAGCTCCGGCGTTTTCACAACCTTCACATCCCACTCTGTGACCTGCTTAGATACAGAATGAACTACAGTTTCAAGTTCTCCGCCGTACAAAAACACTTTACACTCTGTCATGTGTACTAGAGAAGCCTGTGCGGCTGGCCTCGCCATAGGATTGGGGACTAGCAACTTGCGTTCCAGCTTGGCCAACGCGCAGAACAAGATCGAGTACCGCATATCTCTTGGTCCTGTATATGCCACGGTTTCGAACGGTGATGTTGGTGGTGGGAGAACAGATTGGAGCCATTCAATGCAATGGTTTATTGCGTTCCCAAAGGTGTCGTAGGAGATGTCATTGAACCCCTTTGAGATGTCGTTTTCATCTATTGGCATCGAGGCATATGGGGTAGTTGGTTTATTCTTGACACGGTAGTCGAGTAGTTGGAGAAGATGTCGTTGACCCATGGGCGGAAGGCCATCTTCGGGGGTTGTGGACGACGTTAGGATGTCTTGACCCATTTTGGACTGTGTATGCAACGAAAATTGGAAGAGGTGTGTTGGGTTCTAACGGACAGATGATCAGGAGATTGTGCTGTTCTCTTATAGTTCAAACATATCATCTACTCGATCCTATGTCTGGCTTCGAAATTGACGCTAGGCAGAGGCTAACTACTCAGAGGCACGTAGTACGTCTCTACGGGCTCAACGCAATTCAGACTTCTAGTGGCCTCCCTACTATGGAAGAGAAGGGGTTGAATACCTAATTGTCACTACACAAAAATCTCCATACAAAAGTTCTAATTCTCTGAGTAGATTCAACCTAATTGTTGTCTGCATCGCCAAGCAAAAAGTTCAAAGTAGGATACCTTATGTTTTTGCGAGTAGCTTATAACTGTTTTTTAGTTCGGAACGTGAGCATCCAACTGGATATCTCCACTTTTACATCATGGCTTTCCAAAAGTCTGGCATGATATGAGTGCTTTGCGACATGATTTGATATAACATGACGTGAGTAGCAGCCTATCGGTGGGTATTCGGCCATGACGTGTCTAGTAAACTAATATTCGAGGCTTTGTAGCCTACACAATCTGTCTGTGTGGCTCAAGAAGTTCGTGTTGTTAGTGTTGTTCTAAACGCGTGTGACGTCTTAGGTCCGGACGGAGGCACTCCCGATAGACTACTACGCAAGCTCACGGATCTCGCCTATAGTATGGCTAGCCCGATCTTCGTTCGAATCATTGGGCTCGAGTTAATGTGCCGATCAACAATGTGCTAAAACACGATCGTGAACGATGAACTAGGTTCGGAAGCGGGTATCTGTGCTTTTATTCGTTCTGATTGCCTGATTGTCAACGAAGCATACGAGAAATGTGGAACGAGAGGTATCACTGCAAAGACTCATAATCAGACGTGACTGGGGCTAGAGCCAAGATACATATTACAAGTATTACAATTTGCTGGTGCTTATATGTTCTGCCAAGTGCCTTGCGACAGAGCAACCAAGTAAGTTCACCGAAGTATTTCTTAAACGTGTTCATCGACTATCAACGCATTGTACAATTGTTTCTTGACAAAAGGCAAAGCACGGATATAGAACCTACTCGTACAGCAGCTACTAGACCAGCACAGCTACAACACTTCACTCCCCTTCACCGATCCAACACCAGCACTTTCCATCGCCGTCCAAAGACCGCCCATCAAGTTGAATCTACACGCAGTTTCTCAACCTCCACTACGCACATCTCCCATCTCGCAAACTTTCCCTCTGCATGCACGAAAATCCGATTGTTCAGCAGAACCTCGTCCAGAAACTTGCTCATCTCAACTTCATCTGTGGGATGGCGCAGATACAAAATCCCCCACATCCGCCGCCATTTCCTCATTTCTTCCAAGCTGTTCCTAGATAGGCTGGACTTGGCACGGAACCGCTCAAACCCATGACCGAATCTCCGTTCGAGCCAAGTCCTCACACGGGGGGTGGCGACTCGTCACGAGTTTAGGTCCCTATCTGATCATGGATGAGACAACCTGAATAGCCGACTCATTGTTGGACTATGGTCAATTTGTGCGGTATTCCTTCATAGCGTGACATCGGAAGACTTCTCTGTTTGGTTTTGCGCGGTGAAAAAGGTCGACCACCAATACCGTGGATTGCTAAGGCGATTTGCGAAATTTTGAACTATAGTATGACCACCTCGTTTCTCTTCGTTTCTGCTTCACAAGCTCTTTTAGTTCAGCGGGAAAACGATCGGATTTAATCTTTATTCTGAGGACATCATTGCGGGGATCTGCGCCAAATTGTAGAAAATCTCTGGTTGCGCCAGATTGGACGACATATATATCCCAGCTTAGTAGTTTAGCCCAAGACGAATTCTTTGAGAATTGGGGCCTGTAATTTGGATCCGCGCCATGTCGTAGCAAAAGTCGCAAAAGGTTATCGTTTTCCTGTTCTCCGTCTGAGATTGACGAGGTAAGGACATAGCGATCTTCCACGACTAGATCCAAAAGTTCAGAAGCAGTGTTGGAGGCTTGGTGTGAAGGCATAGCTTGGAGGGTAGTACTAATGTAATGTTTGAGTTGATATTGAGTGGCAAGCCCAAGAAAAGATGTGGTTGTGTATGCATCACCCTTGACCTGTGTCCAGTGTGTCAGAATTGTGCCCTTCATGGATGCCGAATGTAGAAAGGTCGATCCAGTTTGGAGAGTAGTGTTTGTAAGGGTTGTCATAACCTTATCAATTTCATCCAGCAGAGTGACTTGGTTAGTTGAGCAAGAAGGGTCGGCTCTGACAGCGTACCCAATGGTATCTTTTACTGGAGCCCAGAAGCTCGTAAGTGTTTCTGCATCCTGCGTCTTGAGTCGCATAATCTGGACGTTGTATAGTCGTAGATCGACATTGAACTCTGCGTCTGTTGCGGCACACACCTTCGACCAGGTATCCTCCCTTTCAAGAAAGTCTTTGACAGTACGATGCAAATAGTCCACTTTGACATCTGGTAGGTCCTCTATGGGGCTAGAGTTAGCCTCGAGTAGTCCCTTGCAGCATGCATTTGTGCGCCGACGCATGAGCTCAGCTCTTGAGACAGCCTCTTGTCTGCCCAATACCCTACATGGGGCTTTGATAGCAAACTCCGGGTCATCCTCATCAGCAAATGACATGTCTTGAAGTGTGAGGGCATTTTTCGAGGCTCGGACAATTTGGAATAGTTGCGATGCTCTTTCAAAATACCAAGTGTCTAAATCGCCCAAGATTTTCCAGAAGAGATTTTCCAGATCCACCGGTAGGCTTTCGACTCTTTTCTGCAGATCAGAAAGGCGTTCGCCTTCTGACAGGCCGGTCAAAAGCGACCCAGTCACCAGAAATACCCAAAGAAATACGCCTGACGATTTAACACATACGTTCTCAATGAGTTGGGACGAGAAGTCTAAATCGACCTGCTGGAGCACTTTGAACCCTGCATTGGCAGTCATCTTAGATGTGACAAAATGCTTGATGTCGTTGTAAGTAAGGTCCTCGAGTCGAAGATGTGGACGATGCCCAAACGCGTCTTCGAAGTCGATCCATGGCCTACTGGATGCGCATATTTTGACGCCAGGCGTAATCAGATCTGTAACAAAGTCGATCAGGTCTGAGGGCTTCCCCTTGAATTCGTCCATGCCGTCTAAGAAGAGCATGATCTTTGAAGATTTGGTGGCCTCTTTCATCATGATTCGGCATGCTTTCAGAAGTTCCTCCCATGTCCAAGACATTCCATTCTGTTGGAAAATATGTTCGCCAAAAAGAATCCCAGTTTCCACTCTGTGAGGAAAGACAACCGGGCTGAGATCTGGCGCTTGCTCCAAGATCTGGTACAAAAGGGTCCGTACCAGACCCTCGTAGGACATCTGCATTTCCGATCCTGAATTCCAAAAGAAGAAAGACGCTGTTAGGAGCGGACTGTCGGCAGCCCATGATTGCAAGGCCTGACGCGTTTGCGGATGGTCAGAGATGTACCTCATCAAAGTGGATTTGCCAGCACCAGCCTTGCCAGTAACCCAATACAAAGGGTGGTCCTCTGTTTTGATCCAGTTTGGAAAGTCTGTCCACCGAGCAAATCTAGACGGAGGGCGAAATATCCACTCGAATGTTTCTTGATGTGCACGAGCAATCTTCTCGTACCGCTGATCTATCTCCTGGAACCGAAGACTTTGAACCAGATACCGATGAATGAGTTTAGCGTCACTGCTTCGTATAACCTTATACAGTTTGGCCGGTGGAGCCGTATGCTTCAAGTCGGAAGGGTCTTGCCCATAGCTCCTCTTAATGGCGTCGATGATGTCTCTTCGCCATGGAACATCTTTTCCTACCTCCTTTAGGATTTTGCAACAGATACGCTGAATCTCGCTTAGGTTTTGTTGATGGTATTTGTTTGCAGACGTGACCTGCTCTCTGAATATCGCAACCAAAGTCAACCGTTGGGTTGCAGAAAATGAGCAGGATCTAAATACCTTAGCGATACAAGCACATGCATAGATATCTGTTGTCTGTAGCTTTCCAGAGTCTGGTAGAGTGTATCAAGTTCGCTCTGAGTCCAAACTGTGCGCAGCGCTACTCGGAAGCTCGTCCAGAGCTGGTGCTTATTTTGTGCCTGTAGCCGATCAAGCGCTGAAATAAGGCGCCCGCCAATCTCGTTGCATCGTGTTCCCAATTTGATGATGTCCTCATCTTGTGAGGAGAAGTACTTCAACTTAGGGTAGTTGATAGATTGCCGAAGTTCGTTGTTGATTTTGGTCAAACTCTTGGTGATGCTCCTGATGTCGGAATTTCCCTCTGTATCTCCAGGGTTAGATTTGTAAATCTTCCATGTACACGAAACGATAGTCCCCGTAAAATCGAGAAACTGGGTAACTGCCGTTGCGACGCTGAGAGCGGAAAGTGGCTCCATGGCAGAGTTGGCTCGAGGGTTCGGCCAGAAGGGATTGAAGAAGCATGACACAGGTTTATCAAGAAACACTGAGCTGCACAGCCGAGCAGCATAACAGGCTGACGCTTGTAGATAGCCTATTGTGGGGGCTGAGCTCAGTTGCACTTGAACAAATCACTAGCCCAGTTTCGACGCCCATTCTGCAGGTGATCTTGGCACTCAGTTTTCAGCCTTGTGAGAGGTTGTTAGTCAATCATTTGCTTCTGCTCTACACCTCCGTCATCCTCGCTGCAATAGCTGCGCCCCCCTACTTTGAGAGGATAACCCATGGTACTGACGAGCTTTCGCACGTGTTCAGGGGATAACTCGAGAACTGGGAACCGTACAGTACTAGGTCGACACGCACCTGCAATCCAGATACGGGATAAGTTCCTTGAACCAGCAGGATCTTACTGAGGACGCGAGGGGATTCACTACACGATGACAAACTCTTCCAGAAGACCATCCCTCACAAAATCTCTCCAGTCCGTCCCAGGCTCAGCGTCCTCCATGAACTCGTGGCCCCAGTGGTGATCCGCTACAAACGCGTCGCCGACCATTTTGGCCACTCTTTCTGGTACATATCGCTGATCTGCCTCTCCATATTGATCATCATCCTCAAGCATCCGGAGTCTTTCTAGGTCACACGTCACAGGCGGTTTGGACGCGTTTTCGTATGAAGTTGGTGATCTGCTTTCCGCAAGGCGGAGGACGAAGGGAATGTTGATACCAAAGAGTCCGACCAGATGACATGAGACTGTGTTTGGTCGGACACCAGGTGCGAGACCGGTCAGCCCGGTATCGGTCACGAAGATGTGTCTGACAGGCCGATAGTAGTTCAAAGCGTTTTCGAACCTGAGAAAATCTTTTGATTCGAAGAAGTCTACCGTTGTAGCGCTGGTATCTTCTTGTAAACATACACGGAGTACGTAGAGCATCTCTTGACGATCAAAGATGTTTGGATTAGACGGCCCTAGCAGAGTCGATAGAAGCTGATCTGGATCAACGGTGATATCATGTTGGCGCAGTGAAGTCCCGAGTGTCTGTAGAGACTGCGAGCCTAGTCGTACGGCGATTTGTATCTTGCCCCATGTCTGACCAACAGTACGCATGTATCCTAACTTGAGCGAGCAGTGGACTAGTGGCGTAGCAAGATGCGCTCTGTTCAGAAGTTGTTCGATGGTTTCATCCTGGGGTACGATCGTCCTGTCAGAAGTGAACAAGTTCTTACTGATCAGTTGTAGATCCAACATCCAGGACGGTGCCATGCGTTCAGTTTTTGATTTCTTGACGGCAAGATGGGTTCTCGAGAGTAGGTCCAGGTACACTGAAAGATTGTCTTTCGCCACAATGGCCGTCGCCTCCCCATAGACTTCTTCCTCGGACTTGGAGTAGTCAGGGACAATGGTTCTCTTCTTGAAAACGGATATTCCGAGCAAGCCAAACACACGGTCGCGAGAATCGCTCGCCTGCAGATAGATCGTATGTCGAAGTTGTTTCGGAAATTCGGTCAAAACGCCTGCTCTTCTGATCTCTGCCAGATGCTCCATTCGACCCGCGAGGACCACTAGGGGCTTCGGGGTCTGTGACCATAACGATTGCCGAGACATTCGCCAGTAGTCACTCTTGATGATTGTTTCATATTGAAGGTACTGGAAAGCAGCAGGATATGAGACGGAGTGCGTTGATTGCAAACCTACTATGCGATCGCGTACTAAGCCTATAGCAGATAAGAATATAGTCCAGTTCAAGGAGCGAGAGCCACAAATGATGACGGGGTCATGGTGTGCAAGGACAAGTTCTTGTACAGTCCAGACCCTCGTAAACCAGTCTCTACTGAGAAGATTTTCCAGGCCGTGTAGAAGTTTGGTAAGATCGTTCTCTCGTAGGTCACCGCTCGCTATGGTATCCATGGCAAAGTCGGAATCGTTCCAGCCAGCAGATGAGGGTCCAAGCCAGACGAGTACCTGCTTTGCTAAAGAATATATCTTGCCCATGAGGCTGACCTGCTGGTTTCTTTCTGTAGAGTCTTCTTGGTTAATACAAATAGCATCTATCCATAGTGTCCGAGCATGGTGTTCATTGCGTAGATGACGGAGAGCTACATCGAGATTGGCACTAATGGGTATTGCAACGCCATTCAGACTCTTGATAGTGACGGACTTGGGAATCCTAGTTGGGTCGATGGAGCCATCCTGAGGTTTCCAGACATACGACAAGGCTTCGTATTGCGGTTGCGTTCCCAAATCAACGGTTCTGATGATCAGTTCAATGGAATCTTCGAGGATTCCTGGGAGAATCTCAATGAGCCGGATCTCGTTCAAGTCGAGGGGCTTGTAAGGACTCGTGCATTGTGCAGCACTACCATCAGGTGCGTTGACAGCGTTTTGTACATTACGCCCCAGATACAGCTCAGCAGGTGCTTCAGTTGCAGCACCAATCGATCCCGCGACAAAGCCAGACAGACCGCTCAGACTTCGAGGCAGCACCTCACGCCGAAGACCCCGCGTCGAGGACACAAAATCATCTTCGGTTTCCAGCGAAGACCCAGACTGTCCTCGCCTTGTCTCATCACCAGAAACCTCAAAAGACGCGAATTGCCCCTTCCTCCTCCTCAGCGAATGTTTCCGATTCACCACCATATCGCCGCCCTATTCTCAGACCACTTCACCGGCTGCAAGCCATCCGACGCATGGCATGGCTGAGCAACGTGTCGACTCGGGTGCACAATGGTCCCATGTCGTGATTGATGGTGGGGTGCCATCGTGTTAACTGGGTCGACTCGATGTGGGGCTAACAGGGTTGTCTTCCCCAGCCACACTGCGCCTCGATTTCGCGTTGCGGAACGCGCAAGCTTGGGCTTGGGCTGGTGTGATTGGCTGTGTGTGTGGTGCTGTCGAGACTCGAGGTTTGGGTGGATATTGTGAAGAATGAGATGGGAGAGTGAGTACAGTTGAGAAACGCAGTCAAAGTGATAGTATAGAAGTGGTATTTTTTTGAATTTGGCATAGTGCTCGTCTATTTAAGTTCCACAAGTCTGCGACAGGAAAGTCTTGCAGACACATCTACACCAACCAGTCCCGCGTCCAAGTCTCCTTATCCATCGCTTCGTAAACTCTCTTCTTGTCGCGAATATTGTAGTGATGCCTTGCCGATGCAGAATACCTGCTCTGCATGTACGTCGGCACACATTTGTCCAGGGCCAGGTGATCGGAATCTACCTCGATCCATCCGGCCATGGACACCTCGAACCCCGCGCGGAGGGGCAGATCGAGATTCATGTGGAAAAGAGGCCTTAGGCGGTTCTCTTGGAACAACATCTGGTATCCAGCCGTCGACCTCTTGGGCAAGACGTTGACCAGCTGTACGCAGTGAGGGTTGTCGCGGAAAGCGAGCTGGCGTTCTGTTTGTGTGCAGATGTTGTTGAACTTTGATTGCATGTCTGAATCGGTGATGCAGAGGAAATCTAGCTGTTCGCGTATGGGCGAGTACCAGTCTTTGCGCTCTGATTCGGTTGTCTGTGTATAGGTGATTAGCATGATGTTAGATGAGGAGGATACACGGTTGCTTACCCGCACTGCTTTGGAAAGCCTCTCTACAGCGTCGACGAAGCATTCGAGGCTGGCCATCTGGTCGGATGCACAGCTGTCATGGCAGGCTTCCGTATTCATGATGACTTTGGGCGTGTGTGTGAGAATGAAATCCCGAATAGACCTTTGAATGAGGTGGTCTGCCTCAGAATTGATTTGTTTGCAGGTTAACAAGATGGTCGTCGAAACAGCCCTCTTGACCAGTATCATCGAAGCGTTGTGAGGACATGAAGTTGACCGAGTCCTCGACGCTACGATGGGGTAATGCTTGGTTGCGCGCGGTAGACGTTCATATACCATCAAACGCAACTCCTTTGGTAGATCGAGAAATCGAAATGGTTGACTCGACGAGGTTGTGGAGTATTCTGGGGTAGTGGAGTCTGACATATCCATGGCTGAGGATGAGACATCGATAGCTGAAGTTGATGGATTCATGGCTGAGGTTGATGTAGCGTTGACTCTGAGATGGTGAGCAGGAAGATAAGATATCTGAGCTAACAATAGTGATACGGCTTGATTCTTATACGTTGAGAAAAAGCCCAAACAACAGTTGCTGTGCACGGTGCATGTACAAGGCGTAGCTCGGCCATGTCCCACTCAAGCCGTTTTCCAGGGATGAAGCTGCCATCGACTAACAAGTGAGGCTCGCATACCAACCCGGTCCGGACAGCCGAGCGGTCGTGTCGTCCGGACAACATTAGGAAGGGGAAAGAGATCTACAGAGAAGGCAGTGCTGCGTGTCTGCGCCAGCTTCTGGGAGCTTGCATGTAGCAGTTTCAGCATGGACGACCAACCACACGGAAACAGCGTTTCAAGCATGGAAAAGAGTGGACGTGGAAACAGGTGAGGTGCGCAGGTTATTAGCCAGGAACAGAACAGGGATGCCGGATGAAGACGGGGGATCGGCGAATTCTAAGATAGAACGGCGACAGGGGTAGCTGTAACACGTGAGGAGTGGGCCGAGTAACTAAAGAACAACGCAGCCTGCAGGAAGGACTGGAAAGTGATGCTGATAGTGAGCTCTTACTCTGTCTGACTTTCTCGTCACTTTCCATGCTCTTGATTATGATGACTGTTGCTGACTCATTCTACTACCCCGTGATGGCGCTTTGACCAATGATGTCAGCTGAATCTGAACGCTATCACTCAGTCATCCGCACGCTTCCTTCGCAACATGAACGCTCTTCTAAACGGCCCGTTACACATGAGACTAATGCACCCCTCACGCACTACGCAGTGCTCACGCGCGCTGCCCTGCTGTTTTCTGTGCAGTTGAGACGAGAGCAGATATGGCGAATGCAAACGATAAGCAATCAGATACAGTCATGTCGACCATGGCTCGACTCCCAGCTTCAACGAACGATAGCGCGATAGATGATAATCTCGTCTTCATCTCCTCCGATCTCGAGGCAGAAGAACGTGGCCGCCTCAAACGCCGCCGCAAGTCTTCGCACTCTCCCCGCCGCGCCTCTTCTCCCTCACGAGGCCACGACCGCACAAGCGGCTCTCGATACCGGCTTCACCACCGGAAACATCATCGTCCTTCTTCACCTTCTTCTAGTGTTTCTCCTCCGACTATCGCGCAGAAGAAGCATAGACGAAGGAGTGACGCTGAGCTTGATCATACGTTTAGGGGAAGGGTGAGGAATAGAGGTGCGACGTTGGAGGAGGGTGTGGACGAGGATGAGGCAGAAGGACGGGAGGATATCAGGGAAAGGAAGCGAAGCGCGCCGCCTAGTCGGAATAGAGAGGAAGGGGTAGATGGAGAGGGTATGAGGAGGCAGAGGAGCTACCCGAACTTGTACAAGGAGGAGAGGAGGGACTCGAAGATTACTGACGAGGAGAGTCTGGCTCCTACAGATAGTGTGATAGTAGATGGTGTTGTGCCTGTTGTGCAGGGTGCATAGGGATACACTACCAATATGCTTTTGTAGCTTTGTAGAAGTCTTTTCGAAGGGCGTACGGCGTATGGATTCTACTCGAAAGTACTTTGCTTCTACAAGTGCTTCTTGCAGATTGTTAAATTCAAACGTCTAAATATGTAAATTCTCAAAATTGGCTCCCCTAGAGAATAAGATGTATTCCATTCAAGCCACAATCACACTGCATCACGTTTGGTTTGGGGTTGACATTGTCGCCCAGCCCATTCCAGGCACACGACAGCTCAGACCCCGCTAGTAAGACGTGGACGTGGAGCTGTTATGCACCGAGTTACCTTCGGCCAGCCAGCCTCGTCTCATAGTCAGTCGGGAGTGGCTCTACGGGCAAAACCATCGATCCCAGCATTTCTCCTAATAAATACTCGTGCTTGCTCACCTCATCATCTAGAAGTTTCCACAACGCGCTCAAACCGCCCCACTCACTCTCGCCCGTACCAATCACCACAGCTAAACTCCGACGTCTCCTCCGCCTCCTCCACGCCCTCTACGCTCACTCCCCATTTCCCATCCACGCGTGACGCAGAATGGCGCCAGGCAACGAGTATGCCGCCGAGCAGCTGAAAACGCAAGGAAATCAATGCTTTAAGAATGCCGATTATGATGGCGCGGAAGCGTACTACTCGCAGGCCATCCAGAAGAACTCCAGCAACCCGCTACTGTTTACAAATCGGGCAAACGCGCGGCTGAAGCTGGAGAAGTGGGAGGGAGTTATCGATGATTGTATACGGAGTATCGAGCTGTTGAAGGATAATATGAAGGCGTTTTTCTATCTGGGTAGGCTGCATCATACCACTATTTATACATGCGCGCATGGAGGGGGGTGGCATGGGGCTGACAATCTATGTAGCACAAGCACAACTCAGTATCAACCACCCTAATGAAGCGCTGTCCAGCGCCCTCATGGCCTACGAACTATGTACTACCTCTGCACAACAAACATCCAACGCCGCCACCATCTCCGCCCTCGTCCTCAAGTGCAAGAAAGCCAAGTGGGACATCCGCGAGCGCGAGCGCGTACGGCGACGCGGCGACCTCCTCTCCGACCTAGAATCGCTGCTCGAAACGCAGTACAAGAAAGATATGGACGAGGTGGACGCGCGGATAGAATCCAACGCCGTCAGCCGCGCCGACGGGCATGAAGAGAAAGAGGAGCGCAAGAGCGAGTTTGAGAAGAAGCGCGACGACCTCCGAACCTCATTCGCCATCTCCGACCCGGAGCACCAGCAGAAGCGCGAAGTGCCCGACTACCTCGTCGACGGGATAACATTCGAGATCATGCACGACCCGGTTGTGACGAAGAACGGCCGGTCGTACGAGCGCGCGACGCTGATCGAGCATCTCAAGCGTAGCCCGACGGATCCGCTGACGAGGGAGACGCTGACGATTGCGGAGCTGAGGCCGAATATCGCGCTCAAGGAGGCGTGTACGGAGTTTATGGAAATGAATAGTGGGTGGATCTATGATTGGTAGGTCTTGACGGCTTCTTTGTTGGCCTGTGCTGTGAGCGAGAGGTATGTGGATGGGAGGGGTGGGGGGTTGGAGAGTGCCTGCTGACGCGCAGTAGTGAGGAGGGAGAGGTGGATGGGGATACCCGGTGGGCGCATTTGTCGCATGTCTGAGTGTGTTTTGGAAGTCTGGGTTGAGATGGGGTTCGTATTAGGGGAATGGGGTTTGCATAGCCTGGCGTTTGGACTCGACATGATATTGATCGCAACAGACGGGGTTGGCGTTCCATTCTCACGAACATTGCTTTGCTCGTGTCTTCCTCGACTATGCACGAAATCTGTACTTGCGTTATCGGAGGACTTGTGCTGACCCTTGATGCTTTTCTGAGGCGATGGCTTGACTAAGCGAGAATCGACATTGCAACTCCAATCACGCAGCGTCCAAGCCAACAACAGCAATTGCGTAGCTGTTGGCCGTCTCCCGGGCAGCAAAGTGCCCTCGCGACCATGAACACGGCCGTGCAGATGCGGGCCCTCCGCGTTCGCCCTTCCATCGCCCGCTGTCGCCCTTCCCACCGCCCGTTCCTGCACCCCACGAGGTCTGTGACCATTGCTGCCCACGAGGCCGCGACCAACGTCCGCTCGGCCGGCACTCGCACCAAGAACCTCATCTACGGCAGCGTCATCACCCTCGGCCTTTCCCTGGGCTACCTCTACACCACCGACACGCGCGCCAGCATCCACGAATGGCTCATCGTGCCCGCACTGCGCCAGATCTACCCCGACGGCGAGGATGCCCACGAAGCGGGGACCCGCATGCTGAAGGTGCTGCACAGCTTTGGCCTGAATCCCCGGGAGCGCGGCAACGACGACGGGGCCGGTGATCTGGCCGTCGAGGTTTTTGGGCACAGACTGGCGAACCCGATTGGGACGTCGGCAGGTATCGACAAGGGCGCTGAGGTTCCGACACCGCTGCTGCAGCTGGGCGCTGGGCTGGTCGAGGTCGGCGCTGTGACGCTGTTGCCGCAGGAGGGGAACCCCAAGCCGCGAGTATTCCGCCTGCCGAGCCAGAACGCCTTGATCAACCGCTATGGATTCAACTCGGAAGGTGCAGAAGTGGTCGCTATGAGGTTGCGTCAGCGCGTGAGGGAGTTTGCATACCACGCTGGCCTGGGCATGGATGAAGACGCGGAACGAGCGGTGCTTGACGGCGAAGCTGGCGTGCCTCCGGGGTCGCTCATCTCTGGACGCCTCATGGCTGTCCAGGTCGCGAAGAACAAGACAACCTCGGAAGAAGACATTGAAGCCGTGGTCCGCGACTACACGACCGCCGTGAGCCACGTGGGGAAATACGCCGACATCCTCGTCGTCAACGTCTCGTCGCCCAACACGCCCGGTCTGCGCACCCTGCAGAACGTCGAGCCCCTAACTCGCCTCCTCTCGGGCGTCGTACAAGCCGTCAAGAAAATCGACCGCAAGACCAAGCCCGCCATCATGGTCAAAGTCAGCCCCGACGAAGACTCAGAAGAGCAAATCTCCGGCATCTGCGAAGCAGTCTGGGACTCTGGCGTCGACGGCGTCATCGTAGGCAACACAACCAAGAAGCGGCCCGACCCCCTCCCAAAAGGCTACAAGCTCCCCAACGCAGAGGCACGCCTCCTCCTCGAACAGGGCGGCTACTCGGGCCCGCAGATGTTCGAGCGCACCCTCGCCCTCGTAGCAAAATACAGGAGAACTCTCGACGACGGACCGAAAGCCGTCCCTGCGCCTGAAAAGCCGGCGAAAACATCCTCCCCAACGACGAAAACTACCTTCCACATCGATGAGGCTACACCTTCGTCCAATATCGACGACCTCGCCGAATCGGCCCCAACACTCACCGTGCATGCCACGCCTGACACCGCGCCCGCACCGCAAACCCCGAGGAAAGTCATCTTCGCGACGGGTGGCATTACGAATGGACGGCAGGCGAGAGAGATTCTAGACGCGGGTGCTAGTGTAGCGCAGGTCTACACTGCGTTGATTTATAGCGGGGCGGGCACGATTAGCAGGATCAAGAAGGAGATGAGGGAGGAGGCGGCGAAGCAGGGGACGGTTACGAAGAGGTAGGTAGGTTGGGGGATGTGTGGGTGGGGTGTTGATGGAAGTAGGACTGTGCTGAATGTAGGAATATTCATGGTGTTGTGCTGTTGCTTCTCCTCATCCTTCTCTTTGTTCTTCTCCGTTGACGCATTCTTCGGTTTCAAACTCGTACTTTGTCGTGCCCGGAGACTCATATACGCTTTATATATCTGGCCTGGTACTTCAGACCCATGCGCTGAGGATCAAGGTAAATGTGTATTCTCATCATATCTCGTTCGTAGTCGGAATTTGGTCTTCACGTTTGGCGCTTTTTCCGATTTTGGGGTGAAGGAAAGAGAGATCTAACGATGAATTGCCGTTTTGGAGCCTTGAATCAGTCTGTGAGAATCAGCCTCGCCACCCCGCATCTCAGCTCTTGCTACATGCAATTTGGGGATGGTCATGGTAACGGGTTTGTCACTGTCCTCTCGGAACACTCCGGTTACCATCCCGCGTCGGATTTAAGATATAAGCGCCTACGTCATTACTACTTTGACAATGTCCACACGTCGAGTTGAACTTTTCATGACCAGTCAAGAGATTTCCAGGTGATACAGATAGTAGACAGAAGTTCATGCAGAAACACGTAGTACGATCTATCTGCACGTCCGTTACACCAAGGTTTGCTCCTCTTCATAGTAATCTCCCCATCCTTGGAGTTCACACTTCACGGTATCGACCCAACAGTTACGTTTTACGAAAGTCAGATCAGTGTACCCAGTTTCCACCCAAGAGGCAACCATCCTTTCAAAACATACGGTCCAGTTCAAGCAAAGCAAGACCCAAAATGACAGACTGCACCACGCACCCCCTCGCCGGCCTATGGCAGCCAACCCAACTCCAAAGCCTGCACTACGGCTCCGGCTCAGTGAAGAAGCACCTACTAGACTGCCTCCCAAGCGAAAAGAGCAAAGCATTCATCATCACGGGATCCAGCCTCGCGACCAAAACCCCGCTGATAAAACAAGTCGAAGCCCTCCTCGGCGACAGACACGCCGGCACATTCAGTAAGATCGGGCAGCATGCGCCCGTCGCACAGCTCGACGAAGCGACTTCCCTCGTCGAAAAAGACGGGTCTGTAGATACTGTGATCAGCATCGGCGGCGGCAGTCCCATCGACTCCGCAAAAGCCATCAGCTACCGTCTGCACGACAAAACAGGGAACTGGCTCTTCCACATCGCCATCCCCACCACGCTGAGCGCAAGCGAATGCACAATGATGGCCGGCTACACGCAAGCCGACGGCATGAAGACGGGCGTGCGCGCAAAAGAACTCGTCCCCGCCGTCATCCTCTACGACGCCTCGTTCGCGCTGCACACGCCGGAGCGGCTGTGGCTCGGCACCGGCCTGCGCGCACTGGACCACGCAGTCGAGCTCCTCTACCACCCGACGTGCTCCGAGGCGCCGGGGCGTTGGATGGCACTACAAGCTGCAGCGAGCTTGTTCAAACACCTCCCCGCGTTCAAGCAGAATCCCAAGGACGAGGAGGTGGCAACGCAGCTACAACTCGCCGCCTTCGCCTCGTTGGGCTTCATGGGGTACAATATGAAAGGCGGACTTGGCCTCTCGCACGCCCTGGGCTACGCTCTCGGCTCCCCGTACGGTATCCCCCATGGGATTACCTCGTGTCTTACGCTGGGCCATGTCGTTAAGCTGAAGGCTGCGGACCCCGAGGCCGCGGCGCAGGTTGCGCGTCTGCTCCCGTTTATCGGCGAGACGGCGTCTGGAAATGCGGGGAAGGATGCGGAGACAGTTGGGGATATGATTTTGGAGCTGGTGGGGGACCTGGGGCTTGATGCCGATTTGAGGAATTACGAGGTTGGGAGGGATCAGATTCCTGTTATTACGAAGAGGGCGACGGGGCAGGAGGGTGGGGAGGTGTTTGAGCGGGTTGAGGGTTTGGTTAAGGGGTTGTTTGTTTAAAGGAGAAGAAAGAGAAGAGACAAAGGGGGTTGCTGGTGTGGAGGTTGGTGAGGGGTTTGTATCTGTACTCCAAGCGAGTCATATCGTTCTGTAGAAGTTAGTTGTCGTGTACTAGATTGTGAACAACACACTCAAATAATTAGTTTCTCTTTCAGTCTGTTGGTTCGTGAGCTGTTGAGCCAGTCCTGTTAGTTTGGGAGCTTCGAAAAGGGCTTGCATTCTTCTTCTTAGCGGACGGAGAATCCGGTGTCTGGTCAGACACACTTCAAGATGAGAGATGGGTTGGCGTGTGACGGTAGAAGTGACTGGGGCTGAAAGGGAACAGTGACAGGGTATCCGTAGTTGACGTGGTAGTAGTACATCGCACTGCGCTGTGCTGGAGATAGACTTGTTATATGCATTCCACTCCAGAGTTGGCCGCAGAGGACCTGATCAAGGGACGGTTATACAGGAGTAAGGGTAGCGTATATATGTTTTCTTACACCTGCTTGGAATGATGCAGCGTGTATGTGGATTTATTTCGCTTTTGGTGTTTATTATTGGTCTGAGAACCTTGTTCGCACTGTTGGCTAGGATGGCGAATCTTGAGTGCTCACCGCTTGAGATAGCGTCTCGGTACATATCCTCTCTGTGTCTCAGCAAGAACGTTAGGATGGTGTAGATGGATAGTGCGGTGAGCGAAGTTTGGGGGACTACTACTGTAACAGATCGGTATAGTACGTATATGTACGGGTGTGATGTGTAAGGTAAGAGAGCTAGCTACGTGGTTCGTGCCTTATGTATGTATCAAGACCCGTGACAACTACTATCATAAGATTAAACGTTGCTGTGGAAGTATCAGGTGGACGGTTCAGGGGATTGGTACAATGACTTGCGAGATACACCCGAGTTGGTGTCACTTCAGTTCCAAGCCCGGGTTTCTGGAAGTAAGGAGCGATTGGTCGGTGCTTACTTTACTGATAGAAGGCCCGGGTTTGTGTGACAGCAGGCATTTCTCGCACCTAGTGCTGATGAGGTCAAGATTCGCAGGAAGAATAATTCCGGCTTATGCACTCGAACTGTTCGATACAAAAGATTCGCGAAGAAAAGGGTTGGATGGTAGGTCTTGGTATTCAATGGTATTGGTGTTATCGAATACCTGGAAGTGTAGTCATTTGTCGAGTAGTACGTCAATCAATAGATGTATAGATACAGAGAACACCTGCGTTGAAGATCAGATCCTGATTTGCAACGCCGCATGGCACTATCACGCTCTGGGGTTGTGATAATATGGGTGGAAGGTGGATGGCACATGTGCGATTGGCATATATCCCCGCCGTGTGTATGTGTCAGAGAGATGATGAGGATGCAAGTAAGCGACAGACATCTGATTCATGTAACACCTTTAGGCATGTGAGACGATGGTTAGAGGTCTTCTGCAAGTGGTGAGAATATGGATTGCATGACCTCCGCATTCTATCAGTCAACAGCTCTGGCTAGACCCGCTTTCCACGCATAGCGAAGATCCGTCTGCTCGGCTAGATGTCCTTGAACTTCCTAGGCGTTTGGTATTCTGTATCAAGAGCAGCGCAGAAATGTCGTAACGTCGTAGAACCAATCACATGTTACCAACTCATAGGGCTGAACATGGGTTTCTGCAGACCGGATACCTTAACCGGATGTTTTTCATAGGCCAGCGAATGGCCGACAACAGCTCACTTCTGCACGCTTGGGCCGATGAAGGTAGTTCACATTCCCCATGTGGTCGACTTGTGGGAGTGCATGCGAACCCTGCAGCACTCCATATGTAAGAGATCTCGATGCAATTGCCCGCACGTCATTTGCAGGTTCTGTAGGCGAGAGTTGCGTCCCGGCTAAACCCCACCAAATCGGGCGAGGAATCCATTTGAGTTTGATTTCTATGTAACTTCGGAGATGTAAGCGCTGCCGAATACCTTGACCTGAGGATTTCCTGCGGAATACAATACCATGCCGTACCGTGGTGTCGTAGGAAGGTCGTTCAAACGTCTCAGGCAAATGTAACATACAGCAAGAGCCTTAGAAGAGGCTCAGAAAACTCGGTCGTGTTGTCGGACTGTGAAAGAAGGATGTGAGATCGGTTGTTCGAAACTGTCGTCCGCGATGATGCAGTATCTAGCCAATTACATGCATTACTTGGCTCTGCCGATCTTGCATCTAACTGACAACATCAATTATTCATCAGTCTTACATCTGGATCACTTCCTGCTCTTCGAAACACGAATCCCGCAACGAACTTCAGTGTTGCGGCCTGAGGTTATCGAGCCGTTCTGCGCCGTATCTGACTTGATCCTAACGTCCATCGATGCAACGTGGGGAACCTGATGCATGTGACGGCCACTTGTTCTCGCGTTGGTGAACAGATAGAGCGAAAGGTGCAAAGTCGGTGACGGCGGTTATACCTTGCAAGCCACACGGGTGTAACTAGCCCAAAGCAACACCTTTAGGCGACTGGATCTCGGCCCGCGGTTGCGATCACCAATGTGAACGCAACTTCCTGTGGTACTTTTAGATCGCTATTTTCCAGGCACAGCTCAATGCTACCTTGGATCGTGTACCCCTCTGATACCGCAAGTTGTCCCCATGGATCTTGTGACGCTCTCTTTATCAGACCAGGACTGATGGCTAAGGTAGGAGGATGCACCAGATAACCCATCCTTCATCTTGTCTAGTGTACCAATTTTAGTTGATACCACTTTCACCACGATAGAACAGGAATTTCAGCCCTACCATGCGTCTTGACAAAACATGCTTGAATAGGCAAGTTCTGGCGACGTAATCGTTCAAACGAGAGCTGCATGTTCAACTTGTGGTACTAATCGTGGTTTAGTATGATACATCTGCCAATCATTTATCAAAGACCTGATACGGTATAGCGTACACTGCTGCCGACCCCTGCCTCTACGACTCACCGGGGGACCAGAATAGCGACAACCAGCCGCACCGCTGAGCCGTGCTGCAGGTGTATGCCTACGGAAAGACCATGTCCCCACATTCGTCAAGCCGCACTCTGCACCCACTCTCGAATATCCCGGGTCCATCCGTAGCCGTTGATGCACGCGCTATCATATTGGCGGACAAACCCCTTCTCAAGGCTTCGACCCATTAAAGCCGATAGGGAAACGCGCCCGTTGTATAAGATCTCAACTCCCCCACGTTGTGTGGACCGACCTTTCTTAACACCCAAGCAACCTAACATCGACTGTACTCTCTACGAGCGTCCCTGACCTGCCAACTAAAAGTTATACAATTGGATAGCCAGATCAAAATCTCGGCTCAGAACAACCATTGAAAACAACAACAATAACCCCCCTCATCACTCCACACACACATCACACAATGGATTCTCAGTCATTCAATTACTGGCTATCACACGGCAGTTACGTGCCTCCGCAACAAGCCATAGTATTCGATTTGCCTCCGGACCTTTCTAAAGTTCCCAGCTTGAGTGAATCTCCAGTATGCACATAATCAAACCTATCCTTGAACTCCACTCTAACCTCGCAAAGGTCTCCTCCACATTTGATCAGTTCCCCACGCCAGTGCCTCAGGTCTACTACCCGCAAACTATGGACGAGCCAGTGCAGTTCGGATCATATCCCTTACCAATGACTCCATCAGATCTTGGGTCAGATCGCGGTAGTCCTTACAGTAGTCCCCGTCCACTACCACATACAGAGCAACATTTCGCGCAAATTCCTATTAGTGTGCCAGCCGAGAGGGTACATACTACCTCAGGGGTAGGTTCATGTACACCTTCTGATTCTATCAAAATCTAACTGATTTGCAGCGGCGACGAGCTCAGAATCGCGCAGCTCAGCGCGCGTTTCGCGAACGCAAGGAGCAGCATGCTCGCAACCTCGAAATTCAGCTAGAAACTCTCACAGACAAGTACAGCAACCTCGAGGTATCGCACCTGGAACTTAATATTGCGTACGAGAAGTTACGGAAAACCATTGAGCTACTCACACAAGACGATGACGCTGATGGTGAAGATGAGGATGGTCAGAGCACCCGCAGGAGAAATAACAACTCAGATACCCTGCGAAAACTGTTGGATATACTACATGGCGAGTTCAAGGGTACCCAGTCCATCAAGGCTGAATCTGTTTAGTCTATTGCGAGATGGCGCTGGAGCGTTGGTGACTATTCTCTACATTACTTCCTTTCCTGTCTATACCCCGTTTACTTTTACTTTTGTAAGCTGCTTTGGTCAACTCTCTCTTCCACTTGGAGGGGAGACACAACGAGGTGCTAGTTGAGCCAACCTTCTTTCAACATCGTCACGAGCGTCGTGGAACACAACAAAATGTCACCACGGTAGGGGACGAGATATGCATAGTCGAAGATATCATGACAAGCAACGATAAACCCGTTTATCATGTCTCTACTTTACGGTATTGAAGCCTGTGAATAGCCTCTCTAGAACTTCACTATTTTATTTCCTAAGTTCATTGTGCATAACAACGTAAGGCGCAAACTCAGAGGTGTTGGGGTTTGGTGTCGTACAGGGACTTCATTTCTAATGATCTCCAAATTTCCACCAATAAATGATCATATAGCTCCGGTCGGAGTATGTCCTATCTTGTATTTGCGCCACACCTGCATGCTCACTAGACCCCAATGGGCCCCAAACGTCTATGAAAGACGAGATCTGTGGCTTTAAGCAGTTGCTATTCGCACAATGAATCCCGGGCGAATGGAGACGCCGATGAAGCTCCAGACCGGTGAGAAACAGAGTATGTAATGCTTGGACCGTGTTCTGACTAGTGGATGTGATTGGACTTCAAACACTGACAAGCATCAGACTCAATTTTGCCTGAAAGCCGTTCGTTACCCCCTTGCTAGCGTTATCCCAAAGGGGCCAATTCATACGGTACTCGGTAGGGCTGGACCCGTTCCATGAGTGTCTGCGGGGGAGTTGGGCCATCTCATGGGTCATCGGTGAACACGAATAGACAAACTTGACCAGTTTCTCAACGAAAATAACATGCATAGAGTAACACGTACACGTTCTGCGAAGCTACCATGAGTATTGAGGGTGCAACATGTACAGAAGGATGCATCGGAACCTTGAAGGTATGCGCAAGCGAGCGTAACCTCAAGTAAGAACAGTAGGAGCAAGCCAATACATAGAAGAGCTATGTGCTGTTCAGCGCTTGTCGTCACTACTAGTGGGGTTATGAAAGCGGGTCAATGATCACCTTTTTCTGACATGCAGGAATCAATAAGGGCGAGAATAGAAATGGTACCTTTTTCCTATATGAGCTTCGCTAAACGTTGGAAAAGCTTAGCAAGGCTCGCTTGCCCTTGTAACCCCCAAAAATAGCTCGTCTATACGAAGCATCGCACAACGGTTTGCGGTTAGAAGAAAGTGAAGGATTGCGGTGCGTGTTCTTCTACCGTCGCTGCATATGTATCAATATGGTGCTTAGAGTAGGCAATGTACAATATTTCAACCACTTTGGACAGTAACAAAGCTGTCTGCAGCAAACCTATGCTCTCGAATTGGCATCAGAATGCGACGATACGGTACATGTGGCGGGGAAAGTCCAGGTCTCAAGATGAAGTTGGTAAAACCCATTGGGGCGTTTCGCGCGTCTTGCGGAGTTGGAAAAACGCCCATGACTATCTCTATAATCGGTAGCTTGGGCCGTAATCAATTCGCTTCGCGAAGTGGGGGCCGATTTTCATAATAGAGCCGTTGCTGAATTTGAAAACCTGTAGCTAAAATAGTGTCAGATTTAAAAAGGCGTAACAGAGAGTTTAGAAGATCTCGGCACAGGGGAACAGACAGAACGACTCACGTTTGAAGGTTGAGTGGATCTGAGTGCAAATCAATGTTACACGGGATAAACTCACAAAGCATAACTGTGACCGTGATTCTGTTTACTCTTTTAAAAAGCTAACAGAATCTCACGCGGGAACCATGTAAGATCAGTGCTGTAACCCTCAACTGTGCCACTAAGAGCTCAACTACAGCCTGAGTTTTTCATTAGTACTGGTTTCGTAGTTTGAAGCGAGATTACCGTTTAGAGATGAAAGAAGCAGGCGCGTGGAAGTCACCCCAACTTTTAGTTTCCGTCGCTAGCGCAAAGCGGGGTTCACGAAGGACAACGTCATCCACTTTACCACTCTCGGTCACAACTACAAACATCTGTAAGAAGCTATTTAAACAATCACGTTCTTGTTTCCTTTTGAACTAACGATCATGAGCTTGGTTCCACTAGGTTGATCAACTCATTGCGTTGGCGCGGCGTCCGCATTCCTCGTCTTCCTCATCCAGCTCGATCTCACGGGGATGGACTCGTCTAATATTGTTTAAAATCTATCACAGTTCTGTTGGATAAGGCAGCAATGGGAAGGTGCCAATGCTGTACTGGTCTCACTATCAACAACCTCATTGATCTTGTTCCAATTGAACTTGCCGGCCACGATTTCCCACAGAAGGATTTTTATCAGCACCATGATTCCATTGAAGACCTCGAAAACTCGGCCAACGAAGGATGTGACTTTTGTGGGTTCATTTTGGAATGCTTAAAGGGATTTCGGGACACTGACCGCTGGATTGCGGACGAGTGGGAGGGTGCGGGTCTTCAAGTCGAAGACTCATTGTATACTGCTGCAAAGAAGTTGCCGTTCTCACACATCAAGTTCTGCATCACATCTGCAGAGCTAAAGATCGACAGCACTCTGGCAGATGTTCGCGCATATGATCGCCTTCTAGTCCAAGTTGGTCCAATCAAAGATTATGGTAATGATTACGATCTTGAAGTCGATGATCAACCCGAGTTCCCGTTAATTTGGCTGAGGCTGAGCATTCCGAGAGATAGGCCTCTGTTCTCGGGACATTTGCGAATAGGCCGTTATCAGTTGGACGAGCAGCTAGAATCTGACAGCAACATGACCATCGCAACTACATGGCTACATGAATGTGAGATCATGCACTCGGGCTGCCTTTCCGGCACTCTTCCAGAGCTTCCGACCCGTGTTATTGATGTTGGAATAGATGACTTGGAGATTCTCCGCATCGTTCAACCTAATAAACTGAGGGCCAAGTATGTTGCTCTGAGCCACTGTTGGGGAGGATGCATCACGCCCGTGCTGTCAAGCAAGATGATGGAAACGTTCCAAGAAACGCTGCCGTTCAGTGATCTTCCACGTAATTTCCGAGATGCGGTTACCATTGTCAGACGACTGGGAATTCAGTATCTGTGGATCGATTGCCTTTGCATCGTACAAGACTCGAAGAAGGATTGGGAGCAAGAGTCCAAGAAGATGGGTTCTATATATCGAGACTCGACAGTCACGATATCGGCACTAACCTCAAAAGGCAGTACGCATGGGATCCTAACGAGGGAGTCTCCAACACAGGCCCCGTCACCCCGACCAGTCCGCATAAAGATGTCCATTGATAATGCCCAGGAAACAGTCCAGGTTGAGCGCGAAGGCTTTGACGACGAAAACTTGCATTCGCTAGACGCATTTTCCATTCTCTCTTCTCGTGGCTGGTGCTTGCAAGAATCGATCCTTCCGCCACGACAGCTCTACTACGGCAAACGACAGATCTACTGGCGCTGTCCCGCCGGTTATCGTAGCGCTGACGGAGCAACATCAGGCATGCAGGTACCGGAAAATCGGTTTGAGCATCTGTCAAGTGTTATCTTTCATGATATATCATCTCCAACTGCAAAGACCTCATATCCCGACCTCAGGTGTCTTCTTGAAGACTATTACGGGCTAGTCGAACAGTATTCTCATCGACAACTCAGCTTTGGCTCTGACAAGTTTCCCGCGTTCTCGGGTATTGTGCAACGCTTGCACGGTGTGTTGGGTGGGAAATACCTAGCCGGAATATGGAGCTCGGATCTGGCATTGGGTCTGTTGTGGCGTTCTGAGATGAGTACTTGCGAGCATGTGCAACCCTATCGTGCGCCATCATGGTCATGGGCGGTTACGGACGAGCGGGTGCAGTTCGACAACAAAGACGGCCTAAAAGATACATCAGCGACTATCGAGCTCATCGACGATAAGATCGTGTTAGGCGACGAAAGCAATCCTTACGGCCAGGTCACATCGGCTTCCATCACTGTACGAGGTTTCACGATGTCTCTGAAACGTAGTCGACAATACGTAGACAAACGACTCTCCTCTTACTATAGTGGTTATGGATACTGGGACGAGGCTTCAAGCGTTGATGAAGATTTGTACCCAGAGACACGCGGGCAAACGCTCACGAGTCTACTTTTGGCCAGCGATCAGGACAATGTGTACATCTTGTCGATTACAGTACGTGGCTGGGGGGAGGATGTAGATGCTGATCTGGAGATCGATTTCACTGCTATCCAAGAGACATGTCTTGCATTGTTAGTACATGTGGATGAGAAAAATGACGGCCAGGGACGTACATCTTCGCCCTTGCAGGGTCTTATCCTTAAGCCGGTCATCGAAGATTCAACAGATATGGTCGCTACATTTGAAAGAATGGGAATGTTTTATTTCGATCCAATGCAACTGTCGCGGCTAGAAGCTTGGGAGCGCAAAACCGTAAGGTTGGTGTAGATAGTTTGAAAATGATCGGCCTAGACCTTGTACCATGGAACCTTGTCTTGTATGAGGCCATGCCGACGGCTTAAGTTATTATCACGCTTGCAAGCTCATTGTAAAGCTCAGACAATGCAAACAGTAACCAAATCATGAGTGTTACTGTATAAGTCTAGATAAGTAGACAAATCGTAGCTCATGAGCCTATTTGAATACTAGCAGATAGACTTGATAACATAGTTTTCTCATAGTCTGCTGTTGAAGAGGCCTTCTCACAGCTATCATTGACTTTTCAAGGTGCGACACAGAAGATTAATTGCTCTTTAATATAATCTGGGAGTCTTGAGTTCTTACACAAGTAATCTTTGCCTTTTCTCTACAGTAAACACTTTGCGATGGACGACTTGTCAACTACGAGGGCCTCTACTGTGCTCCACGATTGAGGTAGTATGAATAGCAAGCATGCTGCCGGACAGAAGAATGAGATAAATATGACAATCCAAGCAGTGGTGAGCCGTAGTTTCTGCTGGCGGATTGTGTATGTCCATAAGTGGACATCAGAGGATCCGGAAGACCGTTCAAGACCGAGGAACCATACGAGAATATAGTCACCCAATTTCCAGAAGCTGACGACTGAGCTGACGATACTCTATCGAATTCTGAGTAAATCGGTTGATTTGTGGCTACTTTGGATAACTCCCAGAGTCACCATGGAAGATGGTCGCTTCTTGGTGTGGGATTGGCTCGAGACTGTGCGAGATTAGAATGTAAATTTTGACAAACGCCATTCTTCCATCAAACAACACAACAGTTGTCTCATCCGAAATAGTATAGTGGCTAGTATACCCCGCTCTCATCAGATCATCAGAAACGATAGTGCCGGGGAGACCGGGGTTCAATTCCCCGTTTCGGAACATTTTTTGTTTTGCCCTTTTGCTGGATTGTCTTTCAATCTGCCTTTTTGTCGACATACACTCTTTTCCGTTTCTTTTTGCAGATCTCGCCGCTTCATGCTTGCAATCGATAGGTTCCCGTCTCGGAACGATCTTCGTAGTCTCTTTTGCACTATCTCCTCGCTCGGCATCCATCCACGAGAACTGGGAGGCTCAAGTGAGTTTGGACGTCTGCTGGTTGCCAGTATATAGCAGCTTGATGAGCTATGATCCCACCTTGTTTTAAGGCTTTGCTCATGTAGGTTTGATTGTGGTATCTGCCCAAGCTCTGAAATGCATGTGGCCGTCTCAAACAGTCAAGCAACGATCACGAATCAAACCAGTCAATCAAGATGAGCGCAGAATTGCCAGATCATGAAGAGTGTCGTTCGGAATCCATTCGTAATAACTACCGTCAGCCATCACAGTCCATCTATTGACATTGACATTGACATGAAGCATATGCCATGTCCCAAACGCCGCTATGCAGACCTGCCCATACCCTCGAACTGACCCGTTCAAGCCTTCTTCGCGAACTCGACACGCAGGATAAGATGTCCGAAACCGACTGTGATATATGTCAGCACAGCCCAGAGCGTCATAACCACCACTGGAACACGACTTACATCCATCCATCTTCTCGCAGGCCTTGGCGGCGTCGTCTCGGTCGGCGTAACTGACAAACGCAAAGCCCTTGGCCCGTCCTGTCTCTCTGTCCTTTGCCAAAAAGACTCTTGTAACGTGTCCGTGCCTGGAGAACATGTCGCGCAGATCCTGCTCCTCGGCCATTTCGGAAACGTTCGTAACGCGTAGCGTGGCGCTGTCGTCGCGATCAAACTTGCCGCCCATCTTCTCACCCGCACCGCCGCGGCCACGAAGATGAGGAGGAACGTAACCACCGGCGCCAGTCCCCAGACCACCTTGCGCGCCACCAGGCGCATCGTCGGGCATGTCTGCGGGCGCAACGTCGCCTTCGGGGGCCATGGTGTCCTTGAAGGGGCACTTTGTGGTGAAATGGTCGCCCGAGCAGATACGGCACTTGATCTTCGCGTTCTTGAGCTCCATCTGCTTCTTCTCGTCCTCGCCCTTGTCCTCGGTGCTGGCCTTCCAGTTGGCCACGGGGCGGAAGTGGATGTTCTCGGCGACCGAGACTGTGTCTGTCTGTGGGCCCGCAGCCTTGCCCTTTTCTTGCCCGAATTTCGCCCATGCCTTGCGCTCGGCCACGCGGGGGTTCACCACCTGCTTGATGACCGTCTTCTTGATGCGGCGGGTCGTCTTGTATTTCTTGCCGTCGTCGCCGATGCGGTATGTGATTATTGTCTCGGTTCCATCCTTGTTCTTGGTGATTTGCTGCGCGGGGAGTTGAACGTCGTTGTCGTCCTCTTCTTCGGCCCAGTCGGTGCGCCTACGATGTGTTAGTGAATGCGGAATTTAAGTGTGGGGAGGTTAGATTACCCTGCTACTCGAGACATGGCTGCGGTATGTGTGGTGGGTGGGATGTGTAGGCGTTGCAGTGATGGCGATGTTTCTGTCCGTTGGTGCCGCCGATTCGAAAGTGGAAGTGGCGCTGCGTGGGGCAAGCGATATTCAAAATCTTGGCATCACACTGCCTAACCTCCACACAAGAATCACTGACAGCCATACACATGCGTCGTTCTACTATAGACAGTTAAATCAATGGTTGACAAAGAGGCAGGCAACAAGTCAAGACTGGACAGCTGTCCTGGTCATTCATCGACTCGTATCAGGCTGATTATGGATTCATCACGTAGGGTCTTCCGAGTGCGAACATGTAGCCCATATCCTGATTGAGACTCCATGGACACAAATCATGGCATGGTTGGACTAGACTTTGATTACGCTACTACTTCTGAGGATAACAAACATATCAAACCTACCCCTCAGACCCCAGATTCCACTGCACCCGGCCGAGCTTGCCGTAAGACTGACCAACAGGCATAGGCTTTGGTTGCTGAATGACATCGCTGCTCGTGCGAGGGATGAGTTGCATCGGCGCTGGCGGGTTCATGTAGGCGGACGATGAGTCGCTGTGTCCACGAAGAAATTGTGGGTGTTGGAAGTACTGCATGTGCTGGCCAGCCGCAGGAGAATGAAGGTCTTTGATGAGACGGTCGGAGGAAAGACTGTCATAAACTGTCAGTACATTCAGTAGTTGAGAAAGCGATGTCCTTACTCCTGTGGTGTTACACTGCCCTTACGACTCGCTGGTACACTGCTTGTACCAATCACACTCCCACCCACGCTCGACGGACTGTACAAGCTGCCGTTCATACTCGCAGTATTCTATGCTGCAGCATGTTGTGCTTGGGGCGTAGCTGGCAGCCATCCGCTACTGGTGATGCCCTCCGCATCCATGAGCCGCTGTAAAAGGTCTTCAGTGATGACGAGGAGATGCTCGAGAGCAGCAAGGCGCGAGCTTTCCTTTGCGGACGAGCAGTGAACGTACGACCTACTCGTCGGATTGTGTTCGACGATCGCGGCTCCTATCTTTCTTGAGGAAGCTGGGGCGAAGCTTATCACGTCGAGACAGCGATTCGGTCCATAAATCGCGCGCGCGTTCGCTCGATCCTGTCAGTAATCTCAATTGAGAGGTGGAGCAATATCACTTACCGAGCACTCTTCCCCTCGTACTTTCCAAAGAATCCTCGCTGTCCTTGTCCTCCATACGATGCAGAATCTGAGTGGCTGTCCGCTCCAGCGCCAGATTCTCGTAGCTGCTGCTTTTTCCGTGCTTCATGTCCTTCAGAGCCTCGATCATCTTGTGGCAGGGACTGAACTCGACTGACAGTCGACGATCTACTGGAGGTGGCTGAGTGGACTGATGCCCCAGAGTTGGCTGTACTTCCGGTTTGAACGCGTTTTAGCTTGTGAACGCGACTGTTCGAGTTGACACGGGTAAATGAGCTAATGGAGTTGACACGAGTGATGCTCGGCGAAGCTGAATTCGACCGAGAACCGTCGAGCTGGCGCTGGATTCTCCGTTGCTCTTTCCTTCTGCGTGCCGCTACTTTGTCTGTCCTTCGCTGCTCCTCTTCAGCCTTGCACCGCTCAATCTCGTACTTCCAGTCGATCGATTTGTCAATGTATTCTGGGCTTTTCTTGGACCAAGGGCTATATTCTACGACTTCGAGTCTTTGCTCAATATTTTTCCGACGACTTGAGCTTGAGCCGGGTGCCGAATATCTTCTGCTGATGCTTGTTGAGTACGCCGTCCCTAGGCTAGGTCTTTGACCGTCTGAGGTCGCCAGAACTGCAAAATCCTCGTCGATGGCTGCTAGGACAAATCTTTCAAGTGTTCCTTGCCGTAGCTCTGGGAATGCTCCGCAGCTCGGGATGCAGATGGAGAGCAGGTTGACGGTTGATGTCGGAGCTGTTACAGTTACTACTACGTAGGCACTAAAGTGTGGCTAGAGAATAGACACACATTACCAAGGAAGATTGCCCGCCGTGTTGGCGGTACGCGTCTGATATCGCCTGAAGGACGCAGCGAGCAGTTGGACGAGGTGAGAACGTGCTTGTGAGTCGAGGTAATGTCTGATAATGGAGAGACGGAAGAGAAAATGACCATAGAGATACGGAGGAATACGCTGGGAGTATAGGTGCAGCTCAAGTAGGACAATATTGAATCATAGCCAAACAAGCATGACCCCGTGAGAAAAAGTGGAGAGATGAGAAGGTAGCGAAGGTCGAGCGTGACGCATTGGGTTTGTTGTCGAGGCCATTGTGGGTTGTGACTGCCTCTCGCTATACCTACATTTGCGGAGCTGCCATTCTGCGAACCGAACTAATAGCGAGGCGTTCAGCGATAAAATTAACGGCAGGGACGATACTATCAGGCCACTTCGACGTATCTCTACAACTTCGTCAGACAGTCGACTTAGCCTTTGATCAGTTGGTGATTATGTGAAGCAGAGCACATGCCAGTACAAACGCGAATGAGACGTGATTGACTAGATGGTAACAAGACTGTGTGGATGTGCGAATAGGTACATGAGACTGCACGCATTATAAAGGACAAGCAAGTGACTGGACCTAACCAACCCGAGCGACGCCCGAACAAGTGTCAGGATGAATCCAGTCAGGCAATAAGTTGCCACAGATAGCTTAAACCAAGCCATAGAGTGGTCGAGGCAAAGGCGCGCAGATCTGACGACTGTCGCCAGCCCTCGACCTCGCATCCTTAAGCCCGACATACGCTTCACGTCTTGCTGGGTTACCAACCGTGACGCTCCACGTACTAAGTCCATAGTAGACACCGATATGATGCACAAGCCAACGTCCAAAGCTACCACCCACATCTTCCTCTGGCGTCTCGAAGAGCATGAGCTCGCGCTTGACTCGCTCAGCTTCCGAGTTTGCCTGGAAATCGTTCATCTGACCATTGCGTCCCACAAACACGATCTCATCGTCCTCACTATCGGGGTCAGCTGGCAAGCCGTCTTGCTCTGCCTTGCGTTCCTTCTCTTCCCAATCCGCCACAAACTTCCGTACTTCTCCCTCAAGGTCCATCAGCAGGCCTTTCGCGCCTCGGGAGCGCTTGAGTTTCTCGCGCAGCTCCTTAGGCACGACACCAGGACTCGTGGGCTTGTTGGCTACCGTCTTCGACGCAGATTTCACCGCGTTAGCGGCAACCTTGCGTTCATTCTGTTGACGCTTGAGACCAGCGTCCCAAAGTGGCGCGAGGTAGTAGGGGCAGTGGGCGACGCGGTGCGTGGGGTGGACTTCCCAATCTTTGGATGTGGGGGGCTCGGCGTAGGGATTGTTGACAAGGTGGTCTGATCAGCACTATTAGATGTTGTCGTAACATATGCAGCATCGATGCGGCGCTGCGCAAAGCGTCTCTGAGAGGGGCGAACCCAACGTACCGTTCTCCCACCTCTGCCTGCGCCGGCTGCCCTCGTTGCCCTTGAGCAGCGCTTCACGCCTCTTCAAGCTATCACGTCGTACCGGCTCCTTGCGGGGAAAGTAGCTGCCCTCCTTCGCAGCCGTGGCAGCTCCAGCAGGGCGCGCACGAGCGGGAGGCGCGTCATGCTCGTCAAGCGGAATCGCAAGCGTGACCGAGGTACCCGCCACCACCTCTCCTCCAGGGGTAGCGATAGTCACAGAGCTCAGAGCGGCAGTTGCCTGCTCAGTCCATGCCTCAATGTCAATAGGTTGCGGTGGAGCAGCCTGTTGAGGGCTGGAGGGGGTTTCGCCGATGGCCATGGTGGCGTTGCGAGTTGCCAAGTTGCAATTGAGAGGAACACAAAGAGGAAGGCGCAAAGCGGAAGAGGTTAAGATAGACAAACTTGCACTGCAAATGCCCAATGTGTAAGAGAGCAATAGACAAGAGAGGACCGAGGATGTAGGAGCGTTGTTGTTGAGTACATGATACGTTCCGAGATAGGCATCTCACTCTAGTCATGCCGTCATCCAATCAGCTTACAACGTGGGGCGATCTACCGCATCCCGGGAGAGTGGAGTAAGACAATAGGAGTCATGCCTCGGTGACTGTTCGCGGCGCAGCATGTGGAAGATTGGCAAGTATGACAGCTTCTTCAATCGATGATGGTAGATCACGCTTCGACAAACGCGATGAGCATTGTGGAAGGCTTGACGGTGACACAAAGAAACCCCGCTAGCTAAAGGCGGGCAAGCTGGGATCGATGAGACGGCGCTTATCGTGAGTCTAGAGTTGTTTGTAGGTGTATCGTGATATTCTGCCTTCTGCTATTCTACCAAACACATTCGCAAGATTCAGAGTGCCTTTGTATTTTCCTCAACCCGCTGCCAGGACTCGTAGAAGTTCATGACATCGATGCAAATTGTATACATTAAGATCCCAACCACTATATTGCGTCCACAAAAGTTGACGCATCGCGTTGATCCCGCTTTCACCTGAGTCCTCGACGGTTCCTAAATCTGAATCAGGGGAAAAAGTAATCGTATGGGTCCGGGTTTGAGTCTTCGTCTGGATCGTAATCTGGGTCATTTTCATACCGATAATCTCGATCTGATTCGGGGATGTGGGGTAGCTAGCAAGCAGAAAGTGGACTATCAGTACGGTTCATTGATCTTCGAGATCTTCTAAGAGGCGATTTTGAGGGACTCGTCATACCTTGTCGAAATGTGCCACGGCGTCTTGGTGCCATGTTGGAGGAGGAAATATGCTCGCCGTGTCAAGCTCTCCCTCTAGACGAATATAACCGTCCAAGTGGTAGTGGCATTTGAAGATCACGCGGATAATCGCACCCTCCTTCTTGAAAACATCTACAACTGGTTTAACGACTTCGAACATCTCTTTCCAAACATTCAGTCTGATGTGCCACTGCGTTACGTCGAACGTAAGCTTGAAGCCCGTTTTGTTCTTGACTTTGAGTAGTGGTTCGAACTCTTGTTGTAAACTCGGTATGTCAAGCATGTCGGTAGTTTCTGTTCCGCTGATTACTTTGCGTTGCTTTTCCATGGCTGCCAAACAATCAAGATTAACATCGATCGTCATTGCTCGCAGAACGGTCGCGGGATTGAGGCCGACGTGGAACGCATCCGTGGTGAGCAGACTCTTAATCGCATCACTAGTGTAAGCGAAAAACAGATGTCCATGCGAGATAGCCGCAGCCTTGTACCATGCCTTCACGATTTCCAAACTTGCCTCGCGTCCTACAAAATCTGGGTTCACAAAATGTGGCTTATCATCATGTGCGTGCTCACTCGTCTTACACTTGCCTTTGCTCTCTCTGCACGGTTCCTTCAAAGGCGAAAACATTCTGTGAGGCGCTGTATCGAGGGTTTCAAAATCCCACAGATGTGCATAGATCATATCCCGGAGCTCAAGGGGAAGGCGCTTGCGCATTTTGGCCATGAGTGATTGGTTGAAAGCTCTGGAGTAGGACTCGATGACGGGTTCAATAGACCTGAGGGGATGGGATCTCAGTAGGAATTCACAACGCTAGAGTGAAGCAATGTTACTTACTCGCTCAAGATTTGGTTTCGTTGCAAGATAACCTCTGCACGCTCCCAGACTAGCTCTTGGATTTCATCGTCAATATCGCATAGCCTGGATGGAATGGTCAATCAATCAGATCTAAACCGCGCCGGAAGACACCTACCTATTTGCTAAAGCGAGTTCTTTCCGCTTGCCGCTATATGAATTAGCTTGAAGCGTAACGCAACTAGGGAAGCCGTTGAACATACGCACAGATACGCTGGCGCACTTCCCGAAGCTCACTCTCCCAATCTCGACCTGGTGATCTTTTGACCTTGGGTTTGACCTTGGTTCGGACCCTGGACCGGACCTTAGTTTGAAACCGCATATTATTCCAAGAATGAAGGGTGAAGAGGCGAAAGTTGGGTGGTTCAAGGAGGTTATATCCAACGCGTCGCCTGGCATGGCACTAGCTCAGAAACCCTGCAACCGGCGATAATTAGAGTTTTGAGTGATTAGATGATGTACCTATAATCTTAGCTCGTTGATTATATGTGTTGATCTTATATAATATAATCTATTTTTGTCATAACAATACGCATCTGAAACACTCCGATGTATGTGCTACTTGCCTATTGCCTTACTGTCACCTTCCGAAATCGATACAAAGTCAGCGGGATCGGAATATCCTGCAGAAGTCTTCCTAAGTTTGCTAATTAGATCCTCTCTTGCGACAACTTAATTTCTACTTTAAGTCTCTGTATTTAGACGGTCAAAAAGATGGAATGGATAATATTGAGGTTCCCCTTCGAATCTCCATAAATTAAGATCATCAACATCGGACATTCCCTCCTATTGCACCAAGGAGTCGCCTCCGTAAGCCAATCGCTCGACGCCACACCAATCGCGCGCTTCGAAAGCTGCAACAATCTCTGTGATGGTCTTATCGATGATATCCAAACCCATGTCAGGGTCCACAAAGCCGATAGATTCTTTGATTGAACTTCGGATATATTCCTCCATGATAGCCTCTAGGAAATGCCATCGTATGCATGTTCCGCGAGCCAGAAGCTTCTCGGCGCGGAATCTACTCATTGAACGAAGGTTATTCAAGTGATTGTCGTTGAAGTATTGCACAGGACACGATGGGAAATATGATGGTACGGTTGAAAGATAATCACGTTGACATTTACTATGAACAACGGAACCGAATCAAACGCCTGCTGAATGTCCAAGAAAAGCGATCGAAACTCATATTCATAGCTTAGCCTTCGAAACGATCAACGAGTTGCTTGTCCGCAGCGCCTTGACGGCGTCGTTCACGAGCTCATCGACAATTGCCTTCGCACTCTTCTTCTCGGTGACTGCGGCGGAAACCTTGCCCATCAGATGGGGTCGTGCGTTGTCCATCATGTCATCGTCAATGTCATCGCCAAGCTTCTCAAGGTCATACTCGACAGGGAGTATACCCTTGCTAGTGAGTTCCCTAATCTCGGAGGCCCTGTTTTCTTCCCAGTCCTGAATGTACTTGTTGGTGCGAACACGCAGAGGTCGCCCCGTGAAGATGATTGTGCGAACGTTGTCGTCCCAGCCGGCAGTTCGAACGGCCTCCTGGTGGTCTTTCGAGGCACCAGCCTCCTCACAGAGAATGAATCGAGTACCAACCCAGACACCAGCGGCACCAAAAGCAAGCATAGCAGCAAGCGACTCGCCGCTGTAGATACCACCAGCAGCAACAATCTGCACCTGCTCGCCGGTCAAGGGTGACTTGTGGCCCTTGACGATCTTGACTGCCTCAGGGATAAAGACAGATGTGGGGACGTCTCCAGTGTGGCCACCACCTTCACCACCCTGTGCGCAGATGAGGTCGACGCCGAGGTCAAGGCACTTCTTGATGTGCTTGGGGTGTCCGATCATGTTCATGTAGAGAATGCCAGCTCCATGGAGCTTCTCCACAACGGCCTTGGGTGGAACACCGACCGCACAGACGAAGAGCTTGGCACCAGAATCGATGATGATGTCGATGAGCTCAGGCAGCTTGCCCTTGGTGTAGTCATAGCTATACAAGAGTCAGCCACGGAGGCCTTTTCCTAGCAGATCCATCGCCGCTACTTACTTGGTCTTGCGCGCAGAGCCACCGACTTGAGGAAGCAGTAGGTCAACACCGAAAGGCGCGTTCTTGTCCGTCAGGTATTCCTTCAACTCGGCGATCTGCTCGCGCAACATGTCTGGGGTGTACCCGATGCCTCCGAGAACACCGATGCCTCCAGCGTTGCTGACGGCAGCCGCAAGCCTAGGCCCAGCAGCCACGTTCATGCCCGCAAGCATGACCGGGTGCTGAATCTTCAGCAGGTCGGTGAGCGTGGTGCGGATTTGTTCTTGGGTTTGTTAGCTGGCGTGGTGGCTCGTGATGAGACAGGGTACATACGTGGAGAAGCCATGTTGGATGGAGTGGATATCGAAATTCCAAAGTTCAAAGGTAGAATGAGGTTCGAACGAGTGTTCCTGGAAGGCGGGTGTGGAGAAACGAAGAGAGGAGAGGAGACACGGGTCTTATGCGACGCTCACTGTCATCAGAGCCGAACCGAGGCACATGTTCGTTCATTCATGGGGTACGCTAACCCCATCCGCGCTAGGCTGTCACGCGTGAAAAACTGGGGTAGTGGAAAGACGTTACGGCCTCCGACATCCGTCCCATCACATGTCAGAACATAGCTCACACCGTGCTACTCGTGACACCAACGGTCGAATCTCGAGTTGAAAGCGGTCTGTCAGTAAGTGCTGCAATTTTCACATGACGAATCCCTTCAGCCTTTTGCATGTTTCAAATTTTGCTGACTGTGACTCCACTAGCTGAGCTTGTCTGAAAACTCGGCCGAGACATTGTTCATCGCGATCATGTCGACATGCAGGAATGGTTCGAGGACCTTGTTTGCTAGAACAAACAGAACGGCATTGCCTAGTGCGATGACTCGAAGCTTGTGGAGTAGTTATGTTAGGAGTCTTAGCACATCCTGCATCCAACATCAAAATGTCCTGTCTTCTTTGCAAACGGACAGTGCAAGGCTGCGACTCGTGCTGTGGAGGCCTTCGAAAACTCATGAGAGGCATATTGTTCGCGTTTCTCATAACCACACAAAACTGGAGCACCGTGCATTTATTGCTCTAGGGGGCAACATGGGGGACAGAGTTGCTATGATTGAGGAAGCATGTAGAGAAATGGAGAAGGGCGGAAACATCAGAATACTTCGAACAAGTAGTCTGTGGGAGACGAAGGCTATGTATGTTCTCGATCAAGATAACTTCGTGAATGGTGCTTGTGAGGTATGGGTGGTACTTCGTACTCAACAAAGGATACTGACAACAGTAGATAGAGACCTCACTGTCTCCAATTGAGCTCTTGAATGAGCTTCAATCAGTGGAAAAAAGGATGGGTCGCGTCAAGGTCATTGACAAAGGACCGAGAAACATTGATTTGGACATTTTGCTCTACGACAACCTTACACATTCAAACGAGAGGCTACAGATACCTCATCCACTCATGCTTGAAAGAGAATTCGTGCTACGCCCACTATGCGAGTAAGTATTGTGGATATTATTGAGGCCGTTGTGCTGATAGGAGCAGGATGATTCCTGAGGAGAATCTTCCATCTCATTCGTCTTCCGCAGCAAAATCGCTTCAACACAGTCTCTCACTTCTACCTCGATCGGAAGATCCACTGTCACCAATGACCCCACTCGCACCGAACCTGTCTAGTATCTCCGCTTTCCAACCGCAACGAGACACGCGAATAATGTCCATTCTAAACGTCACTCCAGACTCGTTCTCTGACGGCGGCAAGAATTACAATATCGATCAAGTCACCCTCACTAACACCATCAAATCGCATATTACGAGTGGAGCAACAATACTAGACATAGGTGGACAGTCTACACGACCTGGCGCGGTGCAAGTCTCGTCTTCCGAAGAGTTGTCTCGCATCTTGCCTGCTATCAAACTCATTCGTTCACTTCGTGAGGCGAACAATCTTGCCATTAGCATTGATACGTACCGTGCCGATGTGGCAGAAGAGTCTATAAAAGCTGGGGCCCACATTATCAACGATGTCAGCGCAGGTTTGATGGACGATGCTATGCTCCATACCGTTGCGAAGCTAGGCTGTACAGTTTGTCTAATGCATATGCGGGGTACACCAGAAACCATGAGCAAATTGACCTCTTACCCGGACGGCATAATCGAGACTGTAGGTCGGGAGCTCCTCGATCGCGTTCGTGCTGCAGAAGCAGCAGGTATTCGGCGCTGGCGCATTATTCTCGACCCCGGTATCGGGTTTGCAAAGACGCAAGAGCAAAACCTAGAAATACTACGACGTATGGGCGAGCTGAGGCAGTATCCTGGTCTACAGGGCTTTCCTTGGCTGGTCGGCACGAGCAGGAAGGCATTCGTAGGCAAGATCACAGGAGTCAAGGAGGCGAAAGATAGGAAGTGGGGTACTGCTGCTGCGGTGACTGCGGCCATACAAGGGGGCGCGGATATCGTGAGAGTGCATGATGTGGAAGAGATGGGACAGGTGGCCAAGTTGGCGGATGCGATTTGGCGAGTGTAGATGTCGTCTAAACATCAGAGAAATCTCGAAAGCTCACTGAAAGAAGGATGCCGAGTGTCTGGATTACAAAGAAAGAGAGGGATAGGTTGATTGCGCTCCTCCTTTTGACTCACATGTCCGGCATTTGTGATTGTGGATAGAAGGAGCGGAACACCAGGCGAGGATACTAATGTCAATGGTATGATTTGGTCTTGTGCACTATGTTCCTCCTCGTATGCACTCTAGCTAACATAGCCTCAATTTGAGGGTCTCATCATAGCTCTCAGTAGTAAAGTTGCAATATCCATCCACCGCAAGTCGACGTTGTCTATTGCGTTCCGTTACGGAACACTCGTCCCTCGCCCCTACCCTCTCGCCTTGACTCTCCTTGATACTCCATCGCCAAGTCCCATGGCATCTTTACCTCACCACCATCTTCGTCCTTCCGCGATCCTTGCTTAGGTCTCCACATGGCGAATATCGGTGGAGGTGTCATCTCATGCGCACACTTCCGCCACTCGTCACTCGCGTTTGGCTTCTCGGTATCGAAGCCGATCTTGAACAACGACTCGAAATCGAACTTTTCGTACAACGGCTTGCCCATAGACGACGCCTCCATCCAACACTCGAGGTCAAGCTTGTCGGCGCGAGAGACTCCTGCATTCATCAAGAGCGATCCGATACCACGGAGACGATAAGAAGGGTGAACCGCCATCCAGTTCAGCGCTATATACGGTCAGCATGCCGTTCAAAAGTTTGGGTTCTTTTTTCCAGGCGAAATCGGAGACGGGTTTAGTCTGTCCCAGGTCTGGCCTGTGTTTGAGCAAGGGCCTTTATGCTCCACTTACCACAATGAGGCCGCGTCATCCAACTTGCGTGCGCCCTGTACACCTGGTTCAAGATCGATTCACAGAACTTTCGACATTCACCCTCTGGCCACCAGGGCGCTTTGAGCTTGGGCACTCCTCCAGCAAACGGATTGGTCGTTGAGATGACCCATTGTGCGCAGCCGACTGCCTTTCCTGCGATTGTGTCGACAACGTAAAACCAGTGACCTGACGGTTCGGCTTGATGTTGACTCCAGAAACGTTCCTTGGACTCGGCAATCGCGGTTTTCCGGTGCGCAGGCGTGAAACCAAGAACAGGGAAGAAAAGTTGGATGAACGGCTCGTATGGTGTGTAATTCGCGGCCCATATAATTTCCAAGATGTCGTCCATCTCTTCTCTCGTCGCCACCTCCCGGACAACATAGCGCTCGCTCATTATCGCAAATTGATACTGAATTGAAATGCCAGCGATATCGGTCACTTAAAGCACTTTGTTAAACGCCTGAATCAGTGTCGTATCAAACGACTAGCGGGCTCGGAGATACGCAAGTGAAGGAGGATTGGATCTTGTTAATTGCCGCGTTAGGTGATTCTGCGCGCTCCTTCCTCATTCGGCGAATCTACCAAGCACTTTCCTAGCGTCTTGGGCGCAACCGAACAAGTCACACCTTACATCTTCAGACACACCGCGACGTGACCCCTCCTTCCCGCGAACCTTGTTACACATGTAGTACTGTTATCGTCTTAGACGGCTTGTGACCTTCCTTGCTTGCTCGGGCTGCGAGGTGTTTGCGACCCGCGGATACGACCCGACGCGGCGCGGTTCGCATTTATCCACTTGACGCCTGAGCTCGGAGCGCACGCGTGATTAGCGATGGTAAATTCGGGGCGTTGGTGGTGAGCAGTTGAGAGCTTGACAACATGTTGGGCTGTAGGATGGAAGTTACACGAGACATGAAGTCATATTGTCCGCACGCCGCGGAGGTTCTCCATTCTTCACTATGCCAAAGCGATCATCAATATGGAAGGACCACCAAAATATGCACCACTGAGCGGAGAAGAGTTGGAAGAACTGGGATATGTTGAAGCGAAGGATGGGTTTGCCTGGAACAGTGATAGTACCGAGATCATACCTACCAACACACGGAGTTTCGTCGCCTACTTGTCGATTATGTTGCTTTCGCTTTGCGCTAACGTGTTGCTGGTTATGGATAATGCAAAGCTGAGGAATATGACACGCGATACAGGAAGGACAATCTACAGTAAGATTCGGACTATTGTAGCTCGAACGCCGACTAATCACTTGTAGGTGGCCTCACTTTCGATACCCAAATCCCTTATCATTCCATGTCCAAGTATTGGAATCCGAATCTCACCGATAGTGATATGGACCTGGCGTGGGATGCTATAGACACCAATGCGATGGCAATCGCGTTGCCTGACGACTATTCCGAAAGCGTCGGCCTGTTCCCCTCAACACGTTTCCCGTGGGATACTGAACGAAGTATCTACTACGTAAAGGGCATTCATGATCTTCACTGCCTGGTTGGATTACCCTCTTCGGCACTATGCCATTGTTACTGACTATATCCCTCAAGAAACTCATTCGTAAAGCCATCACATCCAAACACAACAATAGTAGTCAAACTTTCAACCTCAACCACATCTACCATTGTTTCGAAGGCTTGCGACAAGACATCATGTGTACTGCGGACGATACGCCCATGCCCGCTTCGGCAGAGCGCCACGTAGGCGATGGGCAAATACGACAATGTCGGGACTGGAACAAGATGACTTCCTGGGCCACACAACCCGGATTGCATGCTTGTTACAACTTCGACGATTACCGTGAAGCTACGAACACGCTAGAACTCTTTGCCTTCTGCCCGCCGGAGTCACCCTATCGCTCAATCCAGCAAGCTTACTTTGAGTACCATGGGCACAAGAGCCCGTACGAGCCGAAAGTAGATGACGAACAAGCTATTGTATTCTAGTTCTGATTGTGAGACTCTCTGCAAAGTATCGGTGCGAAGGTCTAGCTTCCCATTGGAAAAGTACAGGAGGATGTTTTCCTGGTTATGAGTAGATGGAACACATGTGTCTTGTTTCCAACAAATGTTTACTTTCCTCTTTTGCCCCCACGAGCCTAATGAAGCAAATGATACACTACATGATCATCGGGTACTGGCTGCCCGCTCGACGGCTGATAAGACTCAACCGTGAATATGATTGTCAAATATGGAACGATGTCCCCCGTACTGTTCTACCAAGGCAGTACAACTTACAACAGGCAGTCTTGTGAGGTCCATTGTCTCAAAAAGGTAACCTTCGTACCTACTCCAGCGCGTTCTTGTAGCCCGCGCTCAAAGCGACCCGGCCTCTCTATCAAACCATCTGTATCGCTTGCTCCAGTTTTGAGATCGGTTGTTGGAGCTATATGCATATGTCACCCGTTTCCGTGAAGGCAACGACGTACCCGGGCTTTGTCAATGTGACTACCAGCCGTGACTCAACGTAGATACAGTGGTCCTCATATCGGTTGCTGACATGGAAGGTCTCGCCCAGGTTACATTCTAATACGGGGTGTCGAACTGTACAATCATTTGAATCGAGTTAAAAGGAAGAGCAATCGTCAGTCAATCTGTCATAGCAATTCCGAGCAATTTCACTCCCTCACTCTACCAACTCTAGTGAGTATATGTTTGGCTTTGGTCAGCAAAATGTATGCTAATATGCTTGGAAAGACGTTCACTTCATCCACTATGCGTTCCGCATTCGTCCTTCCATTCTTTCTCTTGGGAACAAGCATTCTCGCTGCTCCTACGTCTTTGAGTCAGTTCGCCCGTGGAACCTTGAAACACTACTACAGAGACTTACGACCAAATTGTAGGAATCTTCAAAAGAGCTGTACCCGCCGTTGACGTGACAATCGACAATCCTATCGACGTTGTTACTCGAGCTGCACCCGCAGTTGATGTGACGATCGACAATCCTATCGATGTCGTTACTTGAGACGTGCGAATTGTACGTATGTCTCCTCCAGCACCTTGCTCGTCAAAACGGCATCTTAACGATTTCAGGTCCAATAACTGTGACTTCTCGCAAGATCGGTATGTGGACAACGTTCGAAATATGGCTAGTTCCAGTCAAGGTTGGGGTCTTTAACGTGGAGTGAAACATGTTTCAACCCAGTCTTAGACGTTGACTTGATTTGTCATAGTCAATTTCCATTTTCTCAATTCTCATGAATGAATCGTTTCTGTTGCTATGCAAGTTTCGCCTTAGTGTGACACAACATCTTCTGTACGACAGTGTGTACATGACTATCATATGACGACAATGCAACTTCCGTGCTGTGGTCTCCCGGTTGTAATCCTGTGGGTTACACTCGATATATGCGTTGGTCGTGCTCTAATTTCGGGCGACAGATGTTGTGGTACTGCGGTTGTGCTACACGGTCATATGGGCACTTACCTTGTGACAAACCTCGGAATTAACAGAGGTTGAAAAACATGTCTCAGCCGAGGATGTGCATCTAACCCGTCGGAAGCAAAACTGTGCTGTTATTCTGCTTCTCTTACTAGCCTAGCATTCGTCTGTGTGCCTGACGCTACCAATATACTTCGAGTTACACAAACGGCTAGCTACATAACACAGGAAGTCTTCCATATCTGGTATCCTCACCGTTGATCTGCGTCTGTCGGACGTAGTTACATTGCTTTCTCTTCGTACGCCGCGCAACAGTGCACAGCGGCTTTCTCCAAGCCTTTGCGCTCGTCAGCTTCTCCCCTCAACCTATAGTATTCCTGTGCTCAAATTTTGCTTTGGTGATGCCCCATCTATCAATCAAGTGCGGATGAGGAAACCCATCGTTGTCCCCCAAAGGCGGTCAGCCTGACGGGACTTTACATTTCTCTACGCCCTGCTCACAACTTGATGCAAATATGCTTATACATGACGTTGTTTGCGCATCTTTCTTTCTTCTGCAGTATTTGCGTTGACTTGAAGTGATTTTACTTGGTCGGGCGATGCGATGACTGCGGGCTTTCTCTTACCTCATCACCCCATCCCACGGGATCCTGGAACCAAGCATGATATTGGACAGTTTCTTAATGTTGTTACTTGGATTCTCTCAATCACTTCCGCCTTGGCGGTTATGACTAGGCTAATTACGAAGCGCGCTCTAAGGCGGCAGGTGGATATCGATGATTCTTTTGTAATTGCGGCTTTGGTGAGTGCTCAAAGTTCTCGGAGTATACTTACTCAACATTCGTCTCCAATCTGACAAGTTCAATTCTAGCTTACGAGCATCGGATCTGGGATTACTGTCGTTGTCCAAACAGCAAATGGACTTGGTCGTGATATCTCAGAGTTGACGGACGAGCAGCTCGTAGCTTACCAAAAGGTATGCTTCACATTTGCTACTTCTGTTTCTCAGTCATGCTCACTGAGGATTATCAGGGCGAATATGCGAACAAACTGCTCTACATCGCGACCCTGGCGTTTGCGAAGCTATCCATAATCTCGTTGCTGATGATTTTGACAGCTTCGAAACTACATCGCAACATTGGCCTCGGGATGCTAGGCTTTATCGCGCTCTGGGGCGTCATTTCAGAGTTTGCTACGGCCTTCCAGTGCGGTGAGTTGGAGCCATGGCGCTTCATTGATCAGGATAGTTGCCTTGATTTGGTGTGTCTACCCATCATTTTAGTGCCGTGAGGTAGTGCTTTGGCTGACATATTCACAGACAGCTTTCTGGCGAGGCACTGGCATTCTCAACATGCTGACCGACCTTGCACTGATTGTGTACCCTATACACGTCATTATCATGCTGCAAATGAGCATGACCAAAAAGATCACGATCCTCACCCTTTTTGGTGCACGATCATTGTGAGCGGGCGCTCAATGAAAGTACGTCAAGGTTTACCGACTAATACAAAGCAGAGATATTGTCGCCAACGCCATCCAAATGGCATACACATACGGCTTCAGCTCACCAAATCCGACAAGACATCTCTGGGAGTGGACGCTCCTTACTCAGGTCATTGAATGCACCACAATTATTACATCATGTGTTCCTTACCTGCGGCCACTCCTTGAATCTCTCCCATCTGGCCTTTACGGAACAGACGAGATCCGTCGTCGCGGCACACCGTCTGAACTGGGTTATCCGCGAAGCAAAAGTGGGTCCTACCAGCTCAGTGCGGCACATACCAAAACTGAGGAGACAAAACACAGCAGGAAGAGCCAACCAGACTGTGCCATTAGGCGGTTTTTACCAATGCTCTCGCAGGACAAGACAACTCACTCGAACTCAGCATATGGCTTGCCTGGAGGACCGAAACGTTCTGAAGGACAGATAGATGTCGAGATCACGGCATTGACCCGTCGTGCGGGGGAGGATAGGAGGTGGGAGACTGGCAGTACGGGAAGTCAATCGAAAATCTTGAAAACAACAGTCGTAACCGCGGAATGGGAGGAGGCAGGACGAAAGAGTAAAGACGTTTGGGGTGACGAGATAGAGATCTTGCGATGAATTACAGGTGCTGAAGAATGCCATCGTTAGCCTTTAGTCTCATTGTAAACGCACCATCGTGCTTTGGTACACTAACCTATCTTCGCCGACGTTTCGGAAGATCTTTTATCGTTCTTGAGTCTCATTCTAGCCGTCGACGGGCGAGGGTTGCTACTAACCAAATGCTCTTGTGTTCTCGCTATGACTGTACGAAAGGTGTAGTCATGTGCAGCTTGCAACATCTTCTTCTCGTAGTTTTGCCTGCGATTGATTCTAGAGCATCGGGGTAGGTTCCACCGCCTGTTTGCCGAACAGCACGGGATTTCATGGGCATTGATGAAACTCCTAAACCGACAACTAAGAGCGCTAACTTTCGTTCCTTTCTCTTAGCACAGGTTGTGCGCCTCTTACATGTTTGTACCTCTTGCCAGTCTGGATAATAGCGACTCTCGGCGGACTTGAGTGTGGTCACAGTCCATCCGTTGGCTGTAGCCATCGGCATTCAATCGCACGGTCGAGCGGGCTGGATTTGTGGCGCGCGTGGTGTGATCCCGACGCTGGAATGTGCAAATAGGAGACTGTCATTCTTACGGGATATTCTAACGAGAAGCGGTTAGCGCTCCGATGGCTTTGTAGATCAGATCATCTCGTTGTGTGACCTCGACATCAGTCTCCATCTTTGGATGAATCACTTATCGATACGACACGTTCGAGGCTGAAAACGTCGAAAACGTCAGTCAATACCATCAACGGTTTTGATAGCCGTTGAACCACATGTATGGGCTGGCCACACGTGGTGTGTAATGACCTGACTAGCGTGCTACGACGTCAACGATCCCCAGCCCTTACGCTTTGCTCCCAATCACCTCATCATCCCAAAAGTTTGTAACTCTGTACCACGACAGGCCTGCGGGAACCCTCTTGCTCTCATCGAAGAGGAATGACAGCCGTTCCTGTTGCCACTACACCCATGTTACCAGCAATCAACATGCAGCATGTTCAACTACGCTATTCCATCATTGTTTACCGTACGACCGCAAACTAATCAGGGGTTTCTTGAACCCCTTTTGTCATCTCGAACCTTTCGCAGAGGGATATGTTGAGAAGTCTCACCTACCACAAAAGCCTCAATCTGAATGAACGGACGGCGCAGAGCCAAGACGCAGTCTGCATCTGAGTTTTTAAGCACGGCCCATGTACTCCGGAGGATCGCGCGAACAAAGCCGGGAAATTCTGTGATGGCGCGCCTCTTACCTGGTATCATCCGGGCAAGGGATGGTCGTTGATGCATGCCACCGCTTTCTGCATCATTGCCAGCCTAGCTGTGGCACTTGGTGAACGAATCAGCATCGCTTCTTACGCAACTCCTAAGTCCGCGAATGCAGTGCAATATGTCGAGATGCCGCCGTCACTGCAAGAAGCCTACAATCGCTTCAGCTGCGCAGAGGGCCGGCTTAGTATCTGCATGTCAACCGCTCACAGTGGTGCCGAGAGGCGCCGCTTGGTCATGTTTCTACCGCACCTGCCGGCGCACATGGCTCGCGTTACCTCTGAGAGCGATAAATATCAAGATTGACTTGCATTGCATGTGTGCTGTATCACGACTCTCATTCCACGTATCGATCCTCTCTTCCCAATTTGCTGGCACGCCTTTCTACCTACCTCGCGAAAGTCGAAGCCGACCAGGTGAACAGCTAAAGGTGACTCGCAATGGAGAAGCATATCAACCTGCAGACATTCGACGATGATGTACCTCGAGCTAGGGGCACAGGCTCGCTGTCTGAGACGAAGGGAAAGCAAGAGTTTGACCGTGACAGGTATGAGTTGGCCAGGGCGGGAAAGCAGCAGGTGTTGAAGGTGTGTCTCAAACGATGATAAATCGATAAGAAAGCTTATCACTCCAGCGTCGCTTCGGACTGGTGAGTATGACTGGTCTGTCGTGTGGTTTGATGTGTACATGGGAAAGTTTGCTCGTGTAAGTGTCTTGACACCGTCTGAATCACTCAATCTGATAAGTCAACAGTATTTTCTTAATCGGTTTCCAGAAGTAAGTCCAGCTCACGGTCCAAATGGGAGTCTAGTCTAAACAGCACAGTGGCGGACCAGCGGGTCTCATCTACGGGTTCTTGCTCATTTGGTTCGGTAACTTCTCGGTTTTCATATGCATTGGGGAGCTTGCAAGCGCTGTTCCAACCGCTGGAGGTCAGTATCACTGGGTATCACTCCTGGCGCCTCGGTCCAACAAACGATTCTTCAGCTACTTGACTGGTACGTTGTGGTTTGCAGTTTTACAGATTCCAGCTAAACCCTCTTAGGTTGGCTCACTGTGATCGGCTGGATCGCAGCTCTCACTTCCGTGTGCTTTTTCGTCGCCGATTTGATCTTGCAACTTGTCAGTCTGAACGACACTGATAAGAGCTTCGTAAGACATGGCTGGCATGGAACACTGCTTCTGTGGACTACACTGCTGATGTGCGTTTTCATCAACATCTTCATCAGCGGAGCGCTGCCAGCTATCGAAGTCTGCGTACTAGTTCTGCACGTACTGGGATTCTTCGGAATTTTGGTACCCCTGATCTACCTCACACCCACTCACAACACTGCTAAAGAGGTTTTCACAAAATTCCACAATGGCGGGCAATGGAACAATCAAGCCTTGGCTTTCTTTGTTGGTCTGCAGGGAAACGCTTTGGCGTTTGTCGGGACGGACTCGGTCGTTCATGTGAGTTATGTTCTTGGCTTATCGAACCTCCACTGACGCGATCAGATGTCTGAAGAAGTCAGGAACGCCAGTACAGATGTTCCGCGTTCAATGCTTCTTAGTCTCGCAATCAACGGCACGCTCGCACTAGCAATGCTCCTTGCAGTATTGTTCAGTGCGGACAACATTCAAGACCTACTCGACGACGTTGCCTCCCCAACTTCTCCGTTCATCCGGATCTTCCAACAATCTGTTGGCTCAGTAGGTGGTGCGACAGTCCTAGTCAGTATCATCATTGCCCTGGAATTCTGTAGTGCGATGGGTTGCTTAGCTGCCGCTTCTCGTATGACCTGGTCGTTTGCTCGAGACCGAGGCTTGCCCTTTTCGCGTGCCCTCAGCATGGTCAGTAGCAATTCCTGTCGATGTATGACGTGATCGATAGCTGATCAGTGTTAGATTGACAAGCGCACTACTATCCCTGTAGTCGCGATTCTCGTGGTGACTGTATTTTCAGCACTGCTCGCACTCATCAACATCGGCAATAGCGCCGCGTTCAACGGAACGATCTCGCTGGTGCTAGAAGGCTTCTATCTATCTTATCTCTTTGCCCTTAGCCTGCTCCTCTGGAGACGTCTCCGCGGCGACCTGGACAATCCTACTTCGTCGTTGACAGTCTTTGACTCGACGACGCACATCGACGAATCCCATGACCGTAACCTAACCTGGGGTCCGTGGAGACTGAAAGGAACACTTGGCGCCGCCAACAACATCATCGCCATCTGCTACCTGCTCGTCATCATCTTCTTCAGCTTCTGGCCGAGTCAAATGAATCCTGATGTAGGCCACATGAATTGGGCCGTTGTGGTGACAGGGTCCGTCGCCATCTTCAGCGTTGTTTACTATTTCGTCTTCGCGAAGAAGTCATATACGGGGCCTGTTGTCGAAGTGGACCCACACGTTCTATGATTGTGGATCCCTGTCAAGCACGAATCAACAGTCTGAGGACGGTGTTTGGTTGAAAGAATTGATGGTCGAAATTCAGATCTCGTTGGATCTAGCACCGGGTCGCATAATGGGTGTTGTATTGTAGGATGACACGCCAAGTGCTGCGGTCTTTTACATCGCATGTGTCGAATAAAGGGCGGACCTTTGTAGCTATAATAACAACCTTCGAACAAAGTGTTCAAACATCTTCTTCATCATGAAATGTATACTAACCATGTTGCGTGACACGATACGGCACATGATACAGACGAATAAGTGGTTTTGACTGTTGGCTCGATACCCAAAGAAACCAGGACATGATAACAACATGTATCTTCATCCCACGCACTCCCTCCACAAACCAACCTACCAACTCAAAAACAGCCCACTCCTTCCCGCATCCCACGTCACGCGATACTGCTCACCAACAGGCACAAGTTCAAACGCCAGCACACCACCCTCTACACCCAACCCCCCAACCTCCAGACAAGAAAACGCCCCAAGCTGATTCGGTGCAAAGTCCAAAACCGTCGCGTCGCCATCGCCATGAACCTGCATCCTGCCCAGCGGTACATTCCGCTGATTCCCCGGCCCACCCCAGCCTGCGGATCCCTCTATTGGAGCAGGTTTCAGCGAGGAGAAGACGTCGATATGGCCGGTTCCAGTGCAGGAGGCGATGCTATCTTTGGGATCGAGATGGAATCGTAGGGAGCATGTTGGGGGCAGGGTGCGGCCGTTTAGGTCGAAAGTCACGAGCGTTGTCGTATCGCGGCCGTTACTTGAGTTGCGGGAGACTTCGCCCTGGGAGACGGGAGGGGTGATTGCGCCGTTGAAGCTGTGGTAGATGGCTATTGAGGAGGGTTTGAGGACGTTGGGCTGTCGTTTTTCGACGGCTGTGGGGGTCTCGGGGACGAGAGTGAAGACCGCGGTATATGTCGTTGTGGTTTTTGTGATGACGCGCATTCTGGTTTGTGGTGTGGAGTTTTATGGAGGGTTGTTGTTGGGTTGCCTAAATGGGGAATGTGCGTGGCAAGAGCTAACCGTATGCGGGTGAATTGTGCATATGAAACCTATTTTTGGGACTACGATGTTGTAACCTTTTCGCAAAAGTTTGGTTTATGCTCGAAGATGGTACGTGTGGGCTATGATTGATGTCCTGGGTGTTAAAGTATATATCTGGAAAGTCTTTTCGTGACCAAGATCTCACGTCTTTAGGCTGTGACGTGTCGCATGATGTGCGATTTGGTTGATGATGGTAAAGATCACAGCAACACTTGTCTCAATGGCTTGTAATCCTGTGGCGAAGTAGTCTATCACTCACCAAGCAGGATTCACGGTGAGGAGCAGGCTTTGGCAGTGTAAGTTTTACCATGATTGCGACACTGAAGCCATGTAAGAGCTCTCAGATCCATGACAACTTATTCCATGTAGCCAACCATGATTTGGATTCAGTAAGTCGAAAAACGTACGCGATAAGTGGATATTTGGGTGAACATGCTCTGGTTCGATTATGAACAAGGACAAGTAAGTCGTCACTGAGAAAATCTTCACCACGCGAAACCACTGACAAATGAGAAATAGAATTCTAACTATTGAATGAGCTTATTCCTGCTCCCTTCCAGACTATCTTAGCTATCTTAGATTGCTTTGCACATAGTCCTGAACACCATTCAAGCTCCAACGCCAATACGGGGAATACCACCTCATGTATCGACGCCTGTAGCTACATTCAACCCTGAACGAAGATAGAGCAGTAGCGCATAGCTTTGGGTTTGTATATCAGCAAAGCGTTACACATCGCGAACGGCGCATGCTGTATATACCCCGCCGATGTTCGAGAAAGAAATTGGGCTATGTATTATCTCGTAGTGCCTCGTATCTCGCATCTCGCACAAGACTCAGAAGAGCCGGTCCAAACCTCTGTCGACAATGTTTTGGAATTCGATACGACGCTTGCCGGCAACAGACCTTCTATATGGCTTTGCATCCTTAGCGATATAGTGCTCCTTGACATCGACACTGGCGGGTAGGTTGAAGAAGGGCTCAAGGATATCTAACTTGAAGCTGACACTCTCAGTGTCCTCAGCGGAATCGTGCCAGTCGATGACCAGTTCCTTGAGATCGGGAGCCTGTGAGAGGATCTGAAAGACGAAGTTGGCACGCTGTCTGAGCAAGGCAGGGAAGATGGCGTCCGCGCAACCAGTCTCGTCGGCGCGAAGCCAGGTGGTATCCCACACAAATGTCACTTCCACCTTGCGGATGTTTTCCATTGGGGAGAATGCGGCTTCGACGATTTGGCTGAAAGCCTCCTCAAAGAAACTGGTGTGAGCAAAGCTGCCTGTGGCCTCGATCCGTAGTACTGCCACGTCATAATACCAATTCTTCGCTTCGATGCTGAGCTGTTTAGATGCAAGAAGGAGCTCGACCGGAGGGGGACAATGGGTGATCCGCATGAATTTGGGGATGTGACGCCACTTTCTGTGGGGTCGGATGACGGGCGCTTGCGGTGGACGTTGAGTTGCGGTGGCAGCTGGATCATCCTCGTTGTATTCCGGGTCCATGGTTCCGTCGTCGTCCTCATCATCATAATCAGCCTCAGCCTCAGCCTCAGCCTCCTCGTCTTCATCATCGTCTCCATCCTCGCCGTCAATTGCAGCATTAGGCGCTTGGATTTGTGTATGAAAGGAGGCCTGAGATTGTACCAGAGCAGAGTGAAGGAGCTGACTAACGGCTGGAGCCAAAGGCTGGCCAATCTGGGGAGCTGTACCGCCATCATCATCTTCAGCCTCATCGTCCATATCCTCGTCTTCCTCATCCTCGTTATGGTTCTCGTGCTCGCTGTCCTCCTCTCCGGAATCATCGTCGTCGTTCTGCTCGTCGTTCTCGTTCTCGTCCTCATCTTCACCCACATCGCTGTCGTCGTTGTCGTCGTACATGTCGTCGTTCTGCGCGACACAAGGTCCTGAGCCATTGGGGTCAGTGGCTGCGGTTTGCGCAATGCGCTCCTGGACTTCCTTCTTTTCGAACCAGTAACGGAGCAGCTTCTTGGGTTTAACGTCCTGTGCAGTTGCATGTGCAAAGATCATATGGCGGATCTCCAACGGAATGCTCATTAAAGGACAGCTCATGGAAGTCATCGTCGCATCCTGGTGCTGGTCGGCCATGTTGGGCGGTTGTGTTGTGAATGGTGTGACGAGGAGTTGCGGTGAGTGTGGAGGGCTGTGGAGGAAAGTGCGAGACGACTCTATAAAGACAGACTGCTGGAGTTTGCTAGGTGAAGGCTCAGGAAACCAGCCGTGGCTGCTGCCTAGAACAGACGCACGTGGCTACCCGCGAGGCTGAGGGCAAGTGCGATGATGTCGTTGTTGAAGACACCAACCGAGCGCTCACAAGACTGTTTAGCAAAGGTGAGGAATAGAGGCGAAGCGCAGATGTGTGTGTCTAATGTAGTCACCTGCTTAAATGACAAACAGATTGTCACTGTATGAGGCTTGAAACCTCTGATCAAGTATGTGCATGACGACGAATACCTTCCACTGTATTGGATCTGCAGAATACAGTCCGTATCCATGAGCGTGAGTAGCTCCTGCTTTGTTGGACCCGAACAGTTTGATTGAACGTGTCCCTGACCAAAGACTTCCAAAGTGCAGGATGTGAACATCTTCTCTGGCTCAGTGTATCCATGATACGATACAGTAGTGTACTAGTCTTCCACTTCATTTCTTCTACTCAATCTCGTTCGCCCCAGATCAAGCCAGTAATACTCAACCATAACTTTACCACACGGCACCCAAGCTTTCCATCGCAACAACTCGCCAACAAATCCAAACAAACCCAGAGACGCGATACCAAGCTCTTCACCATGGGGTTCACACTCACCCTTCTCGGCCTAATCACCCTTGCAATGGCGTCGCCCATCCAAAAACCCAATGATACGGAGGCCTTGGGCGCAAAAGTCCCGGACAACAAATGGCGCATTGGCTGCAACACACCTACAGGCCCATGCTCATTCTACTCGATCAAAGCTGCACCAACTGCCAGGCCCAACACAAATCATTGACGCGAGAACCAAGATACCTAGAGACTACGACGAGGACGAGGCAATGACAGGCAATGACGACAAAGATACGCCGGGCCACTACAGCGAGGTCCGACTGGAAAGGAGAGTTGATCGCGAGGGGTGCCTGTAGAAGATACATGAATCGTTGAATACAAACTGGTACATACTAGCCGTAACGTAATAGTGTCCGCACTATGTAAAAATGCAAAATACGTTGTTCAGTCTGAGCTTGCATGGTGCAGATAGATGGTGACGCGTTGGGCACATGGTGGAGAGGCTTGCGCGGCACAGCCACTGATTTGTAATGTTCCAACTGTACGGCATTGGCTCATCGTGAGATGTGGGAGCGCTGACAACGCCGCAATCATCCGGCCTTGCGCAGTGGGTAATTCTGCCATCGCAAACCTCGCCAACATGTCCAGCATGCGGACACTGCAATAGCGCGCCGGCCTCGAATTTCTCTACCTCCAAACCCGCTCTGCACGCCGCCACATTCTCGACTACGCGCGACGCGGACTCCCGAGATGGCCTCCGCATCTGCACAGCCCGAGTCCAGCGGGCTGCCCACCACAGGCGAACATGAGCTCGCCGACATGGCAGACAAGAAGCCCAGTCTCCCGCTGGAAGAGGACATCATGCAGCTGGCACGACTGGGCGAGATTGGCGCCATACAGAAGTTGTTCGACAGCGGGAAATACGATGCGACATACAAGGACGAGCAGGGCATAACGCCGCTACATGTGCGCGTCCTCGGTCATGGTTGCACAAAAAACTACTGACGAGATGCACAGTGGGCAGCAATCAACAACCACCATGCGCTATGCCATTTCCTCGTCTCGCACGGCGCAAACATCAACGCAAAGGGCGGCGACGCCATAGCCACCCCAGTCCTCTGGGCCGCCAAACGATGCAACTACTACATTGTGAACCTGCTCCTCGAGCACGGCGCCGACCCGCTCCTCACCGACGACCAGGGCTTCAACCTCCTGCACTCGGCCACCCTCGACGGAAACGTGTACCAGATCGTCCTGCTCTTGCACCAAGACATACCCGTCGACATCCCAGACCTGCAGTCGCATACCCCGCTGATGTGGGCAGCCTACAAGGGCTACGCCTCTTGTGTGGATTTGTTTCTGCGGTGGGGCGCAAACGTGTATGCGACTGACGACCAGGGTTTCACTGCCTTGCACTGGGCATTGGTTAAAGGGTCGCAGGGCTCGATACAGAAGCTGCTCGAGTATGGCGCAGACCGGTTTGCGAAGAACAACGATGGCAAGACGCCTGCGGTCACTGCACAGGAGATGAATACGGCGCGGCAGTGGCATCGTGCCCTCTCCGAGGCTGGGTACAACAGGGATGCCACGCCCAGGGAGTTCCCGATCCCCGGGGTCAAGGACACAAGATGGTTTTTGACGCGCTTCATCTTCTTCTGGCCGTTTGCCATCTTGTTCACGTCGCTGTTTTTGGTCGCGTACTATCCCATTTTTGTTGGGCTTCCGGCGTCCTTTATCGTTTCGTATCTCATGCAGTTGGCGGCCATGAAGCTCTTACAGTGGGGTCCTTCGAATATGAGGTCTATACATCATACCGTGAGTACATCTCCACGCGTGCAAAGAGGCACTATTGACGAGACTGTAGCCCTTCTTGGCTGGCATATTTGTTGCTTCTCTATTCTGGTTGGGCGTGCGTTGGATAACGACAGTTTTGCCTTGTAGGTCATGTTTCCGTCCTTTCACCGCCGATATATTAACAATGACAGGGACTTTACAAACGAACTTCTTCCTTAATGTATTTTACGGAACCTCTTACGCACTCACGGCCTATTTCTACTTCTTTACCATGTCCTCCGACCCCGGTTACGTGCCAAAGTCATCGAGCAGGAGTGCCTCCAAGGCAGTTATTGACGAACTCATGGAACTACGGCAATTTGATGAACACCACTTCTGCGTGAATTGCATGGTACGGAAGCCCTTGCGGAGTAAGCATTGCAAGAGGTGTGACCGTTGTGTTGCGAAGAGTGATCAGTAAGTGCTAAAGGACGGATGCCTTGGATCAGGCTAACTCTCGCAGCCACTGCCCATGGGTGAACAACTGCGTCGCGAACAACAACCACCGACACTTTGTCCTCTACGTTATCTCGATGGAGATCGCCATCCTCTCCTGGGTGCATCTGACACTTGCTTGTACGATCACCGACCCCCAAGTTCAACCTATACCTAACATGCATAGATCTCAACACACTTGACGCGCCCAAATCCGTCGTGTGCACCCTCCTCTCTCCTGACCTCTGTCAAGTCCTCCACAAAGACCCCTTCACGATTGTTCTCACCATATGGGCCATCTTCCAATTAACATGGGTGACAATGCTCCTCTGTGTCCAGCTCCTCCAAGTCGCTCGCAATCTCACTACCTACGAGAGTATGCGCGGCCACCTGCACTCGCACACGCCCGCCGATGCTCTCAACTCTTTCGTCACCACCGGCTCCACATCACAAGATCTAGCGGGCTTTGGCTCTGGACAGGACACTGGTGATTTGCCGCGCCGCCCACAGCCCAAATCAAGCATTTGGGATCAGTGGAAACGACTCCTCGGTCTCGATACATTCGTTGCTATCGCGCTGCATGGGAGTCGGGCAGAGGAGATGCAGAGGAGACAGGCGAGGGGTAACCCATATAGTCAAGGCGTAATGGCAAACTGCAAGGACTTCTGGTGTGATGGAAGTCCGGTGTTTGGGAAGAAGGAGGGCGGGTATGCGCAGTTGGGGGGTGAGAGGATAGACTACATGAGGCTGTACGAGGTCCCCAAGATGACGATGAGGGCGCGGGGCACGGGTGGAGAGAGGTATGAGAGTGTTGCTGGAGAGGAGGCGGCATGATGCGTTACGGAGAAATGTGCTCGAACCGATAGTAATGAATCACGACTCGACGTGGTGCGGATATATTTTCCTCCTCTATTTGTTCCGTATACGGGTATGTCCGCGGGTGTTGCAACGGCGACATGTGTAGCTCCGAATTGCCCTGCATGTGGCTCCACGTGCGGGCGTCCCAGTCCGGAGATGACCGAGGCGCAAGCGAAAAGTCCCCGCGACACCCGCTAATAACTCGCTCCAAGCTTTCCACCTGGACCAAAACACCAACTTGCCCTGCGGCTCTGCGCGTGATATCCTGTTTGCTGCCATGTTATAGGCATTTTCTTACTTTTCTCACCCTACGAGTCCTTGGATTGGAAGTTGTGCAGGATGACATCATCCGAGGCTTTGAGAGGGCTGCAGACCCTCTCGCGAAATGCCGTTGCGCTGAAGGCTGCGCCGAGACGGGTACCAGTTTTGAGTACTGGGAGAAGATCGCTATGCATAGATTGTGGGAGGGGCTTAAGAGGGGCAAGAAATCCTAGAGGGCTGGGTGCGGGCGTCAAACAGGGTGTGCGATCCCCGCTGGGGGGGCACAGAATCCCAGGGCATAGAGGATATGCGGTCGCGCAGGCAGCAAAGGAGTGTATGTACATACATCTGAGTCTGAGACGTTTGTTACTGTGCTGACGAAGACAGACTCTCTCCACGAACCAGGGAGAACCCATGGACCCATGGCAGAATACGATGCGCGCGTTGAGTCTGGACGATTACGGGACGATGAACACCAGAGAGGCATGGCAGACGACGACATGGCTATGGAGGTGATCTGACAGAACGGCAGGCATCATCAAGAATCTCGAGGACCTGCACAACATGCTCTCCACCTACACACAACCGCCCGTCCAACAGCCCACTATCGAGTCCCTCCAGCCACAGAAGAAGTCGTTCTTCGCCTCCCTCTTCTCTTCCTCCGAAAACACCACCACAACATCGATTCCCCCAATCCCCGACTCTCTGATCAAGGGCATGTACATGTATGGCGACGTCGGGTCTGGGAAGACGATGATGATGGATCTCTTCTACGACACGCTGCCGCCCAACATCACACGAAAGACACGCATCCACTTCCACGCCTTCATGCAATCCGTGCATAAAGACCTCCACAAGATGAAAATGGCACACGGCAACGACATAGACGGCATCCCCTTTGTAGCCGCTAGGCTTGCCGAGCGTTCCGCGGTCCTCTGCTTCGACGAATTCCAGTGCACAGATGTCGCAGACGCCATGATCCTGCGACGCCTCATCGAAGGCCTCATGGCTCACGGCACCGTCATAATAACAACCTCGAACCGTCACCCAGACGACCTCTATAAGAATGGCATACAGAGAGAATCCTTCATCCCCTGCATCAACATCCTAAAGCAACGCTTAACCGTGCTGGACCTCGACTCCAAAACCGACTACCGCAAGATCCCTCGCCCACCCTCGGGCGTCTACCATCACCCCCTCGACGCATCCGCAGCCACGCATGCAGAGCGCTGGTTCCGCTTCCTTGGCGACTTTGAACACGATCCTCCGCATCCTGCAACACATGAGGTCTGGGGCCGTCAGATCGAGGTCCCCAAGGCTAGCGGCAAGTGTGCGTGGTTCGAATTTGATGAGATTATCGGTCGAGCGACAGGCGCGGCGGATTATCTCGAGTTGATGAAGAATTACGAGGCGTTTGTTGTGACGAGCGTGCCTGGGATGAACTACAGGAGTAGGGATCTGGCGAGACGGTTCATCACGTTTATTGATGCGCTTTACGAGAGTCGCGTGAGTAACTTGACCTGAGAAGAAGACATCCACTAACACCCCCATCCAGGCCAAACTAGTAATGACCACCGCCGTCCCCCTAACCTCGCTCTTCCTCTCCCCCGAAGAAATGGCCGACGCAGTATCCTCCTCGGCCCAAGAAAAAGGCGGCCTCTCCGCCGCCACAAAGCACACCGCCGCACCTACGCACGCCGCCGACGACGGCGGCGCAGACGTCTCGGACGTCATGCGCCATCTCATGGACGACCTGGGCATGAACATGAATATGCTCAAGAACAGCAGCATCTTCTCGGGCGACGAGGAGCGGTTTGCATTTGCGCGCGCGCTGTCGAGGTTGAGCGAGATGGGGAGTAGGGAGTGGGTGGAGAGGGGGCTGGGGATGGAGAGTAAGGGTGGGTTGGGCGAGATGGAGGGGTGGCAGCGTGTTAGGAGTCGGTGGAGGGAGGATAGTATGTGATTGGCTTGGGATGTAGATCGGGTATGGGTTTAGAATATAAGAGGGGAGGGGGACATAAGGTGGGTTTAGCGATGCATGGGAGGCGCGGCTGAATATAGCGTCTCGTCGTTAGTTCTGTGTGAGATACATGTCTTTGTGTTCGTGTTGAGATAGGTTGTATATCCCAAGCAAGCATGGTTACACTTATATCCTCCATTTGCTAGACGTTTTCTATATCTTTCTTCTATCCACCCCCCAAGATCTTCACCGTCACATGAATCAATCTTTCTCTACCCTTCTCCTCTCTAATACACTGGTGGGTAAGGTGAAAAGTGATCCTCAATCTCTGCGAGGGGGATGAAGTAGTGCAGTGATCATGGTTTGATTATCATGCCACGGCACAGTAGGTAGGTACCAGGTTCTGTTGGGCTGAGTGCGTACGTTTCGCCTGCTTTAGAGGTGTACATGCATGGTAATGGATATTGGAAACCGATACGCGTCGAGTATACATGGACCTGTGGCATTGCTCACCGTAGAGTTTGACCGCAGCAAATCATATTCTATGTGTTGACCGTGACGCTCGGGGGGGACTCGGTCCTTCTCGCCTCCACAGCGTCCCGGTGTTGCTCTGGCTCTTGTGCATGTACCTGTGCCACATGTCCACTTCCCTCAAACACCACTCTCGTGACCTCAAAATCAGGATTCGCAGATTCTTGAGCATGCTCCCACATGTTCTGAGAGCGGGGTACAGATAACCCCGTAGGCTATTGCGACCCATGAGCGTGGGATTCTGTCGCAGTCAACGCATCTTGGGTGCGGCGTAGTTTCCTGACACTGGTCTAGATTCAGTGGCGTCTAGCTATCAAGCCAGACAGATGCCTGTTGGCGACATGGAAACTATGCGCGGCTCGGACCGTTTCTGCTCGTATCGAACTTAAATTCATGGGCGGGCGGAGCATCGCAACGTTCGTCCACGGCGTGGTATTTAAGCTCTCGGCTAGCTAATAAGCTTTGATGCGTTCCAAAATTAGATGGCGACAGGCGGAAGCGAGGTCGCGTTTTACGAAATGATCGACGTTGTGAAGATCATCGGGCCCCTCCTCACGTATATGCGCTAGTCTAGTAGAACACGCACATGTTTGGGGGCCGAAGCTGGTGGTTCACCGGTTGTAGCGTGGGGTGTTTGGCTTGTTGAGTCATGATGAAGGTAGTATTTGCTTCCTTTGCGAGTCAGCCGCTTGAACGGCGATGCGAATGGCGCAATTTCTTACACTGAAATGGACAAAGGTCTGAGAGAGATACACTAAAGTGGGGTGATGATTCCGCGATTTCCGGATTCTATGGGATAGTACCACCAAGTTTAGACGAGTCTAAAGATAGTTGGAATCCGATCAACCTGGTAGGCGTGATGTTGCTCGCGGGGAATATTGGGGTTGTTAAACTTTACCAAGCTCAGTATCTGCACTGAGCCTCGATCTTGCTTCTAGCGTTAGTGTTGTTCCACAGAGCCCGGCAATCTGGTACCTGGCATATGTCCTTCTACATTTCCACTCGAGTTGTGTAACGCACTTCCCGTCAGTCCGCAACACAAAACATTACCCAGAACTGAACTGGGACGATTCTTGTGAGTAGCCTGGTGTGACGTCACCTATGCCTTGAAACTCTGGGTGTTATCTGTAAGACCTGGGAAACTGCGGCTCATCGTGTCAATACCTGGCACTGTCGTTCCGTTGCAGCGCTTATCGGCTTCACGCCAGGGCGCCTGATTGATATGGCTAAGTCAAGAAAACTGGGACCGGGTTGTTGTTGATAAGGTGGCGTGTATGCTAGAGGTCATCGTTCGGCTTTCGTCAGCCCTAGTTGTAGTCTATTGCTTCGTGCCGTCACAACGCACATACAAACATTACTACGTGTGCTAATCATAGGCAGAGGAGCGACTAGCGGGTTGAGGTTCGACGTAGCTCACCGCAAAGTCAGCTACATGCTGCGGAACGTTGGAAATCTAGTATAGGCATCAGTGAGGCTGAGTCCATAGCGTTACTTGCCATATGAGCAACTCAAGATGGGGAATGTGGCGACGCCCGATCGTGCTTCATCGTACCCTATTCTGAGTCAACTAAGAATTAACAAAAGTTGATATATCTCTTGTAGAAGCCTTGTGTCCAAGAGGCGGATCCTTGTCGTCGCACAACGCCGCTTGTGTGCGTTAAAAGTCCCGTTGACGCGGTGGAATTGGAAACCTCGCTGGTGCCGACAACAAACGTCCTTGCTTCGTTGACAAGCCCCACATTTCCATGACGGACGCACGCATTGAAATCGCATGCCCGCAGGTCGAGCAGTAACCATTCACCTATCTGAGTTCGGGGAATGATTTGACGCACAATGACGACAGTACGTCCTTCACCTCTGTAGCTGCTGTCCGTGTCTTACAACCCTCCCGCGGTGAACCTTGGCGACCCACTCGATCTTTTTAAGCACTCAACTCCCAGCGTTTTGAGCACCCATCGTCTTCGTACCCGCTACTTACAACCAAGATGGAAACCCCAACAACCAGCGACATCGAAGTGAAAGGAGAGGAGAAGGCACCCGATGACTGGAAACCAGAGAAGAAGGAGTGGTTGATCATGCTTAGCTTGACCTTCATCAGCCTCATGGTCGCCCTCGATGCAACTATCCTCGTCACTGTTTTACCAGTCAGCCAAACCATTTCGAATAACTGTCTTGAACGCATTTTCTGATATGCTTTACAGGAGATAACGCGGGATCTCGGTGGCTCTGCAGCTGAGGGGTTTTGGACAGGCACATCCTACCTGCTGACTTCGGCCATCTTCCAGCCAGTAATTGCTTCCGTCTCTCATCTCTGGGGACGCCAGCAGCTGCTCCTCGTCTCCCTCACCTTCTTCACTGTCGGTACAATCCTATGCACGGTGGCCCACGACTTCACCGTCATGTTGTCAGGACGCTGCATTCAAGGCGTCGGTGGTGGAGGCATAATCACTCTGACCCAAGTCATCTTTTGCGACATGGTTCCCTTGAGGGTGCGGCCCAAGTATTTCTCTTTAGTGCTATTGACATGGTCGATTGGAACGATATTTGGCCCAGTCATCGGTGGTGCACTCGTCGAGAACGTTTCTTGGCGTTGGTAAGTTCGCAGCGTATCGACTACGCTCACAACATGCTAACTGTTTGAACAGGTGCTTCATAATCAATTTTCCATTCTGTGGTATCGGGTTTGTTGTTGCAATATTCTTTGTTCGCCTCAACGCTGTGTCGCAGCTCTCGTTCGCACAAAAGATAGAAAGGACAGATTGGGTGGGCGCAACTCTCTTTGTCGGTAGTATGACAAGTTTTCTTGTTGGCCTCTCGTGGGGCGGTATCCAGCATCCTTGGAAGTCGGCCGCGACCTTAGCCCCCATCATCGTGGGATTGGTTGGTCTAGTCCTATTCGGTGGATGGCAAACGGTCAGGAAGGAACACGGCTTGTTGCCAGTCAGATTGTTCAACAGCTGGAGCTCTGTGGCCGCATTCTACAGTGCCCTCATGAACGGTTTTCTAGTAAGTCTATTTTCAAGCTCAGTCGCCACTCTCGTTTAACGGACAACCAGGTATTCTGCGGTCTCTACTACCTTCCCCTCTACCGAATGTCGGTGCATGGCTCGTCAACTACTCGTGCCGGAATCGAGCTCTTTCCTGTGGCATGCTTTGTCATTCCTGGCTCGATTCTAGTTTCGATTCTTACTTCGCGCATCGGGCGTTGGCGATGGGCCATCTGGATAGGCTGGGTTATCACAACTGTAGGATGCGGCTTATGGATCCTACTTGACGTGCACACTAGATTCGTCGTCTATGCGGTTGTGATCGCAGTCTTTGGCATCGGTGCTGGCATGGTCTTGACAGCTGTGAACGTTGGTATCCAGGCAATCGCGAAAACAGAGGATGCTGCGATGGCCGCCTCGATGTATGGATTCTTTCGCAGCTTGGGGATGCCACTAGGTGTCGCAGTAAGTCCCCGTCAAGTGTATCGATCGACGTTGCAACGTGGCTGACCTTATATAAGATCGCAGGAACAGTCTTCCAGAACACAATGGCAGACAGATTGTCTGATCATGGCCTTCCTACCTCCATTGCTCAGGATTCCGAACGATACATATTTGTCCTTCGTACCATGGCAGATTCAGATCCGCAGAAGATCGCGATCCTGGAATCATATTCAAAAGGCGTCCAGGCAGTGTTCATTATGATGGCGGCAATCTCTGCGAGCGCGCTTCTTTTCAGTGGTACGATCAAGAAGTTCAGTATGAATAAAGAGCTGACTACAGCATACTCGGCGAGATGATGCCTGCGACGTCTCTGGTGGACACGAAAGAGTTTCGTTACGTCTAAACATCTTCAGATTTCTTGCGTAACAATAGAATAACAAGTTCTTCAAATGATCCGCGAAATGTTTGTTGAGTGCTATGTTCATGGTGTTCAGGGAGAGCGAGAACGCGACACGCACATTGCCACTGAGTCTCACGGAGAATGCCGCTAGCTCTTCCCGTGCATCAGCATGTAACGTCACACAGGTCCTTGGCTCATCGGCTCTGAACTCTTACATTCTTTGCCAGGTTCCGTGGGTGGTATGAGGGCTCAGAAGATTTCGAGATGTGATCCTGCTTACTCCGACGCAGCATACGCAGAGTCTATCATTATGCGGAAAGTCTCCCAGCTGCGAGATTTTGACAGCACACTACATTTGATATGAAGTCTCGCTGCTCTAACTAGACGCAGTGATATCGTAGTGTTCGGATACGCATCAACTGTGGGTGGCAGGACACTCGTCTGTGATAGTCGTTCTAACCTCACAGCGTCGGATAGGTGAGAGAACGCTGATGATTCCCTCGCGATCATTCACTGCTGCGATTGTTCACCGCTCTTGCTGATGCCTGATATATACCAGTCTACGGACACCAACAGTCCTAATCCGTACTCCGTATTAAATCACCTTCATCTTCTCTTTCGGTTTGCGGCTGCCTAAACCTTCTCAAGACTTGTCGCGTCCCTGCAGCTATCTCGGGTACACGCCTGTCTCAACTTGAGTATCTCGTGTTCAACCTACTTACGGCTTGGTTATCGTGATAGAGCGTCTCACTCGAGCTTCCGCCAGCGACGACAACACGAGCGGAAATCAGAGTACGGACCGGACAACCACATACAACTCAGAGTATCCAGCTGATTGTATCTCTCTAGAAGTTTTAAGCCTGACGACGATACCTTTGCAAATCTCCCCCATACTTTCCACTACCGAACTCGTCAACGGCAGCTTCTCACCTCTCACCTCTTCACCGACATGCCGTTCCTCCCGATGGGTGCGCCGCACGACATCCTCGCTCATATCGAGCCCGGTCAATGGGGAGCATGGGCGGACGGGGCGCCTATGGGCTCTGCTCCTCACTTACGCCAATCTTGTGTCGTCAACAAGGACTTCCTGTACGAGGGTATACAGTACAGAAAGGGCTTGCGAGGCTTCTTTGTCGAGGAGCAGACGGCGGAGAACGGTACGACGATGGTCAAGATCTCTATTGAGGGTGTCACTGTCAATGGATATCGAGATATTGAAGGAAAGTGGGTGCCCAAGGCCAATGTCGACGTGAGATCTCAACGCAATGCAGATGGTCACGAGGGGAAGGCGAACAAGGATAACGGTACCAACAAGGCCAAGGCCTAGGTTAGGCAAGACTCTCACAACTGTGGAGACGTGATTCGTATGCTCTACCCAAACCTAGATAGTATACGATCGGAGGATGATTTAATCGAGGAGTCTTCTCCGAACTTGAACTTATGTTCTTGTTTCCATGAACCCAAAGGCTCGATAGTCTAGCAAGAAGCGCGACTCCTAACTCTATATGATACCGATTATGCCTCAAGTGACGTGATTTGTACCTATCAAATGCGTGCCGATTTCGGAGTATCCCGCCTCCCGTCAGCCCGTCCCCACGCGGCACTTGCACCCCTCGTCGCACAGACTTGTCTGTTTCACGAGCGGTGACAGTCACCTAATTCCCGTCGAGTTTTTCGCAGTAAGCGTGGTGAAGCACGAGCTCTGCTCTTATCTGCGCCTACCGAGTTCGGGTTGGTGTAAAATCGACCAACTTCCCTTCTGAACAACCTTGCATGCTCCCATATACGAATTCGGCTTGTGGGGTGCGCAACCTGCGTTCTGCCACGATCAGCAATCCCCAACTGCTAGCAAATCACGATCTTCTCACCATGCTCAATGCAGAAGTTTGGTAGTTGGCTGCCGCGGCTCCGAGTCATTCGCTTATGTGATGATCTTAGTTCACAGCGACGCGAGTACGAGTATGCTGGTGTTGTTTGATGCACCGGCAAGAGAGCACTGGCCATCAATATCGGCCCAGCAGCAATAACCAGCTCCTTTGTAGATACTTATCAACGTTCCAACAAGTCGAGCAGGGTCAACACCAATGACCTGGGTGTGAATGTGGCATATTAGGGCCTACGAATATGTCACTCAAAACGACGCTATTACCAGTCGAGCGATTTGGTGTGCGTCATCCACCACAAGACCCCTTACTACGTACAGGGGGACGTATGTTGGATCGCGAATCGCCGCCGATGACTTTTGCAAAGTACCTGGTGTCGAGTCCTACCATACCAGCTGTTCAAAGAGAGTGTACAGTTGTTTGATATCAGACTATGCTTTCTGAACTTGACCCTCATTTTCTATTCGTGTACACATCAAACGGCTGCTTCTTAGCACGCAGTCGCACTCTTGGCCTTTGCCCCAACTTTGGGTTCAAACAAGGGTATCCGTTACGTCGGCGCGGCGCTCGAGCACTTTTGCGAACAGTCCCCAGGTTTAGCTTCTTCTACGCTGCTTCCAGAATGTTTCCTATCGCTCGCCCCGCGCTGCCGACCGTCGACAAACCTACCTAACAAGCCACATGTACTAAGAACAGCTCATGCTTGCTCGGACACAAGTTCTTCCACTCCTTTGTCCACCAGTTCCTTGCGACTCCTGAACACATTCTCTTACTATGATCGTTCGCCGGTATTTGTATCGCGTTCCTCTAAGTGAACTTGAGATAATACGGTCCATGTCGAATGAAGACCCTTCCTGATACCATTAGGACTTGTCAAGCAGACAACTGCTAAGCAAGGGGGAGCCTTATTAACATGGAAGATTTAGTGGATATCCCAGAGGACTCTATGCGACATGTTGAAGCACTTCTGGCGAGACATCCTCCACATTTAATCCAAAGGATGTTTGCACAGACTATCGAGTCACGTAAGTTTGTCAAGGAACTTAACACGTCGCGAGCTTACAATGGGTAGGACGCAACTCTGTTGCTTCGTCCTTCATGTCAATACATAGCGCATCTACGCATTCCTCGTCATCGTCAAATTCGTCATGGCGTTCTCATCTTTCTATGGCGTCTACGTCTTCGACATTGAGTGCGAGCAGTGATATGGCTCTTCCCAATGCGTCGTTGACTTCATCGCGTTCAAGGATGAGACGAACAGAACCACGCTCATATCCCGTTGAATTGGACCCAACACGATCAAATCCTGCCCTGTTGACTTCTGTTTCGAACGTCAGTAGTCCTCTTGAAATGCAGACTGATTCGAATTATACGCCTACGGATGACATTAGTATCGCGTCGCCTGTTACGCTTCCTGGCGAAAGGTCGCAAGATCAAACTGGCGAATCGTGCATGTTTTGCACATACTGCGCTGAACAAAAGGTTCTGAAGACGTTCAAAGCTAAATCCGACTGGAAAAAACATGAGACAAGGATGCACGAGACTGGAGAAAACTGGCCCTGTATCGTGAACGGCTGCAACCGCATATTCGACAGACAAAAGGATTTCATCAAACACCATCAGCGCTATCACTCCGGACAGCCTTTGCCATCTTTGACAGACATTGGCATTACACTTCTTCCGCGAAAAGTATTCGGCTGTGGGTTCAACAAATGTAAAGAGGTCAGCATTGGATGGGACGAGCGATGCGATCATGTAGCCAAGCACATGAAAAACGGTACTACAGACCAATGGACGGAATGGAAATATTCCAACGTGATCCGCAATCTGATGCGACAAGGAGCCTTGCATGGATCTTGGAAAGAGCTGATCGCAGATTTGGATGAAAGATTATGGGAGAGTCGATCGCGCATCTGTTGGTCTCCGGATAACACCAGGATCCTTAGGCAAAAACTCCAGTGTTGCGATCTTAGGCCGAGTCGAGAAGAGGTCCTCATCACGGCCATGAGTCTACGGTCTGATATTGTTCTCGACCATGTACACCAACTGCTGCCGGCTGGATTCGTCGTTCCGAGCAGAGACTCGATAGTGAACGTCGAAAAGCTAACGCGCGAGCAGCGCATGCACATTCTCAACGGGAACTCGAACACTCAGCTCTACCGAACACGCTTAGCCTCCATCAATGCCGCACTTCTGCGCGCCAGCATCGCAACGTCGCATACTCCTGCCTGGGATTGCAGATCGCCGCCGTACAACGAGCCCATATCTCCGGTTGACGACACCATGAACCGCCGCATCAGTTATATGGATGTTGACCCTGCAGAATTTTTGGACCTCGCGCAACCAGCTATACCTGATCTTCCATCAACCATGAATACGCCGGCATCCAACGCGCCACACCCTCCAGTCCTGGCTAACGAGCAATACTCTCATTCGTACGCAAACAACTTTACGCAGCAAGAACCTCCGACTGCCAATCCACTTGGATCTTTTTACCCAAGCTACTTCGATGCCGCACCCCAGTTTGAGGAATCCCAGTATTACGACCGCCGCTCGTTGAGCCAGATGATCTCAAGACCATTGCAGAAGATTGGAAGCCGGTTCAGCACCTCCCGAAATAGTCCAGATTCAGTTTTGTCGTCCCAAACAAGTCATCCAGAACTCAACAGCGCTGAATTCGCGATGCAAACCCCCGTGGCCGCGATGAACATGCGACATTTCCATCAACAACCCCAACAGCAACAACAAGTTTATCAACACCCAGTATCGCATGCTCCTTCATTTCAGTACCACAATTCTACACATACGCATGACCCGCATTCGTTTCCGCCTCAGCGTTGATCGGTGAGATTGCGTCTTGTCATTTCCTTTGTTTTTCAGCGAGCATATAGACCTTGGTCATCTACGTCTTTTTGCGTTTCATTGATACCCCATGTGCCTTTAGCATAATGATAGACATGTACAATAATGTATAACGACGGTAGGGCAGGCGCATCGGTAAATCCATAAGGCAATTGGCATTTTTCAATACATATATATCATAGGATTGGGCGTTTGTTCATGTTTCTAACGGGCGTCTGGAGCATCATGCAATTCAAAGAACTCTTTTTCATCATGATTTTGACCATGCCTATACAACGATAAGTTTTACATCCGCGGTTTGATGTATTAACATTCATTATCTCACGGGCACTCACAGTGACATTTTACCGATGTTTGCACAGATCGAAAAACAGCATAAATGTCACAACGATCACCATGGTTCTCGTCAAGTTGATCAGAAATCATAATTCGTAATATTCATCAAAGAATTACCCTATCCTAACTTCATTCTCTTACAACCTCCATTTTGCGTACTGCCTATCCCACAACAGTAACCGTCTCATGAACCTTCAAGTCCCTGCTGCTGAGTCCGACCGAAAAGGTGAACTCACCCTCGGGAATGACCCACTGCTGGCTGAAGATGTCCCAGTAACTCAGATCTCGGCGCATCAGCTCAAATGTAACGGTTTGGTTCTCACCCTCCTGAAGGAGGACCTTGTCAAAGCCGCGGAGTTGGCGCACTGGTGTGCCTTCGGGGGCGCTTGATGGAAGGCCAACGTACAGCTGAGGCACAACGGCGCCAGCGACGGAGCCGGTGTTGGACACGGAGACAGTGACGTTGTAGACGGACTCCCAGAGAGCGGGGTTGCCTCCGGGCTGGATGGGAAGGCTCTCGGGGAAGGAAGTGATGTTGGACTCTACCGGGGTGGTGCTCATATCTGTGATGTCAAAGGTGGTGTATGACAAACCGAAGCCGAATTCGTAGCGAACGGACATGTTCTTGGCGTCGAAGTAGCGGTAATCGATCTCGAGCTTCTCGGAAAACCATGATTGCCAGTCGTTGAAGCCGGTGGTGTTGATGGCGGTGGTGGGTGGGGCGTTGTAATCCGTGGCGTTCATGGCGATGCTGTAGGGGAGATGACCCGAGGGGTTCACATCGCCGTAAAGGACATCGACAAGCGAATGACCGGTCTCCTGGCCGGGGTAGTGGGCAGCGAGGATAGCGGTTACATTGGGGTGGTTAGACCAGGGAAGGGTGTTGATGCCAGACGAGTGAGTGACAACAACAGTGTTGTTGCAGTATTTCGCCACATTCATAACCATGGCATCGCCATCCCAGTCGACGCTGAGACTTGCGCGATCTGCCCCTTCCTCGGCCCAGGTCTTCAGAAGGACGATGCAGACGTCAGGAAGATCAGGAATCCACAGGTCATCCAATCCAGTCGTGGCAACGACAGTGTTGTTGAGCCAGTGTTGGACAATGGCGCCGTCTTGAGCAGCACGATCTTGAATAGCCCGTAGAGGAGTGAAGATGTAGGTGAACTGACCGGTACCTGAACCACCGCCGGCAGCAAGTGTTCCGTACTCGAAGTTGTTCTGGTTGAGCAACATCGGGGGGTCGGAGGCGTCGTTTCCGAAAACGGCAATATTCTTAGGAGCTTTGAGAGGCAGGGCACCGTTCACGTTCTTCAGAAGAACACTAGCCTCAGCACCATGCCTGCGGATAAGTTCGGCGTGGTTGCCGCGGACGTCACGACTGCTCTCGCCAGTCACGTTCCACTCGCGGGTCCAGGTACTGCGAGGCGAGAAGTTGTTGAGTTCAACGGTTGAAGGATCCACAGTCGGGTAGCCTGAGTCCTGACCGAGCCAGTAGTACGGAGTCATGATGCGAGTGATCATGTCATCGACACGAGCCATATCAAGAGTTCCGTTGTTAACGGCGAGTGTGATGTTTCCACCAAAGAAGGATGGAGTTCCGAAAGCCAATCCATATGGACCGAGACCTCCGGGCATGTTCATATCCAGACCAGCTTCAATTGCGGGAACACCAGCGTGTGTAGCACCCCAGTCACTCATGACATAACCTTGGAATCCGAGTTCAGTCTTGAGAAGTCCGTTGGTAGACTTGCTGTTCTGGCAAGAGTATGAGCCGTTGAGGCGTTGGTAGGAGCACATAAATGCAGCTGCCTTGGCTTTGGCGGCGTTCGCAAAGGGCCACATGTACAACTCATGCATCGTGCGGTCATCGATGTTGGCGGACACCGCATTGAAAAGCTTGTCATCTGACAAGCTGTTGGGGAGGTATGTAGGGTTTCGCTCGGTCTCCTGCTCATTGCCTGGGATAGTTAGCGGGGAAGATCTTCCTGTATAGGTTTTGAATACTTACCAATCCAATGCTTTGCGGTTGCTTGCACACCGGCATCTTGAATACCGTTGATCGTTTGCTCCATGCCCCATCCGCTGAGGTAGGGGTCTGAACTGAATCCTTCCCAATTACGGCCAGCATACCCTGAGCGGCCGAGAGGTCCAGCAACAGGTGCTAGAGCAATATGGGCGCCCTTGGCCTTGAATTCAGAGCCCATGGCATGGCCACGCTCGTATAGGAGAGTCTTGTTCCAAGACGCTCCGGCGGAGACAGCGGCGGAGAAAACACTGGCATAATCCGCAACTCTGATTGCCAGAGGACCGTCTTGGAGACAAAGACCTTGGAAGCCGAGGCGAGGAATAGCGACAATATTTCCAACGCAAGGACCGGCTTGACCAGTGACCATATCAGCCTTCTCTTCGAGTGTGAGCTGGGCAATGAAAGCTTCCGCCTTTTTGACAGCGGCTTCCCAGCCAGTACCAGTAGTATTTGCTAAACAAGAGTTAGAGATACTTAGATTCAAACATAATAGTGTATGCGCAACAACTTACGCGAAGGATAGACAGCTGGTGAAGTGCCATATTCTGTCAAGATGACAGTGTCCAGTGGCTGAACATACGAAAAGTCTTGAGCATTGACTACCTCAAGCAGAGCATAGCTCGCGAGAAGCACAGTTAGAGATACTGCCATTTTGCGTCAAGATGAGATTGAAGATGCTTGATGACTTTCTACCGATGACCAAACCAGCCCTTATATAGCATTCTCTTCTGTCACTACTCGTCCGGGACTCCAAGTCGGCATACAGAATTGTCATACCGCATGTACATGGCTGACAGTACCGAAGTTTGGCCGTATCATGGAGGCGCTTCGCATTTGTGGCTTGCAGGAGCAGGATTGCAGCCGGTGGTTGTCCCATGGGGCTTGCAACGTCACCCCGAGCCGGGGGCAGGTACCACCAAGCCATCGAGCTAGCTTATGCGATTGAGTCAATCCGGAAAACGGGTTGCCTTGTGCTGCTGGAGATACCATAATGATGATGATGATGTTGTCTGAGATGTTGGTCTGCACGAAGAGTGAACAGAGTCTCCGCAACCACCACTCTCTTCCAATGGTTTCAGTGAGCTGTCCAAAGTACACGAGAGAACCATCCCACAAAATCGCGCTCTCCCGAGTTAGTCCAGAACGTGTTAAACGATCACAGCCTCAAGCCTCCACCACAAAACCCCGCTTGTCTGTGCTCAAGGCTTGTCGGCGGCGTATGTCCTCCAAGCTTTGGTGCCGCGCCGCCCGACAATCGGCTGGGACCACAATCCGAAAACGGTCTCGACGTCTTCCCAACGCTCTCGATCTTGATGAGCAAGGGATATTGTGGACCGAGTACCAAAACAAATGCCGACGATTCGGATCATGCAAATGAACGCTAGGCCCGGACAGGGTGTCTACCCGTAAACTAGATATTTATGACGAGTCAAAAATTGAGACGTCAAAGAACTCCGAGGCCGATTGTCGTTGCAGCAAAATAGTCAGTATAACGGGGGTTTTTCTACCTGATTGTAAGTTTTGTTTCGAGATATCCCAAACAAATCTACGAAACATAGCATGATCATGTCACGCGAGATCGTCGCAGCACCCCAGGATCCACTTATGACAATGCCTGTCGTGACATCGGTCCGATGAATCTCCACACAAAGTTCCCCGCAGACTGCAATTGCCGAGGTTTTGGCCTAGCACGTGGAATAACTGTGGGGAACCCTGGTCAAACAGGAAGATTCTGATGTGGAATCCCCACTGCCGAAGTGACGCCTTAAAATTGGTAAAGATCGGGTGATTTTATGCATGGTTGCATTCGATCGGTCTCCAAAAAGCATCCCTTGCGGCGTTGCGTAAGGTGATCAGTTCCAAGGGTGACCTTATGACGAACAGGGCCATTTATTGCGTTGGTATTGGTCTTCGTGAGCCTTGGCAATAAATATTTCATCGGTTAGAGACTGAGTGAGCAGGGCAACTGTCACATTTCCGTTGTTGAGTGGACCTGGGAGTCGGATGTGGGGGCTCGGGGACTATTGAAGCGATCCTTGCATTGTTGTCATGCAGGGATTAACACGCGGAGTTACGGTTCTTGGGTCGCCTGACCCAGCAGAAAGGGTCCGGTCGGCTGGATTGAAATTTTGTATTCGTGACGGTGACCTGCATGGATTCGACTCTCGGTTGCATCCTCCTCTTGTCTTTGCATCGTTTTTTTATGTTGTGTATTGTTTCGTATGCGTGAATGAAAATCCAGGCATGCAGCTTGCACCTCGCGATCAGTAAGGATGACTCATGTATCAGTGCGTATCAAGATATAGGATGGAGTGCTTCCTGTTCTCTGCCGCTCCTTACTGCCGTTTCGTCCAGAAATCGGATATGGTACAGGTGTACCGTGCCATGCGTGTGATGGCATAAGTTTACTGAAGCCAAGTTACTACCCAACGATGGCCTAACAAAACAACATCTTGAGGGCGTAACAGCTGAGGCAAAGAGGATAAGGTCAAAAGAGCTAAAGCAGCAAGTGAACCTGCAATCCTGGACAAAGCAAAACTCATGCAGGAATCTTGTGAACAGAGTAGTAGGACTCTGGAGGGGCCATGCTAATGTTTATGAAGGAAACAAGATTGAGACGAGAACATGGCAGGCTCCCTGGATTAAAGATCAGAAGCGCGTCAATCGACGAGACTAAGTGCTGTCGGGACGACGACAAGCGAGCGCCTCCACGTCCACGAAACGCCATCACCATGCCCTCCAAGTCAGCCGTACAAGCCACGACGGGAAGCCCTGTTCGTTTCCCGATGTGAAGGATACAGTAGAGCCCTAGTCAAAGGCTCTTAGACCGTCACACTGCAAGATTGTCTCTGGAGAAGGTAACAAACGATAAAGAGGTATACAACAACGTGTAACCTCGAAGGTAGATCAAAGGTCTTGAACATCCCACGTCGTGCGCCATTCTGAGCGATGATAACGAGGATACCAACGGCGATAACGCAACCGAACGCCACAAGATCTCGAGGCTTGTGTCACTCAGAAGTGGAAGGCTGACTATGGTACGGTACGACTGTCTGAATTGACTCCACTTCTTCAGTACGTGTCACAGGCCCAGATGCAGGCTTTCGCGTCACGCACTCTCGGAGGCATGCTCTCCGGAAGAGAGAAGCCAGGCCTCTTAACGAGTCTAACTCGCTTTGAACGTCGATTCTCCTTCAGATTGGTTGACTGACACAAATTGAGAGGGACGTTTATGTAACTGTTCACTATGATGACTGTCCAGTGCATTTCTCCCAAGCAACGGAACCATGTCGCTCAATACATTTCTAAACAACGCCCAGCCGAAGCAGGTTTGCAAAACGGCTCAACTGTAGCGAACACTGCTGGACCGCAACCCAGAAGAAGCATCATTGAGATAAATTGTTAACAGCCCGAGGAGAGTAACATCGTATCTAAGCTTCTGTAATGTTCAAAATAATCTCCTCTACGTTTCCCAAATTGTGTTCCTATTTATCCTGAGCATAAAGTGACGAAAAACTATCAATACATAGTGCTACTACTTGATTTCGGGCTATAACAAATGGCGAAGAGAGGGGTTTAAATCTGTAATGAGATACCCGTTGTGGAAAACGTCAACGTTTTCACCCGACATAGCGTCAGCGGAGTGCCATGCGGGGATTGTTTCTGCAGCTAACGTTTGATACCTAAAGCTAAAAGAGAGGCCTTACCCCCACCCTGGCTTGGGTGCATGATGTTGTAGAAAACCGATAGATTGGCTTCTACAAAGCCAGAACGTAGGCATGTACTCTCCTAGACAAGGGCTTAAGCTCTAGTCGTGGTCCCAAAGACCTGTTTGAAGATGCTAGCAAGGCTCGCAGGGGCCTTTGGCATGGGTGGCAGCAACCAGGGGGCTCACGATGGGAAAGTTTCACATTATGCAATCGAACTGCGGGGTGTAAGTACACTTAACACTGCTCCTAAGATGCGTCATGACCACACACCGCTCCCACAACAGCAGTATGATCACCTGACTTTGAGTATCACGAAGAGAGAGATTTGTTTACGTGTTCTGTACTGTCAATCCTAGCAGAACGTGTTGCACGCATACGAATCAGCAAGAAGACGAATTTAGGCAGTATAAACAACGCTAGCTGTTTAGAACTGAACTGATGTTAATTGCTGGAAGTTATGGCTAGATCCCTGAAGCTACACGTAGCCTACATCCTTGTTTTTTCTACAATAACTTTACTAGAACTTAAGAACACTTAGGCCTAGTATGCGTTAGCGTTGAGCATGCTTTTTACTTATAACTGTTCTTTGAATTTTATACCATGATATCTCAGCTTCGTTTTGACCTGTCGTGTTATCTCGGGACTTGCTCTGTTATCACTCTCGTCTCGTCTGTTCCGACGCAGTTATGCTGTTTCCGCATTATGGCGGTCTTCGAGCTGCTGTTTAAACTAGTATGAACTGTACTGTTGTTTCAACAGGATGCGAACTATCACAGCAATCAACTTCGGAAAATGCGGTCCAGCGTGGACAGTTCCAGCGATAGTACTTGACTATGCTATATCTCAATGACGCTTCGTTTCAGTATTGCTTACACTCAAACTTCTTCGTCATTTTGGGACATGGTTTGCGTTTTTCAGAGCAAAACTTCAACATGTGAGAACAACTCGACCGGCCACTTCGTCTATGCAAGTAACTTTCATATAACGGTAGTAAAGGGGGCTTTGTAGAGATAACTTGCAGCAGTGTCCGGTGGTTATGTATAGCCGTGTGTACCATAAAGCACTCATAACAGAACTGGATTCGAAAACCCAAAGTCACAATATGTAGGTGGTTCACGCTTCTTAGCAGTACATATACGCTTCTTTGATAGTACTCGAACGTTGAAGGTGTCTAATTGTGCATCGGAGCCGTTCAGGATATAGCAAACAATGGCAAACGGTACATCTACCGATCACGAAGGGCCATAAAGCGATTGAACGGTTAAATATGGACGAAATCAATCACACATATAACTGCACAAAGATAACCCTAAGGCAAATCGAAGCTGCTAAGCCTAAGCGGACTCTCAGGCTATGTTGGTTTTCGTCCGAGATTGGTGCGATAGAACGGATCGTTAATTCGGAGTGTTGCATATCGTTGGGCGACTCCCTCATTTTGAGAGCATACCCGAATGACCGCTTCAAACTTGTCTGGATGAATCGTCCATGTTTCATTCTAAGATATTGTCCAGAAAAATTACATGGCGAGAGATATGTTCGTTTCTGGTCAATAAACTCACACAGTAATTGAAATGGCAGTCGAATGGTAAAACAAGGTTATTATCTCTGTTCACTGTTATGATGCAGAGGCAGTGTAGGTGACTTGAACCCCCCATCAATGCGGCAGCGAGAAGGTAGTCGTCGTATACGATTTTATGTGCCAGATCTTTGTGTTCAGCCAATTTATTCATGCCTGACGAAAAAACGTTCCACTAGAAGAAATGGAATTACTACCTTAACCTGCACTAATCAGGATGAAGATCCTTTGTTCCTGGAAAAAGACTATCTGATCTGGTGTGGCGCCACTCGATATGTTCCACAGGTACTTTCATTGAGTGCTTTCCAAGGGAGTGAATTAAGGGATTCTACCTGGGCGTTGGCTGGAAGACTTTGCTATTTTCT